CTGAGCATCTCTATTGCATAAGACACAGATATCTAGAAATCACTCTAGCTCTTCAATCTCTCAAAGTTCATAATGCATTCATAGATTCTTTAATAACTGCTCAAATGTTCCAACATTCTTTCTGTGATATAAAAATACTATGTCATTCATGTAAAAGAAAATAATAATATTCTTATCAATGAATAGACATGATTCTTCACAAATCTGACAGCATTTTAGTTCTCAGAGTGTTGAAGTGAGATCTTTGTACCAAAGTTGTGGAGATTCAGAGTGGTCATATAAGATATGTAGAATCTTTCAAACATCTCTTTTCTTACTGTAACTCTCTGCCAGTCTGCAATAAATAGATTTATTAAATGAAGCATTAATGAATGTATTAACAGTGTCAATCTGGAAGGTCTCCATTTCAAAATAAGCTGTTATAGCCATTAAAAGATGAAATATTTGCACAGTGAGAGTAATGACATAGATGTTATGTTTATTATTGATATTCAGATCTCCATGAAAAACAAGTCTTGTCTTATAACATTTCAAAAAACCATTAACATCAAATTTGTATGTATAAATTCATATTAAAGAAATTGGATGTATTTCTTCTGAGCTCTCTACTTCTTCAAAGCATTTCTTTGTTCATAGCTTCTTCATTTCCACATCCATGGTGGTCTTAAATCTGTCAGCATGTGAATGTTGCAACATTGAAAAATAATGCTTCAGAGACTTTGAAAGATTCTCTCTGTGAATTCTAGAATTCATAATTGTAAAAGCTGTTAAATAGTTTCTATAAAATGAATTCAATTGCACTGTTTGCTGCAGAATCACTGTATAAGCTGTTTGTCTGTCAATTTGATCTGCATTTTGACATCTTATTCTAGCACTTTGTCTAGAAGATGGAGATTGCTCATTTGAGCTTGCTCTGACTGAGTCATTCATCACTTCTGTGACAAAACAATTGACTGTCAAAATTCTGTCATTAGTGCTCATCATCTCTGTGACAGAATGATTGACTATTAATTGTTCATCATTTGTGCTCACTGTCTCTGTAGAGCTAGCAGCAGAAAGTGTAGTAGATGTTATATCTTCAGATAACTCAACTACAACACCACTCATCATCTTCATAACTTCTGTGACAGAATGATTGACTGTCAATGAAAGTTGATTCAGCATCTCTATTTCAGTTAATGATGTTGTTAAGTCATTCAGAAGAGATTGAATGTAGATGTTTGAAGCTGATGACTCTGATGTAGACTCTGATGTTAACAATGCATGTGTCTCTTCTGATTGATTAATTAGTGTCTTAGTCATTGTTTCTATTGATCTTATTAACTGATCAACAGTCTTGTGACTTTTATGTGGTGTCTTCTTCTCAGAGTCTTCATCTTTGCTGTCATGCTTGCTCAAGCTCATCTTGTTAATATCACTTACTTCAATGAAAGATATTGTATCTGGCACAATAAAGCTCTTCTGTAATGAAAGCTTGCTGCTAATCTCATTAGAATTAAATAATGTATCTTTGTTGAATATAACATCTCTCATTAATATAATCTTTCATTGTACTGAAATCCAAATGCAAAAAATATTCATTGATTTATATTTAATAAGATATTCAACTTCTGCTTTAGAAGTCAGCTTCTGATTTCTTCTGTATCATGCATTCTTAATTAAAGAATATGCTCTACAGTCAAAAACTCTTATATGTCTAATTTCAGTTAAAGAAGTTGCAGTTCAAAGATATTTCTCTAAGAATTCAAGAGAAGTGTTTCAATCAAGATCTTTAATCAGAATTCTGTTTAAAATATACACTGCAGCTTTGACACATTCTGGCCACAAATCCTCAGACAAATTGACTTCAATTCATATTGTACAAGCTGCCATCATTATTAAAGCTTCTGCATGTTCCACAGCTCTATTAAAGCTCCTGCATGTTCTGCAGCTCCATTTTGAGCCAGTGTGTAGGGTGCTGAACATTGAACAACTATATCATATGTTTGAGCCAAAGCTGTCAGTTCTGACTGCATAGAGGTTTCTCCATCAATTTAAATAGCCAAAATAGTCAATTGATATAAATTGAGAATTATCCTTATCATTTTTACTATGCATGTCAAACTTTTGGATTTTTGCTGCATCATTTCCATGTAGTGCAGATGGATATAATCACAATATAAGTGAACTGCCCATCTATCTCCATTATAATCTGAAGCAAACTGTATGAGATCAACAGATATCTTCATGAATGAATGTGTTGATCTTTCTGATGATGTTCTGTGTATAATTTGCTTTGCTTTTGAAAAAGCACAAGATCTGCACTTTACTGTTAGAGAACTCTGAGAGATCTTTTTAAATTTTATGTTGATAGACATTTTCAGAAGATGAGTCAGAGACTCTCTTTTTAGATGATTAAGTCTCAGATGTTAAATATTTATGATTTTCAGTGAACTGAAGATTAATACTGTGACTGATTTTTTAACTGAATCTCTGCTCAATGAAGCAGTAAAGACACTCTTCATTATACTGTCTGTTGCAATGTTAATAGATCTGTATTCAATGACCATTTTTCTTTCTTTAACAGTCAAATTGAACAAGATATCTCTTGTGTCAGTGTAGTAAACTGTAAGAGATTCATCATTCAAATAACAACTCTTCACATGCAGCAATCTGTGTGCTACTAGATTTGTATGAAAGTCAGAAATGTAGAGAATGTTCTTTAGTAATATCTTATCAGCATCTGCTAATGTTTGAATATAAACTTCAACATCACTGTATCTGTGAATTTTACAATGAGTATTTTCAACAAGCACAATATCTGAAGAATCAGTGTTTTAGTAGTTTTGAAATCTTGTAAAATCATTGCAAATATGTGCATCTGCACCCTCATCTAATATGAAGCTGTCCCATAATGAATAGAGTTCATATTTATCACTCATGTTAGTGGAGTTAAAAACCATTACAGAAGTGAAGATAGTTGGATTAGGAAATGTCTTGACAATGACTTTGTTAGTATCATCATCTGTCACATCATCTGAAGCACTAACTTCTTTAGTAGTATTCAAATTCTTCAATTTCTTTCAATTTGCAATCTTTTTCTTTAATTTTTTTTTGTTCACTGAATTCTTTGGTGCTTTCTTGACCTTATTATCAATTTTTGGATCTGGTTTTCAGTCTGTTGGTTGAATAAGTGAATTAAAATATGAACAGTACATTCAATCATGTTGCTCTCTGCAAAGACATGCAGAGTTCATACTTTCATTATTCTCTTTTAATGACTTATTTTGAACAATTTTTTCAGTGAAATATGCTGACAGCTTATTACTTTGACCTGGCTCAGTATCTTTCTTTAATAACTGTCAAAATATCTGAATATGTCTATAAACATTCAGCTCATGTTCCCAATTCAAATTCTCCTCAGTTAGAAGCTTAGATAGATATATATAGAAGAACTCTCTATAATTTGAAGAGATAGCTCTCAGAAATTGTTTCAAAACAAAAAATTTATGAATATATTCACACATATCATACACAGTCATCTGATTCAATGCTTCTTCATAATTCAGTAAATATGCTTCAATTGCTTGATTCTTTGACTCTTCTTTGAGAGTTTTGAATTTCTCTACTAGTCTAGCTTTCAATTGAGAAGTATTCACTGCATTTCTAGCATATAGAGTCTTCAGATGTTCTTTTGCAGTAGCTTCTATGTTATCTGATTTACTTATTGTAAGAATTTTCAGAGATGAATCTACACAGTCTCTTATTGTCTTCTATAGCTCTTGCATTGCTAAAACTCTCTTCTTTTAAGTTCTGTATCAATCTCTTTGCATATTTCTTGCATGTTTCATATTCACAGAAGTCACAGTTTCTTTGATTTTTTCAGAAGAAAGAAAATTCTCTATAACAGATTTCTGAAGTTCAAAATGCATTTCTTTTGTCAGATCAATATATGATCACAATTAATGAAGATTTGCTGAATGCTTGATGTCTTCAATTCATTCTTTTCAATTATCAGAATTATTCAGCATAACAACTCTTCTAGATGATTTATTCATTTTTAATTAATTATTAAAGTGAGACATTGACTCTAGATTATGGTTTTCTGTAGACTTAGATCAGTAAAAATTATATAGATGCATTAGATCTCCATAAACTCTGCAATTAAGATTTAAGCTTAAATAGAGGGTTCAATGTATGATCTCAAGATACTTAATAGTGATCTCTATTTGTATGAGTAACAAGAGTAAAATAAAGTATCTTGAATATATCTTTAGATAATAATCAAATTCTTGAAAGAGTCTGGGCTCATAACTATCAGACAACACAGAAGCACATGATGATTATGTGACTGAATGTCTATAATATTGCATCTAGATCTGCTCCTAACAAACAAGACAAGGATACTTATAGACAAACATGCTATAATCAAGACTATGGGAAAAACATATGAAAAACCCCTAGCAAACCTCCACCAGCCCAATAGTCAAAGATAATGAAATCAGTACCATGGTTGAGAAGAGGAGGTGGTGAACCTATGGTTCTCCAGTTCCTCCTTTGGAGACCTGGTCACCTGACAAGTCACCTGACTCCTGCTCAACAGATGGGAATTCCCTGTCCCTGCGGTCAGCAGAACTTCAACTCTGACTTGTTCACAGTATTCTGTATAGGATATAAGTTCATAAACTAGCGTATGAGGTCACCATTACTAAGCATCGAGTGAAGATTTAATCAGACCCAAACAAGCTAGTGCATTTCCTGTTAAGGCTTAGTCTCGATGGAGTACAGTATGTAGATGTTAAAATAACCAATGAGAGGTGCCCATTTAGCCCAGTTCTAAGATTTCTGGCTGGACCTTAGATAATCGGGCAATCATGGAAATGCCTACGCTAATCCGAAAGAAGATTAGTACCTTCTGGTTGTCAATTTCCAGAGTTCGTGCCCACTCACACCATTCGCCAATGCCTGAGAAATCTACCGTCGCCAGTTTTCACTGTTGTGGATGAGATTTCCTTCAAGCAATGGTGTTACCCAGCGACGACGAGGGGCAATCCTCAACAATGCGACAACCGGATGTGAAGGAAAAACAGCCAGCCCTGACTCCGAATCGGGAGGTAAATGATGGAGATTTTCAGGACCGAGACGCTCTGCAAAAGGGAAAAAAAGATTATAAAAGTGGTGAAGTGGAGAGTGATTCCTCCTCTCCTTCGCTACCTGATGAATCAGCCCCTCCTCCTCTTCCTAATGAGCCTATACCAGGACAAGTCGAAGACGATGGATGGGATGCTATGTGGGATGAAAATGCACAAGGGTACTATTTTTATAATCGCTTCACTGGAGTTTCCCAATGGGAGAATCCTCGGGTGCCAGATACCCAGCAAGGACCTCCTGGTGTAGAAAACAGCCAAGATGATGCGAAAGAAGATCGAAAGCCACAGCCACGTTCCCAGGTCGCAGGAGGTTATGATCCCGCCATTCATGGTGACTACGACCCAAATGCTTGGTATGCACAACCCCAAGCAGACGATTCCTCAGCGCCGGCCACCACCACAGATCCCGACGTCCTCTATACCGCCACTGGTGCATTTAATCGTTTCACGGGAAAATGGCAGCCTCTAGGTCTAACGCCGGAGAATTTTAATGATGAAAACAAAAGCCGCCGACAAATGAATGCATACTTCGACGTTGATGCCGCAGCTAATAGTCATGAGGGAAGAAGCCTCAAAGCAGAACGATCTGGAAAGAAATTAACAAAAAGGGAGCTAAAGGCATTCAAGGAAAAGAGAAGGGAAAAAAAGGAAGAAAAGAGGAGAGCCTGGTTAAGAGACTGAATGCCGCTTCGTATTCTTGCTTGTATAGTATGTACTAACAGTACATTTCCTTTTTCGTGGCACTTGCAGCCATTCCCACACAACAAATATGTGCTACATATACCCGGTGTTCTGGCGTTTGGAAACTACCTTATGATATGTATACCGGAGGGCGTTTCTCTTTGGCTTCACTACCTGATTGTCAATGCTATTTGAATGTTGTTTATCCATAAATACGCGGTTCTTCAAATGGCATATCTTACTGTCAGTAGTGACGGATGTAATTAAATTTCTATATCTTCACCGACCCTAGACTTCTTTTAAACACGATGGCTACTCTTCAACGACCTGCACTCTTATATGGAGTATAAACATGGGTCGGAATTCCTTGTTCATCACGTGATTAAAATTCTTCATCCAACAAATTTCTATTCATTGCTCAAATGAAGAGCAAGTTTAACACAATATTCAAGGAAATAATATTTATTTAATGGTCCATAAAAAGGTGAGTATCAAATATTTCACTCCTGTTATTTGCATTGCATACTCCCTAAAAAACACCCGTGAAAAATCCGAACTATGTTTTGTGTGCCCTGTCCCTTTGATGACTTTAATGCTATTAGCACCAATGGTAGTTTTCAAATGCCTCTAAAAGCCATTTGTACTGTTTTCGAAAACACTACTATCAATATCAACCCAAATAATTCTCCTTAATAAATATCCTTGTATGTATGTACAAAAGATTTTATGTTTAAAGCATATCTATCCACATTACCAGGCAACCAACTGGATTAGTACAAAAGTTATACTGAGACTCTTTCTTGTGAGATGAACAGTCGATAAGATTTGTGGTGTTTTTAAATAGTCCTTGGATAGTTGTGATTGATTATTTCGATTAGGTCTGTTGATACTATCAAAAAGTGGCACACAGCCTCTCGCTTCGGACAGGACTTGATAATATCCAGCTGTATTGATACGGGTGTATATTTAACACCGCATTTAAGATATCGCATTCAAGAATATTCCGCACATTGCCATTTGACGGACGAAGCGGAGATATACAGCGCGATGGCGTCCACAATTGCCTTATCTCTCGAAAATATCGATGACCTTATCTATGCCGCACGAGCTGGAGATCTAGAAGGTCTGCAGACAGATATTACAAGTCTAAGCCTACAGTACAATTGTCCCGTCGCTGCCATTGTCGAGTCTGCAATTGACAATGAAGATGAAAGCGAAGGGGGAACAGGTGCCTGTCTCTTGCATTGGCCAGCAGCCAACGGAAATATAGGTGAATGGGCCAAAACTGTTGCCTTGCAAAATTACTAACTCTATATGCGTAATAACTAATACTGTTGTACTTCTAACTAGAATTGCTAAATTACTTACTCTCAATCATTCGAAACACCCCCGACCAAGGGTTGTCTCTCGTCAACCACGCGAACTATTCCGGAAACACGCCTCTTCACTGGGCCGCCCTAAATACGCATCTAGAATGCGTCAAGGCATTGGCTTACGCCGGGGCTAGCATAGATGTCAAAAATGGTGTGGGGCATGACGCGGCTTTCCTGGCAGAACGGTCCGAATGGGGTACAACCGGTGGCGACGGGTTAGAAGAGATGGATGGAGAGGATACCGCAGCAGGTGCAACCGAAACTACACCGGAGCCCACGCGGCCAATGTCAAAGGCCATGCAGGTGGTCGAGTATCTCTTGACGTTTGATAGGAGCGGTGAACAGAAGGGAAGCGCTGATGTCTCGGCAGCGCAATCGCGGAATGATGGGAATTCTGATGGAATAGAGGGAGTTATTGAACATGAAACGAATTGAAAAAGAGCATTCTCATTGGCATAAGAATGATGTATTTTGTTATCCCCTTGGATCTTTCCAGGAAAGTGGTTGGTGCATTCTAGACGGCGTATTTTCGGGAGTCAAAACTACGGGAAGTGGAGCCTTCGGGCATTGAATAAAAAAGTCGGCACAAGATCAGTTGAATCCTAAACACAACCCTTTTACCAAAATTTTAATTGCGAACAAAAAAATAAAGCCAAGTGCAGGGCGATAGAGCGGTTGCAATATGGTGCTATCCCGTTATTTTGATGAGCATTATCAGCATAACTAGAATAGGAACATTGAGTGTTTGTACTCCGTAGAATCCAGGGGATTGCATTTGTTGACATGTGTCTCAAACACTTTCACTCCCACTCGGGCTGTGCAGGGTCACCTAGGGACTAGACGTCTGGGCACCGTGCCATGCTGTGAGTTGCATGGACACTTTGATTGAAGACAACACTATCAATAGTATTAATTCAATATCGCGCAGTTGAGTACTACATCAGTCATTTGAGCCATTGATACATACATCATAATCATAAAAAAGAAAAACACCAGGAAACTAGCATATCAATCTTCAAGAAAGCACTTGGAACTCAAAACATGGTGGGTATAAGAGAAAAGTGCGAGCTATAGTACAAGGAACAAAATGGCAACGTGGAAGGAAGGAATTATGATGCGCTGAGCTCGGGTTCTGTAAAGCGTGCCGTCACCATATTTCTGATAAAACTTTCTTTAGGAGTTCTACGCCGAACATCTGAGCTTGCCGCCCCACCGCGCCCTTCATCTAACGCTTGACGAATGGTCAACGATTTTTCCTGGGCCTTTTTGGCTTGGCCGGTGGCTTGTCCGATTTCATATGTCACCGCATCCAGTCCAACTTTAAAAACCTTGTCTCGCCATATAACGGTCGTTCCGCCATAGAAACTCCAGATCCATATTGGAAATGCTAAAGCCTCTCTTCCGAGCCAGGCAAACAGCCAATCTCGAAATGGCCTGCGGGCGAACCACGATTTTGGCAAAGGGCGAGCAAATGATGGAGTATGCTCGTCAACTTCAACCGTGACACCAGAGTGCAGCCTTAGGTATACAGTCCAGTCTGTTACCATCCATACCAAGATACTGACAAACCAAATGGAAACGAAAGCTGACCAGTTCCCAAGGTAAGAGCAGTATTCGGGATAACGAGCAGGAATCGAAGTTGTTAAGCCAAAGGCAAGATACAGTGAGCAAAGAAATGATTCTGTGCCGGGCTCGACGAGCGTCGCAAGCAATACGGTGAATTTACGCACGCGAAGCCATCGCACACGCCGATCAACATAGGAAGCGACACTCATTCCGCTCATTGGTTGGATAGCCATATCCCCAAACGCGAGATCATGTTTCCCCCATTTTTCATGAAGTTCCGCCTCTTGAAAAACACGCGCGTTCCAGAGGCGGTCGCCTATTAGATGGTCTTCGCAAATATTATCAGAAAAGTAATCGATGCCAGGTCTCCTATTAACTCTTTTCGCGTGTTTAGGCGGCGTGGAGGTAATGTAATTTAAATGGGAACGTCGAAACATGGCTGATTTGCCAATGATACAGGGGGCAATGAGTACAGTGTTGATAGCAGCGTACATTTTCGGGTGGGACGATGCAAGGAAGAGCTCTTCAAGACGACCCCCAGCGCGTGATAATAGAGAACCGGCGGTTGAGAAGTCCTTATCTCGGCTATTGGTATTTCCCATTGGCTGTCCGGATGATACGGCTGATTTCTCGTCAGGGCAGTGCAGAGGAACATCAACGACTATCGGTAAATGATGCACGAATTTGAACTTTTGGCCGCCATTTATTTTCGGATTTAAGCCACAAAGTCTGTCTACCATTCTGCCGCACACTCCTTTGCTTAGCCATATGTTGCAATCCATAATCCATACAATGTCGCCCTTCGCCTCTCGATAAGCCCGACTCATATTCCTGATTTTCGGATTCGGCCCAAGTTCGGTGTACTCATAGGGCGGTTCAATAAATACGCGCGCATCAGCGTCGGGGAAGTCTTGAAGGACCCTCATCACAATGGTATACGCCGGGTCTTGTATCGATGATACGCAGAAGTATATCGTTAGCTTATCGCGAGGGTAGTCCTGGCGTATACTGGCAGCGAGACAGTCATAAAGGAAGGGTTCGATGCCCTTGACCGGGCGAATAATCGTGACATGGGGGATATCGGTATGGGGGAGCGCGGTAGTCGAGATGGCTTTTTGTGGGGCTTTGGAATAGTGGCGCTGTCTGATATTTTTTATTAGTCTCAGAAGAGTACTGTCATTTCTCGGGGTAGAGAAAAGGGTGATAATCGCAAATAATACTCACAGCTGAACATATCCAATCCAGCACACCAAAGTGACAATCGAATACCAGGTGATGGCAACCCAACCCACAACAACAAGCCACGCTGGCTGCCCGCACTGAAAGCCAGCCGAGTTGGGCCCGAGAGGAGCTCTCTCCGCCAACATCAGTCGACGTTTAACATATGAAGCGATGAATTTCCAGAAGGTGTGTACAAGGGGATGGCAAGAGGTCCAAAAATTAAAAAATGACTGATGGTAGCTCTCGGGCAGCCACTTAACATTCCACGTCTGGGCGGATGTCAGATCACGTGGACGCGTGCAACTAGCGTGCTAAGTCTTATTAGGAGCATAGTGTCTGGGGAGTAGGTGAGAACTGCAAAAGAACCCGCGAGACACTGCTGGAAGAAGAGCCAGCTGTTTCTTGATGTTTTGTTTGTGGTGTTCGGCACTTAAGCACTGGTCTGCAGAGATGTCTTGTTGAGATGAAACCATGTTTCACAATTTCACCCTTCTCCTTCCCTAATGCGAAGCTAGAGACTTGTCCTTAAAACCTCAATTGAGATAGGGTTTCAAGTCAATTTTACACTGGCTAAAGGTAAAAATGAAGTCAAGGGTTTACTCCGTGCTGCCATAGTTAGTTATTCTCCCCATGGTCGACGTTCGTTATTCAAGTTACCACACCCCACTTCAGTCACCACAGCAAAGGAAGGAGGATGCAGAGGCCGGGCATTCACGCTGTGGAGAGCTGGCGACTTTAATTTTGAGAATAAACACGAGACTCTGGGGTGTGAAGTGCCAGTTCGTACGGAGTACCCCCTACAGGCCAGAACAGAATTACTACCCCAGGCAGAAGAACTCGGGCTCAGCGGCACAATACGGTGGATACTCTAGCAATGACCAAACACAAGGCGAAGTCCCTCGGTGCTGACCAGCTTTTAATCATTGCTTCGAGCAAGCATCACGGGCCATGTGGTCAAGAAGTGTCATAGCGTGCATGCCTCCATACATATACGACCGGGCCAAGGAAAATACCTTGTTTTTTTTTCTTTGTATCGGGTGGACTTGCGGTACTTGGAAGCCGGCAGCACGCGCAGGATACGATTTGAATATAGCGCAGCCTTGGGTCTATGATTTCTCGGAGTTCTGGAGAGAACGCCGTTGTGTACGGAGTAGACCAGCAGAACCGGAGGATTTCTACCTTTTAGCTAAACAGGCTCCGGATGATTTTGAGAAGCGAGCTCGGGACATAATTCTCTCACTGAGCAGTTTGGTGTGGCCCGGCTGAATGCCTGGCGCGGAGCGGCTTTTAGTGGGCGAGGAAAGGGACGGCACAGCCTCCATGCCAGTCCCTGTGTGGCGCAAGCTCGCCCTGTGAGACGCCGCGATTGGCCAGCGGTGCGCGCCACACTGCGACCAGCACCAGCCTGCCCCACCTTCCCTTTTTCCTTTTCTGTCCGGAGCTTATTTGCACGACCGCCAAGTCGCAGCCCGCTCGTCGTCGTCGTTGTCGGTGGCCTGGTGGTCGCCATCACCACCGCAGTTTTCAGCTTCAGCTTCAGCTTCCGCCCCATCCTCATCCGTTACCTGTTCTGTGGAGTGATGGGCAGTGCTGCGGACACACCAGCGCCAGCCGTGTCGAGTTTAGCCCGTCAGTTGGTCGTGCCAGCGAATACTCAGGCCCAAGCATCTTATAAACCGCCCCAACTAACCCTCTTCTGCACGAATCACCCACCAACAGCTTTTGGGTGGCTGCCAATGGGATCCCAGTTTTGGTGCCGCGATCCTTGCAGCGTCACTGCACGAGACATGGGGGTATCTACTTTACTGGTACTTCGCTCGCTGGCCATATCTAACGTCATCGGAGGTCCTTCTTTGTTCCTCGTGCTACGGAGTACTCCGTACTCTTGCTGTGCTGTAATATTGCCAGCTCTCACATCCCCGCACGCACTCGAAATTCGCTGATAGTGTTACATGTCGCGTATGCAACATAATAATGTGCTCGGTCGACTAGTAGTTAGTTGCCGCGCTGCGGGAAACACACGTTCAATCTACCGGGCGTCCTGTTTTTGGTTCAGATCCCGGACGCGGAATTTCCTGAGGAATGGAAACTTCGAATTCAGCCGAAAACTTTGATCTACCGGCTTTGGCCAGGCTGCTCTAGGATGCCGGCTCGCCTGTTGTTGACTTCATTTCCCCCCGAGGTTCAGCTCTCTTTACTCACCCTGGCATCCGTACGCGATGCCCCCAATATTTTGTATGAGGCATTTTATTTTTCTCTTCATGCATGGCCTCGCATCCCGCTTGTTCGATCAATGGAATTTTGATTGATTGGTAGCGGTGTTTCTCGCTACTCACCACGTTCCTTTCGCTCGGCATATGGCCTGCGGATTGTAAATTAGCCTGTAGAACCCTTTCCAGGAATCTCGATCGCGGGCAGTGCCAGTCTATGTTTCACTATATAAACTCCTGCAGCGAGGAGAGTGCCATTTTTTTTACCATTTAATTTTCTCCTCTATTTTTCCCCCTTTTTCTGAGTGACGAATATTCATCAAAACTTGCGCATCGTCAGCGCCGGTATGGGCGACGAAAAGGAGAGCGGGTCGCGCGTTCACTACGCTGATAAAGATGCGATCCGGCCCGAAAATCCACGCCGATCTTTGAATCGCAAAGGCTCAACTTCTTCCCTTTCTATTCGATCTGCTCATAGTCGCGTTGTTCCCCCCGAAGCAGTCCTTCCGATCACATATAGAACACTGTGCGTCACCTTATCCTGGCATACTCTCTTTGGACTTGTCTTATCGAATTCCCAACTAGATCTTACAATGTCGACGAATCTCTCAAGAAGGACCCTCAACAGGTTACCGACAAAGATAGCGCAGAGCGTTTACGTGGTACGCCAGTTTTTGTTCTAGCTGACTATTCTTTGGGGGCGCTATCCTGACATGATCCATGAAGGGATTTCTGACCTCGATTGGCACATGATATCAATCGATGAAATCGCCAGGAGACTCTCAACCTCAATACATCAAGGGTTATCAGTTGAGCAAGCCCAGCGTCGTATCGCGGAATATGGCAAGAATGCGCCAACGCCACCACGTACAGAATGGTTTCGAAAAATAATGGGTTACTTTTTTGGAGGATTCGGCGTTCTTCTGTTTATCGGTTGTATTCTGGTATTTGTTGCATGGAAACCTTTAGGAGATCCTCCTGCTTTAGCCAACCTGGCTCTAGCCATCGTTCTTGGCGCTGTTTTCTTGATCCAGGCCGGTTTCAATGCATGGCAGGATTATTCGTCTTCTAGGGTCATGGCTTCTATTAAAACAATGCTGCCGGATGACTGCAGGGTGATTCGAGATGGCGAAGCAAGTATGAAGTCTGCTCTTCACCTCGTTCCTGGCGATGTCATCAAAATCAAGCAAGGCAACAAACTTCCTGCCGATGTTCGACTGATCGAAACATCTCCGGATTTGAAGTTTGACCGTTCAATCCTAACGGGTGTGTTAAATTGTCCCAGAACATTTCCTTCGTTCCTTAACTTACATTCGTCCATAGGTGAATCCGAGCCCGTTAATGGTACTGTTGAGTCTACTGACAAGAATTATTTGGAGACCCATTGTATTGGACTTCAAGGGACCCACTGTGTAGCCGGGACGGCTACTGGTATCTGTGTTGCAACTGGCGATAACACGATATTCGGCCGAATCGCTGGGTTAACCAATAAACCCCGGCATGAGTTTACTCCCATACAGAAGGAAATTCTACGCTTTGTCTTGATCATTGTCAGCTTCATTGCAAGTGTAGTTATCATTGTCATCATACTTTGGTTAGTTTTCACATTACCAATGCGATTCATATCGAGAACTAATGTGGTATTACAGGTCCGCTTGGCTGCGAAAATACCACCCAGATTGGATAGACGTTTCGTTGCTTATTGTTAACTGTGTTAGTGTCGGTATTGCGTTTGTCCCAGAAGGTCTACCTGTTGCAGTTGCAATGAGTCTTACAATCGGAGCCAATATCATGAGGAAGAACAAAATCCTCTGCAAGTCTCTTGCAACAGTTGAGACTTTAGGTGCTGTTACCGTTATTTGCTCCGATAAAACGGGTACTCTGACTAAAGTACGTGATCTCCATAATTTCCCCATACTCTCATTTCCTAATATATGGGATTCTAGAACGAGATGTATGTCACCGATTCCTTTGCAGGAGGGCAGGAATATAAAGCCGACGATGCCAAAGAAGGGTTGTTCAGAGGCAAGGACGATGATGACACTTCAAACCAAGCGTTGGAGAGTCTTCGTGTTTCAGGAGCGCTGTGTAATGCTGCTGAATTCGATGCCACTACAACCAAGCTTCCGGCTGGTATGATGAAAATATATGGTGATCCCACTGATCAAGCCATTTTGAGATTTTCTGAAACTCTATCATCGGTACAAGACCTTAAAACGAGCTGGAAGAAGGTCTTCGAGATCGCTTTTAATAGCAAAAACAAATTCATGATTCGTGTCATGTCTCCATTCATGCCAGGAACCACAGCAACCCACTCTGATGAAATGTATGTTGGCAGAATTTTATTTTGATAACTTTTTTTCGATTACTGATTGCACTTGTAGGAATCTGTGGATTAAGGGTGCCCCCGAAGTTCTCCTTTCTCGCTGCAGCACAGTTCTTCAAGATGATGGCTCAGTGAAGCATATGTCTTCTACTGATCGACATGAAATTGAACAGATCAAAGACAGATGGTCCGGTGATGGCAAGCGGGTTATCTTAGTTGCTCAGAGGGTTATCTCTGGAGACATTTTACCAAGCCTACAATCAGCAAAAGCCGAGAGAGTAGTATTAGATATCGCAAGGGAGGACCTTACATTTATCGGACTTTGGGGTTTGATTGATCCTATTGTATGCCCAATATTATATCTCGTCTTATTTTGACATTTTGCTAACTAACGAGGTTAGAGAGACGAAATCCCCGGTGTAATTGAGACTCTTCGTACTGCCGGTATTCGGGTTATGATGGTATTTCCATCTTTCTGATGAAGGGAATTTACTTCCGCTAACTACTCTCCAAGGTGACCGGTGATTTCAAGCTCACTGCGCAAGCTATCGCAAAAGACTGCGGAATTATTAGGAGTGCGCCAGCCTTGGTACACAGCATTGAAAATCTCGAGCGGGACCATGAAAAACCAGCCCTCTCTACTAACAATGACTCACTCCGCTCCATTACGATTAGCGGCCCAGAACTTATTACACTCAACGATACCCAATGGGACCAACTATGCAGATATGAAGAAATTGTCTTCGCACGTACTACCCCAGAGCAAAAACTACGAATTGTCAAAGAATTCCAATCTCGCGATCAGACAGTTGCCATGACGGGTGACGGAGTAAACGATGCTCCCGCCTTGAAGGCCGCTGATGTTGGCGTGGCGTTGGGTAGTGGCTCTGATATTGCGATCGAGGCTTCCGACATGGTTCTTTTGGACTCTTTTTCCGCTATTGTTGAAGCTGTGAAGTATGGCCGCTTGACATTTGGTAGGTTTATGGTATCTAAAACTGTCATTATGGTCGCTAACTAATTTTTGCAGATAATCTGAAGAAAACGATCATCTATCTTCTTCCTGCTGGTAGCTTTAGTGAATTTTGTACGTCGATCCTCAGGTCTATAATGTTTCCTAGAAAAACGCTAAGATCTCCTTTTCCTAGGGCCTGTCATGGCGAATGTTGCTCTTGGTGTCCCACAAGTGCTATCATCCTTTTTGATGGTAAGATACCTCTTCTATCGATATTGTATTCATAATGCTAACTCTTTGAATTATAGATTATTATTTGGTTAGGAACCCCACAAAAGCACTATTGCTTTTTAACTTTGCTAATATATACTGCTTTTAGTTTGTTCACCGATGCGGGTGGTGCCATTACCCTCGCATATGAAAAACCTGAGATGGATGTGCTTCTTCGACCACCACGCAATGCGAAGAAAGATCGGCTTGTCAATGCGAGATTTATCCTCCATGCATATGGGTTTGTTGGCATCTACGAATGTCTACTTTCATTCGTAATGGCTTTTTGGTATATGTCGGTATGCTATAACCTAATCCGTGCCTCTGCTCCCGGTCTCAGTAGACTCACCCCTATTTGTTAGCGACGTGGAGTACCATTCAGTGCCTTGGTTTTGAAATTCGGCAACTTGGATCCTAAGTATGATCCTGCTTATGTGGCCAAGATCACAAACCATGCATCCTCGATCTATTTCGTAAACTTGGTGGTGATTCAATTTTTCAATTTACTTGCAACTAGGACGAGGCGTCTCAGTATCTTCCAGCAACCACCATTGTTCAATAAAGAAACACAAAATCCATTGCTTTTCATGGCAATGGTGTGGTCTCTTTTCATTGTTTTCATATGTAAGTTATCTTTCAAGTTCAAGTCGACTTGTTCACTCGTTCAGCTTTTGTCGGGTGTTATTGTTGCTAACGCTTTTCTAGTCTGCTACATTCCGGGCATCCAAAATACTGTTGATACTACGTCTGTTCCGGTAGAGCATTTCTTCCTTCCAGTCGCTTTCGGTCTTGGAATTCTTCTTCTAGATGAGACAAGGAAGTATTGTGTTCGACGCTGGCCAAAGGGTATACTAGCAAGATTAGCATGGTAAAAGCACCGGTAGCATTGTCACGATTGCCATGGGATGAGTGCGGTGAATGTATGTAGATACTAGACTGCAAAGCGACTCTAGGTTGAACCTAATCGCTTGGGGACCTACACAATCGCGAATTGAGGTTCACAAACCGCGATAGTCGGCTCCACACGGATTTTTGGGCATGCATATCTTCATAGAAATCCTTTCAAACATAATAAATAGGCTCAATTCATTTTCTGGAAACAATACTCCGAACCTATTCTAACTGCATTTATTGCTCGATAAACACCTTGACTTACGCCTAAACCATCCGGACTTCTTCGGAAACACTAATTCTCCCATAACGAGCTCTAGGTATGTACCCTAGGGAAACTTCACCAGCACTTAGTAACCGTTTGAAATGATCCTCCCAGGCCCGAACAAAAAAGAGATAGACAAAATATGCATTTGAAACAACCACCTGACAAGGCTTCTGGAATCGAACGACCTTGAACCGTTGAAGTTAGATGTGGGACCAACATTACGTCTTTTTCTTCTTCCGTATTAGCGTAGTATCTAGAATATTTACTGCCAAACTCCGCTCTTGGTTGTTAGACATGAAATTCTGTTGAACCTCTTCCTGCAATTTGCGTTTCTTGATAGCTAGGGTCCCGTCCAGTGATCGCGGCTGATCGGCCCGAGGTTGTTCTGGGGGTGAGCATGAGGGTTCGGGCGATTCATTAGTGCCAATTATGACTTCACCGTTGGATGATATACCTTTCTCGCAAAGAGAAGAAAGTTTGTCAATCCAGGAATTTGTGCTGTTGAGCGCAAGGCTTTGGTTACGAAAGTCGAGTTTAAGGAGAAAGTCGGAGACAATGATGTAGTTTTTTTCAGAGAGGAGAATTGGTCGCGTATGTTCAAGAGATGGTATGCTTTTCCTGCTCTCCGAGAATGAGCCAGAGTCTTCCTTATAAGGGGGTGTGTTAGTCTTTTCACTCGAGCTAGCCATATCTGTGCCTTCCTCCTTAATATCTAGTCGCGCAAATCGTGACCGCACGGCAATTCCAGCATTTTCAGTAGTCATGGTATCTAGTCTAGGTCTGGTTGGGTATTCTCGCAAACTGGGCTGTTTTGATATGTGCTTCAATCCATCGGATTTGAGAATGCCAGGCGGGTTGATGACCATCCACAGAAATCCAACCAGTCTTCCGGCAGAGCATTCTTGACGAAAGGTCATCATTTCCCAGAACTGTCCCAGGGTTTTGATGCTTAGCCATTCCCCACGGGACACATGCTCAGCAGATATTTCACTTTTGTCAATAAAATCGCGAACACATTGTTGGTCACGCCCTTTCTTTAATGGGGTTGTGGTATACATCTCTTCGTCTAAATCGTCTAGAAATCTCGCTTTGGGGTCATCCGGGAACCGAGGAATGAGACATCGCGGAGGTGCAGTCGGATTTACACAAAGCTGGTGAACTGGATAACTATTTACCCACCGCGGAGTCATCGGGGAATCCGGCTTGGATAAACGTGGGAAGAAGGCCTTGGTTTCGTATTTGTCACAGCCTGGAATGACTAGATATGCAGTGCTAGTAGTTCTTCTAGATTCTGCAATGTCCGGACCCTCCTGCTTGTTTATCTTTAGTTTGCTTGTCAAATGCCTTTCGGAGCCGAAGCTACGGAGGATCGGGTCGAAAACGCGGCACCACCATTTTATTAAGCCACGGTCATCTAGGACATGTTTATGTGAATTCGCTATACTGCCAGGGAAGAGATACTGGTTTTGTGCACGGGCGAAAAGAGACAATACAAGGCGAACGCCAGGCTGATGATTTTCTTGCAGAATGTTAGATAGAAACACAGTAAAAACTGTCCGTGTGAGTGACTTCGCTTTAGGGTCTTTTAAGAGATAAAGGTAACCTGTTGAGTCGGCTTTGGACACGAAAACAGTAGTGAGGCGCGCTGTGGTGTACACCAAAACCTCAATTGCGAACACAAGTACTTCACCGTCACCCTCAGCGCCGCCAATGTCGTGTTTCTCTGGCGTGATGGAGACAGCAAGGAAATGGCCTTTGCTGTGAGTACATTCTGGCTCCTCGTCAGGCGGAGCTGAGAAGATGGGTTCGCATCTGGTGGCTGGGCAAGCTATATGCCGGATTGTAAGCTTCACATCTTTCGGCAGAGCCTGCTGGAGTTCCTCTGCGAACCGCGAGGACGCCATTATTGATGCATACGCATTGCAATCCTTGCAGATAATAAACAATGATGATAAAGCGAGTCCTGGTTGTGTTCTACCCCAAGCAGCGACCTCGGTCACATGCTCGTTCAGACAAACACGGCAAACAGCAGCCTCTCAGGATCAGATCTGCATTTCACAAAAGTCAGATCCTTCGTGCATCCCATTTGCAATCACGATGCCCCTCAAGAGGATTAAGGGCACAGCCGCCAGTGGATTGCTGATCCATGACCCCCAACCTATTGGGGTTTGACAATGGGGCGCGCAGTGGCATCGGAGTCCGACCTCTTGTGCAGCTTCCCAGCAAAAATGCAGTTGTTGGGTAACTACCTGTCCTACCCCCACCCGTAAGGAGTACGGATTGTGGAATATGGTTTGGATATATAGCTGGACTGCTCCCGCGCCCGTCTCGCTTGAATCCCGCCTCATGCCGAATCCAAATATGGCTGAAGAAAAAGAATCCCCCGCTCAGCTCCCCCCCTTCCGTCGCGTGGTCACCGGCCATTCTCCCACAGGAGAGGCGATTATTGAATCCGATGAGAACCTCGTCCCCTATGACCCTTTTTCACCGACCCTCGAGCCAGCCACCAGTCAATCTGTGGGCTTGGCCACCATCTGGCGTATGGGCCTCACTTCCTTCCCAGTTAACTCCAACGAGCCTTGGTGTGAATTCAACCGCAAACCAGTCGGCCTCATCAACCCGGAAGGTTTGATGGCAAGAATTGTTGATTTCCCTCCAGGCCCTAGCATCATGCATCGCACGCTAAGTTTGGATTTTGGCATCGTCTTGAATGGGGAGATAGAGTTGGAATTGGACAATGGCGTCAAGACTTTGCTGAAGCAAAATGATGTGGCAGTACAAAGGGGGACGATTCATGCCTGGATTAACCCTGGCAATACAATTGTGCGGATGTTGTTTATTTTAATTACTGCCCAGACTCTCAACTTTTGTGGAAAGGTGCTGGACGCTACGCCATTACCTCCAGGACTTGGTGGCTTTGATAATACGTGAGTCTTCGGTACCTGTCCCTCGTTCAAATATTAATATGGTGTCTTAGTCCAGGAACTTCGGTTAATTCATCGCTGTCTTGATTATCTTGGAAAAGAGGCCTTGCCGGAACTACTTTCTGAGATTTTTTCTGGTAGAATATGACGTATTTGGATGTATGTAGACTTATTTTGGGGGGCGGGGGCTCAAATTAGAAACATGGAGCATTGGCTTAAAAATATTCTCCGACTGCCCTAAGATCATCCACATTTAACAACCCAACACCTTCATTCAACAATGCTCTCCATATTTCATTTTGTTTACGAATCGGCCACCCTGGCGTCCCCCAGTACCGAGCAAGAATCTTCCTACTCTTTGCAACCTTAATCTGCGCCTTAATGATTTCGAGTTGAGCGTCGGTAAATGGTATGTTATCCGAACCTATAGAACCAATCGCCCCTGTGAGGCTCGTGGATGCGACCGGTGATATAAGATCCGTGATGTTCCGGGATTCAAGGCCAGAGAGTGGCCCATCGTAAAAAAAGTCACGGGTGTCTAGTCCGCTGACGAGGCTGAGGGGCGTATTGCCAGTTCCAATTACTGTAATAGGACCTGGAACTTTCACCCCTTTGACAACACCAGTCAAATACCTCAATTCACGCAATGGCTGCAGGCTCTCAGAGATATATTTCCACGCTTCAGTGCCGTTCGTTTTGACATCGATGAACAAATACAGAGTCTGATATGGATCGGTATCAAAAACTCCACTATGAACGTTTCAAGGTTAGATTAGCCGGGATCATTATCTTTTTCGCCGCAACATCAACGGAACAAAGCAAGCTTCCCATACTTTCTGTACTCTCCTGTTGGGTCAAACTCGGTGCGAGGGTTCTGGAGCTTCAGAATTTTGACAAGCTGATCAATATATAGCGACTTGAGCGTCCGCTCTTTGGACAAGGAAGATTTATGGTGTCCAACCTGGTAACCAGATGTCAGTGACATGACGATAGCTGTTCCTGTGTTTGAAGTTTATAAATACATAGAGAGTTTCATTTATCAGCCAGACATCAGCTTCAATTGAGATACAGCCGGCAGCAATAGCTGATGAACAATTAGCCTTGGGAATCCAATCCGCATCCAATATCTAGTCACCTGAATAGACGGGCCGATCTCTCCAATAGTCACTAAGCATGATAAGACCATATTAGCCACCCGGAAATTTGAATTGGGCTCATTGGCATACCCACTTATGAGAATGACATGGGATCTACTTTGGGACCAAATAATTAGCCTTGGTCAGCTCAAACTGATGGAGCTTGATACCACGGAATTGACGCACCGGGATAATCTCCCTGGTAAAGTCCGTCGGGTAGCGATACTCCGGGCGGGGCCGGGAATCATCCAGAATTGTTTGCAGCGTGGAAGCACTGCTAGAGCAGCTGGCCAGGGAGATCTGAAGGTTTGCGACAGCCCCAAGGAGGAGCGTGAAGGGGTGTGACGTCACCCGCATAGTTAAAACTAGCTGTTTCAATGAACGGGAGTCTCAGGCACCGATGCCGGATTGGTGGGAGCTGCGATAGAGTTGCTAGGGCGCCTTCACGAGAGATGCCGCTTGGGACGTTGACGAGCCTGACGTCGCGGTCAAATATGTATTCTCTGGTCTTCATGGGCTTCTCACATGTTGCGCGCGCAGCCGGCTATTGGTGCAGTCACGTGAATGCTCCGGCGACTCCCATAGGCTGAACGCCGGGGGAACGCGGCTGGGGTTACGCGGTGTTACGTGACAGCGCGCAAAATAAGGCGGGCCGGACGGCCTGGGCGTGGAGTCGCTGGTAAAGTACGATATAACAAAGAAAGGGGCGATTATATACAGAAGGAAGTACAGTACAAGCAGCGTTGGGTGGTGGTATACATCATAAGATCATGCTAACAGGTGGTCAATAGTGCAGGTGAAACAAGACGAAGCTAAATAGTACTAGACTTCCCGCGTTCTCAGTGGTTCAGACTCAGCCTGACTTTCTTGGGAGGCTGCTCCATGGCCTCGAAGATTCAAGTTTCCAATGCGCTGCACGATGCTGGAACCCACGGCGTCGACAGCCCCCTTAGGTGCCAGGAGTGTTGGTCCTTGGGCAGCTGCTTCCTGCACCCTGAATAGCTTAATAGCTGTTCCGTTCCAGACTCCGACTGTACCGGGAGTTGAGCCAGAAGCAGACCCAACCACCATTTCACCGGAAAAAATGAAGCCCCATAGTAGCGATTCATACCACCCAAGTGAAAGGGGTGACCATTCAAACAAGTGCACTTGAGCAGGAGACGGGTCTGAAAGGACTGCCTGGATGTGTGGCTCTTCTGAGAAGGACGGAAGTTCCGAGAGTAGGGTGCGCGCCTCAGGGTTGAGGGAAGAATCGAGTGCGGCAGATTGAACATGGGGAAATATCGCAGATATGACAGTTAGAATAGTGTGAAGAGGCAATTCAGGCACCCACGATTCAATCTACACAAGCATGTAAGCCAGGTGTCTAGTATATGTCATTGTCGAGGGCTCGAAACTTACCCAAGCCGCAGTAGGAACAAACCCATTAGATGACGTTAGTACACTGGGCGCCGCACTATAACTACTCAAGCTTGTGGTGCTATTCTGTCGAGAGAAAGCAGCTTGGCCTGCTGGCATTTTGCCACGGGCTTTTTCGGATAAGCCGCGAAGCTGATGTGGGACGCTCTCGTCTATCGGAGAAGCCAGGGAGGGAACCTGTGAGTTTTCGAGAGACGGTGAAAAGTGGGATGGCGTTGCTGGTTGTGAGGTCTCCTCGTCTGATTCATCGTCCCCAACTGCAAAAGTACCGTCTTCTTCGGGTACATGGGATAGAGGCCGCGTTGGACTTTGGATGTCCTCGCTTTGTTGCGAATACGATGCGTGCGATGAATGCTCGCTGGTAGCAAAACTTGCCTTTTTCCGGTGCCGCTGTTGCTCCATTTCCTGCTGCCCACTATCTAAAGTAAAGGCCCGGAGTTCCTCAAAGCGCCGTTTCGATTTCAAAATAGTATATATAAGATAAGGGTTTTCTAGGGGAAAATTATTAATAAATATAGTCTTAATTATACCTGGTAACTTACTGTTGTATTGATGCTCTATAATTGTGTTTATGAATTTCAGCAGTGAGGCCAGGAGAGTATGGTTTGTTTCGTTAGCGAGGAGAAAACTTGGTGAGGACATGGATGTAAAGAGTTGTAAAAGTTTGGAGCAGGCGGCAGCAGATAGATGCTCGACATAGGCTGCAATATTATTTAAAATTGCTAAAAGTGCGGGATACACTGCATCCAGCTTGCCTTTACCCGTCGTCATTAATGTATGAATGGACTACTAGGATTAGCCGGGAGACGTCACTTTGGATAGCAATCACATACAATTATTAGAAAATCCCCGTATGTGCCCCGAAAGTTTGGGAGCTTTATAGCTGGAGGAAGCGTATCTTGCGCCTCAAATCTTTTGAAGAGATTCTTGCCGAAGTTGGGCTCAACACTGAGGGTCTGTAGTAAAAACACGCACATTTTGACAATACCGTGATTCGTCGGATCTGTTTTATATTCGTTGGCGTAGAAAAGGCAAATAATTATGAAATCATGAGCTCGATTTGAGTCAACAATGAATGACCGAAAGCGCTTATTGCATTGCAATGCTTCCCAGAACAAGATCATCATTTCAGGCGCCCATTTTACTGATTTTTGACTACCCGGCAAATATGAAGATGTAGCCTGCATCTATAACTTTGTTAGTTTCAACACCTATCGAGATTAAGTCTGTGCACAAACCGGTTGGTTAAGAATTCTCGTCATGCCATCAACAAGAAACTGGAAATCTTGCGGCTGGTGCAATCTGCCAAAAAAGTGTCTATAGAAATTTTTCGGAGGTGCCCCACTCCCCGCTTCCGGGATTGGGTATAAAAGTAAGACAAGCAACAACTGCAGCGAATATATCACAAGTATCTGCTTAGAGTCTTTCCAAACCACATGGTCATAAGGCATTTTCCAAGGAGTTGGGTTGTATTTAAGGGTCTAGAAGGAGTTAATAAATTGTTTTGCAGTCCTAAAGGAATAGGACGTACGGTGTTAAGTAGTGAGCAAAGCACAGATAAGACCAGCTTCTTATCGGGGCAGGTTACTAAGTAGGTTAGGGATTTGACTCCTTTTACTGGGAGAAGATCTAGGTTGCGTTAGCCAAGCAAAATTCGCGATCGGATCGAAATTGAACATACTGGATGACATGTACATTGATTGGCCTGTTAAAGTCAGCAAAAGTCGTAGGATCTCTGTTCTGTTGCTCTCGAACTCTTTGCTTGTCCCCATGGATGTATGACAGCCGATTCCACCCCTCCAGATCGAATACTGAACTTTGCCTTTGGCGCTCGGCAATGGTGGTATAGTGAAGCCAGCGAAGAATAGTAAATCCACCAAATTATCAAGAAGTTCCTCGGCGAGTGGTTTTGCATTTTCGTAGTCTTCATCCCGCGGCTGTGCCTCCTGATCTTCCTCATTACGGGATTCATCAAAGAGAATTCTAGAAGCCAATTGCGCCTGTCGAGTTTTCTTCCTCCTCTGCCCCCAGAAAAACCGTTCCTCCCATTCTTCTAAGTGTTCGGCCTCGTAGATGAAGGGTAGAAGCCGTGAGAGCACCCGAATGCAGTTCAAAGCGTCTCGGGGAGGAGCAAGTTCGGGGTCAGGAAATGAAGGGTGATGTCTGAGGGCGTTCAATCGAGAGGTAATGGCCAACAATAAAGTCTCCAGGTTCTCTACTGCTGTATCTCGTGTCCTTCGGATGTCAACGGGAGCGAATAAGGTAAATACGTCCTCGACGGACTCTGGAAGCTGCCAGAACTAAATAACCACATTAGTTTACGCTTAGAAATGGAAGCCCGTTGGGCTATCATATGTGGACTCTTACGCCAGTCCAATATGGATCATCGGCGGGTATTCGTCGCTCCTCAGAAAGGCGGAAGATGCCCTGCCTGAAGGCAAGCTTGGATTCCGAAGCTCCCATAATTATCGCGCCGGGGCCCTTATTTGGCGGCTATATCATTGACTGGCTTTGGAAGTGGTAATTCTTCATTAAGAGAAAAATTGTGCCGAAAAATGTCTCCGTACAACCTGACCTGCTTTGGGGACTAGTTTGGTAGGTAACTATGTATCTACGGAGTACGAAGGTAAGAAACTAAACTAGCCAAGCAACCCGATAAGCTTATTTTCCAGTCATATCAAACTGCCACATCGTGGATGCTGCGGGTACATTGCGGCGGCAAAATTTACGACATACAATGAAATATAGACATGTATGTCAAAGGTTCAGCAGCGGGATGGCAGGAAAAGAAAGCAGGAACATACTACTGAGTAGGCTAAACCAATTCTTGAATTACTATACATACAATGTTCCTACGCCCATGCGCCTTTATCAGACAAAAATGCCGCCTGCACCATAAGAACCGAATGCAATAATATCAACGTCCAAAAACGCTGCTGCTGGGAGAAACAACGCGGCTTTTCTCATACAACCATTTGTTTGAAAGAACATTAATATTTTTACCTCCTGTCGGACTAGGAGATGGTGGCATACGGAAAACACTCGAATCACGTAACGAGGAGCGCCCGAATGAAGATGATGAGCCAAAGCTATGTCGCCGAATCACGTCCTTATTGCCACCGGCTACCGCTCTCTGGAACAAAGGACTTGGTGACGGTGAGCAGAAAGAGCCTTCGTAAAGCTGGCTGCCAGAGCCACCGGCCCTTCCAGATAAAGGTGAACTCCCAGGCGATAATGGACTTGGCTTCCTTGAACCTGACGACAAGCGATATCTTGGGGGAGTAACGTACGCGGTCCCCGGGCTGCTGGTAACGCTACTACTCGGGTCAAGGCCAAGAAGTGCTCTTTGTGAAGGGGTGAGAGGAATATCTGAAATCTCATCTTTGCGCCGAAAAAGTGGTGATAAGGCAGTTGCGATATTGACGAGAAAAAATAACCGCAGAAAAAATAGAACAACATCGGGATGTATAGAAAAGTTTAGAAAAGAACCGAGTACGATAATGCTGTGGTAGTCAGAACAGGATGCCTTCGAATCGTTCTTTACGGAGCGGGCGCCTTACTAATGCCGCGATACTCTGCCTAGAAACCCCGTGGCTATCAGAGACAGTCCATTCCATGCAATCCTTCGAACATTTCTATCACCAAACCTCGCAGCGTTCTGTCTTTGAATGATCTCTTTAAGCTGGGGATGGCGCCATTTTCCCGGGGACGGCGTGTCGACAGCTTGAATGCTTGAAAATTTTGGAGTTGATGGAAGCAAACGTGAAGCCATTGGAAAATCGAACTTAAGTTGTAGAGGGGCTTGATACCTTGCAGTTCGCTCTATCAGTTAGTTACATTGCAGAAAAACAGTAGGGATTGATTGCTTACCTTTGGTGTGCAGAATACAAAGTCGATAAAAAGGGGATACTTACCTACCTTCCTTAACTGTGCGCAGGCTCGGGAACAACGCGGTCGGCACGTACTATTCCGTACTGCCTCTCCAACACAGGAGAGCTGACATTCAACTGTTTGACTGCTTGTTTTGGCATCAGGACAAGGGCACTTGATACGATGGAGCATCACTGCCAAGGGACATCACATGAGGTGTAGTGTATTAGTCATCACAGTCCAAGCGAACTTAAATTTAGCGGTGATGACAAATACAAGCAGCAAGGGCGGCTGGAGTACAGCTTGGGCGCCTGTGCTCTGTAGCACACTGCACTAACTATTAGCTTAACTACTTATCAACGGTAATGCCCGTTAAAGCAACGAGAATATTGAGCCAATTTTTCGGGAGCGCGGGCCTTACCGACGCTCAGATTTGACACTAGAATCAAGATCTGTCGGTATTTAGTCCAGCAAATCCAAAATGGCCGGAAACGACTCTATTATCACAAAACTCGATGAGCTACTTTCTCAGCTTATTACTGACTGGAACATTTACACAACTTGCCTTGCTACTCTTCTGATTACTTACATAATTTTCATTGCCTTCTGTTCAAAAGAACCTGACGCACACCCTTTTCTAGTCTCGCGACAAGCTACAGAAGCTCCTGTAAGACAACCAGGAGAATCCGCAATCCTTCGAGCTCTGGATGTGCCTCATGGCTACCCCCTCAAAGCTGGTCTCGGTGTGAAAGACCCAGGAGCGCCAGTGTGGTCGCATGGAAGAAATGGCGATTTGCGGGATATCTGGAGAAGTGCTGTCAAAGGGTCTCTGAACAAGGACGGCACACCATCTGGAAAGCGTGGGAAAATATTCACAGTTCTTGGGAAGAGTATCAAAGAGCATGATTTGGATTCTGTTTCCAAAGAAATAAATGTTATTGGCAAATATATCCGTGCTTCAAATGCTCGAAATGTCGCTATCTGCCTATGTGACTCTGTGGAGCTGCTCTCTACTATATTTGGTTAGTTGTAACACTTTAGGATCTGAGAGGGTGAAGCTAATACTGTGACAGCTGGCTCCTTTTATGGAATAAATATTATCCTGATTCCTCATAATCTTCCCGCAGATAAGCTTGCAATATACCTTCAGCAAAGCAAGGCAGAATTCCTCGTTGCCGAAGCGGGCGCTGTGGACATCGATGTCTTATACAAAGCCTGTAAATCATTGGAGAATGTGATTTTGGTTACTAAAGCAGGTAACCAGCATCTTGACTGGAACCAGGCTCCTAATGAGTTCAACAATACATTGAGGGTTGCGGTTTGGAAGGATTTAGTGAAACAGCACGAGTCAATCGGCTCCGAATTACCGTCATCGGATTTTATCACCACAATGCCATCAATATCTACCCTCTGGACCACCCCTACTGGGTTTGGAGTCTTTGTTGAATATACAACTGCGGTAAGTCTATTGTTTGAATATGGCGCCCCTGCCTCTAAATTTTTGCTTAGAACTTGATATCTGCTGTTGCGACACTTGGGAGTTCGTTTCCTCGAAACGAACGGCTGACGGATGCCGATCTTCTTCTCACAATTGACTCTCTGTCGCATACGTATTCGCTTTGTCTTACTCTTGCGGCTCTTTACGCCAATTCCTCTATTGCCCTTAACTCTGTAGCTGGCGAAGTTGTCGATCTAGCACTTGCCACAGCCGGTGTTTCGCCCACAATATTGGTTGCATCTTCACACACCATATCTGATTATCATGCGCAGCGTATGGGTCCGACCATGGGACCCGTCGCCAACCTGGGGAGATATTTCAAGACTCGTATTCTGGATTCTGGCGTTATGACAACTCGTGATTGGCTTTGGCAACTATCAAGCACTGCTCCTACTGCCGAGCTCTCTCTCAACAGGCTTCGAATGTTATTCATCTCTCATCGAGCGGATGGGGACAAAAATAACCAGCTTACCTCCGACCAGTTGACAGACTTAAGAATTTTTACTGGAGCCCGAGTAGTTTATGCACTTACAGCTCAGAATATTGCTGGTGCTGTGTGCCAAACACTTGCATATGATTACAGAAGACATTCTGGATATAGCCATTTCGGACCCCCTGTAAATAGTGTTGAGCTCAAACTAATAGGGTATAAAGAACAGGGCAATAGCGAAAGAGCGACAGAAGGCGAAGTAAGTCCAGATTCTTCAGTTCTGAGAATGCACTGTTTGCTGATTGGCGTACAGATTCATGTTTCTGGCCCTGCTGTTGCTGGTGGGCAGCACTCGACAGGCATCCAGGCTCAGATTCGAAGTGACAACACACTTGCACTGCTGGCCTGAAATATGCCACATCTACGGAGTATTATCGCCTACATTTGGAAGACTTTTGGCCTGTTGTACTTAACTTTGTTAGATATGGTATTTTCTTTTGTCTGCGCGTTTCAAGTTTCGAGAGGCCGTCTATTTCATAGTTGGTAGGTGACGGATTCTAGGGACAAAATGTTCGATTGGTGGGTATAGAAGCAGTACGGTACAGATTTGACGCTCCAGCCCTTTGCAAGCCAATAAACGATTATTTACGATACAATAGCTCAGCCTGCTTCAAACCTGCTGCAGTTGGATTTTCTTTGGCTACAATTTCAACAGCAGCCTCGATTTTTCCTCCAAGCTCACTCATGTATGACCGTAAGGAATTTGACAAGTCGGTATTAGCCTGAATATCTTTCACTTGTAATGCCAAACTGATTCCATGCCATGTCGGAATAATATTGAGAAGTCTGAGGTTGGCTTCATGCCACTTGGATGGAATGTCAAGGTTGCCCAAGCGCCAAGTGCTAATAAGTTTCTCAGCGTATGAGCGAACGCGGCCTTCAACGTCTTTCCCCTCCAGAGTATTGAGAGTATTTGCAGCTTCCAATTCGAGGAGAATGCCTATTATTTCAGGGAGACGCTTGGCGTCTTTGGTCATAGAAGTGGAAGTATGCTCCGGGGCGTCGAGCAATTCTGCTGCTTGGGTGGCTTGTCGTAAGGATGTTTGTACCTCTGGACCCCTGAAACCTGCTTCTCGGGCATTGTACCGAATTGCCAAAAAAAACTGCATCGCTATATCTGCATGGTTAAGTGTAAGGCCAGTTCGCTTCGATTGCTTTGCACACTCAAGTAGAATACTAGCCTGTCCAGCAAACCCGGCCCGACGAATCAACCAAGTCAAACGTCTTCCCACTAACTGTCGCTTTGATATTTTAAGCCCAACTAAAAGCGGTAGAAGGTTGTACCAATCTTCGCGCGTCTTCATCAAAGCTACTACCTCCCTTAATTCAGAGGTCCCAGGGTGTCCAGTCTTTTCGAGAGGTTTAAGATGATATATCTCTTCGCGCCCTCGGCCAATGTTGATGGATATGGGGTTATCTTCTAATTTTTTCGCATATTTGTTCTTATATATTAAGTTTCTATGACGGAGGCCTAGGGACATAGGAATGAAGAAATTTTGGCGGTATTTTTCGAAGAGCCGAGTCAGTTCGGGAGAGCTGGTAGGCGTGAAAGTAGGCACTGGCTCTATTGGAATTGCTCTATAAGCAAAGATCAAAGCAATAGTTTGGTTCCATTCATACCTTTAGTATAGGAACGAGTACTTGAAAACGGTCTCCTCGATCGGGTGATTTTCAGCAAGGGAGAGACCTGTTTAAAGAATGGCGCGAGGCTTCTCGCGCCGCCTTGCGCCATTGTCAGAGGTATGGGGTCGATATTTTGATTTCGTCTCGAGTATCTAAGTATTCCTGTATGTCTGTGGTAGGTATTTCAGGAATTGGCATATTCAGTGCAATTTTCGTGTACTTTCAGCAATATGGTTCAGTCTTGCAAATGAAATTTAGGTATGTTACGCACGGACCACTTTGGAGATACATATGTATCTCAAACCGGAGATTCAACATCACCTCACTGCGCAACAAAACGACAAAATGGCTTCTGCACGATCTGCAATGCGGCCGTTTAACTGCTGGAATTCAATATGCAGAGAATTAGATGTATTCAAATCCCATCGGAGATTCCTTACCACTGCCTACTCGGCGCCAAAACAGCGACTTCCCTTTCCCAAAGGACTCCCCGAACAATTCCACGCGCAGATTCCGAAAGCCTTCAGACCAGGAAAACGTGAGTCATTGAGCCTCCTATTGATAACCCATCGTTTTTAGGATCACCGTCTGCCATAATAGAATATTGTTAACTCACTTCTGAAATCAGCTACAAAAACATTGAAAGTTTTCCAACCTCCGCCCTCTGCTTGCTCTACCTATAAGACTCCAATTGCCTCCTTCACTGCCGACCAACTCGCAATTCTAGATCCAACGGGCCAGCGGAAATCTCTGTTCAATAAAAATAACCGGCAAGGTGCGAAAGTCGGTGACATCCTTCGTGTGACTTTCAAGTCCGGCGACCCCTTTGCTGGCGTGTGTTTAAATATTCGGCGGCGAGGAATAGACACGGCGTTTCTATTAAGAAATAGATTAACTACTGTTGGATGCGAAATGTGGGTTAAACTATATAGCCCACAGGTAAATAGTGTTGAAATAGTTCAGCGCACTGAAAAGAGAAAGAAACGTGCTCGATTAACATATATGAGGTATGAATTTTCCATCTTACTACAGACATTACTTTAGAAATATTTGATTTTTTGCTAATAGTTAAATCGGATATAGGAAACCTAAGCATGATTTTGGAACTGTCGAGCATATTGTTCAGAAATATCTACGTGAGAAAGCGATTCTCAGTGGTGAAGCAGGCCAGAAAAGAGGTAAAAGATAGAGGTTAAGAAAATTGTCTACATAAATCTGTTGATATGTATTAATAGCACTATACTACAATTCTTGTTAATGTGGAGCATATTGATGAGAATAGTTGCATAGCAACAATATATTTACTGCGTAAAATAGATCATGATTTCATGTATAGTTGCTTAAAAAGCACATAAGGTGTAAAGCAAAATGCAATTTCAAGCATCAAAACCAAATGGCACAGTCGAAGACGATCCAACCTTCAAGCCAAGTCTCCCGGCAAATACACTACAACTTCAAGCCCCCCTTTGAATGGTGTAGTCATCGTTTTAAAACCGCTGTCTGGAGCGTTGATATAATCAAAGAATTCCTGGTAGCCTGCCCGTGACATGACAGTGTTGTCGGCAATGATAAGAGCCCCTTGACGTAATTTTGGCTGAACAGCCTTCAAAGCAGGCAGTGCCATTGGTGTCCAAACTACCACTTCAGATTAGAGGGCCAGAGCAAAGAACAGTGGGCAGGGAATAATAACATACTGTCCAGAAGAAGAAGATCAATTTGCTCTGTCTTATTCACCTCTGCAGGAAGGAGATCACGTAAATCACCCTCCAGCAAAGTCACCCAAGGTTCCACTTCATCTCCAGCTTCTTTCCAGTATTCCCTTGCTCTTTTAGCCTTGTGAGGCTCCTTCTCTGTGGCAATCACTTTTCCAGTAAGGCCAGGCACAATTGGGCCACTGATTTGCTTTGCAGCAGCATTCTGTGCTACGGCGAGAGCCAGATAAATAGTTGACACGCCAAAGCTTGTTCCAGCTTCAACGACGTTCAAAGCACCGGTAGTCCTTGCGAGGAGGTATAGAAAGTGGCATTTGTCAGGCTCCAGAGCGATAAATTTATCCCTCATGAAATCATCGTCTTGGGAGCTCCATTTATTCTTGGCGAATCGATCACGAAAAAGTTTAAAGATCCAGAAAACTGTGAGAGAAAAAGAGGATTCTTGGGCCGAGGAAGTAGCGTGGAGCTTTTGCAGAAGGTTAAGAACTCGGGGACTCGCAGAAACTGGGCTAGAAGACATTATTGCGTTCATTTATTAGTAGTGGGCTTGATGAGGCTATCTTTACCTCTAAATCTTGAAATTTAGAATAAAATACCACGCGATATATCCTAACTGGGCCCAAGAAGTCCGCTTTTATAGTAACAATTGTCCACGCGGACAGCGGGTATCGGCTGCTTGAGCTTCAGAAGGGCGCGAGGCTGAGTCATCACTTTACGCCGGACAGAGTAATCCCCATCCGAGCCCGGCTAATTCGGGGCAATCCACGCTTCGAGGTTTCGGCGCAAAATGCCCAATAATCTCGGTTGAAGGGAATGTGTGGTTGGTTGGTTGATGCGGCCCGACTCTAGTTAGGTTCGCCGGGTAATTACGGTGAGCAACGATGAGCTCGTTACCGTATGGAACAGGTACGACACGGCAAGGGGGATGGGCTGGCTTGGATGGATACGCGTGACGTGAAATTCCAGAAATGCGCTAGTACCGTCAAGCAGGCAGAAGATCTGATAATTCTGCTTGGCAGATCAGATAAGGAATGCAACCATGTGATTCGCTAAAGGGCGACATCGGGACGCTTCCCGCGCACGTGATTAATCGCACGATAATCTAATCTGATCCCCCGAGTTTCCCCTCGGAACGTCCACTCTTTGTCTCATTGTTGCTGTTGGACCATTTGCAACCAGTTGCTCAACCACCTGTTGCTGGTTTAGGAGAAGGGACTCAATTTCTGAATATTCTGCTTCTTATGAAATATCTGCCGTTGTTTGCTTTTGGATTGAGCCGTATTCTGGTTACCGGCATTGTCCGATGATCCGCTGAAAGACGACCTGTTCTACACCTGATCCACACAAAGTACCCTTTGCCATTTCTTACTATTCTTTGGGAGCCATGGCATCTGCCTTAACCACTCCTATCGCAGCTCCCCCAGCTTCACCCTTGCCGTTGGCACCCGCGTTGACCTCGCGAGGTCCCGCTCTCTCTGCCAAACCCATTGCCATTGCAGGTTCCCCTGCTCCCTTAACGCAATGTTCTGTGACATCAAAAGAATGGGTCATTCCCCCTCGACCAAAGCCTGGCCGCAAACCAGCAACAGACACGCCACCTACAAAGCGAAAAGCCCAGAATCGCGCTGCCCAAAGGGCCTTTCGAGAAAGGAGGGCAGCGAGAGTCGGGGAGCTAGAGGAACAAATTAAGAAGACCGAGGAAGAAAATGATGAAAAAGAAACTGTGATGAAGGCGCGGATAAATTCACTGTCAAAACAGCTTGAAGACTGTCGTACCGAATTACTATGGTGGAAGAAGCGTTGTCATGAATTGGAAAATGACGTAACTACACAGAAAAATGCTAGACAAGCGGCAGTTGATGAGCTTCAGAGTATAAAGTCGCACAGCAACAAGGGCGCTCTTCCATCAGGCGGGTGTGACCGCTGCTCTTCTACCCGGTGTCGGTGCATTGATGACGCTTTTGGACCTTCGACCGTTTCACTCCGACAAGATGAAGTGTCCGCACCAAAGCGGCCGAAGTCCCCGCAACAAGACATGGCAGACAAGCGCCAGAGGCCAGGGCCGTCGATTAAAGCTGAACCGGAGGAGCTCGAAATTGATTTTACATCCCGATTTGCAGTTCGTCGCCCATCAAGGAACGAAGTCGATGCAGTCTCTCCCACAGCACTCTTCGATCCTTGCGGATTTTGTCAGGATGGTACGCCATGCATATGTGCCGAAATGGCAGCTGACCAATCTGCGGAAAAGGAAAGGCAGCTAGAGACAAATAAACTCGCTCCTATACAAAATATGTCCCAGTTCACACCGCCTCCCTCAGATGGCGATGTTTTCTCCGAGTCACTCCCTTCTCTACCCAACAAAGCAAACCCATGTGCCAACGGCCCAGGTACTTGCGCACAATGTCTGTCTGACCCTAGGAGTACTCTTTTCTGCAAGAGCTTGGCCGCCTCACGGTCTGTCAACGGAGGAGATGGATGTTGCGGGAGTGCAAGTCTCAAGGGCGGCTGCTGCCAGACACGGAGTACATCCCGCAATGCCCCAGGAGATGTTATGCTAACGGATAACCCGCGAACTGCCCCTCCTATTACCCTGAGTTGCGCCGACACTTTTACAACTCTTTCTCGACATCCAAATTTTTCTCGTGCATCTGATGAGCTCAACACATGGCTTCCACGACTTCATACTTTGCCTATTCCACGAGGTCTTTCGTCGTCCGTCAACAATCGCCCTGCGATGGAAGTAGAAGCAGCCAGCGTCATGGGCGTGCTTCGATACTTTGATCGGAGATTCGCTAATTAATGATACCATGTATTAATATTCTTTGGGCTGTTCTTGGTGGCACAATGTGATGAACTTTGGAACTGTGGGAACTCGGGTTATATGGGAGGGTCGCATGTTGATTATGTTAATATAGTTTTTTGTTCTGACAACTTGTTCGAATTATTTTTTTTAGGTGCTAAAAGTGTGAGATTCATGAATTTATACATTGCCAGTCAGTTTTTAGCCTTGAATACCTTACCGCTGTTCACTTTGGAATTCTAGACAATTCCTCCGAACTCTCAGTACAGCCACACGGCTTCTTTCCCAGGTATAACTGAGCAATCCATGTAATACCTGCCAGCAAGCTTATGATAATTAACAAATAATCATATGATTCATTTCTTAGCCTGGAAAGAGCGGAAATTGATTTAATTTGAAATGCTTTTATCTGGTAATCCAAAAGAGGAGATTGAGGAGTTATGCTAGCACAAGAATATCATATATATGTACAGCACCGAAAATCCTAAGATGTCCACCAAGAAAACGAAAAATAGCACAAATCGGGCAACGGGTATCTTGTTATTTATACAACCACTTTAGGTCGGTAAATTCGAGGGTAGAAAATGAAAGTATGTCAACCTAAAAGGCTCCTGAGTTTCCCCTACTACCGGCGCCCATGCCCAAAGCAGCGCTTGATTCCATAAGGGTTTCATCATCTCCAGCACCTAGAAGAGCACCGAGAAACGCAGAACCCCAAATTCCAACAATGCCCCACATTTCAAAACGCCAACTGCGGTAAAGACCCCGAATACCTTGGCCTTTACGGCGCCTACGTAGCCTGCCAGGGGGGTTATCATCTCCCTGCGGGGTTGTTTGCGATAATATTTTTTCAATGGTCTGGGCTGCGTGACTATTGTCTGTTCCTTCTTCATAAATAACGCTCCACATTGTACCGACGATGCCACGATACGTTTGGGGGGTAGGAACAGTTGTATGTATCGTTTCTGAGCCAGCAAACTGTGTGGGAAGCTTGGGAGAAGGTGCACGAGTGATACTCTGCTGTCTTAAAGCGGGGGACGTGAAAGTCGCTATTTGGGCCCGCCTTAGGACGGTCTCCAGTGGTATTCGAATACCTAATTCCAGTGCAGAAGCCATGAGGGTGAAAATACTCCAACTTGACGGGTTGAGAACCGGGTCCAGTGAGAGATAGGATTTCAGAAATAAAGGTGTGCTGTCAAAGAGCAAAGTAGGAAGAGTGGAGGTGATAAGTGTAATAGGGAGTAGGTGAGGTGGAATTAAGTAATTCGGGGCTGGCAGAGCGCGAATGGCACTGAACAGCGAAGTCGGGCCGTGTCCTAAAGGTGATACAATGAGGTAGGTTCTCGCGGTATCAACGGGCGAGAGTATGACCGAAGCGAGTGCAGAAGAAACGCAAGACAAAGTCAAAGCCACAGCAGGAGAGGAAGAGGTTAGAATATCAGATTCGAGAATAGTTGAGAAGCTATCGTCCGGATAGCCAACAATGGCTGAAAGTAGGCCTCGAATGAAGGTGTTCAGGGTTGGGAGCAACAGTGAATATACGAATGTTGCAGTGGAGCCTTTCCAGATGGATGTGGGACCATTCGTTGTCCAAAGCTGTGCAAGGACATCGAAGACGGCAGAAGGATCTTTGATTTTAAGCATGTATGGAGGTCTGGAGGATTGAGGGATGTAACCAGCACGATCAGTTATGCGAGGGGGCGGACGCCGCGTTCGCGATGGGGATGTAGCGTCTGGAGCTGAAGAGGTAAAATAGCTGTCTTCATCATCCGACGAAAATGAGGACTATCCCAGGCATCATGATAATCAGTACTGTATCGACTGCTAGAGCAAACGCCAGGTTCATACCTCCGTATAAGCGGCATCCCGATACCCTTCGCGCTGTGCTCGCCGCTCATTCAGTAGTCTAGCTTCCTCCTCTGCATCTTGAGCGACAAAGACTTGCAAGGTCGTCTTTGCAACTTCGAACGGTTGCGACAACAGAATTCGTGAATATCTCCACAGTGAGTTCTCTAGGATCTGCTTCACGGATTCCGCCGCCGACGGAGACGACTCTCCCAAATAATCAGAGTAATCAAAGTCAGAGAAAATCTCCCGAGCGGAGTTTCCGATGCTTGTTATATTGCCCGAGACAGCAGATGGCGGGCGGTTGGCCGTAAAATGGGCGGCGGAGTCCGTGTTGGGTAGTCCAATCGACGGCGGAATGTAGTATGGGCGGAGGGGATTCGGTTCTTCAGGCAGGGAAGACATTGTGCATAAGAAATGTCTGGTCGGAGAAAAACACTCGCTCAAGAAGCCGTGAAGAGTGCTCTCAGCCAGCAAGCCAGGTAATATGTAGCTCGTTAGTTGGTTGGTCAACGCTAATTAGTTAGTTAACCAGTTGAAGTGAGTATGTAAGAAGTTGATGATTTTCTTTTCGCCGCCAGACAAATTTTGTGCTCCAACGCTTGTGAGCAAGCAATCTCCCAACAGAGACTGGCCTTTGCCGCTCAGCTTATTTCTGCAATTCGCATTGATTATCATTGTGTATCCCAGCCATCCTCCTTGAATTCACACAGCCATGAACCCATGGCGGTTAATATCTCAGCAGCTGCTCCGGCCTACGGCGCGGGTCGAGGGCTACAGCGCAGCAAGCACACCGGGATACTGGAACATCGCTACGTCTTCGCATGGTCGGAGACTCAATACAGCCTCGACGCCACGAAGACTGTCTCGCAGATCACAGAACTCAGCACATTACCAGTCTATATACAAGAACTTTGCCCAACCACGAAGGCGTTTCTCCGCGACCATACCCGCAGCCCACGGCCACCTCGAACCTCCAAAGCCAGGCGAAGAGTAAGCCATTGAAGATCATAAATGTGGGAGGCAAGATGCTTATGCGCCGGGAATGACTAGGCTTCATGTCACTTTCATCGATAAGGATGGCGACAAGCACGATTTTAAAGTATCCAAAGGAGACAATTTGCTGGATATTGCGCAGGCAAATGATCTGGAAATGGAAGGTAAGTTCATTTATACGGCCTATAAGATGGATTATCCTTCTGGGCTTGGGATTTGCTAAAGCTAAGGATTTATAGGGGCCTGCGGAGGGTCGTGTGCCTGCTCTACCTGCCATGTCGTCGTCGAAGATCAAGATTTGTACGACAAAATGCCTGAGCCAGACGATGACGAGAATGATATGCTAGACCTTGCCTTCGGACTGACGGAGACCTCACGGCTTGGATGCCAGGTGAAGATGGAGCCCGAGCTGGACGGATTGGTCGTGCGATTGCCCAGCATGACTCGAAATTTGCAAGCCAGTGACTTTGCGGAGAAGAAATAGCGAGCCTTTGTAAGCTTGGTACCAATTTTGAGATATTTCCATCAATTCACGGCTATTTGCCCCAATCTTGCCGGCCGATAATGAGCTATGAATGTGTACAAAGCCAGGCAACAGTTTGCACTGGCATATGTATTATAGATTTTTAAAAGGATTTCGAAGATACGAGCCCAATAGACGTCCATACCAGCGCTGATCTTCGAACCGCTAGTCTGTCCATTTAAAATCCAGAAAGTGACTTGATATCATGGTCATTATGTATTTTCACGCCTCTTCGATAGCCAGCCGTTCTCCCCCTTTGCCGTTGATGAGCTCCAAGAACCCTTGTTTGCTCACTTCATTAATTTTCTTCTCTCGCTCGTCCATGCCGACGGTTGCTCGTTTGCTTCTCTCTTCTCGAGCAACTTCCTCGCCTCGTACCTGGGCTGCGCGCACAGCATTAAACAACTTAACAACACCCCGTTGCGCAATTTTTCTCAGCCGCTTTTCCTGTTCTGCAGTTTCACCAGCCTCGCCACGTTCGACGCCTAATACGTCTGTCACCCGGCCACGATCCAATTCCTCTTTCTTTTCGGCGCGTAATTTTGCGCGCGCTCGTTTTTCGAGCTTTTCGTTGGCAATATCTGCCGTAGTCTGAGCCGTCGATTTGCTTCGCGAGAGCAGGGGATCTGCGCGGGCAGATGAGGGAAGTTTTGTACCAAGGATCTTAATCATAGATGTAGAAAAGGAGGCGGGATCATTGCGTTTGGAGGTCTGTTTCCGCAGTTTGGTAGTGTAGGTGTGAGAGCCAACCGAGGAAGAGCCAGAATCTGCGGAGGAATCGGATTCGTTCTCGGAATTAGATACATCTGAGTTATCCTTTTCTAAAACTAAATCCGTAGGGTCGTGTTCGGGTTCCTCGATTTCAATGGCGGAGCTTTTGTTTTCATCAGAGTCCTGAGTACCGGGGACAATTGTGACGGGTGGGTCTGGCTCATCTCCGGAAGAGCTGCTGTTGTAATCCAGCTGCTTCTTAAATTTCTTCTTTGGTCGTGAAGCTCTGGGGTTTACGGCATCATCTAGCGCCCGCTTTTTCCGTATTGACGGCGCCATTGTGTATATGTTTTCTCGTGCTACCTGGCCACAGTTCAAAAATTCCTTAACTCCTGGGGTTTGAGTCACGTGCCAACCCAGTAGTTAGTTGGAACATATCTAGGTAGGGACACACCATCTTCACTTATTTCGATTCGTGAAATTCGAGCGCTTTGCCCGTGGTCTTTGGAACACTTGGATTAACCAATATTTTTGGGAAGTATTGCTTTGTCTTTAAGTACATTTTGGTTTTTGGATTTTAACCATGGTCCTCCAAGACCTTGGGCGGCGGATTAACGCCGCTGTGAATGACTTGACCAGGTCGAGCAGTCTAGATGAGAAGGTGCAGCAACATAACTCAGTACCCTTCACAGTATTTTTGCTGATATCTTTAAGGCCTTTGACTCCATGTTAAAAGAAATATGCGCCGCCCTGCTATCTGCCGACGTCAACGTTCGCCTTGTCCAAAACCTTCGAAAATCGATCAAATCGTCCGTTAATTTTTCCTCTATCCCACCAGCAGTTAATAAAAAGCGGTTAATACAAAAGGCTGTTTTCGATCAATTGGTTTCTCTCGTAGACCCCCACAATGAGCCATTCAAGCCCAAAAAAGGACGGTCGAATGTGATCATGTTTGTTGGGCTGCAGGGTGCAGGGAAAACCACAACATGCACGAAGCTGGCGAGGCATTATCAGACCCGAGGGTTCAAGTCAGCGCTGGTTTGCGCAGATACGTTCCGTGCCGGTGCTTTTGACCAATTGAAGCAGAATGCAACGAAAGCCAAGATTCCATACTACGGCAGTTTAACGCAGACGGATCCTGCTATCGTCGCTGCGGAGGGGGTTGACAAGTTTAAGAAGGAGAAATTTGAAATCATCATTGTCGACACCAGTGGTAGGCATAAGCAGGAGGCGGATCTTTTTGCTGAAATGACACAGATTCAAAGTGCTGTTAAGCCAGATCAGACTATTATGGTGCTTGATAGTACCATCGGCCAAGCTGCGGAAGCCCAGTCAGCTGCCTTTAAGGCAACTGCTGATTTTGGCGCTATTATCATAACTAAAACGGATGGACATGCTGCTGGCGGTGGCGCCATTTCTGCAGTCGCCGCTACCCACACTCCTATCATATTTCTAGGTACCGGTGAGCATATGCTGGATTTGGAGCGGTTTGCCCCAAAGCCGTTTATTCAAAAACTATTAGGAATGGGTGATATTGCCAGCCTAGTCGAACATGTCCAAGCCGTGACAAAAGATTCTGCTGGTGCAAAAGAAACTTATAAGCATATCGCGGAAGGGATCTTTACACTTCGGGATTTCCGTGAAAATATCACTTCTATAATGAAAATGGGGCCCCTTTCCAAGATATCCAGTATGATTCCAGGTCTTTCTGGCCTTACTGCAGGCCTAGATGATGAAGATGGTTCTCTCAAACTCCGTCGCATGATTTATATCTTCGACAGCATGACGTCAGCCGAATTAAACGGCGACGGCAAAGTTTTCGTGGAGCAACCAACGCGGATTGTCCGGATCGCCCGTGGCAGTGGCACCACTGTACGAGAAGTGGAAGACCTTCTTTCGCAGCACAAGATGATGGCCGGCATGGCAAAGAAAGTTGGTGGTCAAAAGAAACAAATGCAACGTGCACAGAACATGCTCAAAGGCGGGAACAAAGAGCAACAGATGGCTGCCATGCAAAAAAGGATGGCTGCCATGGGCGGTGCTGGTGGCCCTGGAATGCCTGGGATGCCTGGTATGTCCGGAATGCCCGGTATGGGAGACATGGCAAAAATGATGCAGATGCTACAGGGGGGTGGAGGTGCAGGTGGTGGAATGCCGAACTTTGGTGGCATGGATCTCCAGAGCATGATGAGCCAAATGGGCGGTATGATGGGCGGTGGCGGCGGCGGCAGTGGTGGTGGTGGAAGAGGCCGCCGGTAGAAGCAAATCTAATGATATATTTACGAATTGTGAATGTGGAGCATTTTCTCAGCATACCAAAACAGGCGGCGTTACGGAATGGAGGTTTTATCGTGACACTTCAAGCTTCATATTTTGGATCACGACATCTTTCTTCCTGTTGAACACAATTGTGTTTTCGCTGTGGGCATGTAATATGTACAGCCCCTTTAGATTCCTATTATGTCTAAAATAATATAGCTTTTCAAACTTAACACCTTCCTGCACTCCTAACCAAAGAAATACGGATATTGGAATACAATATGTAAAATAGAAGTCGTATAACCGCCACCGTCTACCGCCCGATTTTAATCATCTCATCCCAACACGTTTCAATGACTCGCCAGACCATCCCCAATTTTTCACGGGCATGTAATGTCCACCCCTCAAACCGGCTGGCCCAGCTGTCCACAATATCCATTTCTAATTCCCCAGGTGGTAAAGGACGACGTTTTTTGACCAACGGTGTCACAAGGCTATATCTCCAGACTTCTTTGCCATCAACATACAAGGAATAATTCATGCGCGAAACTTCTTCGCCGTTGACCTTATCAGTGGCAATACTAATGGAGCCAAACTTAGAATTTCCATCCGGTACATATTTTATTGCGATATCTTCGATATCTTCTTGGCTATATGTCCTGACTGGAAGATAAAACTGGCTGAGTGGACCAGCACAAAACTCATGGATACCCGTTCCAGGGCCAGAAAATGACTCCGGAGTTGAAGTAGAGGCAAGGATAGGGTCTGGAAACCGCGTTGCAGCGAACTCGTGCCTATCTCCGCTTAACAGAACGACCCGCACACCCAGATCGCGTTCGGCCCTCCACATAGCGCTTAAAAGCTCGTGTCTTTCATTAAGAAAGCCACCCCATGTGTCTGGCGTCCCAATATGCCAGTTCTTGGTGAATGGGACGCTGCTAGTAATGAATTTCCACTTGACGCCCTCCGGTTCGGGATATAATATATATTCCAAGAGCGATTGTAGCTGGGCTGAACCTAGCATTGTTGAATTTTCATTCAGTGGACGTGAACGATAGGTCCTTGTATCCAGGAGGAAGAACGAAGCAGGCCCATGAGTAAATGAAAAATATGTAGTGTTTGACGCAATAGCATGAGGGTTCCTTGGGATTGGAGGATTGACGCTGACATGGTAATGTAAATACGGATCAGCGGCAGCCGGGTAGGGAGCGGTAATGTTTCCAGAAGCCCAATCATTGGCAATCTCATGGTCGTCAAGAGTATGAATCCATGGGATATTTGCAGGAGAATCGGGAGAAACATGCCAACTTGGTGACGAGTAAACTCTGCGATATTCATCTCTGTAATGTTTCACCGATGATCCAAACCGCCATGGCACGTCAATGTAAATAAAATCGCCTAAAAACAACATGAAGGCGGGACGAAGAGATGAGCCCAATTTCTCTAATGTAGACGTGAGAATGTCGACCCCATGGATTCGAAAAGGATGAGAAAACGGGCGGTAGGGAAAATTGGGCTTGATACAACTCGATGATATAAATCTCAGTTGTTTTGAGCCCGGAGAGCCGGGTTGCGGTGCCGTGTAAAACACGCCCGATTGATTGTTAGACAATGAATATCGGTATTTCGTTGAAGGTTTTAGGCCAGAAATTGAAATTGGGGACGTATAATCAGAAGTATCATCGAGAGAATACAGGGTACCTGCTTTCATAGGGCGTCCATCCCCAAGGCCGTCGATTTCCTGGTATGAAACGCGGATGGGGAGGTTTTTGTTGGGCTCTCGGACGAAAATTCGTGCCGACGTTGAGGAAACATGACCAACCCGAGAGAATGAAAGATTTTCAGTTGGATATAATATCAGACCCCTGAAGACAAAGTCAAGTGAGAATAGAGCTAGGCAAATGTTTACTCCAATCGTGGCCAGGCTAGCAGGTACTGAGGAAGTTGTCGGCAGACCCGTTAGGAGTGATTTAAATGCTGAAATACGTTCAGTATCTTGGCTGGAAACACGTTGGGTAGGGAGTGTGGTCGTCGCGTCTCCTTTTCCTTTGCTGCCTAGCCCTTTTTTTTCTTTCGGCTTTTCACTCGTTTTGGGCTTGGTTCCAGCGCCGGCATTAAGGTTGCGTTTCCTTCCAAGTCCCCATATCGAGGCTAGGTAAATCAATAGGCAAGATATTACTATCGGTGCAAATGGATGTCCCGGGATCTCGTACTGAATGTCAGTTCTTGAAACGAGGCTGAAGGTATACAATCGCGTTTTGCTTACCCAGCGAAGAAAGACATAGCTCAGAATCCGGAGGATCGTCGAACTGAAAATTGCTATAGATCTTCGGTACGACAACATCCCTTGCTCGGCGACACCTTTGCTCTTACGGAGGCTCGAGATAGCGAAACAAAAGGCTGATTGATGTGTCGCGATGACGACATGGGCCCAGCGATGCAAACAAGTCAAACTGATTCAACACCACGTCACCGAAAAATGAAATTGACACCTGGATCTTGGAACTCCGTAGTACATATGTGCTCTACATACCCGACTACTAGTGATAGAACGGCGGTTACTGAACATATTCTCGCTTTAAATGGGCTACAACATGGTTATAGTTGCTATCAGCGTAAAGCTGAGCTTGGATATTGCAGGGCCACCGCAGCCTCAAGAAGCTTCCCCATCCCCATTATCATGGACATCGATGCCGCCCACTGCCATGGTGTTTTGGTTTCTCCCGGCATCGCGTTGAAGTACTCCCATCCTGATACACCGCCGAAAGTAGGATATCTCCTTATCACCTCCGTCAAGACAGCACTCAAAGTTTCAACTGGAACGTAGCCCTTGGAACCATTCGTTGGGTTGGTCAAGAGGCCTATAATAACCCTTTCTGGCTTCCAGCCATGATGTATTATCGTGTCATAAACGATTGGATGTACCATATGACCCCAGCCATTGTAGAATTGAACGTTATACCATGATATCTTGGATCCTCGAGCGATCTCCAGTTCTCGGTAGTCGAATCCAGAGAGATGCTTCATTCCGGGCACAAGAGCAGTTGCAACAGGAGCCAAAGTAATAATAAAATCATCGCCAAAATCAAGTTTGAGACGATCAATTAACCTGATGATCCCATTCAGAGACATTTCCTCCTCTACGTCAAGATCCAGCCCGTCAAATTTACGGGCTTGAATTAGATCACGCAGCGGGCGATAGTACGCCTCAAAGTCGGCCGCACTGCCATCAAGTTTCACATAGCTCCCCGGAGCCGCGCCGCCCAACATTCCCATCACCTTCACGCCGCTGGACTGCATGACTCGCATCTCGGCCCACAATGGCACATACCTGGTATCATCTGGGAAATGATCATTGAGTGTGATATGGCCCGGTTCGTCATTTATGTGGATTGCGGCCAGAATGATGTGCGAGACAACGCAGTTATTCGTCAAAAGCGGCAGAAGGGAAACATAAAGCGATCCGTTGCTGGGGTAATACGTTTGAAAGTAGCAGACCACGCGGGGGTTTGTGAGCGGTTCAGGGCAGCGTTCTGGTATGGGAGGCATTTGAAAATCGGTATTCCGGAGCGGTTTCTTGATCGCTCTCAATGCGGAATTTGTTGTTCAAGGTACGGAGTACGGAGTACCGTACCTACAGAGCAAGCTGGAGGAAGTTGAATAGCTCTTTCAAGTGAGAGCTAAGTAACTAACTAAGTACCTAGTTAATTACTAGTTAAGGAACCCTGCCTTGGCGCATATTGATGTGATGAATAACCACTCTGTGCTCCGACCTCGACTACACGAAGGGTGAGAATTGCAGTGTGTTTCGTGAGTGATTTCATACCAAATTGGTTGGACGCAAAAGAGGCATGGAAAGGTGTGATGAACAATGCAAAATGACCCCTTCTTGCGCCCAAACTATGTACTGAATCCCAACCCTGCCCTGGAAAACCTAAAAGCTTTATAACAATAGTGTTATACAAATTCACATCACTTTACACAAAAATACTAGCCCCAGCTTCCAGTTTGGAAGGTTGGCTAGACATACTCTCATTTTATTCATTTTCACTTTCAAAGCTGCATGAAAATTTTCTTTGCCATATGTGTAATAATGTTGCTGTCATTCCGATTTCATGGCGAGATTCCTTCTCAATTGAAGAGTGCCGGCTTTAGGAGGAAATGTATACGGGCAAACTAAGGCCTCTATTCGCTACCATGCTTCCGATACCTGTGATAAGAAGTATGGAGCCATTGCCGATTGAGACATATCATCTACCTGACAGTAGCTTGAGCAGCCATGAAGGCAGATATAGTCGACGTCATCATACTCGTCACGTCCTATGCCATGCAGACAATGGTTTCAGGAGCTGTTGTACTCTTGCAGCAACAAAAAGCCCATACACCTGGGCTGCGGCACAGTGATGCATTTCATGGCAATGTTAGGCTGTTTTGATGTAGGTAATGGAGGCTACCTATTTGCACTTTTTCCACAAGCTCAGAGTTTTGCCACTGGGATGCTGTGAATACCAAATCCGTTCATCGTTTAACAGGAAGTAATGGTATTATACATCAAAAACAAAGTCTCTCGGGCAGTGTATATTTCATTTTCGCAGGGATTGAATCTGAGGGTCCACGAGGCATTGAATAAATAGTTCAGATTCATATGATTTACATAGAATGATCCCATACTATTTCATCTTGGTTAACATCGCACGATTTTGTAAAAAGCATGTATTGTCGACAGTGAAACCTGGGGAAAGAACTTTTGGGGGAACGGAGCGTATCCGGATAATATATATTCCGTACTGGTCAATCTATCGTATTATATATTATCCGAGTTCCAGTCTGACCAAGCTAGCCCAAATTGGATATTTGTAAACAAGACCTTTTCGCGTATACCATCAAACGCCTCACGTCGACTCGGAGGATACAGAAGTGCTTGATGAGAACTCCGAGAGTTGGGCACGCTTCTAGAATCAATTTTATTTTGTTCTTGCTGGTGTTAGCTTGAAATACGACGTTATGGCGAACAGAGCAAGCTCACCGTTCCCAACGTCCCACGATACGTTGGGAATGTCGTCAATTCATACACCCATGTTTTTAACATCTTCGCCTCCAAGGATGATGAGCCCAAATCAATCCGTACTACCAAATGGTAGATTTACTCCACACTCATCAAGGGTCTCCGGGCCGCCTCGAAGAGAACAATCGGCCAAAAGGCGCTCATCGGGCCCTTCCCATTCTGACACTGGAAGCGATTCCGAGGCACACCTTTCGGACTATACATTTGATTTAGATAAACTTCCTACCACTACGCGGATACGAGAGAAAACTGCGAAAGCCGATGAAGCCCAGGATAACGACAATTTGTCGGAGCCTGGGGGCCCGCAGGATTTTACATTGAACATGGTGGACTTGTTGCGAGGTCCAAATATACAGAATGAATCAAATGGCGAGCAACAGGAATGCAAAGAGGATGATCTAGATGATGGCCCTACCCGTGCAGCTCACGATGAGCTTAGCGAGATAGAACCTCCGCTGGATATGTCTACACCAGCACACATTCTTTCTCGGACAACTGACTTGCTCAGTCATGAGAATGAACAAGAAAAAAGTGAACTTGTCGGAGAAATCGAACAACTCCGAATAGACTTAAGAAAAAAGGATGAGATAATTGATGCCAATCAGCGCAGAGTACTTGACGCGGCTTCGATCGTGCAACAGGTCCGCCAACTTCAGGCTGAGCTTCAGAAACAAAATGAAAGACAAATATCCGAGACAGCATCTAAAGATCAACGTATTCAGGCATTAGAAGAGCAGCTTCAAACAAAAGACCTGCAATTAAAACAACCCCAAAGTAAATCAGTGGTGCGAGAGGGTCAACAGGACAAGGAACTCAAAGATGAAACCCAAGATACAGAACTTCGCTCTCTTCGCGAACAAGTAGAGGCAAAAAATCAACTTTTACAGCAGGCCAAAGCGAAGTTTGATGAAGCTGCTGTTTCTTATCAATTTCAGCTTTCCCAAAAGGTTGCAGAAAACGATCGCTTAAGATCTGAACAGCATGACAACAACCGAGAATTGGACAAATTAGACTCCGATATCGAATCATTGGAACATGAGCGCGACACTCTCCAAAAAGAGCTTCTTGACCTTGATAAAACTGTGGCCCACCTGACATCACAGGTGGCAAGACTACAGAACGACGTTTCAACTGCAAAAGCAGAGTCTTCATCCAAATCCAATGCGCTGGAGAAAATGGCAGAACGAATGTCGCTTGATTTCAGTGGGAAATCGTTTGGCCAGATCCTAGAATTGCTCAATCAGACTTATCAGCAGGATTGTAACCAAGCGCGAAAAGCATACGAAGGCATCTCCCATGAAAAGCAATTAGCAGAGATTCGAGTCCAGCTGCAAGAGAGTACGTCATTGTGCCGGACCCTGTCCCATCAATTAGAGTCGACTCAGGAGGATTTATCAGAATCGCAATCGGCGCTTTCGGTGCAACAGGAGGAAAATTCCCGTTTGTCATCTCAACTAAAGACAATGAGCTCCGACCAAATAGAATTACGTCAGGCACTTGAGAAAATGACCCAGGACCGTGATGAAGCGATCCGTATGGCTGACAAGCGGCATGATCGGAGCGTGGCCCAGCAACTTCCCAGCCCATCGCCATCACCTCCACCTACACATAGCAATCCGGCGCATCTAGAGATGCTCAGGCGATCACATCAGCAAGAAGTTGACCGCCTAGAGAACTCTCACTCGACAGAGCTTTCAACCCTAAGAAATATGCATGCGGAATCAACGCGTAAATTACACACAATCCTTCGAGCGGCACAGGAACATGAAAGCGAGATACAATCGGAGCTCACTGAACTCCGAAAACTGTTGGCTTCCAAATCAAAGGAACTATCAGCCATGGCGGCAGAGAATGAGCGACTCGAGTCAGTTATTGAAGCAAAAGACACGGCTGCTACAGCGCTGGACGCGAAATTTGCCAGTGTTCTGGAGAAGCGAGAAGAGATATGGGAAACACGCCTAGAAAAACTGCTGCGTGATAGGGAGCGGATGGGCAAAGCGTTGCTGTGGACATGGGGCGAGAGAGAAGTCGGCCAACAGGGACGGGCCGGCACCCAAGGGTACCAGTACAAGTATGCTAAGCGGCCTGAGAGCTCAACTAGTTGAGGCCCAGATGTAATCACTTCATTCCATCGATGGCTTTGTGCAACCAACTCGTAGCATCGTAGCCTCCCTAACACGCTAACTAAGTAAGCGGGGACTTTGCCTCGGCTCCCGGAAAGCTTGCCTTGGGGGTTGGGCTCGTCGATTCTCACGGCCATGGTGTCATGGCAGCCGTCTAACGGCGTTTTTCGAATGCCTTCATTTCGTATTTACATATTACGCAGGGTCCCACGTTGATGCGAAGGTTTTCCATCTTTCACCCCTTGAGACGCACAAGGATGGCTGCTCGTCCCCTGCCACTCCAGGGTGTCCGCGCTGTTGAGCTTGCAGGACTAGCTCCAGGTAAGCATTGCGACACCACTGGCCGTGAGCCTATGTAGTTAACGCCTCGGATAGGACCCTTTGCTGGCCTCTTGCTTGCGGACTACGGAGCGAGCGTCTTGCGAGTCGACAGACCTCACCCAAATTCGCACTCGGCTTCCGGTCCTCTGCCGCCCTCGACCGTCGACACCCTAACTCGTCACAAATCCTCTGTGAGTCTCGATCTCAAAGCGCCGGCGTCAAGGGAGATATTGCTATCCTTGATTCGCAATGCCGACGTGTTGATCGATCCTTTCCGCCCAGGTGTATTGGAGAAGCTGGGCCTCTGCCCCTCGACAGTTTTGCTACAAGAAAATCCGCGTTTGATAGTCGCTCGCATGACCGGCTTCCGTCGCGATGGGAAATACAAGGACATGGCCGGACATGATATCAACTATATAGCCGTATCTGGCGTTCTCAGCATGCTAGGACGCTCGGGGGAGGCCCCATACCCCCCAGGAAACATCCTGGGCGACTTTGGAGGAGGAGGAGCTGTCTGTTTTCTGGGCATTCTGCTGGCACTTCTGTCGCGCCAAAGCACAGGAAGAGGCCAGGTGGTGAACGCAAATATGGTCGATGGCTCGTCGTACCTTGCAACTATGCCACGCCTGTCTCGCAAAACTCCAATGTGGAATAACCCGCGCGGGACCAACTTCCTGGATGGGGGATGCCCGTACTATGCGACGTACGAGACGAAAGATGCCGGGAATTATTTTGCCATTGGCCCCCTGGAGCCACAATTCTTCCAGGAGCTCTTGCGTGGCTTGCAACTCTCGCCTTCGGATATATTCCAGCCCGAATCGAGCCAGGTGCGCGAGGATTCCAGTACGTGGCCATATATGCGAAGCGTCTTTGAGAAGAGATTCAAGGAGAAAACGAGAAAGGAGTGGGAGGCCATCTTCGACGGAACAGACGCCTGTGCAACACCTGTCTTAACTATGGATGAATTGGAAGGCGAAGGATACGACCAGCGCCTAGCGGTCGATCTGTCCGATACTCCAGGCTTGGAATTCTCGCCTCAAGATGGTGGGTGGTCCGCAGACGGTCTAAGCCCGGGCGCAGGAGGGGAGGAAACGCTCAACCGATGGCTAGGTTGGGAACGAGGAAAGCATTATCAGGTGAAGAATGGGGCTTTGGTAAGGGTTGCGGAGCCCAAATTGTAGAACATTACTATCTCACGGATTCCAATCGCCCTGTTTTCCAGCGTATTTGTTCGCGAGGCAAAACTCAACTGCCCACCGGCACAGCTGAAGCTCAAATCAACGACTTCGCAAGAGATCCCTCTTTGTATTTGTTAATTTCATAGGTACATACATACATACATACCTGCCTACCCACACATTGTTATGCAGCTGTAATTTGGAAGGCATGACTTCTAGACTGCCCTTTCTTTATATTGATCGCAGTTTCCTGTTCCGGATGAGGAAACAACTTGATAGGGAAGGGGCAATCTAGCCCAGCGTGCCTTCCAGTTCAGACAGATTTCATTGGGGAAGGAGCGATCCGCCCCTAGCACCTTCCTATCTTAGAAAAGTAAGGAGCTCTTTAGGGAAAGAGCAACCCAGTCTACCCATCGTGCTTTCCATTCTCAGAAATAATCTAATGGGGAAAGAGCGGCCTGGTCCACCGTCCTTTCCTATCCTGAAAGAGGAAAATGCCTGATATGGAAGGTGTGACCTAGTCCCTTGCGCTTTCCTATTCCAGAATAGGAAAGAAAGATTCTAAAAGAGAAGGCGCAACTCACCAGTGATGCCTTCCATTCTCAGAATCAGTCTGATATGGAAAGTGCAACCTAACCTGTTCCTTCCTATTATGGAATAAGGAAAGAAAGATTCTAAAAGAGAAGGTGCAACTCACCAGTGATGCCTTCCATTCTCAGAATTTGTCTGATATGGAAAGAGTGATCCAGTCCCCCGCGCTTTCCTATTACAGAATAGGCAGGATGCGAAGAGGGAAGGTGCGACTCACCAGTTGTGCCTTCCATTCTCAGAAACAGGGTGATATGCAAAGGGCAATTTGTTTCTCGCTTCTTTCTATTATGAAACAAAAATGAACATAATAGAAAAGAAGCAATTGATTTATTGTCTCTTTCTGTAATGAAATAGAAATATATCAAATCAAGAAGAACTACTCTAGCCTATCCCGCTTTTTTTTTAAAAAAAAAATATGGAGAAAGAAAAAAGCAACAAAATTGAGAAATAAATCAAAATATGGAGGATAGCATGAAGTAGAGAAGAATTTAATTGGGAAAGGGCGATCCGCCTATCGTCCCTTCCTGTTATAGAACAGGAAAGAACAGCCTAGCCCATTGAGCCTTCCGATTTTTTAGGAGTAGAAAAAAAAGAAAGAGCGATGGGGCATATCGCCCCTTCTTAACCTGTAGTAACTCGCGCATTCTAGCATCTCAAGAGTGGCCAGCGGATTCCTTCTTGACAGTCTCTCTTATCTTCCACGGCGCTCGACTTCTTCCTAAAGGGCAGCAGTATCTGCATCATCGTCTGCGGAACATTGCCAACACCTCTGGTATAAGGATATCGTTCAAGCTAAGTAAAGAGGCCTACGGCCCTCTACCCCTCTACATATACTGCGCCTGTTGAGTGACTGTCTAGGCCGCACGATCTTCTCCACTTACACAACACTACATGCAAGGCATGGAAGTAGTATGTTAGAGTAATCCGAGCGGCTAGAATCTGAACACTGATACACCAGAAACCATACGCCGGAGCAAATAGTCATAGGCAACCTCCTTTCAGATAACTAGTGGCATTCTGCCCGTTACTCAAAGTGCAATGACCCTTCTCCTCTTCTAGGCCGTCCTGCCTGAGGGTATCGTTGGGCTGCACACTTGCAAGCTGGCGTACGCCGGTCCTGAGACTGGAAAAAGACAGGAGGGTGTGTTGAAACGAGTGAGAGGGCTTGTAGCCAGGATTCCATGCATGCAATGATGCAGTCTGGTCAGCGGATTATTACTGGGCTGGAAACACTTGTTTCGACGAGGGGTGCTCTTAAATGCTCGGCGTTGCTTGGGATGTCTTGGACTGGTGAAGCGACTCGGCTGAATGACGATCGTGGGGCGGCAGGCAGCTTGAGTGGTCTGTATGCTGGCCAAGAGAGAGACATCCTAGCCTCAGCTTCTGGGCAGGAGGGCTGGTCGACCAGGTTGACACTGGACGTGCCTCCGAATCTACCAATGCCTTGCGTGTGCACTGTGAAGGTATTCGTATGAATATACGGTGGCATTGCTCAGCCAGAGTGTTGATGGCATCCTACCACTCTATCTAACCTTGTCATTAACCATACTCTATCCATACTTGACACTGATATAGCAGCTTAGATGCGACACATCTACACTATCACAGCCGCTCTTTTGCAGCTGACTGGACGCGGCGACGCCCAGAGCTCGTGCACCGTGAGCCTACAGCCATCGTCGACGCCGGTGGCCGCGGACGGATACAGCGTGCGGGTGATCGGACAGGGGCTACGACGGCCGCGGTCACTGCTGTTCGACTCGGCGGGCAACCTGCTGGTGGTGCAGTCATCGACGCAGATATCCAACCTCCGTCTCAACGACCACGGCGGCACGTGCCTGGAGGTCGGCGACAGTGTCAGCGTGATCGACCACCCGGTCACGTCGGGACTGAATCACGGCATCGCGCTGTCGCCGGATGGACGGCGACTGTACGCGTCGGATCGCAGCCGCGTCTACGCCTGGGACTACGATGCCGCCGGACGACGTGTGCGGTCCAACGAACCGGAGGTTGTGGTGCGTGGGCTGGGCAACCCGGGCCACTCGACGCGGACGCTGCACTACTCGGCGGATGGAGGCGGATATCTGGTGGTGGTGCGCGGCAGCGCGGGCAACGTGGACCTGGAGTGCGGCGACGAGGCGACGGGACACTGCCAGATGAAGGCTTTCAGCATGCAGAACGTGCCGATGGGCGGCTACGAGTTCACGCGCGATGGCATCCGGCTGGGCTGGGGCCTGCGCAACTCGGTGGGTATCGCAGAGCATCCAGGCTCGCATGGCATCTGGACGGTGGAAAACACGATCGACAATATCCGGCGCGACGGGCGCGACATCCACGCAGACAACCCGGGCGAGGAGCTGAACTTCCACGGGCGCATCAACGATACGCGCGGGCTCAATTATGGGTATCCGTTCTGCAGCGCGGCGTGGGAGGTGCGTGATATCCCCAACAACGACGGCCTGCGGGTGGGCAGCGAGTTTGCGCACGATATTGGGAGAGACAGCAAGACGGACGAGTTCTGCGCGCGGGCAGAGGCGCCGCGGCTGACGTTTGGGCCGCACACAGCGCCACTGGACATCAAGTTCAACGGCACGGACGAGGCGTTTGTGTCGTTCCACGGCAGCTGGTGGGTAATTAACTAATCGAATTAAGCGTATTTTCATGCTGACAGGCCGGCTAGGAACCGCGACGTGCCCATCGGCTACCGTATCGCGCGCATCCCATTCCGCAACGGCGAGCCTGAGGCGACGCGCACGGACGCCCAGGCAGCCATCAGCGTGGTGAGCAACGCGGACCTGGGGCGCTGTCCGGGCGCGTGCTTCCGACCAGTGGGCATGGCGCTGGACGGTCAGGGGCGGCTGTTCTTCGTGTCGGACTCGACGGGCGAGTTGTACGTCGTACGGCGAGAGGCTGCCACGGCGCCGCCGCGGCCATCGACGTCGCCATCACCGCAGCCCTCCGGAGCCGCGTCGCTGCGTACGGGGCGGGCGGGCAGCATGTCGGCGGCGCTGGCGCTGTGGCTGCTGGTCAGCCTATAGGGAGAAGCGAGGTAGTTAGTTGTGGTTACGAGACACGTCATTAGGCTAGGCCGCCTGTAGAGAGATAAATAGAGGGCTACTCCGTACTCCGTACGTCTGGACCGTTATATCATCTTGAAGAATATCGTGAAGTTGCCCCCAAAGAGACTCGCGACAGCGAAAGCGTGGACGCATGGACGGCTAAAAGGCTTGGCAGGGTCACGGGTAACTAACTAGCGGGTTAACCCAAACAGGCAGGGCTGACAGTCTCTCCACCACCGTACCACCTCGCATCGCATCGCGTTCTCGTCTCTCTCCCCTCTCCCGATGGCCGACCTCGCCCACCCGCCGCGTAAACCGCTGCCTACGCGGCCGGCGATGTTTGCGCCGCCGTCCCGCCAACCGTCGAACGCCACGGTGTCGTCGTCGACGCTGGCCGCTACCATCTCGCGCAGCTCGTCCGCCCGCACGGCCACGACCATGGTTGGGCCGCCGCCGCCGGGTTACGTCGCGCGCATGCGGCGTCAGAAGGCCACAGTATGGTGCGACCGCGCGCAGGCCGAAGACCCGCGCGAGGCGCATGCCCGCCGCGTCGCAAAACAGCGCGCCCTGCTGGAGGTGCAGGCCCGCGGCCCGACGGGCGGCCACAGCACGGGCGGCGGGCGCTCCAGCACGCTCGCCAGCACCGGCAAGATCCGCCACAGCTCGGCCTCCAAACCCACTGCCTTCACCACCGGCACCATGGTGGGCGCCGCCGTGCCGCTGCGCCTGAGCGCCAACGAGATCGGGTCCGCCGAGGACGACACCGACCTCAATTCTACCAGCACGCCCGGCGACGGGCTGCATCGCCGCACGGGCAGCGGCCGCAGTTCCGCCGGCAGCGCCCGCCTTTCTCGCCCCGCCCCGCCGCCCGCCCTCGAGCCCGCCCTTGAGCCCGCCGATGAGCCCCTCCGCTCCGCCGCCCCAGCCCCACTCCCCGCCCCCGCTGCCCGCCCCGCCAGCGCCCACTCCACCCACAGCCATCTGGAGGACGACTTCGGCATGATCACCGATATGGCCGCCCCCAGCGGTGCCGCTGCCGCTGCTCAGCGACACAAGGCTGCCGACGAGCTGAGACGCCGCGGCAGCGTCGACGACCGCACCAGCTCCATGGCCAGCGTCCGGCTCTTCGTCGCCAACCCGGACCTCAGCGACTGATCTATATCCCCCTTGTCCTTACGGGCCCGTATCATCTCCGCAACCTCGACGTCTGCAGCTTGCAGTCTACAGCCATTCTCGACCTCTACGCCTTTCATGTCTTCCCTACTGCTCGTTTTTTACGGCTTCATTACGAATGATGTGCCCTTGCACTGACTGCACGCCCCATTTCTTCATGTACTCTAGCTCTTGTTATATCGCCCGTCTCTTATCTTCTCTTCTGCCGCTGCACATTCTGTATCAGCCCTCCTCCCGGCACTGCTCCATTAGATACGCCCTCCCTTTCTCGTATATCATGTTTTTGCTGCCATTGGAGGACACGGCTACTTTTTCATGGCTTTCTACCGCTATAGTTCTAGGGCCTCTATTTTTTATAATAATATGAGATATTCCATTGTAGTCTATACTTTGTCGCTCTCGTCAACGTGAACTTAAATGGAGACGCGCCAAGCTGCTGCACGCGTCGAGCCGCTCAAGCCCGTCAAGCATTCGATCGTCGTTGGGTGTCAACGAGCTCTCGCCAGCGTTTGCCCCCTCCACCACCCGCCAGACCTGCTCCCGTTCGATGCTGCAAGGCCTGTTACTGCTGGCATTCACCGCTCGTTATTTACATAGTTTCTCGCCAGATGGCAGTTTTGTTCTTGGCGCCTGTTGGACCGTGATCAGACTCCCTTTCGACACCACACGCCCTTCTTTGTCTTCTATTTTTTTCCATATTGTTTTGGGAGCACCCCTTGGACAATGGAAGTCGAGGCCCAGCAAGAGATCTCCGATAAGTCGCATTGCGTTCGACCGCCGTCGCCTAGAAAAAGATCGTTCGATGAAGCGAACGGCTCTGATCTGGCCCACAATACCCTGCCTGTCACTGCTGGCGTAACCAGCTCTATCACCTCCTCGGCTTGTCACATAGAAAGCAATCGCCAAAAAGCTGAATATGCTAGTGCCAGCATGGCTCCGCAATGCGTGACGCAGACCAATACGCCAGCCCCTACGGCCGAGCTTCCTATCCTACCCCCGCATGAAGCTGATGCCTCGCTACCCTCCACCCAAAACGTAAACACCCAGTCAAATACTGCCCCCACACCTGCGCCAACGAACGTCCCCAATAAAAAACGGAAACTGACTGCTGCTGAGAAAGAATTGAAAATACAAGAAAAGGAAGAAGCACGGAAGGCATTGGAGGAGGAAAAGAAGAAAAGGGAGGAGGAGAAGGAAGAAGAGAAGCGGAAACGTGAGGAACTAAAGAAAAAGAAGGAGGAGGAAAAGGAGGAAGAGAGAAAGAAGCGAGAAGAGGAGAAGAGGAAGAGGGAGGAGAAGAAGAAGCAGAAGGAAGAAGAACGCTTGGCCCGTGAGGAAGAGAAGAAAAAGAAGGAGAGGGTATGTTACTTTGCTTTTCTCGCTGTATTGACTCGCGATATTGGTTTACTTACTCTTGCCAGTCTCAAATGCGACTGAATGCCTTCTTCGCAAAACCTCCGATACCTAATTCTTCAAAAACTCCCTCCGGCCCTGGTGCTCCCTCTCAAACTGCTTCCCACCGCAACCCCGAAACTGGTGTTTCCAGCGACTCCAATACCCCAAAGACTTTATCAGATTTCGAAAACGAATTCCCTCCATTTTTCATCCAATCTCACGTAACATTTGCTAGCACCCATCGCTTCCAGCGAGACCCGGAAGCAATACAGCATGCATATGAGAAGATAGATACCCGGCTAAAAAACGAGGGCAATCAAGAGGATAATGTTATGGCATTCAAGCCTTCCGAGTTATTCAAGATGATACCATACTCGCGCCGCTACCGCAGAACAAATCTCCCGACGGTTAGGGAGATTGTTGCCCGGATCCAGGATGCAGACACCAATCCAGACGCTGTTATAGATCTGACTAGGGACGACTACTCGGCGTCAAAATCGTTTCAGGCCCAAGATCTACTTAAGAATATTCCCATGAAAATCCTACAATTTAGGGAAGATGTGCGGCCACCGTACCGGGGAACGTTCTCGAAACGGCTTCCACGCAACAGCGCCTACAAGCTCTGCCGCAACCCCTTTTCCAGGATCCTTCCCGACTGTGACTATGACTACGACTCCGAGGCGGAATGGGAGGAGCCGGAAGAAGGAGAAGATCTGAACTCGGAGGGCGAAGAGGATGTCAGTGACGATGACGAGGAAGACATGGCTGATTTCCTGGACGATGGGGAGGATGAGCTGGGGAAGAGGAAAATGATAGTGGGTAACCTGGAGCCTATCTGCACAGGGCTGTGCTGGGCTAGTGAGGGTGCTACGAGTGAGCTTCTTAAATCACACAGGATGGAGATATTGTCAGGTACGTCGTGCTTTTCGTCTCATTTTTTCTCTATGTCTCTTACGTGTGTTGCTGACCAAAATTCGGCTAGAAACGTTCTCGTTCCCAATCGACCCATTCTCCGACATATACTGGAAGAAAACAACGACAGCTCTCCCGAAAGATCCCAATACGTCCACCGATAGTTCGAATTCCAGCAACAAGACTTTCCTCGCACCTCCATCTGGTGTCCGCCCCCTATCAGCTGCATCCGCCATGGGTCTCCGTCCCAATGGCGCTGTCCTATCAGCAACTGGACAAAAGAGCCGTGCTCAGTTTCCACAGGAGCTTCTCACAGACTTCAAACAGGCTGTTTCTGGTAGCGATTTGACGAAAGCGGGCTTGATTGAGATTCTAAAGAAACGGTGAGTGATAGCTTTATATTCCTAACTTTTTGTCTTTGGTGCTAATTGTTATGTGTCTAGATTCCCCAAAGTTTCCAAAGAAGTGATCAAAGAGACCCTCACGGCCGTCGCTGTACGACAGGGCCAGAAAGAAGTTGACAAGAGATGGGTATTAAAATAAGCCGCGGGGTTATGGACATGGGGTTCTCTGCGAGGAATTCTCCATGGAACTACTGCGGCATATCTATTCACGGGATTTTTTCTCTCTTGCGAGAGGGACTTGATTGAGGAAGAGGGGGAAGTGAGAGAGATAATTCCTTTCGATATAGGGGCATGGACCGAGAATAGGAATTAGCGCCGACGCCACCACATATAATCTATGTTATATCTGCATATATACCGCTAACGTGCATACAGAGCATTGATGGATTGATGGCTTGAGACCCAAAGGTCTGGCTGGACTTGTATTTGTACCCGAGCGTAGGGTTGATTAGCAAAGATATGAATAGAGAGAATCCTAGTATCATTACGGCAACCTGTCAAATACTGACTAGAAGACTCTCGCGCTTGTGATAAACTCTCTAATGGGAGTCTGTGGTCTACCTGTTCAAGGCTAGAGTTCTTGTCCCTTATGGATGGCAGGCCTTGGAGGAATAAGGTGCTCAAGCACACATAGGTATTTTTACGCTCTAAAGAAACCAAAGAGTACTTACATTAATAAACATTTCAATGTTATATTCTAATTAAGTTTAAGGAGTAGTGGAATATTCTGCAGTGTTATGCCCACTGGAGGTCCACCAGAAAGCCTCATGATATGGGGTATTTACTCACCAACAGGCAATGCTTTGTTGGATAACTTCTAAGTACCCCGTATACCAGGCTGTCAGCCGCTCAACCAGGACATTCTCCCACATATAATGAGGCTTCCAGAACCGAGCCTGTCCCACGGTGCGCCACTGCAGATCTGGGACCGGGACAAGACAGGAGAGAGTTTTTGGGCAGGTTTGCTGGGAGCAAGCCGTCTGGCGCGCCTCATTAGAGTCTTCTATTATAGATCAGCCTGGCGTAACGATCAGCGAGGAGAGCCGGAGCTGGGTCGCCAACTAACTAACTAGTTAGTTAACTATAGGATCTCAGGCCAGGCGCAAGGCGAGTCAACATGGATGCAGGTCATCGTGGCAAGTCTCAGGGCGGGCAACAAGCTCGAGATCAACGCAGGTCCAAGGGATAGGCGGCGGAGCTATCTTATATGTATGTAAGTCAGAGTGCATAAGTAGTTTACATACAGCATACTCCGTACCTGGGCACAGAGCCGGCAGGGCGGAGATGTGGAGAGGAGAGGCGAGGCGACGCTCGACCGAGCGTGGGTCTTCGGCGCAGTTTGGGGGCAGCAGCCTGACGCCAGGAGCACTGTGAGCCACCCTGGCCCCTGAAGAGGAGAGAGAGAGAGAGAGAGGGCGCGGCGTTATAAGGAGGCAGCGGCTCGAGGGCAGCAACGGGCCAATGCGGAGGCGCCAGGGCGGGCGCCAGCTGGCGGTGCATGGACAGTAGTGTCTCATGCAGTGCCAACGCATCGCCGGCAATACGACGGGCGGCGCGGACTCAGCGCGGCGGCGGCACCGACGTGGCAGGCCTGGTTGGCGGCCACATCCAAGCGATCTGCGCGCGGAGCCTTGTCTGCACGCTGCGCGGCGGTGCGGAACGTGGCCGTCTGGGAGAGCGCAGCGAGCGATGCAGCGAGCGGGCGAACAGCAGGTCGTTGGGCAGAGGGCGAGTTGACTAACTAGTTAACTACTCCGTACTGCGTATACTCCGTACATCCATAGCTAACACTGTCTGGCTGGCTGGCTGGCTGGACTACCTAGTTAGTTACTTAGTTAGTTGGTTACCTACCTAGTGAGTGAGCGTCGCGGTGGCCGTGGTTGTTGTTGTCGTTGTCGCTGCCACTTCACCACCACTCGCGGCCACCCCTCACCCTCACCCTCACCCTCTCCCTCTCCCTCACCTCGCCCCAACGCCACATCGCGCTCTCTTGTGCCTGCTGTCTCTCTCTCTCCCTCTGCTCTCCTCTCCTCTCTTCTCTCTCGGTGCCATCCACGGTCTTCTCCTTCTTCTTCTTCTTCTTTCTTGTCTGCCCGCTTCTGCCTCACCCGGCCTCCTCTGCTGTCCTCGGCTTGTCTCCTGCTCCTCCGTACTGTCCCCGTTCCCGCCTACTCGCCATGTTATAGGCCACCAACTCCCTCCCTCTCTCCCTCCTCCTCCTCCTCCTCCCCCCTCCGGCATCCTGAGTTCTCGAGGCCTGTGCCGTCTCGAGGCCGATGCCCTCCCGTTGCCCATGGGAAGATGATCAGTATCCAACATGCCTGTCTTCCATCGGTTTTAGCATACGCAGCGGCTACAAGTATGTGCGCCCTCCCTCTTCCCCCCAGGCCTGTCTCGCTTTCGCTTGCGGGCCCTCCCGTCGCCCAACCCATGGGTCGAGTCGTCCCGCCCACATCGGCTAACCTGCCCGCCTCGCAACAGCTTTGCCTCCGTCGCCCACTGACTCACCTACCGCTTGCGGCACGCCCTCTTCGCCACTGCTAGGCCTCAACCTGTCGACACCGCTCCCCTCGACGTCTGCCGACCAGACTGCCGTCGCGGGGCCGCGCCATGGCCCCAAACCGCTGCCTGCGTCGGAATCGCCAAGTGGCTCTGCTGCCGGCCTCGCCCAACTTAACCCTCAAACGGTCTATCCGTCGACCAGGACGGACAAGGTGGGTGTAGATGCTCCCTCGAACTCTCCTTTGGAGTCACGCAGCCACCCCAAAGTGTCTTTCGTCCAATTTTCGCGTCAGTTTCAGCTCCAGCGGCACCAGACCGTACAGAGACGGGCCGTATTGCGCCGCCTTTGGGACCTTCGCGTGGCTGTCGCCCTGTCTGTTCGCTTGCTTCGTGTCGCTGCCACCGTGCAAAAGGGGCTAGTCGAGAATTTCAAACAGGGAGATAAATCCGGGTTTATCTCCATCTACAATACTATTCATGATATTCGTGATTTGTGTGATTCGTTTGCCAGGCATCATGCTCAGAGCCATGACGACTTGTCCGCCGTTGCTGTTGACTCTCCGACGAGAACATACCCCTCTACTTTCACCCACCGCCTCACTTCAAGGTCCCGGGATGATCTTCTTAATATCCTTACCCGCGTCCGAACGGACTCCGATTTTCTGTTCCAATGCATTGGGAGTTTGACTCCAGCCCAGCTTTCAGCTCTAGTTTCTCCTGCCCACACCGTGAATGTTGGTGACGTTTCCTCTCCTCTTGGCTTTCGAAACAGGCCTGCCTCGCTTTTCGCGCGACGGGCAGGGTCTCATTCCACTGCGTTCAAAGAGCATGCTTTCGCATTTGAGCGCACCGATCCTCTTTCTGCTTTGCTTTTCAACGTCTTTGCCGCTCCTCTGGCGTCGAATTCTCCCGAGGCCCAGTTGCGTCTGGATGTTTGGTCGTCAACCTGTGCAAAATTAATCTCCTACGGCGGGAGTAGCCACTACTCCTTCATTGGTCAAATCCTGTCCCTATGGTCTGGCGCCACAGAATGGAAGGCCAAGCCAAAATTTGAGATTTACTTGATGGATATCCTTCAGAAGGGCGCCTTTCTTCTGGGGAACCTCGATAGCCGTAGATTGGGTTCGGAAACTGATTCCTCTGACCTATTCAAGACGGATCTCGCTGAGCACTTTTTTCAATCTGCCATCCACGATTTGTTTGTAGTTCTTGATGATTGCGATGCTGGTTTGCCCGTTGGCGCGATCGAGTTGGGAAACGCCATTCTCCAAAAAATTACCACTCCTGATTCACGAAAAAGATTCCTGGACTTCTTGTTTTTTCAATGGTTTTTCCGCAAGTTTTTGCCCAATGCATTGTGCTACCCGGAGGTAAGCCCTCTTCCACTATCGTTCCTGCCCTCTCCCATCTATAATTCCGGTGCTGACTTCCCACCTAGTCGCATGGACTGTTACTCGATTTTCATATCACAAAAGATGCCAGAGACAGAATTTTGGCCCAAATCTCTCATCGGTCCCAGGTCTACGTATCCCGTATATTACACACACAGTTCGTAAAACCTCCATATTTGTGTACTACATAAATATATCTGACTGGGAAAATAGACCCCAATTTACCCTTGCGCTCCCTGATATTAAACTTCGTATAGAAAATATGCTATCACGCTTCAACCACTCAGTTTTCACACCTCCCAGCGATGGAAAATATTATACTGCTGCTTCAAATTGTTCCTCCAGTTGCGATGAGCCGGAGAATCTACTAACCCTGTCTTCGGCTGATATCACCACGATACTAGATGTTCTTTTCCCAAGACCCGTACAGCCTTCGAATGTGCTTGATCCTTTTCAACATCTCTCTGTGCCGTCTTCCCCGCCCAACAGTGTCTCACCTCGTAATGATTACCGCGGGTTCGAACCGGGTCTTTTTCAAGGGAGAGTTGACACGGTTTCTTCTCACTCGCTAACCGCGAAAACCGCGTTCACAACTGAAATGAGCTTCCATGAGCCTACAACATCATATTTCACGCCACCAAGCAGTACTGCAAGTCCGATCTCCCCGCAGGAGTCTCTATCTCGTAATGCAGACCGCATTCGCTATGAACTTTCGGAGATCAATGAGTCTGAGGATCGCCATTCACTAGTGAGTCCTGCCAGCGAGGATTGGGCATTGGTTTCCATTTCCAATGATGGACGGAAACTGCATTTCCTCGAGGACAACCCCGCGTCTACCGACAAAGCCATTAGTCCTTCCACGAAACTCTCTGATAAAGACCACAGCATATTACAAACTGCAATCTTTCATCTCATCGATGACAGTGACTTGTCTTCTGACACAATATCCATGGAAAGCCTCTCAGCTGTGCGACCCAATCCAGAACGAGAGTCAGCGCTAAAACGTCGTTTTATTGATGCCATGACTTACTGTCAGCGCCAGTCCGATTTTACTACTGCATTGTATTGGTGGGATGCGTGTCGCGTGCTGCGAAATGTCGATGGGGGAAAGCCAACGTCCTCCACAGACGACAAGATCCTCAGCCCGATGTATCTAGCTGCAAAGCATTCCACGGATGCTGACACATCAACTATCCAGCAGTGCTCCCAAAAAATGATAGGACTGCAGCAGACATTGAGGCATCTTCAAAACCAAGTCAAAGCGTCAATGGGTAGTTTGCGGAGGTTAAGGAATAAAATGTGGTACATGACGGACGTGAAGAATTCGCTGCGGTATGAAGATGCTAGGAATGTGGCGCTTGCCTTGAAGTCAATGATGGGCTTCCAGGCCGCCCCAGAGCCCAAACCAGGCAATGGAATGCGATCTCTCAGTGGATCTTTCCTTCAAAAACCCGAAGTTCACGTCATGAATGTGATGAAAGCTTCAGGGAGCCAAGGTGGGCCCACTAAATTATCCGACGAGCAAGTTGATATCACCAGAAGATGGCTCCACCGGTCAGGAATCGACAATTTTTGCAGAGGCGAAGAAAGGATACATCGGTTTTGTTATGAGGTAAAGACGAGCGTGAGCAAACTCGTTGGCGAAACCATGTACGACAGCCCTGTTTTGTGGGCAAGTGAGCTATATCAAAAAGAGCGTTCGATGTTTGAGGGACCCTCGACGCGCCCCCTCACAGCAGTCAGCGGGGGGATGAATATTCGACCCTCCAGCATTGCAAGTGACGAGAGCCTGTACCCTTATCCAGCCCAGGGCAATGGAAGTCGAACCATAGATTCACTTTTCCGTGGACCAAGCTATGCTCCATCACTGGAACATAAATTGTCCTACCAGAGCATCAATTCAGAAAGATGCAGAACCAGTGGTGCGGACACGTCGTCCATGGATGACTCTCCTGGACGAGCAACTTCAACTGTGGAATCCTACCAGGCTTTTTGGTCTCCTCCCCACACCCAAGCTCAGTCGACTACGAGCATATCTAGTTTCCAATCCCGGCCGGGGTCGACAATCAGCGACGTCTTGACCACACGGAAATTAGAACGCAGCCCGCCAGGCAAGGCTGCATTCTTGGATGAATTGAAACAAACGCTAACCAGCTTGCTGCTGAGTGATCTTGGCTCTCCCGTCTGGAGCTGTGGAAGCGAAACCGATGCGTGGTTCTCAGATTATCTGAGCCAGCCTCGTATAAGCAGCCAGGTCGCGAATCGAGAGATGCAAGGCCGATTCTTCGCTGAATTATCTGCTCCAGTTGATCCCTGCACCAACGAGACCCATTTCACTCTTCCTGGAAAAGGGTTGCGACGTTGTCGATCTGCGGTTGCACTGTCCTCAAAGTATCGAGAAGCAAGTAACTCACTTGTGAAGAACAAAGAGCCTGAAAAATCGGACCAGAATTCTGACTTTGAGTATGATATGGCCTTCCGACAGCTGATGGACAAATTTTCAAGACCTGCCAATCCCTTCACAAAGCTCAAGGCCTTGAATGACCTTCGCGCTCTTGTTGTAGCGTCTTTGATGTCTGTTGGCCGTGATAGCGAACCAGGAAATGGGAAAGAGCCTGCTATAATATCTAATAATATGCGGCATCAAAGGAATAGTGTCTCTGGAAGATCGAAACCCCTTGACAAATTTGACGATCAGACTCCAACACCATCTTCACCCGCTCCGGCTTTCAACGATATTTTTGACGATCCGTCATTGGATTTGCAGCCAACTGACGGCCAGATTATCCGTGCTCTACGAAACATAATTCAGAGATATCGACCAAAGACCTTGTTCCGCGATTTACAGTTCATTGCAGCGTTTGTTCCCTCAGAGGTGCTGAATAAATTAGATGCGGGCACGGCCTTTTTACAATTTGGCCTAGCTGCCTTCGAGCTGAAGGACGATGTATGTCACAGTATGGTTGAAATTGCAGACAAGATCGTTTCGCAGGAACTCTCCAAACGACAACGCCATTCCAATTCTCCTTCGCACCTTGGCAGTGGCATTGAGGACGCTGCCAAGATGTGGGTTACCACTGCGAAGGAAGGCAATGCGGTCGCGCAGCGAGAACTCGCGATCTTATACCTCACTCACCCGGAAATACTTCCCCGGGCTACACTCCCTCTTACAATGCCTCGCGATACATTCAAAGCGGAGATGATGTATCGACGAGACCTGGACTCCAAGTCCGATCCTCAAAGCATGTGCCTTGCCCTGCACTGGATGCAGTTGTCTGCCGCCGGCGGTGACAAGCTAGCACAGAACCGATTGCGCGAACGTGACGAGTTTGAATCTCTAGCATGATATACAAACCTTCTTGATTTCTCTCTTTCTCTTACTACTTTCGTTCCCGGACTTCTTGAAAAGGTTCTCTATGTTTTATCTTACTAGTTCTCGATTTCATTTTGCATTGCCTGCCCTTTTAATACCCTGCCTCATGTTCTTTTCTTCTCTATGATATTTAAGGCCCTCATTGAGAGTCCATATATACCCTCTGCTATGAAAATCATATATGTTTTCCCCTAGTTCTCTGATATTGGCATATATATGTGTGAAATCGATATTATTTCTCTTTTTGGTATGGGCGGCTAACTTTTCATTTTGTCGCAATTTTTTTGAATCGGGCGTTTTATCAGGCTACTTTGCAGTCCTTTTCTAAGCCCAAAAGAAAAAAAAGCAACAAGATCATTGTTGGAATTATGAATAGGTGAGGGAGTTCATTGATAACCATTTGTTTGGATATCTGTTTTTCATTGCTCTGCCTTGCTGCATCTTATATAAACATCGCGGTTCGCTGCACTACTTTAGCGCCCTTGCTGCCAATCATGCTGGAGATGTCTCATTAGTCACCATTCTTTTATTATTTCTTATCTGGTGCACTAAAGGCCTGGGAGATCTCACTTTTCTCTTGGCTTTCCATCCACTTCTTGGACTTGCTGTGAATGGGCTTGACATTTCCTTTTGTTTTCTCGCAAATAGTCCTGAACATGGAAAGAAGGCTACAAATGGCCGGATAAATGTTCCAGAACAGATAGTCAAATATGTTCAATAAGAAATCAATTCAAGATCCTCTTATTATCCAGAATGTCGCTTTGGGTTTGTTTTGATGCCATGTGAGTTTCACATGATGAGGCAAAGTGACTATGTAAAGAACAACCCAAAACACCAATCCATCCACATGCCAGTTCCAAATGGCCCTGACACCAGACTCCATGCACTGCCAGTGTGCGCGTAACTCCCTTTCCTCCGTGCTGGTCATCCACGCTCGCCTTGTTCGGAGGCTCCCATGACCTGACGTCATTCTGCCAAGCCGGTTGCCCATAACGGCAATATTGCTTTTTCTGCCCTTCAAGCAAGAGCGAACGCAGAACTAATATTTAGCTGCAGCTCCCCGGCATTCGTAGTTGCGGAGCAGCTGCAGAGTCAGCGTTTCGTGTTTAGCTTTGGGCCTGTGGCTTCAAATCTCTCGCTCCTTGTTTCGCTACACAACCCTCAGGACCCCCCCACCAGTGAGGCTGGTTTGTTACCCCGCTCGAGAACCCGGAAAGAACCGTTTTCGCAAACAGTCGGAAGATCGCATCGACTGGGCGTTACTGTCAACGAAAATACTGAGTTATGGATACGCAAGAAATGGAGATTTCTCACCGGCGTGAGAGTATCCCAAAAAGACCAAAAGGTGAGTTTTGGGTGGTGGAGGCTTCTCAAAATGTTGATGGATCATCTGCTTATGACCAACCAACGTGAATGATTAAGGCATTTTAAAAAAGTCATCATCATCAATACAGACAACGTCATTTCCACCTGCCGATGATTCTCAGATCTCGCCTATTTCTCCCAAGTCGCCTATTGCCGCCCAGTCGCCACCGGTTGACAACAAGGAACTCACTCTGCAGAACACCATTTACAATGCGGGAAAGAATTTCACACCCGTTTCTCGGCGCCAGTCGAGCGCTTCTAAAGCTAACGGCGCTTGTGTAGACGATGACAGTTCTCCCAAACTGAAGTGGGATGAGGCGAACCTATACCTTACAGAGCAGGAACGAACATCTACCATGAAAATCGATGAGCCGAAGACTCCATACGTACCTCACTATGACATAGACCAGGAAGACGATGAGGACGATCCCGACGTGGGCGGAATCGATGCTGGCGATGTTGCTGTTGATGAATTGGATATGTGCAAGAGCCAGAAGAAGGGAGGACGGAATCGCAAAGCGCGCGAGGATGAAATTCCGGATCTGGACTTGGGAGAGGCTGAGGAAACGTATTGGAATGATATAAGTGAGGATTCAAGGATTACAAAGACCAGAAGCATGAGCGACAGCAGTATGAGCGGCAGGTCTGGGAAACACGTCATGATGGGTGATGGTTGTGGGGAGGAGCTTCGGCGGACAGAGAGCCAGGAGGCCAGGGAAAAACATATCGCCTTTGAGGAACACCGGAAAAAGCACTATGAGATGGCCGGAGTCAAAAATTTACTTGGGTAAGGCGCAAAGGGCCAATTTTTACCCCGTCAGCTAACTAACCTGTGTTCTAGCCATCCCGAAAACATCGATGATCTCGACGACGACGACGATGGGGACAGCTCTCAACGACCTCCACCGGTGCCGAAGCTTCCAAAGTAATTTTCGAATCAATAGACTACCTCAATCAATTTCAAACCTGAAACCATTACATTTCCCCCTTCGTATTCGTGCCTACTCTTCCATATCAGGAGATTACTTGGTTATGTATTATCGGCACCTCGTCTGCAGTGAGTTTGTGTTTGCCAATTTGAACTTTGAGTGTCTCGTTATACTAGCAATGCCATATATCCAAATAGTTGTATATACTCCTTGCTATTTTCTTTGCTTAGACAAGTTATTTACATAAATATTACCCGCGGGTAAGGAATAGCTCAATGTCAACAATAAATAGAAACATAAAGCAGCCAATTCTTGTTTTCTTAGTTCAGTACATGTAATAGGGCTCCCCACTATGCACTGTAGTAATCATTGACTCGGCATGTGTGTGCACACAGAGTATACTTTAGTTACCTATGTAGGTACTCCGTACGTGTTAAGTCCAATCTGACATCATAGCGTGGCTGATGTATTCTCTACATCCACTTGTCTACTCTGTACTTTGCTTTTGAAAATAGAAAGGACGGGAGAATTTGATGAGATAGCCCAATATGAGAGAAATTGAAGAGATTTTGGACCGGCTTGAGCCAGATACTAACACCCGGGCCGCCCCGTCCGAAGGTAAGCAGCTTTCCGTCATTAATGCATCGTTGCCTTGCCGAACCTCCGAACTCACATCTGAATCGCGTACGGCAGAGGTGGAGGGCTTGCTTGCCCAATTAAGGGCTTTCACTGCCACTTCCCAGCAGCTGGGCGCACTTTTTACAAAGCGTGCTCTATCTATTCTGTGTTTCTATGGGTTTGACGATGCCTCCCCCGCCACTACACGCCGTCTCGCCTTACGGTGTCTATGCAATGTCCTGTTACTGTCGGTGCCCACGAGGCAGATTTTTGTTGACGAAAATTGCCCGAAAAAAGCCATAGAGCTGTTAAAGGTAGTGTGCATCTCACACATTCTTTTGTGATAGTTATCTGAACGGTTGACAGAGTGACCACCCAGATGATGAATTACTTGCAGCAAGGCAACTTCTTCTATGCACTTATAGAACCTCTCTAGACTTCGACACGCTTATTACCACAGGGGGTATTGCGGAAGCTCTCAACTCCGTATGATTATGATTCTACCTATCTTTTAGTATACATGGTGGAGATCTAAGAGTGTATTAACATGGCCTTGTGTAGCGGATATCGTACCACGCGGCTCGAATTTCAGCCACAGAAGAAAAGACTTCTTCCCCAGATACTAATATTGCTGCATTGAACGAGAGTCTGAAGTTGTTTTGTAACCTGGCCGCACAATACCCGCAACATTCTCAGGCTTTTCTTCGATCTTTCAGCCCTATTCTGAGCATTCTCAATACTATTTTCATACCTGCACCGCCGCTGGAGCCCCCGGTATCGTTGCTCATTAATTGTCTTGTTGTACTCAACATCTCGGGCCAAAATACGGAGCTTGTACGAAACTCTCTATTCCCGGAGTCTGATAACGTCTGTTTAGACCGACTGGTACATCTCCTTGACGTGACAACAACCTCTTATGGACATGAAGAGCTGAATGAGCGAGGGTCACCCCTCGTGCAACTTCTCCTTCGTATCGCAGAAATCGCGCCTTCTGGACCTAAGGCTCATTTAAAGAGTCTGCTATTGCCTTCGGAGAATGATAGAGAGGGAGTTCTGGGAACGGGTGATTCGTTACCAGCAAGGTTGCTAAGACTTTCTACTGAAATATCATTAAATCATCTACGACTGCTTATTCCATCGCTTCTCTTTGAGCTTTCTGACAAAGATGAACGCCAGTTTTCACACAATATCGGCTATGGATATGCATCAGGGCTTCTGCTGTCTCTCGGGAAGTCTCTATCGCCCGACGACCCGAAGGCGAGTGCTTCGAGTGAAGCCGGTAACATTCTTCTTCAAAATGGATAATATACGCGGCGCTGATATATTTATAGCTACGGGTTCAGATATCAATCCTGTTACAGGCCAGAAGATTGAATGGGAACAAGAAGTAAATATGCCAGAGATGACTGATGAAGAGAAGGAACGCGAGGCAGAAAGACTCTTTGTTCTTTTTGAAAGGTTGATATCCTGTGGAGTATTGCTATGTTCTGTACTAAGGTCTCTAGGTTACGAGCGACTGGCGTTGTAGATGTCGAGAATCCTGTCGCTCGGGCTGCGCAGGATGGGAGATTCGAAGAAATTGAGTAACTAATCCGAGATGAGGAATAAGGCAAGGAGGTGCGCTCCTTGACACTGTGCAGGGACAGTTCAGCGACAGGGGGGAAAATATGATGGGATCGGGTATTTCGGAAAAGGTCGGCAATATGCTTGGCGTGTTATTATGATGTGGAAGTGTAGACTGCCGTCGTAGACAAGGAGATGATGGTGATTTTCGACAACGATAAATTGGGAATTAAAGTCTAGGTTAGCTATTAACTAACTAGCGCATTAAAGTGTTGAGTGCAGTCTTCACCGGTTAGTTCTGTTCTGAATGAAGGGGCGAAGAAACAAGACTTTTGAGGGGGCGCCGTTTCTTAGTCATCACTTGGAAGTGGCATGACAGGCCAAGAACTGCGGGAGGCTCAATGGGCGCTAACGTTTTCTAGAGTCCTATCAATGGCTCTGGAACCCGAGATCTCCCTTGCAGGCCCGCATTAGCTTTGGACAGCGGTACCTCTAGCGCCGTTAAGAAGCTTCAGTGGTTTCAGGAAAGCTCCTGACTGCTGTTGTTTCTATTTGCACTAATATTGGCTTTCCCCATCGGGCTGTTTTGACGACGGCATGTCCACATTCTCTCTTTCTCTCTTTTAGCGTCTTGTTTTCTGCATCCACACATTCTTTCCTGTTCATTTCCCACCCAACTTTTGTGTTGAAGCTGCCCTCTGATCCAAGCTCTCATCCACACTCCACCTTTCCCGGTAAGTTTGTGAAGATTTACTGTTTTCCGTCCAGTTTAAATCTATGTTACTTCCCAAGACTATTGGGAGTGTTAACGCTGACTTATTTGTAAGGAACCAGGGTCCGCTTTTCCATTTCCTTCACATTCACACCATGGAGAAGCCAGCCCAGCAGCCAACCGAGACTTCGGTCACGGCCAACGAGCCTGCCACTGAAAAGGCCCCTGAAAAACCACAGGAAGCTGTTGCCTCTGCGGCTACTACCACTGGTGAACTAACGGGTGCCATTGAAGTAACCGATACTACTGTAAAGAATGTTCCCGCCGACGCGAATGAACCGGCATCTGGCATGAAGACTACCAGTGATGGGGGCCCTGATGTTATTCAAGAGGTTATCGCAGGGTCTGGCGCCAACACCAAAGATCTGAAACCCGATGTGCCAGTTGATGCGCGCCCAGAATACCTGGTCAAGAACCAGCCTCTGTCCGATTTATTTGACCGTCTGCCCTCAATTATCGAAGCGGCCGCCCACAACGAAATGTGGGGTGTCGCGTTGAAGGATGCCAATGACCCTCCCACTGCCAACATTATGATTAAATTTCTTCGAGCGAACGAAGGAAATGTTGGACTTGCTGAGAACCAGCTCGTCAAAGCTCTTCAGTGGCGTAAACAAACGAATCCTCTTAAACTGGCTGAGAGCACCTTTCAAGCTAGCAAGTTCAAAGGATTGGGGTATATAACAACCTATGACGGCGCAGAAAATGCAGAAAAAATTGTTTTTACTTGGAACATTTACGGTTCAGTTAAGGACATCGGAAAGACGTTTGGCAACCTTGAAGAGTACGTTTACAACATAAGTTACCGGAAACAGGATGGTTGATTTTTATTTCATAGGTTTATCAATTGGCGTGTCGCTCTGATGGAACTCGCAATTCGTGAGCTTCACCTCGGAGATGCAACTTCTGTTATGGATTATGATGGGGAGGACCCGTACCAAATGATCCAGGTTCATGACTATCAGAATGTTAGTTTTCTTCGTATGGATCCGACCATTCGCACCGCGTCACGCCAGACAATCGAAGTTTTCAGTGCTGCCTACCCTGAACTCCTTAAAGAAAAGTACTTCATCAACGTTCCAATGGTGATGGGATGGGTTTTCACTGCGCTTAAAGTATTCCTTAGTAAGAACACGATCAGCAAATTTCACCCAATTTCGAATGGCGTGAATTTAGCCCGTGAGTTCAGCTCCTTTGCCAACAAAATTCCTGAGATCTATGGTGGTAAGGGCGAGGCTTTGGCGGATACTGGCCGGACTGTCGCTTTTGCGGAGGAGATCTCGCCTGACGCCCAACCACAAGCTGATGCCGAGAAGAATAATGCTCAAGTTCCCGAGACGACCGACAATATTCTCTCTGAACCGCCGAAGGATACCGTTGACCAAAGCGCCACTGTTCCTACTAGTGCCCCTGCCGATCCCCGCCCAAACTAATGAAAATTATCCTATAATAATACTCCGTATGTCTTTTTTTAATGCCCATGACTTTCGGCCTGGTTTATTTCGAGCAGTGGAGTTACTTCTACACTATTCCCCGCTCCAACACCTAGACTGCGAGCACCAAAAAATGTCTTTTATTAATGATGCCTAAATCGTATGCATGTACATACATACCTACTGCAGACGCCGTGCCTAGCCCTCTCGTTTTGTATGTAGGTTCAAAAAACAAAAAAATTGGTTCTAATACATAATTTCTTTTATTCAACTTGTCATGGAGTTATCAAGTAAACACTAAACAGTACGTCTATCGAGTACGGAGTACTCTGTGCCTGTTAGTAGGTTCACTACGGAGTACCTTAGTTAACTACTAGTAATAACTATAGGGCGGAACAGAGGCGCCACTAGCGTAAGTTGGCTGGTTGGTTGATCCAACTTCGCTCAAAGTTCCCTTGAACATATTGCTTTCATCGCCATAGATGAGCCAACGCCTTTAACTAATACTCTCGCTTTGCGGCATGAAAGAAGACTTGAGGTTTTGCTGATACATGGTATTTGAATTTCTACTCACTATTTCAAGAGCACTTTGAAGCTCACCAGAAGTTTCCACCTACTGGTAACGACCTCTGCAGCTCTGGGCTTTTCGCATTGTCGCCATGCTGGTGTGGAATCCGGATAATATTAAAGATGTCGCTGAATCGGTTGGTATCAGTGCCTTAAACGATGACGTTGTTGATCATCTCGCGCGAGACGTCGAGTATCGCATCGCCCAGGTTCTTGAAGAATCGCATCGCTTTATGAGGCACGGCAAACGCACGTTGCTCACGACGCAGGACGTCTCAAATGCTCTGAGAGTACTTGATGTTGAGCCTCTATATGGTTATGAGTCTACACGACCACTGAGGTTTGGGGAGGCTACAATAGGCCCGGGGCAACCACTATTCTATGTTGAAGATGATGAGGTGGATTTTGAAAAGTTGATCAACGCACCGCTGCCAAAGGTGCCGAGGGAGGCTACTTTTACTGGTATTGGATCTTTTAGATTTCTACTTCCTCGGAAGCATTCTTTTTACTGACTGGACGTGCCTTCAACTATAGCTCACTGGTTAGCGGTGGAGGGAGTTCAGCCGACCATCCCACAAAATCCTACCTCAGCCGATTCGCGTAATCTTGAGTTACTTTCAAAAGGACCGAACGCGAATATTAATTTAGCCGCGATGAGCGGCAACGAAAATGTCTCTGTAAAGCCTTTGGTTAAGCACATACTATCCAAGGAGCTACAAATATATTTCGAGAAAGTGTGCACTGCATTCCTAGACGAGTCGAACGAGGAATACCGGCTCTCTGCTTTTGCGAGTCTAAAGGAAGACCCCGGGCTACACCAGCTCGTCCCTTATTTCGTTCAATTTATATCCGAGAAGGTCACGCACAGCCTCAAGGACCTATTTGTGTTGACTGAAGTTATGCATATGACGGAAGCGCTAATACAGAACTCAACATTATTTGTCGACCCATATGTGCGTAGTATTCCTAGATGTTTTCATTTACGAGAGGTCGCTGACATAAACCTAGGTTGCCTCCCTGATACCGCCTGTGTTGACATGCCTGATTGGGCGCCAACTCGAGGGTGGGTCGGATCCTCTGGAGCATTTCAGTCTTCGCGAGCTCGCTGGATCTCTTATTGGGATGATTGCTAGAAAGTACTCGCATTCTTCTCATGCTCTTAAACCGCGGTTGGCCAGGACATTCCTAAAGAACTTTATGGACCCTAGTAAGCCGTTCGGCACGCACTACGGCTCGATAATCGGGCTGCATTCGATTGGAGGACCTGATGTTGTTCGGGAACTGGTCATTCCTAATCTTCCCATGTACGAAGTTGTACTCAAAGATGTTGTGGGCGATGAGGGGTTACGGAAGTTGGAGGCAGAAAAGGTGATTGGGGCTCTGCTCGCAGTGCTTTCAACACTTGTGGACGACAAGGTGCCATTTACTAATGGCCTCACAAACGGCGCGATGGAAACCTTAAGCAACCAGCTAAGAGAGAAAATCGGCGATTTGCTGGCTGCAAGGATCACGGACGCAGGCAACATACGGCTTGCACAGGCCATTCTTGAGTAGCTCTGAAGCTGAGCCTTGAGGCATCTATGTATGTATGTATGTATGACTAGGGCGGCGGGTTGATTAGCATTGCAGCGTTGGCGCTATAGGAGAGCACGGTATAGTACTTTTCGGTCGGGCATAGAATTTCTGAATGTGTTGGCAGCGGAAGGATTCGCGTTCCCCGCGAATGATACCCGTGTACCAGTCCGTACCGGTACCTGACAGGGCACAGCCACGACGTCATCCCACCGGATGCCGGATAATCAATGTTCCTCATATAAACGGGTGCCCTTTTGCTTATGTAATTCACCATGGCGTCGTTACCAGACATGTCATCGTTCGTACCAAGCGCACAAGAGCAAATACGCGGCAAGGGTCCATTTTCGCCTTCGGATTTTATCTCCAGCAGTCGCCTGAGCCATTTTTTCCCACGATTGAAATAAATAGGAGACTCCCCTCTTCTGCCCAAACCCGCCTGGCCTATTCTGCCTCTCTCTTTGCGATACTGGTATTGGGTATATCTGTCTGCTGGATCTTTTCATTGACTGTGTGTCGCTTCACCGGCTGCCCAAACAACTCGGTCTGTTTAGGGAACCTTCTCAGCCATAACTATTGAATTTGTGAGTCTGCTCTGCATCCTATTTCTGACAGGTATATGTACGACATACTTTAGTAGATGCTAATACTATCGAGGCTTTCCAATTCTTCCGGCCAACACTTTGTACGACCTACCCGACAATTCCACCACCCCGCTGCCCCAGCAAGGTTCAGCCGTTTGCTCACATTCTACCTTTGATATTAGTTAAATCCCAAATCACACGCCAACCGTGGACAGTACTATTTGCAAAGGTAAAAGTCGGAATAAATGATCTAACGGCGTGCTTGAGTTTGCCGTACCTGTCTCAGAAGAGAACATTCATTTTCTCTCCATGAGCCGGAAGGACCTCTTGCGATTTCTCTCGAAGCCTGCAAAGTGAGTCATCGCTCATCGGCCCCTGTCTACTCACTATTTTTCTCAAGTTTTCGAACTGTGATCGTAACGGTGGCAACTACTGACAATATGATCTCTTTGCTATAGGCCTAGATAACACTCTTGAAAAACATCCCACAGATCTTCCTTTCTTCTTTTTTCTTCCATTCATCACTTTTTAGAAGCAGATATCCTCGTCTGCTAGACCCGATACTTTAATAGGTATCGGTATCTGCCAGTTCGAGGGTACCCCGAGACTGTCACAATTCCCGGGTTAAGAGCTTTCTTCCTTCCCCTCTCCGCCAGACCCCCCTAGCCCTATTCCAGGGGTCTATAATATATATACACTGTTTTGTCCGTCTTCTAGGTCAAAGTCGGGAATCTTGGGCCGTCTCTTCTCAGACGAACACCGCACCGTTCGTCTGAGTGGAAGATAGTGCTTCATAGAGCGCTCACTTAAACGTCATCATTTACTAAAGTCTTATCCCTTTTTGTTTATAATACCTTTCCGGCATAACATTTCGGAGATGGTTAGCATCGAGATCCCCAAGCATCATCCGACTTCGCCATCCCCTTTTATCGGGACCCCGTCGTTGACAATAAACCATGATGCTACTGTAGATTTGGACTCTAGTAACGCTTTTGAGGGTAGGTGACGACTTCTTTATCCTGGTATTTTGCACACTTTTTTAATTTTTGTGTTTAGGTCCCGAAAAACTTCTTGAGGTATGGTTTAGTCCATCTGCAGAAGATCTCGCCAATTCCGATGTTCCCATTGGGCTCAAGGCTGTTTCCCCGGAGGTATGGAAAGGCATGCTTGACTTGGTCAATTGTCAAGTTCTATCTATCGTCGAGTCTGATGATGTCGATGCATACCTTTTATCTGAGTCAAGCATGTTCGTCTTTCCTCACAAGTTAATCCTCAAGACCTGTGGAACAACCACCCTTCTTCTGGGAATGCCTCGAATCTTGGAAATCGCCGCTCTCTATGCAGGCTTCCCCAAGAGTAGCCCTCCATGCTATGGTGGAATTTCTAGCGCTGCGGCTCCTTATCGGGTTTTTTACAGCCGGAAGAATTTCCTCTTTCCAGATCGCCAGCGTGGGCCTCATCGTAGCTGGCGTGATGAGGTCAACACTCTGGATAAGATTTTCTTAGGAGGAAGCGCTTATATGATCGGGAAAATGAACGGGGAGCACTGGTACCTTTATTTAACTGAGCCCTTTACGTCCTTGACTCCGCCAACAACTCCGAGTCACGAAACTTCAATTAAGACATTAAGCCTTCCCGATGGCATGAATGGTGCAAAGCTAAGCGATAACGAACGCGGCGAAACTGACGAGACTCTTGAAATATTGATGACTGATCTGGACGAGACAAATGCGAAACAATTCTATCTCGATCATGCGAGTGCGGTCGCAGAGGATCGTTATCGGTCTCATCACCGAAACAATGAGCAGTATTTGGACGTTTTTAGCAACAATTCATCCGACAATAGCGACATTGATTCGGATGCTGAGCAGTCCCTACCATCCGAACTGACAAGCGAGGGCCATGCTTTGGGAACTGTTGTTTCTGAATCATGTGGACTTTCGAATGTTTACCCTACGAGCAAGTACCCGGATTCCCGCATTGACGCTTATCTTTTCACCCCATGCGGATTTTCCGCGAACGGCGTCATTCCGTCTCCGAACGACAAATCCAGCACTCACTATTTTACGGTTCATGTGACGCCTGAGCCCCATTGTTCGTATGCTTCGTTTGAAACGAATGTTCCACATGTGCAGTCTGGACGTGAAACAGTTGATATTGTCAAACATGTTGTGGACATTTTCAAACCAGGACGCTTCAGTGTCACTGTATTTGAAGCCAAGCCCGCTGACCGCTTTTCTGCGGATATTACTTACGACGCGAAGGCGCTCCATCGCCATGCGGCCCTTCGCAGCACTAAAATGGACCATATCCCTGGCTACCGACGCGTTGACCGTATTGTTCATGACCTGGATGGCTATGACCTTGTGTTCCGCTATTATGAGCGTAACGACTGGAGAGGCGGGGCCCCTAGACTTGGGGAGACTGGTTTTTAAATTGCTACATCAACTACAACTTTTCTCGTTTATGCCTTTTCAAGTGTTTTTTCGGGCCAAAAATAAAAGACTGTTTCTAACTATGAAGTATTGATTGGCAAGTATCACTGCATGCCTGGAAAACATATAACATGTAGGCCTTTCAATATCTTCAGTTAGTGACATTTCGGGTTTTTGTCAGTGTTTTGCAATTTTTGATTCTGTTTTGATTTGATGCCAAATAATATGAAGAGAATGAAGTGTTTGTTGAGAAGTCATGCACTCTTATAAGCGCGTAAATTTGAGATGGTGCTTTTAGTCGCTTCGCGCAGACGCGCGCTTAGTTAGCTTGTTAGTCAGCCCGGACCAGGCTATGACTCACGTGATATCGATGGGCCGAGATTATTCTGGCTTGGCGCATCATCTTGCCTTCAGACAGACTGCACAGGAAAGATTGTGAAGACTGAAGCCACATATCCAATGTGGTTAGTATATATCCCTGTCAATAATGGCTCACTCTCCTCCTTCGGCCTCTCTGAGCCTCCCAATGGCAGCCTCTAAAAAGCGTCCTTCGCTACCCTCTGTCATTTCTTCGGCCTCTCAGCCTACCAAAAAGCCGCGCCTCCACCCTCTTCGTCAAACCTCATTTCCAATTTCTGCAGATACGGATGCCCGGATTTATACAGGAACTACAAAAGCAAGATCAGAGCTTGATGCCGCAAGCTTTACAGGCTCTTTTACGGGCTCTTTTACCGGGAGTGTTGACGGTGGAGGTGGGCGCGGAGGGAAAAGGCGGAAAGGTAAGAAGGATCGCGACACAGCAGGAAGTATGCGAGACGGCGTTCGCGATGGAAAAAGAACAGGGTCAGTGAAAGCTGCCGATGAGGAGGCGGAGGACGACGACGATGACCTCGGTGAAGTGGAACTGAGGCGTGATGATGTTGCTGTAGATGCTGAAGCGGAGAAGAATCTTGCGTAAGCACACATATATTCATGATAGTATAACCACCGAAACTGACATGTCTTTGACATATCCAGAATATTAATCGATGCTTTCAGTCCGGAGCAATCAGAGCGATATAATTTTTTTAAACGAGCAAAACTGAACAAACCAACTTTGCGCAAAATTGTCAATCAGACTCTCTCACAATCTGTTCCACCCAACGTTATCACCGCTATTAGTGGGTATACAAAAATCTTTATTGGAGAAATGATCGAGAAGTCAAGAAATGTCCAAGGGGACTGGGCTGATGCCGCCGATTCAACAGCTTTCGAGTCATATATTTTAGAGGAGGATGCCCGGGCGCTTGAGGGGTCGCTTCTTGGGAGTAAGTTCGAGAGCAGCGTTGACCAAAAGGCTACTACCACATCGGTGAGTCAACTTCAATCCGCGAACGCCGAGGAGCCGTCAGCAGCGGCCGCAGAACAACAGATTTCCAAGAGAAATTTGGATTCGTCACCGCCTCAAGACGTAATTACTCCTATGACAAATACAGAAGTCATTATGCCTGAAATAACGCCATTCTTGCCCCCTGCAAACCCTCATCGTGGCCCTATTCTACCATCTCATCTGCGTGAAGCTCTGCGGCGCTACCGGCGTGATGGAGAGGGTGGGGGAGTCGGATTCACTGGCTTAAGTATGAATGGTCTAGCTGTTCGTGGTGCATTCACATGGGGTGTGCACGGTAGCGGTGGCGGTGGCAGAAGGCTGTTCAAGTGATATGGCCGGTTGATTTTCCGAGGGTCTTCCGCCTTTTGACGGAGTTTTATTAGGAAGCCGGTGTTTTGATGGCCAGGTAGTTGGCGTTTAACAACATGTAGCATTTTTTGGTGTAACGGGCATTTGTCATGGAGTCAGGGGTGCTGGGAGATGAAACAATGATATAGCCACATACAAAAATGAGATATATATTATGTACCGCTTTGAAATTCCTCACGGCCTGAAGCTAGGTTGCAATCCGTACGATACGTCGCTGCTGCTGCCTAAGGTGTATAAAAAGGGGTGAAGTAAAACATATATCAAGAAAATCAGTAGACAACAGGAAAGTAGTGCCCAGTATAGCACAGTGTTGCGCCGTTATCGTAATATACAGTACATATATCCCGTGAAACACTTCCCCATTCCTACCCAGACGTGTGCTGAGCAGCCCAAGAAGATGCAATAAAACAGAATATGAAAGGCAAATTGCCTCAACAGTTTACATATCTTCTTTTTAGTTTAATTGTTATCTTTCTTTGAACTGTGCTTGTATTCTTTTCTTGTCTCCTGGTTTCTCACCTCTCTTTCACCTTCAACTTGTGCCCGGCGTGTTTGTTCATATATCCTTGCATTCTCAAGTTCTTGCTTCGACAAGCGCGATGGTGCTTTTGGCGTTCCATCTGCATTTTTCTCAATTTTCTCGCCAGTGACTTCATCCATCTTTTCCTGCATTTGTTTCCGTATGTCGCGGATGCCAGACTTTACATGATCAATGGTGCGGTCAATAATACTGGCATCCTGTGGTCTGTATATTTGCTTTCCAGCATTTTGCTCTTGTGGTGGTGTTACTACCCGTGCTGTGGTAGGGATGATACGAATACGGGATGAGTTGCTGTTGTCGGATTGAGCTTGATCTTTTGTCGCGGGTTTTGGTGGAAGAGGGCTGAGACCGGTGAATCTGCGGAAACTGGGAGAAGTGATCAAGTATGTTTGGAGGAGGGCAATAGTGCCTGTGCTGGCGAAATATAGTTGCAAAATGCTCGGCCAGAAACACATCGCTATCGTGGTACCAGCGGGAAATGCGTAGATCAAGAGCTTTCCAAGGGGGGTATCGCCAGTCAACCCCATACCGGTTTCACCACCACGCTATATTCAATAAGTCAGAGAGGGAATGAGGTCTAGAGCCAGCTTCTCAGGTGGAATTGGTATACCTTCATGGCCAAGTATGTTGCACCCCCAGTGACTATAGGTAAAATGAAAAAGGGATCTCCAAGCGAAACATCGCTAATCCATAGAAACTGTTCCGACAGGAGGGCGGGGACAGGCAAAGTAGCCATTGCCCGAAGAACTCTGAAAAACCCGACACCTAAAGGTATTTGTAGGAGCGGAGCAAAAGATTTCCACATTTTAACACCGTGCTGAGAGCGTATTAGAGATATTTCTTGTTTGAATTTGAGCGCTTCCAACTGATTTCCTTGTTGTGCAGCGGCGATCATTCGTTCCTGAAGTGGTTTCGTTAGAGGGTCAATATGACGGAGCTTGGCGGATGTATCGGAGGCGTTAAGATTGAACTTGAAGAGGACGACACGTATGACGAGAGCTGCGGCGATTGTGCTTCCCCACCATGGTAATCCACTGTAGATATGAATCGTTTCCAGCAGCATCTGAATGAAAGAAGATGGGCCGAAACCGAAGTCCAGTCCTAGCTCTTTGAGATATCCTAAAGTCTCTGGAATATGAGATAGATAAAGATCTCCGTATTCGCTGTTTGATAAGGCATCGATAGATTGAATGCCATTGTCTGTTGATGTCTGGGAGGCAGCGGTGTCGGCGACGCTGGGGGGAGGAGGGGAGGAGGAAAATAATCGGGGTGAGGCGAGTAGGGAAGGGCGAATGAGGACTGGATGTTGCGTACAAATACTAGAGCCGTTACTTATGGCCGGTCTATAATGGTGTCGAAGAGTCCGTGCTGCTGTGAAGGAAGAGAACTATGTCGTGGGAGCAATTAGTACAAGATCTTGACTGAAAAAAAAAATAATGTCTGGGGAGGTACATTTCTCTGCGAGCGCAGCAGCGACTGACGGCAGTGGCTCGATGCACTGGCAATTGTACCGGAGCGACGAGCGCTCGTGCCGGCAAGCATGACGTAGGAATTGGAGAGGCTTCCACGCTGGTTGCGTTGCGGTGGAAGATTTTTGGGCGAGGAAGATTATAGATATGCGATCCTTGGCCGCCAAGACCCGTGGTTAGTACATAGTTTTTATGGAGTATAAAGCGACATAACACTATTGTAGTCTACGGAGTACTTCGCCTGGGTTATCAAGACCTAAGCTTTTGCAACAAGATCTATGCGCCTTGTAGCATGTACGGAGCCACGGCTGGCAATGGTAAAGAATCACATATGAAGCATGCAAGCCCAGGATGAGCCAAAGCTGTAACTACCTGAAATATTGTTTGGATGTCTATGCAGGTTGATATCCTGCGCCATTCGCCATCATGTCAAAATAAATACCCACAACATATGTACAGACATACACACGTATGTACATAGGAATAACCAGGACCAGAAAGTTACCAGAGCGTATCAGTTTATTACTCAAGAGACGCCATGTCACCCAGGCCAAATGCACTTTGAGAACGCTTTCGACGAGGGGGTTGCGGCGATTTGATTTCAGAGCTTGTAGGACTTGATCTTCGGTGTATAGGGAAGACCTAGGGCAGAAAGAAGTTAGGTCAACGCAGCCTTTTCCCCCAAGGCCGCATGGTCAACCAAGTTTAACATACCTTTGTATTGGACCAGCCTAATCGAAAAGCTGCCTCGTGTGCAAATAGTTCGCCAAAGCCCAACATCAGACCATTGACAAAAGGAAGGAATAGATTGATCGCCGCAGCCCGCAGAAAGCGCCATATTGTTGGCGTTTGGTAAACGACGACGGAATTGGAGGGAATTTCTGATGACACTGATAGCCCGTTACCGCCGGGATATGTATCCGAATCAGATGGAAGAGTCATGGCGGAATCAGAGAGCTCTAGCCCTGTGCGTAATTGATTTTCTGAGCTCATCGTGGGGGGTGTGCGGACGATCTGGGAAAATATTCTGGGGGGTCCTAGGTCACTGAGGGTGGCTTCAAGTCAGCCAAAAGCTACAACGCTAATCATAAAAATGGGAAGAGATACTAATGCAGCCACCGGAATGCTCCGTCGCGATGCTTCTGAAGATGCCGAGTGTATTCTATGTAGAGAACTTGGTACGCCGACTGAGAGAACAGCCGCTTACATAATGACCGATGTGTAACTAGCTTAGTCAGCTTCAGGGCGGCCAGTGACGTATGGAGGATTACCTGATGCAAGCAGAAGCACCAGTCGAGAGGCGCGGCAGCAGTTGCATCCTTCTTACCGCAACCTGGGCTGGCTGGAGCCTTTCTTGTCTGCAGGCATATCTGGGACGATACCTCTGAAGCTATTCTCCGTTTTCTTGTGATCACGACTTATCAGCCTTTACCAACCGCCATCATGACCCCTCCAGTAACAGAGCAGGATGCACTTATTTCTCATTTTTGTGCTATCACAGGCGTGAGTCCGGCAGAGGTATGTAACGAGAGTTCAATATAAACTTACCTGTCCGTTAAAACTCACTATATCTTTACGGTAGGCTCGAAGCTGTCTTAGCAACAACGACTGGGACTTGGACCAGGCTGTTGCGGAATACTACCCTGACGAGCAAGATTTTGAGTCTGGGGAAAATCCTGAAATAAGAAGCGGACAATCGCTTGCTGAGGCAAGCCAGGCGGCAGAACCATCTTCAGCTGCTTCTACGAGAAAGCCAGCAAAAAAAAAGTTCGCAACTCTCCGTGATCTGAGCTCATCCGATCCAGCCCAGGATGAGCCAGACAGCGATAATGATGATCCACCAAACCTTTTCACAGGCGGGGAAAAGTCAGGACTAGCGGTTCAGAATCCTGATGATATAAAAAAGAAAATAATTGAAAAAGCAAAAAAGTATGTCATTATGCACCGCTATTCTTACTTCGGCTGTTAATTTTAATGGATCCTAGAGGGTTACCGCAAGAAGATGATTCGCAATCAAAGAGATCTTATTTCACCGGTACAGCCCGCACACTAGGTGGTGATGACGCCCCGAGCAGGGTTATTGAAGATCCAAATGCAAATAGCTCAGCATCACTTGAGCGTGTTAATCGAACGCTTCATTTTTGGAATAACGGGTTTTCTGTAGATGACGGTGATCTTTACCGCTCCGATGACCCGAGAAACGCCCATATTCTGGAAAATATCCGGCAAGGGCGAGCCCCGCTCTCAATAATGAACGTTGAACCAGGACAATATGTCGATGTGGAAGTCAATCAGCATGATACTGATTACGTGAGACCAAAATCTCAGTATAAGCCGTTCTCTGGTGCGGGGCAGCGTTTGGGAAGCCCAACACCGGGTCCCGCCGTTCAAACCATACCATTATCTTCTGCCACCGCGACAATAGCAACCAATGCAGAGACGAAGCCGCGGACTCCAGAGATCGACGACTCGAAGCCTACAATTACTCTTCAAATTAGATTGGGCGATGGTACGCGGTTAACGAGTCGTTTCAATGCCACAAGCACCATCGGCGATGTCTACGATTTTGTCGCAGCCTCAAATACCAGTAGCCAAACGCGCCCGTGGGTTTTAATGACCACTTTCCCCAGCACTGAGCTAAAAGATAAGTCGGCGGTTCTTGGAGAACTAAAAGAATATCAGCGCGGAGGAGTTGTTGTCCAGAAGTGGGCATAATGGAGAATGTGCTCCGATTCTTTCATGCGTATTGAAAAGTTCATCTGAGCGTCTTGAGCCGTACATAAAGAAATCGGAAGTACCGGCAACTTGGGAGATTGGGCGCATCCTTTTGTACTGTTTAATCCGTAGTTACGCCAATAATAGACTGCATGTGGTAAAGCAATCGTTGATTGATAAGCGTTTTTGTTTTAGACTCCTAGAACTATAACTACCATACTCCGTAGTTACACACCAAGCTCACCTTAAGCTTATTTCCTTGACATATACGCTCATACTTGAAGCTATCCTATAGGCGCAAAAGAGTGCCTGCAAGCACATAGAATCCCTCGATCTTTTTCGGACATGCCGCTCAACGGCGTGAAGCATATTGTCCTGGTACGAGAAGCCCCAAATCTTCCCCGCCACTTCCTATATTTTAGGGCTCCCTACGCTGATGGCTTCGCACCTAGTCATGCAAGAAAATGAGCGCAAATTGCTTACTGGAGATCTTTATAGATACTATCTGGAAAAGGTGGTGTTGGCAAATCCTCTGTGACGCTCCAGCTCGCTCTCACTCTCAGCCTGGCAGGCCGATCTGTGGGGATTCTGGACGTTGACTTGACTGGGCCCTCGATTCCACGGCTGGTGGGGTTGGAAGATGCCAAAATCACACAGGCACCAGGGGGCTGGCTGCCAGTCACGGTCCATTCTTCCGAGGCAGCAGCGAACTCTTCGGGCCTGGAAAACATAAGAGATATAGCATCGTCGTCAGACGGGGCCACTCTTCAAAATAGCACAGTTTCTCGCGGCTCTCTACGATGCATGTCCCTTGGCTTTCTTCTTCGCGACCGCGGTGATGCCGTAATCTGGCGTGGCCCCAAAAAGACAGCGATGATCCGGCAGTTCCTTACGGATGTCTTATGGGGCGAAATGGACTACCTTCTCATTGATACCCCTCCAGGAACGAGTGATGAGCATATTGCCCTGGCTGAACAACTGCTCACTATTCAGCAGAATTCTTCGTCTGATACTTCGGGTGCGGCACCTAAGCTGGCTGGCGCCGTACTTGTCACAACCCCCCAGGCGATAGCTACTGCCGATGTACGAAAAGAAATCAACTTTTGCACAAAAACACGAATACCTGTACTAGGAGTCATCGAGAATATGTCCGGATATACTTGCCCCTGTTGTGGAGAAGTGAGCAATGTGTTTTCTCGGGGTGGGGGGCAAGTTATGGCGCAGGAGATGAATGTGAAATTTCTGGGTGCTGTGCCGATTGATGTTGGTTTTTGTGAAATGGTAGAAGGGTGGAAAAAAGACTTGATGGGGCAGAATGGCGAACAGTCTATACCCCAAGAAAGGCAGCATACCGGAAGTGTTATGGAGGATGATTTACTGGTTAAGAGGTATACAAAATGCTGGTCTTACCCGATCTTTGAGGGGTTTGCCAAAGCGTTGATTGATCATGTTGAATACTCGGTATAATATAATTCATTTACGTAGAGCAGCACAATATCTCGCCTTATATTGAGCTTTCCTTGCCGACTCTTGGGCAAGACATTAATAATAGAAATGGTTCAAAAGAAAAAAATTCGGAAGCCGTTAATTCAAGAGACATTTAGATGCATCTAGGGAAGAAAGACAAAAAAAGGTATGTATTGCCGTTCATCAGAGTCATGTAATCATTCTAGTCATATGTTTGATCAATTAGTTTGCCTTCAGTTTCTTAAGCTGCCCCTGTAATACTGGTGGGGGGTTGGTTACAGTATCCTATTTAAGTAAGGCATCCCGAAGTTTGTTTTCCGCGGTGACATATCTTTGATTCATGTTATTGGCTTTGATGTCACTGTTTTGCTTGAGCCAGCCAAACAAATTTCCCAGGTCAGAAAAAAAAGACCTGTGATTCTCTGCAAGTCCAAGTTTTTTTGTGCTGATCGGGTTTCTATCGCCTGTCGACCCGAGCTGCTGTGACAATAAGGCTTGTTGACAGGGCCTGCTAGCGTTGACGTCGAGATGGATTTCAGAGACAACAGGCCGAGTTTGGATTGGCTGTGGGTGTACTCGACGTTCAAAGCTTGAATGCTTTCCAAGAAATGCCCATGGAAAAGATGAGGGTCTCGAATTCCCTTCTTGTGGGTAAGAATGCGGTTGGGGCTGTGATTCACTGGTTGACAAAGCGTCCCCCACTGCAGTCGTGCTCGCAGTAACATCATTCCTTGACGCTAAATGGCTATTGCGATCGGTGGTGACAACGGTTTCAGGAAGATGTTCAAAAAGGCGATATCTAGCCGAGGGCGCGTCACGTCCGTCAAGCGTACTTATATCGTCTCCGAGTATCACAATATTCTCGTCGGCTAGCCGCTCGTTGCTCGAGCTAGCTTCTTCCACAGCTAAAAGTGTATGATCCATTGGCCTTGAAGTTGCACGGATCTCTCCCAACGGTGGTCTGTGGCTACCGTACTCATTAGCCAGGCTGAGTTTGCTTCGCCCACATATCTCGGCAATAGTGTCAAGGGTATTCCGGATATCAGGTTCTATCGCCTGCAAGATCCCTTCAATACCAAAATCTTGTACCGGAGGTAGCTTGGTAGGACGATAGCATTCAAGGTTGGAATGTCGCGACATTGTTCCTCGTACATTAGTATCGGCGGAATAAGTTCTTACAACAACAGGTTGCGACGGAAAGTATCGCTGGCTACCCGTATAGGCTGTTTGACGGGGGATACGCCGGGGGGTCTGTGGGAGTCGATTGAGCTGACGAAAGGTAGCAGTCCGTTGAGCAAGGGTAGGTTCATCTAATGGATGGTCAACCCGTCGGGGGTGAAAAGAGGGGGGACTCATCCATAGCTGCGGGGGCGGTGCTGAAGGAACGGACTGTCCGCTGTTATTGGAATAAATAGCTAAGGGGTCCATCCTGGCATCCTTCTTGCGAATACAATATCAGCCAGGCAATCATGGAATGTAATAGGATAAGGATATTGCCATGTGGGCGTTAAGGTCGAGTCATCAGCTGCAAGAGATGCGAGAATATGAAACGACAACAGACGGAAGACCACCAAAGATATCAAAAGGTGTAATCGTGTCACTTTGTCTGGCGAATCGACTGCTCATCAAGCGGGAAGATTGGGTCGACGCATGCCTGCTGGCTCGCATTGGCGTACAGAAGCACAAAATCAAAGACCAGGATTCATTCAAGATTGCGCCTGTCAAGCTTCTGCGCCAGTTGGAGCCGCCAGTCCTGGGCCGAAGTCCAAGCCACCACGTTGCCAATGCGATGTGGTGGGATGCGTTGGCAGTTGAGGTGTGATGATGACGGATTAGTCAGGATTTGCATCTTCATCAAACCAGGTGAAGTGAGCCTCTGGTGATGAAGAGAGCTTCATGAACCATGAACCGGTTTTATGTATGTCGTTATGTCCCTTGCTGTTTGCTAATGATGGGGTGTCTAACCTTAATCATCAATAACTATAGTTCGGCGAATCGTCCGAGTCAGAAGCGGAAGCCATCGAAGGAGATGATTACCTCCCATTCCCAAAGCCGCTTTCCAGGGCATCCTTTAATACCCCAGGCTTCCAGTCCGCCGAGTTTCTGTCCTCTCTTTCCAATAGACACCAATCTCTTGCAGACTTGCAGAGTGAACTCCGAGAACTGAGCCAATTGCTGAATAAAGAGTTACTTGACCTAGTCAACGAAAACTATCAAGACTTCCTGTCACTCGGGACTGCCCTACAAGGTGGAGAAGGAAAAGTCGAAGAAATTAGAACCGTGCTGTTGGGTTTTCAGCGCGATGTGCGGGCGGTAAAAGAAACATTCGAAAACAAAACAGCGCAGATTAAGGAGTTGCTGGATACCAAAAGGCGCCTACAAACTGGCATCTCTGTTGGTTATGATTTGTTAGATATTGCCGAGAGAGTTGACTTATTGCAACGCAAGCTTATGATTTCTCAAAGCAACACGGAAGATAGTGGACTTACCGAATACCAGGAAGTGGATGACGAGCTGACTGGAAGTGAAGATGAAGAAAGTGACGTGGATGAGCTCCATGGACAACTTGGTAGGGACAACCTGCCCCTTGTTTCTTTACAGAGACTGGAACGGCATATTCAGCAATATGTTAGCTTAAAAATTGCTATTGGTCGTGTTGGAGAACACCCGTTTGTGGAAGGGCAAAAAAGCAGGATTACAAGCATCAGAATGGCCTTAGTCTCGGATCTCAACAATGCGAGTAAACTAGCTGAAACAGCCACAAAAAAGGAATATCGGCTACTCAAGATTTTACATCTGTACAAGCTTTTAGAAGAACAGGCTCCAGAGAGCCTTACATCAACGAAATCAAAAAGTTAAAGCCAGTGAATTGTGAATTTGTCTCCTTTTCACATAGCAAGATGTAGAGTAAGAGTATATAGCAAAAAAAAAAAAAAAAAAGGGAAATACCATTCATAACTACTATACAGGGACACCTCTATTATGAAATATACTTTACGTGCTGTTCGGCTTACTATCCCGTGAGTGCATATGAAGGAGGAGAATCTTCTGTTTTGAATTCACCATTTAAGCTGAATCCTGGAGCATTAGTGGAGCTTAGAACCTAAAGGAGCGTCAGTAGAGAAGCAATCGGATGCGAGGGAGCAGACAAAAAACACACCACTTCTGCAACCTCTTTAGATACCTGATCAGACAATGAAGCTGCATCTTTCTTTACTTGAGCCACAAGAGTATGGAGGTTGTTCCTCAACTCTTCAGGAGAAAATCCCAACTGGCCAATCGACATGCGAATTACACCAGATCTTTCTCTGTAAATACTGCCAGCACGCATATTTTTCACTGCCAAACCGACATTGTCCACTACTGTCCCCAGTTTTACACTGGGCATCAACCCCTTTGGGCCTAGAATTCTGCCCAGTCCGGCTTTATTCAGGTTCTGAAGACTAGAAGAATGGCATATGCAAGCTTCGAATTCTATTTTGCCTGCTTTGATCTGGTCAAAAACGTCTTGTTCGCCGACAATGTCTGCCCCAGCAGCTTTAGCGTCCTTTGCCGCTCGCGAACCATCAGGAGCAATCACACAAACCCGAACTCCTGTCTGCACAGCATGTGGGAGCCGCAGTTGATTTCGAATTATGGGACCATCTTTTTTCGTGCGCAGTTTCAAATGGACTTCGTATTTGATGGATGTCGGTTGTCTTCCAGCTTCAAAAGCGCGAATATATCTGCCACGAGTACCATTAGCACGACCGCTAAATCCTTAGGGAACAGCCATACCTCATAGCATCACATAATGAGAATTGAATGGCATCCTTCATATCGTACTGTTTGAATGTTCTTCGTTTCTTTTTTGATTTTGCAGCGTCATCTTTAGCTTTCGACTTGCTGACAAGTCTTAAATCTCTGGTCTGCTGCTGAACGGGATATAAGAATGGGAGGGAGGAAGTTGTAGAGGGCCTAACAGGCTGTAACAATGAAGACAGTGTGCTCCTTGTGAAAGAAGCCAAATATTTATGAGGTGCTGCCATTGTACCGTCGTATTGAACCCGATCAACAGTTGCTGCGATCAATCTTCAACTTCTAATTATTTATTCGGATCGGAGAAATGAATCTCCGGAGGAAAAGAACCACTCCGTCCTAACTACGCTGCCAGAAACCCACCCAATACAACATCTTGAACAGAAAATTCTCAGTGGAAGCATGGTTATATGAATGTGTACTATACATAATGCCTTAGGCACATGTGGAAATAGTATTTTTTTTCCTTACAGCCACCCACCACCTAAGTTGGTAGCTATTGATACACCTTGAGTGAGTTGATCGCCCAGTATGTCTGCCGAAATGCTTCCGGATAATTGGCCACAAAATCTTCGCATGTCGGGGACACCGATGCGCAAGGCGAACTAGCCCATACCCGGCCAGCCCACACTCCACAGAATGTTGTGTTGATTACAATCTTCAGGTCTCTGAAGCTTTTCGTAAAGCTGCAGTTTCCTGTAAAATGGGCCATCGCGCGCCCCCATGATTCCGGATGTAGCCTGCCATGCGCAATGTCTGATGCCATTTTGTGCCTTCGAGGGAAAAACCAGACCTTGATGTCGTGCTTGGTCCATAGCGTTGCATACAGCCCTCCTCCGGCTGCGTTCATTCTGGTGCCATAGTTACGTGGATCCCGAGAGCTGATCTGGCATCCTTCGTTATGTTTTTGCCCAGGAGCAGCAACGTCACAATTTGTTGTTCTTACTCGGCCAGTTGATGTTATATTTTGCGAAATTGTACAATTGGGGCCCGTATGAAGCGTCACGGAATTTTGAACCTCGAGATTGACTCCTTCGTAAATATCTATCTCTCCTCCGTACGGCCAATTGGGACCTAGCATCCAGAATGCGGGCCACGCTCCACACATATTACCTGGCACATGGGCGAAGTCGGCGATGAATAACCCCTGATTATACGCTTTCTTGCTCGTGATACGAACACTTCGTCGACCCTTAGGTGCAATATTTGTCCTGTCCACACCCAGCCAGGTTTGGTTATCACCAAAGTAAGTAGTACTAAAACCAATCAACCCGTTTTTCCACGCTTTTTCTTCTGAAACATATTCCACAAATCCTTCTGTAGGGTCTTTCCCGGTGAAGAAGTCGAACTTGTCGAAAAATGATTTTCCAGCATATTCATCGACAAGTCGATACGAGGCTGCGGCCTTAGGGAAACATAAGTATGGTAAAATAAAGAGTAGGATTCTAAACATTGGCACGGTAATGCGTTGACAAACTAAATTTATTTTGCCCAATGGCAATGTTATGAAGCACGGTTCCTTAACTAACATGCTGAAATGATGTTGATATTTCTTTATAAAAAGAAAAGAAATTCTTTAATGGTAAAATGAATATGGAGTAGTCACTCTGAATGTATCTTAGTATTATTCAGGGCATACCATTCATTAATGTCCCCAGCAGAGTGCTGTTTTGCTGCAAATTGCCTGTTAAAGAAACGAAAATTGTAACAAAAACAATGGGGGAACCCATTTGAAAGTACCTGAATAGAAGCTCATAATATTGAATGTAACAAAAGTACCATCTCAGATTTGTGAATAAAGCAGCCCCAATATACAGTCTGGACTCCTGTTTGACTCAAATTTTTAGTAAATCTAAACATTTAAAGCCCAAAAGAATAAATTCTTATTAGATCATTGTTCTGTTTCTATGGAGCTTGTGTTATACGATATGGGTGCCACATGCATGTAGTTACTCATTTCTCCTCCTCTTTCCGTCTAAGACAAACTATACCACCAAGTGAAATACTGGTGCGATAGGAATTTCAATAGCCATACCAATGTTGCAGAGTATTAGATCATTCCTTAACTATCCCTAAGGATACCCACAACTCTCTTTGCAGCCTCATTACTTTCAACGTCCTCAGGGACGACACCAGCGCGTTTCAATATCGCCACAACATCGACGATTATATCTTGTCGAACGCCTCGGGTTCCGGCCTTGACAAAGCGGACATCCTTCAGCCACTCACTAGCATCTTCTTTTGAATAAGTACACCCCAACTCTCCTGTTCCAAGTAGCGAAATAGCACCCTCTGTATTGGATTCAAAAGCAACAATACCTTGGTCCAACGCATTTAAAAGTTGCAGCAGTCGTGGATCATCCTCCGGCTTTGGAAAGGTAGCCGTAGAAGCAGCAATGTGCCATGATGGCCATGGTGTGAAAATCTCACCAATCTTCTTTAAGGGGGGGGATGGAGTAGAGGGCGTACTGTCAAAGTAAGGCTTAGTAGTAAACTGTTCCCACATGAAAAAATCGGCAGCGGCAGTCACAGAGCCATCCGAATGTTCAAGATTGTCTCCTACGACTCCATCGCGCAGAGAGGAAAAAGGTCCCAGTATAACAGGCGACAGCGGGGAAGAAGGAGGCCAGTTTTGCTGCTTCGCTAGGACGAATGACATGACATGGGACCCGCTAGACACGATGGTGATGAGTTCTAACACATTCATATTTTCGTAGCGAGGGGCTACCTTCTTACCTCCCCAAGCGGCTGACTCCAACCCTTCCACCTTTGACATCATCCACATTTAAAATATCATTTCTCTTTCTTCCCGTAACAATTGCCCATCTTAGAGGTGTTTCCACCCACTGGCCGACCATCTTGTATCCTCCATCGACATCGGCCCCCTTGTTAGCCTGCTCCTTTCCGACGAGGCCCGCGACCCATCCTTCCGTGAGACCAATGCCGATATCAATTTCATTTTGTCGTAGGGAAGATATCATATGCCCAGTCCCGGAGGGGAAGGGTGTTAGGGAAACGCTGAAAGGGAGGGATGAGAATGCCGAGCGAGCCGCTAAATGTAGAGGGGTAAGGTAATGTTCTACAGAAGAAACAATGGTCAGACCATTCTGAGAATAGAACTCAATTCTATTTGCCTTGATGGGTATCCCGCGAACACTTTGCTTAAAAGAACTCGCGGGGGCGGGGTACCGAATGTATGTATGTAGGCAATTAGCCCAAGGAAACTTACCTGGAACATAGCCAATTCTGATCGTCCCCTCAGAGGTCGCCATCGTTCTTCTGTCAAATATCTGGAGTAGCTTGGTCAACACTTGAATTGGAGGTTGGCTCTCAGTTTTGTTTTCGTTGGGGTAGTTAGCTACTCCGAATACCTTCATGCGGGCCTTAACCATTGTAGTGTCTCTGGGAGAACAACAACCAAAAATCAGCAACATCTTATATATATATAAATTAAGATTTGAAGTCTATAAGGCATTTGTTACATGGTTGCCGTATATTTTAGATCCTTTCCATGCCAAAATGGTCATGATAATCGCACGTCCACATCTTTCATACCCCATCGATCATCATTCTGAATAGTGTCATTGCTAGAGGGTACTTTCTCCAGTCTGCTAGGCTGTCCATTCCCGAATATCCAATATTGTATACCTAGGTAGCAGTCACAGATGCATTGTAGAACCCCACAGATCCGAAACGCCAATGGTACCGAGCTGCCGCTGTAGAAAAAGTAGCCCATTTTCATAGCATCTCCTAGAAGCCAGGCGGTAATAACAGATACCCGGAAGCCGTTACAGGATTGTGATCTCTGATTGGCAAGTATCTGAGGAATCGGGAGAAAAGCCTCGATCCCAAGACCAGCGAAACCTAGAAGCGCAGTATATAATTTTGATTTAGAGACAGGGGGGAGTAACACCTGTACAAGGGCGAGAGTTAACGATAGATAGCCGAGAAATGTCCAATAGCTAAACCATGGCATATTAGCAGCTAGTTCATAACGTGAAAAAATGCAACGCAGATATTCAAGGTGCACATACGGGCGCGTTGCCCTCCATTGCCAGAAGTCAAAAGGTCTTCTGAACCCGTCTTTTCCACCAGGCAACTGTCCAATAAACGGAGTATGGTCGACTGGAGACTGGGGGCGATGATCAAGCGCGACTTTCAGTAACAACATTTGTACAACAATCATCACCAACGCCTGTATAAATAACGGAAAGGAGTACGGATCACTGAACCAATAAAAGATCCTAAATAACTCTATGTTAGTTTGATGCGCCTAGACAACTCAATTTCAGTTATAGAGACACCCACTTAACAATTGATGCAACGAGCATTATTAAGGGTATATCCAGCGAGAAGCCTGCGGAGCTTCTTGTCCGCTGTATGCTATATATCTGATCTGCATATGATAGAATTGGGGATAAGACTAAGCTGTGGGAGAGTGTTAAGACCTTTTGGTGAGCGTAGCTCGAGGAGGGAGTCTTACAAAAGCGGAGCGCCATACTCCATAGTCGCGGAGACTAGCCTCATCGTGAGGAGTCTCTATTTATGACCGCCTTCTTTCCTGTTTTTACAGCTCTCGGGGTCTCCGAGAAGGGCTATCGTGCTCACACGATTATCATCCAAACGAGATTGGCTATCAGAAAGTATCGGAAAATTTCAGTTTAACCGGCAAAGGGTGGAAAGGCGCAATAGACGTCCAGTACGGGATACGAAGTAGTAAGATCAATTGACAGAGAGAACGGAATGAAAGCTGTTCCAGACAGCCTGCAGTTGACAACTTTTTTGTTAGCGCACTACTACAAGCACGCTAGGGAGAACGGTCGGTGAAAGTAAGCGGGAGATCAGCTAACTAACAAATACGGTGAGTTTTTCGGAACGATAGCAGATGAAAGAGTGTTTGAGCAAAGATGAGGGTCAGATTGCGTCCGTGTCCATGATTAGATCAGTCAACCAACTATGCACTAGTTAGAAACATTACATATTGAGCTGAGATGACGACGCGCTGTGCGCGTAGGATACTTGGTTGGCTCAAGTAGTGCTCCACACTCGGTACTCCGTAGGCTTGGCGCATTTCACCAATTGCCAAGCTAGCTGTGTTACAAAGTTAGATAATCAAACATAGTTAGTCAGCAGAAAAGTAGCTTACTCAACAAACTATAAAATAAGATATCATTTGACCTGATTAGGTTCTGCCATCCTTTATCGGTATAAAGTACAAGTTAATGGCTAAATGCAATAGTTCGACCCATTCAAGAAAAGTCTATCTTCCAGGATTTGGTGATTGAGACGCCGGGGTCCTTAATAACAGCAAAAGATGATTTCCCAGCTCCAGAACTATGCCATTCCAACGAGGTTTGCGTGGGATTGGGTGTAGCGTCTTCCTGTACCAAAACTGTCGTTTTATCCTTCCACTCGGCAGGAGCACCGACAACAATAATTTTTTCAACACGCACTTCTGCCATACTTTTTAGATATTTCGCGGTTTTGATACCGCTAATCCCTAGATCTTCTGAGGACAGGGCGAATTTGTCGAAGACAAAGCGTCGGTGAATTATGGCACCACCTTGATAATCAAAAGTTTCACCGTCATCAACGTAAAGCTCACCCTCTGCCTTAGTATTCTTATCTAGGACGACAACGAGGGTATATGGGTCAAACTTCATCAGGCCACTGCTTCGGCGTGGTCTGTCTTTTCTAGGGATCACATGGCCACCTTGCATCAAGAGAGGGATCTTTTCTAATGGTGCTTGTACTGTGTGCATTTTTCCAGCCCCATGGTATACAGTGTAGTCAAAATAATCATAATATTTTTCATCATCAGCAATATATATGTCAACGGTAGTTGCTCCTTCGGTAACTACAGGCTTTGCGAGCAGACCAGTAGAGCCGAGGTACAACTGGTCATCGATTGCAAAACCTTGTTCGTCGAAGGGATGGATATAGTACTGGGGTCGAACGATGGGAGAGCCATCAATCGAAGCCTGATGAAAAGCAGTATACCAGGCTGGTAGGAGTTGGTATCTCAGTCGCAAAGCTTGAGTGATAATTGCAGTGTATGGTTCCCCGCTCAAATATGGCTCACGCCTTCGAGTGTCAATATGAGCATGTGCACGAAGAAATGGGTAGAAAATGCCTGCTTGATACCATCTTGTTAAAAGTTCTTTGCTTGGGTTACCAAAAAACCCGCCAACATCGGCACCTCCAAATGGAAAGCCAGCGATTCCGTTGTTTAAAACCATTGGTAAAGAGGCAGCAAGATGTTCCCAGTTCGCTTGATTATCGCCAGTCCACATTGCACCGAGCCTCTGAGACCCAGCATAGAAGGAACGAGTTAGTACGAAAGGACGTCTGAGTTCACCCTGTTTACGCTCCAATAATGCTTGATAAGTTGCATTAACAAATGTCATACCATTCAGATTATGGACGTCACGATGCTCCCAGCCCCCATGGTGGATATTATCCTTTGGCATTGTTGTTTCGGGCCCATTGAAAACCGACGGCTCGTTCATATCATTCCAAACAAAAGAGTTGTGTTGAGTTTCTTTGAAGGTATCGTATTTGAACAAGCCTTTCCACCACTCGATGGCAGAGGGATTAAAGCAATCAATCCAATGTGAGGATCCTGGCCAACACCAACCATCGTAGATGTTCCCATCTTTATTGTTAACAGCCAATTTCTTGCTCTTCAATTCATCAACAACAGGGTAATTGCCCTCGTTTTTGATGTGTGGGTCAATGATGTAGACGAGTTTCCGCTCCGAGGAATCAAGCTGTTTTTGCATACCAATAGGATCGGGGAATGTATGTGGGTCCCAGGTAAAATATTTCTTCTGATCCGTGTATTCGATATCAAGCCATATTACATCATAGGGTATTTGATACATGTCAAATTTTCGGTCAACTTCTTTCACATCTTCGTCGGTCACGTAATTCCAGCGACACTGGTGATATGCAATGGCAAAGTGCTGCGGTAATTGCGTGAACCCAGTAAGCTCCCCATAGGTTTTAGCGATGTCATAAGGGTTTGGTCCAAGAAAGACAAACACATCAAGGAGTCCGTTCTCAGAAAACCAGTGGGTTTGGGTATCTGTGGTTTCTTCAACTCCTAGGGATAGTGGGTTAGGGGATTGTTTCATTTTAACGATGTCAACCCAAGTTTCTGCTGCATTAAGCCAAAGAACACCGACAGTGGATCCGCCACGATGGGCTTGCATAAACGGAATCGAGCCATACAGAGTCATGGGGCTGTTTAATTCGTACTCAAACACATCGGCATTATAAAGACGATATGGTTCACTGTGCTGACCCTCACCGCCCCTACTGAAGTTAGAAGTGAGTAATCTAGTAGACCTGGGATGCAATACCTAGTTTCTTTAAGCGACATAGAGTCGGCGTGCTCCGGTATGCCAAACACGTGTTTGTATCCAGGAAATGTAATATCTAAACCAACACTCTCGGGTCCTCTCGGTTTCGAGTCGGTGTTTCCTCCAAAAGATTCTTCCCACAGAGTTGAATCTTCTGTATCTAGGGTGGTATCCGAAGAATCAGTGCTCTTCTCAATCTTAGCCCTCCAATGTTCCACATTAAGCAGCCCTCGATCATTAAACTTAACGTGCGGTATGCCATCGCGCTCAAAGGAGATGCCAAAAGGGAAGTGTCTGATGACGGCCTTGAATTGTTGATTAGCTCCAAAAACGACGTTAGTGTATCCGTTGCCAGAGTCTTTCTCTAGTTGCGCCAATAAGCTAGGGGTAACATCTCCGGTGATCGCCCACTTCGCAGCCTCATTATACCGCTCTTTCCTTACAGTGCTTCCATGTCTCAATTGTATGTCTCCTTTCTGACGTTTCTCTTCATCAATTGTCACCCGCGTAGCACCTGATTCGAGAAATGTTACGGCTAGCGGAAGGCGAACGTCGCCGTCCGCTGTTGTTGACTTGATGATTATGCCGCTCAATTGCCCATTCTTGAAGGTGACCGAGTGCGGGTCAAGTCGATAAGGGGAGGACCAAGCTGATGCTTTATCCACAATTGTATCTGCAAGGGCTCTATTTCGCTTGCAGAAACCAGACTGCGAGCACGTCTTAAAATTTTCGTGTTTAACCATGACTATGGCAAGCTTCGTGTTAAACAAAAGTAGCTATATAGCACCGAGCTTTCAAACTTACAACCAGGAACGACAAAACTTGTGATAATAACAATAGCCACCAGGGCCAAAGATCGCAAAGGAGCTCGGAAAAGCGCCATGAGGGCTGACGGAGTAGGTGAGCGAGCTAGCAAAGCGCAACGTAGCTAGATGGGTAGCGGAGATAGAGAACAAGTCACTCCATAGAGCTCATAAGACAAATATGGCACGGGCAGTGCTTCCGGATCCTAGCAAACAACACGCGCCAGCTATTTTGTGACGACCTGAGGGGTATAAGGGCTTGTGCTTACACCTATGGCGCCTGAACAGACTGATACATTTGACAAGGTGTATCATCACGTGACCTGGTCAAAATTCTCCATAACTAACTAGAGTACGGAGTAGGTAACATGGAGTGCCCGATCGGAGTACGGAGTATTCCGTGTCCCGAGAGCTGACCTCCTATTCTTGCACTTTGTGTGCTCTCCACAATCACACCCAAACCAACACCGCTCATTTTCCTGCATTTTCTTTAACGGGAGAAGTTCCGCCTGCATTGCATTGCGAACACGAGCGAATGGCTCACCTGACCAGTGAGAACATGCAAATGTTTGGTAGTTGTTCCTTGGCCGCCACTTCTCCAGTCAAATCGTGGATGACCAGCTTGACAAAAATAGCTTGATGTCTCACTTTCCGGGGACTTCGGGACTGTGTTTAGGTAGAGCTACAAAGTCATCAACTGGAAAGCCATCCATCGAGGGTTATAAAATGCAGCTGCATCCCTCGTAAACGGCAGCATTGCACTCCGCCTCGTTGCTACTTCTCTCCCGATTTTTCGACTGGAAATAGAATTAGTCGTTTGCTAAAATCCGACCTAGCTATTCAAAATGCGATTTTCTACCCTTTTTCTTGCCGGCCTGGGGGCTATCAGTGCTTCCGCCCTACCCACCACAGACACATGCTCGGGATCTAACCCCAACAAGTATTTTGGCCTCATTGCTATTCATTCCGGCAACGCAGTCCATAATGCTGCACTCAGTGCATCCTTAAGCAGCATTTTCGCCAATCTTCCTAACCAGAACGCCCAATGCAACCGGCCCAACGAGCGATTTGCGACCTTCTATATCAAGGACGGCGCCCTCTTCCTTTACACCCCCGAATCTGCCGAGAAGCAGCAGATGTTTGTTGACCGTTCCGGCATGGGTATATAACAAACAGCATTTGTTCTTACATATTTCATTTTCAACTAACCCCTAAACATGTAGGCATGGGAAAAATCGGATACATCACAGGAAGTTCCGGGCATCCCCGGTATGCCGAGCTCACGGGGTGGTCTATTAATAGCGAAAATCATCTCCAATTCGCCGGAAACGATCTAGTAGCCTGTCCCAACAGCATTCAGAACTCGTGGAGCATCTGGGCGGCTGGCTTCCAAAACCCAGGTCATAACCAGAACTGCATTGGTATTGCGGCGCGGGTCGAGTATAGTACGGATCCCAATGCTTGCGTTTACTCATGAACACAAAATTTGTTCTCTGATTTTACTGGAGGGCGAACGAATGCAATAGAGAAGCTAGCATGATATGGTCTGGCAAAACCTACTGCGTACATATCTTACTTTTTTTCGAAGAAATAATATTGCCATTTAATGCTATATAGAATACTTGTGTGCTTTCAGTGGGAATATGTTCCGTGACCCTAACTATCAGTCGTCCCTCTACACTGTGGTTATAATGTCCATAAACTCTAAAATATCCCACCACCAAGCTCCGGAAGGAACCCATCTAACGGCCTCCTCACGCTTATATCCCGACGCTTATATCACGTCCACTACATAGCATTATACCATTCAAGACAACACTCTAGCATAATCAATGGTACAATTATCAAGTTCTCCATGGTGAATGCAGGGTGTCCGCCTCCCAGCCCTGGGTACCCATACTCAGATTTACTCGACTTATCACTAGTCCCAACGACTCCGCCCCGTTGCCATTCACGAGTGACAGAAAGGTGGCATGAAGGCGAGCATAAAACGTTACTCCAATATATCAGGCAATTGAGAGATAATCATAGAAGTGGCGCAAGAGAGCTTGCAACAGATGCAGTGGAATGCCTTGCACTGGTGTGTAATATGATCAATGTGGGGTTAGCACAAGAAAAGGACAAAGACGAAGATTATAAGTATCGGGTGTGGTGGACCGCAGTTCGTAGGACTGGTTGGATTATTTCTACGTATGCGAGGCCTAGTATGAGCGCTGCGATCAACGAGGCGGTGTTGAAGGTAAAGACAGAGCTAGGGAGTGAGTCTCTAGAATGAGCCCATCGATGAGACAGCAATTGATAATATGCAGGTTAAAAATAATCGAAGACTACGTATGCAGTAGAAGGGATAGAAGTGATCCTGGAATGGGAGCTTACTTGCAACAATTCATTCGTCATAAGTTTCTTCCCAGCAGCCCCGAATCTACACCACGTACTGTTACGATTTTGACCCTAAGCCTGAGTTCTACTATCCGACATGCCCTGCTAGCTTTGTTGCAGCTAGAGAATTTCCATGGTACCGGTGATAACAGCAACCCGCTCATGGTACGGCTGCGCATCATGGAGTCTCGTCCGTTATGCGAAGGGGCGGACTTAGCGAAAATACTGGCCGATCAGGCAATGAGCAAGGCATTCAATAATTTGGAAATCGAGATCGCCTCTGATGCAAGCGTTGCAATTCTGGCAAGAGAGGCTGATATAATTCTCCTGGGGGCCGACAGAATTTCTGCGTGTGGGGATGTCAGCAATAAGACTGGCAGTTTCCCAGCGGTCGTTTGCGCGAAACATATCGCAAACAGTGCTGTCGCCATTGTGATATCGGAAACTGAGAAAGTGGACAAGCCGGATCATGGGGCCGGGCCCACAGAAGAGGACAACAGCCCGGCAGAGTTAATGCGTGCCTGGAGTGCCGACGTACAGCAAAGTGCATCGCTGGAGATGTGGAAACGGATCGTCCGGGTCAGGAATGTGTACTTTGAATGGGTGCCTGCGAGTTACATTGATTTCTATATCTGTGAAACAGGGATTCTTAGCGTGGATGATATTCAAAAACAATCACAGTGGGTGGTGCGTGCAGAACAACGAATATTTGGCGATCGTTGACACACATAGGGTGTGTGGCTCATGGCTTGGTTCCGTGAGATCCGGCTGTTCAACCACAGATCGAGCCAATTCTCGGCCAGGCCAAGGCAGCCTGTGCTTCCTCTAGTAATAAGACCCGCAAAAGCAAAGAGCATTATTCCAGACAGTGATAATCGAGGCTTTTTGACCGGGCTGGGAAGAAGAAAACCCTGCCGAGCCGCCGTCGATGCGGTCATAGAGCTTTATCGATAAGCCGGCGCTAGGCCCGAAACGGCACTGGGTAAACAGCCGCGACCCCGTGATCTGGCACTGCAGCGCCGTCGAGCATCCAAAACACGCACGGCAAACATGGAAATCTCGCCTGCGCTGCGGCTGTTGTGGTGAGTGGCGTGTCCGTGCTGTTGATCTGGGTCTACACGCCGTCCTTCCCTACATTTTAGCTTTGATTCTGACGTCGTTCTTGCCTGTCACTCGTTTCCAGAGCTACCAGTCTATGCTTTGGCAGTAGATGTCCCTGTGTGCCGGCCATAACATTCAATATTTCGGCCACCATCCGATGCCATTACCCCTAGGGTTTTGAACCACTGTTCGTCTATGTTATGCGACCTCGGCCTGGGCTTTGAAGCTCTGCGATTCTCCTTTTTTCCTCGTCTCCGCCCGACCTCCTGACACATCATCATGGCCCCTGAGGCGCCGCAGTTACCGACAAAATTCCCTTGTTGGTGCAGAGCCGTGTATTCGTGGGGTGGGGAGACAAAACGCGACCTGGGCTTTGTGGAAGGTGACCTGATCGAGTGTCTCAATGCCGGGGATGGGTCGTGGTGGACAGGCCGGTTGAAGCGCGACAGGAGAATGGTCGGAGTGTTCCCATCCAACTTTGTAAAAGTTCTGGACGAGAGCTTTGTTCCTTGTAGCCGTTCTGTCAGTCCCTTGCCGCTGAGCGCACAAGTCACCCCGTCGAACTCACTCACCGGCCCCAAAAAGCGGAAGACGGTATTTAGAAAGCCATTCCAGGGATATAAGGAAGTCATCGGACCATCTGGCACGCTGAGCCGACAGAATACGCCCGCTGCTGAACCCTCGATAACGACGCCCGTATCCCAGAATCAAACTCCTACGCGCCGTGACCCGGACCGTACGCCAACGATAAGACGGAATGCAGCTCCCGCCCGCTCTCCAACGCGGGCACTCTCGCCCGCTCCGCCCCCACCAATGGCTGAAGCCCCGGACTCTCCGCCACCACCTCCGCCGCCCCCGCACCGGATTCTACATAGACGCTCCGTGTCTCCTCAGCCGCCTCGCCATGATCAGATGCCAGGCAGCTATCCCCCAAGAACTCCCTCTCCCTGCCCACATTCCCCAATGCACGGCAATACGCCGTCGCCTTTAAGGGATGCCATAGAAGACGTAATGTCTTCGCTCCACGATATGAGCCTGCATCGTGGGCCCCCATCACCAGAACCTCCACGCAGTCACTCGCCGTTTCATTCCTGGTCCACCGACTCCTTTACTCGACTGCAGGGAAATGATGTTGAAGATAGACGCGGCCGACAGCTAACTTCAGGAAATGGCGGGCAGAATGAATTGCATAATGATGACATGTCTTACCAGCACGATACCCTCACTCGTTACCATGATGGCCCGCCTCAACTTAGCAACTATGTCGAAAGAATGGAAAGTCGATTGCGACAATTACATGCGCAGGAGAACAAGGACCGTGACGAGCTTCATCTTCCTCCACCCACCCCCCCAAACCACGATTCTTATGAGCACGACAGCCTTCGTTCACTGCGTCAGCGCTCGATACGAATTCGAAAATCCATTGGTGAACTCAATCATGCTTACCTGAGTCGCACTTACACTACAAAGTCAATTGCAACCAATTCATCTAGCGGCATCCAAAGTATTGCGACAAACAGCACAACTAGTACGGGGCTAACAAGCCAGAGTGTAATGAGTGGCGCATCTGCTGGAGGATTCAGTGCTACAAGTGCCGCAAGCTTTGCACGGCGCTCCAAAGGGTACAGCATATTAAATAAGCCTGAAAGTCCGGTTCACCGTCCTCAATCCCGGGGAACGTACGGCCACGAGAGAGAAGGCTCGATGTATAGTAGGCCACAGACGCCCTTGACTGGAATATCTTATCATTCAAGCCATAATTCCTCCCGTCAAGGAGCTACGTCTGCCTTGGGATGGTCCGAGTTTCAAAAAGCAGATTCGCCTGGTGTTTTAGGAGGGCTAGCAACCCCGAAATCAAAAAAGTCGGGGTTTTTGAAGAAAATTCTCGAGTCAGCAAAAACCGGGGCGGCTACCGCAAGAAGCAATATCGCCGCAGCCCAGGGTTCCCGTCCCTCTTCCCCAACGAAAAGTCTTCTTCAAGGTGGTATTGCCTCTCTTTCTCCTACTCGATACGGGAAAGATGCCTCGAAGGATATGGGAATTGGTGGTCATGACTGGGTCCAGGTACGAAGAGACGTTAATCGTGCCACTACTCCCAGTAGGAATGAGCTTCTTGAAAGAGCAGAGCGTTGTGAGATGCTGGACTTTGCCGTTATTGCTCCAATACAGGAATTTTACGACAGTGCCGAAGGGGACGAGGGCATCGATGGCCTTCCAATAGCCGACCCAACGAATTGGAATACAGTAAATTTGCAGCTTGTCGATAAAAGTGCTCGGTTCATTACCAGCTTGCCACCAATGATGAATCCAACGAGCCTTGCCCAAGGATACGTTTGCCGACCATATCGGAGCGATGCCCAGCGACTACGTGCCATTTTTACTTGGGTCAGCGAAAAGATTGCGTGGGACGATGATCTAGATGGCGAGGTCGATCTGAGAAGAGTCATCTTAATGAAACGAGGGTGCCCCCAGGAGGTTGCCGTCTTAGTGTTTGAAATGTGTTCCTCAGTTGGTCTTCATGCCGAGGTGATTAGGGGGTATTTAAAGACGCCTGGTGAAGCTGTTGATTTTGATTGCCTCTCGAGACCCAACCATTGGTGGAATGCAGTCCTAATCGATGGAGAATGGCGAACCATGGACTGTTCATTGTCGAGCCCGACACATCCGCGAAGATCACTTTACTCTGGTGCAAACCCACAAGCTGCTGACAGTTGGTACTTTTTAACTCGCCCTATGGAAATTTGCTATACACATGTCCCAATGGCAGCCGAACAGCAACACATTTGCCCACCTATCAATCCTGACATTTTGCTTTCCCTGCCAGTTGCGTGCCCATCATTTTTCAAAAACGACCTACACATTCCAAAGTATGATACTAGTTTGATACATATCACCGGGCTAGAAACTGTGCAAATTCGCATCCACGTTCCACATGACGTGGAGTGTGTTGCGGAGGTCGAGGCAATTAGTTTTGCGCACGATGCAGATGGTGATCGTTTTGAGAGTGGAGATGTGGTTAGGAAGCGAGCTTTGGCCCAGGCTGATTGGTTCCATGAGCAGAAGAGATTCACGATCAAAGCGGTTTTACCTGGTGACGAGGGACAGGGTGTATTGAAGGTGTATGCTGGCAAGAAAGGCCTCATGCACTCTTCGAAAGACATTCCTCATCCATTGGCTTTCGCTATTCCGATACTTCATACTGGAGACAACCCTCCTTTTGAGTTCGTCCTTCGGCATCCAACACCTCACGCACAACGCCATGACCTATACGTGATTCAGCCGCAATGTGCTCGGCTAGCCATCAATAATACTTTCGTCTTTGCGGTTCGCCAGCATCCAGCGTATTCATCATCATCGACATCAAGTTTCAGCGAAGTGAGCGGAAGATTGTCTCCAAACCCGTTTGCCCGGCCTTCAAGTTCGCTTAGTATGGTATCGTCCATAGCCACCGCCTCAAATGCGTCGTCCGCCTCCGTAAACAGTAAGAGTAATGGTTCCCGTGAAAAGCCGGCAAAACTGGCGATACAAACTCCGTCCGGCAAAATATTACGATTGACGAGAAAAGCAGATCATATGATAACAATGAATACGGCCTCTGAGTGGATTGATGATGGAGTAGCTGATGGGAGCGTTTGGGAGACGGTTATTAAAGTTAGTGAGCGAGGCGTTTGGAGAGGACTGGTCCTTGCAGATCGGAGTGCTAGATGGTGTGTTTGGGCAGAATGGGAGTGCATCTGAATCCCTTCTATTCTATTTTGTGGTTCAATTTACCTGTTTAGACTATAATTGATTTGGCGCATCTTGATCCACAGCTTTGCAAGCGGTTCTATATCCTGAGTGAGCCCTTTTCCTTTTTCATTGTACAGAGCTAAAGAACCTGTAACACATGCTTATGTCTGAACTTTTTATTTCAATTACAATAACAACCCCATCCATTTTCTTTTGTTCAATTGTTGACTTCGTACCAGAGTCAACTCTCGTATGAATTTTGCACAACAAATCCCTCTCATTCCTAGGAGCATTTATGTTCAATTATCTGATTGGCAAAACGACATGCCTTAGGTGGGCGTTGACAATCATTGGGCTCCTGTCATAATGCTTCTCAACAAGGGAGCAACTTGTTTTCTGCTCTTAGATACATTTTCTTGATCCCAGACATGCACAAGAAGCGGGGTCCTTGGCTGAAAAGCAGCCAAACTATTTGGAGCTTGATATTGTTTGCCCATTTTCATTTTTAGACCAAGGGCGTCAGTAGCAAGAGCCTTGAAAGTTGCCAAATGTTGGATGTAGGCGTCATTTGGAACATATAGCAGTAGCTCACGATGAAACTTGTCACCTGGCTGAGAGTTGTATGCCGTCATTACAGCAACGACATCTAGATTTCTCGACAGTGCAAAGTTATGCAAGGAGTAGAGAAAACTGCCGACAGGCGATTGCGAAGCCCCATGTGTTCCATTTTCTTCTGTTGATTTAACGAAGAGCCACGACAGAGACCTCACGACGCTGCATATACCGGTTTTGACACTCATACTCTGATTAGAGGAAACTGGGCGGATTATCTGATCAATCCAATCTTTGTAATCGCGGCCTAAGACCTCGTTGATGGTTAGATTGTCTACGCTTGCGTTCTTTGCCTGAATTATCTGTTCGTAGAAGTCGTTACGGTCCCAAACGGTATCTTCTGCTTGCCTGATTTTATTTTCTAGAAATGATACTGCCCGCCGGTCAACTTCTGAGACTTTGTCTTTTGCTGTCATATTGACGGTATCGGCAAGAATTGCCGCTAAAGCAAGCTTTGCGACTTGCGATTCGTATGTTTCAGGAGGTGGGTCAGCTTTTTCTGACAGTGCTGCATCACGAAAACGGCTGTCCTCCCACAGTCCACGAGACTGGAGTTCGCGAACAACAAGAGAGGTACAGCTTCCTACCCCGGTCTGAATACAACGTAGTCCAACATCTAACGGAACAAACTTTTCATCTTCATGATGGTCGATACATCCTTTCACCGAGATGGTACCGGAAATACCCTCAATCCCTCGAGTTCCGTTTGCAAATGCTGACAAAGCATTCCAGTCTGTCATGAACACATTGATAGGTTGAGCGGGCTTGGGAGGTTTGTCGCTGGAATGCAGCTGTTCTTTTAGACTGGCGAGGGTTAAGATGTTTTTTTTCAGTAACTCTTCATCATCTTGCCCAGTTTCATTTGTTGCAAGCCTTAATGCTGTCACAAACTCCGGACGTAATTTTCCAAGTGCCCTGCCGGAGGGCACGTTAGGTAGATTTATAACTGGGACGTATTGGTGGGAGATATTACTTTCTCGCTGCGGATTTGAAGCTGAGAAATAAGAAAATAAAATTGCTGATATTATTGAATCTAGATCTGCAGAAGGATTTCCTAGAACATATGTTGTTTGATTTGTCATAGAATGGTGAGTAGCATGTCTGAGGAATTGAAGCAGGCTCAGAGGTTGAAAGGTTCGGGCGGCCATTTTAGCTTGAAGTTTTTGAAGGGACCTCCAATTTTGCCTATACTTCGTATAATCTCCTAAGCCGTTAAATCACAAGATCAAGAGCTTAGACATTACACAAGTTACCGGCGAGTATGTAGACTCCTGTATGTACTCCGTACTTTGTACTGATCAAAGAACGGTTAAGAGGGTAGGTGTCGGGTCTACAGAGCCGTCACGTGAGAGAGGTAGCCGGTAGATGGTCTGCGAGAGCAAGTGAACAACATAAGATAGCAGCATAGAGTTAATAATACAGCATTGACCCATGAGAATAATCACGATGACTGTAGCATCACAGAAGCCCCGCCCACCCTTTGACCGTTCCCTCGTTGGAACCATAAGCAGGCAACAATCAGAAATCGCCACCAGGGACAGGAAAGTGGCATCGACAGCGTACGTAAATAACCATCGAGCCAGATGATCAAGCAGAAAAAACAGAAAGAGAATTCAAGTGCAAGAAGTAAACTCCGGTCAGACAATAGCAAAGCGCTCCACCCACCATGGACCCGTCCCCATTACTCCAGGCAGATTGGCGCTTCTTAAATCTGATGACCATCAACCATCTAAACAGTTAAGAAAGGCAGGTATGATAAGTTATACATATTACAGGCATATAGAGAGAGAAAAAAAAATGTAAACAGATAAAATCTCCACGTTGTAAATAGCTTAAATATTTCAATAAAACGAAAGAACTTATCGGAGAAATTCGTCGTCGAGGGAGTTAGAGGTATCTTCGCGACTTGGACCCAGGCCATCTAGAAGACCGTTTTCTTGTCCAGGGCTCCCCAAAACCTCATTAGACCCCGACATCGAACGATCCCTTGACGAGCAATTTTGAGCAGTTTTCAATGCTTCAAGCGCCTCGTTGGCATGGCTTATTTCTTCAACGGGTTCTGAATCCTGGTTGGTCAGGTCGGCGAAAAGATCATCCATGTCAGGACGGGGACTGCTGCCGAAAGGATTGGTGTCATCAAGGCCCACACTAACGCCGGGGTCACCCTTTGTGAGGTCGCCAGGGGATCGCGATCGTAGCGAATTATTACGATTGAAGTCTGGAGGGCTGAATAGTGACTGATCAAGCCCTGGATGACGCGAGGGAGGCGATGTAGGGGCAAATGTCGGAGAATGTGCATTGTTGTCTTGGGGCAGGAAAGAACCTGGGGCAGAATTATACGGCTGGCTATTGTCACCAGCTGTTAAAGTATAAGGATTAGAAGCTTGAAACGACGAGGTCGATTGAGAAATAGGAATCGAAGGCAAAGTGGTTGGCGTAGTTACGCTTCCAGTTGACCCGGATGCATGGTCCCCAACGGGAGTTGCCGACCCTTTCAGCGGAGTGGGTTGCAGAGGCGCTGGTCTGGCCAAATGAGGCTCCGTTGATTTTCTCTTTTGAGGAAAGGTATGATATTTGGTTCGAAGGTGAAGGGGAAGGTCTTCTGGCCTCTCTACTCCAAGCTGAGCCATCAGTTTTTGTTGCTTTGTAGGCCTGGGTTTTCGAGTAGAAAGTGACTGTTCCAATATAGGCGGCGGTTCGGGGGCAACCGGGGCCCACCGATGAATTTCTTGACGGAAGTAATTCGTCTCAAAAGTAAGCAAAACCTCAGCACCCTCGATTTTACGCAGATAAAAAATCTGTGTGGGCACTTCCTCAGCAGTGGTGCACGTGGAATGCGTAAACGAACGTATAAAATCTCGAAAGGCAGTGGCTTTGTCGATTATTGACTCGAGTATTTGTTCCTCGTCAGGTTGAAACGGAAGGTCCGGAATTTCCGCCTGCCATTCAATAAGATCTTCTAGCTTAGGCCGAGCAGCATCGCGAGGGATTTTAACACGCCAGTCACAAATTGGGCAAGTATAACTATCATACTCCTTGACTTTACCGCGGGCGATTTTCAAACATTTCCCGTGATACCTAAAAAGGAGTGTCAGTAGAAACCATATCTCAAAACTAGGGCAAGGCTAGAAATAGGCAACCTACCATTCATGACAGACTTCGCATTCAATCATTAAGCCTGCCTCCTGTTGCCTGCAGATACAGAAAACATCCTTCTTTTTTGAACGGCTGCCAACCCAAGGATGAGATTCTCCGCCTTCTGGGGTCGTTTCGCGCGACGCTGGTTCGACAGGAGGACGGCATCTATCCTCAAGATCGAAGCAAAATGAATTTTTCTTCTCCACATACTGCATATGCATCTTGAGAATATGCAGAGGGGCATTCGCTTTCCCAAAAAGCTTCTTGCCTCTCCTCATCCAGTCCTCATGGCGCTTTTGCTCCCTTTCAAGATCGATAGTGCCAGTTGGCTTGCTATTAAGTTGTGCGAGAGACTCCATTAGTTCCCGGACCTCTTTATAATGCGGGCGCATCCTAAGATCCGAGCTTTTGCTCTTCTCATAAAGGCTTGAGATTTGTTTTTGAGCTTCACGTTGTTTCGTCAAAATAGCTTCTACAGCAGCAAGTGTTTCTGGGGTAACAGGGAATCTGGTAGCTTGTGTTGAGAGTGCCTCAAGTTGCTGATAATGAACCGCTTCGACAGACATTAACTCCTTTGCCTTCGCCTCCCAGGTTTCGCCATGTCGACACATGTCACGTAGGTAAACAAGATGCTCATTAGTCTCTGATAGACCAAGCTCTTCACCTTGTTTGATTAGTTCACGGCAATCATCGAGTGTTTGATACTGATCACGTCTGCGGCGAGCTTCATCGTTCCATTTCATCTGCCGTAGTACCTTTTCAAGTTTATCAACTTCCGGTACATCGACGTTAAAATTCTTCCCAGATTCGACAAGTTCCTCCACTTCTTGTGTTGACGTAATATGGGGGTTGCACAGAACTGCTTGCGCCTCACTCTGAAACTTTTGTATTTCTGCAATTTTGTCTCGCAAGGTGACAATCTGCGGACAGTCAAATGATAGATTTTCAGCCTCTGTAAGAAGCGCATGTATTTTATCAATATTGCGCAATTCACGATCTCGCTCCTCCATTTGAGCAGCTTTAGCAGCATTCCCTTTACGCCAAAGCTTTTCATTTTTGCGGCGATTCTGCTGCTTTCGAGTGATATAATTGTTGGCCTCCTCCACCCACTTGTCACACCGCGAGACAAAGACGCCAAGATCTTCCAAGCCAGGTAAGTGGTATGGAATTTTCTCACCTTCAGAAAGCAGTGAGTGCATCGCTTTCAAGGATGGTTTAGGCTCGTCTTCCAAGACCTTTTCAAGCTTTTCTGTCCAGGCCTCAGGGATATGCGCTCGATCCTCCACCTTTTGTGCCATGGCTTTAATATCGTCATCTGACATTCGGTATCGTAGGCTATGGCGTTGTCCAATTAGCCGTTCAGTAATACCTTCGTCGCAACAAGCAAAGCTTTCTGTATGATGTAGACACATCATCTTGTCTGTGTTATGGCAGCGGAACTGTGTCAAGTAGCTGTACACTTTGCAATAGGCACACTGATACCCTTCTTCTGGAAGGTCCGAGTCTTCTACCACAATTTTGAAGCCCTCCGATTCTTTAGGCATATTTTCTGCCTGTTCAGCTAGTTCATTCTGCCGTTTCAACTCCTTTTGCCTTTCCAACAACTTTGCACGTTGTCCCAGCTCCCTCTTACACATTCTCTGCAAAGCTGGGCTAAGCCACTTAGCAGTCTTTATGGATGTATCTCTAGCGGCGGCAGTAAGCAGTAACTCGTCATGAGAAAAGCAAGGTTGACGTCTAAATTCTTGGAGACGAGCGACTCCCGCCTGTCCAAATGGTTCCCAGTCCGCCGGAGCAAAATTCACGGCTTCATTGAAGTTAAATCCATGATTAAAGCCGGCATGATATGCCTGAGGAAAAGTTATCACGAATTGACCAGCTCTTTGATCAAGCGCGAAAACATTAACGCCGGCTTTCTTCAGCTGATCCGGTGGTAGAAGAGTAACTAGCTGAAAGAGAAGGTCTGGTTGAGTCTCGAATAGTTCTGGAACAGCTCGCCGCATGGCTTCTTCAAATGCTTCCGCATCAGCACCCGGGATTCCGTACCAAGTTTTGGTAGCTCCAAAATGTTGGTAATTGGCTGAATATGAATAATGGTCTTCATTGTGCCAACAAAACGTGGAGAAGCACATCCCAACGTAAACCCAAGGTACAGTCATTCCGGAAACATCTGACTTTATGTGACGAAAAAGGGATTCGCCGTGGAGTGGGAGCACATTCAAATTCCATGGATCAACTGAATACGGGTCTAGTGGCTTTCTTTCCACTGTAGGAAAACCGCTGCCATGAGTTGTAGAATGAATATCAGCACCATATTCAACCTCTACCGTTTCTGTAAGGCTTTCGACAAGTCTCCAGAACTCTCGTTCGACGTCATCCTCTGTTTCGCGTCGTTGAGCATTAAGAACAGGATCAAATGGCATCTTCCGTGAGAAGTAATTCCGTTTAAAAGCGTCTGCCTTTTCCTGGAATTGTTTTAGAGAATATATTCCACCTTCTTCAAAGCCGTATTCCCCAGTTCCAACAAGACATTTAGGGCAATGCCAATCATAATTGGGAGCAGAACTGAGAGGTGGATCAAGACACTGCATATGGTAGCCAAGGTCACATCCGTCGCAGACAAGTATGGATGAACGATCGGAGGTTTTGCCACAGATTTCACATTTCTAACCCCAGATAATTGTTAGCAGATCTCCTAAATTATTAGTAGATACAATCTAAACTCACATCTCCAGTCTTTCTATTTCCATTTTTCATTCGTGACTGTGAAGCGGTTGGGCGTAATAAACTCATATTTGAGCCCGAAACGACAGGGGCAGGATCTAAATATTATCAGTGACCTTTTAAGAGCAGTGAATAGTGGGTACTATTTAGTACCTTTCTTGATGCGCTTGCTTCGCCGCCCGTTTGCGCTGTCCATATCTCCATTCTCGAGTTGCGAACTAGGTAATGCACTCTCAGTACTATGGGCCCTTTTTAGTGAATGGACGTCATAGCCATTAGCGGCGGGTACATGGTGGGATTCCGAAGTTTTCGGTGTCGTAGCGGAATCTAGGGTCTCGCCGGCGATTTCCGTTGGCTGCTCTAATTCTTTCTTTACGGGTGGAAGATTGTTTACCGCAACGAACGAAGGAGTTTTGGCAACACCATTTGCTGGTGCATTGACAGCAGTAAAGCCGGAAGTGATAACTCGTGGAGTAGCCTCTTCAGGAGGAAGTTCGGGCTTGTGTGGTGTTCTATCAGTTTCTGGAGAAGGTTTAAGTACTGCAGAGGTCTTGGCCGCAGGTGACGGTTTAGGTCCTGCCGTTAAGCCATTCGTATGTGAAGAGAACTTTTTGGCGGCAGGAGATGACTTTGGGGAGGGCGAATAGGGGCCGCCGTGCTCAATTTCGAGCTGTTGTTGGACGCCTGGCTTAGCAACGAGAAGGTAGTCTTCATAAGGCTGCAGCCAGCGCTGGTAAGAGTTTTTGAGTGACGTAGATAGCGACGACATTATTTTGCCGCTGTAGCCTAAGTCACGACCAATTTCTGCCCATTTCTTGAGTTTGCAAACCTGCTCGAATCCACCGCGAACCTCCACCGCCTTTTTCAACTTATAGAGATCCAGTGGACGTTTGTCGACGCTAGGGAATCGGGCCAAGGTGGTCCCATGCTGTTTGTGGAACTTGGTCAATTGATCGAGATAATTCAGGTTTGCTCGGGTTCCTTAAAGCACGTCAGTGGCCCATCCTGGGGAACATGTAACTAAAGAGTGTGAAGATGGTTACCTCCTTCTACAGAATTGAGCTCCTGTCTACGGGTCCTGAAATGAAAGCGCTGAAAATAGCAGTTAGCAGCACGGATCTATAATTCCAGCCGAGCAAGTAACTGGTAAGGCGAGGGAGCTCAAATACCTCCGTATCGATAGCAAATTGTGGATCCCAGCTATCTGGCGGAATTATCTTGCATATGCCATACTTTTTTCCTTCGGGTGTGATTTTTCGAATGTATTCCATTGGATCTTTGAACTCCTCCTTAGTCGGGCGAAAAGTCGGAGCCTCGGATAAGCCATGTGGCCTGATTCGTTTTGTAGGCTCCCGAGCGGCGCTCGAATGCCCTCGGCGCTCAACAGTTGAAAGGTCTAAGGGGGCAGCTCTTCGAGCGCTTAACGGAACGTTTGGGGCATAGGAGAGATGGGTGGTGCGGGAGGACGAACGGGGCGTCGGTTGGGTGGGCAGCGCCGCAAGATTCCCTCCGGTTGAGGGTGGAGCGACCATGTTTTGAACGGCAAAGGTAGACGTGCCAGAGAGCTCAAGGCGCGCCTAAGGAGAAGCCCAAGGGTGATGGGAGCGACGCATTGGTGAAGCGAGACCCAAGGGGAGCCGCAGAGGACTTGGGGAGCGGCTGCACGGGGCACGAAGGGCAGGTGTAGCAGTCAAAGTGCCCAGCAAGTAAGAGACGAAAGCACACAAGACTCAATCGAAGTGTATAGGACGAAGGCAAAAAAGCAGCCGACAGCCCGAGGCGTGGATGGTTGGGCAACGAGGAACGAGAATATGTAGCTCATCAATGGCGATTCGAAAACGAGGAGAGAGAGAGAGTTCCCGACGAGATCGGACGTGGAGACGGCGGTATTGGTACGGTATCGTACGGTGGTCACGGTATGGAAAAATCTCTTCCGTGGGTTTGGTACGGTAACGCTCTCGCTCCTTCGCCCGAGCAGGTTGCCAGCGCTGGCTTGCGTAGTCCGAGCAGGAGCAGGAGAAGCTGCAGGCCGGCCGGCGAGCATCTCACGGCCGTGTTTTCAAGCCGCAGCTTCTCGCCGTGCGTGTCGCCGCCGCCTATCACATACAAGTGTCTTGGCCATTACACTCTCATGTTACGGAGTACTTGTGTCACAGGGGTCAACTATTTCGAAAATCAAACTGACTGCGCCGGCGGCGAACATGAGATGAGAGCATTGGCGTCAAGCATTCCCTGCAGTTACATTTTCAGCGTTGATATCCGGATTGCACTGACAACGTGGTGAACGCTGAATCGACAACCTGTCATCCTGTTGTACGGGCTGCGGAGCCTTCGCTACACTCACCCAGAAGGCTATAATACTTGCCAGGAGCTACGAAGACCATACAGCTACCTATGCTCGAGTCCGTCCCCCACTCCCTTTCCATGGCTTTAGTCTTTTTCGGGACAAAGAGGCCATAAGTATCTGGCTTGTATGGAGTACCGTTGTAAATTGCTATTTTAGTCCTGGAGTTATGAAATAATCACGCCCAAGAAATGCTCAAGGCTTTTCAAAGTAAGGTCTGTCCTTCGCATTTCTACATCAGACATACCGCCATGCGGGGGCGCCTTCGCCGCTGAAACGAGTCCGATGAAAGGCGTCCAAAATGCCTCTCAGCCTGGCATACCATGTGAATATGTGCATACTCGCATGGCTATCCATTTTTCGTCCTCCACAAGCTGCGGAAGTTGAGTGTGCGGGAGCTTTGGCTTGCATGGTGAAGTTGGGGGCTATCTCGGCGGCTAGTGCAAGCCAAGAGGATAATGTGGGAAGGGTTTAGTCCCAACTAGTACTAGCGTATGTACACTTGCGGAAGAACCATGTTCCGCCAAAACCACAGGTCGTTGCCTGGGCAGTGTGGTGTTTTTGTGCCAACGCTGAGCTTTATGGTTTAGAGAGCGTCAGTATTCTCCGCCCGCCTGGGATATCTAATGGTATTTCATTCTTGAATTCAAATATGAAGCTGTTGGCTTGGGCTACAGCTGTATAAAAGCATGGCGTATTTTGAAACTCCCAATGCTTTAGATGAAAACGAAAATGCCTTCAATACCAAAGCCTGCCCAGGCTTCATCCCAAGATCCAGTCGCACCCATACCCCCCTTTTATTGTGTATATCTTCTCCGATCGACCGTTCGACACGCCAGTCTCTATATCGGGTCTACACCAGATCCAGCGCGCAGGATTTCGCAGCATAATGGTCGCATAAAAGGTGGTGCAAAGAAAACACATAAGGATACTCTGAGACCGTGGGAAATGGCCGCCATTGTAAGTGGATTCACGAGTAGAACCGCAGCATTGCAATTTGAGTGAGTCTACCATTTCCCCGGACTACTAGTGCCATTGCGTAATGAATAGAATTGAAACATATATACGTAGATGGGCATGGCAAAATACACGTAACTCTCGTCACGCTGCTATTGATAGCCAATCATCGAACCCTAATATTAAGATATGCCCCCGGACTGGGAAGAAGTCAAATTCGTCTGCTCGTCCTAGGTTGTCCATGACCAGCGTTATGATATCCCTTCATTTATTATTACGCTCTGAATACTTCTCTTGCTGGCCATTGGAACTACGCTTCTTCTCGATAGATGCTCATCGCGTATGGCTTGGATGCTGTCAGCACTCCGAAGACCTTCTTCCAGACTCCATAGGCATCGTTTTAGACCTGCCGAATGAGCAAACAACTAACTCTAGCCCTTTCGATCGGCTTGATACCAAAAATGCAAAACTGAAGACATACTTTTCAAAATCAGAGTTTGTCATTGACGAGGATGAGGTCATTTCTTGTAAAATCTGCAACCAGCAGCTAGATACATTGAATGATCTGATTACCATCTGTTCGCACGACCAGTGCAGTGGCGTGTCCCATTTGACGTGTCTTTCTTCCAGCCTCCTTGAAAAGTCGCCCAGCAAAATTATCCCAGACAGTGGGAGATGCCCGACCTGCTCTTCTTTGATAGAATGGCCCATCTTGATGAAGGAGATGACATTGAGGGTCCGGGGTCCTGGTGCTAAGAAGACCGTGAAACAAAACACTGAGCCTCCCAAAAACAGTAAGAATGATGAATCTCAATTTTTTGTGGTTTCCAGCGGGGAAGAAAGTTGTGGTGAGTCCGCAAACATCGATAAGGGGCATGGTTGTCCGACAAAAATGGAGCCCAAACTCCACAGCAATCTAATCGATCTCCCCTTTCACCATAAAACAGTATTGCCTATCGATAAACATCAGAGAGCACTACCAGCAGCGCCCTGAGTGTTCAAGTATACATTAATATTCGTCAGTCCTCAGACTTCGGATCGATGGCACTTCAAACTTTTCCCTTCATTCAGAGGTAATTTGCTGTTGAAAACGCCACGATTCGAGATTCCTCAACGGTCCGGCCAGATGGTTTATTGCTGCAAGAGCTTGAGAAAGGATATTCTGCGCTACCTCATCCTGGGGACGACCAGCATCAATTACCCGCATTTCTTCGTTGTTCTGCATGGTTTCCAGGGATTTGAATAACTCGCCGACTCGTTGTTGAAGAGCAGCATTCTCGTACCTTTCCAGGCCGTACCCTCCTCGTTTTTTAGCCTCCTCTGGCGAGATATTAAGGAAAAACCATATATCGGGACGTGGCAATCCTACTTCTGGACACCAGGCCCAATCAAGGGAGAGACTTTGGTTGTTTTTGGCGGCTGAGTAGACAGCGCCTGAATACGAGTAGCGATCAATGACTACTGTTATACCGCTGGAAATATCGTTGCGTATGTTTGATGCCAATTCCCATCTATTTGCCGAGAAAAGTAGGTGGATGGCATGGTCATCGAGTTGGGCTTCACCCCGCAAATAACTATCAATGATTTTCCCAACCGACGTGGTCCTGTCTATTGGTAAATCAGCTTATTATTAAATCCTTGCTCCCAGTTCTTGGTCAGCATACCTGGGAAGCGAATGTATTTAGCCTTGTGATTCAAATTTTGAAGCTTCTCTGTCAGGAGTGCGCACTGTGTTGATTTGCCCGCCCTGTCGAGTCCTTCTACGACGATAAGAGCGCCCCGATTTCGCCAATTATCGGACGTATCCTGATCCATTGTTGATTAACTTCGAGATCTGGAACACTACGCCTTTGCTCTCACACAACAAAGATTAATTAATGGGTTAGTCAGTGGTTGCTGGCCTGGTTGAATTTTATGTAGCCTGTCGTGCTTCTTTCTCTGGTTGGATTGAAATCTAATGTAATTCACAAATGTTTTTAATAACTAGTTAGGTGGCATGCTCCCTTGAGCTTCAAGACCGAAGAGTGGTAAATATCTTCGTGTTATGGTGGCATGTCTTGGCGGCACTGGAACAAGGTTATCGATAAAGAAAAATTATTAAATCCAGCTTGAAAGCCGGAAAAGCTACGGAGTACATCCTTGCAGCCAGAACAGCATGCATTCTAACGTCCATGAGAACGAACCCAACGAGATGCACGGGCATACTCTATTCAATGCCACTTCCGCCCTCGCCCCGCGTCTCGGCCGTCTCTGCTTTCCTGGAAGAAAATCCATCCAGACTCCTCACTATATCCCAATCACCTCGCGCGGTGCAATGCCTCATGTATCTCATGATGTGATGAGAGACCACGTTCCTACCCAAAGCCTATACATCGCTTTAGAAGACTGTACGAATAAATGCCTACACTATGAGATATGAGCTAATTCGTCGCTCTTCGGAGCAGCCCAGTCATAGAAAGAGGCCCGCGCGAAACACCCCCCGTTTATCAGTTTCCTTCTCCGTCACGCGAATCTACCTTGCGTAACTTCTTAAGCCTCCCAGATGATCTCGTTTTAGTGCTGGGCCCACGTAGAGTCCCTCCCGTCGTCTGCTCAGCGCCGAATACCTCCAATTCGATATCGATCCTCACTTCTGTTGGATTCCGCCAGCTAGAAGAGGAAGAATACGTCAAGGCGATACAGACGCTTCGGCCGGACTTTTCAATTGGACTCTCAGATATTGTTTTAGGCCAGCCACCAGGTGTTAAGAGACGCGAAAAAATGGTAGATAGAACCCATGCCTGGACGCGGGATGCTGTTAAACAGCTATACGGCAGCACTGTGCCTGGGCAAACAAGACCACTTTTTCTAGCACCATTGCTTCCACTTGAAAAAGAAATTCAGTCTATGTATGTTCAAGAATTGGAAGATGGGATGAAAGAGTTTATCTCTGGCTTCGCTCTGTTCGACGCATCGGCAACTTTAGTGGTTCCTGAATCTATGTCCCATCTTATCCGCCTTTGCTTCGGTAATGCAAGCACCCCCCATGATATATTACGAGAAATCCTTCTAGGAGTCGACCTTACAACTGCACCTTTCGTCACAGCACTCTCAGATGCAGGCTTAGCGTTTAATTTCACTTTTCCACAACCTCTCAAGCGAGACAGCTCGTCCCCCTTGCCTTTAGCAATTGATATATGGTCTACAGATCATTCGACTGATGTCTCTCCGCTGGTGGCTGGCTGTGAATGCTATTCTTGTACTACACATCACCGGGCATATATTCAGCATTTACTTAATGCAAAGGAAATGCTAGCTTGGACATTACTTCAAATTCATAACCATCAATTTATGACTAACTTCTTCGCCGCAATTCGGAAAAGTATCTCAAACGGATCATTTTCGCAGGACGTCGATACTTTCCAAAGGGTATATGAGTCTAAATTCCCGGAGCAGACGGGGCTCGGGCCGAGGTGGGTAGCATAACTTCTGGATTCAAATGAATCTTTCTCTAATACTCAGCTAGGATACGAGGATATCAAACCAGATCAGAATATGGTGCCCAGAAGAAGAACCCTAAAGTTTACGGGCGTCTTGACGATCATGTGGAGAAGCTTATGGAAGCGGAGTCCTCGGTTGCAACTCCGGAAACAGGAGCTGACGGATTAGAGGCCCACGGCTTTGCAAAAATACTAGACCAATAGAGTACCGATTACTTACCTGGACCGACCTACTGTAAGCTGACGAATCATACCCTCCGATTTTCTGTTGATCATGCAAGCCCATTATGACAAAATTCGGGAGGTATGTCAACTATGGAGTATGGAGTAGTTACTTCTTATTCCCCTGGGGCCCGACCCCCCTGCATGAACCATGCGTTGCACTTGTGCCGCGAACACCGCAGTCGATCTTATGAAGTGATTTAAGTGCCCACTGGAACTCGTCTGATTTCTATTAATAGATCGCAACATAGTAACAACAGTCGTTGAAGAACAAAATTCCTGGTGTGGAGTTACGATTTGAATTCCTAGCTTTTTTGGCACCTGAAACGATGTTTTACAAATGAAAACACAGCCGGCGCGGCTGAGGAAATTTGCCTATCTGCAGGTCTTAAACACTGCCCGATAAACATCGGTGAAAGATAGAGAATGAGAGTCAAAAAAAGAAGGCTACCGAAATAAACATGGAGAACTCCGTAATCACCAGGTCTTCCGTATCCGCGTGGGCCATCCACTGCTCGCCCCGCCATTTCAATTATAGCGCAGGATTTTCCCGGTGCCGGCCCTAGTTATTGCCAGCTACCTCTTCCGCAAACTCCACGATCAAGTTGCTGAGCAAGTCCGGCTCCTCGAGCTGAACCCAATGACCACAATCAATTGTTTTAATTCTTAGATCCGGGACCCACTTTTTTGCCTGTGCACTTTGCAGATCGGCCCTGCAGACATAATCCTGTTGAGCCGCAATGAATAAATTGGGTAACGGACACGGGATGTCTGATTCCGGCACGGCAGCCTCGTCCTCGGTATTCACCCCGCGCATGGCAGATTTGTACCAGGAAAGAGGTCCAGCATAACCACCTTTGGCAAAAATTCGATCGCGTAAGGTGTAATCAGCAAGGGAGTACCATGATGGGAGGGCTGTTGTTCTGCCAGCGCGAACGAATTCTGCGGCCTTTCCAACTGGGGCAAAGTCTGACTTCCATAACAGCGGATCATGCGGATACACGAGATTGAACGCAGAGGCCGGCTATTTCCAGCCAAGACTCTTAGCAATGAGAAGAAGTCAATGCGAACGGCAAGTTGACTTACATGCTCATTATTGTCCACGGCAGCTTCTTCGGTGTTGTGCCATTTCCAGTAGCCGTATGTTTCATAACCAACAATGCTTTTGGTTAATTCACAGATTGCATCTGCAACACAAATTAGCAAACGGCACTTTGCATGCAGTATTGATGTTGCTGTCTTTTTTGGCGCCATACCGATATCCCATACAAGTCCCGGCTCCACATAGGTAACGGCGACTGTTACGATGCCATAGAAGCGGTGACGTTGGTATGTAGCGAGCCGCGAAACCAAACCAACTCCCCTACGCCACCGTAATTGTTAGCTGGCTGGTTTACAGGTCGCACAAAAAGGTACGAGCAGAGGGGCGGAGACAGCAAATGTTTCTCAGGGCATGGCTTTTTCAAGGCACCGACCTTTTCGCACGGGATTTTTTGCGGCTGTGACAAACAAAAAAGGCGGGGGAAGCAGAACAGGGATTTTTACCAGTCGTGGGCCACAGCCACGGCGCGGCTCACATTCTCTAGGTCAAGAATTTCAGCCATGTGGGCACACATAGTCTTCATGCGATAAGCGGTCAGGTCCGTGGGCTTGTCAGTGTCACCATATCCCAGTAGGTCTGGTACAATGACTCCGTATCCTGCTTTCTGCAGAAAGGCAATCTGGTGACGCCAATCGTGAGATGACGAAGGGTATCCATGGAGCAAAAGAAAGGTCGTCTTGGACGCAGTAGATGCCGGGACGGCTACGTAGCCGTATGTCGTGCCGTCAGACAACGTTGCCTTTTTGGCGAGCGAGGGGAAGGCGAGGGAGGCCATGGTTTCAAGTACTGAGGACAAGACGAGACAGTTCTTCGCCTTCGTGAGAGACCGACATCTCGAGACCAAGCACCATTTTTATACTCAGCCAGGGATGTTTGACGGTGCGGGGCTCAAGAGACAACTGGTCACAACGGCAAGATACGCGTTTGCTGGCCAACGCACAGTTCGGGCCGAGCTGGCCGGACAAAGGTGTCATAGGAAATCTCCTTTTTCTGGAAATGTCAAAAGTTCGGAAGGCAAACGCCCACCGCACGTTGCAGCCGCATTGGAAACCAAACCGGAGAGCTTTGCGTCTGGTCGAGATGGCGACGCCAGAACCGCAGAGCCCTTCTGCTGCTAGTCAGTTCGGCCTGCGATCTCCCCGATCAGCCTTACCCGCCCGAGTCAGACCCCCGCGCCCGCGCTGCAGAGAACCGTACCGGGGCCGCCTTCGGCCCTGGCCCGCGGGTCGGCGGCCCCGCTGCGGGCGCTGGAGCACCAGAAGGCCCGCCAAGAGCGCCTATACGCGTTAGCAGCCGTTCCCTGTTACGCGGAACAGCTTCCGCTTTGGTGCTGAGGGGATGTTGCCCCCAGGGTTGGAGGCCTTGGAGCAGTTCTTCAGGGAGCGACCGCACCCCTGCCGGCGCCCAAGCCAATCACAGGCGCAAGACTGGCGATCTTCGCGTTGGAGCAGACGTGCACTGAGCTGAGATTACGTCCTACTCTGGCACTTCGTCCTAATGGCAATAGGGGAGCAGTTCAAATGCCAAAAGGCGGTGCTGGAGCAGGGGGATTGCTATCGATCTGCCATCTGGGTGCTCAGGGACCGGATCATGTTTTGTGTCGCCTCCAGTTCCCAGGCGTAAGTATCCATCGTAATAGACATCAGCTTCCCGGAATCCGGCATTTGACAATGACTGCTCTGCTTTATAGTCGGCGCAGCGTCCGAGCTTCCATCCAGCCCGGCCACGACCATCTCCTCGACCACAATGGCTTCCTCGCCCAACTGCCACATTGCCTGCAACCGCTGTCGCCTACGGAAAGTAAAATGCGACGGCAGGCGACCCTGGTGCAAACGCTGCTCAGGCACTGGTGCAGAACTTGAATGTTCATACGAGACGAGAAGAAAGAGCGCTAAACGACAAGGAAAATCTCCATCACCGCCTATTACTTCGAGTCACATCTCCTCCGTCATTCTCGCAGCAGATGCAGGCGCCTTTGGAACCTACGGGCCAATCGAAACGCCTTCCAGTGAAGAACAATTTAACGAGACCATCATGTCTTCCCTGCCAACATTCACCGCACTTGGGTTTGGCACACCGCTTGGAAGCTGCCTAGAGCCAATGCCATCCATACTATCTCATACCCAAATCAAGGACGCCGAAAATGCATGGGTCGAATCATCTCACCCTGGCGAGTTGTTGAACGATGATATGTTTGGCACTGACACTTCCATGCTTAAACACACCGATTTGCTATTCCCGTCTGGTGTACTACTCGATACAGAAACAGCTCCGCTAGAACATCTTCCTGAACTGTGAGTTACTCAAAGTGGTGCCTTGAGAGTCCATGAGTAATCGGTTCTAGTTACCATCGCTATTTCATGACGACACATCGAACATTCGCATTAATAGATCAGGATACATTTCTCTCAAACACCTCTGAAACAGTCAACACTCATGATATCCTTGCACTCAGTTGTGCAGTATGTGCCCACGCTGCAGGCGATTCATTAAAGTTTCCCCCCCCCGACGCAGGTCTTAGTTTTTTATCAGACAGAGAAAATAGTGGCTGGTATTATCGACAGGCAAAGCACCACCTTGAATTCGCTGAAAATGATTGTCAGAGTACAGTAAAATCTCTTGCTGCACTTCAAGCAACTGTACTTGTTGGCCTTTATGAGCTTAAACATGCCCAGTTCAGCCGAGCCTGGCTCACAACGAGTCGTGCTGTCTGGCTTGCACAGGCCCTGCAACACGGAAAATTGGACACACGATTCACACCACGAAGACGTATGTCCCTACTGACTCCGCCACCCACCCCATTATCAACAGACACAAACGAAGAAAGAAATACATTGTGGGCCGTTTTGACGTTGAATTGCTTTCTATCTGTGGGCACGAGCTCGAATATTATGGATAGCATTACCCAGAGCGAGGTATTGTCCCCTAGACCGCTTCGCACTAGCCCTCCTTTAATTCTGACGAGTCACTCTAGATGGGCATATACCTGCCCCAGGAAGATGACCTTGATATGGCATGCCTGCGGCTGGACGATGTTCTGAGAAGATCGCGCCCTTGGAAATTATCCGACCGGCAAGGGTTGGGCGTCGTTACAATTCTTTGTACTCGAACTATTCAGCACGCAAAAATGATAAATCATTCGGATCCCCTAGACCGAAGCCACTATTTCTGGACGCAGCACTATCATCTCGACGAAGCAATTCGCTATGTCAAGCAATCCACATCAGCTGATAATGATATGCCCCCTGATTCAGATGATATCGGTAGCAACATGATCCTGCGAATCCTGTTGAAAGCTACTGCCATATGCCTTCACGAAACCCTGATTGCCAAGACAGAGGTTGAGGTTTCTTCCCACAGCAGTGCAAAACGCGCAATGCAAATTCAGTCAAGCGAGGCCTTAACTTTGCAATATTCATTGGATATGGTAAATTTGGTGCAAACAAGCATCTCCAAAGAAGAAATAAGAGCCAATGTTTTCTTCTGCTGGGCAATTTATGTCGCCATCCAGTCGCTTGTGCGCCACCAGCACCGCAACGCGTGCACACATCCGCACCTAGAGTCCACTCGTCGCTTAAGTGTGAGTACGAGTCAAAGTAGCGGCAGCTCAAATGCAAGCACAGATGAGGTGCCATTCAGCTGTTTCCGAAATTCCTTTTGCAACGGCTTTCACGGCATTCCCAACAACTCAGGCTGCAAGCATTGTGGCGTTCCAATGGATTCCAGTAACGCATCGCACTCAAATTTTGGTGCTGAGGATATGTTTGTGGACACGTTGGCGGAGGCAATGATACTGGATTCGATCAGTTCACTCCAGTCATCCTTAATAGATCTGAGTCACAAAATTCCGCTTGCCAAATTTTTTTGTCAGGAAATTGAAATGGAACTCAGGGAAACCGCGTCTGATTTGAAAGAGCGGGTGGTAGGACTTGCAGCATTCACGAATACCAAGTAGTTTATCAGATGTCTTTTTTTTCTGAATTTTGTACAGTACAGTTTTTATGACGGCGGGAGTGTCTTCATCTGCATCTCGTTTATTCAATAAAATGCTGCTCCGCACTAGACTCTGGTGGCTGCTACCCTGCATATCATGCGGGCAAATATTGATTTTGACCATTCACGCTCTCCCCGAAGCTTGGAAATTGCATGTTCGTGATCCCTGGCGGCCAGGAGTCCGCAGCAGATGCTTTTTTTCGACTTCTGGCCAATGGCTAATAAACGTGTCTGTTGGTGAGCTTGTGGCATTCATGGGTCATCTGCATGCTATGCATGGAAGAGTCTGGTTATTATTCTTGCCACCCTTGTGGTTAGGGAGCTTGCTGCAAGAATTCGATGAGATTTTAGGTACCAGATCGAATCGAAATGCGCTAGCTTGGATTGGTTCGTCAATTGTCGAGGTTAACCGAATACTCCACATCAGTCACACGGCCCAGGGATTGTTAAACGGTTCAAAATAGTAACAAAAAATTTGCGAACGGGTTTCATTGCAATTCTACAAAATGCTACAAAGGATATAGTAGACTGCAGGTACACACTGATCCATAAAGACCAGCCACTGGCTAGGTTCGAACATTGCTCTTTCGGCCAGGATGCGAAGAACCAAATTGTTTCCAAATGATGGGGCTGTGAAGGGATATCTTCAAACTCTTCAATCTGTGACATCTGATTCGGAATTTGAGCTAACAATCTTCTGGCTGGCCCCTCTTCCTCTTCTCACACGTTTCGCTGCATATTCCTTCAGACAGTCGGCATAATTATGGGGTCCGTACGGAGAAAAGAATTCGGAAATAAAATTTCCCTTTCGGCGAGACTGGACACCCATGTCACCGAGAAGCCTGTCAAGGTAGCCAATCCAGTCGAATAGGGCATACGGATAACGTTCACCGACACTGCAGTATCTCATCCTCGTCCATGCAAGATACTCAGAAATCTCTTGGATCATAGTCTTTTCATCAGGCAGATCAATTTCTCCAAGCATGTAGGAAATGGCCCAGCTGTATATGCATATATTTGATTAGCTCAGCGGGCCTTCTTGGAGGGTACCTGATCACGACTCACAGCGATTGGACTCCTGCAATTGTTGGGGTCTGAACGGTGTGGATCTGGCCGAGAATGGCAATAGACCGGTCACCCGCCTTAGCCGCATCAAGGGGAATACATCGGTTATAGAGCCTCCATCGACGCTTTGTTGGTGTGCGATTTGGATTGAATTTCATGTCTTTGGGACCTTCGGCTAGCAATGGAATTGATTTGGCAACAGCTTCCTCTGCCGCCTTATCATATTTATGCCAGAAATCACCTTTTTCGTCATTTCCAGAGCTTTGCGAGCCATACATGGGTAGACCGAGTTCCTCTTTGAGTTCCGGAGAGAGATAACCGAAGTGATCACCCCAGCCAGTCGCACTTAGGACATAATCGCACTTAACTTCTTGCCCTGAACGAAGAAGGACGGATCCCTTCCGAGCGACGTCGACGTTGTCACGAATGATTTTTAGGTCTCCTTTTTGGAGTGTGCTCCAGAAGTCCGTCATAGTTATCAACCCGAGAGACGAATCGCACCAGAAACAACTATGGGCATTTAGTTCCAGGGATACCTAGCGTATAGAGAGGGGGTGATTTGAAAATACCTTTGATCTTTAATGTCTGGCTTCAGGGACTCAGTGGATCCAGCCTTGCCACCAAACCCAGCTGCCTTTTCACTTAAGCCCGTGATGAAGTTCCAGTGAGTTCTTGTCAGCCATCTGCCGAAGAATGTTCTATGGAAGAATGTGCCTAATAGGGTGTTTGTGTTGAACATCGACGGGCTCAGGTATGTCATGAGACGAGTACATCCAACTACGTAGAACTTTTAGCGAGTGCCTCAAGCGACCGAGATATGTCTACAAACCAGTAATAGTATTCAAGCCTCCAATTTCGTGAGGCATAATAGGCATGGGACCAGAACCGTCAGGCCGGATAATCCAGGTCACTCGCTTTCCGAGTGAGCAGAGCAAGTACGCTGCATCATACGCTGATTTGGCTGCGCCGACAACAACGACACTCTTGGCCGCCTTGAGCGCAGGTAGATCTATCGCAATGTCGCGAGAATGACCAACGGTCGCCCCCGGTTCGACCCTGAATGGTGTTTTATTGGGGACCGATGTGACGCCACTTGCAAGAATCAACTTGGCAGATTCGATATAGTGGCCATTTACTTTCAGTCTCCAGCCTCGAGGACAACGCTCGACCTTTTCTACCCAGCTGTTGAAGCGGATACGTCGCATGAGGTTATGATCTACAGCGAACTTTTCCAAGTAGCGCTGAATCATATCACCACTAACAAGGTGATTGTCCGGTTCTCCATCCCTGGACATGGGAACTCCGGGGTAGTTGAAGTATCCAAAGCCCACCTGAGGAAACTTGTGTTAGTTACGAGTATGCTTGTCATGCGAGAGACACAAAGTACCTGGGCAACAAGGTTGGGGTAGATACGCTTTTTGCTCCACACACCACCAACCGAGTCATCTCCATCAAAGACTGCTAGGTTGGTGCTGGGCTCCAAGTCTAAGTAAGTCCTCGCGGCCTTCAAGCCGTACCAACCTAGGCATTAGGTCAGTATCTATGTAATAAGCTAATGACTTGGTATACACTCACCGGCGCCAATAATGGCGACATCAAGGAGTTCGATCGGTGCTTCAGGGGCCATTGCAAGGGGCAGAGATCCTGAGGACTGGAGGCTGGAGATGTAGTTTGGGCTAAAGAATCGACTTTTGATCAGGATTGCACGGCATTAAAACTGATCTTGAATAGCACCAAAGGACTCGGAGCTTCGTCTCTGATGGTCTTTCATTCTATACCCACCATTGATGATGTCTCGGAGTCATCCTTTAACACGAGAAGATCATCCCGAAGGACCGAGCTCTGCATTTCAGCCCACCGAGCGCGGGGTGTTCACGGGTCCCTGTCCGTTGGCAATTGCCGTGTACAACCACGTGTAGAACATTGGAGTTGGCTACAGGTGATGGCACTGATCGGCCCTCAATGGAAGAGTCTGTAAGGGCGCTGAAACGTTCAGCTGGCCCCTCCAAAATTGACCGTTGTAAGCTCATTTTCAACAACCGAGGACTCATGAGACGGTTTTGCTGTGCAGGCTCCATGGCTTATTTTGGATACAGCAGCAGCACAGCTTCGTGAGGGAGTTGAAGCCATTGAGCAGGCCATGTGTATCTGCTGACATGAGTTAGCGGGCCATGCCACAGGTAGAGGTAGCCAACATACAAGCATAGTTTTGGAACACTCTTCGAGTCCAAGAAGCATGAACAGTGTGAAAGACCTTTCTGGGCCCAAATCGAGAATTCTAGACGCGCCAGTTTCGGCGCGTCGGCGCGTCGGCGCGTCGGCCTTAACTAGTTAGTTAGTTAACTACCTAACTAGGTAACCAAAGCGGCGAGTGAGTTCTAACATCACGTCAATTCACCGCCACTCGGAGCTGGAAGACAACAACCGCAGCGGAGTCGCTCTCCCATACCTGGATCACTAGTTCACCACGGAGATTCCTCAATTCTGCGCCCCGAGAACCTTAGGAAGCATTGCCGTCGGACGCCGTGCTCCGTATAATCCGAAATCCTTGCTGTGGCCGTTGGATATGCCGCAAGCATGGCACTTCCGCCACCGAGCAGCACTCCAGCCCTCGCCCCCTGTGGAGTATATATCTCCCTGGGCAGATGCTTTAAGGGTCGACTCGTCTCAAAAGGGGAGTCCGCCAGGGGAACTTGAATTGCTTAGATTCTACAATTAAATCCAACTTTCTAAGTGTCGATATCGACAATGCCTTCCGCCATCCATAGTCTAGGGGAAGACTCCCCTCTGGAGCCAATTGCCATCGTTGGCATGTCATGTAGGCTTCCAGGAGCTGTGGATAGTGCATCGAAGCTCTGGGATCTGCTCTGCAAAAAGGGCTCCGTGCAGACCCCAAAGGTCCCAAGCAATCGATTCAACATCGATGCCCATTACCATCCCGACCTTGCCCGCCCTGGCAGTTTCAATTCGTTTGGCGGTTACTTTCTTGATGGAAATTTGGAGGATTTTGACCCTACGTTCTTTAATATGTATAAAGCTTAACAAATCTTATACTATGGTCATCACTAACCTTCTGTTAGGACACCAGTGGAAGCCATGTGGCTTGATCCACAGCAACGAAAGATGCTAGAGGTTTCCTACGAATGTCTTGAATCTGCTGGCCTGACCCTAGACGATGTTTCTGGCAGCAATACTGCAGTTTTTGTCGGTTGTTTTACTAGTGACTACCAACAGATGTCAACATCAGAGCCAGACTTTAGACATAACTACTGCGCCACAGGTGTCGATGTCGGTGTGATGAGCAATCGAATTGGAAACACCTTCAACTTGAATGGCCCGAGCTTCACCATCAATACTGCATGCTCATCTTCCGTCTATGCTATCCACAATGCTTGCCACGCTTTGCGCACCAGAGACTGCGAAGCAGCTATTGCTGGCGGCGTCAATTTGATTCTCACGGTCGATCAGCATATCAACACGGCCAAACTTGGCGTTCTTTCTGACACGTCGACTTGTCATACGTTTGACGCTGCTGCTGATGGCTACGGACGTGGTGAGGGTGCTGGAGCACTCTACCTTAAACGACTCTCTGACGCCATTCGGGATGGAGATGTCATTCGAGGTGTAATACGCTCCTCGGCTGTCAATACAAATGGAAAGGTTGAAGGAATGGGCATTACGTTTCCGAGTGTTGCAGGACAGGAGCGGGTTATCAGAGCTGCATATAAGCGTTCCAACCTCGACCCTAACAAAACAGCATTTTGTGAGTTTTTGGCCGCAACCATATAGGTAATGATATAGGCTAATATTGCGGATAGTTGAATGTCATGGCACAGGAACACCAGTTGGTGACCCGATTGAAGTTCGAGCTGTCGCCAACGCCATGAATGACACTCGGAGCACTGAAAAACCTCTATTGCTAGGTGCTGTCAAATCAAGCATTGGACACAGTGAAGCTGCTAGCGGTATCTTTGCCGTGATGAAAGCAGCTTTATCTACTGAGAAAGGAATGATTCCAGGTGTCTGCGGCTTCAAAAATCTGAACCCAAATATCAAAGAAAAAGAGTGGAACATTAAGATCAACACAGACCTAATTCCTTGGCCGGAAGGCTTCGATGTCCGCCGAGCATCTGTATCGTCGTTTGGCTATGGTGGAACGAACGGCCACATAATCATTGAGAGTATCGAGACTGTCTGCCCTTGGTATGAACATGCGAAACCGAAGAACGCCTCTACATATCGTTACAATGATGCTAGACCATTCATTATTGGTATGAGTGCGCACGACAAAAAGACTCTGACTCGCAATATACAGGCACACCAAAAAGTAGCTGAACATTTCCACCTCCCCGATCTCGCCTACTCCCTCAACACCAGGCGCACAAGGTTTGCCCAAAGAGGTTTCACAATAGTATCCGAGGGTCAAGAAGTTGCTTCTTTTGAACCTGATTCCTTCACATTTGGAACAGCTGCAACTAAAAATTTGAAATTCGGGTTTGTCTTCACTGGTCAAGGGGCACAGTGGCCCCTGATGGGATACGAGGCCATGAAAACATTTCCCTCGTTTGGTGCAACAATTGACACGTTGGACCTAATACTGCAGTCAGGAGCCATTGTACCAAAGCCTTCTTGGACTCTAAGGGGCGTACTTGAGTCACGCAAAGAGGTGAGTCGAGTCGGCGAGGCTGAGATCTCCCAGCCTGCTTGCACTGCAATTCAGATTGCTATCGTTGACCTCTTCGCATCGTGGGGAATCGAGCCAGTTGTGACAGTTGGCCATTCATCTGGTGAAATTGGTGCTGCATATGCGTCCGGTCGACTCTCCGCTCCAGAGGCAATATTGGCAGCTTTCTTCCGTGGCTTTGCTGTCAAAAAGTCGGCTCCTGCTGGAACCATGCTTGCTGTTGGTCTTGGTGCTCTTGAAGTCGAGGCTTATATTCCACAATCCGTTTCTAGTGAAGTTACAATTGCTTGTGAAAATTCTCCCAGTGGTGTCACTCTTAGCGGTACGTCCGCCGGTATTGCTGCAACAAAGGCAAAACTGGATGATGCCAAAGTCTTTGCACGCGAGCTTCGAACTGGAAAGGCGTACCATTCGTCACAGATGGATGCTGTCGCACCGCTGTACGAGAACTTATATTCTAGAGCCGTTACATCCCTACCTTCTACCGCTGCTGACTGGCGGAGACCTCAAGCTCATATGGTCTCTTCTGTCACGGGAGATATACTTCCCGATAGTGAACTCTCAATTTCATATCTTTGTGACAATCTCAGAAGTCGTGTTCTCTTTAACTCTGCCGTGACCACTTTAGGAAAATCGGAATTATTCTCGGATGTCAATATGCTAATTGAGATTGGGCCTCACTCTGCGCTTGGAGGCCCTGTCAAACAAATTTGTGCTATCAATGGGCTTGACCATCTCAGCTACACACCGTCATTAGTCAGAGGCGCGGATTGCGCATTGTCTCTTCTAAAAACTGCAGGAGAGTTGTTTAACAAAGGTGCTAACGACCTCGATTTTGAAGCAATCAATAGCATTAGGGATTCTACATCCTTACGCATCACTAAACAGCATGATATGCCAAGATACATACCGGATCTTCCACCTTACCAGTGGAACTATGAGAATACTTTCTGGTATGAACCAAGAATGACCTACGAGCGTCGTCAATCAAAATACACAAGGCATGATATTCTTGGAAGAAGAGTCTTTGGCCTATCCGAGAATGCTGTTGCATGGAAGAGCAGCCTTCGGCAGCGTGATGTGCCGTGGTTGCAGGATCATACCCTTGGTGATTCTGTTGTTTTCCCTGGAGCAGGACACTTATCTCTTGCGATCGAAGCTTACCTCCAAATTTTGGACCTTGACTGTAAAAAACTTGCTGGTGTTGAGATTCGCGATGTTAATATTGGCAAAGCCCTTATCGTTCCTGACACTGACGATGGTATCGAAGTTCATACCCGCCTCACCAAGATTTCCAAGTCAGACGAGAAAAAAGTGTGGTTTGGTTTTGCTGTGGAATCTGTCGACAATGGAATATGGACTGTTCATTCAGAGGGTAAGATTTGTGGCATTTCAGTCGACAATGATACTCGTTCCCTAGAACATCACTTCGAGTCGCCTATCAGCATTAATAAACTCCACAAGCGAACTCAAAACAAGCGATGGTATGACGCCTTTCACCGGGTTGGTTTTGAATATGGGCCCTCATTCCAGACCATGAGTGCGATTCGATCCAACGGAAAAGATCGCATGACTGCGTCAAATATGAAAGTCCAGACAAACTCTGGACTGATGCTTGAAGAATCTCGCTACATGCTCCATCCTTCGACCATCGATGGCTGTCTTCATCTTGTCATAGCTTCGATTCATCGTGGCCTTCACAAGCAAATGCCATGGGCTGTTGTCCCCCTCGAAATCGAAGAAGTCAGCATCTTCTTCCCCGGGGTCGATGATGCTACGGAGGGTCGTGCGGTTGCCTGGACCAATAAGCATTGGGGTGGCCGGTACTTCAACCACTGCACACAATTGCAAGGGGCTTCTGGGAAACTACTTATGGATATGAAAAACATTAAATCAGTGATATATGACGCCGCAATTTCTAGCCGTATCTCAGATGCTCCTGCTCGCGAAGCTTACGCTGAAGTTTCTTGGAGACCGTTTGTTAGTGATTTATCTGATTCTGATACCAGCGCTGCTCATTCTGACGAAGTCCTCATCAATAACGAACCCATCGCGATCATTTCGGGCCCTTGCTCCGGGTCTGACTCTCAGGCTCTGTTAAATGGACTGAAATCTTCCATCGCACCCCTGTGCTTCGGAATTGAGGATATTCAAATTTCTTCGGAAATTGTCAAAGTCGGGAATATAATAATCGACGATAGTGCCGGAACTATTTTGTCTCAAGCTACAAAACAGGCCTTTAATGCTTTGAAGGATATCCTTTGCTCCGGAAAATCGATTTTGTGGCTCACTCGTGGTATAAACGAAGGACATGCCGTGAGTGGTGGGATGGCCCAAGGCTTCCTACGTGCCGTCCGTTCTGAGCTTGTCACATCCCGTATCACATTGCTGGACTTGGATGAGCAAATCGCGATGAGCCAAGGAGTGCCAGTAATTCTAGACAGGTTGGCGAATAATGCTACCAAGGACTCCGGACGTGATGTTGAGTTTTGGCTGCAAGCAGATGGTTCACTGCATGTTCCACGCATTATCTCCAACAATCTACTAAATGATCTTTTCTTTGGGGAGGCCGAGAGTGTACAGACCCCTGTTCTTCCTGGTAAGACTTTGAGTGGTAAAATTGTGGGCACCGAGGTCATTTTCTGCACCAGCACCGAAACAAAACTTGGTGCACAAGAAGTTGAAATCCAAGTTCAGTTTTCAGAACTCACTGCAATAGACCTCAAATTGCAGTCTGAGAGACCGAGAATAATCGTTGGTAAAGTCATCCGCGTTGGAGAGCAAGTTAACACATCATGCCTTGGAGAAGAAGTTGTATCGTTCAGCAATAAACCATTTGAGACCATTGTCAGTACAGATATCTTCGTGAAGAAAGCCAAGCTTGAGAATGCAGCTCTCTATGCATCCACCTTACCCAACATTTGCAAGGGCATCGATGCAGTACTTCGGGCTGGTAACGTGAAGCCGGGAGATCGTGTGCTTTTGCTGCCATCTACTGAGTCATTCGTCAATGTCGTCAGCAAACTTGGTGATATATTTGGCTTCGAGTTGATATATTCGTCCGGTGATCTTGGGCATATCAAAGAGCTTCTCACCTCTTCTGGATCTCCTGCTCTAGTTATTGCGACCTCTTCATCTGATTTAACAAAGGAGGTATGGCGCCATATGCCCTCTGGTAGCAGGTTTGTCCTAGGTGATGTACCTGTCGACTGGCCATTGGATACAAAACCATTTGCCCGGGGTGCCTCTTTCATTACTTGTGGGATTTTGGCTCTTTTTGAAAATCACCCAGCTTCTCTTGGTGATATTCTCAAAAAGAGTACTGAGCTGGTAGCCGATAACAAGGATATTTTCTCTCAACCGCCGCATCTCATCGACGTTGAAAGACTCCAAGATCTATCGGACATCATTGCCGATGGTGCTCAACTAGAAAATGGCGTTCTTCAATTCACGTATGGCTCGGGGAAAATCAAGGTACGTAATCCCCTTAACTTATTGATTATCAATATTAACTGTTCGAAGTCCAAGAAAGTGCGAGAAGAGATAAATTTCTCCGCGACAAGCGCTTATTTGCTTGTTGGATGTCTCGGCGGTCTTGGGCGAAGTTTGACACCATGGATGTTTGAAAGAGGATGTCGGAATTTTGTGTTCCTGTCAAGATCGGGTACGGACAAACGTGAAGCTGCTGAAGTTGTGGCTCAATTGCAACATGCTGGTGCTTCTGTCCAAGTCTTCCGCGTTGATGCAAGCGATGAGAAGGCGGTAGCCGAAGTCGTGTCAGGGATCCAGTCTGAGACTCCTATTCGAGGCGTGGTACATGCTGCTATGGTTCTCCAGGTAAAGTTGTCTACCCCGCTCTTATATGAGTTTCCTCTGACTCCGAAATGATTAGGATGGCATGTTTGAAGGGTTAACTTATGAGAAATACATCACAAGTGTCAATCCGAAAATGAATGGTGCTATTTCATTACATAAGGCGTTAGCAGAAACGCCACTGGACTTCTTCGTCATGACGAGTTCCATTTCTGCAGTTCTTGGAAACCCTGGTCAAGCCAATTATTGTGCTGGAAACAGTTTTCTGGACTCCCTAGCATGGCACCGGCGTAGACATGGCCTTGCTGCTTCATCCATTGCCCTTCCTATGGTTCTTGATGTTGGTGTCGTTGCTGAGAATGCGGATATTGAAATCTCGCTAGGCCGCAAGGGAATGTATGGGATTGATGAGCGTGAAATGTTGCAGGCATTTGAGGCAGCCATGCTTCAAGGACGTCCTGCTGCCGCTGACAGCGCGAAACTTGGAGAGGCACAAATTGTTTTGGGGCTGGAACCTGCATCCCTTGCTGCAGCAATGTCTTCTGCAGATACTACCGACGCATACTGGTCAAACGACAGCCGTTTGGCAGAGATTAGAGCTACTGTTGACATGCTTACAGCAAGCAGCAGGCAAGAGCAGAAGCGCGGTGGAGGGTTCCTTGACACTTTGTCTGGAAAGCCAGAGGAAGAAGCTATCGAAGAAGTTGGCCAGCACATTATCACCCAGTGCGCCAAGATTTTGATGCTTCCACGTGAGAACTTCAGCATCACTGGAAACTCGATTTCATCATATGGAGTGGACTCGATGATTGGCGTGGAGCTACGAACGTGGCTCTTTAAAGAGCTTGGCCTGGAGGTTGGTTTCCAGTCGCTACTAGGCCCAAAGATGGATTTTAAAACACTTGCAACCATGGTGGTGAACCAACTAAGTGCTACAGAGTGACTCCAGATTGGCATAGCACTTTTGATTCACTGGATGTTGAACAGATTGATAATTATTTATCGTGTTTTGATGGGTCACATAGATATATAACCAAATTATCACTATCCACTATAGCCCCGTGTATTCTACGCTGAGACCTTTTAAAAGAGTGACTAGCTCCCGTAAAGCGGCCTCCGTAAAGCCGGCTGCCCCAGTTCATACTTAGATTTGTGATTTGGGCTCTCTGGACGGTCTGTACACTAACAAAGTACATATCTCTCCTGGGCACCAGGCCATCGCATGATAATTGATTAAGGGTGCCAGAACGAAGCTAATAATGTGCGATCTGAAAACAGATAAATAAGCAATGAGTAAATGAATTCAAGATAAACGTACTTTAGCATGAAGTAGCCACTTGGTTGATGGAACCAAACACATTGTAGTTTGGCTTTGTGGGTCTGGGCGTTAGCAGCCTTCAGTCACTCCGCCTTCAGAAGAGACAATAAGGACATAGCTACTCCGTATTTACTCAGATACAGCATAGTGAGCCACGACTTTAAGTGCTACATTAGACGTTTGCAAACCACTCATGAAAAGGAATAAAGTATTTCAATGTAGTAGTTTATCATTGAGGTCTTTGGTTGTTTGGTTGTGGCATTGGGTAACTATTGTTTATTAAGCGGTGGTATAATTGACTTGGCTAGCAGAGGATATCAGAGTACGGAGTACTCCGCACTACTTGAGGAACAAAAGTCGCTTATGGACTCGTGGAGTACAGAAAAGGTCTCATCGCGTCGATTTTGAGGTCACGAATCAGACGTGGTCAGGGGGCTTAGGGCGGCGATGCCGTTAGTCATCGTCTTTGGATTATGTAAACATTGAATCCGTGATTTGGTTGGCTAGGTAAAGTAAAGTTTGATTACTAATCAACGTGATTCGCCATGCAAGCTTCGTATTGACGATCTAACCTATCAGCCACAACTCTTGCATAATTTTTAACAGGACCGTCTTCCGAGGTCCCTGGCTGCGTGGGGGATGGTGATCTACAGGCCCTTTCCTGCCACAGCTCCTTGCCTACGGACCTCAGCAATTTAACTAGATCTAAACGGCCTTGTGAGTACACCGTACCAATGGTTTCATCCTTCCTCGATGAGGGCAGGCACCCTGCTAAGCTCTCCGTAACTTGCAAATCCTAGAAACTTCATAAGTTTTCCTAAACTATTGTGGTTTTGTTGCCGCCTTCTTTGCCCCTTCCAACATACCATCGGAACCTTTCTCTGGCTTGTGATACTGAGACAAACATCGAGCTTCGCGGTCGAATTCTCGTGCGGAATTTCCGATCTCAGCAACATACCGTATTCTACCAGTTCAACTTTTCCGCTCCTCTATTGCGGTTGGAAGTGATGTAGGCTGTGGTGTATTTTGTTTTCCAAACAACCGTTTGATCGCCATTCCCATCTTTATACCCTTTGCTTCATTTTCTGTACCTCCCCTCTGGTTGAACGCTCTTTCAATTTCGTCCAAGCTCTTCCCCTTTGTTTCAATCATGAAGAAAAAGCAAACCAAAGTCGTCAGTGCACAGCATGCGCCGAAGAGGAAGTATGCTGCGTAGCTGCTCTTTGAAAGCAAAATCGGACAAATAAAAGCAACAAACCAATTGCAAACCCAATTAAAGCCATGTGCTAGAGCTGTTGCTTTTGCTCGTGTGCGTTGTGGTTGAATCTCAGGTGCAAACACCTTGATACTAACTGCCCATGTTGAAGCAAAGAAGACAGAATACAAATAAATGCAAACTATCACCACCCACCGGCCCGCTCCGTTTACTGAATTGCTGGCATAGAGAGCGCCTATAATGGTAATAGTTATTGTAAGGCCAACGCCACCAAATATGGTACTCGTGCGTCGTCCCCATTTATCGGCAAAAAGCAAGGCAGGAACGGAAATGACGACGAGGACAATACCGGTAACACCAGAAGCGAAAAAAGATGATTGGGTGTTGGAAAGGCCAGCTTGTTGGAAGAGCAAGGGAGCATACTTTAAGTCATACTAAGTAGGTGAATCTCAACCAAGATGGAGGTACTTACGTATAATACTGCGTCAATGCCACTCAGTTGCAAAAATCCCATTAAGAATACCGCCAGCCAGGTTCGACCACGAACATCTTTTTTAAACAAGTCGAAAAAACCACCCTCTTCCTGTTTTTGCTTCTCGGTAGCTCTTGTTGGAGACCGCGAGTCCTTGGACCCAGCGTCATTGCTATCGACCACTCCCTCTTCCAGGTCTTCCTCTATCATTTGGCGATCTTCTGCCTTTATTCCAAGCGTTTCCCATGCTGCATCAGCATCGGCATCCCTGCCATGCAAGCGTAACCATCTAGGTGACGGCGGCAGATATAGCAGAGTGGTGAAAACAAATGTGATAGCTAGGCCGACAAGTATAATGAAGGGGAGTCGCCATGACATGGACCCCTCGATTCTAGCAGTGCCATAGCAGGTGAAATACCCGGCAACAAGGCCGAGACATATCATAAACTGAGGTCCAGTCGTCAAAGGCCCCCTTATGTTGGGTGGTGATATTTCACAGACATATCTATATTCAGGTCCGGTTAGGCGGTGGCAAAATGAGCCGCAAGGCAAAACAAAACTTACACAGTTAACGTCCCGAAGTACAGGCCGAACCCCATGCCCTCAATCACCCGGCCCACCATGAACATTGCCAACCTAACGGCTCCAGCCTGCAATGCGGCACCCACGCCAAATACACCGACTCCCAAGGCAATTGCCTGCGGCCTGCCGAGAACATCTGCTGGGCGGCCGGCGATGAAGCTCATGACAGATGCCGAAAGCAAGATCGATGAAACTATGATACCATGAACCGTTGACGAATGCGTGCCGAAGTAGTCGATGTAGCTTGGCATGACCGTGACAGGGCCAATAATGCTTGTATCGACGCTAGTGACATGATTTGCTGGTTAGTTAGGCTAGGGTATGAGGGTTCGGAAGGGCAGAGTATGTATTGATCGGGGCTGAGTGCGGGCGGACGTACCCGAGCAGAAAACCACCCATTGCCGTCAGCAGACTGGCGAGAATGTAGCGAGGTGGCAGCCATGATCCGGTGCCCGTATGTCCTGCCATGGTTGGTGCAACACACGGGATCTAGAATCCAGCACCGGCAATTTGTAGAGAATGATGGGGCTCTCGTTCAATCAGGCACGAGAGACACCAGAACGAAGGGGTTGAAGGAAGCCCAGAGGGACTACCGTTGGATCAGGGTTATATCAGGGCGAAAGCGTGAAAGAAAAAAAAGTCGCGGCCCGATCGCTCGTGACGTCGATGGCGGTTGGATGCTTTGAAATGCACTCCCGCCAGCTCTTCCGTATGCGGCTTGCATGCTGCCCCGAGTCGGTTCACGCGGCTGCGGCGCCGCAAACGGCGATTTACACGAGTCAGCCCGAGGGGTGGGGCGCGGCCCGGACGTTACGCGTGAAAGTTGCCTAATGCGGCAGTTTTTACGAGACACGCCAACACCGACTCGAACACCGTTCAACCACCGCCAGCGGACATCTCGTCGCTGGACTCGCAAATACTCAGCACTGCATCATGCAATGGACGTACGATGTTTGGAGGGACAGATATATCTATATCTTTGCAAGATGGACGGCGTCGATAGGAAACTCAACCTAATACCTCCTCACCCATCCTTGGTGACAGCACCTCAATCTAGAGGAACAAATTACCCTTCACATCGATATATCTGCCATTTTGCAAGAAAGAGTCTGTCACTATGCTAGCCGTCTACCTCATCTTGCCCATTCTTAGCGTCACCGTCCCCTTCGCCATCATTTTTCGGGCCGTGATTGCTTATCTCCAGGATCCCAAGGGCTTCCGCAAGTACCCAGCACAGAACTGGCTTTCTGCCTTCACAAAACTAGGATATTGTTGGGAGCTTGGGCGTAAGCACCCGGTTATACACTCCCGCCGTCTGTATTTGGACCACACAACAAAGAAGCATCAAGTGATCCGTCTAGGCCCCAACTGGATATCTTTTGGTCGTGCTCGTGCTGCTCGCGATATATATGGGTTCAACTCAACATGCAAGAAATCTGCTATTTACGACCAGCTGTCCGACGGTGGTGGTGCACATCTCGCAAATATCAGTGATAAAGAGTTGCACAAGTTCCGTCGGTCCATGGTCGCCCATTACTATGCACCGAAGTATCAGCAATACTGGGAGGAGAAGTGGATCATCGACTCCTGTGCGGACTTCATGAACGCGATAGACACGATGTGCACTGCGAAACCAGCGTCAGACTATGAGACACCCAATCCCGACGACCTCAAATTGGATCTGGTCCACTGGGGGTATACATATGCCTGTGAAGTCATGGTCAAAATTGGGTTGAGCAAAGACTTGCACTTGTTGGACCAGGGCAACAACAACATCGAAATCCAGGATTCAGACGGGACAAAGAGAGAAGTCAGCATCGTCCAGTCTCTTCATTGCGCTGGACGGGCAGCAGCCAATGTTGTCTGGGATACCAAACGCTTTACCATGTGGGCAAATTTGTTGAAACGCGTTTCAAAGGAATACGCGCATAATGCCCAGGGTGGTAGTGATTGGCACGCGGCAATGACAAAATTAGTGCTCGAGCGTATCGATCGATTCAAAAATGGAGAAAAGTTGAATGATTTATTTGTCCCTTGGTTGGAAGACAAGCAAGGCGACGAACCGAATATCAACACTCGCGACAGAATTGCCGGTAAGTCCTATCTTTCAAGCAAGTGTGCTCGGGTCTTGGCTATCTTGAAGTTGAAACGCATCTGGTTAGCCAATATTGTTTTTAAACGCAGCCAGAACCCGCTTTCAGCTCCTGGTAGTCCTGGATCCGAGCAACCCATGCATCAATCTAGTTAATCTGAAGACCACTAACATAAGATGACAAATCAACAGAAGTCGAGCAGATGGGTAAGTCGCGTTCATTGCCTCCACCCATAAATTTCATTTTGACTTAAAATTTGTAGTTGGTGCTGCAATCGATGCTCCGGGTGGCTCCGTGGCAACCATAATCTATAATCTCGCCAAAGACCCACGAACGTTCCGAAAATTGCGAGATGAGCTTGATGCCGGCCTTCCAGCCAAACGTACCGTTGCAACATGGCAGCAGATAAAAAACATGCCCTACTTGAAAGGTTGTGTTGACGAAGCAATGCGTCTTCACCCACCCGTCGCGACGGATTTAATTCGACGAACGCCGCCGGAGGGCGTTACTATCGATGGAGTTCGCGTGCCAGGCAATACTGACATTTCAATTTCCGCGTATACATCGCATCGTGACCCTGACGTTTTCCCCGACCCAGAGAAATGGTACCCAGACCGATGGATAGAAAATAGGGGTACCGACTTAATGAAAGAGATGCTGGCTTGCTGGATCCCTTTTAGTGCCGGTTACAGAACCTGTATGGGCCGCAATGTGTCAATAGTCATCCAGGTAAGCTATACCAAATTGGAACGAGATCCAGCCGGCTAATAATATTTCTATTTCGAAGGCCTGCGTGATTGCAACGTTGGTCCATAACTATGACTTTGCGTTGCCAAGCAAGGACTGGGAACTGCCATTCGAGGAATGGTTTAACCTGTGGCCAACAAAATGCCCAGTGAAGGTCTGGAAACGAGAAAATTATGCTCAACCCCAAGTTGTGGCATAGGACAATCCTGTTTTCTTTGACCGTGGAGATTTTGCAGAGAGACCTAGATTGTAGCGAGACCGTATATGTTTGCGATGACAATACGAGGGCTAGGGGCCTTGGAGCGAAGTTAGGGCGAGTACATAGATGGTAGGTCCTATGTTGCGTGGGCATGTTGCCATCCTTGGCTCTTCTACTGTTGCTCCTATGACAATGTGGTCGATTCTGTCTGATTCCGATCTTTTCGGGAAGCTGGATCTAGAAGTTTCTGTAGTCCCTCAATGCTACTGCGGGTATGATATCCAAGTTCTGTTTGTATATCGTCCAGCAGAACCCAAACTCTAGTTTTTCTAACAATGCTATTGACGTGTTTCCCAGCTACATTGTATTTAGCTATCTGCATTTCTGTCCTTTATCTTTAGTGCATCCTCCAACATTGAAACTTACCGAAATATAGTGGTATTATTGAGAAACAGCGGGCCTGATCAGCAATATCTGAGATAGAGATATTGATTACTTCTGTGGCATGCGCTTGTACCTGTTGAAAACGATATCAGCTCTTGATCCCAAGACGCAGCGTAACATTGCCAAATGAGCCGGAAGGCATGAACTTACTTTTGCTGCATACGTGGCATCCTTAAGCACCGGTTCAGCATAGAGTAAAATATGAAGGAGGTGGAACCACAGCATTGCAGCAGCTAGCAGTCAACATTAGACGATCAATACACCACTGGGCACTAATGGGTCATGCATGGCGACAGAGTCACAGCTTGCAGGGGGAGATCGGAAAAAATAGCTGGTTCCACGTCTTCGTGCTTCCGAAACATGGAGATTCAACCAATGACAGTACTTAATTTGAAAACGCGAGATACTCACCTGCAGCTGGAACAGCGAAATAAACCTTGGAAATGCCATCTTCAACCGGGTCACCATATTTAACCCCGCGAAAAGTGGCCGATAACCCAGAATGCCAACGTTCGGTGTCTCTTAATAGATCATGATATTCACGAGGGGTCCCCTTTCCGAAAACCCAGTCAACAGCCCTGCCAACTAACCACAAGACGTGATTTCCCAGGCTGTCTTCTTCGGTCTCTCCATCTCGCCAGCTGACGTTCCAATATCGCGGGCTCATTTGAAGTGGGGTCTCGTTCATAATTGAAACGGCGATTTCGTGTCGTATCCAGATCCAAAAATTTGCTCTGTCAAGCCCTATTGATCGAGCGCTAATACCCTGCATTCTAATTAGTTTCATTGCGCCCTCGTAATGTCGGCGATGTTCTTGACCTTGAGCAGCTAGGACTTCATAGCTGCTCAACAACATCACAGCTGTCAGCTCATCACCTCTTGGCTCCGGACTGTTCAGTTGCTTAATCAATAGATTCAAGGCCTGGCTGTAGTATTTTGTTGCGACAGGAGACCAGATTTCACCAGAAGCAAGGAGGCAGAGCTGCCTGGCCGTGAAAGCGCAGATACATTTGAGGAGAAGATCAGAAGTTAACGCACGCCGGCAGACATGGCGTTGATAGGTGCATCCGTGATCAAAAAGGTCCATCCATTTTGCCAAACCACGTTGATATTCATTAAGAAGAAAGACCGTCTCTGGAGAAAGTGGTACAGTTTGCTGCGACGTTGTTGGCTGAAGAGTCGGGACGGGAGTTACGGGAGACGTGGAGAGCACAGACGATGCCGAAGAAGCGTTAGCAGACTCACTGAAATTCTTTGAGTCTGGCCAGCTCGAGCGGAATATATCCCAGGTGGAGGTAGGGGGGCCGAATACTTGGATATCAGCAGATACTGCGCTATTCGGACTTGCGAGACTGCCTCGCCGCTTTGACTTGCCCTTGTCCGTCGAACACCAAGCTGACCGGGCGATGAACTCGCTAGCTCGACACTCAAGGCCCAGCCTTTCACAATTGCTGCAAACAGGCTTCTTCTCGTCGCAATGGGTGTGTCGGGCCTTACAGGTGAAACTAAAAGAATTTAAGCTATTTAGACGACTGACGAAGAAGAAACAGAAGCCGAACCATCCTAAAGACAATACATACAACTGTTAGCAAGTCAAATCCGAAGGCTCGGAATGATCGATTACCTGTCTTTTTACGAGTGCCTCCTCTTCTCCTTTTAACGCGGGTTTCCTGAGGTTGTTGGGGCTCTGGGTCCATTGCCTCCAACTTTTGTGTATTCGCTCCCCTGTCAGTTAACGGTGCTGCGGAAGGGACGGCAGATATGATATGGGGTCAACGGAGCCACGCGGAAATTTGATCAATTAGGCAAGACATCGGTGATTGAGGTTGGAACCGGTGGACGGAAGTCTGTCCTTGCTGAGGGGTAAAGATAGGGCTTGTAAATTCGCCATGTGAAATACGAGGCTTCGTCTGCCGGGGGACTGGAGACAGATAAACAAGCTTGCCAGTATTCGGTCTCACAACAATTTGATACTTAGCTCGCCGTGACTATTGTTGGAGCTCTGGAAAGGCTCATACCAGCACTCTGTAATTATAAATTATTATTAATACACCGTACCGGCCAATGGAGCCACGGCACGCTGGTCGTTTATACACGCTCCGATAGCCCTGGTAGAACCCTAAAAAAAGGAACGGCTGTGGCCAAGAAGCGTGTGGGTAGGTGAGCTGAGCGTGTGTGTAGGCGGGATGCGGTGAATTCGCGATGAAGTACTCCGTACGGAGTACCAGGTTCCCAAACGGGTTGGCGCGGCTTAACTACGTCATTCGGCTTGATTTCATACTTAAATTTAAGCCGCAGCCCCGGCTGAGGAAGACAATCAAAATAGCGCGCTGGACGGCGTGGACATTGCAAAGAGCTTTCACCGAAGAACAGGCTGGCGTGCAAGCCTACCAGTCTAACTAACTAACTAGTCAACTATGGAATCACACAAAATACCCATACGAAGCCATGGCATCGCCACCTCCGCCTTAATGGCCAGCCCCTGGCATCTCCACATAGGTGTCATTCCGCCTTCGGCTTTGCCGCTCTGACTACTGCACTTAATCTTATCTGAACTCCCAAGCTGTTACTAACAAAAATATGACAGCTCTGTCTCGCAGGGTTCGGGTGATTGTTTCAAAAAGGTGGGTTGGTTTTCCGGGGTTGACGCTTTCAGTGCCCTTCGGGATCGACACACCAACTTCCAGCCCCTCCCTCTACTCCGTGTACGCCTTCGATCGTCGGGTTAGAACGCGCTCCGTTTTGCTGTGTGCTTCAAAGCGGTGGGCCTCCATCGTATTCATTATCTTCAGCGTGCACTCAGGATAATCTTCCCTTTGATCATTGCCATTTTTGTGCGAACAACCTCGATAGTTGCACAGTTCGACGACTGTCGCTCTAATTCTAGATGATGTGCGGAGTACGGAGTAGTCACTCCGTACCGGACCCCAATACCGGCCCTGATTCAGCCAATCAGCTGGTCGATTCCCTTTGAGTTTCACAAGTCGTGCTGTCCTTGATGCAGCCGATCGTCAACCGTGCTGCATCGCTCTGCTGGCCCATTGAAGGTCCTCCCAACAATTTTCGTTTCAAATGTCGGTTTGCGCACACAATTTGACGCGAAATAATTGTCAAATATGCTGTCTTTATCCATGGGTCAGTGGCATGCAAATTTATAAAGAGGTAGCAGGACATACTGCTTGTCAGTTCTAGCGCTTCGGACCCTGCGCTGAAAACGATGTATTCCCTAAGAGAAAGGCCCCAATCTTTGGGAAATCATGATATGATCAATGATATCGAGTTTCCAAGGGCTTCACTGGGGGAGGGCATTTTTCATGCCATGCACAGTTATTCCGCTGAACACCGTAGGGCCGACATTGAAAGGTACTCGTTCATCCATATATTTGTACAAACCGCCTAGGCTTCCGCGTGCCGTGCCTCCAAGAGGCTAGGATTCATATCTAACGCCCACAAAATTTGAATAGGAAGCTTGTCTACAGGCAAGACATGATCATCATGCCGCAGATGGTTGCGCTCTACCTACTGGTTTGTAACAAGTCACGTTCTCTATTTATTATCATACTAACTCATCTAAACCAGGCTTATCTAGACCGGAGCAATTTAGGCAACGCGAAGTTGCAGGGTATCGTCGAAGATGTTCTAAACGGAAATGATGATGATTATGGCTGGGCAGCGAGTGTATTTTACTTTGGATAGTCAGTTTATAATCGGCTTTCGTCAGCTCATGGCATTTAACACTGACCCCCTCAGCGTCATATTTGCAATTCCTTTTACACTCTACGGCAAGAAATTCCGTCCGTCCAGATTTATGTTTGTGTGTACTCTAGGGTGGGGGATTGCTGCATCTGCAGCTGCTGGGGCCTTCGATTTTCATGGCCTTGCCGCCTCGAGGTTTTTAATAGGGCTCTTTGAAGTAAGGAATCTAATTTTGGCCGTGACTTTCATTGGCTTATTTGATCTAGGCGGGATTTGCACCCGGGGCGGTTTTCTATTTCACTCTTTGGTACACGCGGAGTGAAATTGCATTTCGTACCGCGATTTTTATCGGAATGGCTGCTCTCTCCGGCGCATTTGGTGGTCTCATCGGCTACGGAATCTCGCTGATTAATACCGGTATCGGGCATTGGCGTGTTCTTTTCATGATTGAGGGTTTGCCTACCGTGGTATTTGCATTCGTTATCCTTTTCTTCTTGCCAGACCGACCAGAAACTTCGAAATTTTTCAAAAATGAAGAAGAACGAGCACTCGCTATCGAGCGCATGAACCGGGGGCAAGCAAGCGAAGGTCACAATATCCTAGTGAAGCGACATGTGCTAGCAGCCTTTATGGACTGGAAAGTACATTCCTGTGCGCTGGTTAAAATGGGGCAAGATGCCGGCCTTGCAATTGTCTCTACCTTTTTGCCCAATATCATCAGGTCTCTTGGATATACTAACTCCCAAGCTCAATATATGACAATTGGCCCGTACCTCGTTGCCTGGATTATGATGCTCGCCATCAGTTGGTTTTCGGGCTCTCTAAGACTCCGCGGCCCCTTTCTTATTGGCTCTACCGCACTTTCTATTGTAGGCGTGTTCCTTATATTCTGCTATTCCGGGAGAGAAAATCCAAAAATCGCACTGGCCGGTATTTACTTATTTGTTTCCGGTATCTTTCCTTGTATACCATTGTCCTTGCAATGGGCAACGGACAACTCTGGAGCGGAGTCGAAGAAGATAGCCGCAGTTTGTATCCTTGTTGTTGCGGGTCACTGCTGGAGCATTCTTGCAATCAAGAGCTTTCCAGCACACGAAGGACCGAGATTTATCCGCGGATATGTTATTGCCATTTCATCTCTCTGCCTTAGTTGTCTCGTGTCTATAATCCTCTCAGTGTATTATAAGCTTGAAAACGCACACCGGGACCAGAAGCATGGCAACCCGTGTCCAAATATGCCAGTCGACACAACCGAAAATGCCGACAAAGCTCCTATGTTTCGATATATTTGCTAATGAGCCCGAGTCTCAGGGAGTTTGAAAAGAAGTCTTGTATTTCCTTGGTATTAATTCAAATCAAATAGCAAACAGGATTGTTGCCATATTGGTCGATAAAACCTTTCTAATCCAGGTGACAGGAAAATTCAAAATTCTCTTAGGACTTTGTTCAAACTGTGCATTTATATCAGAGAAACCACCAGTGGCGATGTTACTCTGTACTATAAATCGTAATAGTTCAAAATCTAGCAGTCCCGATTCACCTTTTAGAAGTTAGCTTGAAAAGGCCCTGTACTCCGTACTTCAAGTCCAAATCATAGTGATAGAATTACTTCTCAATGAGGGATTAGGGGAAAACTTGAAAGCTCAGGGAACATTATCACCCGCTAAAACGTTCCAGAGAAGATTCCCTTCCTCATCAGCAGCACTGTCAGACTCAACCCCAGCTCCAAATCGTTGCCCAACTACACACACTAGCCATACATCATTTTTTGTTTGGTTAAGTAGCTTTTCTGTTGGGCTACCTCGAGCGAATATTCGCCTCCATTCTTCCCAGATCCGGAATGCTTCTTCTCCCCATGCCCGGAAACTGACTTCCTCGATGATTGTGGGTGTAATAATCTCCTTTCCACGGAACACACCCCATGTAACAGCACTAACGCTGCCGTTCCCTGTAGTAGACGCATCATCGATAGTAGTGTCAACAGGACCAGTAGCAACAGGGGTTTCAGGAGATGTAGATGATTCGTAATCCCCCGCCGCGTTGGTGGCAAACCAGGCAAATTCATCATGGCCATAGGCTTGAAGTAATGGTGTCACGATTGAATTGTAATCACTTGTAGAACAGAAGAACTCAATAAAAGCTTTCTGAAAGACGAATCCTTCGCCAGGAGGGCCCCATCCGAATGTCTGATGGTCACTACGAACTCCATTGACTGCAGGTTGGGATGCGAGCGTCCACCAGCCCCGTTTTTCGACCAGTTTGAGCAATTGAGGACGGATCGTGGCCGTTTCCGGGTTGAAGCTGTCCGCTTCCTCTGCGGCTCCTCCCTCCGACCAAGGGACCGCATGGAGATCACCGGAAACATGCTTTCGGAAAATGTCTGTGATATCTTCGCAAGAAGTAGGGAATCCCCATAGACGCCGGGCAACACTTGCTGTTACGCGTAAAGATGGGCCGTATCCATCGATCTCGCCAAAGGCAGGTGAGCGAGCATCACCCCATCGACCATTTGGAAAGTCATCCCATGTAGCTTCACGACCCAAAGCTCCCTGACCCTCGGAGATCTTCAGGGCCGTATTGCGAGAAGGTGGATGAAGAGCTGGCATACCGGCACCAAGCGCGGAGGTTTCATGTGTCGTGGAACTTTGAGAAGACATATCTGTGCGGTCAACAATCACACGATTATAAGGCTGCGAATTCATAGATGAAGCGCGGTGTCGGGACAAAAGTGCAGCTTTCGAAGATGCAGTGGTGATGCCATTTTGTAGTTTCCTGGAAGCATAAACAGCTGTTTCCAGTTCCGAATCACTAGGAGGTTCAGAAGAAGGTGGGATCAAGTGGCATCTTTCCAAAATAAACGAAACAGATTTCTCCAGGTTCAATGTATAAAAATGGAACCCGCGGCGGCCTGGGCACGGCAATGTCTTAATGCCTTCGACCAACTCACTCAGAACATCAACGCCAACTCTCTTCACAGCGTCATCGTCCATTTTGCATTCTTTAACCCGGGATAAAATCTCCGGTGGCACATGTGCATGGCTGAGTTTTGTTATCCTGGTTAGTCTTTGATAGCTTTGAATTGGCATCAAGCCAGGAATAATCGGAATGGTTTTGAATACCCCAGACTCATGGTTGCGCAGCATATCTTCAAACTTCCTGTACGCCTCTAGATCGTATGTTAATTGAGTCATAATAAAATCAGCGCCTGCCTTAGTTTTGTCAATCAGGTACGGTAAGTCTCTGAGGGGATCCTGTAAATCAGGATGGGATTCATCAGAATGACCCTCTGGGTACGCTGCCACACCGAGGCAGAAATAGTCCCCATGTTTCTGACGGATATATCGAACCAGATCTATCGCGTATATGAACTCCTTATTGCTATCGTCCTCCCCATCGAGGTCATATTCGTCACTCCTCGGCGGGTCTCCTCGTAGTGCTAATATATTTCTAATACCCAATGCCTTTGCTTCATCCAGTGCATCATCTATCAGTGCTCTGTTCATATTGGTGCAAGTCAGATGTAGGCATGTGGTTAAACCAAGTTGTCTTTGGCATATTTCGGCGAGTTCGAGGGACTTGCGAGCAGTGCTACCGCCAGCTCCCCACGTCACGGTCACAAAAAGTGGTCGAAGGGCTTGGGACATTCGTTCTAATCGGGCTTGGAGATTCGATGAGCCCTAGAAAGACGGTAGTTAGCTTGATAGCAGTGTGGGAGCCACGATGGCAAGAGATCCTCAAGGGCCCACCATCTGCGTCTTTGGAGGGAAGAACTCCAAAGAAAAATAGTTTGCATCTTCTGGGAGAGAGGCAATCTTATCTGAGATTTTCTCCATTGTCACAAATTTTGCCCGATACCTTCAAGAGTTGACCTCGTTGTTGGTGAGGGGTGGGATTGATGTCAGATGCTTTGAAATGTAAAAGTGCTGTCGGGGTTAACTAACTAAAGAGGCAAACTCAATATCAACTAACTACGAGGAAAGCAAAGACGGCTAAACATGTGAGTGACAACACAGGGGTGAAGAAGTCTCAAAGGGAAGGATAGTTGAATGATCTTGAATGTTGATTCTCAGCCTTGTTGCAACTATGCTGTAGTCATACCTTGTTGCTGCTGATTGAACCATGGCTTGGATGTACTCCGTACTGCATATGCATACAAACAGATTAGCATACTACACAGAGCATATTAGATTGGTCAATTTCATAGTCCCACTTGAATACTATGAACGTGTCCTATATAACTAATCCCTAATAAGAGGTTCGAGGTCACGCAGGGTTAAGCGTCGCCATTCTCCAGCCCTATGCCATTTCCATTCAACTGCACGCTCACAACCTTTCCAGCTTCGACAGGCCCTGCTCCATTGACCCGGACCCCATTTTCTTCTGTCCCCTTCAAATGCCCATTTGCTACTGTCCCAATGTCACCGTATCGAACGAGTTCCCCTACTGTTACCAAGGGCTCATCCATCTCGAATCTCTCAAAATGAAAGATGGTGATAAAGACTCGAACACCGGTCGCCGGGGATTTCCATCCTAGTTGTCTTCGAAGATAGCTAATTCGCCATCCCATGGGTTCTCCTAGTAACTTCACGTTCTTGATATGGTCGTTGGAGTGCATATGGGGTAGACCACGCTTCAGTAGTGCCTCGTTATATTCATCTGGAATCTCATCAATCGTAAAAGTAATGGTTTTTTTAGCAAGCTGAAAACAGCGGACAAGAACAAAAGTCACGTCCTCTGGTGTTAAATGATGCAGCATTGACATGGCTACGATATGGTCCACGCCTCCGACAATTTTGGTGATAGCGCTCTGGATTGGTTCAAGATAGAGTGCTCGATACCAGCCGCCTTTGTGGCATTTTTCAAGCATCCCCGCTGAAATGTCCACCCCATAAAGTCTGTTGAATTGGTCGCTTCCTTGAGAAGTCCATTTCTCGGAGAGAAGTCTTCCGAAGGCACCAGTTCCACAGCCCAAGTCAAGGACAGTTCCTTCAAGTTTGAGAAGCTGAACGATTTGTTTTATAATTGGATAGAGGTCTGATCGACCGTGGTCTTCATCGTAGACTGGGGACATTGCATCGTACGATCCTGCGACTTTGGACACTTGTGCCCGTCTGTCTGGGTTTTTCAAGAAGTAATTCGCGACAAAAATGTTGACGGCCGCGGCACATCCACCAGGGATTTCGTCGTCTATGTCCGCATCCTCGAATGGTGCGCCTGGGGGTGTGAAAGCGATAGGCATGGGGTTTACCTCAATAACAAAGGCTTGTCCGTCAGGTCGAACCCGGATGTCGACATCACAGCCCATCAGGTTTGTATGCATTTGGTTCGCTTTGAATGCTTCTACGGCAACTTGCTGTAAATGTTGAAAAAGAACAGTGTTTTCTTTCTGTTCAAGTGGCTTGTAATGGGTCCCGGGGTCGAATTTTGCTTCGAAAGTAAGATATTGCTTATCTCCTGGGATTTGGATATGAGAGATACGTGCTGGGATGAGTGGGACCGGAGTCTCGCCAAAGGCAACCACGGTGACTGTATAGTCATGGCCTTCGATGTATTCTTGGACCACAATGTCATCAGCGTACCGTCCAGCTTTCTCGAGAGTGTCCGCATAGAGTTCAGGGTCCTGGCCCAACCCAACGGCTCGGCGTAAACGGACGTCACGCATCTTATTGTTCATCAGGTCCACGGTCCGTTCAAGTTCTTCTGCATTGTGGCACACTGAATGCGCTCCGATAAACTGACTCGAGCAACCAAATGCGGGTTTGACAAACATCGGAAACCTTTCGGTACCAGGAACACGGGGGTATCCTAGCCGCCTAGCTTCAGCAAAAAAATCGTTCTTGGAACGCTCGCGTTCGTAGCTTCTTATTCCCACCGATGGCAGATTTAGTGATTCAAAGTACCGACTAGCATCGATACCAGCCACATTGTCTTCGTGAGTACCCCACATGAAATTGAAGTAAAAATCAAAGTTCTCTGCAATGACGGCATCTATCTCAGCGTTTGCATTGTTCTTCGTTATAAACCTATGCTCGAAGGTGTGCTGCTTGGTAAACACGGCGGGATCAGGGTAATGGGTGTCGACCTCCTGGAGCTTGTGGTCAGACCCTTTGTACGAAGAGTGTAATAGACAGATTCTCATTGTCACAGATGAGAAAGAGTAGCTGAATAGAATATGTTAAAAAAAAAAAACAAGAGAAATCTAGGGTGGCTATGAATCAATAAATGGGGGGTTGCAAAATGAAAGATGAAAGGTCTTAAACCAGACCTCTGGGGCTCACTACTGTACAGAGTGGCCATGGTTTAAATACAGGGCCCCAATAGCCTGGTATGATCGGAAAAAAACAACAGGAAGTGCGTCTGTTCAGAGCTTCATGAGCCTTCGAAAGGCGCAATAGTCCCTCGTAACACTGCAGCCAGCGAGCGTACCAACCAAACCTCCAGGTGCTCGAAGCTTGAAAACACACTCTATACGGGGTATGCAGCCCATTTTGGTACACATTGTTGATCAGGCCAATGGTCACCCATAGGTCTTTCGCACTGTGACGCCAATCAATCCACCAAGGCTGAAGGTATCAGGGAGGCAGAGACCCAAACAGAGGGCTGGCTAAGGCCCTAAGACCTCCAGTTGAACGGAGCACTCTAAAAAACAATGGTGAAAGAGCCCTGTAGCACCTGCAATGACGCTGTTATTCCCTAGGATTGTGTCTGGGTTGGTAGTTATTATTGTTGTCGTTGTTTGGGCGAACAGGCAGCGGCTAGAAGCAGAACGGGCCGCAAACCCAAGCCGACGCTAGACATAAATGTAAAAACAGCCAGCAGGATTTCCTTGGAGCAGCACATGCGCGCCAGCCATCAAGCAACGGTGAACTCCCTTTGCCTTGTTTAAACCCGGGCGATCAACCGTTCCGCGAATGTGCTGTGGCACTTCGCGGCCTATAGGGTAGTTAAGTATCTTGCGGATCTCTCTCCGCCCGTTCGTATCCACACCAGCTGAGACCAGAAGAAGACCAGATAACCGGACCTGTCCTCCGTACCTGAGCCGGGACCGATCAGAATTTCGTCACTCCTGGCTAACCAGACAAAGGCCCTCATCGCTCTACTCCTCAACGGTATCTTTATTACAACCCGGCTGCGGCCCATATTGATGGGCATTGGATGTGCAGCACACCGCCCGCGTTGATCGTGTGCATGTTGGTTACATACATATATCTCACTAGCTGAGCCATGAATTCTCTCTCCCGAATCCGCCCTGTTCTTCGGCATCCTACCCGATCTGCCAGCCGCTACTTTTCCGCCGCACCAGCGCCCCAGTCCAATTCCCAGACTCGTAGCCGGCTCGAAGCTCTCCACCGGCGCCTCCCTCGCTTCCTTCATCCCTACACTACGCCGCTGTTAAAGGCGCCTATCGCTCATATTACTTCCTTTCTAATATTGCACGAAATAACTGCGGTGGTACCGTTGTTCGGTCTGGTAGGGGTATTTCACTACGGGGGATGGCTGCCAACATTGGGGAACCAGGGCGAAGCAAACAACGCATTTGATGAGGGTGTGAATAAATTCAGCCGGTGGCTGCGCAAAAAAGGATGGGTGAAAAATGACATTCCGATGCAAAAAGCAACTGATGATGGCGTTGGCGAAAGTGCCGCCGATTTAGACCCAAATTCAAGACAGGGAGTCCGCTTAATACTGGAATTTGCGACTGCGTATGCGATTACGAAGGCTCTGCTGCCACTACGAATCGTGGCCAGTTTAGGAGCTACTCCGTGGTTCGCGAGATGTGTTCTGGGGCCCATTGGGCGCAACGTGCCCCGCATACTAGAGTATTTAAGAAGAACGCCAAAGCGACCTATATGAAACATATATGTATGGAGTACGCCGTGAGATACTTGGGGATGCCGGCAGTTATTGCAAAAAATAAGCTTGCTTTTGATTTTCGCAATTGGATCATTACTGGGGTAAAACCAGCTATCATTCTAATTCGACATGGTTCAATCGATCACATGGGTGCCCACGCTGATGTTCTCCATAACCTATGCCTCATAGATCCAGTCATGCTGGCTTTGCTTGTACTGGACAAGCTCGCCTTCGCTGAACCAAAGGGCGATCTCCTTCTTGGCATTCTCGACACTATCAGATCCATGGCAGACATTACGGCCGACATCCTACAACTCAGTCAGCAAATGACAATACGCAGAGTCAAGCTGCACTAACAATGGCATAATCTCCGCGGATGGTGCCTGGGGCGGACTGAAGGGGGTTGGTAGCACCGAGGATGGCTAGAGGCAGTCAGATTAGTGAATGTTGGTTCGCCTCCCGTCCACAGTCTTACTTCGGCCAGTCTTCACAGCGTCACGGCCTTCCCAGACCATAGCGCAGATAGGGCCGCTCAACATGTCTACGGCAATCAGTTAGCATGACGAAGCGCGAGCGGGATGGGGGGGCCTGACAGGTAACAAGGCCTTTGAAGAACGGCTTCGAGGAGAGATCGGCATAATGCTTCTCCAAGTGCTCCTGAGAAGGAGTGACAAGCTTGATGGCAACGAGTTTGTATCTGTCGATTAAGTCAACGGCCGGCGGCTGATTCCACGCAAGCAACGTCTACCCACCCTCGGCTCTCAAATCTGCTGATGATGGGGCCAACAAGTCCACGCTAATCAAAGGAGGCGTCAGTATTCTGGGGGCGCTGAGGAAACAAGAACGCGTTTGAGCAGCAGTTTGCCCCGCGTACCTGGACGCCATCGGGCTTGATGGCAATGAAACTATGTGAGCTGGGTGTCAGACAATACGAAGTGGATCTTGGGACAAAGAATGCTCACGTCTGCTCAGCCATTATCGAAGCTAGTGATGTTGATTAATTGATTGCGTGTGGAATGTTTGGGGGGTTGGAAGAGCGTTGTGGTGGGGGTTTTGGCGAGGATGCTGAGGGGCAGATTTTGTGGGCGGGTTTTAGCTCCGCCTTGGACCGCACGGCCAAACAGCTCAGCAACCCCGCCAGCACACACACATCGCAGACCCCAACCCAAGGCCAACGGGCACTCTGCTGTCCCTCCTGCCGCTTTGCTGCATCGATGCAAAGCGCCAACTGTGCGTGAGACGCCGCCCGGGCCGCCGGGGCGCTGGTCGGCGCTGTGCTTTGCGTCGACTCCGCCAAGCCCACTGCAACGCCCGCCAAACCGCGACAGCACCCGCGACGAAACCCTCTGCGTCCAGGCCTCATCCAGCCCGCCTGCGCGCGGCCACCACGAAACGCCCGCCAGGCCGGCGGAAATCAAGCTCATCGGAGGCCTTCTGGGCACCACCTGCCAAGCATCCCCTTTGCGGCCCCTGTCTGACAAACTCGTCACCATTCTTCCATCGAGGGGATACTTTTCTTCACCCTATCTAATGCATCTTCCCTTTGGTTAGAAAACACGGCCTTTCTACCCGTGCTTGTTGCAAGTCAAAGCGCGCTGCAAACTCTGTCAGGGATGCCGTTGCTCCTCCCTGCTCAACGTGCTGCGGGCTATGTCCCTCTGGAGGAGCTCATATGCTACATCTTGACTCCAGTAATGCCATTGAGACCTTTGGTGCCTCAATTCACGAAGGATACCAATTTCTAGCTTTTATCCGCTGGAATTTGTATTTATATGCTTTGCGGACCATGGGACAGAGAAAACAATTCTTTTCTTCCTCATATTCTCCCCCAAGGGTCTTGAAACTTAAAAAAACTCTTGTTCTTGCTTAAATTTTGCTGCTGGTTCAGCACTCTTTTTCTTGTTATTTCAGGCCTGTTTGTTGAAATCCTCTCACCATGTTATTCGGATCCAGTGATGTTTCCAGCACCCTTCGTAACCATTCAATTGCCTTTATTGGAGAATTTGTGGGAACCTTTATGTTCCTATTCACTGCATTTGCCGGCACACAGGTTGCAAGCGAGCAAAAAGATGGCGGTGTTGAAGTTCTGATTTACATTGCAGCTGCGTTTGCCGCTTCTGTTACCGTGAATGCGTGGATCTTTTTTCGTGTCAGCGGTTCTGCCTTTAATCCTGTCGTATGTCAAACACCCTTATCAAATAATAACATTCTATGAGGCTCAGATTAACTAGGCGTCTCTATCTCTGTGGCTAATCGGTGCCATTTCTGTTACTCGAGCTGCAGTGGCAAGCTTTGCTCATATTCTTGCCGGAGTTGCTGCATCGGCGGTTGTGTCTATACTCTTCCCAAGCCCCGTCAAGTTCCAAGCGCGTTTGGGAAAGGGCACGAGTATCGTGCAAGGCCTTTTTATCGAAGCTTTGTTGACCGCTCAGCTGATGCTCGCAGTTCTTATGTTGGCTGTGGAGAAACAGAGAGCAACTTATCTTGTTCCTCTTGTCGTTGGTATCGCTGTTTTTATTTGCGAAATTGCTGGTATGCACTGCTACAACAAGCTATGATATCCATACTAAACAAGTGATAGGTGCCCGGTATAGTGGAGGGGCTCTAAGCCCGGCTCGTGCATTTGGCCCCGATCTTGTTCAAGGAGACTTCGCCACCTACCATTGGATATACTGGGTTGGGCCGACCATGGGCTCACTGGCGGCTACTGGCTTCTACTATGCTTTGAAGATGCTGAAATACGAAACGTGTAATCCTGGAGCTGATTCAGATGGCTTGGATCACTCCCACGGTTTCGATTCGAAGGTATAGATGGATATTACAAACAGATAGGGTTCATTGCTCATGGTCGTTCAAAAAGGTGGTGAAGCGAGCCGTGCACGGATTAGGGGCACTTAGATCTTACCCTTACTCTCTGATTTCGAAAATCCATTGAAAATATCGTTCTTATATTCATACGACCTGCGAGTGACTAAATGTATGTATAAGTACTCCAAGGACTTATACAAGGGCATATTAGACAACCCTCGAATCAGTTACATTTCTTTGTTTAGTATGATTAAGAAAAATTAACCTCCCGCCATGAACTTCAGCGCCAGCGAGCTGGATCTATTTGCGCATAAATAAGGAAGTTCTTGATCCGTCGACGAAACGCCCAACGTCTGGCACCTCGTGAACAAGTCTGACCAGAAACGTGCAATCGTTGCAAAACGAAGGGAACCATCTGGTGACAAGCAAAAGGACAAGTTCCTCTGCAAGCCAATCTGCACTTAGGTGACTTGGCCATATGTCAACGAGGAACGGGCCGTGCTAAGGGCGGGTGGAAAAATGCACTTCATACAAACACTGCTTCAGCCTTGCCCCTCACATGCCTCGGCAGGCTAGAATGGCATAAAAAAAGAAAAAAACGAGGTGAAGGAGCGTCGAGAAGAACCTCGCATCACCGTTCCCAAATCCATGATTTCGAAACAGACGGCATCTACTCTGTATAGTGCATACATGCTGCTGAGGGTAATGTTTATCGGACAGTAGTCTAGAAAAGGGAGATCCGAGATAAAGTATGAAGTAGGAAATCAAACATCAAGCCCACAGCACGTATTCTATATCTTTATTTGATATAGAACTATCATAGGTTAGGGCTCAACCCGGAAGCGTAATACGCTACCTCGGCCAACAGTATTGCTGGAGCCCGGTGCGGGACTCTCTGGACGGCTGGAGCTAGAAAACTTGGGGCTTCGCGGTTGGGTGCTAGTCGACCGTGTGGTCGGCCGGTTCTTTCTCATTTCTCGAAGTTCCTCTTCCTTAGTAGCCAAGAGCTTTTCACGCAATGATAGTAATTTTTCTAGCTCGCTAACTCGATCTAAATGTTTCTTCTCATTATTGTGAAGTCGAAGTTCCTTTAGCTTGCTTGCTTCGTCACTAGATTTTCTCTTCAATTCTTCAATTTGATCCTTTAATTGGCGGGCTTCCAAACTAGACTGGGCCGCTGCCGTGGAAGCGTTTTGATATTGTTGTCGCGTAAACTCGGACTGAGAACGGTCCTGCTGCGAGATCCTTTCCAGGCTTGCTTTTTCTTTTGACAATGCGCGAATTTCCTCTCTGGCTGTTTCTAAATCAGCCATCAGCCCTCCACCAGATTTAAGGGCATTCCGGGCATCTTCAAGGTCCTTGTACAAAGCAGACTTTTCCTCATTCAACTTTAATATTTCCAATTTCTGTTTTTCAATCTGAACGTTCAACTTCTTTGTAGACTCAACGGCGGTGTCGAGTTCTCGCCGTGTTCTAAGGTAAAGTTCGTGCTTTGACTCATATCGAAACTGGAGCTTCGCAGAACTAGCCTCTATTGCCTCTACCCGGCCTTGTGCTTCGACCAAAGCAGCGCGAAGTTCTTTTATCTCTGCAGTGGCATCTTTGTCTTTTTGGCCCTGGGAAATTATGTACTCCGTAGACAATCTTTCTTGTGTTTGGCTCGGTAACGAGTCGCTTATATGAGTAATATCCTGGAAAGGAGTCATTCTTTGACGCTTAGAGGAGCATGCGTTTACATCTGCTTCGTCCTCCTAAATGATCATTGTCAGTAATAAATCAACGAGCAAAGCGAAGAGTTTAAGCCTACCAGCAAGCGTTTCTGGCCAGATGATAACTCCGTGCGTAACCGTTCTAGTTCTGAGGAGACTGAAATGATGGATGTTGGAATTTCGATCATTGAAACCTCTGGAAGAGGCCACTCCCTTGTTTCTGGGTCTGCTAGTAAATATCGCAGAGTCTCTTCTGCATTTTCTTGAACTCCAAGGGCGTCATCTTGGAGATCTCCAGCAACATTGCTGTAAATATCAATGCATTGAACAAGTATCCTAAGTCTGTCTATGCCGGAGCACTGAGGTAAACAGAGCGCTATGTGTTCGGCAGTATTGGATATAATAAGTTTTATCACCGGAATTAGGCGCTCAGAAGAGGGTATATTTCGAAGCTGAAGCAGTGATGGGGCGTCCGCGTCGAATGAGTTATCGAAAGCAATGATCACAGATGGATTTTTGAAAGGAGGGGTTGATGTTTGTTCCACTGTCGAGCGTATTTCGAAGGTTAGATCGCTTAAACGGAAGACTAGACGTTCGGCATTTGGGCCTTCAGAAATTAGCTCATATAATTTGCCGAGGAAGTATTTTTTCAAGATGTCAATAGTTGGGCCCGGTTTAGCCATCAGAACCACATGAATACTAGGCGCTGAAGGGTTTTCTAGCACCGCGTCCATAAAATATCCGAGAAATTGGAATTTTGAGCTCGAATACTCCGCCCAAGAGGCCTCTTTACCTGCATCTAGAGATCCACTGCTGGGTTGTTCGGGTAAATTAAGGTCTGGATGGGTGGTGATATTATTCAGCTGCTCTAGTATTCTTTCCACCTGGGGCAAAGTATTACTACATAGGTACTAGGGGAACAAGCCGGTAGCTAACTTACGTCGATTTCCACATCTTTAGATAAGTCCTCAGGTAGAATGTCGTCCATGAATTTCTGAATATGCTTCCCTGCCGTTTCAAGTGTCCGATCATAGTCGTCTTTGACTCTAGAATCCATAGAGAGGGGAATGAGAAATTCAAAGGGCCGCAAGGGAATACTTGTGTGTTTTATTGTAGTAGGGTCTTGAGCCGAGGAATCCTGGTCCAATTGTTGGGCAGCTAATTCTAATGCCGCCAAAGGAGACGGATCAGAAGCGCCAGATACTGTTGTATTGGTGTCGCCAAAAAGCGCGGGCTGTTCGGGATTGTAGTGTAGTGCTTGAGGAGATACAAACGGAACAGGAGTCTCAGTCTCAGGCTCCGGCCTTACTAAAGGCACCTTTTCATGGCGAATGCTTAAAGGGGCTCCTGGTTTCGATATTACTGGAGGACCGGAAGGTTCGATATCTCCCGCAGATGAGGGTGTTGCGCTCTTGGTCAGGCTTTGCAATGGTTTAATGCTCGCGCGTTCCAATGCGCGAAAGTATTGCATCCTTTCTCCATATGTGGTTCCAGGATTGTTGCGAGCAGCTTCCGCTAAGCTTTTTGGCTGTTGGGAAGACGAATTCTCCATCGCGTAGAATGGATCCTCGAGATATTCTAAGTTTTCACTTGACTTTTGAGTATATGACCTTCGTGATATGGAAGTATGCCGTCCTTCGTCGCTATATTGGGGATTAAGTCTTACAAAACTTGAAGGAGAGACGTCAACTGATTCTTGGGTGCCGTGATAAACGGTTTCAGACACTTTATTTGTTGCTGATATGTTCGTGCTTGATTTTTGGGGATAATGTGGCGTTTTACAAGCTGGTTTATCATGAGTATCTCATAACAAAAATGAAAAATTAAAGTGGCAGAGCAGGTTCTTTCCACTGGACGTACCACTAAAGTTAGAGAGTGGTGGGGATTCCAGCGCATGCAAAGGAAACTGAGATATTGAATAGGTTCGGCTATCAATTTCCTGTACTTGGAGCTGTGATTCAGGAGTCTCTGCAATCTCTAAAGGGAACTTATTAGACAAGGTGTCCCTGATAGTTGGGTCGTTTGAGCGTTGGCAATGTGGTGTTGATATTTGAGGCTTTGCGGATTTGGTACATAAAAATGGGGTACCCGAGTAACGTGAATGTGGCGTGTTCCTTTCTGTGTTATTAATCGAAGAACTTTGGTGACCACCTCGTCGTGCGGAGCCGCTATTTCTAAAGGAACCGTCTTTTAAGAATCGTGATATACCACTAGCGTCATCCGATTTATACCTCAATCGGGACGATAAACTCCTGGCAGAATTTAGTTGGCTACCAGACCCTACGGACTGCTCAGGGGAATAAGTTGATTGAGAAAGATATTCGAAACTTTCAGCTCCTAGTGGTGAGCCCTCTGTTAGCACTTGGGCAGAAGAGCAACGTAAAGATTGATCTGAAAGGTTCGAAACGGGCTGATCAGGTGAATCGCCACTGAAACCACTGTCTTGAGAATGCGTCGTATGCGGGGATTGCTGTGTTGAGCGCGATACAAAGATACTTCCACTACTTTGGGTATTTTGGCTCTGCAAATTTGACGAGGAGGACTGAGACAAGGAGTTGTAGTAGGTCTCTTGGCGATTGCGAAGAGGCCGTTGACTGCGATATCTCTCAGAATTTCTACTTTGGTTTTGTTTCTTTAAATTCCAAGCAGCTATTGCAGCATCATTCACAAAGTGCTTGGGTTCCTAATAGGTGAGTTTAGAGAAGATGAAAATATTACCATGGAATGAGGGCAATTGGTGAACAATGACATACAGTCTTGTTTTATAAATCACAACTTACCCAGGTTGGTTCAAAATTCCCTTCCCACTCAACCAAATATTTATCAAGAGTTTCATCAACAATGCCCTTGATGGGATATTCAGTATCACTATGTTCAGTTTCTATATCAATAGCTGGAAGTGAGTCAAAGTTAGTATATTAAGATCAACGGGATTAAAACAGTTCACATACATTGAGATATATAAGTAGCTCCCTTATGTCCCATTATGTTCCAACAAGTTTCAAACTCCAACAAGCCATCTTACGCATTGCTCCAAATGGAATAAAGATTATTCAAGAAGTACAGAGCAGTGCTGGGGCAATGGCCACTGAGCAGCATGCAGTAGTTACATTGAGTGAAGCGGTTGCACCAGTAATTACTCACGTGATGAATAGTTAACTAAGGTTAGTTAACTAGAGGCTAGTTCCAAGACTTTACTACCTACCCACTCTGAATAATTCTACTGCTGGCAACTCCCAATACAACCTTAACTACCTAACCTGAGATCAGACAGATTTCATCCTAAAAGTTTGCTATTTTCAACATATCTATATGGCTAATTTTGCATTTGGGTCGCTTTCCAATTCTCAAAATCATAACCAATATCCTCGGGCATGTAACAGGAATGCCTACCTTCGCCTTGCGCTACAAATGCTTGCTTGATATTTGTAAACAGGGACCGCAGCCACCTCTCCTTCTCACCCCACAATGGACACTCTTTACCATTCCCATCGCGCTCAAGGCCAGGCTGCGTTTCTGCACTGGCTGCCCAATCATAAAGGAATTGAAGATATTCTGCATCCAGGGGATAAGGTAGAAAGTGAAACGTTTTGCCTGAGCCATGCAATGCAGCAGTTGCCTCTTCCCAGGCATACATATCTTCTTCAATTGGGAGAGACAGTCTCCCCGAGAGTACTCTTGAGAGCACCGCACTCTGAGCTTCGGCGATCGGAAACGGGCTGATCTTCTGGTTTAGAAGAGGAAATATCAAAGTTGGGTGTTCTATATAGAACATATGCTGGTATACACAAAGTGTTCTGCTGCCATCTTTAATTACTGGAGGCTCGAGAGCGGATAGGAAGGGAAAGGAATAAAGATAGCCCGTGCAAAAGACAACATAGTCGATATTGTCTTCGATTTCACCATTAGACAATCGAACGGCTCTATTATATCGTTCTGGGGAAAGAAACTCCTCTATTGAAGATACGTTCTTTCTGTCGTCAGATGGTTTGGCTGTGAAATATGATTCTGATCTTGCCGAAGAAATTAACGGTGTAAGACAGACTTTGCCTATTTGAGAGCCAATATCGATTCCCGATGCGGAATTTCCCACAACAAGAACCTTTTTACCTCGAAACGGTTCCGCCGAAAAGTAAGATTTGGAATGTGAAATAGCACCAGCATAGGATTTATGCCAGACGTCAATCCCGGGAACCGACGGTACATAAGGTACATTATAGTGCCCATTTGCAACGACAACTGCGTCATAAACATCCGTCTGCAGTGTATCAGATTGCAAGCACTTCCTTGTAACTGCCCAGCTTCCAACTGATTCATCCTCTAGCATGATGTCCATGACCTGAACTTGGAAGTGTATTAAATGCTCAATATCTTTGCTGTATTCCTGGAGGTACTGTAGCACAGACTCCGACTTTGGAAAAAGCTGTGTGTTTTTTGGAAAAGGCAAGCCCGAAAGCTCCATTAACTTGTGCATGATGTTTGTTTCCAGCTCATCATAAAGTGGGGAGAGGAACATGGCGAGACCTTTGTCGGTATTACTGTGCGGCTCCGCAGTGGGTTGCCAAATTGGCTTCTCGGTTGGGAATTTTGCATTTTCTTGGGGAACAGGAGTTAATAGCTCGGCTTTGTGACTGGCCGGAGACAAATTCCAAACGCCACCGACACAATCACGTTGCTCGAAGACATCAATGGTGTCGAAATGCTGTTCGGCAAGTAAATATCTACCCTTAAGTCAGTTCAAATCACGAATTTGCAATTTCCGCGGACTACTTTGCAGCTGCCAGCCCGCCTACTCCCGCTCCAACAATCGCTACTCTGCGAATTTCAGAAAATCTCCTGGTCATACTTGCCAATGCTCTGGGAATTAGCGACTGATAATGTATGCATCGTTGTTGCGATAGGTAGCCAAATCCTACCTGTTAAGTAACGTACGGGCTTTCCCCGCAAATCACATGATTGGCCCTAGTCCCCGGCCCCATTTTAATTAATAGTTAGTTACTTAACTAGTTAGCTAGTTACTACGGAGTAGTTAGCTCATTGAGCATTCCTCTTATGTCATCGAAAACTAGTTCATAAAATTTATTATGGCATTAGACCAATCACAGTAATAGGACTTTCGATACTAATTTTATTAGAGTGTTCCAATTATTCAATTATTCGACGATATTCCAGTCCTTTCGCAATATGGCCTCATGTGGAAGAGAAATGGCGTACTCTACTGCATAAAATTGCAGTGAGGTACGCTAGATTTGGTTCAAGATGAGGTCTGTACGTTTTGCTAAAAGTTGTTTAATGTTGCTCAAGGGCTTGAATCCAATAAACTATTGCCGGTCGCTACTGGTAGTACTGTACAAGGGGGAGCCAGAATGAATTGAGGGCCATCTGAAATAGAATAACGACATACGGTCCTTACATTGGTAGGGTATTATCCATAAGCCAGTCATCATTGAAGATTTCAAATGATGTTGCTCTCACTTCAGGGTCCCATGTAAGCATTCTTCGTATAAATCTTAAAAACATTTTCTTTTCATCCCCTGGAGGAATTGTAGTAACAAAATCTTCAAACGAGGCTTTTGGTATTGAGGGCTCTGAGATCCAAGTTCCTAGTTGTGAGGGTGTTAGACTTGAACTTATCCTAATGACCTATGTTATTGACACTTGCCTGTCTCATCAAAGAATGTGGTGAACAGTGGACTCTTTTGTATCATAGCAAGGGGCGGAGGACCAAGATAGCTAATGTATTGAGCCAACGCAAGGGGCAAGACATATTGCTGATTAGTATAATCAATAGGATCGAAAAGGTTTCGGCCTTCGAGAAGCTCGAGCGTCTAAACAAGTATGAGTGTGGTTTTATGGAATGAAAGATGGGCGATTTACCATCACGCCAATTGACCAGAGGTCGACTGGGAAACCCCAAGGGAGTTTAAGTAGAATTTCTGGGGCCCTATAAAGATCCGGCATCCACCAGTCACTATTATTATGCTCTCCCAATCGCATTTGACCAAAATCAGTAAGCATTGGGTCTCCAGTAAGTGCCACGGGAACTTCTCTAGACTCGTACACCGGGCTTCCATCAATTATGGATACTACACTAGGGTTTTTGGATTCTTGGTCTGCAACCTTTTGTAGGCTCGTGGTATCGTCAATCCTCTCTAACACATTCTGAGGAGATATATCTATGAGTACTTAGCGGTCGGTGGATAATACGGGGGATGTAGTAGAAGCATACCAGTATGTATAACACCACAGGTCACGTGTAAAAAGTTGATCGAAAAGATGATTCGATGCACCAGAGATCTCACTAGAAGCTTTGGCAGTTTGGCATTTGGGAATTTCTCTTGTAAGGCACGAAGACTGGGTCCTTGTGGTTGGGTAGCAATACAGTAATGTGACCCAGTAGGACCGTCGATTTCGAAAATCTCGCGAGCAAGTCGCGTGTACTCTACGCCAGGGTGGTCAACCTTTGAGAACTTTTCCAAATGTTGTAACATGTTGATTTCGTTAATGACAGGCGATGATTTCGAATCATCCCTGATACAAATCTTTAGCGACGCGTAATTGTTAAGCCTAAACAAGCTAAGTCAAGACACCAGCATTTAAAATTTGGAGGGAAATTATAAGCACCTTTGGTCCCAGGCGAGCCAAACAGTGGAATACGCTCCATAGCCCAGCTTTGCTATGATTCGATACTGATTCTTGAGGGTATCACCTATTCTGGCAGGGTAGTAATGTTTGTGGTGTTTGAACGGAAGCAAGAGCTCTTCAAGTAGTGGAGTATTGTTTGATGACATATTGCGTAGAATACGCAGAGTGTTGACGAGCTGCGGTCGGATGAATCGGGAAGTCAGGGTAGGCTGAGCTAATCGCATTTTAGAAACAAGAAGTAATCGTGAGATCATGAAATAGGTTTGGATGCAGTCTTTTGGAAATCACAAGGTATTCGGGCAGCGTGCGATGTTGGTGCCGATAATCATGATGATAAAAAACGATGAAAATAACACGGAGTGCTTAACTCCATATAACTACATAATACACTCCGTGCAGAGTACATACCCTAGGAACCCCACACAAAATGTGGATATGTAGAAAACGAACTCTGCTCAAATTCACCTTGTCCAATCACTTCCAATCTATATTCCATATATTTTATTAGTCAAAATTTTCCCATTGTACCTAGATTATTGGATTCAACTCTACAGCTTATTCTCAAGCTCCTACACATTAAAATCAATGTTCGGAAGACCCCTTGAGTAGTCAGATGCAACATCACCATGATATATTGAATAGCGTAGCATATACATCATTTTCAGATGCTGTATGAATCCAAGTGTGTAATTAACAAATCTAGAAAACCCGCTAGATATATTACTGATGAATTGAAGAACTTCTTTGCTGAATACTCAACTTCCTACTTGAATGAAGCAGCAGCTTTTGTCAGTGAAAATACAATGTCAAGGTAAGCAGTGCGGAGGACTCCGTACATATACTCTATGAAGAACAAGCAGCCTGGACATTTAATAGTATAAACAGAGCAAACAGTAAATGATCATGTGATAACTGCAGTTTTAGGTAATTACTATTTATAGCACTAGTTAGCTAGTTAACTTAGGCAGTTAACTGCCATTTCATTTGGGTGTGGCACTCCATAGTTAAGTTAGTTAACTAGTTAGTAAGCTAACACACCTACACCCAAACATGATCCCTGCTCTTGCCAGCCCAGACGCACCCACAGTAAAGTAGGATACAGGAGGGCAGCATGGAAACAGAGCAGAGAATTTTTTTGGATCAATATCTGTCACCTGCGGAGAAAAATTAGGGTTTTTAATGGCTCTATGAATTACCTGAAACCGCCGCCTTCTTATATTCCCACTGTCGAGTTCCACATCTCAATACCATATACCCGACATTTAGAAGGCTGATGGAACGGTCCAAGCTACTGTTGACAGGTTTGAAATCATGAAAGGGCTACAAAAACCATCATTGTTCTCGGCAGCGACTGAGACACTGATCGCGAACTTATCACCCTGCTTAAACAGCCATAAACGAAGATATATTCAAGGAGTTGTCACACTCCTATGGCCTTTCTCTCTTTCTAGTAAAAAATTTAGCCTTCTACTTTCAGAGCCTGATTTTCGGTTACGAGGATCTAAGGGCCAAGTCAAAGTCATTTTCCATAACAATGCAGCAGAGAAAGTCTCGCAGTCTGGGGTCGAAATAGGGGATACCGTTTTCATAAGCCTAGACGGTGTTAGCTGGAAAGATGTCGATGGGAACGACTCGGACTCACGTGGAATTGAGTGGGATCTCGAGTTTGACAAACGTGTTTTGTTCGAAGTACGTCACTCCGACCCGAAAAAGCAATGCCTGGTTTTGACAGAATCTTAGGTTTATCGACAGTCTAAGCCTTTTGCTGTTGTGGATCTTAAAGACACCCCAAACGAAATAATCAAAGATTCTGTGTATGATGGGGATTCTCCAGTGCCAACCACGACAATCCCTTCAATCACTCTGTCCGAACTCACCAACAAAACATGGTCATCCCCAGCCTTTTCTCGGTCTCTTGCAAGGCCAATGCTATCTTGTGGTGCTGATGAAGATAGCTTCGCCTTAGGAAGGGGTAGAAAACGAACAAAATTTGGAAGGTTGAGCAGTGAATGGGTCTATGTTGGTTCCTCATCCAACCCGCCAACGGTTTCCCGCCAAACCGAGGAATCGGAATTCCAAACCGACCTTCAGGATGCCGACTCTCCATCACTCTATCTCCCCTATGAGACAGGCACAGCAAGCCCTGTCGGACAGCATGTCGAACACCAAACATTTACTCTCGCCATTCCCAAACCACCCACTTTAGCCGACGACAAAATCGGTATTTCCTCAGATTCCCCCGAGATGCGTAGCTCACCTAGATCTGTTGAAAGAAACTCAAACCTAGAGGATTACTGTCCGCCCACTGTAGGAATACTTCAAAGAGCAATACGAAAAGGTGATACTCCTGAAACCCTCAACACCCTTAGATTGGCTACTACTCGATCTGGATTAGAAGGCCGACGCGACGACCGGAATTTCGGTCAATGTGAAGTCAATGTATCACACAGCATGTCTTCTCCAAAAATCCTGCCCGCAAATTTTTCGGCGATAAACATGGCGTCGCCATTGAACACTTCTCTCTCATCACATATAGTTGAACCGGCAGACAAAAATACTATTAGTGAAAAGGAACGGGGCATTTCAGAGTTTAGAGAACCAATTCAGATTGAGCGTGTATCTGAGAATCAACTGCAATCCGCAGGGACTTCAAGTGTAAAATCCGAATACGAAGAGCTGGCAGAAAACGACTTATCTGACAGAAACCAAAGACTCTCTATGAATACGGAAGATTCGTCGAGATTCAGGGGTGGTGACACATACCAGCCAAGCGTAGGAAAAAATGCCAACTTGTCAGCAGGCACAGATTCTCACGAGCCATACTACAGTTTCGATGTTGAAGAGTCAGAAAACATACCGGTATATTCGCCGACCGCATTGCCTTCTCCCAAAAAAATAATCGCCCCCTACCGTGGTGACAGAGAGGAACATTACAATAATTCAACTCTCGTTCAGGTACCAGAGGCACCTTTTAGTTCTGGAGAAATGCTAGCAAGCCGTTCCTCTCCTTCAGCCTGCTCTGTACACTCTGCACCAGACACACAAAAAGCTGCTAGGTCTCCACGGGCTATGTCCGTAGCATCTACACCAGAAAACGCCGGAAATATGGAGATAGAACCAGGGAGGAAAGAAATAGGGGACGCTACGGCAAGTACGAAGGTTTCTGCCTTGCTGCCTTCGCATCGTGAGGAAGTTTCTGGTTGCGAAATCGAAAACACGCAGCAACATAATTCTTCGCGCTCATACGTTCGTAGCAAGTTCTATGTGGACCCTTCTGTATACCTTGACAACACCGGCTCCAGCAGTGCAACCTTCGAACACTCGATAAGCGAAAATGCTCTGTTACATACTCCCATTAATAAAACACCGTACCACCTACTTCATCCACCGCCAATATCTGATACCCACGCATCTCAAACCTCGCCGTCTCTTAGCCTTTCACAGCAACGCCAGCCTTTTCCTGAATTGGCATACGTAGCTGAGCCGGGACCAGCGTTCCCCTCTGCATTAGAAGGTTCTTTTGGACCCTTGTCACATAACACTTTCAATATGCTTGAGCAGCATCCTCCGCTCATGCATCATACAGACACTGCCCCGTCGGAGTCCGAGTTGGATTCCAATAAAGGGAACTCGACCACAAACATGGATATAATCGAATACAATTGCTTCTCAACGCCACTGCGATCCCCTTGCCTCGGATCCGACGCGTCCAGCCCAGGCTTCAAACATCCATTCCCGCTTGAAAATCAGCTCAACAGTCATGTTTCGGGACTTCGAACGAAGCTATCTTATTTTTGCCCGCTTTCGCTGCTTCTTGATAATTTCAACCAGACCACCGACACAATTTCAGTTATTGTGTCGCAATCTTCTGTCTCGCGGGCCACTCGCGTTCCGCGTGATCATTTTATCACTTTGCATCTCACGGATTCGTCTATCAGGGGAAGTACTGTCTGTGCCCAAATTTTCTGCAAAGATAAAACGTGTCTTCCCGCTTGTATTCAAGGCGACATTGTCTTGTTGAGAAACTTTAAAGTGGAGAGCGTTGGCCATAAGATGATGTTGAACAGCATGGGTGAAAGCTCTTGGGCAGTCTTCTCTCAAGGGGCTCCAGGAGATGTGCAAATCAAGGGCCCTCCTGTGGAGTTTGGTGAAGAGGAATTGGCTTATGTTTCTGATTTGTACCAGTGGTATACTAATGATGGTCAGGCTTTGGTTGCTCAGGAGACGGCACGGTTGAGGGACAGCAGAAGTGCCGAAACACGGAGCAGTCTTGCACCAAGTGAAAATAGCAGCGTCACGAGTCGTGGTCAAGACAGCATAGCTAGGAAATATCATAGGAGAAAATCCACCCCTCGAAGAATTGTCGTACATGAACTCAGAGGCGGTAGGAAATATTTAGATGCCGGTTCACCTTCTGACAAAGAAAGCATCCATGAATTAAGGGACGGCACGGTCTATACTCATCTCTGAAATATGTATGATTTACTTTCCTCTATATTGGATGTTTTTTGAATGCCATGCACTTTGGAGTTCCGGGTGAATAGCTTGGGTTTGTTCCCCGTACTAAGGAGCCCTGATCGTAAACTAATGATACAGGCCTTTATCACTAGAGTACTACGAGGTGCAGGGCGAGATGAGCGAGTAGAATATGAATTGTCTTAACAAAATATTATGACAACCATTCCATAATCCACCCAATGTGAAGAGCTAGCTTGATCTCACATAAGGTGCGGACAGATGGGTTTATATATGAATGGTTATAGGATGGAAAGTAAGGCTTAAGGAATAAGTCTAAGGTATGAAAAGCAAAACGGCGAGATGGTAGAGCCTAATTCCGAGTCGGGACACCAATGAGTATCATCCCACTGTCCATATGACAAAAACATTAGCAGTGTGTAAGGAATGGGTCACGTCTTCAGCAACAGAATGTTAGATATACAATCAGACTTTGCCATTCTTCTCCTCAAGCTCATCCAGCTACGTATAGGTAAACACGAGTGTAGTAGAAAGCGGTTGAGCACATTGGATTACCAGAGCTGTATTTTTATCTTCATTGTACCCCGAAAACTTTGACTCTGCAGAGGGAGAGACAAATACTAACATTTAGGACAACCACCCTCTCCATCCATAGAAGTTTATTTAAAGCCTGCAAAGTCTCGCCATTCTATTTCGTAAAGCGAATATCTGTCCCTTCTATCAGGTCATCAACATATCATGGGAGGCTCGGCGCAAACCGAGCCCTCGTGATGATGGTTTTAAAAGAGGGTAATTGACAAAGCAATTTCAATCTCGACACACACATCGGAATCACCAGAGCAGTGGAGACGAGATGGGCTGTCGCTGGTGACGATTTGAGTCGGTGGTCTTGGGTGAAAGGAAAAGAGAATTTTTGAAGTTGAATTGTTTTGTTTTGTGGTTTGCTGACTTAACTAACTAACTAATCTCAGCTGACTAAGAAATCCAAAATTACAACAATTTCAGAGTTAACCTAAATATATCCCGCCAATTCCCAATCTACATGCTGAATTCAGTCAGCCCTCTTTCCGCCGACAGCTATTAGGACAGTGGGCTCAATTAGAAAGATCGATTATTGGATTGGTTACGACTATCTTTTAATACACCTGATAACAACTCTATACATGATAAAGAGATTTTGGGGCAAGATGTTAGACTTTCTTTGAATCATAGTCATTCCAAAAAAAAAAAAAAAACACTTTAAGGATTTAGCCTGTTATTCCTTAGTCGTTATGACAATCGTTCACCGCACGGCAACTCATTGATGGTCCTAGCTAGCTAGTTAAGTGACACATGATCATAGACCTGCTTCCCCTCCCACCCCCCTTTTTTTGACTCTTTGTGTCTCCTCACATCGTTGATCGCATTGATATGCCCAGGGCAGCGTCAACCCGCTTCAGTGCCTCTTGAAGGCGCTTCGGCTCGACTGAGAAAGACAGCCGGACCCAGCCCTTAGCTTTGGGCCTTCCGCTGCAATTCTGACCAGAGGTGACCAGAACCCCTGCACCCCGCAGCTTTTCTATCATCAGATTCTCGTCCTCCCAAGTTTTCGCTCTTGGCGCCAGCCGAGCGAAAATATTCGATCCAGCGCTCACTGGGATGTAGGCAACATTGCGCCTCGTGAAGAATTCGGTTATTAGCATATACGCTTCGGCGAGCCGTGCAGAATTGAGTGTGATCAAGAATGGCAAGGTCGGAGAGGATAAAAGGGCTGTGGTGAATGCTGTCGATAATACTGATGCTTGGGAGCTTCGTGTCTCAGTTAGCTGAGAAATTAACTTCGGATTCCCCTGTGTCACGGTGAAGCTCTGAGATACATCAGCTTAAAGTGCGCATCTGCTGGATTAGCTAACATACCAGTCTATATTTTCCAGCACCAAAACCTCTGTCAATGCTCCATATTGTATGTATCCGCGCTCGGTCACATTTCAGAGCCCGGGTATTTAAAGATAAAGCAGAAATAAAGGGATGAGGTTCCGTTATCTCCGCACAAGAGAATGCTGTCAAAGCATATTCCTCATCTGAGATGAAATGAATATCCTTGCTCTGGCAAAATTTCAAACATCCTTCTAGCATATCTTGAGAGTAGCAACGGCCTAGAGTTTTGTGTGGATTTGTCAGGATAAGAGCTCGGATGCGGCAATGGACTTTTTGCACGTCAATGGTCAGCCTTGACATTATGGCCTTCGAAGACATGCTGCAAAGTCCTGTCATATCAATCTCAATAGGTCGAAAAATGGAGCGGTGACGTATCCGCAGATCAGATCCAACTATTTACTGTTAAATTTGCTCCATGCAGTGGAGAAATGTTGCCGAACTCTTTTCCTGCCAGGCAGGCGGGAACGAACCAGACTCTGGATATCCTACCTGGAATCAGTACCCCATCTCCTTGCTCACATATACTCGACAGTAAAGCATCTATTGCCTCTACGGCACCCGCCGCTGTAGCTATGTCTGCTTTTAATACTTGTGTAAGTGGGTTGAAATAGTTGTTGAAAAATTTTGTTGAAGTTTCTAGCAAGCGTGCATGACCTGCATCTGTTTGTTGATTGATGACCAGCTATAAATCCTGAAAAGATTAGCCACACATGAATTATGAAGGATGGGGGACTATAGACGTTGCGTACCTGTGATAACGAATTCTCAGCTGTGACATCTTTTCCTATGTTTTCTAACTCTTCTTGAAGTAGGTAATTATCCTCCGTTGTAAGATCAATACTCGAACACTCCGCGGTTTGATAGCTGTCTGTGTATTTTTGCATCTTGTTTTCCTGCGCTGTATTACCAAGTATGTCGGTGTTTTGATAGTAGGATGTTGTTAGGGTGTGACCAGTTATAAGTATTTTGGTTTATAAAATTTCAGCGACGAACTGGCACAGAAGGTCTTTGATTGGTATTTCCCTGGGCTTTTTTTGGCACCACCAAGTACCATCATCATGGTGCTTTTATCATTCTCAGGAATGGGGAGGGGACCATAAATAAGCAAAATGTAAACTTGGGCACGTAGACATGATTCAGCTCCCATAGCTACAGTATGCCCTACGTCTTTGTTAAAGTATGCCAATCACTTTCCTCGTGTTACTCGGCCCGCTGCTAGAGATAACGGACAGATCTGTGGAACCGCCCGCTATGACTTGCTTTTTCCACCAAACGTGCAGCCAAGGCATATCACAAGGTTGCGCTCTACTCCGTATGGGCCAGCGTCTTCAAACTGCATTGGGCAAATGGATCGGGCACTGCATGCAGGGCTAGCTTCTAGTTACCAGCCAACGTAGCGGCGGACTAGTTGGAAGAGCGATGGATTTAGAGCGTCTTGCGCCTGCATCTCCAATCATTGCTAAAGGAATGTCCCAAACGTCACATCCCAACAAATTCATGAACCTTTTACCCAAGGTTGGATATATGGATGCAATCATGGTATAAGGACAAATCTCGACGCCAACATTTTACGGCGTATGTTTCCTAGACTCCTACGTAAGGTCTTCTGTTTCATGATGCCGCCCGCAGTAGGCTAAGAGCGACGTTTCGGGTAGTACTCCACATGCGTGCGTGTGGGTGTGGTACGGCGTGCTCCGTACAATGCTCTTTTCTAGGAAACAGGAACAGAGTGATGCTTCTTAAAGCTTCGTCAAACAAAGGAACGCCATTTATGAATTAGCTGTTTCCGAGAGACAGGTTATACAGTCCACATCACTGAGGCCAAAACGGCGCTATCAACGCCTGCTCCCCTTTACTTGGTTTTCCAGCGGGTAGTTTCTTTTAAGAGTACGGAGTAGACGGCGTCCTTCGGCTTCTTAACGAGCTAGAATAAACACTCCGTACGTCCATCCCGGCTGACGACAGGATCGGCAGTTTCCGGGGCACTGGAACTCGATGAACCGCGGAACGCACCCCGGGTGCAACAATGCTGAGGATGAAGCAAAGGGTTGCAGCTCCTGGCCATGTTCGGAATCTAGCCCCTCGTTGCCTAATCAATCTTCCGAATGGAATGCAAGGTACTCAGTATGCTGGCACGAAGGACGGCACCTTGCGTCGGTTGCGCGAGCGAAATCTAACATCTTCTGGGTGGGGTGCTTAACTAGCTATTCTTCTAATAGTCGGCAACAGTTGTGAAAGGATAGAATGCCAGCAAGAGGAGACTTGTATTTGGATTGTATGGAAGTACTCCGTACTCCGGATCGCCTTGTTGACAGAAAGCTCAGATTAACCGCAGCCCGACCCGCCGCCACTAACCAAATATAGTTAGCTAGTTAGATTCCTGCGGCTGCGCTTGACCGTTTTGAGAAATTGGAAGCAAGCACCTGGCCTGCTTGGCGCCGCTCGGCCTCCTAAGAGATTTGCGACTGCCTCATCGGGAAAGTGGACTTCGGCTGATAGGCGGTGAAGACGCTTAGGGCGGAGATCTTCTATTTACGACGTATTTAGCTATGCTGTCTCTAGTAGATAGTTTATCGCTATGTGCTCCAAATAGGCAAAAGCAGAGCGACGACACGAGTACTGAGTAACTATCGGGTATAGAGCACGCGAAACTTAACACCATGGGCCGAGGCTTCCAACATATTGCACGGTTTCTAGGGAGTACGGAGTACACCTGTGGTATCCTTCCTTCCATTATAAATGTGCCTTTAGTTTGCCCTATTTGACGTATTCGGTGCACCCCCTGCTTATTTTTGCTATTTGTATACCAGTAACCAGGTTAACTGTTTCCGAAGTCCTGGCTAGCATACAACGGCTACTGTCAGTGCAGCATGGGCCCTTTAAATAGGATATGATTTGCAAGGTTGAATATTCATCGGCACGGCGTACGGAGTGCATAATATATTTAGGTCTTGTTAGCCCTAGTCGGTGAACACTATGCCCAAGAGTCGGGTAAAGAAACATTGATGCTCTAGGGTAAAAAACACATACCATGTGAAATTAATTCTGTCATTTTTTACCTCAATGCAAAAAGGGATTCATGAGGATACACAAATCACCATGTTAAAAAACCGCTGCAGCCCCGTTTGTCAAACATAATATACCCAATAACAAAGACTTGCCTTGTTCATGCTGTGTTCCAGAACTGATACACATGTAGCTATGCGTATTCACAGTACTCTGTGCATCGGGTGGAATTCCAAGCAGTGGAATTTCAGCCATCCAATCGAAATTTGTCGATGAATTAATGTGATGCGTTGTTGAGCTACATATAGTCGATATAGCATTGCATATATGTAGATTAGATAAATATGTATGGATTGTTGCCGGCTAAATCTAAATGAACCTTTGATCTGAGTGGGCCTTCTTAACCACATATGTGATATATCTTTGTTGACCTCAGCCAGGTTTCAAAGTTCAGATGTTATATGCAGTGCCTATTCAGAAGTGCCGCTCACTCTACAAGGTATAACGACAATGCCATCGGCTGTGGGCATCTGGATGAGCCTAGCTGGATTTCTGACAGTGTGGTGCGTAGTCTTTGTTGTCTAGGGGGCTGCTACTTATCCAGCAGAGCGCTGCTTATCAAGGGATATCGCTAACGGTTGTGACCTGGACAGAACTTCATGATAGAGTAAGCCAAAGCGTAGAGGTTCGCCGGGGAAGTCCAAGTGGCGGGTGGGGTGGAAACGGGGGCCGGATCACGCAAGATGGGATAGAAAATAGGCCGCACATAAAATATACACAACATGACAGATTGTGGGATAAGCTGTTGTATTTTACTCCTTTCTTCTTTTGGACGGGAAGTGCCCTTGGGAGCCCATACGATTGATCTTCCACGGACAGATCAGATGGAACGCATAGAATGTCAACTAGTTATACTTCCAGACAGCCATCAGCTACACAGCCCTATAATAAAGGAAAACTCACGCATCTTCATGACTTTGGAGCGCCCCCCCCCTCCCCGCGTCGTTTCGGTTTGGCCGGGACAAGTTTGTTCGCCACTCTAGGCTAAACATAGGCTAGCCGCGCTTTTAGCCGCCCAAGCGCCGCAAAAGCTTGACGTTTCATCGCGGTTGCGCCCCCAACTCGAAGGCACAAACCAGAAGCACGCCCGAAACGCCGCCTTTCTCGATCCCACCAGACCACCTCCACTGCCTTCCTTCGCATAGCGCGACGCCTTGTTCCTAGAGCCTTTTTTTTGTGTACATCTTAACGCCTCTCGTTACGAAAGCCGAAACCCCATTTCGACGCCACCTTCCTGCGCTTCTGTTTCGTATTTTTTTCCCTTTTTACGATTCCTTTGATTCGTAGCCGCTCTTTAACGCTTCTTTCGTGACACTCGTCATTCGCTGCCATTTATTTGTTTGAATATAGCTGCAAATGGAGAACGCAAATCTGTGGACTCGGAGATCGAAGTATGCTGCCCTTACAGTTGAATTTACTACGGGACGCGCCCTCCGCCATACAGGCGAACTAATTCAGTATTCAGCTCTAGCAGGCTTTCTTTGTCAACTACGGATACTCGAGACATACACGGAAAGTCCGAGCCTCAGAGAGGCTCGTCCAAGCGGTTTGGCGGTGACGGCCGGTCGAATCCCTTCAACGCAATTTCTCCTCTATCCACAACCGTCTCATCACCGTCCACAAACGCTTCTTCTGCCTTTGGGCTCGGCTCCGGGGCATTCGCCTCCTTTGGTTCCGCAGCAAAAACCCCCAAAACGCCGGGTGCCTTTGACTTCGCCTCTTCAAAACCCCGACCCCCAAAAACAGAAGGCGAACATGGTGGAACCGGACCTAAGAGCGTCAAATCTAAAGGCTCATCGTCTTCTCTCAACAGTTCTCATACTAGTGGGCCCAAAGAGCATTCCATAAAGTCAACATGGGTTGTCTGGTACCGCCCTCCTACACCGAAATATTCCGATTATGAAAAATCTACAATAGCCTTGGCATCTATATCATCCGTCGAAAGTTTTTGGACAGTGTACTCACATTTGAAGCGACCTTCTCTGTTACCTACCGTTTCCGATTATCACATTTTTAAGAAGGGCATTCGCCCAGTTTGGGAAGATCAAGCAAACAAAAAGGGCGGGAAATGGATTGTTCGGTTGAAAAAGGGAGTGGCCGATCGTTATTGGGAAGATCTTTTGCTAGCTATGATAGGCGACCAGTTTGCTGAAGCGAGCGACGAGGTCTGCGGGGCAGTTCTTAGCGTTCGTAGCGGCGAGGATGTCTTGAGCGTGTGGACAAAGATTGATGGGGGGCGTAATATTAAGATCAGGTATATTCTTTCTAAATTTTATATCTGAATCCCCTAACAGGCAACAGAGAGACAATTAAGCGGTTATTGAATTTCCCATCGGATACCAACATTGTGTGGAAAAGCCATGATGATAGCATAGCACAAAGGACCGCCATTGACCAGGCTCGGCAAGACAAGGCTACCGGGAACCAGGGTACCGACCGTCGACGTGGTACTCACACTGACGATTCTACAACCGAAAAGGGCAAAGGCGCTGCATCTTGAATTTCGCATCCTCTTTGATTCGTGTATAACTAGGTAGTGCTTTGGCTTTCTTTTTCTTTATATATTTTCCGTTCTTTTTTTGTCTTCAATTTTTCTCTAGCCTTGGAAACCCTTCATTCCTCTTTTTGCATTTAATATGGCGACATCAGTGTTGATGGATGCAGTGGATGTTTATTGGGGAAGACATTCTTAGTTCAAATGATTTTCATGAAGACTCTGGGTTTCACTCAGGGAGTAATAAAAATGTAACCCAATCATATAAATTATCTCAGTGTAGTTCCTTGTTTTGTGATCTGCGAGCATTCTCATGTTCTGGCTTATATGTAAATCGGCTCCCAAACTGCCATGAAGTCAAACTGACCTAAACAGCAAGTGGCGCGTTGATGCAATCACTGAATTCTGGCCAAACACATTTACCCCCCTCAACCCCCCTCTGTCCCCTCTTTTTTGTGCGAGTTGACATTTAATTACTGCCTTTTAACAATACTTTTCTAAATTTGCAACCCACCGTCCTGCCTCTCACATGGGCCTCGTAGCCAGCCTAGTGTCCTCATGATTTAATTCTCTCCTTTGCACAACGCACACGACCAACCCAACCCCCTGGCCGACGCGCTTGGTTACAACTTCAGATGCATGGCGTGAGGAAGGACGGTGTACTTGACAACAGTGTCAGAAATCTTGACCAGCATACTGTATGTTTATACAACCAAAGTGATTGATGACTGAGTGATCCCAGTGACTACTAGTGATCTATTGCTGATTTGTATTATTTGACATAGGTCCATCTTACACCTGGTCCTTTCAATGTCCGGCAATCACAGGAAACCAAGGCTGGCTTTGGCCTTAGTGCTGGGAAAAAAGAGAGGTGGCTGTCTCCCCGAGATCCGCATGTAGTGGATGTAGGCTCACAATTGAAATAGTGGGCCTGTCGGAGCAGCCGATACGATGCAACTTGCTGACGAAAAGAGGCTTTTGGGGAACTATCGGTATGCCTTCCGGTTGACTTGTTATATCGCCCTGCTGGGGCATTTCAGCTGACAAGAGTCGCTGTATAGGGCCGACCCAAATGCAGTTAAAATAAATACTCCTGGTACATCGACTATCACCAAACCAAAATCTATTTCAGCTCTCAAAGTACGATGAACGGTTGCTTTCTACCACCCCTTTTGTCCCCGACTAACCGATATATAGTCCCTTTCGACCTTCAAGCCTACGAATACCCTTGGTCATCGTGCAAAAAAACCCGCCACCATTAGCCCATTTTTTGTATCAAAACCTGGTATAGAGATATCAGTCAACGAAAGTGGTGGCTCCCCACGAAAGAAGAGAAAGACTGAGAATGCGGCTGTAATCGAACTGGACGACGAGGAAACTATTATACCAAACTCTGCATCATCCACAAATCCCACCTCTATTATAAGCAAATCTCTACTTCGAAACTCCCCAAATAGTCGGGTGAAATCAAGAGGGCTGCCATCATTATCTGAGTATTGGGAAACCAAAGACACTCAATGCGGCCCATGTTCGACTGAAGATAAAAAAGCATCCTCTAGCTGTTCCAGCAACCAACTTGAGTGCTTCGATCCGGAAGCTTTTATGAAAAGTGCAAAGCAAGAACGTGTCGATCGCGCAGCGGCTCAAAGTTCCAATCAGAACTGCCAAAAGATGGACTCTGTTATATCAGCTGTTGAGATCCCTGTCTACAGGTCAAGTGAAAATCGAATGCGAGACACCCGTAATCAAAAGGCTTCTGACGGTCATAAATTAATAAGGCAAGATAGTCCTGATGAACTGCAAGGTGACAGAACGCAAGGTGACTTCTGGAAAACACGAACTGTGTCACCGAGCGACATACAGCCCACTCAATTTTCATCGACCTCTCGGACCCAAACCAGGCTCAGGAATAGAGATACAGAAGATGCAAAATTCCCTCTTACTGTTTTCCATTCTGGGGTTAGTGCGATCAATGAGCCTTCGCAGCTTGTAGTGGACAAAAGTGGGTTTACCCTTCGTGTTAAGGCGACCAAAAATCGGTTGTCGTCCAACACGTACGATATCAAGAAGGTTATTAAAATACTCCATGACGACCGAAGTAGCCTTTCAAAAATCCGTCTCAAGTTTTCAAAATCTTCTACTTCAAGCGACACTGCGGATATGATATTCGCAAACGGTGAAGATCGTGAGACGTTTTGTGGCCTTCTTCAACGCCTAGTACCGGGCGTTAAGAAGAATTTAAAGGAAAGGTAATTGATTCACCTGGATGGACTTAGTTTACCGAAACTAACTCGATCTAGTTCCTGGATGGATAGGGCATTCGCCAGTGAAAGATCTGCGAGGCCCTCATCCCATCTCAAAAGACCAAGCCCAAAAGAAATTGTAAATGATTATGTTTTTTTCCCAGGACCATCAAAAATTAAACGCTCCAAACTCAGCGATCGACTTCTAAATGAATCCGCTGATTCTTCAAAGGAGATGACGATTCCAATCCGGGCACAGAGAGCCTTTAATTCTGCAAGCCTCGGGACACCAGCCGAGTCATTCTCTAATCCCTGCCATGCCCACCCTCAAGCGAGTGAGCTACACGGAGGCATACCCATCCCTGTTAGAATTTACCAGAAAACTACGCCCAATACGCATATGACACGGTCAAGCGCACGCCAGAAACGTGTATCTATCGAGAGGTATGTCCGCACCTCCTTCTCAACTGCCGAACGTGTGAAATACTCACCTTGTACAAAGCGATGAAGAGATACTATCAGAGATACCCATTGGTTTGAAGACTGAAAAGAGATGGACGAAGTAGGTTTATTTAAATACGGCTTTAGATTAGAACTAACTCCTACTAGGCCTCTTATATATCCTAAAACTGGCAAGAAAAGAGCGGAAGTAGAGGCTCACGATTTAACGCGCCTTGGGGATGGGGAGTTCTTGAATGACAATCTCATCAGTTTCTACATTCGATTCCTTGAGCACCACCTAGAACGAAAGCGCGTTGAGGTTCTGCAAAGAACCTACTTTTTTAACACTTTCTTTTACGCCAGTTTAAAGAATACCCCCAAAGGGAAGAAGGGAATAAATTACCAGGGTGTGGAGAAATGGACTAGGGCCATTGATATATTCAGTTGTGACTATGTGGTCATCCCTATAAACGAAAATGCTCATTGGTATATGGCCATCATTTGCAATTTGCCTACTCTATTTGAAGCCAACTCCAACAGTACGCATGTCAAAGACCGTGGGACTACCGTCGACGGCCAAAGCGAGAACGAGAGCTTCGAAGGACCGGAACATGGGTATAATAATGGCCGACTAGCAAAGGGTAAGGATGAAACTTTTACACATTCTTTCAGTTCATTGGTCTCCTCGGGGAAATCGGTAGAATGTTCTTCCCCTATTGGGCATGGGGATATTTCCAAACAATCCATTGATGCGGGGAAAGACGACTGGCCAGAGGAAGACGAGAACCAAATAGCCGTACAATGCAGCCTTCAACACAAGACCTCAGCACCATCCACCCCACGACGTCAGTCCAAGCTGGAGGACAGCCAAGAAAAAAGCTCTACGTTGAGATTAAAAAAGAAGCGGCACAAGTCTCGCCCTTCGTTACCGAAACTCGAGCCGAAACAGCCTGTTATCATTACCTTTGATTCGCTGGGTTGCTCAAGATCACCCACGATCAAAATCTTACGTGAATATCTTGAAGAAGAGGCGAAATCAAAACGAGGCATCACCATAGACAGTAAGACTATCAAAGGAATGACGGCACAACAGATTCCCCTCCAACCCAACTACTCCGACTGCGGCCTCTACCTTTTGGCATATCTTGAAAACTTTGTTCAAGATCCAGATACATTCGTGACCAAACTACTTCAGAGAGAAATGCACGCGACAGCGGACTGGCCAAATTTGAAATCCGGAGTACTTCGCCGTCGTCTCTATGCCTTTTTGAATAAGCTCTATGACGAAGAAGAAGAGCAGCAGAATGGTTCGATGCTAGTAGATACAGAACCACTAAATATATTGCTGGTGGATGCGGAAGTCGAAAGTCCGAAAGAGCAGCAGATGCATATCGAATCCCAACCCGAACCTTCTGCATTGGCCGCCGAGTTTGGTCAATCGAAGGACAGTTCAGAGAAGTCGCCCCTTGAGAAGAACATCAATCCCCGTGCCTCTTCGGATTGTGGTACTTCGGATGGGGCGCCTGGCTGCTGTTCCCGTTTGCCTACCCCCATACCAGGCACACCCCCCATGCCTGATAAGGTATCTCCGCCGCATCTTACCTCTCCGGCTGTTCTCGCGCCAGGCGAGCGGGTCTATTCCACTGACCCTTTCATCGACGAGCTTGAAGAGCTAGTGTATGAGTCACAAGCACCCCGAGAGTTGCGAAAGCTCGACATCGTGGAGGTGCCCGAAACTCCGCCTTCGGTAGAGCGCACGTTGCAGGCTGATCAGATTAATGACGGATACATTCCGAGAAGCCCTATACTGTAAAAACGTTCGAGAATCAAAGGTGGAAACTTGAAGAACGATACTATTTCTTTTATGTGTGAATTTATCATATCTTTTTTACTTATACGATATTTACATGACGTGTGAAGGCCTCTTTCTATTTGCATTTAGTGGAGTATTTTTATTTTCTTGCTGGAGAGCGTGATATGCATATAGTTATGTATAATTTGATATAAGTAACTAAGCCATGTGGATACATAGGATAGTTACATACTCGCTCCAGAATCAATTGTATCAAATGATCAAGCGACTCAACTACGAAGGTGAACGCCTTATTAGGAATATGGCATGGTCATGTTTTGTGTGGTCAACCAAATTGCCAGACATTTGTACATGTCTCTTACTCAGAAGTGACTCAGCAGAATCTAATCTTATCAATCGGGCCAGTTCACGGCAAGCTTAACGACGCCGAGCTCCCACGCGCAGCACAGCAACCATCCACTCCTCCAAGAGCTGCTCTTCTCAATCCCTCAGCTGCTTTGGGCTTCTCCGCCGGCGCCATGCATTCTGCCCTCAACCGCATCCAAGGCGTGTTCGGCTTTTTCACCAGTGTTGCATTGGTGCTGGGAGTGTTAACTGCTTTCTCTGTCGTGCTACACCCTGCCGAGCCCATCACAAGTGTGAAATTATCAAATATACAAGTGTAAGATGGCATCTCTGCTTTCTAATCAATGGGTATTTTACTTGAGTCTGTATTTTATATTTGACTGACATTTGTCGCTCCTAAACAGCGTCAGAGGTCGACCACATTATTACTCTGTTAAAAGAGAGGAATACGCCCAAATAAAATTTGATTTAGATGCTGGTACGTTTTCGATCCCCGGCTCCCTCCAGATCTTCCAAAAGACGAGAATGAAAGACCGAAACGTTTGCTAACAGCTCCAATCCCAGATCTTTCCTCCCTCTTCAATTGGAACACTAAGCAGCTTTTCGTTTATGTTCTTGCATCCTATCCCTCCACTGTTTCTACGAGCTCCTCTTCCCCGAAGAATCTCACTGCCATTACCGAATCCGTAATTTGGGACACTATAATCCCCGCAACTGTCTCACCATATTCATTCTCGTCTCTCAGATCACGTTATTTCCCCAGCACATCAAGTGCCGATAAAAAGAAAACGCGCCAGAACGCTAATACTAAGAAAGCGCAAAAAATCCCTGGCAAAATAAAACTGCGCAATCAGAGGCCCAAGTACCAAATCACTGATATCTCCGGCTCTGTTGCGGAAAGGAAGAATGCGTCGTTAATTGTCGGATGGAATGTTCAGCCTTGGATTGGCGCGCTACAGTGGAATGCAGGAACGAACATTGAAAACAATCTTGCTGGAATTTTTACGCCTGCCTTTATTCCAGGCGCAAGAGCGGGTAGAAGCGAATCGTTTAACTTTCCACCATTGAAGGGAAAGACTACGTCGTCTCAGAAGTAGGCTACGTCAAATTCTCCATAGAACCCACATCTCATAATATCTCTTTTAACTCATTTTTACCGCTGTACAAAAAAAACTTTTTGGACTTGTTCCATTTATCAGCACCGCTCCAAGCGCATAAGCAGATTGGGCCGTGGTTAGAGACTACAAGTCGCCTGTACATAATACGTATGTATGTACATGACATGCTTCAACCATACTTCACAGCAGTCTCTCAATTTGGCTTTGCCAGGTGCCACTATCTATGTCGGCTGAGCGAAGGCGTGGACGTTTTAGGGTGTTAATTAGGTATCGCCGGAACTTCCTGCGCCATCGAAAGTAGGGGGGTATCGATAACATTATTCTCCAATATTGCGAGTCGTAAGGATAGAGACTGCTCCGGGAAAGAGCGTCGCATGGGACACTCAAAAGAATACACGTTCAAGAACTACTGCCACCCGCTGACCGCTTTCACACGCTGCATCAAGGCGAAATAGCATATTCTCTAGTTCAACGGTTGCGCCGGAGCCCAATTCTGCTGTACCGGACTACCGTCAGGCGTATGTCCATTTACAGTAGGGTTAAAGGAAGAAATAGGGGCGGGATGGTGGAAGTCCCTTGAAACCTCGCCGCCATTCTGGATGCGTTTTGAAAATATGCACGGTGCCGGCCGGGCAACAAGGCGGCCAGCAGGTCCTCTTGCCCGACGGTCATAATAGACGTATTCGCAGTAGAAGGCATGGATATGCCCTGGGAAGTACCTGTATCAAAGAGGCACGTCAGAAGCAAGGACTGGGCTGTTGGTCACAGGTGGTCGACGCACCCAAGCATGGTAAGCACGATGTTAATTAACAAATCTGTCGAGCAGCCGCCGACGAAGAAGACGCCGAGAGGCGGTACTAAATGAAGAAAATAGTCAGCATCGCTTAATTTTCTTCTAGAACGTCACATACAGAAGAGTGTCCCAATGATAAGGATGAAGGCAGAGCACAATTCGGCCATTTTGCAAAATATCCGATCGAAAATAACGCGCGTGCAGCTGGCGAGTATTCGTAAAGCTCGGTGTCTGTGCTGGCAAAACCCTGAGAATGAAAATAAGATATGGGGGCAAGCGGCAGCTGAATTTAGACAGTAATCGTGAATTCAATGAAGCCGCAAGTCTGTGGCAGAAAAGAGAAAACAACACTCTTCTCGCCGATAGCTCTTTCTGTCGCGGCGGAATGTTTGATGCGGAAGCAACCCTCCGTGTGCAGGAAGGAACCGGTACAAAATACTATAAATTTGTCTTGGACAAGGGTGTAAATGCTAATAGCTCGCACACTCGTCGTAGCACTTCAGCTAGCGGGATGGGGCATATGAGTGTACGTATATATGTATACAGCATGTATGTATATACATAACAGAGCCCCTGATGTTGTCAGGCGTCACATTAATTAACCCTGTCGGGGAACGGCGACTCTTGTTCATAGTTCTTCCTCACATTCACTATAGGGGTCAGCTCTACTAATATCATACTCCTCATCCTCATCCTCATCCTCATCCTCATTCTCAAAGAAGTCTGGGTCTCCAAAGCAAGAGGAAAGAGTCATCTCATTATCCTCATGATAGGCTTGTTCATTGCCAAAGTTGTCCTTCAGCATTTGCACAAAAGTATCTCTTCCCTGGAGCCCAATCAGCCACGGGTAGCCTTCTGTAATCTCTGCGTTGCCTTCCGAAGTGCTGGCTGGTTCTGTGGCATGATTTGGTGGTGTAGGGAGGCCATGGCGCATTAATGAAGAGGGGGCTGCTGCTCTTGAGGTGTGTTGTTCTACAACCGATATGTTATCATGGGTGAACCGGCCATCAAATTCTCCATGTATTGAAAAATCGCCTGGCTGCGTACAATATTGTAATGTGCTGGAAACGGGGCCATTCGTAAAAGCAAATTCCCCGTAAGGCAACAGGCCCAGTCCAGGAAGGCGAGGAGCGGAATGATCAAAAAAAACCTCGGTTTCTTTCTGGATAGGAGATCTTTCAGTCTGTGGTTGATGTTCTCGAATTCTTTCGACGTAGGCAACCAGTTGAGAGTGTAGTGTAGAAGTATCTTGGTGTTCCATACATGTATTTTGGTTGGCGGCCATAACCGCCTCTAAATGCTGGATCACAGCAGGAAGCATGCCAACACACTTGGAATCTTGTTGAAATGTAGGTTTGAAAGACGCTGGCTCACATAGATCGTCAGTCTGAACAGTACTGCACCCAAGGCTCAAAGGAATACTGGGATACCCGAGATAATTTTGACAGTGAGGAGGTGACCCGGACATCTTAAAAAAGCTAGACAGCAGGTCTAAACCATTAGGATTTTTTTTGTAACCATCATGCGGGGGAATTTCATTAGTAGGCTGATCTCCCATATTTACTGACACGCCACCCGGGGAGTTCTGGCCTTCCTCGTGTCCAGTCTCATTCGATGATGACATCGAGGACGATTGCTCAGGAATGCTGAACTGATTAGAAGTCAGTTTACTGGCCATTGTACTGTCAGCTCTTTTTAATATACTGATCACCACTTTCACTCTAATTGTCTGCTCAAAACGTGCCACTCTGAAGAAAAACTGCGTATATTCAGCCTTGACTATAAAGTGGAGGTTATAGGAGATACTATCTTTATCCTCCATGATAATATTCGCGTCCAGTAGCCTTTGCTCGTCGACATCTGAAGAAAACGGTACGATCCCTTGAAAGCCACGCATATTCTCGTCCCATGTAAGCCAGTGTGCGGTTGTCGAGAATATAATACTCTTGGTAGAACAGCCCCCAAAATTCAAGTCGCCACGAGCCGGTGAAGTGTATTTTGGAATTAATACAAATTCCTCACCTTCAGCAGCCGGATGCTCAAACGGTTCAAAGGAGAGGTAGTCGGGGTTCCATAAGGCTCCGACAGCGAATTCATCAATACGCAGATTGTGGTCAAAATAGCCAAGGTCCTTAATCCTTATACCAATATGTAAATCTCCAGGTTCCGGGCCGGTATTAGTGAAACAGTCGTGAAGGCGAATAATTTCGCTTACTGTATTGAGCGTAAAGGACGGGCAACGAAAATTTCGGAAAGCCTGTTTATAATGATATTCAGTGGCTAGGACGACCTCAGCCAGGCTCACAATCAAATGGTAAGGCGCTGGCTGCTTTCCTCTTAGACACCCTGGCTGACTGATATCCGCAAAATGTAAAAAGTTTTCAAGAAAAAGAAGTTTTTCGTGTAAGAGGCTGGAAAGAGCTGTCCGAAAACTCTTCTCCCAAAGCAACAGCTGTTCCACCTCATCAAGTTTAAAGCCCTTCCAGACTCGAGACATATCAATATGACGGATCGCTGGCGCTTCATGGCAAGGGCCCTTATCTGCCCAAGGCAGATCTCCATCGCGATACAAGTGAATTAAGGGGGAATAAATATCAGCCAAGACGTCCATTGGCGGGAAAGATTTTCCAGTAAGAACGAATTTCTTTTTGGGCAACATTTGGGCACGAAGATTTAGGTCTTTGCTCTCGGACATCTACCACGGCATCTAATATCAGCCATAGCGACGTCCTAGATTCAAATCCAGAAGGGTACTGACACTCATATCAGAGGACAACATCGCTTTGCAGCTAGATGAACTATGGTTTCGATGGCCATATGATGCATTGCCATGGGCCAATCCTGACTGGGAGAATTATCATGAGCCCGATGAACCACTCACAAAGGTTAATTGGCACCCACCGGTTTGGTATATACTTGGAGTTGCGCGTTTTTGTGTTTTTGGAAGACTGACTTTCCCTCGTCATCGCTCTCCCGTAAAGAGGCGGAAGGTTGACAGTTGGACATGGGTGGTAATGACACAGATTAACTTGGATAACGGATATGGCGCTGCAAGGATTTGTAGATATACACTATAGCGACACCGGATAAAGAGCTTAAGATCGACCATGCGTGATTGTCGGTGCTCGAGATGTTTTCGTTCTTCGAAAAGGAAAGGGCCGTGGGGCATTGGCTCGCTTAGAGAGTCAGGCAAGCAGCGAGGTCTTGCCGGGGAGGAGCAATGACTCGGGTGGAAGAGTAGTCAAAGTCGATACATACTGAGGATATCATTACTCTATGTCACGGACAGGGTTCCCGGAAATAAGAATGGCGTGTATTGGTATCTGAAGCAGAGAATGGGGAGTGTGCTATTAAAATGCGCCGCTGTACAGAGAAACTCAGGCGGTCAAGCCTGTATTTTGGGACAACAGGAGGGGATGAAAATCAAACGGCGTCTATGGATGCTCTCGTAGTGACTTGCTCGTTCTTATTGCCCAACTTTGAAATTTGCAAAAATGCGTCAACGCCGTAGCCTTCAAGACTATGGACTTCTAAACTTCCTGCCCAGTATTCCGCATACACTCGACTCATCGGTAAACCCATACCAAGGCGCAAATTGGGCGGTCGTGAGCTAAGCGGCGCGAGAGAGCTTTCATGGTAGGACTTGGATTTATTAGAGCCTCTATTTTTTTCGCCAGGTTGCGCTTTAAGCTCTTGCATCGTCGCGGCCAGGGTGGGAACTAAGCCAAGATTGTGAAGGCGCGTCTCCGTTCGAGGTCCTTTGCAAAATGACCACAGATACGGGAGGATGTCCCGCGGAATTCCCCCACCTTGGTCAGAAACGCGGATGATGACGTGTTGAGGTGCCTCGCAGATCAAGACATCAATCGGAGGCGGGTCGACAGTGGAGTTACCGTATTTCTCAGTAACTGCTTGTATCGAATTCCGTAGTATCTCGCCAATAATGTATTCAAGATGGCCCTGTATATATGGAAAAGTTGCCCCTAGATGACCCTGTACTCTGATCTCGGGCACTTTTTGGCCGGATTCTAGGGAAGGCCGTAACAGATCCTGGGTGAGTTTCCCGCATCGTTCAACCACATCTTTTGCATTGCATTTCAGGAACACCTCGCCAACAAAGTCAGCATTCAGATCAGTGCGTGATGTAGACTCTGGAAAATGCCAAGGCGTATTGAAGGTGTCTGTAAGAGCGAGGTGCTGTTCGGCAATGACTCGTCTTGATATGCGCTGCTCCTGGTCAGTATTGTTACCTTCTATACAATGAACGGGCGCCAGTCATACTGCACGTAGCATAGTATTCATAAACCGATCCATGTGGTCAGGTTTCACCAGGTCTTGACATTCTATGACTCCCATGGCGAGATTAGGGATGACAGTCAGGTGTTCCTTGAGCGTCTTCCGGAGCATGTCGCAATAGCGGGCGTTGTCCTCCAGCGTTCTAATCTCGGGAAGGCAGCGGAACCGTTCGAAGGCCCTGTAATATAGCTCGTAGACATGAGAGAGGTGTGGGTTCATGACGACGACGTAGGGCAGTCTCTGCATGTCGCGCAGACGATGTGCCAGTCTCGTGGGAAGCTCAGTGCGCACATAATTGGCAGAGCTGATCAGTCGATTCTCCGTCAAGGTGCGGCCGAAGAAGGTCAATTGTCGGAGGCTGATCGGCCGGACGTTTCGTTCCACCCATCTACCCAGCGGGCGTCAGTTCTGCAGGCAGCGGCACCGGAAAGAGACAGCACATACTCATCAAGAGACGTGCCAGGCCGCCAGGGCGGAGGGCGCTGCGAGTCTCGCGACAACTGCCTTGCAAGCGGGCGGCGTGCCCGCGGAATGTCCTGCCAGCACTGACGGGATCTGCAGCACAACATCGCGCCCTGCCATTCACGCATTCAGGCGGTTAGCAGACGCAACGGCACGGCAGCAGAGAGCAGGCAAGGAGCGTCTCATCAGCATCGCCCGAGACAACACATCGCAGGGGGGCTAGGACATGGCCGCGGGCTGGGTGGTGCAGAGGCAGCTCCGGGAGCGCCAGGGATGGGGTTTTGGGTGTGACCGCAAAGGTCGTGTCATGCCGGGCGGTGAAACTTGCCACTTCGGCGGCCACAGCGCCTGAACCCGACACCGGCCCTCTCGCCCGTCGTCATCGCCGTCGCGATCTGGTCTCTTACCTATCAGTTAGTTGGTTGATCTCTACGGGGTAACTACAGGGCCACGACTCCCCTGGACACGCCGGCTGGGCGCTGACTCGCGGCCTCTACGGCTGCTGGCTCTGCTCTGAGTCCCTGCAGCCTAGCTCACGGCACCGCTTAGCCCAGCGCCGCCGCTAACTACATAGTTAATGAACTAATAGCTAAGTACTCTGTACATGATAGCTGTTCCCTGTCCGCGGCTGGTGGGCGAGGTTTCTTTTTTCTCTGTGCGTTTGGACTTTGGCCTGGCAGATCCATGTCTTGCAGGGCCGGCTGCGGAGGCAAAGCAGCAAACTGCAAAGCACCCAGGCTGCTGCAGCCCTGTGTTCTGCAGCCTGTCTGCCCAGAGCGGCGCTGCCCCAGTAGTATGTATGTGGCATCGGTGCCTTGTCGTGGCAAACAGCTGGTGAATGGAGAACCATGCCACGTCACTCTTAGACTTCCCTGCTGCCCTCCTGCTATACCACCGCCACCCACAGTGACTGCCCAGATGCCGTGTGAATAGCAGACCGGTCGTGGCAGTTGGCTTCTCGCCGCGCTTGCCCAGCACTAGGCCATGGCGTAGACTGTGGACACAGCGGGGTTTGCATCAACCCTGATTACGTGAATTTTGGCATGCAGGAAATATACTGCTGCTGTCCTTGAACCACTGCTGGTCTGTTGCGTGCCGCCTTTGTGTTTCTGGCCGTTCCATGGTATTTCTGTTTGCCCACCCAATCTGTTGATTTTCTTTGAAGATCCCTGGCATTCTGAGCCTGCTGTGTGTGCCCGCCCCGTGCCATTTGGTTGCTGGTATCAAAGCAATCAGCCCAGCATCTCATTATTTTTTGCGCAGCTGCCTTTGCCAACCCATCTCGCATACCTGCACCCCAGACGAACAGCGTTCTAGATCGCCACCAGAGCTAGTTCACCACCCATGGACAATGTAGGTAGCGCTTTGACCGGCATCATATCCTTCTGCATGTGACGGGATCTGTCCTGCTAACTGATGAGAACTTTGATGAATATGAGCAGATAGGTGGAAATGACATGATGGTGGACGACTACGATCAATATAACACTGACCGCGCCGATGATGTCCTGGTGTCGCCGTCGGGGTCGCCCAGTGAGACAGAGGCATTGCCTGAGCTGCTCGCTGACGATTGTATGACCCCCCTCACTCTTTTGCACTTTCTTGCTCGCCCACCTTGCATTCTTTATTGCCTATCACTATGTGGAAATACTGGGTAGTGCCCTGGAATACAGGGTGGAAGTTGATTATCCATGGATTATCGCGCTTCACTACAGTGCTACAGCGGAGAAATGTATCTGACACTTTTATGCCGGCAGATGAAGCGATGAAGGCGAGGTTTCTCCCAACATTCCCCGAAATGGAGGTAATAGCAGAGACACACCACACTTGGCATATTCAGAATTGGACGAAGTTAGCAAAGAGAGAGCATGGCCCGGTGTTTGAATGCGGTGGCTCTCCATGGCATGTTCTTCCCATACACGCCATACCCTTTCTCACATTCTGTCTAACAATAATATGTAGGCGAATACTCTTCTTCCCTTTTGGCAACCAGATAGCGGACTACGCCTCCTTCTACCTCGAACACGGCTATGGCGATGCAACCCCGGATAATTGGTACTCATGTGTCTCTTTTGCGTTGGTACTGTGGAATAAGAACAACCCTTCTGTTTACGTACCTCACTGTACGCACCCATAGCCCATCTTAACAACGCCTTGCGCTGATCCAGAAACAGTTGCCCACCACCGATTTACAGCTGTTGATGGAGATTGGGGGTTCACGCGATTCTGTGAGCTCCGTAAATTGTTCAACGGCTCGTTGGACGACAACAAACCCCCTGTAGTAGAGAACGAGGAGGCTTGTGTGACGGCCTATGTGCGTGTTGTAAAAGACCCCACCGGCGTCCTTTGGCATAATTTCCGAGAGTCAGTGGTCCAGCTCAATCGTTGACTAGTTGCATTGCTAATAAAGACACAGTTATGACTCTAAGAAGGAGACAGGCATGGTCGGCTTGAAGAACCAAGGCGCCACTTGTTATCTAAACTCTCTCCTGCAATCTCTCTATTTCACCAACTCCTTTCGAAAGGTATGGACGGGGTGTCGACTTTTCTACAACTTCATGCTAAACTATACACTCTAGGCCGTTTACCAAATCCCCACCGAGGAGGAAGCGAAGAAGTCAAACAGCGCCTGGACATTACAACGATTATTTTACTCTCTCCAGACAAGCGAAAACCCGGTATCCACACAGGAACTCACGTCTTCTTTTGGATGGGAATCAAGACAGATATTCGAACAGCAGGATGTCCAGGAATTGTGTCGCAAACTGATGGAACGTCTAGAAGAGAAGATGAAAGGAACACCGGCGGAGAAGACCCTCTCTGACCTTTTTGTTGGAAAGACGAAAACTTATATATCATGCATTAACGTTGACTATGAATCCTCGCGGATAGAGGATTTTTGGGATATCCAGCTTAATGTACGGGGAAACAAGACCCTAGATGACAGCTTTAAAGATTACATACAGGTTGAGACTTTGGAAGGCGAAAACAAATATGACGCCGGAAGCCCGTACGGATTACAGGACGCTAAAAAAGGTGTTATTTTCGAAAGTTTTCCACCTGTCTTACATCTTCATTTGAAACGGTTCGAGTATGATATCCACCGTGATGCAATGATGAAAATCAATGATCGACATGAATTCCCGGAAGAATTCGATGCGTCCCCTTACCTCTCTGAAAATGCAGACAAATCAGAGCCTTGGGTATATCAATTATACGGTGTCCTCGTTCACAGCGGTGATTTGAACGCTGGACACTATTTCGCCTTTCTGCGGCCGACAAAGGATGGCTTTTTCTATAAGTTTGACGATGACAGGGTCAATAGGGCAAGCATTCGAGAGACCCTTGAAGATAACTATGGAGAAGACGTCAACGATCTTTCGAATGGCAATGGACTGCGTCAGCCTTTGACCAGAGCCTACTCGGCTAAGCGATCAACGAACGCATACATGCTTGTTTATCTTCGTAAATCGAGAGTAGATGAGTTGCTAGTGGATGTTGTGAAAAACGACTTCCCTGCTCACCTTGGTAAGAAACATCGTTTCTATGAAGTTCATACACGTGCTAACACCTAAATCAGAGAGAAGGATAGCAGAGGAGCGAGCTGAGTTGATAAGGCGGAAAAAAGAACGCGAAGAACAACATTTATACATGCATGCTGGAGTAGTAACAGACGACTCTTTTAAGCACCATCATGGTTTCGACCTCACGAGTTTTGATTTACAGTCTACGGACCCTGCGGCACCCAGTATTCACCGAATTCTCCGTACTACTACGGTTGGGGAGTTTGCCAGCAAATTAGCTGAAGAAAGGGGACTAACATTAGAGCAAGTCCGCCTCTGGGTCATGGTTAATCGGCAGAACAAGACGACTCGGCCTGATCAGCCATTACGAGATATGAACATGACAATGGAGCAAGCATTCAGTGACTTTGGCAGCAAAGGACACCCATTCCGGATTTGGCTTGAAATAGGCGTGCCTGGAGTTGATGGTAAAATCGCCTGGCCGGAAACACGTGGAGCGAACGCTTTGACCCTAGTGTTCTTGAAATACTTTGATGTTCATGCCCAAACATTAACGGGTGTCGGCCATGTATTTGTACGAAAACAGTCAAAAGTGTTAGAACTCGGTAGTACCATTCTGGATCTCATGAACTGGCCTCCTGGGACATCTTTCTTATTATATGAGGTATGTATACCCGCTCTCAACTGATCCATGATCTCTAATATTTTTTTAGGAGATCAAGCATGCTATGATTGAGGCTATGAAGCCTAAGCAGACCTTTCAACAGTCGGAAATCCAAGATGGTGATGTCATATGTTTTCAGAAATCAGTCAGCGATATTGAGTATGTTGAATATCTATGCAAAGTCCTTATCATATTTCGCAAGGGTTCGCTAATATTCATGAAAAAGCCTGCCCCCAACTGTTATATATCGCACTGCCCAACAGTATTACGATTTCCTCTTGAATCGTATTGTTGTCACATTCGCACCCATCGACGGAGATAGTACCTTTAGCCTGACACTTAGTCAAAAGATGACATATGACCAATTCTCCACGAAAGTGGGAGAACATCTGAAGGTCGACCCGACACACCTGCGATTTGCACTCATCTCTTCGACCACCAACAAGCCGAAGCCCTTCATCAAACGTAATATTGCACAAAATCTAGGCCAGTTGCTTCTTAGCCAATACAATCCCTATGGACCTTCGAGCCATAGAAATGATGCCCTCTTCTACGAAATTTTGGAAACCAGCTTAAGTGAACATGAAATGAAGAAGAGCATAAAGCTCACTTGGCTTCCTGAGGGAATTGCTAAAGAGGTATAAGAATTCCCAGCCTTTTATTCAATAGTATTTCTCATGCTAATGCTTTTTATAGCAAAACTACGACATTCTCGTTCCTAAAAATGGGGTTGTGTTGGATTTACTAGCCGGCCTCCAAAAGAAAGCCAACCTCAGTGATGAAATTATGCCTGATGTGCGAGTTTTCGAGGTCCATTCCGGAAAGATATTCAAGGAGCTGGACGACAACTTTAGTGTAGCTGGAATTATGGACTACGTTACTCTCTGTGCAGAGCCAATACCCCAAGAAGAGCTGCATATGGAGGAAGGCGAGTTCAAGATCAATGCTTTTAATTTTGACAAAGAGCTGCAGAAGTCCTATGGTTTCCCCTTCAAATTTGTCGTGAAGCCAGTGAGTTTCTATCAAATATTGACGATTCCCTTCGACTTGATTACTTATTATTAAATAGGGTGAAATATTCAAGGATACGAAAGAGCGGTTATCAAAGCGGACAGGCATAAAGGGCAAGCAATTTGAAAAAATCAAGTTTGCTCTTGTCTCTCGGACTCAATATTCAACTCCTGTGTATATCGAGGATGGTAAGCACCCCTTCTCTTGACTGATAATATCATTCCTAATACCAAATTTTTAGATAATGTACTTGCGGACCTCGCGATAGACTCCGAGCAACAACTGGGTCTTGACCATGTAAATAAGAATCGCAATTTCTGGAATCGAAGCGAGGGCTTCTTTATTCGATAGGTTCCTCGCGCCGCATTTTACCCTCAGCTGTACTCCGTCACGCTCATGTTTTTTCTTCTTCTTTTTCTCTCTTTATGCTATTTTATTCGGAGTTTTATGGTTTGGTCAAAGCATTTCGCTCGGTGGATATCGATGAACTGGTTTCGAGGAGGTCCTCCGGCTCTTATTCACGACTTTGATGGGGGATGGATATAACGTCAGTGATATGGGCACCTTAGCCTCCACGTTTTTATAGAAATTTTTTGCGGTTATTGCTCAATATACTTCTGTTATCAAAATTTTCTCCATAACCATCGGGTGTAGAAATACCTCCAAGATCTCAATGCCACATGCTTCGGAGGTACCCTCGTTTTTCGAGATTAGGCCCCTTTTAAGGCCTGCAAACCCAGCAAATATGCCAAGGCCAGACTACTGCTGCCACATCGCGAGTTCAAGCAACAAAAAATCAACGAGCAGTCAACGGTGAGGAGAGCCAGGGGTTGTCAATATCAGAGTCTTACTAAAATGCGCTTGCGAACGTTTGCTTTAGGCCTTCTGGCCTATGCAGTTTCCTCCGTTTCGGCCACGGCATTGACGTACAAGCTTGACGCCAGCGAACAGGCCTGTTTCTACAAATGGATTGCCCAACCCCCAGCAAAGATCGCCTTTTATTTCGCAGTAAGTTTGTTCTCGGCTCGATTTGATTTTTCGGTGAATTTAAAGCCCTAATGCTCTTTTCGCGTTATGTGCGTTAGGTTCAATCCGGCGGTTCTTTTGATGTCGACTACTCGGTCCACGGCCCGTCAGAGAAACTGATTATGGAGGGACACAAAGAGAGACAGGGAGATTTCGTGTTCACAGCTCAGACTATCGGAGAGTACCGGTTCTGCTTCAATAATGGAATGTCTACGTTCGCAGAGAAAATGGTTGATTTCGAAATTGCCGTGAGTTCCCAGATCCAAAATAATAACATTTGGTTTTATTGCAACCTACTTATGATTTGGCGACTGACACCGATAATTGACCCCAGGTCGAGAACGAGGAACGAGCGCAGATTCCTTCTAAACCAGGCGCCTCTCCTGAGCAGGCATCAGCGCTAGAGGACTCCATTTTCAAGCTTTCCGGACAGCTCTCGACCATCAGCCGTAACCAGAAATACTTCCGTACTCGTGAAAATAGAAATTTCAGCACTGTTCGAAGCACAGAACAACGGATCTTTAACTTTAGCGTGATTGAGAGCTTGATGATGCTTACGATGGCCGGGCTACAGGTGTTCATTGTTAGGTTTTTCTTCCAGGGTGCAAGGAAAGGTACGTACTATCCATTGCCATTCCTGCGGATTGCCGGTGATTTAGGCAGTATTCTAATCTGTAATTCTTTTCTTCTAGGGTATGTATAATGGTCTGGTGGTGCTATCCATATTAGTTCCAGAGATGGTTGTTTGTCTTCTTATCCCAGTGACAATAGAACCATGTTCTTTTTTTCACCTACAGGCGTTCATGTTGCAACTTAGCATTTCCATGCATTATGATTTGACGCGTATTGTAGCTCTGAACATGAAAGTTCACATGTAAACTATAGCTATGGTTTTTGGTCTTTACCCTCTTATGGTAAGCCATGGAGCTTGTTGTTAGGATGAAAGAGCTGTATTTGGGGTCATGCAGGATACACCTTAACAATAATGAATAGTTTTTGAGCAGACATTCTGGTGCCCTTTTCTAAAAGAGACAAGTCTAGATTTAATCGGATGACTGTCACATATGGCCAGGCTCCCAGACCCTCTCAAATTAAGAAGCGGCTTTGGCCGCTGCTACGCATTTATGAAAAGTCTATCAGGCATTGAAAGCTGAGCTTAACCGACTAGCTAAGCACCGGTAGGAATATCGTACATAATGGGGTACTGGTGCCCTGTATCACCAGTCACCTCAAGCTTTAAGGGTCTTCTCGCTCGCTTACCAGAGTCTTTTTTGTCTTCTCTTCAACCCAAACAACCAAGCAGGACCCACACTCTCGAATTCAACAGCGGCAGCCTGACAGCGCACAGCACTCGCTGACAAGCCTCCTTTGCTCCCCCGACCAGCCCATGACTCAGTGCACGAGAGGCTGGTTGGTTTTCGTCATAACGTGCCGCCCTTGACTCTTCCCATGTCGCGGCGATGCCTGCATTTGGCTGGTTTCGTCAGCCGCCAACATGGTATACCACGTGATTCGGCGGTCGCTCGGTGGGCTGACGTCATGCCCTTGCCAACCTCGCCGTGGCTGTTGGCGGCAACGAAGTCAACCGGCTCGCAACCTCAGGTTAATGTTATATTGCTTTTCCATGGCGTTGTTTGCCACGTCCTGCTCCTGGCGTTGGCCGTCATGCCCCGCAAATCCTCCTCCCCTCCCTGCTCCCTCAGCATGGCGATTCCTCCAGCGATACCAAATTTGTTCCGTTGACACCATAGCTGGGCCTACGGAGTTATCCCCGCGGAGTAATATACTCCAGCTGCACTACTCCGTAGGAATCCTTCTTTGCTTGCCAGGGAGATCCTGCCGCTTTTTCCACCGTCTCTCGGCAGGCTCCACACTTCAGGGTTTCACATCATCATTCTTACTATTATTATTTAGCGAAACAGGGCAAACTCGAGCCTGTTGAAAACTCAAGAGTTCTGTTTATTAAACTCTTCGAGATCTGATCGCCCCATCTAATATACTATTGCGTCGTGGCTCACGGTTGAGCCACAGCACTCCGTACCACATCCGACTACTCCGTACTCCGTAGCCCTGATCTTATTTTGCCAGGTGACGACATAACTATAGTCCCAGTGCTTCTCCCTACAGCCCAAGAAGAGCAAGCCCTTGCTCAAGTTGTCGCAAATTGTCTTTGCAAGAATGCACTCGACATGCATAAATCTGGTTTTTTTGGATCAGTGCCTGCGTGTAGCGTACGGAGTACAGTGGGCTGTTTCTTGCTTTAGCCCCTTTTCTTTCTCCGCACAGAGTGCCCTGTGGTTGATATGATATCATCAACCCTGCTTCCTTGTGATCCTGCAGGCGCATCTGCAGCCCATACACATAGCGCCTAGCTCGTCAATCAACCACCAAAAGACGATCGCTGCCGAAAATGATGGGACAAGAGCGCCTGAGCCCTGCTAGTTTAGGCTGCATACCTGACACGTTTGCCCAGTCATGGGCACCACCAGCCAATTTAAGTTGATGATTGCCGTCTACGGAGTTCCGTCCTATGTCATCTCGGGATCTGTTCCTGTTTTTTTTGCCTAGGTTGCCATCTCTTGTCAGGTTCGAATATAGTTGATATGATATAAGCCGTTTGGGCTCTATTGGCGCTTCCGTTTCTCTCTTTCGAGACACTTGTACTATCGCGCCCTAAACGTCAACAGCCCCTAGGTTCCGACCCTCCGACATACACACACAAATTCGAGATCGCACCAATTATCCAGTCCCTCAAATAAGTTACATCCAGGTACATAATGCGCAGGACTCTCAAATCAACCCATGAAACAACTCCGTACTCATTGAAATGTTCTCTTGTTAGGCAAGAAAGGACAGTGTTATCCGATTCAATGGCTTCAGAAGCATCCTTAGCGTCATACACCCGTGTTATGCATCAGCATACTCGACGACAAATGGAGGCACTTTCCACGAATCTTGATTTGCATCATAATAATACCAAAGATGACAGAAGTACTCCTTCTCACGATAACCTTCCGAGCGACCGGGTGCCAGTACCTAAACGAAACGGATCTCACGAGCAAGATAGTCAGAGAAGAAGGGATTTGGAATCTTGATGATAACGATCAATCGACCTGCTCAATTCATATGGTAACTGCCATTGGAATCTCCCCTTCCCCTGAACTTAAGGCATTGTCCCCCTTTTAGCGTCTCAACTTACACAAAAGAGGTAGGATATCGTGCACCCAAGTCACTACAAGGGCTTGCGCAAAACCCATTAACACTCCAGACACCTTCGCGGCGTCTTCCAAAATACTCTACCGTCGTTCTCCAGCGCTTAGCGAAAGCTCCTCGAAGACGAGCACCCCATTTCTTCGTTTCCTGACTTCTGTCTTTCTTCCTTCCGGTCTCTTACTCTTTGCAGCATTCGCGCATGGCGCCATACAATGCTCTCTTGGATGGCCAGCCCTATCTATGGAGAGCCAACGTCGCCATTTCTCCCGCTATTTTTTATCATTTTTACTGCCTCACGTACATCGTTAGGATGGGAAGATACTGATCACTGTGCACCTACGTTCAGTACACGCCGCCTTTTGTAAATCTTCCCCTCTCTGTTTCTTTTGTTTCGCCAAGCTACCTGGTTGAGTGACCATCACTCCGTTTATTTCCACCTACGACTCCAAATCTCGGACAGGCATTGCCTCGTTATGAAATCTTCAATATAGTTCACTTGTCTTATTTGTTGCCATTAAATCATGCTTCTATTTCCAAAGATCGGGAAGATCCCTTAAAGTTTTGGTGTATTACTGGAATGACGAAGAGCTTCTTGTATAATACAGAAGTAATATGAAAGCTCTTTTAGCGTGCTCAATATGCGCCCATCGCAAGTAAAGATTGAAAATTCAGGTAAAAGGAATGGCACTACGACCAGCTGCCCCGATGCCAGCTTCCACCTCCAAGTTTGGAACCAGGTGCGCCATTTTCATGGTAACGTTGGTTGTTTACCGAATCTGCCGGCATATACTGAAACGCTCCGGTTTGCCCTTGTGCAGAGCCGGGTATATTGCCTTGCTGAGGGGGCATTGGAGGTGGAGGTACAAGATGCGTGCCAGGAATGACAGGGGCTGTGGGCTGGCCAAATCCAGGAATGTTAAATCCCATACTCATCCCTTGGGGAAACGGTGTAGTGCTAGGATATCCAGGCTGAAGTGGAGGTGGAGGTGGTGGTGGAGGCCATTGGCCGTGATAATTCGGCGGCCTTGGAGGCGGAATGAACATTCCAACATCAGGAGCCTTGGGATTTGGAGGTTGGGAATTGTACTGCTGGGATAAAATGAAAGACGCTTGGGCCGGGGGAGGAAGACCGCCAGGAAGCCCGGTCGGCTGAAAGTGCGATGGAGGGGCGTTTTGGGGTGGGTCCGGGGCCGGAGAGTAGGAGCGTGATCTTGAATATGGTCGCCTTCGCCGAGGTGATCGGGAGTGAGATGGGGAACGTGAATGGGAGCTAACTCTTCGATATTTTCGAGAGTCGACCGACCCACTGGACCTACGACGCTTCAATCGATCATCGTCGCTGTTACTGTCGCTATATCGCCGCCTTTGGACAGGGCTAAAACTTCGACTCCGGCTCCTACTCATGCTCCTACTTCGACTAGGGCTTCTGCTATGTTTTCCATCCCTTTTTTGCTTCATTCGCTGGCAAAAGGATTCAGACCAGCCATAGTACGCTTCTCCAATTATAACCTCTCCGGTCAATTCATCATGAGTTATAAACTGACCAAGTTCGTTAATGTCGATTTTGGTCGAATTATCCGTCTCATCCTCAGCAACATTGTACATCTTCTTTGCGCATGTGAGTAAAGACTGCACGGCTTTAATGAGGGCATCATCAGCGGGACCGGGCACAAACTGAAGTGCTTTAACTGACTGAGTCTTTATGGGGATTGAAGAGTTTGGGATAATATGTGGTAACATATTGCCAGCGGGTAATTCATAGTAAGGAGCCGTCGTATCGCCATGTGTCGCCGGCATTATATACGGCGCATCTTTCGCCATGATCTTCTTTTCTGGTCCACCACCAATGCTGTTTCCAGCCGATTGTAAATTTTTAGCATCCTCAGCGTGCGGATTTGTTACTGTCTCTCGTAATTTGTCGATATACTCTTTACGGTAGTAGTCATTATGTTCCCAAAGGTCAAGTAACTCTTTAAGTCGTCGGTGGTGTTTCGGGTTTGACTGGCGATCGCATCTTGCTGCAAGGGCAAAGAGAGTTACTAAGTAGGGTTGAAGGGAGCTTGTCAGTGTCAAGAAAGGAGAAGCGGCCTCAAGGTGATATTTAGTATGATGCTGAAGGTCGTTCAGTAAATATAAAATATGTAGTAGTTTCCGTTTTGTAGACACTCTGGGCTGTTTGTCACTAGTAGAATGGCCCTCCATTTGTGGGCCGGCTTGGAATGACGACGCGAGACCAGCGAGATACTTTCCCAAAGCTCCAACCCGGTTGGCGGATTCAATGATATTTTTCAGGATCCACGCTTTGCAGGTCTAGAGATAATGCCCGAAAAGCAAAGAATAACTTAGCCATGTTGCCAAGCTCCAACATATTGCGGGTTTAATTGTTCCAAACCTGGATATTTGCTGGTGAGCAACGCGCTATTGCTCTGTCAAGGGCATCGTGGAACTCAGTAATTTGGTCTCGGGGAACAGATCCGGCGGACGAGGGATCCGGGCGCAGAAGTCCGGCCGAAAATGCCGCCTTTGCGATCGCGACCTGGTGCGAAGTCATGGCGATTGAGCTGTAGGGGACTGTATCGAAAACTGTGTTGTGCTGAAGGCGAAGAAGCCCTTTTGGACGGAGTGGAATGCTGAGTAAGCACTTTGTGTAAATACTTTTTCCGGTTCCGAAATAGAGTTGATCTTATCTCGTTCATCAGAACGATCGCCAATGACGTCACTGGCCGCGGCGATTACTCGCAAGTCCCGGCTGAGCCTGACGATGAGCAGCTGGCCGAGCACTCAAGCAGGCACCAGAGAGCTCGAAGAGCCTTTTTCTATACTTAGCCCTGCTTCTTTGCCCACGGTTACACCTGCACCAGGCCCATCCTGTGTGAAACAAGAGAGGAATAGGTAGGGAGGCCGCATTGGGTTTCAAGAACAAGAATGGCGTGATGTTTAATCAACGTACGACGTGGTGGACACCGTAGAGATCCCCACCCACCCTGATCGGAAGACTGGCCGCTTTTCTTATCCGTTTCCGCCGCTATGTAACTACTACGTACTTCATCGATATATCCGAGTTGAAACCAGCTGGTTTTTACTCCAAATACTATTCGTTTCTTCTACGTATCTTGACGTGAAACATCCTTCCTTATTTCTCAAGTAATATAACCCTGACTCCCAAACTAATCGTTTGGTTTTGGCTCCTTTTGGACAATCAATCGGTTGGCGCCCGACTTCTGTATGTGCATGTCTGTACCAAGAGTCTTCACACGTCAGGGAACCGAGACTGTTGTTACTCTTACTGTTTTCTATAAAAGAGCCTCAACCCTCGAATAATCATACCATCAATATTGTAAAGAGTGCATTCAATATACCTCGCACAACGGCCGTGGAAATACCGCACAGCTATATCAGCTAGCATGTTTTCAACCAACGCTCTTATCCGTTCCTCCATTCGGCAGTTCTCCGCCCATGCCTCAAAGCCAGAAACCCGTACTCATCGCTTCGTTGCCAGGTCTGCGCTCATATCTGCCGTCGTGCTACCTTTTGTTCCACCTGCTTTGGAGAGCTCTAGGATAAAAAAGAATGGAAGCAGTCATGAGAACAAGTATGTCAAGTGTTCTTATTATATTTGATACCTGGGTAAAGGTCAAATAGGAAGCTTACATAGAACCTTCACAGGTACCCGCCACTCTGCTTTCATGCCCGATGAACCTTATAATAAGATTCATACCAAAGAGCTAAATCCAGTTCTCATCCATATACTATGCGGGTTGCATCTTTGATTGCGTTCACCTTTTTTGGCAAGCCATTCTCCGATAACAAGTCTGTCTTGTGGCTATTTACAAAAACATTGGTGCCATAGGCAAAGGGGTATGGTAACCATAGTTGATTCCTGATGGTCAAAGCTATTATTAGAGCTAAGCAACTTCTCTGTTTTGTTGCTTAAGACTTCTCCCGACCACTGATTGTGGAAAGTGAAAAGGCTCATTCGAGGTCTTTGCGATGTCACAAGTGATTGTATTGATGCTAGGCGCGAGTGGATATAAGTTTAACATAATAGCCGAGTATACAAATATACAATATAGAAATATATTTATAACCAAGAATTTTTGAGGATTTAGCACCCGCTCCAAATAGGCCACGCCAACATCAGCAATCAAATGATGGTAAATCTCCTGCAAAGCATTTGAGGTCTGCTGTTAACTGAATCGATCTCCCTTCCTTGATCTAAATAGCTGGGTCGCCTCGTACTTCCCCTTCTCTGCAACTCGCTGTGCGTCCGTCTCAGGTTCATGTCTTGTGGCGGCTGGGTCATGCCCTGTCTCCTCGCTTGGACTGCCTACATCATCTTGACCAAACAAACTCGTAGATACCTCTTTTGATATCTTACTTCCACCAGCGCTTTTTCGTATTTCATTGGTGACGGATGAATTGGACGTGGCGGCGGCGGGCATGTCGGGCTTGGGGCGAATTGAACGCCCTGTAACTTCGGCTTCTTGTCTAGCAGCTTCTTGCTTTACACGCTGGCTCGCTTCATGACGTGAAAGTCGATCAGCATTTATAGATCGTTTGGCAAAATAGTATGCGCCGGCGCCGGCTATGAAGGATAGACGCGTTAGCCGGATTAACGGTCACCATTCCTCTTTTATTAGCTGTACAGAGAGCTGACTGTCATACCAACACAAAGTGAGCCCCAACCGACCCTGGCCAATGTAATGTTAGAGTAAACTCGTAATTGATGTCGGATTTACTAGTAGTAATAAAGCAAAGGGACTGGGGGTAATCACCGCGTACCAGGTGGACCGAATCTGAATGGCGAAATCTTCAAGTCAGCTACTAATTCTCAATTGGCACTCGCCTTCAATTTCAAAGCAAAGACTTACAGTATTCATTATTGCGGACAGCCTTTGCCGTTGAGCAAAGAGGAGAGCACTGGTCTTGCTCTGTCACATCGTCTCCGTGAGCAATCAGGAAGTTCAGAAACATTTTGCTCCTTGGCACCATTACGTCGAGATGGGGGAATCGCACCAATCAGCTGTGCCCACGCTGCTGATTAATACACCTTGTCTTCCATGTGATATCGCGCCTTTACCTCCCGTATAGGCTCCAATGGTACAGAGCCTCCCAGGTTTGACAACTTCAAGCCAGGTTGATTCACTCCGCCGTCAACAGATAGGCTTCTTTTAGGCCATTTGTCCCTTTCATTCTCTGTTTCTGTCGGTCTCTGGGCATAAGTGCTGTCTATATTCTGCACTACACCGAGAACTGCCTCTCCGCAGCTTTCTTCCTACATACCTTACTGGATGACGTTTTCGCCAATTGGGTTCGCGAATCATGCCTCCTAAGCGGAAGGCTGTGGACGGTGCATATTTAACTGGGAGTTTCCCTTATTTACTTAACTAACATAATGTAGGTGCACGCGTTGGGAGAGCATCGAAGCGTGCCACGCCTGCACCCGTTTCCACTCCGCGAAGCATTCTTAGTGATGATGACTATTCTGACTCCGGGATGCGAGATTCGGATGGAGACGGAAGTACCTTGAAGAGTACGTGGCTCCGCCAATATATATCTACACCCATGCCAAAAAGCTGACCCATGATGTGATCTTGTTGCAGAAGTTGTGGAGAAGTTCTCGCTTCAGTCTTTCAGCCGAGACAAAAAATCTCAGGTGCAAAGGCACGACCCTCACTTCGGCTACAAGGATTTTTCATCGCTGCCATTAAAGCCGGACAATGCAAATAGGCCGCTTTGGATCGAACCGCTGAAGGGAACAATCACCCTGGAGAGCTTTTCTCCATTGGCATCTCAGGCGCAAGATTTTTTAACTACCATAGCTGAACCACTCTCTCGTCCCACACACCTGCACGAATATAGATTAACAGGAAATAGCCTCTATGCTGCCGTCTCGGTAGGACTCCTGCCTGCAGATATCATCAATTTCTTAGATCGACTTTCTAAAACACCGCTTCCGGAGACGATCAAACAATTTATTGTAAATTTCACAAAATCTTATGGGAAAATTAAGGTCGTACTCAAACATAATCGCTTTTTCGTCGAAAGCTCCGACCCGGCAATGTTACAGATGCTATTGCAAGATGAAGTGATTGGTTCTCAGAGGTTAGAAAACTCGGGCGGCATTATCCAACAAGCTGCCCCCAAAATGGGTGGATTGGTCATCCCAGGCACAAAAGATGCTGCAGGTGTTAAACAAAATCCCGATCAGAAGCCGGCCGAAAATGGAGAAGGCACTGCCGCTCCGCCGAAAGATGACGATCTCCTGGTCACGTTGAGAGAAGAAGATGACGATGAGGATGATCAGGCGCAAGTTCATAGTTTTGAGATTCCCAATACAAGTGTTGAGGCTGTTAAGGCGCGCTGTCAGAGCATGGGTTGTCCAGCGTTGGAAGAGTACGATTTCCGCAACGATGAAATCAACCCTACGTTAGATATTGACCTCAAGCCAAACGCTCAAATCCGAAGCTATCAGGAAAAAAGTTTGAGTAAAATGTTCGGAAATGGCCGAGCAAAGAGTGGCATTATTGTGTTACCTTGCGGGGCGGGGAAGACACTTGTTGGGATTACTGCCGCCTGTACCATTAAAAAGGGAACTATCGTGCTCTGTACAAGCTCCATGTCTGTTGTTCAATGGCGAAATGAATTTTTACGATGGTCAAATATCGATCCAAACGATATTGCCATTTTCACCTCTGACAACAAAGAGAGATTTCGGAGAAGCACTGGTATCATTGTCTCCACATACTCAATGGTCTCACAAACACGCGCGAGATCCCATGACGCAGAAAAAATGATGGATTGGATGCAATCACGAGAATGGGGTCTGATGATTTTGGACGAAGTCCATGTCGTCCCTGCTTCTATGTTTCGAAAAGTCACCTCCGCCATCGCAACTCAGACAAAGCTTGGGCTAACGGCGACACTGCTTCGAGAAGATGACAAAATCAAGGATCTAAACTTTCTTATCGGACCTAAGCTTTATGAAGCTAACTGGATGGAGCTTGCTGAGCAGGGGCACATTGCGAAAGTCCAATGTGCTGAGGTCTGGTGTCCGATGACCACAGAATTCTATACTGAATACATGCGTGAAAAGTCGAGGAAGGCTGCCCTCCTCTACATTATGAATCCGAGGAAATTCCAGGCCTGCCAATTCTTGATTGACTACCATGAAAAACGTGGTGATAAGGTTATTGTCTTTTCCGACAACGTATATGCCTTGGAACGGTATGCTTTGAAACTGAACAAGGCATATATTTATGGAGGTACGCCGCAAAACGAGCGGTTGAGAATCCTGGAAAATTTTCAACACAATGAACAAGTGAACACCATTTTTCTTTCAAAGATTGGTGACACTTCTCTGGATCTCCCAGAGGCAACGTGTCTGATTCAAATTTCGTCTCATTACGGTTCTCGACGTCAAGAAGCCCAGAGGCTAGGCCGGATTCTCCGGGCCAAACGCAGAAACGATGAAGGCTTCAATGCCTTTTTCTATTCATTAGTTTCTAAAGATACGGATGAGATGTACTATTCTTCCAAAAGGCAAGCATTTTTAGTGGACCAAGGTTACGCGTTCAAAGTTATAACCCACCTTCAGGGAATTGAAAACCTGGAAGGTCTTGCGTATGCAACTCCAGTGGAACGCCGTGAATTGTTACAGGAAGTTATGTTGCAGAACGAAACGTCTGCGGCCGTTGAAGAGGTCGTTGATGATCTATTCAGCGAACGATCTGGTGGCCTGAGGTCGAAGGCTGCAAAAAAGAGTGTAGTGAAACGCAGTGCTGCCACACTGAGTGGACTTGCTGGTGGCGAGGATATGGCCTATGTTGAGCACAACAAGAGCCGGAATAAGCAATTGAAAGATAAAGTTAGCCACCATCCCCTTTTCAGGAAGTTTGAAAGGGAGAGGCAAAAGCGGAAGAAGCTCTTACAAGACGACTAGTCAATGTACCGTTTATACATATATGGCTGCAGAAATAGTAAAATTTAGCGCTACATTCACATTCAGTACCATCACCAGTGTTTACTTGGAGAGCATAACCAGTAGAATTACACTATATTCAACTTCCTGCCATGGAGAAACGTCGGAACATGCCGCCCTGCGGTGCTCATAAAGAAGCATAACAACCCGGCAAGGTAAAATATCTGCAGGGTGCCTTGGAGATCCACCCAAGATTTGCTGCCATTAGAATCAGAATTAATGTACTCCGTATTTCCATACATATGAAGTATCATTAGGAAATTTCGAAGAAACCAAAACATCTGAAGAAAAATATTTCCTACGACTTGGCTCTTATGAATACTAAAGGCAGCCTTACTCTGACAAAGCCCATTGGATTTTTCGCCCAGGTTGCCAACATATCATCTTTCATTCTAAAATTAAACTTAAGTAAACTCTCTCCAGATAAGTAGATATATGGAGTAGATGAACATCAATTCTCTTCAACTCGCAGATGAGAATACTCAGCAGGTATCATATTTTGACCTGATCATGACATAAACGAATGAAGGAAAAATTAAGAAATACTAATAGTTAGTTCTCGGAATCGGAATATCATTCAACCGGAACTATCTTTGCGACAGCTGATGGCCACCTCTAATTCATTCTTCCTAGATTATTAGTCTTGAAATTACCTGCAACTATGGATTTTGCATCTTTGATGTCAAGGGAAATTTCTAAGTCCAAGAAACAGGCATCACAGCCTGCTGACAAGCAACAAAACAAGACATATCTTCGCCGGTCTGAGTTGGAAGCGGAGCGCCTGGCTACTTATAAAGCAGAGCAAGATGCGCTACAAAAGGAACGCGACGAACGAGCAGACCGAAAGAGAAAGTTGGAAGAAGATGCGGCGAAACGCGACCGGGTTCGTGACGAAAAGCGACGTCGGCTAGCTGAGCAATCAAGGCAAAAGCGAGAAGCAGAGGAAGAAGCAAAGGAGTCAGAGAGGCGGAAAAGGCTTGGCCTGAATACAAACCCGGTCACAGGCAAGAGTGAGACTGAAAATGAGTCAACGACGATGGACGGCGAAGAGATAAGCCAGGAAGAGCTAACAGAAAAACTAAGAAGCTTGGGCGAGCCAATTCGACTCTTCGGTGAGAATGACAAAAGCCGATTAGGAAGATACAGAAACCTTGTGCATAAATCGGTTATGCCACAGAAGAAGCTCTCTGATGGACCTATACCCACGACATTGGCGCTTGTTCCGGAAGCTGAGATGAAAGTCCCAGACAAAGTACCAACAGATGAAGAAGGGAGAAAATACCTATATCGACAGCTCGCATCTTATTTCACTATGGTTTTAAAAGAGTGGGAAAGGGCTATGGCAAAACGAGACGACAGCGTTAAGTCCACGTTTCAGGGGCGACAGGCATACAATGCTATGGTACAGTCGAGGGAAAATATGAAGCCCCTGTTTAAAAAGTTTGAGAACTCAGATATGGAAGAGAGTATTTTAGAACCTATTGTTGAAATCGTCCGAAATGCTCAAAAACGCCGGTACGTAGATGCAAATGATGGATACTTGAGACTGAGTATTGGGAAAGCGTAAGCCGACGATCCTCTAACTCCTTTGACGCTGTTACACTGACTCGGTTTGTAGTGCATGGCCTATTGGTGTTACCATGGTTGGTATTCATGAACGTTCTGCACGAGAAAAACTCCATGAAGGCGGGAGCAAAGCTCATATCATGAGTGATGAGATCACGAGAAAGTTTTTGCAAAGTATCAAGCGATGTCTGACATTTGCCCAAGTACGCTGGCCGCCTGATGACCAATTACAACTTATGGGCTGAAATCCAATCCGAACCCAATCAATCTGTGGCTGTGTCAGTCTATGAATGTATGTCGTATGGGTATGTACTCCGTATATAATACATAACATAGGTACCCACAAACCATGAATCAAGTCTACTAATTCAATCAGAGCCACTTGCAATTTGGAGCATGTTGCTGATGTTATAGGCTGCACCGGGTTTTCAAGACCTGGATTTTTGTAAAACAATGAGAATTAAGGGAGAACAGCAGATAAATTGTTGTAAAGAACGATAATAGAAAACCATAAACGAAAGAAAAGGCCTCACCACCCAATAAACCTCCTTTTGTTCTGAAACTGTATGGGTATAACAAAATAGCTCATAAAGTCATGAAAATGAAAGCATGTAAGTAAAACGGCGGCCTTTACCTCGAAAGGGGTATAAAGGCACGGGAAAAGGCAATCATAGCTGTGCATATTATCTCCCCCCAATCCTAAGTGAGGGCAATGTTGAACAAACAACATGACATAAGCCTAATGACAATAAGGTGGCCCTTTTTTAGTCGACTGCGCTAGTGATCAACGGTGGCTCTATTTTTCGATCTTTGTAAGGGATGTCCCACTGTTAGGCAGTGTGTCTGTAGATGTTGGTACCGAGCCATGGTGGTGAAAGTTGAATGGAGACGAGATCAACAAAGGCTTTTCATCAACTGTTGGTTTTATCTTGGATATGCGTTTTCGCGATGCGTGCAGCCCACTGCTTTTCAGTCCAGTAAGCATAGAAAGTGAGAGCGTTCTAGCGGGGTTTTTTGGCGGTGGGTCCGGGAGGCCTGTCGCTTTTCCGGCTGATAAAGCCCGAGAATGTCGACAACTGAAAGCCATTGTTTCGGGGAGCGGTGGCATCATGCGCTCTGCAGATAGAGTACGGTTATGCCGGCCCCCTTCAGGCGCAAGCCCTATAGGACTCAGCAGTTCGCGATTGATCGGCATGAGTTTGTCCACTGATAGGGCACGGCCATGCGAATACATGCGGGTAGCACCAGGGACAGAGGGATACGGAAGTTCAGGGGCAGGTGCTTTCGTGGGAGATATCTGAATTGAATATGTATTAGGGTCATTTGTGGGTTTCCGGCTCGTCAGGGGTGAGCGCGAAGCTGAGAGTTCGTCTGATTCAACAGATGAGGACCTCCTTGGAGATGATTGGGAAGAGCCAGCTGAGAAAGAAGGCTTCCAGCTTGGGCTGAAGGGTGAGTCTAGTGCTCGAGCTGGCACCGGGAACGCGCGAGAAGAGAATGCACTAGCCGTTCGCTTATGTTTCATACTATCTGAGTGTGCCAGGCCGTAAGACTCTGATAGGGAATACGATTCTGCCAAAGACGAGGAATTAGAGGCAGATGTGTTGGACCGAGTGACATGATCTTCCGGTAACGTATCGTAATTCTGTGATGACGATTCTAAGGCAGCCATTTGACAGCGTGTGCAAGCAGCGGCTGCAACTTCAAACACCCTAACTTTTCTTGCAACTGCGGCCCTGGCGCTTCTCAGCTCTTTAGAATCGGCAGCAAGACGCTCAAGCTCATTGTCTGACATTTGCAAGATCCGCGTAGGCGAAAGGAGATTTTCAATTCCATCTAAAAGACAGTTTTCAACGGCCAATCCAGCAACATTATCGAGGAAAACACCAAGCGCAACCGAATAGTACGCCTGCATACAATCAAGTATCTCATTGCAAAGTGCGATATCCACATCGCTCGAGGCGCTGTTAGATTGTTCGGAGTTGCGTCGTCGGATGTGCCGAATCCGTAAACTCAGCTGTTGGTTCAGCGTAACGGGTATCAGTTTTTTATAGGGTAAAAGCAGCTCGTCCACCTTCGCATTTGTTTTGCGCAATTTCTCTTCCATTTCCCGATTGATAATTTCTCGCATGACAGCTTCGCCAATCCCGAACCCAGCAATGTGATGCAGAAGGCCATCTAAAAACTGTTTCACTTTTTTCCAGATCTCCGAGATGTGGGCTTTCGTTATCTTCTCCCATTTTGATGAATAGCGAATGAATAACTCGCCTACAATTTGAACATTCGCGGAGCCGGACATTCCTCGAATATTTCCTGACTTTAAAAGCTCAAGTACGCTTCCTATATATTCGGATCTCGGTATGGGTTGGGGATCATCGGGGAAACCTGCAGATGAGGCGACACCTCCGATAACACCATCATATATATGATGACTGTGGCCTCTTTGTCTAAGATCGGTAGCGAAATCTTCCGCCCATCTTCGAACAACGGAACGGAGTCGTTTTATTGATCTGTTTGAGTTGGATCGGAAATATGGATCATGGTACTGTCCAAGCGTCGCCTCTCGCGCAAGCCTCTGCACCGTTTCACCTATATTTGTCATATATAATCGACGCTCTGCCATAGTTGGCATTTCTGGACCCAGCTTTTGTAGTGATTTTCTATGAACTTCTAAATCTTTTTGAATTTCGGAGGCTAACATTGAAAGTTGCAACTCAACTTGGCCTAATAATACCTTATTTAGTCGATCTCTGAGGGAGTCAATGCCAATTGCATTCGGTGAGAGTGCCTTCCAGGGTGCAGAGCTACTAAAAAAAAGACTCTCTGTGTCGTCACGATCCAGTCCCAGAGAATCTTTGTACCTGGTGTCAATATTCTTGAGAGCATGCCAGCCAAGGTGCAGTCGTGCATCTTGACATTTCACGCGTGCATAGAAGTCAGTTAAACTGACGGAGTCTGGACTAAGTGTATCCAGTTTCGTAACAATACCCATTGACCTTGAGGCGCAGGGCTCTGCTAGCCGGAGGACGGATTGCTGAGCAAGGGGGGTGTCAGCAGAAACCACGACAAGAACAATGCTCCGAGGATTATTAATGTAAGATTCTGTCAACTCCCTGGCTTTTATTACATCTTCTTCCTGCTGATTGCCTTCGAAGTCCGGCAAAAGGCCGGGAAGATCGATAACGGTCAGGTCGGGAAGGGAGGGGCCAGAAACCTCCAATTGTAACACATCTTGCGAGTACTGCGCGTCAGTTGTTAAATTCATATAATTTTCTGCTTCCATAAAGATATTTGGAATATCTTCGAGCCAGTTATCCGAACTGGAAAATGCTGCCAACTTGCGCCGATGCTCAGGGTTCGCATCGAGGGCGGGCCGGATGCTTGTATGGGTGTAGACTTCGGCGGACCTTCGAAATATTACCTCGGTCGCGAAGCGAGTATGACCGTGGCTGCTGACGGGGAGCTGAATACCCGTGATGGATTGGAATACCGATGTCTTGCCGCAGCCCCGATTGCCGCAAATGGCAATTTGTGGAAGGCATATTCGATGTTGGAATCCCAGGTTGCGAAGCTCGTCAATACGATGGAGAAGTTCCGCCGGCCCCTCTGCTTGCAATAAATTTAAAGACGGAGCCTCGACGCCGCTCATTCTGAAGTCAGCGGCGGTCTGCTTCGGAAAGCAGATCAATCAAATAGTACGAGGGAAACCATGAAGAATTAAATGCGCAGTGAGCTTGCAGCGGGCATCGGTGGGATGCTGAACGCTGTCGCTGATCTGTTGTTGTCAAAGCGGGCTTTCTGCAATATATACCGCAATTAAGGCGGTAGTAACAGTGAACAATAAATAAGCACAAACCACGAATAAGAATGCGGCGATCATCAGCTATGTAGCTTTCTACACATGCCAAACGGTATGCCAGTCGCGCCAGTAGCGAGCAAAATGCCATGGGGTGAAACTCTGAAGATATCAGGGTGGAGCACCTTGACTGAGCGCTCGAGGCCGGAACAATAAAATGGTTGGGGGGCCGCTCGACGCATGCCGTCCTCCATGCGGAGTACGCAGGACCAATGCCATCTGCTCCACGACGGTGCAACGCCTACAAGCTGAAAATTCCACCATTCACCTTTGCTATCCTAATCGTGCGTTCAAAGACTGACAATTATTAGCAAAGAATCTTGACGAAGGCGAAAGGGCCACCAAAGAAGACAGCTTGGTCACAATAACACTCAGCCGCGGGGCACCTGACCAAGCAACCAAGGCGGACCGGCAAGTCTCAGCCATGGGCCCCCTGTTTGCAGCGGAGCATATGGTTGCAATTGACCAGGATGTGTTTGCAGCCGATGCTGAGGAGTCTGGGGTTCTCGGTTTGGAACGGGGAAGCCTCGGGCTTCGAGAACATCAGCCCCACAGTAGTTAAGTAACTGGCTTAACTAGTTGACAAGTTAGCGCATTGCTAGTTTGCGGAACGGGTTTTGTGCCAATATGTTGCACCGCTCGCCACTCCCGGCACACACGGCCAAAGCATACGGCCTTGCCACAGATATTAGAAATGCAGGTGTACTTTGTACGACGATGTGAACGTCGCTCAGAGAAACAAAGTCGGTTGGCATTTGTTGCGCCCCGAAGAGGCGCTGTTTGGCCTGTTTGAGCTGTTAGCTCCGGCTTGGCGTTTGTACTGTTTGCATTCTCTCTGATTACATAACTAACCAACTAACTCATCAGGCGAATTATCGGTCGCCTCCGTGGCAGATCGTTCGATTATTGACGAAACGCTGAGGAGCACGGAAACGGTTTTTTTAAACGGCCATTATCATGGCACCGGCAAACAATGATGGAGAGCGTCCGTCAGATGGGCGGCCCCTCGCCACCTCTCACAGTCATAATCCCAACCCTGACCGGCCCGAAAACAACCCGTTCATTGCATTCCGCCGATATGCGGACGAGCATATATCGTCCCTGTTCCAGTCAATTACTGGCCTACCTTCTATGGTTTTTCCTCCTTCGACAAAGAATTGGCTCATATTTGACGATGAAGAGCTGAACAAACTGTCGAGAAACTATTCATTGGAAGAGGACTTGAACAAGTCGAAGGATTCCGAGAGACTACACGACTACCCTCTCGAGTCACATTTTATGAATAGTGATCGCTCGGACAACTCAGTAAACGAAAACCATTCCATGCAGCCAGGGTTTAGGGATCACAGATACTCTAGCCTTGCATTCCCCTGCGGCGTTTTCGACGCCATTCTTGACGACCATCTGCCATTCGGTCCATCTCTATTTTTTCACGAATTTCCCTCTTTGCGTAACCCTTTCTTTCTTGATTTAACATCCCCTGCTTTTTCTACAGGCTGGCCTCTGTCCTATGTTATATTCTCCCCATACTCACCGTTACATTTAGAGCGGCAGGAACAAGCAAGTTACCATTTTAAAGAATCCAGCATGGTCCCTTGGGCTTCATATATGTTTCGCCCCTGTGAAAATGAGCGTAGGGAAGAGCCACGATGGCGGGATGCTTTTGAAGACCTACTACGCATTGAAAATGGGAAAGAACTAGCCGACAGAGATGCCACGCACCGCAAGGACGAATCGGGAAAAGAATGGCTTGCGGGAATGATAGAACGAGGGAGCCTTGGTGCGAACTGGCAACACGTTCGTAACGATGGGCGTCGAGGGGACTATTTTAAGTATAGTTATAACAATCGGTCCTCTCCAAAAAGTACCCCCGAAGCCGCTTCGCGACGACACAACGATAACGAGGGTGACGATCTCGCTCAACTAGGATTATGTGATGCTTTTCTTTGTGATAATTATGGTGATGATGGCCGGGTCTCAAGAAGTCCCCTTTTGTCCATCATCATGGAAACCAGGGAGAGGCAGAGAAAAGAGCTGGAAGATTTGCGACAAGAACGGGCAAAATCTAATCGTCAATATCAAATGAACGACGATTCTATGGAAAAGTTTTCAGATGCAGAAGCTGAGTTAGACCATTATGAACGTTATTTCGATGGCATCTCTTCAAGTGGCGCGCCTGTTAGTGTGGCAACAGAAGCATCGGTTCCATCAGACACAGCATCAGACCCTTCTACTCTTATTTCAACAGTTACGACTACGGAACGTCGAACACTGGCAGACGGGACTGTTCGGAGCAAAAGAATTGTTAACAAGCGATATGCCGATGGCAGGGAGGAAAGTATCGAAACTAACGAAGTTCTCAACAAGACCAATTCGCACCAAAAATCAATAGGGGGAGATAGTGGCAGTGATGCGAAGGATATTTCAGATGCAAACAACAACAATATTCCCGCGGAAAAAGACTCAACCAAACGCTCTAGCTGGTTTTGGAAAGGTTGATATATCAAGCTGAGCGGCTTGCTCACCGCTCACTATTTTTACGGCGGCTCATTATCATTTTTCGCGATGTATATCGACTCAATTTTTTGAATATTTTAGCTAGCGGATATCTCCCATTCTCTCTTTCATTCTCTCGCGTTATTGGCGTCATGTCAGCTGTTCTGGGTGTGGGTGATTGTTTTTAGTAGCCTTACTCAACAAAGTACTTTGCTGGTATTTGCTCCTCGTTAAATTCAGCTAATTCCAGTCATTTTGGACGGTGGCTCTTGATTTTTGATTTGCTGATGTTCTGCAGTTCTTTAGGTTTGGTTTTTCCGAGGAACACGGCTGTAGCGGGGATAGTTAACCAGCCCTACACCTTGTCTCTGACAAATTCGAGCCCAAGCTTCACTTTCTCTTCTACCACCTGGAGCGTAACTACATATTTTGCTGTCATATCAATGGACACCCTTTACTAATTGAAGCCTTTCGCGCTTCAATTTCATCGCCACCACTTGCGTCTTATCATGCCGACCCCCGCCGCTGAGAACCCATGCCCCAAGCACATAGAGCAGGACTCCATGCTTGCCCGCAGGTTCGGCAAGGAGACTGCCAATTACTTCTCAAGTAGGGTGGCAATATTATCCTCACCATTTTTCACTTTATGGCCATGCTAACGTTGTCTCGCCACCTTAGGCTCCCCTCTTAACCGGGTGTCATTCCTCCGATCAGAACCTCCATTTTTAATGAGCGCCCTGAGGCATCCTACCGCTCGCTTTTTGCTTTTCAACCAGCTGGCACCTCTCGTACACTCCTCAGCCGAAGTATTTTATGCGACGTATCAAGATGTGGAGCCGTTGGTTCCAGTGGATTTATTTGACAAGTCAGAGGAGGAAAGCCTAAAAACATACCACTCTGGGGTCATATTACCACTCCTGGTATTTCTGGGGCTTGATGAATCATGCGTAACAAACGGCCTGAGCTATAAGAGCTATACCGGGGTCCCCTATTTCGCGCTGGACGTGACGCCTACGGCTGGACTGGAAGAAAAGGCGAATATGATCATTAATTCCATGAAATCCAGGGGGTTGTCATTTCATAATTCGCGGACTATAACAAGCTTTTCCCCTAGTGATGGTGTGTATGGCTCGTCATCAAGAGAGAAACCAAAACTAACAATGCAGCCGCCATATACGCCCAATCTCGCGCCATTATAGATTGGAACACACGGAACGCTTTCTGTGGTACTTGTGGACACCCCACCATCTCAATAAATGCCGGTGCTAAACGTGCCTGTCCGCCTACCGACCTAAAATTCGTTGCCAACGGATCGTCTATTGATGGTGCACGTCCCCCCTGCCACACACGGACGACCATCTCGAACCTGTGCTTCCCTCGTACTGATCCCACGATCATCGTCGCGGTACTTAGCCATGACAGCAACCGTATTCTACTTGGTCGTCAAAAGCGCTGGCCGCCGTGCTGGTACTCGACCCTTGCAGGATTTATTGAACCAGGCGAGTCTGTTGAAGACGCCGTTCGCCGTGAAGTCTGGGAAGAATCCGGGGTGGTACTGTCTCGTGTTATCATACACAGTTCCCAGCCTTGGCCATATCCCGCGAATTTGATGATTGGCGCCATTGCTCAGGTCTCTGACCCGAGTAACGAGAAGATTAGTTTGTTGCATGATCCAGAGCTTGAGGATGCCAAATGGTTTGAAATTGCTGATGTAGAAGAGGCTTTGAGTGTAGGATCATCTCCCCTGGGTGTAGAGCCTGGACCAGAATATAAGAAGGGCAATCTGAGGTTGCCACCTAAAACGGCAATTGCTCACCAGCTGATATCCGCTGTTGTCAGAGGTGAATATCTCGGAGCCCCCCATGAATCTAAGATATAACTATCTATCAATTGCGATTTCTCTTTTCTGACTTGTTTCGTTTTTTCCTTTTTCTTTATAAATTATTTTCTCCCCTGGTTTCTCTTAGTGGGCGTACGACACTGTTACAGGTGATAATATATTATGAAGATCTACTCCGCATATATTTAGAGAGAAACGCACTCACCCTATCGAGCTATCCAAGGCGGCGTCAATCCTATGCAGGAGTCATTCAGTATTGTAGAGATATTGTAAATAGAGTTTCGCATAGTAATAAATGGGGCGAAAGTTTTCGTTCTTATCCTTTATATGTTCCACATTCTCAATACTATATAACTAGTCGAGAGGAAACACGATGACGGCTAACTAACTAGTTGAACATGCCTTCGTACAAAGTTGGGGGAGTGACGCCTCTACAACAACCAAAATATCTTCCTAAAAAAGGCTGATAAGAAAAATTAAAGGATAAAACACATGCGAGTGTGGACATCCACACCCCATGCCAATGCCGCCGAATGCATTTATGGTAATAGAACAAACAGAAATGAAAAATTCGAATATTTTCTTAGAACAGAGCTAGTGGGTGCTCGGGGGTTTTTAGTTTTCGCAACTTTGAGATACAGGAGCGGAGGTATCGTCATCTACTTTGGGACGTTTGCGCTCTCGATCGGCGCTATCTCCTGCCATGCTACTTATTCTCCGTTTTTCCTTTTCACGCTGCTCAGCCCGACGGGCTTCTTTGTCTTTTTCTTTTCGATGGGCTTTAGATTCGAATTCATGCCAATCACCCTTTACTTCTGCGAGTCTAGAAAAGTGAAAATCAGTCAGAAAAATAAATTCAGTATCTAGTAGTCACTGGTGAAGAACTCACTCAATTGCCTGTTGCGGCGATGGCTCCTCATCTGTAAAGTAGGGGTGCGCAAGTACTTCCTCAGTTGATGGACGTTTGGCCGGATCGTATTGAAATATCTTACAGACAAGGTCAAGGGCAGCGGGAGATAAGTGATCTTTATATGTTTCCTCAAAAACTCGTATTTTCTTTTCTCGAGGTCGCATAAGTTCAAACCACGGCATGTCGATTATTCCGGGCCAATCCCCTCTTGTTGGAGTACCTAACGAGTTGTAAAGCTTATCAAGCTGATTGATTTCGGTCCCATCTCCAGGAAATATCGCCTTTTTTGTGAACATTTCCATATATACGCAGGCAGCACTCCAAACGTCGACCGCCGGGCCGTATCGTGTCTCGCCTAAGAGTAGTTCAGGTGGTCGATACCAAATGGTGATCACTCGATTTGTATAATCAAGTTGCCGATTTTTCGAAAAGAAACGTGCCAGACCAAAATCAGCAAACTTGAGCTGGCCTTTGTTACTAATGAGAATGTTGGCTGCTTTGATATCACGGTGGAGAACGCCTCGATGATGCAGATAATTTAAGCCATCAAACATTTGCTTTGCGAGATGCTTCTTGTGGGCAGAGGTGAGAGTAAAGGAGGGGTGGTTAATTAGACCAGTCATATCATGGGACAAGTATTCGAATACCATGAAGCATTCGTTTCTCTCTACCATGACTTCTTGGAGGCGAACAACATTCTCGTGTCGAAGGTGTTGAAGTAGTCTGATCTCGCGAACAGCCGTTATTGGAAATCCATCTTTCTCGCCCTCCATCCGTATTCTCTTCAAGGCAACCATATTTTTTGTGAATACATGAACGGCCTTAAAAACTTTTCCGTACGTCCCAGCTCCAACGACTGATTCGTTTCCGGGTTTACGGTAATATACCGACTCAGACTGGGAAAACTCCTCAGTCAACGTAGGACGAGGTTTCATTCGTATCAACATCTTTTTCTTGGCTTTGTCTGGGTTTGGTGACCGTTCATGGTCTCTTTCTTTTCGCCTGTCATGTCTGGTGTCAGGTCTCCAATCTTCTCGGCGCTCTCGGCGCTTATCATCCCGGCGATCAAATCGACGATCCATCTTTCTTCCATCCCGATCACGTCTGTCATCGCGACGATCCAGGCGACTTTCGTATTTTGGACGAGGTATGACAGACTGGTGCTCCTTTTTGGGCGGTTCTACCGGTCGAGGGGGCTCACGCATCTTCTGTGCAAGGCCAGAAACGGGTTTTGGTACAGTCGTGGAAGGGACTTTTGATTTAAATGCAAAACTGAATTTCCCAGGTTCTTTTGGTTGGGATGTGGGGTTTGACTGTCGAGGAGGTGGCATCTTCTTCGTATCAGTAGCCTCACTAATTTTAACTGCTTCTTCATCTTCAACTTGAAGGTCTTTCGATGGTCGGAAAGGATTATCATCTTCGTCGATATCAGGTGACATGCGCTCGTTGTCGGCGTGGTGTGGTGATTGTAGTGGCGGTAAGGATTGTGTCGGAAGATGAGGCCCAGCAGCAGATTGAGAACCTCGCCCACGACCACCTGACGCGGTCCACTGCAGACTAGTAAAATGTCCACTTCGCGATCGCTGGGGTTGTGGTGGTGACCCGTAGCCTTGCGAGGTAGGGTTTGAAAATCGACGATCTGGCGGCGGTTGGTTATAAGGATTGCCACGATAACTAGAAGGACCTCCTCGGTAAGATGGCTGTCCTGAATATGCCTGCTGTCCAGGGTTTGTGCTTGGGGGATATTGCACTTGTGGGCTCTGATAATACTGTCCCTGGGATCCGCCCTGAGGTGGATAGTTTGACTGGCGATACGGCGGTGAATATCCATGTAGTTGTCTAGAAAATACTGTCAAAGAAGCATATATGGAGGTGCGGATCTGACCACTTACCTTTGTTGTCCGTGAGAATATGGCGGTTGCTGGCTACCCCACGACCCGCGGCTACCGCCGTACGGCGAACCAGACTGAGGAGAGGAGTGGCGGGAGTCCGTCCCGGCAACATACTGCGGAGACCCAGCGTATTGTGGCCTAGTATCGACATGGGGGCGAGCCTGACGGCGTGAACCCCGGGAATCAGATGGACGCATATTGTGGGGAGAATATGCAAGACGTAAAGGAGTATCACTGTCAACGGAAGTATTAGAACTAGGAATGTCGTGACTTGGGGTTAGTCGAAAAGAAACTGGAGGGTCTAACGGCCCGTCCGCGATGGGCTGTGTTGAACGCGTACTTTGCATGCTACGCCGAGCACGCAATGGGGGAGATTCTCTTGAGCGACCCGATACCGATGAAGGACGAGACGTTGGTCGAAGAGAATAGGTATCTGAATCAGAGAATCGGGCAGTGGTAGAACGGGGAGAAAGCGATGGGCGTCGTCCGTAAGCGGAGGGAGCTGGGGATCTAGAGCGCCTGTGGCGAGAAATTGAGAGGGAATCAGACGTGGGAGCTTGAGAAAAATTGGATTCTCGTCTTGGTCCACTTTCTCGCGACGGCACAAAAGGCCCTGGAGAATGATGGCGCTGCGAGCGGCTGGCTCCTCGTCCAAACCGACCCCCTCGGTCGTAGTCTCTCCCGTCGTGATGACGAGCACGACGGTAGGAAGTGGATAGAGGAGGGCTAGAGCTTCGCCTGCGCTTTGGGAAGGGAGGATGGGATGGCGATAGGAGGATAGGTTCTCTCCTTCGAGACCTTACCTGGTTTTCAATAGAATGCTTGGCGTCTCTGTTTTCTGCGTGGTCGTGCCAGGGAATTGCTCTGGTATTCCTGAGATCTCTGCTCCCGCTCTGAAGTCGATGTGAATGGTGGAAAGGAGGGGAATTGGTAACGTGCTTTCGACTCGATCCTTCACGACCACGGTGGTAGTAGCGCGAAGGTAGCGGCGAGCGTGGTCGTCGACTGTCCGTCTCCCCGGTCCTGGGGCGAGTGTGATGGGCTGCGTGTCTGTCGTCGTCGACTCTCCACTGGTCTCTCATCAACGGGCTTCCTGAGGACGCAGCCATGCAATCATCGACGGCATCGGTGCTGGCAAGCCGCTTGGGGGTCACAGAGCGTGAAGCGCTCTGGTATCGATACAACGGGGTGAATCTGGAGGCCGATCGGCATGGATTAGCAGCAATTCTGGTCTTGGGCGGTTTGGCGGTGGCTCAAGGGCACCACGGCAGCGCACGCCGACCACTGGCGAAGATCGCGGTCCGCCGCCTCACCAAGCGACGACGCCAGATATCGTGACGGGGAGCGGGAAGAAAGAAGCAACTGACCTCTGTTCCATGATGATCGTGCTCGCAGTGCCAGGCTTGCCTTTGCGTCGATGCCAAAAGTGCAACGGCCTGGTCTTGGCGGGTGGTTGGCGTGTGAGAAACTCGCCGTTGTGTCCATCTCTTCCACAACTGTCTATGAGCCTGTGTAGGTTCAGCGTTGTGTTGTCCGCCAACCCGCCGCTGTGTGCTGATGACTCCTTATGAAAGCTCGCGGCGAATCCTCCGCAATGTGCAACTTCAAAAAGTAGTCATTCCGCTTTCTTTCACCAAGCTCTTCCAAGGCATCCCTCAGTCTACGAATGTCCCATCCAACAAACAACATCCACCATAGAAGACTGCGTATTCCCCCAAGGGACAACCTTCAGAACGACTTCATCCACGGTATCTGCTGATTTCACCCATGCTTCATAGGCGAAAATGTTGTGGCGAACTCGCACGCTTCATGGCCGCGCCACAGATTTCCCAATTTCCCATTCCGAACTGGGATCCTGAAAAGTGCTGTCATGGTGTTGACTTGTCAGAAACACCTATCTATCTACGATTGAAACTGAAGTAATAAATCCAAAGACCCAAATATATGTGTTAGCAGATCAATCCTGCGAGTCACCAGTACGCCCAGCGCGAATTCTGGCCCGTTCTGGCATATTGTTGCGATAACTGCGAGTTTTGATAGCTTTAGCCAGATAGTGGCAAGCCCTGGGCAATCATCTGTAACCTGCGAACGAGTTGGTATCTCGTTTCGGCGTGTTATAAGCCCCGCGAACTGTAAAAGTTAAGAATATTTGTATAGAGAATTCAACGATAACACATTGAAGATATCAACCGGTACACCGAAACTGTAAATGTAGGCCGAGGCGATGGTTAGAATGCTGCGAATCGCCACGAAGCCGAGTCGGGCGCGGTAGGCACCTCCTGCACATGCCGCTAAAGCAGGAGTATCGTCGAAACCTGTATAAATCTGGACGCAGGCCATTCCTTCGGGCACTGATCATTAAAGCGATAGTTATGGGCCGATGAGTCTTACACAGCGTTGGAAAGTCGATAGGGATCTTGGATGATACAGTTAAATAATAACAGTAATCATGGTGTAGAAGAGGATGACCGAGTTCCCGTGTATGTTCCCGTATGACGCTGTCAAGTAAAAGGTAACAGGTGGGTTAATGGTCGAGGCGCAACGACTACACGAAGTGTAACAGAGATATTATCCAGGAAAGCAGCCGACACCTACCTCCTTGATGGCAATGAAATCCTTGTCTCCAACTTGATATGGATACGAACACAGGTAGGATAAGTATTGGTACGGTGGTTGAAGGTGATGCCCCCGCTTTAATGGAGAGACATTCTGGCGTCAACGATACGATATTACCGCGGAGTCAACAACCTCAGTGTACCTCGTATTTAAATTCATCTCTAATACACAAAATAATTCGACAGTATAGTAAGGATATGAGTTCGAAAGTCGTTGGGGGCGTGTTGTGATTCCGTCGCTGCTCAATGTCGTTCCAAGCTTGGCTTGGTTTGTGCCCAATCGGTCAATCACGTGATAGTCATAGAGTCGGCTTAACCACGGAGTACTCCGTACCAGACAACTTAATCGGGATTGTCGGGATTCCCCGCACAGCTTATGAGGTGGAAGAACAAACCGGCATGGGATTGTTTCGGCAATCCAGCAAGGATATCATTTTTCTTTGCGATACAGCACCTCCCAGTATCATAATACAGAGTTTATCTACTCCATAACCCGCACATCATATAGTCCTACAGTACTCCGTACTCCGTACTTTACTATGAGAATACTCCGTAACGAAGTTCAAAAATGGCAGTAACGTGGTTCCCGATGCCCTTGCCCTGATTGCCTAATCCATTACCACATGAAAATTCCCATTACTATGATTGGCCTGAATTCAGGTTAAACTTTACTAGCCTTTGATGATATAAGAGAAGTCATGCTTAATCATCCAATTCTTGACCCTACGCCGTACACAGGCAAGGCGCAGCTTTTGCACCCTTTTTACTATAGAATCGCGGTAGGATCACTTAGCAGCTACTAGAAAGAGTGAACAGCAAATGAAGTGAGCGAGCTCTGCTCGTATATACATAGGGAGAACACAAAACACTCCTACATCCTTTAATAGCCAAAAACTAAATCCACGCTGCAAACCTCGTCAATAGCGCTTCATAGCGCTTCTGTACTGAGTACAGCTTTGAGTTTTGATCGATAGTAGATATGGCTAGAGCTAAAATCGGTCTGGTATGTCTTTCCAGGCTTCCACAAAGCCGGACGACCTCACCCACATTTCTTCTGGTCCTTGAATCGAATCTGCAACTGTAGATAAAGACAGGTTAAACCTCTACAGCTCAATCAGGCAAAGGCGGCCCAACTCACCCATGTTTCCAAGTTTGGCCCACATATCCCCCTTCACAGGAAACCCCCCTGTACTATTCGAGGGTCTTTCAGATTGCTCTCCGTACGCAAGAGTTCGCATTAACTTTGCAGCATGGCCATCCTCTCGTGCACTCGCAAACGACGCTTCAAAAATTTGTTGCCATGTTTTGGTTGCTTTGTAATTTATGATTTCATTTACCCGCGGTTCTGGGCAAGCCCGAGACACATATACCAAGAGATCCATTCTACCTTTCCATTCAAGCAAGCGTTGCTTATTGTGCTTACTGATCCAAGGCAATGATATGAAAACAGGTAAAAAAATGGCGCTGTTCACGCAATGAATGTAAAAAAAGTCAAACTTAATTTTTTTTGGTGGATTTTGGGCCGTACCAGTATAGTAAACTGCTCAATTATTAATATATAATAGTTGAATATTGTGCTGGGGATATGCTATATCATACCGACGGCGTTGACCTGTTCAGCTAACCGCTCATTAATTTGATTGGTTTCAACGGTGAACTGGCTGGCGTATTTAATCATTTCTTCAGGGGCTCTTTTCAGTACCCCATCAAAAACTTTATTGGTGTCAGACCAGTGGGATGAACCCCGTAGACACGGGTCCGCACGACATTCGTTCTGAAGATCGACCAAATTTTTGGTCCCTGCATTACCAACGCCGCCCGATTTTGCTTCTGTTTCCATAAAGAAGCCCTTTAGAGTAGACTCATGGACGGCGGCTTGCGCAAGAGCCTGGGCAACAATTGCAGGCTGTTTGAACTCTAGACCAAATCCCAAATGAATAAATGGGTGTAGAAGGCCTAGATAATAATTCATAACCCAATTAGCATGGGGTTGTCTTTTTAACGGGAGTAATTGTAGCTTACCTCCAAAAGCTCGAGCAAGCATTTCATCGGCAAAGTCATCCCCATTAAACAAGTACTCATTAACAGTGGCCTCGATACCTCTTGAGTCAATTTCTCGCTGGAAAAACTCTAAAAAATGTGGATACTCATCCCTTTTACCAGCCAGTGCTCTGAATTCGTGCTTGTTGCTCAATTTCCTAACGATGCCTTCATCAGCAGGAAGTGCGGGACGCTGATATGCTGAATTCCGGTCAAAGGCAGTTTGAATATGTTCAGGAGTGGCACCAAGTGCGAAAATCGATAGAAGATGGTGAACAATGTGGTCTACAAGAATTATCAGTATATGTCTTAGCAAAATTGGACTCACATGAGATCGACATTTTGATTCTAAATATCGGCTCGGGAAGAATTAGAGAAGCAAGCGCGGGACTCACTGTGAAACCCGATCTCGTTGAAAAATATATGATGGGACTTTAAGTCTTGCTGTAGGAGCTGGCTTGCCTTTAACGCAGACTCAGCTCTAGGATTGAATCGATATACCCCGGAGTCCTCGGTGGACAAGTGGATCGTCCTTGCGGTAGCCATTGCCCTGTGGTTTCGTATGGCAAAAGAAGATAGACCGCGGCACAGGCTCAGTTTATTTTCTAAAGGAGAAATGAAATGCGTCCTCCCTAAAAAACTAAGTACCTTACAATATGGGAGCCGAATAGTATTGACACTCCTCTGCATGGACCGATTGCAGTGTAAAAAGCATTTTTCTGTAACGAATCAACCCAACACCCGACGGGGTATAGATATATAGTGTCTGTACGTGTCAATTGCACCTTGATCCAGGCTGTTGCGTGTTACTAATGTCGCCTCTCTCCTCAGAGCAGCGTGGTTGGCAGGCGCAAATACGAGCAATTGCTGACAAACGCAGTGAATTACCATGACCTCATTGGAGGCGGTTGGCGCCTTAAGGCTCTTCACGTGTCGTGCCAAGCCTTCAGCCGCGGGCCAGATCTGGGTTAAAGAATCTAGCGCGCTGTGCTCTCGAACTTTGCTGACGTTCCCATTGATCGCCCAGATAATCATACACTTTCCATTTTCCGCATGATTTTGAAGTAGATAGTTACATCGAAAGAGTTCAGTGAGATTTACTTGACATTACTAATTATGTACGGATTACGGAGTACACGTCACCCACTTAACTGTCCTGCCGTGACTTTCACTACCATCCCATGACTCTAATAAACGAAGGTCTAGCTGAATGTTACCCGTGTTGAAACGGGTTTTCCGATGCTTCTGTTTAGGTTATCGTCCTCCGAAATGAATAGCTCCTCCATTCCCTCCAACCGGTCCAAATCCCGACGTTCTACGATAGGTGGGATATCTTCCAAAGTTCTTGGGTTGACGTAACCCCACAAAAACATATCTGTATAGTTTCGTTGAAGGTTCAAGCGTCGGCGAATAGACTCTTTCAAGATTATTTCATCTGGCCGCTGTAATCGTACTCGATTCCCTGCGTGGCCCCAGCCTTCAAACTGCAAAATACCAATTTCTTCTGGCGGGACACCAAAGACTGACTGGCCAGCAATGCGGGCTGGTGGTTGCCATTTCCAGCGGATAAACATCTTTACTGCATCCAACTTGCTGACTAGAGCTGTTCGTTTTAAGGCCTTCCAAAAGGTACTGAGTGTTGGCTGCGATAGGAGCATGCGGCGCATTCCATCTCTACCACTCCCGCTTACCGGGTCTGTGAACCGCATATCCATTTTGACAAAGAATAGTGTGGCAAAGAATAAATCAGTATCAGTGAAAATTTCGATATTTTGCACCATCCCAATGCGACGACTGTTGTTGGGAATGTCTAAAATAAACCATATTTTTTTCATAACGGTTTCGCATTGCTCTGGCAAAGGAATCCCATCTTCGGCCATGATCATTCTAATATCATGGCAGACCATTTCACGGTAACAGACCATAAGAAGCCACCGGAATGATGGAACTTTGCGATGTTGCCCAGCTGCCGCCCTTTTTGCCACCGGATGTGGGCGGTGGCCAGGATCGTCGATACAAAGCTTTGAATAACAGCGGAATGGAAAGATTTTGGCAGATTCTGGTGCTCGTTGCATTGCTTGGGAAAGGATCACTGTCGTGAAGCGCTCGTTGATAATATTGTGAAATGGCTTGCAAATTCTATACAGAATAAGCAATTCCTGAACACGAAGATGACTTGCTAATGTAATTACCAGCTCTGGTCGCTTAAGCAATTCCCAGAAGACAGCAAATTGTTTTTCTCGCGGACGCGGCGGCGTTTGATTGTGCCTTTGAGCCGTTCGGGATAGCCTCGTGATAGAAAAGTGTTCCAAGGATGGAGATGGCATATCAGCTTGTACCAGGTCACCAAAACTGCAATACCCGTTGCTAGGGCCTCGAATTACCAGCCGGCCAGGACGCAAGGTTTTTGGCGTAGTCTTGAGAATTCGCCCTCGTGTGCCAGCTATACCCTGAGGAGTCGCTCTGCTGCTCATAACCCCAGAACTCCGAGGCAATAACTTCGTATTCATGACCTGGGTCGACTGGCTCACTATTATTCGGTCTCCTTGCAGCGTGCGCAGTGCACGAAGTCTATTTCGATATGCTGCCTTTTTCGCCTCTACCTCAGCAAGAAGCTGTTTCGTGACTCCTGGTAACTTCCCTAGATCATACTCAAACTCGTGTGAGGAATTAATACTCGGCAGGGCTGTAAGGTGGTTAATATCGGCCGCACTGTTGTCTTTGGCAGATCGGCTGGGGTACGCCGGAACGGTCGGAAGTCCTTGAGTGTGGCTTGCATGCATGTTCTGGTTCAGTCGTAGTACCGATAGGTACTGCTCCGTTGTTGCCAGTAAGCTTGATATTTCTTCTTTATCAATTGCAGGCATCCCGGTAGCCCGTTGTTTTGGTAATGCAGCTGTCAATGCAGGTTCGGGTAGTTGTTGTTGTTCAAATGGCAGAAGCCCCTGTGTATGCAGTGGTTCCTGTGGTTGGCCATTCCCTCCTACTGGAGCTGATAGTTGCTGAGTAAAATGAAATGATCCTTGCCCTGCATCAGCCATGTCAATCTGGTTAACAGAACTGTGTGAATAAGCTGCAGACTGATTCTGGGGATATCCTGTGCGGAGAAACCTCCCTTCGTGCTTATTCGTCGACATTTTTTCGGAATATTCCCTTTGTCTTGTATGCAAAAGTTCGTGCCCAGGAGTCTGCTGCCCTGATACCATGTTGGGTCCCTGATTTTGCAAATATTCAACCCGGCAACCCTGCCCTTCATTCCTTCTAAATGAATCGTTGCGACTCGCTTTTTGGCCTTGATCGTCTTGGAATTCCTTTCCACTCTCAAACGGCTCTGGAACTGTCGCTTCCTTTGACATTTTCCTTTCCATGATAATATCTGTTCACGTCGAGGACGAAAGTGCGGATTTTCGTCTTCTTTCTCTTCTTTCTCTTCTTTTTTTAGTCTCTATTGACAATGTTAGGCGGTTAGATGAATTGCAGTCCTTTTTAAGGAAGCTTTTTGCACCGATGCCTTTGATACCTGCGATATCTGTAATTCGTTTGAGTTATTCTGTGTAACTTGCCGTGAAAAAACCGATATCGATGAGGTGGCTAAAGGAATGACACCCTCTATATCAGTATTTTTCCAATAGCCATTATCAAGACTTAAGCGCTTTATATACTCACCTATAGCTCCAACTTAATTAAGCTGAAAAGCACGCTTAATTAAGACCCTTTAACAACTAAGGATTTGAGATTTCCAAAGGAAACTTGATCGTATGAGGGAACAGATGAGGACAAAATTAGTAAAGAAAGCAGTACTCCACAGTGGTTCTAGTTAATTGTAGCATTTGTTGTCAAATGTTAACTGTTGTTGGTCATTAAGTGAAGAGAAAAATGGCAGAGAAACGCAATGATATGTGAGCTTACTTGTGGCCTCATGGAAAACATATCCATCAACAGAATACCACTGGATCTCTCTGCGTGAATAACAGAATCCTGAAATCTTTGCTATCATTAGTGGAATACTCCACCATTAGTGTCACCTAAAGAGCAATATTGAGTGAAATGTATACAAGTACATACACAATGTCATTCAACACAACATAAACAGAGTAGCATCATAATACAACTAACAAGTAGAAAATATAGAGACATAGATATACAGCATCAAGTAATATCAACAAGATATCAGAGATATTTTCCTGGAACCACACCCTCATACTATTCAAAGTAAAGGGTATATTTACAGGAATGACACAAGGAAGCCTCCAGGCAAATGGTTTTCACTATGAACTGGATCCCAGGTGTAAGCTGAAAAACATATTTGGTATTTTAGGAACAAGCTTACCCTGCCTCCTCTTCCCTTCCATGATTGTATTGGAATGTTGAAGGAGTTCCTTGCTCAGTGGATCAGAGTTAGAACAATCTTCTTAGTAGAAGTAAAAGGTAGCGCCTAAAACGCCGGTAGTAAACCTGTTGAAAGGCCAAGGTATCCAAAATTTATCCACCAATTTAAAATACAGCCTGTATATTGTGAGTAGGAAAATGCAATGAAATAAGTCATCAACGAGTGAATGAGAGGTAAAAGGGATAGTGCGAACACGCTAACCAGCCGGACAACCTTCACTTCCGGTTTAGTAAATTAAGAAACTCTTCTCGGGTTTTTGCACTTGACCTCATACAGCCAAGCATGCAGCTGGTTGTGGTGGTGCTTCCAGTTTTCTGGACTCCGCGCATTACCATGCAGAGATGGCTCGATTCCATAACTACTGCAACACCCTGAGGCTTTAACACCTCAGCAATAGCCAGCGCCACTTGTTTTGTTAATCGCTCTTGGACCTGTAGACGCCGAGAAAACATTTCCGCCAAGCGAGCAAGTTTAGAAAGCCCAAGAACCCTGCGGTCTGGGATGTAACCGATATGCATCTAGGGCGAAGATTTTGTAAGCCCCGGAAAAGGAGAAAGATTGCAGGGCATTACCTTGCCGGTAAACGGAACCATGTGATGTTCACAAAGAGAGAACACCTCAATATCCTTGACAATGACGAGTTCATCGTGGTCCTCATGAAAAACAGCACCGTTCACCAAATCTCGAACATTTTCTTCATAACCTTTTGTAAAATAAAGCATTGCCTTGGCGTATCGCTCTGGGGTACCGAGCAGCCCTTCACGCTCTGGATCCTCACCGATACACTCGAAAATGGTTCGTACCGCACCCGCAAGCTTTTGGATTCGGAGTTCCGTTTCGTCCGGTGTAGACTCTAGACGCGCTCTTGTGCCGATGCCTGGTAGGAACATGGGTTAGTGTATAGTTTAATACAGGCCATAAGAAATGGAGAGGGGGAAGTGAGTTACATACTAGGCCAACTGAGGCCATCAAAATCAATTGGCGGGTTTGCCGTGTAAGGACTAGCCGGCCGGCTGACCAAGGGGGAAGGGCCCGTATGGTCCCTGGGGTCGCGAGGAGGCACGCTTATAGTCCGCTTAAGACTTACAGAGGCGTCTTGACTTTCAGAAATACGTCCGAGGTTTTGCGCTTCGTTGGATAGGTTGCTGCGGGCGGGCAATGCGACACCATTGCCCAGTTCTTCATCGACAAGCTGAGTCCGCGCAAATGATGTTTTAATCGAGGAATTTAGGCTTTCTCTCTCTCTAATTCGACTAGGCATGCGATCAGAAGATGGCCCGTTGAGAAGGTAGGAAGGAATGGCCGATTTGGGCTTCGGGCCCAGAGGAGGGGAAGTCTCGGAGCCCATAATTCAAGCGGGGAGGGGTACTTGGGGGCTTGAAGGTGATGAAAAAATAATGGGTGTATAACCCAGAATTAATTCCCACTGCTGGAATTGAGAAAAAAGCCAAATAATGTCATTTTCCACCTTTCTTAGCCCACGGTAAACATGAGGCTTTCCCGGCGGCTTGCTTAGACCGAAGTCGGGATGACTCGTTTCGGCGGAAAATTGTCAAATGAGCTTATGTCAGCGGCTGATAAAAGCGCGGATGAATGAATATCCGAGAAAAAGCTAAAGCTTTTGTGGGATAAGCAAACACTGCCCCACCAGAAGCGCTGTTTTGGTAATAGAACAATTACGGTGGAACAAACAGCCCCTTAATGCAACAACGCTCAATGCATTCATTGCTCTCGTCTTTTAATAGTACAGGATCAGTGTTCCAGCAGGAGTCCGCAATCCCTAAGGCTAAATCATGTTTCAAGCTCCTCAGTCGGTACATCTTCCAAGTCCTTCCCAACAATCGCGTCTGCGACTTTCCAGACCTGAAGTAGATTATCCTCAGCCGCAGAGCAGAGTACCCATGGGTCGTTTAGATTCCAGCTGAAATCAGAGATTCGGTTTGTGTGACCGCCATGGATAAATAGCCTACGATTGATAAAGTTAGCAAAAATGTTTGAAATACGAATTTTGCAGTAGCAAGACAAGAAAAGTGCATACAATTCGGGAGGCCCGTCCACCGAATCTTCCTGCGTCTGCTCTTCGCCCGCTCGGCTAAGATCCCAAAACATGATTCTCCTATCATAGCTCGCGCTCGCGAGAACAGCTTCTTCAAATGGATGCCATGCCAAAGAGGTAACTGAATCTTGATGGCATTCCAGAGCATGTAGTTTGCACTTCAAGTTTCGTAGATCCCATATTCCAATGGTTTTATCAGCTGACCCAGTGGCAAGGACAGTTTCAGCTGCAGGGTTGAAGGCAATCGCGTTAATTGCATCCTTATGCTGGTCTTTGGCAGATGCTGCAGACCGGTTTGTATCAGATTCGCGAACATCCAGAATCTGTAAAGTAATATCATCGGAGACAGTTCCAATGAGAGATGAGTGCAGGGGATGATACTGAACATCATTCACAATGGAGGAATGATGAGAATAGGTTCGGGCTGGTTTTATCGCTCTGTTTCCTTTGGTATATTTGTTCAGGTCCCTGGTACCCAGTTAGTATGATGTCAGGAGTTCAGGTAAGGCATGAGACACACCATAGTCGCACAGTCTTATCTTCACTTCCAGTCGCTAGATGTCCTGTACTGTGCGGGTTCCAACTCAAACCAAACCCCTCCTTAGTGTGGCCAAGTAATTCTAATTCGGGGCTTACAATGCCTGTGGGCAAACTTGGATGCCTCGAGCGGTCCCAAATCATGACTCTTCCATCAGTGCACATAGTAGCGATCAGATTTGGATTTTGTGGTTGGTATCTGGCTTTATTTACCTCACCCTTATGGTCAATTTTCTGAACAATGTGAAATTTTACTTCCATGGGGTTCTTTTGTAACCCGGAGACTCCATAGCCTCCAATTTCCCCTCTTTCATCATCGTAGTCCTCCGCATCGGGGGCTGTAGGATTTGGTAGCTGGACATGGGCAATCTGCAAATAATTTTGGGTATCATTGGAGGTATGGGTGCCGATCAGAAGTCGATGTGTCGAATACGGCTTGTCAGGAAGCCTAGGATTGTGGTAAGCATGTTTGGATCTTAAGCTAGAATTGCATAAGCAACATACTCTTGTTTATCTGGTAGCCACTGGGTAGTGAGGGTAGGCCATTCCAGTGCTGTACTTAATATCATGTCATAAAGGAAGGGCGCGTTCTTCTTCCATGTTTTGTACTCTAGGGAGAAGTAAATCATTAAATCCAATCACTTGACCGCTAGAACAAAAGAAATGCATACCCTCGTTGATAATCTTCTCCTCAGCAATCTCCTCCTCTTGCTCCTCAGTTATGCCTAAAGAGTCTTGTTAATTGACGATGTGAGGTCACTCAGGTTGCACTTACTCGCTTCATAGTCCTCCATTTTGGCCTTATACTAGTCGCGTAGAAAGTGAGAACGTAGTAAACTATAGGTAATGAATATGGAAGCCCTTGTTTAACTGGGAATTCTAATAGTTTGCGAGGTGCGGGACAAAAACTAACTGTCTGTGAACGCGACTTTGTCGCGCTGAGTGCAGCTACAACTAATTTAGTTCACGAACTACTTAACTACTTAAGTATGGAGTCTTGCCCAGTTACTAAGCTTAGTTAACTAGTTAGGTACATAACTAGTTAACTTAGGTAACTACCTAACTATGTAATTGATTAGTACTCCGTAGCTAGCTAACTAACTTAGATATCACGTGAATTTGGTTTCAGCCTCTACTCGAACTTGAAGCTACTCGGGTCGCCAGCAAGTAATCAAGAGCTAGTTGCATTCCACCTTCACTGTTTTTTTGTCTATATTATATCCTTCTTGTACAGTGTTTTGTTTTGTGCCAGTTCTTAGGAATGGTTTATATGATATTTACCGCCAATAAAAACTAATTCCGTTCATAGCACGCTTCATCATCTGTTGTACCTATTCCTAAACTGCGTTATAGGGTCAAAAGCCGCGTCACAGCTATGGGTGTCCCTAAGTTTTTCAGGTGGCTCTCAGAACGCTATCCGACGATATCGCAGCTCATCGCAGAGAATCGAATTCCAGAGTTCGATTGTCTCTACCTCGACATGAATGGCATTATCCACAACTGCACACATAAGGACTCGGATTCTCCCACTTTCCGTATGACAGAAGATAAAATGTTCATTGCTATATTTAACTATATCGAACACCTTTTCGGAAAAATAAAGCCAAAGAAGCTCTTTTTTATGGCCATTGACGGTGTGGCCCCTCGAGCCAAGATGAACCAACAGCGAGCACGGCGCTTTCGCACAGCTTTAGATGCAGAAGTGGCAAAAGAAAAGGCAATCAGGGAGGGAGTTGAGATGCCGAAAGAAGACGCATTCGATAGCAATTGCATCACGCCTGGGACGGAGTTCATGGCCAAGCTCACAAAGCAGCTAAAATACTTCGTCAACAAGAAGGTATCAGAAGATGCAGAGTGGCAAGGTGTGGAAATAATACTATCAGGTCACGAGGTACCCGGTGAAGGAGAACATAAAATTATGGAGTATATCAGGCAAGCGAAAGCCCAGCCGGATTATAACCCAAACGTTCGCCATTGCCTCTATGGCTTGGATGCGGATTTAATCATGCTTGGGTTGCTTAGCCACGATCCTCATTTTTGTTTACTCCGAGAGGAGGTCACATTTGGGAGACAAACTCAGAAGAAAGTACAGGAGTTAGAACATCAAAATTTCTTCCTTCTGCACCTCTGCATTGTTAGAGAGTATTTAGAAATGGAGTTTCAGGAATTACAACAACAAGGTGTTTTGAAATTCGATTTTGATATGGAGCGCATTATCGACGATTTTATTTTGATGGCTTTCTTTGTCGGAAACGATTTCTTACCAAACCTTCCAAACCTGCATATAAATGAAGGCGCATTGGCGTGGATGTTCAAGATATACAAAGAAGTTTTACCGAAATTGGATGGGTATGTCAATGAGCGTGGCTCCATCAATTTAAAACGGCTGGGTATTCTTTTGGAGTCCCTTGGGGATGTTGAGTTTCGTTTTTTTGAGGCCGAGTATTCAGATGCCCGATGGATAAAATCCAAAATTACCAACGGAGAGGATTATATGGACGTGTCTAGCGCTCCCCGAAAACTGACCATCTCACCTGCACAAAAGAAGATACTTACCAAAGTTAAAAAATATGTTTCCCTTCATCCCGCTGACAGTAAAGGGGATTCCGCCCCTCTTGATATGCCAATCTCTCTGCCTGCAAGAGATCGAAAATTTGTGGAACAGCTTGCGGACGAGCTTCACATTCCTTGGACAACGGTGGTAAACGAGCAAGGCGATCGATTTTTGAGACTCCAGCTTCCAGAAAAGCAGAGCTCCATAGATGAATCAGACGGCAATAGTGTATCAGAAAATGATGAAGAAGCACAGATTGCTGTGCTAAGGGTGTTTAAAAAGTACGAAAATGCAGAAATTAAGGAGACAACTGCTGAGGATGCACAAAAGGTTGCTGAACAGAAATACGAACAGAAGTTCCAGGAGTGGAAAAACAAATACTACCAGGAAAAGTTTGGCTGGGACACTGGAAACAACGAAGAAATGAGAAAACTGACGGAAAATTATGTTCAGGGACTACAATGGGTATTGTATTACTACTATAGGGGCGTGGCTTCGTGGCCGTGGTTTTATCGATATCACTATTCCCCCATGATATCCGACGTGAAACGTGGACTGAATGCTGATATGGATTTTCAGTTGGGCCAGCCTTTTTTCCCGTTCCAGCAGTTGATGGGAGTTTTGCCGGACCGCAGCAAGAAAATAGTGCCCGAAGCATTCCACGTCCTGATGACTTCTCCAGAGTCGCCTATTATTGATTTCTATCCTCGCGATTTTGAATTAGACATGAACGGCAAAAAAATGGCATGGGAAGCGGTCGTTAAAATCCCTTTCATTGAAGAGAAGCGCCTCATTGCAGCAATGTCTACGAGGCAGCATTTATTAACCCCCGAAGAAAATGCAAGGAATAGTTTCGGCGCCACCCTGAAATTCACCTATTCTCCGTCCATTGAATTTTCGTATCCTAGTTCCTTCGTGGGTGTGTTTCCTGATATCGCTAAATGCCACTGCATAGAAAATGTCTATGAATTGCCAACAATGGAGGGATTAGAACCATATGTCGGGCTTATGGACGGCGTGAAGCTAGGGAATGAAGCGTTGGCTGGGTTCCCCAGCTTGAAAACAGTACCGCACGCGGGGCAATTAGGTTTCCATGGCGTTACTGTATTTCAACAGGAAAGCCGCAATGAAAGCATGGTCGTTACTTTGACTGCACCAGAAGCTTGCTCAACAAGTGAGACCGCCAGGTCGAAGATAGGGAAAAGAGTACACGTTGGATACCCATTCCTCCACGAGGCTTTGGTGATGCGCGTTTCAGATGAACTGTTTGACTATATTCAATCAGATGACAAGAAACAAATTGTCTCTATTCCACACACCCCCATGCAAATCGAGCAATGGAGAAGAAAGGCGGACAAGATCGAATCATACTACAGCAAGAAGTTGGGTACGATAATTGGTGAAGTGGAATCGATCGTACATGTTCATGTGTTAAAGGGCCTTGTTAAAACGGAGCACGGGGCTACTGTGAAAGAATTTGTGGAAATTCCGGGCATTGAAACTGATTATGCGTCACAACTGATCGTGGATGAAGTCGTGAGCGAAGATGCCCGATTTATTGAGCAGGACGCTGTTCCCGTTGAAGAAGAATTTCCTGAAGGGACCAGAGCGTTTTTCTTGGGCGAATATAACTACGGCGCCGCAGTACATATTACTGGCCATGAGGCCGGAAAATTGGAAGGCCTTGTTTCTATTACAAAAGGCTCGAAGGAGCCCGAGTTTGGCCGTACGCAGGTTGCCATCGCCGAAAAGTCTTCTCCATACACACCGGCCTTTGCTGTTGCTCGGAATTTACAATTAAATCCACTGACAGTAGCAAAAATTACCTCCTCATTTTCCGTGATGTCCGAAGGAAAGCGAATCAATCTAGGCCTGAATCTCAAGTTTGAAGCCAAAAAACTTAAAGTCTTGGGTTATTCTCGTCGCAGCCAGAACGGCTGGGAGTTTAGTGAGAAAGCAGTTGCCCTTCTGCATGAATACATGCTCAAGTTTCCAGATTTCATTGCTGGAATCCAACGCCATCCTCGAGGAGACACCTTTCAGCCCACCGATTTCTACCCGCCGGAGACTGCCAACACAAAGATCAAGGAAATTCAAGACTGGTTAAAATCCGTAGAAGCGAAAAATTTCGAACGGGTTCCATTAGATGCCGAACAATTAGATTCGGACGTTGTTGGCGCCATTGAAAAGGCTGCCGACGAGGGGTTCCAAGCGAGGCGAGCGATTATCCCCCAAAAAATGAAAGGGGTTCCGCGAAACGCTTTGTTAAAACCTTCTGATGCCGAACATCGCTTGGGAAATCAACGCTTTTCTCTTGGTGACAGGGTGATCTATGCCCAGGATTCAGGAAAAGTGCCGATTGCCACCAAAGGCACTGTAGTCGGCTTGACGCGCACATCCAGGATATTACTTCTCGATGTTATTTTTGACGTTTCCTTTATGAGTGGCACTACACTGGGTGGCCGCTGCTCACCATTTCGAGGGCAAACTGTCGCCGCATCGTCGGCATTGAACTTGACGGATAAGCAACTGGTGGCTGGAACTCGTGCTGCCAACCAGCAGGCCAAAGCTCAACAGCAACAACAGCGATCCGGTACCCAAGTTTACGGTGCTCCTCTGGGACCAGGGAGGCAGCTTAGAGATGCTCCGGCCCCGCCGCCCCTTAGGGGGTCCTTCCGGTCTGCCGTCGTCGGGGACGCGAATTCCAGGGGTGGCGGCGTCGCTCGCGGCCGTGGCAGCTCGCAAACGCTACCGTTCCGCGCCCATCCTAATGGCGATGCTTCACGAAATCATCCCTCAGCTACTTCCCAGGGACAAAATTGGCGTGACAACCACCATTCGCCTAGCAATGGTGGAACAAATCGAAATTCCGCCGGCACGTCGTCTACACTTGCTGGTCGCGGTGGCCGAGGCAGGGGGAGCGGCACTGCTAATATTCCTTCTTCTCGGGGCGGATACGTGCCAGTAGAGAGAGTTGACCCCGAGGCCGGCGTTCTTCGGCAAAACCCAAACTTCAGGCCACGGCCATATAATGCGGTCCCGCCACCTTCGAATTTAAACGAGCGTGGTGCCCATCGTGGTCGAGGTCGTGGCTTTTCGCGAGGGAGAGGTCGAGGGGGGGTCTACCGCGGAAGAGGGGCAGCCACTGCAGAAACGTAAAACACGATAAGCATGAATTATGGACGTCGACTTCAGCGGCTATTTGTGCTGTACGTTTTTATAGTGTTGTATTAGTTACTTTAGGGAGGGCTTACTACTGCACCCCTTCAAGGCCGTCTACTGCTTAGGTTGGCTTTCAATATATAGCATCAACCATACAAGCTTGCTGTAACGATCAAGATATCCAACCATATCCATTCTGCCTTGCAATTTATCAGAACATACTATTCATGCAACATCTTTGCATAGCTGAGCATTCAGTAAACCTAAAAATGTGATAACCAATCGGGTTTTATCATGGTACTATTACTTTACAGTGTCTCCAGAAAACCGGTGATGCTAACCAAATATCAATACACTTCCTAGAAATCATTATTAGCATGAAGACATAACTCATTGCAAAATAGAATCATTCTTACCATTAGAGCAACCGGCAGCCCAGTTTTTACCCTTTTCATTCCAGGCCACACAGCTCACCACCTTTTTCTCATTCCCAGCAGGAATAGTCCCTATCGAATTACCACTTAGCACATCCCAAGCAAAAATATACGCCTTAGTATCCTGGTCACCCGGCTCACTACCACTAATAACTGCACTGTCTCCTCTAGCAAATGTGGACCGTATACGTAGCTCCTTATTCTTATATGTGGGCTTCTTATCTGAATCCATATTTCCTTCCCCAAAGCTTTTCAAAACTGATCCGTCCGCGATATCCATCATTCGTATTCGCCCGTCTAGGCATGAAGCCAATACTGCATTTCCATCCGCAGAGCATCGGATACTTGTAATAGGATAGCCCATAACATCGACCTTAACAACACCCATACGCAGGTCATAAGTCCTTATCCTTCCATCGTAACTTCCACTCATGATCGTATACGTTGGCATGTGGGTATGTAGTGAGGACACGTTATCGCCGGCTTCCGTCAGGGTCTGCATGGGCTTCGAGGTTAATGAGCGCGTATCCCAGATCTTCACGGTGGTATCGGCGCTTCCTAGGCCATAATTCATTCGTCAGACAACAGCCAAATAGTCTGAATTTTGGTTCTTCCGTCAGAAACAAAGATATGTAACACCCCGCACATACCAGAAATAACGACTGAGTCTGCCTCTCCGCCGAAATCAACGGCTTCTACCTTTGCATCATGACCGACCCATCTCCTTACTGTCGATCCCGACTCAACATCCCATAAAAATACCTGTTTATCACCGCCAACGCTGGCAAATCGGGCATTGTCGCCCGTGACCGCGAGATCAAGTACAGAGTACCCATGGGCCTCATATTTCTGGATTGGTCTAGTCGTCACAGAACCGGATGCGGAGGAAGATTGCGGTATTGCACGGGAGAGATGAACATCGCGATCGGAAGAGCCAGTTAAGATATACGTGCCCGGGGAGCTGGAGAAGCTCACGGCATTCACAGGGCCTAATACCAAAATGTTAGCCTGTCATGTGGCCGATGAGGCGTAGGGTGGTCGTGTGTTGCAATGGATATAGCCTACCATTATGAGTTTTAATAGTATGAATGTTACTAGATGGAAAATTTTGCGTGGTTGTCGACATTTAATGAGCCTGGAGTCCTTGTTGCTCGCAATGACGGGTGGTGTTTGGCTACATATAGATCTAGCGATCCGGTACAAGCTAAAACATATCTTAATAGCCTAGATCAACTCCTGAAAATTGAAGGAAAAATTATGTCTAACTAATGTTGGTATAAAAGGAGCAGATAGCATTATTATGAATGAATCTGAAGAGAGCCGCTAACTATTAGGATATAACAGTCAAACGTGGAACTAATTGGCCATTTTCCGGTATTATCGTGAAAGAAGCGGGGCGGCCATTGGTCGGCGAAGCTATACCGGGAAGAAAAAGTGGTAAAACACGAAAAACTACCATCTGAAATAGAATATCAATGGAAAAAAACGAAGTATACAAGTTAACGACGGCCATGGCTGCGAACAGCAGAGCCCTGCATCTGCTCGAGTTCCTGCTCCAGCTGTTTGATACTGTACAATTGTTCGCATTAGCCGTCAAATCAAGAACAAACAAAGGGAATGAAGTTACATACGCCGCATGAGTGCTTTCCAAATCTTTGTTCAGACGATCTCTCTCTGCAATGAGTTTTTGTTCCCATTGACGGAACCTCTGTTCTTCGATCTTGACTTGCTCTGTGAATCTTTTTCTGAGAGCATCTTCCTCTTCCTTGAACTTGGGATTGTCCAGTTTTCTTGGCCGTGCTTCCCCAAATTTCCTCGTCTCCATTTGCTGCGCACGGTAGGCCTCATAGTGTTGCTCTTCAGTGGTGTGGATCAGATCCAGCATATGTGTTCGAATAAGGATCGAGCGGAGTTTTTTGAAATCGCAATGTTCTTCATTCTCCACCTCCGCAACGCCCCAAGCGTACTGGCGGCCCTTTACAATGTGGCCGTCCGCCGCCTTTACATCTTTTTCAGATCCAATCACGGCGAAAGGCATCGCTGCCATTAAACTACGTGCATGTTGGGCTGCCTGCTCGTCATCTTCTTCGACAGGTGGTTGGTAAATCTTGATGCCTTGAGCTTCAATCACAGCGCGAATCTGCCTCAACATCAGCAGGCGGTTAGCTTTCTAATAGGAGCATATTCATACCCGTTGCTTGAAACGCGCAAGATCTGAGGGAGTCAAGGTATCGGCCTTAGCAACGACTGGGATCAAGTTGACACGAGAACTCAAGCGTTTCATAACTTCAATATCAAGAGGCTTGAGGGTGTGTCCGGTGGGGCGGATGAAATAAAGGCACGCATGAACACGAAGATCGATCTTATCGGTACGGCGTGGCTGCTGCTCCTGCAACATGTAGGATTCGTGTTGGTCATCCAGAAATTCAATAATTGGCATCCACGAGTCGCGATTGTTAACGTAGTCTCCGAAACCGGGCGTATCAATGACAGTTAATCGAACTATATGCAGTCAATGGTGTGTCAGAGAGTCAAGAAATGACTGTCTTACCTTTGAAGAACTTTTCTTCCAGCTCGGCCTTAGTAATTTCGATTTCGACGGTTTTGTCAATTTGTTTTTGATGTCGTCGTTTATGATCGGCATAGTTCTTGATTGTGGTCGAGAAAAGCGTATTGATGAATGTTGTCTTTCCTAATCCTGACTCTCCAGCGACCTGTAATTTTGTTACTCAACAGCTCGGTATTGCCGCCAATGGATCGTACCATAATAGTAAACGCCGCCCCTCGCTTTGCGACGATCTTGTGTCTGTGTTGAATTAGCTTCTGAAGTGAGGTTCACGCTCGTCAGGGCATACCGCTGGTTTGGAAGCTTTTGACAAAGCTTTGTTAGCATATTGCAACCGTAAGAACAAATACTCAAATTAGACTCACGTTGGCGATCCCAATGGGGGATGCAGTCTCAGAAGTGGGAGCCATCGCGAAGCAGGAACTGGCTTTCCGACTCAAATTTCCAAGAAGCAGTCAACTGCGCGACGGAACAGAAAAAGAAATCAATTAAAAGGGTAGGCCAAAAAAATAGAGGAGAGAATCCCAAGTTTTAGTTCGTGGTATCTGAAGAAAGAAACGTAGTCAACAGCGAGTCAAAGAAGGAAAGAATTGCGAGCCGGCGGTCTTTTCGCTTCCCCTGTGCTGATGATGTTCCTGAACGAGCGAGGCCCCTGAAACGCCAAATTTGGCCAAGGCGTCAATATCGTCCGCCGTAGCGCCGATTCGGACTAGCGCTTTATACGGTCTATTATTTATCCTGTTTCCGAAAAAAAAATGACTAAGCAGTGGTTTTTGATCTATTCTGAGCTGTGAAAAGAGAGGGAAAAGGTGACGGCGAGGAGAACGTGGGCGCCGATGTTTGCTGGGGACGATGAAGACGGATTTCAAGGTAGAGTGGCTGCTGATTCTCCTTCGCCCTACTTCAAAGACTAATTGGAGCCTTGCTTTCTAGTTTTCCAACCTTCTAGGCACCGTCTATCGCAAAGGCAATTTACTCTTCACTCCCGACGGAACGTGTCTGCTCTCTCCCGTTGGGAATAGGGTGTCTGTCTTCGATTTAGTACAGTATGCGATTGGAGCTCTCTTTATATTAATAACCCTTTTAGACTACTAATTATCCGTTATCCTATAAAGTAACAAATCTTATACTCTCCCTTTCGCCCATCGCCGCAATATCGCGCGCATTGATTTATCGCCCAACGGAAAACTTCTTCTCTCAGTAGACGAGCAGGGCAAAGCAATTCTAACAAACTTCCTGCGCCGAATAACAATCCACCATTTCTCTTTCAAATCACCGATTTCCGCACTCTCCTTTTCCCCATCAGGACGCCATTTCGCAGTTGGAGTCGGCAGAAGGGTTCAAATCTGGTGTACCCCTTCCACCCCTGGAACAGGAGCTGGTGGCGAGTTAGAATTTGCTCCATTTGTTTTGTATAGGGACCTTGCCGGCCATTTTGACGTGATTCAGAGTATACGCTGGTCGGGTGATTCGAGATTTTTTTTAACTGGCTCAAAAGACTTAACGGCAAGAATCTGGAGTTTGGATCCGGAAGATGGGTTTGAACCCACAACCTTGGCTGGCCATCGTGAAGGCGTTGTAGACGCCTGGTTTACAGATGATCAGGAATCGGTAGTGCCTCGAATACCGTTCCGGGTTAACTAGAGACTGACAATTCATAGATTTACACTATTAGTAGGGATGGTGCCCTTTTCCAGTGGCAATTCGGTGAAAACCCCGAGTCCACCGCCGAGGATACCAATACTCGCTGGAGGATTACAAAGAAAGACTACTTTATGCAACAAAATGCTAAACTGACTTGCTCCGTCTTCCACCCAAAATCCAATCTTCTAGTTGTTGGCTTTTCTAATGGTATTTTTGCACTTTACGAGCTTCCTGAGTTCAATCAGCTTCACCTCCTAAGGTAGGCATTACAACATCGTTGACTTTGGTGGCTAGCTTCTGACTATGAATAGCATCTCACAAAGCAATATTGACTTTGTCACTGTGAATGATTCCGGTGAATGGCTAGCCTTTGGCTCATCAAAACTCGGCCAACTTTTAGTATGGGAGTGGCAATCAGAGTCTTATATCTTAAAGCAGCAAGGTCATCTGGACTCAATGAACAGTCTAGTATATTCGCCCGATGGCCAGAAAATTATCACAGCGGCAGATGATGGGAAAATAAAAGTATGGGATATTGGCTCAGCGTTTTGCATTGTTACATTTACGGAGCACACAGCGGCCGTCACTGCCTGTGAGTTTACGAAACGAGGAAACGTCCTTTTCACGGCATCTTTGGACGGTTCTATTAGAGCCTGGGATCTTATACGATATCGAAACTTTAAAACCTTTACGGCCCCTTCACGACAACAGTTTTCATCCCTCGCGGTAGACCCAAGCGGGGAAGTTGTCTGCGCTGGGTCTTTGGATTCGTTTGATATTCATGTGTGGTCTGTGCAGACGGGCCAGCTCTTAGATCGGTTAGCAGGCCACGAAGGCCCAATATCGTCTCTAGCATTTGCCGCAGATGGTAGCCACCTTGTAAGTGGGAGCTGGGACCGTACAGTTCGGCTGTGGAATATATTTGCACGAAGCCAGACCAGCGAGCCCCTGCAATTACAGTCAGATCTCTTATGCGTCGCCTTCCGCCCCGATGGACAACAAGTTGCTGCTTCTACGCTTGATGGACAATTGACCTTTTGGTCTGTCAAGGATGCTGTTCAAACCGCCGGCATAGATGGTCGCCGAGAAATCTCTGGAGGACGCAAAATCACCGATCGCCGTACGGCAGCCAACGCCGCTGGCTCAAAATCTTTCACAACGATCACATACAGTGCCGACGGGTCGTGCCTTTTAGCTGCTGGGAATAGCAAATATATCTGTCTCTACGATGTCGGAACGGGTTCGCTGGTTAAAAAGTTTACAGTATCCGTCAATACATCCATTGACGGCACTCTGGAATTCCTCAATAGCAAGTTAATGACGGAAGCGGGTCCCCGGGATCTCATTGATGAAACTGGTGAAGCGTCTGATCTGGAGGATCGGATAGATCGAACTCTTCCAGGTTCCAAACGTGGAGATGCGGGTGCACGCAGCACACGCCCCGAAATCCGCGTCACGTCTGCCGCGTTCTCGCCAACAAGCAGGGGCTTCTGCGCCTCATCAACCGAAGGTCTTCTTGTCTATAGCCTCGACACTGACTTGGTATTTGACCCTTTCGATCTTGATATCTCTATCACTCCAGACAGCATCCTTGCCACCCTTGAAGTGGCTAAATCTACCGAGCCATCAGCTGCGAATGCCATTGCTTCAGATTCTTCGTTCCTCAAGGCGCTAATAATGGCCTTCCGCCTCAATGAATCCCCGCTCATCCGTGCCGTATATGAGTGTATTCCTGCCCGCGACATCTCACATATCGTCCGCTCACTTCCCACTGTCTACCTCACCCGGCTGCTACGCTTTGTTGCAACTGCCGCCGACACCTCCCCTCATTTAGAATTTAACTTGCTTTGGATCCGGGCCTTATTGAGTATACACGGGCGATACATAAAAGACCACTCCGGCTCCTTTGCTCCAGAGCTACGAGCCGTGCAAAGAGCAATCGATGGCATCAGGGACAGCCTGAAAAGATTGGTGGATAAAAATATGTATGCCTTGGACTATTTACTAGAGACGTCCGCTCTTTGCTGCTCGTTAGAAAAGGCACGAGGCGGCAATAACGGTAAAAACGACACAGATACTACTATGGAGGATGACGGAGCAGGCTGGAAGGGGATAGCGGAGTAAGGAGGATTTGTGTGCGCAATTACGCGGCCTCCGACCTATGTGTGTATAGATAGCATGTGCGCTGGCCAACTTGGGGAGAGGAATATGTCTCTCAGCGAGCGTAGAGAGTATACCCTGTGGTAAATCATTCATTGTAACCGCATTTCCAAGGATGAGTCCAATGCATTGTCTTCGCAGTCTGGGAAGCACTTCCGCCTCAGTCAGCTGTGTATGCTCCGCACTCGGAGCAATCAGCCTGATTTTTTCAATATGTGAGTTGGCCAACTGTTTGTTGTTACCCGTGTCATTACAATTGTTATTCCATGCATATGGGGCGGAATACGTCCGTGCGAAATGCTAAGCGGCAGGGAGGTAGAGAACAAAAGTTCTAGCGCTGTTGATAGATTCTTTGAAAAAATACCTGTATCTCATTCCTTGTGAGATAGTCTACGCACCTTCGGTAACCGGTGCAGTATGTTACAATCACCTTTTCTTACCACGCATATTCGAACAATCCTAACAGCTTGAATCAATTGGCATGGTTACCGTTACTTGTACAAAGAAACACAGAAATGCAGGGGGGAATCATCTTGATGTGCTGCTGAGTTATACCCATATAAACCCCTTTCGATGTCCTCTTTCTTCCTGGCTGGTGTTTCTTACACTTCAAGACAAAATTTTCCCAACACAATGGCAAGACTAGTCTACATTTCTGCCCTTCTTACCTTGACGGTAGCCTCAATTGCGGGAGCACTTCCCTCGAACCGCAATTCTGGCAATTCTCGAGTTGTTAATGGATCCCCAGCAGCCCTCGGCGACTAATGCTGGAAAATTCACATTTCTTTAGGCCGGCGACCATGGTGGAGTTGTATCCAAAATTTCAAAAATAATCATCCACCCTCAATTTACAATGGAAGGAGTTAAAAACGACATTGCCATTCTTCACCTAGAAAATCCTATTCCAGAAGGCCCAAATATTAGGTATGCGGCGCTCCCCAAAAAATACTCGGATCCTGCTCCAAACTCACAGGTATTCTCTGCTGGCTGGTATGTGCCTTTCCTTGTGTCTACATTCTGAAATGAAAATCAATAAAACTCATTCTGGGTCAGGGGTCTTACAACGCACAATGGCAATGTCTCTAGCCATTTACTCTATATGAAAGTTCCTGTTATAGATCGCAAAATATGTCAAGGGATGCATGCCCTACTTCCAGACTGGGGAATTGAAATCTCAGAGACTATTGTCTGTGCAGGTGCCGACTTAAGGTCCTCATGCGATGCAGATAGTGGTGGGCCACTCTATAACGAAACTAAAGAGACGGTGATAGGGGTTGTATCGGCGAGTTATGAGTGTGGACAAAAGGGGCATCCTACTATATTTACACGAGTCAGTAAGTATATTCACTGGATTGAACAAAATACTGCATAAGGATGCAAGTGGATCTGCAGGCTTTCTAGTACATACGATCCTTGGCTAAAGAATCATTGTAACTCTGCTAATTCAACTTGCAGCTATCTTGTATGTCATTGGATATATGTATTTGCGGTGTAGATGTCCGAAGTAGCGCTCGACGCCAGAATTCAACCCACCCAAAGTCCCAATTTGATGTCTTTTGGCTTTGTCTTCATTTTAGCTTATCATTATAATATCAAAGATATAAATGTACTAGTAAATTTAGCATGACTGTCTGTGTGAATATATTTCCGCGGATAATTTCAATTTCTAGTGAAGAGGTAGCCAGCCTAGAGCGCCATAGGATATATTAGACAGTATGCAAGGACCCAAAATACTCAGTGCGTTATCTCCTCTTTCGTTCATCATCGTTAATGTCATCTTCACTTGCCCTGGCTCGCTTCGACCCTCGCGTTTCAGAACCTTCTGCTTCTTGGATACCATAGCGCTTCTGGCTTGGCCCGGACGAACCGCCAGTTACCTCAGCAATCATTCCCTCGATGCCAAAAGGGTCGGCTGTATCTTTTTCAAACTCGACAGGGCCATCTCGAGCCTGGTTAGAAATGCAGTAGTTAGCAAAGTTCTGCTACAGCTTGCAAGCTGTTCAAGTGGCCTACCTCCGCCTCTGCAGCACCCTTAAACCCTTCCTTAGCCCGTCCAAGAACTTCGAAGCGATTATTTCGACCGATTTTGTCCATCTCCGCTCCACCAGCTTCCTCATCGTACTCCTCTTCGGCCTGTGCTCTAGGTCGATAGATACTATTGATGACGTTCTGTGCAGCAAAAAGGGGTTTGTCGAAAGGGTTATCTTCATTGAACCCGGAATCAAACCCGCTTGTTTGATTGAATAACCGAGAGTCGTACATCGTTTCTGAGCCTTGAGTAGGTTTTGCCAAGCCTAATGCAATCTTTTCGGAAATATCACGGTTTTGCTCTCTCGCCATCATCTGTATCCGGCGCTCTGTACCCATTCTGGATTGACGAAGCTTCCGCTCTTCCTCCTGTCTCCGTTCACGACGCATGCGTTCACGCTCACGAGCAGCATCTTCGCCTTCGCTCGGTGATTCCGAACGTGATGAATAGGGAGAGGGGCTGCGGCTGCCATTAGTAGACCGCGCACGAGACTGTCGTCGGCCGCTGATTGCTGCGGATTTTGCCTCGCGTGCCTTCTGAGCCAATTCTCGAAGGTGTTCTTCTTTTTTGGCTTTTTCCTTCTCTGCTAGTTTTTGCTGCATCTGTGCTCTCTGCTTCACCTCCTCTCTAGCATGGCGGTCAGCAGTAAACAAAGCTTCAGCAAACTGTGCAAATTTATCATTGATTGCAACATCTTGAAGTCCACGCCCATCTGCTGCCAAACGCTTGTCTAATGGTACGGTGTACCCCTTTGGGTTTTTCCAGTTAGAAACAGGGGGTGGAATTCTCCACGCTTCCTGGTCTTCAGCTGTAAGTTTTCTGGGCGGAGAATGCATGACCGGAGGTGGCGGCGATGGTGGACCACGAGGGATCTTCTTGTGTTTGAACCTCGGGGGCTCCATCGGATCGATTTGCTTTTCCACAATTTTCATGATCCTGTCATTCTTCCGAGTGGTGTCCCCCATCTGGTTTGCCGGTGTATATCGTACATATGTAGGCTCATTCCGTTGACCACCCTTGATATTTTTTGGTTTTTGAGCAGCAACCGCGCCAGATACCAATTTATCCAATGCAGCCTTGGTTTTTTCCATCTGTGATTGGACCTCCTCCTGTGAGGGACGGTCTAACGATATTTCGCCCATATCAACCCGCTGGCGAAGAGGAATTAAATCTTTAAACGAGGCATGCACAATGCGGCCTTCCCCATGGCCTTGTCGGGCAATAGCATCGTATTTAACCTTTCCTTCAGCGTCAACTTGGAGAGCCAGGGCATTCGATTTATCGGTCGCGCCTTTACGACCCATATCTAGAGGATATTGTGCAACGGGAATTTCGGGAAATGCACCACCGTCACCGAAATCTTCAGGTGCTCGAGGTCGCCATCCTGCACGCTTCCCATACCCGGGCGGGCCGGTTTGCTAAGCACGACCCGTCAAATCAGTACAAGAATCGGAATTGATCATGGAAATATCCAGCAAAGGAAGCTAGACCTTACCTTTAATATCAGCTGCGACTCGTCCACAGCGCCAGCGCCAACGACTCGAGGCCCACGCTGTTGAGTATGGGGAGGTGGCTTCTCATATTCGCCAGTGTATTTGGGTTTGGGCAACGACTTGAAAAGTCCCTCGGCAATGGATGTCATGTTAACGTAGTAGCCAAAGGCAAGTAAGTAAACAGGTGAGGTTGAGTGGCTGCCGGTACTAATTTACTCATCACCAGTTCTCTGATGAAGCTGCTCTTTGTGGCGAAGTTGATAATTGGAAGCGGTGTTGGCGGCTTCAGTCAGCCGTACGATATCACCAGCCACATGGCCACAGTACGGAGTAACTACGGAATACGGAGTAGTTACTCCGTACTCCGCCCTCTTGAGTTAACTTAAGTACGGAGTAGTTACCTATAATCACATAAGATGAATACCTAAATCAACCTCGCCGGAAACGGGAATCGGATAGTCAGGCATTTGCCACTATTTCTGCTATGGATTGGAGCGGTATTTCTCTTTACACTAGTTACCTAGCAAACAAAAGGAGTGGATATCGTGAAACAATGCCTTAATCCACCAATTCCTGCCTTACAAACCGAGTGCCGCTGTGATACCATAATGGCCCCACTGGAATAACTATGCAAAGGCCTTCTTCGCTGGATCTCCATTGAATATTTATTCACCGCTACTTGCTTGAGTCGAAATTTGATTCATACCATGTAACCAGCTGTCAATCCAGTGTAATATGCTCCCTGTTGCCTTTATGCATGTTGCAACCACTTAAAAATGACAGATCTATGTTTATTGGTCAGCTCCTGTATAAAGCGCCATATTGTTTGTGTAGCACCAGGTAACTTACCGGAGGTTATCGAGCTACTTAAGCAGGTGCAGGCTGGCGGATGAAATATGGGTAGCCAGAGGAGGAATAAACCCACCGCCCTGGTTGCAAATTTTCCATAATATCGGTCGTGGTGCGGAGGGTGTAGCTACTATCCAGCTCGCGACACCACCATTGCTGGCCGTCAGCGGGCTTGTACGGGACGAGCGTCTGAGGTCGGGTAGCCCCGGTGGCGTTTGCAATGGCAATGTTCTGCGTGTTGATTTCGGTTCTGGTTGCTCCTTGCCATGCTACAGCCGCAACGGGTGGTTGAGCCACTGCTGACATACGGGCGGGAGGGTGGTAAGTTTGAACTTGGGGCATGACGTATTGAACTTGAGCTGGTTGCTGTCCGGCCTGCATTCAAAACAGTCAGCACAGAGCTAGGAGACGCGTGAACTGCTTCTTTACAGTGGGGATTGAAATGCCAACTTGAATTGCTGCTGGGGCTGCTGGAGCGGGAACGACCGGATTAATGTGAGTTGGGGGAGGTGGTGGAGGCTCGGGGGTAGCAGGGTCATATCGATAGAGAATTGGTTCTTTGGGCGCGCCGTGCGAGCCGCCCGGACGACTGGGGTCAACAAGGCCATAATGATAATACTGAGGCATGGTTGTTGGAAGCAGCAGCAGCAGCAGCAGCAGCAGCAGTATGGACGGCCAAGGGCTTGCTAGTTGGGTGTGCGAAAAGATGTTTAATTTTTTGAAAATGTGAACCACAAGTGAGGATACTGTGAATGAAGGACACAAAAGGAGCAGAGAGGGAAGAGACAAAATAAACTGAAGTTTGAGTCACACTGAACGCGAAATCTGCCGGTACAACCCACACAATTTAGGGCACGGGGCAGCAGCAGGTGGTAGGAAGAAGATCTCAGTTGCCTTACCGCCACAGGATGCAGGGAATCTCCAGGCTCAACTAGATACCACTGCCGCTTGGGCTCTTCTTTCTTCTCCTTTTTCTTCTTCGTCGGAGTCTCCTCGATCTCCAGGGAGCGATATGGAATACAACCGAAGCACATCCTGAGGACACTGTTTCTGGGGGCGTGGTTGTCTCTCTTCAGATACAAAATGACCCTATGTTGAGTAGAAATTGCCTTGCGGGATTCCTTTGCTGCTGCGACGCGTCCGGTGCAACCAGTGAGAATGCACGATGAAGTGGCGGCGCACTGCCAGCAATAATGCAAGTGAGCAAACAGAATGGCAGTGTATGCGTGGGAGATGCCGCCTGGATGTGTGTTTTGGGTCAATATAAGAGACGCCTAGGTTAATTACTACTCAACCCCGACTCAAGGCTGGAAACCACCCGACCAACGTCATTCTCTCATCAGTTCTGTCACAGGGCGGTATATTAAATTTTTCAGCCTGGGGCTGCTCCCGTAGTCACAGTCATGATATGGCAAAATGGTCCATGCTGTAGCACCTCCACTCTGGGCATGATTGAAGGATGTGTAAATAATAAAGTCAACTTCTATTGCCCTTGTAATGGCTGGTATTAAATCGTACAACCATAGATATAAATATCGGGAAAATATCCTAGAGACCAAAAAACGACAGCTGCACTAGGCTCTTGCAGTGCTACTAGAGAAGGCTGAGCCTGGTCGAGCGACCCAGGCTGACACACCTACACTGAATACAACAGCGCATAGGTCATGCTTGCCTTGTTTTTTGGAAGCGGATGATGAAGCTAATAGTGAGGCGAAATAATGCATGTATGTCCATACATGCATACATGCAAACAAGTGGAGTAGAGTTAGGAATGCATAGAGGCAGTGCTTGGTTGCACACCCATACTATGCAGGCATCAAATACAGGACCATCAGGCAATACTCTACACTTTATCAGTGTAAATTAGACTACGGCAAACAACAATGGGAAGTTGTTCCACTCACAGATTTACAATTGATGCAAACGCATTGGAAGCAACACCGCCTCACTTTGATTGAACTCAGCATAGTGTTCATAGCCCCCAAATGAATATCTGATTTTGAGTGTCTTTGGTTTGCCTGGGCTCGGGTCCCAGAACCCTAGTATTCGCGACTAAGGAGAATAAGTATACTTTTGGGGTTTTCTGGGGAGAAATCGACAACGCACCTTGTTGACCTGAGCTAAAATTGCTAGCTGTCCCTGATCCACGAGGGCTGCCACAGGGATTGTCACAATAGCTTCTTTACGATGTTGTTCATTCGTGTGGTTTTCACTCTGCTGGGGGGGGAAATAACCGTAGCGTGCCTCAATAATAACAAGCCCGTCTCTCTCCATCTCTCTTTCTTGTCTTCGCTTGACCTGCTCGCGCATCAGTTCAGTAGCTTCGAGTGCATCAGCTTTTTGTTTCCCAATCAAGCTCTCGACTCGCTTTTCAGCTCTAGCAAGCACTCTCTTCTGTCTCCGTCGTTCTCGCGGTCGTAAGAACCCAAATTCAACAATAGAATAGCCTATCCATGGAAGCATGGTGGCGAGGACCGCAATATCGTTATCAAGGAAGTCGACAGGACACAACATGATGGGAATCTTGATTGATTGGCCAAGCCGTTGCCATGTCACGGAGCACACCAGGCCCTTTCCACCCTGCAAACCGACGCCTAACCCCATGCGGGTAAAAGTGCCCACCTGGCGCGAGCCCGATACCATCCAACCTACAGACAGATCTAAACCAACACTGGTTACAACTTCCAATCGTACACCCCGGCTTCCATTCAATATTCCCTGGGGATGATATCCCTCATAGTTCCATTCAGACCGAGGGGCATTCTCAGGCTGCCCACCAAAGATCGTTCTCGAGTAGTTGAGTGATACCTGAGCAGAAAATGGAGAAGAATGAAGCAAAATTCCCCATGTTTCAAGGGGCTCCGCTACATTTCCTTCTATCGTATCGTCCAATAAAAAATCGGAGTTTTCAGCATCAGCATAGCTTTCCGAAGCTTGGTTCGATACACGTTTAACAGGTAAAGCGACATATCCTATTTCGAACTTGCTTGGATGATTTGGAACGGCGAACGGCCCATAATTCGAGGTCAGAGACGCAAAAAATTCTGAAACCAAGGAAGGCCAAAACAATTGTCCAGTCGACCAGTTGCAATAAGCGAGTCCACGGAAGCCTATTGTTTTCGAGATCGATGTATTTATTGTGGGACCCGTGCGAAGGCTGAGATCAGATAAAGTACCATTAACTGTTATGTCGAACGGCTTTGTTCCTCGTATAAGCTGCAGACCTTTTGAAATTGTGGCATGTAATGTAGGAGATGGTAAGAGAGCGCTTCCAATTTCAATGGCAAAATCTCCACTAAAGGGAGATAATATAGATGACGCCCCTGAAGTATCACGCGGAGGAATGTGGACCCTATGGCGCAAGGTGGCTCCCAGGGAAAAATTTTTGGCCAAAAGGGCTCGGGGTCCGGCAACCTACCAAACTATTAGGCTCTATGTGGCTGCAAAATGAGGAAGAGAACTTACTTGTTTTATCTCTTTTTCCTTGGTAACTGGATCTATGAATTCAACTTCATGTTCAGTGAAGACTAGTTTACCACCAACATTGGCATGGATTTCTAGCAAGGCATCATTAGGCGAGGGTATGGCGTATTCTCCTTCAAGAACATCATCATCATCATCATTGTTTTCTTTTTCTTCACGGTGAAGTCTACTGAAGCAACCACGGATCCATTTTAAAGGGGTAAAGGGCGTTTTGAAACTAAGTCCCACGCCCAAAGACGAGAATTCAGCAAGTGATTCTTCCGGGTCAGTTGGAACCCCAAGCATTTGTAGAACCAAATTTCGTGCATCAACCTTGACGGAAACACTCGACTATCATCCCGTCAGCAATTGATATGTATTGTTTGAGAACAAGCGCAAAGAGCTTCATGGGGTTGCTCAGGCTCATTCCATCACCATTTATATGTATGTACTAGCAAGGCAAAGGTCACACACCCTTGATTGCACCAGCCTATCAAGCAGTTCTAGTTCCCTACGCTTCATCATCGTTAAAAACCACTCCCGAAACTGCTCAGCATTCATTGCCTGGACGCCAATTTGTCGGTTTTTTGGTTCCCGCTCCCTCCCCAGGAGACCGCCGGGTCCCCATTCTAGTTTCAAGCCCTCTTCGCCTACCATGTCGTACACCACACGCTTCTGCGGATCTATAAGAGTTTCATATGCCTGGCTGATTCTATCAAAGTGCTTCGTCGCAGCGTCACGTTTGTCGGCGGGTTGCTTGTCCGGATGGAAACTAAGCGAAAGCGTTCGATAGGCAGAGCGTATTTGGGAATCTGTCGGAGGAGGTTCGCGAGGTAGCGCGAGGAGATGATAGTAGTCCGCATCATCCAGAAAAAAAAGGTTTTCAGATTCTTCATCTGGGAGGCGTGGCCCATCTCCCCGGCCTGGGAGGTCGCTGGCTGACATGTTGTGGAATATCAACGGACTGCACCGCGCGCGCCGTCAGTTGAAAGCCGCGGGCTCCGTTAAGGCTTGAAGATCAAAGCCTCTGCATAATTGCCGGATCGCTGGTCCAAGAGAACAGTTTTCAATCTCGTAGGCTGCCGGGCGCAGATAGCTGTCTTCGACCATCTTGGCAAACTCAATCAATCACCCAATCCATAGCGGAATCGCGGATTTTTGCACTACCATCGGGTTACCAATTTTCCGAGCTGTTACGTAGTTAACCCTTACCGTCACATCAGCTACAGTAACTACTACATATTTTGACTACGAATCTACTATATAGTAATGTCGACCTTTATATGGTAATAACAACATTTTTAAATCTAATAAGGAAATGATCAGCCGATGAAAAATTTTCCTTCATCTTTTTCAAATCGCTAAAGTCACTCTCACTAACTCTCTTCTACAGTAGAAACACATTTTTCGACTATTCTACTACAGAGAAGACTACGCGATTCTCTACAATTCCTACTAGCTAGGCTAGCAGGCGATTTCTACTATTGCTACCTGGCCTATAGAGCTACGGAAAGTCTGTAAGCAATTTGATTGTGTAGTAGAAGATGATACCATTCTTCCTCCCTCTGGCTTCATTATGTCAAATAGGATGATATCCACGTCAAGAAGTGGTGCTAGCGGACAGACATGCTTGTTATAGCAAACCTTTTTGTATCTTCCCCCCTCTTCCCAGCACAGATGCCAAAATCCTAATGCATTGGCCTATTAAAAATCGCATATTGTATTAGCAATCCCTTTTCTGCAGTCCATTCTGAACATGTGGAAGACATGGTCTCCATAAACACAGCTGAAATTGATGTGCCTGATTTCATTGGGCTTTTCAGCCAATAATGCTGACAAGGACTGCGTGGAGGCACCTATTCAGCCGAGATATATCTCACTGCCAAAATTTTGGGCAGCTCATCAATTCCCCAGATTTGTTATCGTGACCTAGACTTGGCTAATTTGGGGAAAGGATTTGGGACGACAGATACAAACGGTAATTAAATCCTGCAAACTAGCCAATCTTAGGTACAAAATACTTCCGTGCTGCTGGCAATGCTCTAGCACTCAGTATTACGCTATTGAGCTTGATTCCAGAGAGACAGTGAACAAAAAAGCGTATCAGAGTTTCAGCGTGGCACATCTGTACACACTAAAGTATCTGTCGTACAGAGTCCTAAGGGTATGAAGTGTTATTTTTTGGAGCCACCTTGAAAGTATCCTACCAACCAAAACCTGCCTGGATGCAGTGTAAAAGGTAAGAATTAACATTTCATACCTTAGGACCATGTATATATTTTTTGAAGATACAGCCTAACTCACAAATTAGGTGAATTGAGAAAAATATGCTCCCAGCTCTCCGTCCCTCCTGACTTTCGCCTTTCTGTCCAATTTAGTCCATGAATCGGTAAGTTAACGGGATGACGGTTGAACGAGGTGTCTTGCCATCATTTTCGAAAATCGGAACAGTTACTTCACAGGGAACTTCGACGCGTCTTTCGCAGAATCTATCTACTAGCCTGCTTGCCTCCCGGCAATGCCCCCATTTAGGAACTGAAAGAGGGAATTCGTCGTTGCGCGAGCACACATCTCTATCACCTGCGCACTTCATCCTGGGCTTACGATGGCATTTCCCTTTGATTTTTGCAAAGAAGGCCCTGGTCTCAATCGTGCACATGGTTCTTGGCGGGCAGGGTGCGGAAATTGTGTTCAATTTGGTGGATGTGTGTTGCGTGGTTGTGCTCTGCTGGTATTGGAATGAGAGGCTTACACCCCCTTCGCCTTTTGAAGGGGCGTAGGCTGCGGAGATGGTAGCACCTATAGACCAACCCTCTGTACGTGCCACTGATATCGCGTCTGACTTTGAAGCTGACACAGTGGTCGTAGCATCAGCTCTTGGGTTGAATGTTCTCGCATCGACGTTAGTGGTATAGCTGACTGTCACAGTCTCCATCGTCAAAAGAGTATCTCGGTCGTAAAGGCGCATTGTAGGGCATCTAAGTGCAAATGCCTGGCAGTCCGCTGTGCGTTCATTGGAATCGCCGTACGGTGGTTTATCCTTATTAATGGTGAAGTGCTTTTGCAAGAATGCAACTTCCTTCTCGGCTGCTTGCAACTCAGCGTTCATGATGGGATCCTTGCTGACTGGCGGCGAGGGGGCAGAGGCTTGGGGCGATGGAAGGGCATGGGCAAACACAGAGAGAGCTGCCACAAGGAAAACAAATTTGGAGACCATTTTGGCTGCAGAGGAGAATTGAAGGAAGCTTGTCAAGTCAATCAAACACCAAGTGTTGCTGAGCTGTTGGGACAACAGAACATTGCGAGGGCGAGTGCTTCCTCTTTAAAGAAGCCCCTTTCACAGCTACCAAAGGCATGTTATCAATATCAACCCCCAAGAAGTTTCTGGCTGGTATGGGCAATGGACATGTCACCTCATGCACAAGAATCCTTCATCCTTCATCAAGATGTAGTATGACAGTTGAGGCAAGGCGCAGCACTGGCAACTCAATCATGTCTCAAAGAGCGGCAGAGAGAACTGAAATGAGGAGCAAGAGCTGAAGGATTCTCATCGGACTGTTCAGTAGTTTATGTCGTTGCTTCAGCCAAGCAGCTAATAATAACCAAGACTGATGAGCTGATAGTTAACTGCGAGCAGTTAATGAAGATACCAAATGACGCCGAACTTGTCCCGTCTCCTCACTCTTGGTTCCTCACATCAAAGGTCAGGAAACTCCTCAAGTTTCAAGACCAAAGATGGAATAAAAGGCCGCAAAATTGCAGGTAACAGCATCCCTGGGTGGAACATTATGGCTGTCACTTCATGACTGATCCAACCTGTGACTTCAAGTATCTCAAGATTCAATGCAATTCTCAGCACATAAGATTTGCTCTTTGAGTCCATTCAAGCCTGGAGACCTTCAATCCACATTTGCCTTGACGGTGCCCTTCCGTATTTACTGGCAAGCTAGATCCTTTGGTGTCGGTTTAGGCCATCCTTCCTCTAGACAAAACAATGACAAGTGGAACGTACATCGGACTTCCAACTAATTCGGCCTTCAGAGCTCTTACTTTGGCTTTGGCGTACTAGTTACGCTGACACGACTAACCTGACCACGCATGTAGGGGCATGAATCAAAGAGATCTAAGGGAAACTAAGATTTGAACATCAAATTGATGAGATATTTATAGATTGTTTTGATTATCTTTGATTTTTGGTGAGAGTACAACTATAACTGTACCGAATGGCAAAGAGAAAGGAAATGGGCCGACAGGCTGTCATCTATGGATAGGAGCCAGAATTCCTGTTAAACCTTCACGCGAAGAATCTAATTTCTAAAATCGTCCTACTAACTTGCAATCGAACAGGCCTTAGGCCACGCTTATCTCCAAGGTTGAAGCACAAGGGCTTGGGAAGTAACGAAGTTTGTTTTTTGGTATACAAGTTGCGCAATAAGAGCGGGAACGAATTCTGGGGTCCCCAGGTGCCCAGGCGGGTGGTGCCCAGGCGGGTAGTCCCCAGGCGTCTTAACTGGTAATTACTGATTCCAAATACAGATGTTACCAGTGTGCAATTGGTATGATGTGAAGTGGCTCCCATAGCGGAATCGCGGATCTCTGCACTACCATCGGGTTACCGATTCTCCAAGCTGTTACGTAACCATTACCACCACATCGTAAGTTTCAACGTTGGCTACAGTAACTACTAGTATTTTGACTACTAATCTACTATATGGTAATAACAACATTTTTAAATCTAATAAGGAAATGATCAGCAGGTGAAAAATTTTCATTCATCTTTTTCACCATAGCGGAATCGCGGATCTCTGCACTACCATCGGGTTACCGATTTCCCGAGCTGTTACGTAACCATTACCACCACATCGTAGTTTCAAACGTTGGCTACAGTAACTACTCATATTTTGACTACTACATAGTAAGAGCTTACTACATTGAATCTACTATATGGTAATAACAATGTTTTTAAATCTAATAAGGAAATGATCAGCAGGTGAAAAATTTTCATTCATCTTTTTCAAATCTCTAAGTCACTCACTAACTCTCTTCTGACGCGATTTTCTACTATCCTACTAGCTAGGCTAGTAGGCGATTCTCTACAATTCCTACTAGCTAGGCTAGTAGGCGATTTCTACTACCCTACTAGCTAGACTAGTAGGCGATTCTCTACAATTCTACTAGTAGGCGATTTCTACTACTGTTTTCATAGTTTTTGTGGACTTAGAAATTTTCTGGAAGGTTCTTTGTATGTAGGTGTAATTGTTCTTGTGATAGAAATAGCTAGCTGTACTCCAATACAAAACATTACTGAAGTTAAATATACTTAACCAAGTTAACCAACTACTTCATAGCTACCCAGGCTTTGGTTTTCTATTGCTGCCCTCTTTTTGGGAGGCTGGGTGGATGGCTTCACAAATCGCGTGTAGTTATGCTGCATTAGTTCTCATTTATGACTCAGTTTGAACAGAACCGTCCTTATGCTTGTAGAACTGTGCTGGCTACATAGTTAACTACACGGCTTCTATACTGGCGGATTGGGAGCCGGACTAATACATCCTGATTGGAAATGGTGGGGTAGCCGATGGACTATGTATGGAGTACTCCGTACAGGTTATAATAATAAATGTGCGAAGTAGCTTCTATATGTAGTAGCCCCCTTTATTCCAAAATTACGGCAACGCGCAGCTGTGTCGCATTGATTGATTCATCAATGAAGATGTCATGTTAACCTATGTATGTACTCCGTGAACCCATAACTTTCAAATGGACAGCGTGTCCTGGAAATCCTGTCTAAGCTATCATTCGACAAAAGCTCGGTTAAGAAGTAGCTCATCTTCATACATTTCTCTACTAGTTGTCAGATTACAACCTTATGCTTTATGGACGAACTGAAAGCTTTCCTCCGGTGCTCACTTTGCTCGGAGGGAACAGGAAAGGCAAAATGGACACATGAATTCCATATTGGTATGTAGTTATATACATACAAACTCTCAAACGAAGAGCTACTTTTGACCGCAATGTACAGTCTTTATGGAGAACGACCATGTGAATATTGGCAAAATTCTCTGCCACAATAGAGTCTTGACGTCGATTTGCTTGAATATAGTTGAGAAACTCATTGAATCGCCCTCTAGCCCTACATGCGTTCGTGTAGTCGGGCAAAACTCGCAATATGCTTCAATGGAAGCATTCCTACTACATACGAGCTGCGTTGACCTACTGAGATTGTTTTCTGGAGAAATTTTAGTGACAAAATTGTTTTGGCTTTGTCAGATTCTTGAGCCTAGTCGAGGAAAAGGATTTGGTTTCACTGAACCACCTGTAGCTCTAGGTGAGATATGGATAGCATAGCATATCTGGAAAATGTGCTAATGATATCATTTGAGTAAGATTATCTGAATCCTGTTCATTCTCTTATTCCTTGCCCCAGGCTCTATCAAAACCCCCCAAAAAAGCCCATGCCGAAAGGAATGATCCCCCTGCCAGTCGAAATTCTAATGATGATTCTTGATCTTGTTTCATCAGAAACACTGGTCAATATATTCTGCTCAAGCTCTGATATGATGACGTTGGCACTCTTATATTGCAAATGTCATCCCTATCACTTCTACCCTTTCATTGGGCCATTAAGCTCACAAGAAGATGTTAGCAATGTTGTACATGCAATCTTTTATGGGTTTTCAGAACAGAAATATCTTGCTCTTGATTTCAGATGGAGGTTACTTCGGATAATGAAACTCCACGCCTACAACATTGCTAACATATCTAGCAGCTACACACCACATCATAGCACAGAACTTCAACTATCCCCACTTATTTCCCTCAGACTCTACCAGACTTTTCAAGTCTCCATACCAAAATATGTTACCACCTTGGAAGTCTTTACAATACCTGTCAACTCTCAGCATTATGTTTGTGGTATCGGATGGATGATTGATTCCCAATTAGTCCTTCATGGCAGATATTCAAACAAACAAAGTCACCTGAGTTACCATTCTGGCAACACGCTTTACTTCATTGAAAACCCCCTAGGAATAAAAGCGGTCAAGTTTGGAAACACAATGTGGGTTGATAGAACTTCCGAATTAAAATCAGAGTGGGAAGGATGCAGTTTGGCAGATGGAAGTTCAGAGCTGCTTATTACTGCTGATGTAAGGAACCCTAATCATATTGAATACACATACTGATGCTGGGGTAGTGTCTTAAGTTTCGCTCCATACGATGGTTAAAAAGTGCCGTTTCCTTTGAGGAAACACTGGTAATGAGAGAGCAGCACGCCTCTAACATTTGATTTATATCTGAAGACCAATATTCCAGCCAGGATTATGAATCTGAAGCGACACTCATCCAACAGTTTGGTAATTTTGCAACTGAATCTGTGATTTTCAAACCAGATCTGCGCGGAATAACCATGTATTATGACTGTGTTTTGTCAGGAATTGTTGGTATCTGTCTACATTCTACAACAGAAACTGATTGTATTGGGTATGACACTGGCCTTGCTAAGTTCTTTCCGATTCATGGCCCAAACGAATTCATTACGGATATTCAAATTCGATTTTGTTCGTCACTACTAAAAACCCTTACTATTGGAGTATGTATCTTCTGAAACCGTGCTTCGATTTTCTAATTTTTGAGATAGGTACGAACCAATTGGAATCGATATTGCTTCTTTGGCTCTTCTCCATCACCACATCTGGAATACGAGACTCGCATTTTCCGAGCCCCAAACATGCATTTTATATGCGGAGTTTATTTCCGTGTAGAGAGACACAGTTATATCCGCTCTCTTGGCGTTATAATTTCTCCGGGATATCATCGGCCTTCTTTTCCTGAAAACCCGACAATTTTACCAGCTTCTATACTGACACCAAACTGTGAGCATGCCTTTTCTCTGGAATCCAGTGCACCACTCCACGGTATTCGACGAATACTATGGTATAACGACGGAGCCTACTATACTGGATTAAGGTTTGTCTATCATTCCGGGATTTCTGAAGTGGTAGGCAGAATCAGGAATAACCATATGCACGAAGTTGTGTTGTCAGAGCAGGATATTATTCACCAAGTCCGAGTGGTCTCTCATAACCAAAAAATTAACAAAATTGAGTTTGATTGTGAAGAGGTTGCTTGTCAGAATGGCACTCAATATGTAGTAGGCAATTCAACGGCACGTTTCCTCCCCACACGAATCTGTTTACTAGAGATCATACTAATGAGATTTTTAGATGATCATTTGGCGTTACTCAAGTTCTAGTGATACTATTTATATTATATAAAATATTTTAGTATCCAATTTCTTATGTAAAATATTAACGATAGGCCTTCACTAGCATTTTGGATTCAAGCTACATCAACAATTGAGTGCTTCATTCCTTTGAAAGCCTCCAATATTTCTACTGCATCCCTGTCATTCGCCGCATCCTTATAATACTTCTCATGAACCTCATTATGACCACCCCAAAACGGAGAAACGTCGACATATCTTTGTTGGCGTTTCTGGCATCGATAGAGTCGAATCGTGGGGCCGAACGCAACTCCGCCAAACAAAAGACCTCTCCGGGCCGATCCATCAGGGCCAAATAAGTCGCAAACAAAATCGAGTAGCTGGGATTCTAGCTCGTGAAGTCCAGCGGTTTTTTTTATTGGCGCGCTTGCATTCCAGGACCAGGAGGAAGATATTGCGAAATGTCCCCTTTTCAAAATATCGAACCACAACATCTACTGCCTTGGTCGAATCATCAAGAGGTTGTTGGCTGTTAACAGTCAACTTGGTATCCTTGGTAAGATAAACATTGAGAATATCCTCCCAAAAAGGAACAGTTGCAGACTCTCGAAGTTGGAGGTTTTGGCCTGCAAATAGGCACCGTGCAGCTGAGCATTGACAATTAAACCGTATGGACCATTGAAATCTGGTGGGAGAGAGGCTTGTGCCATGTTCTGGATTAATAAATAGGTAACCAATGTACCTAATTGTAGTTAGGCAACTAGCTAACTAGACGATAATAGGCCTTTGAAAAACGCACCTCTGTAGTATCAATTGTTTTGACGCCTGTGTTTGAGAAGATATGTAGTGTGTTGTGCCCCACTTGACTCTTATGCTAAGGTTCGAAGTGATGATAATGCCATTAATGAGTAGGAAAAATATCACCTAAAGTCAAAGGAACACCTCATAAATGATATGTACGGCGTAGCTGCACTTTCCGTTTCAACTTTAATACGAGCTCGGTGACCTTCTATGCGCTCGGGCCCATAACATGCATCCCTCAAAAATGAGACACGGAATCAGCCCCAACTCCGAACAGGGCTTGCAGCCAACCATGAAATGCCAAGCGTAAAACGATGCCTGGGTTTCACAAATCCAACATAACTGCTCCGTATTCCTCTCATAATCATCTGCGGTTGAAATTTTTTTTAAGTGCATTTCTTGTAGATTGGCATCATGACTATCGGAACATACTTAGGTCCAGTGAAAGTTGATAAGAGCATTAAAATCCGGATCCTGAAGGAGTTGGCTTGCAGTTGGGCGGTTCTCAGGAATGAGGGAGAAACCTCTAGTCAAAATGGATACTAAGAGTTTCCTCTCAGCTAGACCAATTTTTGGTCGTTGATGCTTGATTCGGTCGTCGAGGTTTCAGCCACAGGAGTATTCGGATCATACCACTCATCTTTGATAGACTTGGGCCAGAGGTATTTCCCCTTTAGATACTTTGGTAACGGGCCCAGATAGGAAACAACCATTCCCATACGAGGAAACAGATTAAATCCAAGATAGAGATATGCAAAGACACACATATAGCTCCACATATCTCAGGGAAAGTCAGGAGTAGCACCATGAAGCAGCTCTGGTGAACAGTACTCAAAAGGTGGAAGTCCGTCTTTTGGATGACCGACTTGTGTTGCTATTCCAAAGTCTGAAAGATAAATCATATTCGAACACAGTGTGATAGGAAATTGCATGGGCTTCACAAGTTCTGCCTGTTTCCAGCTGTCAATTATCATTGGTTCAGGCCGGCCAAGAATCTTGTATGTATCAGCTATGTTAAGATTTTCGGGAAGAGCACTACCCCACAAGACATTCATATTGTTAATATCTAAATATATTAGCTTTTTAGATAATATAATTCGTTTTGAAATGATTGAAATACCTCTGTGAATAAAGCCAGCTTTGTGTAAGCTCTCTAAGACTTGAAGCAGTTGTTTTGCACCATGCATGCGAGTTGCAATATGCAACTGGTTGGCTACAAGAGATTCAACATCGGGACCAAGAAATGGAAAGACAAAAGTGTAGTGATTGTATTGTGGACCACGAAGAAGAAAGACATCCTCATATAAAACTAGATGAGAGATACCGGCCACACTGTCACGAATAGCAGTCTGCATCTGACAATCGTGTTCTCCAAATGGACCAGAGACCATAATCTTGATTGCACAGTTTCTTTGATTTTTCAAATCTTGAGCAAGCCAAACAGTAGAGAAGCCACCGTGGAAAATCTTGTGAACTATGCGGTATCTTTAATTGAGGATCTGTCCAATCTGGATAGGATAGTATTGGCGGTCAAAATCTTCTCCATATTGGTATCGATGTTCAGATAGTTCCTCAATGTCCATCGCGAGGTCAGGATCGTCTCCGTCAATCAAGTTGCCGCGATCAACATTGTCATCGGGGAGGTACGGTATAGTTGGGGAGCCCAAATCGCGCATCTTTGCGAGGCTGGTAATGGGCTGTGTTGTTGATGTCGGGCGATGTGTATAGGGAAGCGGCGGACTAGCGGAGACCAAATGAGAGGACGACTTAATAGCTATCGGGAGGCTGTACGAAGTAGAGGCACAGTCTGCTGGCAACCGGCCAGTATCAGTGTACAGAGTACTGCAAACAGTCGCCACACGTCAGTCAGTCTTGGGCGGCCCGTCATGGCGCGAGCTAGTTTGTTAACTAGTAACTAGTTACCTGTTAACTATGTAGTTAGTTAGTTAAGTTAGTTCGTTAGTTATAACTAACTTACTAGAACTAACTAAGTAGTTAACTACCTATTCGTTGGTACGTCTTACGGCCCTCGCGCCACCACCCCTCCTAATACCCGCACCTCCCTTCGTGCCGCCATGGCTGCCATCAACAGCCTCCCCAGAGAAATCTTTCTCGAGATCCTCGTTCAGTTTAAGCGTGCCTCTTGCAATAGATCCCTTTTGAATTGCCTCCTGGTCTGTCGATCGTGGCGGGATGCCGCCCTTCCCCTCCTCTATGGCAATATGGTCCTGTCTGGTTTGAATCTTCTTACATTCTGTGAGGGGTTCAATCCAGCTTACGGCTCGCATGTGCGGTCTGTGACCCTGAAAATTGGACATGACCATGGTAGCTCCAAAGGTGAATTGGACGACGGTCTCCAACGCTTCTCTGGCCTCCTGAGCAAACTTGAGCGTCTGTCCACGCTCTCGTTTCATGTGTCCTCTGGGTTTCTTTATGATATTTCACACGGTATACTACTGTCCCTTGTGCAGGCTTTGCCCGAAAGTTGTGTCAACCTCGAAATCGATACCCATCATTATGACGCCCCGTCTGCGGCTGCGGCCGACGGCCATCTGTGTGAACAGATTCGCCATATTCTGCCACGGATGAGACATGTCCGGCTTTCGCTCCGGTACATTTGCTCAGCATTGATTGGGACCGGGCCCCTCCTCCCCTGCCCCGCCAATGACGCCAAAATCTTCTCCCCAATCGCGCTACCCAACATCCAAAATTTGGTAGTGAGCTGCGCTTCGGCTGCAAGATGTCGTCTCCCGAAAAGGTGCCAGCATCTCGGTCAACATGAAGCAGACCAGTCAACCGGCTGGGACTCTGTGACGCAAGCTTTGAAGCTCTTGGTGGAGAACAAGCGTTACTCCGGCTCTGCAAAGTTCTTCGTTTTCAGTTCTATCCCTGGTGATGACGATGACAGAAGCCAATATGATACGCTTGTTTGTACTGAAATGGTGTCTCAAACTACTTTGGCCTTCCCAATCCGCTTCGTTGCGATGACTGACTCGAATGATGGATGGCTACTCCGTACTCAAACTGGACAGGATATCTTGTCCTTTTCCTGGGCTCTTCGCGATTTTGCAGAAGGAGAGGCGTGGAGAGATACGATTGGGGGTGGTCGGTTCCCTGCTGAAGTTTTGAGAAGAGGGCAATTTTTCTCGACCATATGCGTCGAGAAAAAGTTACCGATTCTATCCCAGGAGATGTTCAAAGATCTCTACCCAAGGAAGAGTTGTGATCTGTGGACCAACGAACAGACTGCTGGAAAAGCGCTTCTAATTCCAGAAACGAGGAAAGGAGAGACATATTTGTCACGGACGCCACTTGGTGAGGCAACGCCGCCAGGTTTTGTCCGAGCGATGGCAGACGAAAACCAGCGGCTCTACAAGGAGGGAGACCCTGACATACCGGATTGGTAGTGATGCAAATCCTGTATCCGATCGACCGCGAACCCCTGCGTCTAGGCACGTTCGCCAATTTTAAAATTCCTGGTAAGCCTTTGGAGGTATCCTATGGATCATGGAAACCTCTCTCCATGCCCCATTCAGCAAAAGCAGTCGCCGCACAAATTGAAGAGAAGCCTGTATGGGTTCACCATAACATGACTAAAGACAACTCATATGCGGACCAAGGAAATGACACGTTACATAACTAACTAATTGGAGAAAAAAAGAAGTGCAAGGGAAAAGTGGATAGTCAAGCCTGTCGATTTTTGCCAGCAAGACAAGAGAAGCCCATGTTCATACCAATGTGGAGCAGACTAGATATGAGATAAGACTGTCATAACCAGCCTACTCTGTAGTTAGGGCTTCTCTTAGTAGTTTATAGTAGTTAAACTACGGAGTACAAAACGCATAATAATTTCTCCTGTAGAACACGGCATCATTCCAAATTTCATTCTAAAAGAGATGCCAAACTGGTATTTTATTATTATTTTGATATTTTTTTAATTTTTAGTCCCAGCAGCGCCATAAACTTCACTAGGCATGGTACCTAACTAGTTAGCTAACTAATCTGAGGACTGCACAGCCTTTCTCATTTCTTGCGCCCCTCTCTGGGTTTTCCCCAAGGGCCCCATTTTGTCTTGGACAAGTCGGTAATAATGTTAGGCAGCTATCGTAGAATCATTGGACATGGTTTATCTAACAACTCTGCTGGTGTGCTGGTGTGAACAACAATACCTCTCAGCAGCGCATTAGATGAACCCTTGCCGGCTTGTGGACCATGGCTAATCAAATCTTCACTGACCTTGGCGATTCACCGCCTGTGTATCGAATAGACCTCTCACTGCCTCCCTCGGAGCGATACGTGGAACTCGCGACGATCTACAGGAATAAGCTGCGGTCGCTTACCGGGCTTTTCGACGAGCTGATATCTTCTCTTCGTCCCGGCATTTCGCTGATCTGGGTCCAACGCGCTGCCCGCCTTTTCCTGAGGAGACTATACACCAATGAGGAGACAGAGGAGATCAAGGGAATATGCAAGGCTACGGGAATTGATCTGTACCTCCTGGTATCTCTCAATGTGCTGCTGGACCTCTTGATGGGATGCACGAGTGGTGCAGCTTTGAGTAAGGACGACGGCGATATAGACGCGAGAATGCTACATTTTCGCACCCTTGATTGGAATATGGATGGCCTGCGGGAACTGATCGTCCAGCTGGAGTTTGTGCGCGGCCCAGATACCGAAAATGTGCTTGCGACCAGCATCACGTACGTAGGCTTCGTGGGCGTTTTAACCGGTACCCGCAAGGGCCTGAGCGTTTCCCTCAACTTCCGGCCAAATCATGACATGAGCACTGCTTGGGCCAACATGCGCTTCTACGGTAACCATATTCTGGTCCTGCTTGGCATTCGTCGATCAATCTCTTCTTTACTCCGGCAATGCCTTCTTCCCTCGGAGAGTCCAGAGTGGAAGCTGGGGGCCAAGTCGCCCGAGCCGAAGGACATTTCGTTGGACGTTATCTCCGCCGTTGTGCCACAGATTCCAACTACAGCTGCATACCTGATATTCTGTGACGGGAGATCTGCCGTCACAATGGAAAAGGATCACCGCTCGGCCGTCGTTCAGGCCTCGAACACCTTCATCGTCACCACAAATAGTGATGTGGATACTATGCCCTCCTTAACTAAAAACCACTCTGGCTTACTTGATGACAAAACCATGATGCTCGACATAATAGAAGACAGCAACTACCGAAAAGCTTGCATGCAGGCTCACTGGGACCGAAAGATTGAAAAGTGGAACCATGCTCGAAATGCTCAACCTAACGACAGGCAGCAATCACCTGCCGTAGTGACAACTCCAGAAGTCCTGGAAAAGACAAGCTCGCGAGGTAAAGAAAGCCCTGTTTCAACAGAAGCTGAAGGTGTTTCGGACAAGTCAGTCACCCCTGTTTGCGTGACAGCAACGCCGGTCGAACTGATCCAGTGGACGACCACATACCCAACAACTAATCAAATGACGCATTTTGCAACCATTATGGACCCTACATTTGGAAAGATCTTTTGGCTGAAACGATACCCAGTACCCCTCGGCATTAACACCAATCTCTAGGCACCCGTTTATAGATGTCTATCTACTCTCTGCCTATCGGCAAGAGGTGCATTTTGAATATTGAAGAGACTCTTTTCTGCAACCACGTTATATTTGTGGCATCATCTAGCGCTCTTAGACATAGAGATTCTGTTCTAGTGGTCAATGTAATGGTGATGCACGGAATAGATACAACTTACTCCGTGTTATTTTACACAAAGAAAAAACCACTCACTTGTTTCAAAGGCTGCTCACCTGCCCTGTTATTCCTCCATGAAGAGCAGAGGATTCCCCTCAGTGTCACAAGCCTACATACGGAGGCTCGGGGAAAGATAGGGGTTCTTCATCTGTACTGCCGGCTACAGGCACGGCAAACATTTTGAGCGATTTACGTATCTCCCATGTTCTGAGCATGGTTCAGAAGCCTAAGTATAGATTGTCATTCAGATATAAAGCCTCCTGTCTTCTAGAAAGCGTTTTAGATTCCAATTCGAACTGCAACAGTATAAGCTCAAGTCTATCAACTTCTTTCGATATGTTCTCATTACTGAATATTCTATTTATCGCGCTTTTTGCAATGAGCTCTATCGCGGTGCCTACAGAACTACCTAAGAGGGACCCACGAAGAAGATTTGATAGAATTGGCGGCGAAGCACGGATTGGTCCTATTGGGCATATTGGGTATAGCGAAGCACAAGGTCTCAGCAAGCGGGCACCACCGAGGTCGCACCCTGGAGAGAAAGGCACACCGCCACAACGGATCTTTAGACCTTTATTTCGATTTGATATACCCGGCATCTTTAACAGATCCCCAGGCATTTTGGGCTCTGAGGTGGTAAGGAAGGGAACAGAAATTTTGGCCCGCCGGGATGAGGAAGAGGAGCCCAACCTGAATACAGTGGAGACCAAGAAGATAAGAGAATAGTCCTAACGGGGTAGGTGGGAATTCCTGAATCACACTAGATGTTTTTCTTGTCTAACACCGCTTTGGATTCCAGGGCAATTGAAAGGGGGTTTAGAATTATTGCAGGCATCAATTGGGCATGATGTGCACCAAGTGAAATATGTGGCGGAGCAAGTGAATGTGAATGTGCTGAAGGAAGATTTTGGAATGGTGTTACTCTTGCAATGATTGTAGATCCTTTTTATTTTCATGTCACATCGCTACCTATGTAACAGATCAGGAAACACAAGAGTAATAATTTAAATCAGAAAAAATCCCACATGCCAAAGACCCTATCATGTACCATTAACCCTAATTCTCATTAAGAATCTTGTGGAAAGTCTCGCCAGCGCGCTCTGGCTTGCCAGCCTTGATAGGAGCCTGACCAAGCTTCTGCTTGGAGAAGGCACCGGCGTATGGGTTGAGTCGGAGCATGACCTGTTTGTTCTTGAGAGGGTTCTTCTTCTGTACACCGGTTCTTTTGGTTCTGGCGTCACCCTTTGGCGCTCTGAGAACGGACTGGACTTCGGAAGAGTTGATGAGGCGGGTAATGTCTGCGTTCGAGACGATGTTCGAAGGGAGGAGGTAGTCTTTCTTAAGGGCGGATGGGGCAGAGGTGCTACCGTAAATCTGGTCGAGGGCAGCAAAGGCAGACGAAGTCCAGACGATGAAACGGCCGAGGTGGCCACCGGGGGCGAGCTGGAGGAGGTTCAAGGAGAAAACGGACGATGTCTCGACACCAGGGATGTTGCGGAAGGCCTTGACAAGCTCCTTGCCGTCGACTTCGGGGTTGTAGACAACAAGAGGGCCGCGGCGTTGGCGGTAGCGGCGTCCTCGCATCTTACCTTTACCAGCGCGAAGCTTGCGGGATTTCTTAACCTTAACGAGGTCTGAGCCAGCACCAACGGCCTGGAGGAGGGAGACAGCGGCCTTGGTCTTAGCAATAGCACCATTCTCAAAGGTCTTGGAGTCGACGACAAGAGGAACTTCGGGAACGTTCTCGACGCGGTGGCCACGGGCGAAGAGGAGGGATGGAACCGAAGAAGCAGCTAGGGCAGAGGCGGTTGCGAAACGCCTATCAAAAAAAGTCAATATCCACCGTCAATCTCACAGTGATAAAAAATTCCTCAATCCAGGGCAACAGGAGCTTACTTCTGTCCCAAGTTGATCTTCTGATGCCATTTGCGCCACACCTTGGTGGGAGCGAACATACGACCAGAGCGGCACTGGTTACCGAATGCAGCCTGACCGGCGCGGTGCGTACCACCGCCAGAGACACGGGGGATACGGGCAACAGCACGTCCTACACGGCACTCGAGTCAATTCTTCCCGGTCCCGCAATCCGCATATATATTTATATCTTCCACATACCAGTACCCCAGGATTCAGCGGAGGTCTGCTCGCCGGCCTTCTCGCTCACGGCATATGGCTGTCTCCTGTTCTTCGCGATTCCAGTGTGCACCGACCTGTCCACAAGAAAACCTCGTTAGCAAAAAAAAAAAATGTTCGATTCTCAAAGGGTTAGTCTTGGAATAGCTCGTACTGGACAATATCGGGACGAATTGGGGCATTGAAAACGGTGGGCAGAGGGTGCGTAGCACCGCTGGGCTTGCCCTCAGCCGTGGCGATCGTAACAGTCGGTCGGGAGGCCATTTTTTGTCGACGGATTGCTGGTCGTTGGGCGTCGTCGAAGGTTGTCTTTCTTTCCGGTCAGCAAAATTGTGGGCTTTCTCGCTTCTTCGGGCGATGCGGCTGGCTGGTCACGGGACCCGAAAACCCTAAGTGGTTTTTTTGCGTTGAGTCTGAGCTGGCGTTGGGATATGTCGCGTGACCCCTTTAGCCCTATGACTATAGCCCTACCTCTGCTTCGGTCAAAGTACGGAGATGCAAGTCAAGGCGAGACCGGCGGATGTCAAATGCGAAGCTGGACCATTCGAGTTTGAAACACCCTAGCTAGCACCGGGGTCCGGGGAACTACTACGGAGCTACAGGCACAGCCTCTGAAGAAAAATGGGATCGACAGAACTAGGTATTTCAGATATAGATTTATTTTATGCACTCTTGCCATGCTCCTAAGTCACAATGCACAGGGGAGAAAAAAAACAAGGCCTGAGCTGACTGAGCCTTGAGGCCCATAAGAAGGACAATATCAACGATTGAAGAAAATATGTCCCATGAAAAATAAACACACAGATGCTGTTGGTCATAACCAGCAAATGAAAACGAATGTAAGAATCGTATATCGTTAGAAAAACGGCTGAGAAAAAAATATTCATGAAAACATCCCCATTCGCCGCTTGCGCGACGTCCTCCACATTGTAGATTGATGTGTGTCAACTCGAGACGATACCAGATCGCAAAGAGTGTAGATCTAGTGAGAGCGAGAGTGGCCATGGCGACGGCGTAGGCGCATGGCGGTTTTGGTCATGTCAAGCTTCAGCTCCTTAGAGATACCAACAACACAACTAGTGCCTTTCGCCATCGGAATGGAAGCGGACCAGGTTCCACTCGCACAGCGCTGGAAAGAGCTTCCGTCAAGGCAGTTCCAGGTGCCCTCGTCAGTACAGGCCTGAGAGGAACCATTACCGCCGCTGGGTGGCGATGGGCTAGTTGGAGGAGTAGAGGGTGGAGAAGCCGGTGGCGAGCTGGGTGGAGCTGGAGAACTTGGAGCCGGAGCACTTGGAGGTGAAGAGTCGGCCGACGGGGCAGAGGGAGCTGGAGAAGGAGTACCGGCAGCGGGAGGTGCAGAGGTGGGTGCAGAGGCTGGTTGAGAAGGTAAGAAAATACCAGGAGATTTAGAAGGCTGGCTGGGCGCAGAAGAAGAAGAAGAAGCAGGCGTGCTTCCACCATTACCACCATTGCCACCGTTTCCTCCGTTGCCGCCAGAAGGAGAGCTACCGCCATCTGCAGGTGCCATTGGGCCATTGCTTCCGTTCTTCATAGTGCAGACAGGGCCGCCAGCCTTCATCAAATTTTGAGCAGAACCGCTACGCTGAACGGACGAGCCAGGATTTGGGAATCTAATATCAACGCCCTCCTTGGTGACACAGTCGTTAATGTTGGCGACAAACATGTTTGGCAGATCAGCACGTTTTGAAAGGGGGACCGTGCTTCTCGATTCCACAGCTGGAGTGGGGACGTATCGTTTCTTGGATCCAGTTACTTTGATGGGGGCGCAGTTCATATAGAATTCTCGGTTGCCGATACGGTTAATCCAGGTCCAGGCTAGGGTGTATTCGCCGGGTGAAATGCTAGATGGGATCTTGTACTTGAAAGTGCTGGCCCCAGTGCCGTTGGGATCCTCAGGAAGATTCCCATCAACGTTCGCGGGGCAGCCACCCTCGATAGAATGAATCACCTTCCAGACAGAGTCTTTGGTTGGTTTCATGTCGGTGGTCAAGGAAACCTGGCATGAGCCGCCACCATGAACTGCGCTTCCTTTGAATGAAAGGGTTTGTTCTTCACCGATGGCCATGACATTTTCTTGGGAAGGTGGATCGTAGACACCGGGTCTCTGCTTGCAAGGGAAATCTGCAAGATTGTTCTCTAGGGGACCGTTGTTGAGCGTGCTGGGTCCATACGGATGGGGCGAGCTCATCAACATATGTGCGCTAACAGGAGCGGCGACAAGAGCGGCTGCAGCGGCAGCAACAAAAGACGTGGTAAAATACATCGTGAGCGAAAATCGCTTTGAGTGTTGTTTCAGCGAGGAAGAGGGGATCTGCGTGTGTCCGTTTTATATCTCGAGTCCTGTCTCGTGCCTGACGAACAAGATTCAAGAATAACTGTGGGGTAGATGTGTATTTGGATATGCGCAGAAGTAGGAAAATGGTATATCAGTTGTGTGTCTGGTGGTGAATATTAGCTAAGGAATTACAAGAAAGTGTGTATTGAACAAAATCAAACTTGATAGCCAACATGTGAAGGAGGTTTGCAGGCAACAGGTATTAAAAGAGGCAGTATTAACAAATTCTAAGAAAGAAAAAGGCACTAGTTGCTCTCTGGAGAACACATGTAGAAGGAAGTTTGAATAGGGATACACACCTTGATAGAGGCCAAATTCAGACGGTTGCACAACAACAATGGCTTATTGAGGAGGGACAGGGATGTATGAATCTGTTCAGAAGGGTGTTTCCCAGCTAGATCACAATATGTGCAAAGAATGTAAATGGCTCTTTTTATTGCAGAACATGCCACAGGCAAATGTTGCAAGTAGAGTCAGGGGTGTCACAAAGGGAAGGACAAGAGAAAGGGTACAGGAACTAGCCCAACCGATTCTCAAAAGAAAAAAAAGAGAGAGAGAGAGAGAAGGGATCCAGCAGATAGGGACAGCGATGGAATGTTTCTGAACGGGCCAGCGTGTGTGGGGAAGAAAAGGAGGAGGAGGGAAAAGAGGGTGTCGGCCGCCTGGCAACAGGGAGGTTAAATATCAGGCCCGCTGGTGAACAGAACGCCGCTGAGGTTAGTGTTCAGGCGGGCAGGGATCTAGTAAATGGAGGGGACCGAATGGGAGGGTTCAGCAGCATGGTGGCTCCAGTCCGGCATGCAGAAACCTTCTGGGCACTCGGCGAACCTTGTCGAGGCGTCGGGGCATTTGGCATGGGTATGTCTTGGAGGGGATTGGCCGCTGGCGGGGGGCGACGATGGTTGGCGAGGTCGGTTCCCACGATGAAACAGGGCATAACTTTCCACCGGGGCTGACCACGATGATTCGAAACGAGCTAGCAGAGCCATGGCGAGCATGCTGCGGGGCGGCTGCCGCTGCGCCCTTCTGTCGCACAGCGCACGCTCGTTCGCGTGGCGGCCGCGGCAGCCCCAGGCGGGCGGTGGTGATGTTGGACGTGCGGCCGGGCGGGGGAGCCGCAACACCGCAATGGGCGGCAAGTTGGGCTGGAGTTGCCGCCGCTTTGAAGGCCGGAGGGCAGCCATGCGCGCTGGTTGGCCGTAGCGCGTTAGTCAGCGAGTGGCTGATATAAATAGCGCTGGCGAATCAGGCGCCGTGCGTGCCTGGTCCCTGAGAACAGACGAGGAGATGCGGCCGTTGATTGGTGGGCTCCGCGCTAGCGTGAAACGGCAAGGCACGCGCTCGCCACACACAGGGAGGGCAAGCGCCACCCTTTCACGTGCGCTGCTGAGTCACCGCCAATCGGACCGCGCCGGCGAATTATGCCCGAAGCGGCCGGCGCCGGGGTGTGGCTCACGCTGCCCGCCGCTGATCAGCCAGTTGCCCACCGCCAGTGCATCGCTGCTCGCCCTCTGCGCCTCAAACCACATGCGATCATCGTCATCTGCCTGATCCTAGCTTGATATTTGGCAGTGCGGATCAGCGGTCTGGATTCCAATTCCTCACGGCCTCGCGCCCTATGAACCCGTTTCCCGTGGGCTGACCGCCCGGCACGCCCGGGCGCGTAAATCCATGATGCTGACGAGGCTCGCCGAACATTGGCCCCCAAGTCACATAGTTACATCCCGGCTGTACCATTTTTGCCTGCGCTAAAAATTTAATGCAAAGCAGCCAGCGGTGGCACGGCCCAGCCCTGGTGAAGGCCTAAGGATCGCCGGCCAAAAAGAAAGAAAAAAACAAAATAAAAGAACGGAAAAATTTGATACCAGCCCATATAGATTCCATGTGGGATTGATCGCGTTATCTCCGGCAAAAAGAAAATAATCAAATTCGATCGATGACTTTTCGTTTCGAATTTTGTTCCTACACAAAAGCACTTCGACGTTGTCATATCTGATAGGTCTGACTGACGTGTTTCGGCACAGGAGGCTCGTCAGCTTTTTCTTGACTTACTCTTGTCCGAGTCTAAGCTGACTTCCAAGATGCTAAAACGAAAAAGTTTTTTAGCCCAAGAACTATCGCCATCAGCTTGTTCGCCTTTGGGATGGAAAGCGACGTTTCATGTCTGGCCTACAGCATTTTTGGTAAACTTATTTTCAGAAATACAAAATGATACTTCGAATTCGTCGACACAATTCGTCCATTTTGCGAACCATGAAACCTGTTTATGTTTAAAATGGGTTCCCTCTTGCCCGAAAACGCCGTTGGTCCCATATGGGCATAAAACTTCTTAACGTCTGAGAGCGAGTAAACTTTGCGAACCTTCACTTCTTGATAGGCCACCGGATAATAACCTTTGGGCCGTGGGCGACCCTGACGCCCAGATCTATGGCCCCTCAGCCCATCCATGCTTCACCACTCGGCTGCACCGGATTGGTTTACATGTGGAATGACCGTCGAATTTTAAAATCTAGGAGGTTGACAAACGGTCCAGTCTGAGTGACCGGTACGTTTCCCCTTTTCTTTTCTTTTCTTTTCTTTTCATCAGCCCGATTTCTGAAGTTACGGGGTCCTAGACGGGACCACATCTGGCTGCCATCGCAAGGCTTATGTGAAGATATCAAACGGTTTCAACAGGGGGTTCAAAGCTTGATATGTTAATATAGCACTCCCCGGTCCGTGAAAGCGTCGAGGGAAGTCCTGGGCATCCCGCCCGTGCAATGCTTTCCGTCTTTTATCGGCGAGACCACGTCTCGGGAGCAGTCGCCGTCTCAAGCCTCCAAATACCTTCGTTCGATCCATTCTCTCTCTCTTCATTGGAGCTTCATCATGAAATGAAGGCTTGCTCGAAAGTTTGCTGCAGACCACTCCGGGCGACAGTGCCCGGAAATGGTCTTCATCTCTTTCCCTTTTTCTTTCCTTTTTTCTGGTTTTCTGTAGCCGCCGACTTATCAAATCCTCCCTTGACCAGTGCATCTCTCGCGACAGCATTGATAATTCGAAACCTGTCTGGCCCCAGCTTTACTCCCCCATACCATCTCGTAACAACCACAACGACATCCCAGACGTCCATCAATTGCATCAGATGTAGCATCCTTCCTCCCGCTGCGGTCTCTCCATCGTCGTCGAAGTCTTGAACAACAGAACTAGATCCATCAGACTTCTTCTGCCGTATCCGCCACGCTGTAATGTTATGCGTTGCGGCAGCAATCTTCCTCTCCGTAGCGAGTAGATAGTCTAGATACCTCTCCGCTTCCTCCTTTGACTCTACGTGTGCCACTCGCGCCACGAATACGGACTTCTTTTCTGTCGTAGGCTCGGATACAATCCACGGCGGCGGTGCATTGAGTCCGAAAGATGACAGAAGTGTCTGGTCCGAAGAAGTGCCAGGCTCCTGAGCTCCAGTTTTCTCTGTATGCCGTGATCCCTTCTCACCGTCTACCTCCTGCTCTGAAGCACCACTGATTTCACCAAATCTCTCCTGAGCTTCAACGATGAGATCATACAGGCACACGCAGCCCGGAGTCCACACCCGCGTCACTGCCTCGGAGAGCACGTCCACCCATTTCTTCCCCGTACCGCGCGATGACCCGGTCGTTGAGGTGCCGACGACCTTAGGAGAGGTTTCTGGGTATTTGGTATCAAAGAGGACGAGGAATGATATTTGCGAATGGTCCGGGACTTGGAGAGTTATTGTCGTGGAGGACTCCGTTACGGAGGATATCGTGACCGTGGTGGGGTCGTAGATTGCGTTGATGGCATCTATTTCTTCGGTGAGGTCTGCATTGGAAGACATATCATAGCTCTTAAAAGTGGGATAATGGGCAAAATATAGGTCTTAGAGACCCAATCGTTTCCATTGCTTTCCTGTTGTGATGTTGTTGGATTTGAATCCTCAAAGTTAAAATTGGAGATGCCGCCGAATTCTTGCTCTCCCCAACGTATGTAATTGAGACAAAAACAAAAATTTTACTTGTGGCTAAATACAAAATGCTACTGTTCGTGGCTATTTAAAAAACATAGATACTGCCGAAAAATTATTCTCCTCTAGTTTCCAATCGGAGCCTTGGAGGTAACGGGTGGTTTCTAGCAACGCAGAAGAAGTTCTACTTATTTGATAGCTATAGAAACTTCGCTCACCTTCAAGATACTCTCCCTAGACTATCGCCGTTATGGATGCAAGGCTTCGTCGCCACAGCTATCATCGTCATCATTACTCATGCAGTAAACACATTTTACTTGCCAGAAACTTCGAATGCCCTCAACGAACTTCTGACTCGTCAGTGCAACATCACTCTCATCCATGGGTGCAAAGCAAAGGCGCATATATCTCCAGGAAGTCTTCTTCCCTTCATCAGTGGGTGCAAACGCCCAACCAGGAGCGACGATGGTTCGGTAGGGCTTTTTAATCAAGTGCTTCCATAGAGCGTTTGAGAGATCAGCGGCTGGCATTTGATTCCATAGCGGATGCGTTTCCAAGCATATTTTGATCCACACGAACATCCCTCCACCAGGCCAGTCAAAATCGAACATTTGGACGTTGTTGAGGATCTCCCACTCTTCGACGTCCTGTGGCACTGTTTCTTCCACCGGGGAGAACTTGCCCTCTTCCAGGATGGTGCACATTGTTTGCATACGCTTCTCGTACCCTCCGCGTAGCCCTTCGAGCCAGCGAACCCAGCCATCCATACGCCATCCTGGGTTGCCCTCATCCAAAGACTTTCCAGTAGATACATCATCTAGTTGATCACCCAGGATGAGCTTAGAAACCATCCCCTGTGCAAACCCTGAGGGCTGCTGCGTGGAAGTTTCAGTTATACGCAGTATGCGCTCCACAATATCTGGCTGTGCTGTCAACCAGCCAAGACGGCATCCAGGAGCGATGATCTTGGAAAAGGTATCAAGGCGAATGACCCTGCCATCTATATCTATAGAGAGGTACGAGCTGACTAGTGAGTCCAGGAACGGGTAACCAGAAGGTTCGCCGCGAGCACTGGAATCGGTCCAATCTTCACCGGACTCTGAATTCCTGGCGGTAGATGGATATTGCAAATGCCAATATGGCTCGTCTTCAATAATAATGATGTCATATATCCGGCAAAGGGAATATATTTCCCGCCGCCTTCGAAGCGGTAGGACTGACCCAGTGGGGTTCTGGCCGAGCCTAGAACGGATTAGATATTAATATAATTGTCTGTTAAAATCATACGTTGGAGAAGTAGTGTTATACGAACGTCACCGTGTACATCAAATGAGGCCTCTGCCCCCGACCGAAATCCCAGTGATCCAGGATGTCAGCCAACCCACCTTTCCCTCCTACCTTCATCCCATGCGAGTCCACCGCGACAGGAACGATATTGAGGCCACGAGGTTGAACGGCTTGTATAGCATTAGGGTATGCGTATTCCTCGCACAACAAACCCTGGCGCGCTCTCCAATCACAATCCTCGTCCCAGATATTAGTGAAGGCTTCGATGGTTTTACAGAAGCCATCAGTCGATCCGCAAGTTAGAACTATTTCCGGCCCTCCAAAATACGGTACACTAGGATGTAGTATTTCTCGGACGAACTGGCGGATGAATGACCGCAGAGGTGGGTATCCTTCTGCCGTGCCGTATTGCAAGGCTGTCGTCAGGTCTATTTTCGTCGGAGCATCAGAAATGTCACTTTCTTTTGGAATCAGCAGTCTCTGCGAAGGGGCAGCCCTCTCAAAATTCCCATCTGGGGATATTCTATTCGGAAGCGAAACATCCGCTTCGAGTGAGTCGAATGGGAAGAGAGAGGCGTGTGGCAGGCCTAAGTATCTCGATCAGTTATGAGTAGCGACATTCATTTCCACTTGTCAGCTATTCACCTCCGGCTAGATTATGGATTCCCGGAATTGCAAAGTACTTGTACAGCTGCTTCACATTGCTCTCAGTTCTTTTCCGAGTTGCATGGGAGTAGTAGTGGGAGAAGTCTCGAGCCAGGCAAGGCTTCGGCTTCGCAGAATTGTTAGGGCTTCCGCTGCTGTCGCTCTGAGCATGATTAAGGGGCGATTGCATGATGATGTTGAGCTTTCATAGCTGTTGACCGCTGATGACAACATTCAATCTCGCATGACGTTGAACTACTTTACATACTAGTTGCATGGCTTTGCACACAGCCTTCGCGTTCGCCCACATCCGCAACCAAAGATATCCGGTTGCAACTGTAAGGTACATAGTTAGTTCACCGCCTGAACTCCAGAAAATCACCATTAGATCTCCATGCCTAAGTTCGCCTAGCCGTGTATATTCTCAAGATATGCCTCCGATCCCGAAGGATTAGCCCAACCACACCTCGGTTCATAGGCTGGCTCAGTAATCATCGGTAATTCCGAAATTGCATTGTACAGCATTTATAGCCCCAAGAAATTGGGATGGGACATTACTAAGATGCTCTCTTCATAGAAAATCTCTGGTTATAGAAAATGAGACGATTCAAGGAATAATATGTAACTGCTTTATAATACTATAACAATCCGTCTTTTCTGTTTTTCATTAGAAGACGCCTTGCAGCCAGTCACTCTGAACTTATCTATATGGTTATTGGTTCCTGGCTTCTCTTCACCATTTTTGATTTATCCAATATCGACAAAACATTCGGGGCTTCGAGACTGTTATCAGGCTCGATCGTGGCTTTACACATCTGCCTAAACACCGCCCATAATGTGAAATATCTGGGGGGTTGGTCTTGATTCCCTTTCTTGTCAGTCAGCAAATAACCCACAGGTAGGAGCTTTATCTCTGCTATGTAGTTGCAGACATTCAAACTGCGAGATTCAACCTATGTTCAACCATTTTTGGGTATATAAAAAATTAATGAGAAGCGGCCTTATTTGCGTGGCATCTGCAGCAAATCCAGTCAGTTTATGTACGCCTAAGTAACCGTATTTCATAAATTCCAATGGCCTCCTGTGCTGTGTACTGTTCATATTTTCGGGCAAAAGGGCATTGAAGTGTCTCTGGGTACAATTTTTGAAAGGCATTGTGATAGAAGAATAGCATGACAACCGCTGTAGCTGAATAAAACCAGGCTAGTTATGGTAGAGGCATCCTATAGTGAATAAACGGGCTAAGGTATTGTAAAATCTTAACGTTTCTTGTGGCATCGCTTGGTATCTATCCAACTACTCTGTACATGCATCACATGCACCTAGAGGATCTGCTGTTCTATGAGTCGTAAAGCGATAACTTCCAGCAAGGATTCTTAGGCTAGAACATCGAACCCTATGTAGTAATTGACAGGCTCGCACGTGCTAGAGCTCGCAGGACTAGTTCTATTTTAAAGAATGCGTCTGATCCGTCCCCATTGTTGGTTGCTCTTTCAGTCTGAAAACAGCTTGTCACCAAAATGAGGCTGGTTAGTCTACTTCAATTTGCTTTTGCTCTCCTTTCGGGCTCAGTAAGTGGTCAACGCGACTCGGACCTCTACACTCAAGCGGGGTATCATGTGGTGTTCTCGTATCGCGGAATAGAGCCTCCAACCCAGCTGCTCGATCTCATCAAGCAAGGGAAAGTCGGTGGAATCATTTTTTTTCGCGAAAATGTCAATCAAGAGCTCCCGCAGGTCATCACCCGGCTTCAAGACACTTACCGTCAAAGTGTTGCCTACTCGGGACGGCCGCTCCTAATGATGGTCGACCAGGAGGGAGGCCGTGTCCGCCGACTTCCCGGGGGACCAAATGCAACGGCCAAAGCAATCGGACAATCTCGTTATCCTCTGTTTAAGGCGATTGAAGCAGGGAAAGAGGCATCTCATGTTCTGAAAGCCCATAAAGCCAATACCAATCTCGCCCCAGTGCTCGACGTGTATCGCAAAGAGGGTAATTTTATCGACGAATACCAAAGGTCATACAGCAACGACTCACACATCGTAGGCCTCTGCGCCATGGGGTTCATCACTGCGCAACGGGAATCCGGGATTATCTCCACGGCAAAGCACTTTCCCGGCCTTGGGGCTGGCACCAAGAACACGGACTTGGAACCAGACACCATTGACCTTACGCTCGACGAACTTCGCTTGGTGGATATGGCTCCATACCTGGGCGCAATCGCAGCGGGCGTAGATATGATCATGCCTTCTTGGGCAATCTACCCGGCGGTCGATCCCAAATTCCCATCTGGCCTGAGTAAAGCGTGGATCAAAGGAGAGCTTCGGAACACGCTTGGATTCAAAGGTGTGACTGTGACCGATGCCCTGGAGGCGGGGTCTCTGAAGGCCTTTGGAAATGACGCAAGTCGTGGAGTATTGGCGGCACAGGCCGGCATGGACATCATCCTAGCCTCTGCGCGCAACGTAAGTCAAGGCGAATCCATTGTGAACGCGCTCGTAAACGGGTTGAAGGACGGATCTGTGCCGAAGGAGGAGTTTGATCAAGCGACAGAACGGATCATGAAGCTTCGTCGCCGGCTTCGTTTCTGATATTCCAGTTCGATAGGCAAGGCTACAGCGATAGAGGAATGAAGCTCTGAGTGTCGGCAGTTCATTTTGCTCATGAATGGCCGTCGGCATAAAGGCCGGCACTATCGCCACGCCCGCCGCGCCGCCAATATGCTCGGTGAAACACGGCTCTCGGCAGCCCGGCGCGATCGGCGAGTGCGTGGCCGCAAGCGGGCTTACCAGGAACCGCCGTTAGCGCCCGTGCAGTGGCTCAAGCGCTGCCCGCCGCATCCGGGCGTCTTGGCGCCGGCATCCCGCTCTCGCTTATCTTCGCAGCGTCATCGATGCCGCATCTTGTCGGCACCGCTTGTTTTCTCTTGGGCGCTGCCAGTCTGTCTTCACGCTGCTGCTCACGGGTGTCTGCGCTGCTTCACAGTGTACCGTCTCGTTCGTGTTGTGCTCCTGACACCGTGCTCGTTTTGGCACCCGTTTCATCGTCTTTTCGCGTTTGACTGCCGGGAGACCGTGTGCCGGCGTTGGCATCTTCCTATCCAGGCTCACGCTGAACACCCTCTACTAGCTCTAAGATGGCCGACACAAATCACGACGAGGAAGCTGCTGTTTCCGCTCACGATCGCGGCCTACTCGACTACGAGTCCGCGACATCCGACTCTCACCTGGACGCCGCGCCTCGAGATGACTCGGGCCTTTCGCTGCCTGTTCCGGTCTGGCTATCGGAGTCATCAAAGGCGTTTAAATGGAAGTGGGTTCCCTTGCCGTTGAGAAAGGCTGGCAGGTCCACCGTCGCCTTCCTTCGGGGTCCGCAGCCTCCGCAAGATCTGCGCTTCAAGCCTCTGTTCCCCCGTATTCAAGAATTTCCAGTACAGCTTCTGGATCGCTTCTTGCCGAAAAGAAAGCACAAGATCGCGCTTCTGCTTTTCGTCTATTTCAGCTGGTTTCTGTCGTGGTCCTTGGTCCTGAGGCACTCGGTCTCTTCTGGTTATATCAAAGGCTATGGCAAACCGCAACTTATTTCCTGCAGCGCGAGTTACTGGTAAGCATTTTTTTCAACCGTTTTACTTAGAATTCTGGCTAACTACTCACTACAATTTAGGTCTAATGGCAACCAGTGTGGTTTGAATGGGTACGATTGTCGGCCTTTCAACTCATCCACATTCAGCTTCCGGTGTCCCGCCTTCTGTAGTAGCTTAAAGTTACTGAAGCCCCATACCGTGGGAAACCAGACCCTCAACTACCAACCCCTGATTATCGGAGGCCCACAGCCTGGGTCTACAGACAACATCTATCGAGCCGATAGTTTTGTCTGTCAAGCCGCAATGCATGCCGGCGCCATATCTGACACAGGCGGCTGTGGCGTTGTCGAGCTTACAGGCGCTTCACATAGTTACTCGTCAAGTTCAGAGAACGGCTTTACTTCAACCCTGTTTCCGTCAACATTTCCTAAATCGTTTCGTTTCTTGCGGCTTTCCAAGTCTCAGTCGAGCTGCCCGCCAGATCTAAGATGGCCATTATTTGCGATCGCCGCGAGCACTATTGTGCTGGTTTCGATCTTCACGACGTCTCCCGCTGTTTTCTTCTTCACGACTTTCTTTATTCTCATAATCCACGTTGGGTTGGTTTCTGACCCCCCCAATATCCCTGAAGTCCGTGAGCTGCTTTCACTCCTGGCTGCTCGACTCCTTCCCGCTAGCTTCATAGCGTATGTCCTCTATATTTACTGCGCCCTGCCGCTCCTGGCACCTCTTTCGTCGCCTCCCGTCTATCAGTTGAGCAAGACGATATTGTATCTAGGACCTGCTTTCATCGGGGCGTTGAATAACTATACTTTTGCTGTTTGGATACCAATCCAACGCTTGACCCCCCATGATCTGAAGAACCAGCCCGGTGCGCCGCTTGCCTTGGTGATTGTACTCTCCATTGTCGTCATGATCGTTCTTTGCCAAGTTTGGTATATCCGTATTGGCGGCCTATTTTTCCGATATTTGAAGATTTACGCCATAATTGGCACTGCACTCATTATCTTGCTCGTCCTGCCTGGATTCCGCCTTCGGATTCACCACTACATTCTGGGCATCCTACTTATGCCGGGCACTTCTTTTCCCACCCGACCATCGCTGATCTTCCAGGGTCTCCTTCTCGGTCTATTTATCAATGGGGTTGCGAGATGGGGTTTCGCGTCCATCATTCAAACACCGAACGCGCTAGGAGAACCGCCTAGCCCTGGTGGCTCTGACGGGTGGTGGGGTGCGACGAGCCCAAACATCACCAACTCATCCGTTTCCATTTCGTTGCCTTCTGGGCCCGAGTATCATGGCAACGGCAATATCACGTTTAGTCTCTGGGAAAAGGAGAGGATGGCAACGCTTCGCGTTGACGGCGTTAGTGTTCTTGTGAACGATGTTGAGAGATGGCGGACATATTTGGATGAGGATAGGAAAGGGACGTTTACGTGGCACAGACACGGCCACCGCGGCCTCGATATGTCGGACAGAGACGACGGAGCTCCCGAAGATCTTTTCTTTCGGTTTGCGTTTCTACGCGGCTCGACTGCTGGGAAATATGGGGGGGTTGGGGTTTGGAATAGCGACGGCAGCTGGATCTCGCCACCACCACCACGGACCTGAGATGCTGCAGCACATGACTCTTTTTTTTCATTTTCAGTGTTTCTTCCTGTGATCTTGGGGCGTTATGTTGGAAGTGGCGTTTATCATACGGCCGGGGGTCACAGAACATACGTATCATCATCATAGTACCTACATTATAGATTAGACATTTTGGCATTATATATCGCGATCGGTGCGTATAAGACATATAAGACACAATTCCTTGTTTCATTCTTTCAATAATGAACATCGCCTGATTGCCAAATATGCCAACTATCTTATCTTACTCGAGGGAGCATCCGAGATTCGATCGCAGACGAGTAATATGCAGCTCGATCCTCCCAGCTGGCGTTCCCTGTCTCGCGCAGGCTCGTTATCTCCCGCGAAGCCGCTCAGCGGCGTATCAACCGGCGTACGGGGCAATACGGGGCTGCGTAACTTACGCCTGTACCGGCCGTACGCCCGCCCAGGACGCCGTATTTAGAGTTGATTTTTGTTCATTCGAACTTCCGGATGGGCGACGAATCTCCGTCTTATTTTGGGAATCCCCCTCGCGCGAGGATCCGAGACAACCAACTCCCGGGCTTTGCGCGCTGGGGAGGGGGGCTTCGTCGAGGGCATAATTGCGTACGCCCGCGGCGCAACATCAAGACTTTAGCCAACCCTTCCCCCTCATACCCGCCCGGCCCTCTCCTCATTCTTTTAGCGCCGGCTGGAGTGCGGGGGACGGCATTTGGGAGTATTATTGAATTGGTATATGTAACATGGCAAGGATGTTTCCAGACGTGCGGGATGCGCTCTGGGATGATGTGGTTGTGTGTCTCGGGGCCGTTTAACGACGGGGGAAACATCCCTGGCATACCCAGCGGCAAGATCCAGGTATATTTACATAAATATGGTTACTTTGGTGCCCGAGCTGATTCTCGTGGTGTATTTAGCTGCGCTCACAGGGGGCATGCGTCTTGTGTTTCAATAGAGACTGCACAAGACAGCACCTCTCACTACGTGTCACGGAGCAGATGAGAATGACAAATTCTCACGCTTTATTTCGTAATTGTCATCCGACATGTCATTTCTGGAGGCTATGTACGTAGTGGTGGTATCTGAATATATAATAGGATAGGGATAAACATGAGATGGTATATTTTCCACATAAGTGGCGTAGCAAACATTAAATATTTGAGCTAAATCGTAACGAGAACAAAGACCAATCATTGGCCCTGAATAACGCTTTATGGCGCCTTTTCTAGGTCATTTTGAGCCTTGTTGAAGTTGGAATCGGGAAGACGGTTCAGGTCGTCTTCCTCCATATCAACACTTCGGTTAGTAAACCAGAAACCGATGGCACCTAGAAAAGCGAGACCGGCAACGACGGCGTAGTTGTACACCAACAGTGGATCCTCAGAAAGAGAGACAAAAGCTTGGCCCAAAGCAGCAGAGATGGCGTTCATGAAGAGCGAGACGGCTTGCACCAGAGATCTCATGTTCTTCGGAGCCTTGGTATAAGCGTACTCGAGGGATGTGACAGATGCAAAAATTTCGGAAATACCACCGAAAACGTAGGGAATAGCCTGAACCCAGACACTGATAGGAGCTGGAATGTTTTGTTTAGCACACTTGTTTGCGTATTTCCCGCATGGGCCGAGTTTGTAGATATAGTGCTGAGTCACACTGGCCGAAATCATACCACAGCCAGCAATGATAAAACCGGCGGTGATTCGCTTAATGGGCGTGAAGTTAAAGCCCATTTTTCGCAGACCGGGATACACGAGTTTGTCCATAATTGGAATAAAGAGGATGAGCGAGAAAGGGTTGAGATTGGTAATGACATCGTTAGGAACGCCATTGAGCAACATAGTAGCGGCTTGAGAGGTCAAGTTGTTGATCATCTGGTTGTAAGAGAGCCCTGTATGTTAATGTTAGTGACATTATCAACGCTAGCTGGGCTGGGGTTAAACATACAGAAGAGAGGGTACCAAAGGAAGACACCGCAAGCCAACAATCCACGTCGAACTTCATCAACCCAGGCATCGTCAAAGGTCATCCATTCTGGCTTGACAGGATGGTTGCTTGGTTTAGCAGCTTCCCACATGTTAGGGTCCTGAAAATTGCGGTAGCTATGTCATAAGAATATTAGCCATGCACTTCAAGAATGGAGGAAACGCGAAATAACAACTTACGTTTGTATTGGGTTGATCGACCATCTGCCTTTCATTGCGAGGCCCCAGACCTTAAAGGCTTTGCCGTAGACGGATCCTTGCGGGGGTGTTTGGACATAGAGATTTCTGCAAAGGAACAAGACGAGTGGGCAGAAGCAGAAAAGTATAGTCGGCAAGAGGAAGGCGAGGTAGAAACCGACATATTTCTCAGCATAGACCATGGAAAGTTGACCAACAAGGGCGCCGATGTTGATCATGAGGTAGAAGTAATGGAAAATGCGAGAAATAGTTGCAGCCGGGTCGACCACGACGCGCTCTCCCTTTTTCGTTGTTGCAATGAAATGTTGAGTTTCGGTATATTGTTCTGCGATCAAAGGAGAGATATTGGACCTATAACCCATCAGTAAATTCCAAAGCACGCTCACAGGCGCGACCTACTTGAAACCTCCGGTTCCGACACCCATGATAATCATACCAATAACGAAAGCACCAATTGCACTATTTCCTCGGGAAATAACTGGTGGGATTGCCGAAATAATAAGAATGGAATGTCCGACTAACGAGCAGGCAATTGAGTACATGATCGTTTTAAAACGGCCGAGATATTGATCGGCAACATAAGCACCGAGCAAAGGCATAACATAGGACCAAAACTGATTGACTGTGTAACCGACATCAGTAAATAAACTTTCAACGGTTCTGTTGCCGTACTTACAAAGGGTCAAACCCGTGGAGGCACGTTGACCAAGGCCTAGAGCACCAGGAGTTCTATGCGTTCCACCGGCACCGGTCGTTGATCCTGGAGGAAGCGGTCGCTGAATAAAGTTGGTAACTGGGAAATGAGTGTCAATTATGGCCTTCTTTAAAATCATTGTCGAAATGCAACATACAGACAACCGTAGTTCCGTAGTAGGAGAAACGCTCGCAGAGTTCGACGAAAGCGACACTGAAAGTGATCCATGGAATCTTGTCCGACACTCTGCGTAAATTCTTCATCTCATCCTCCGTTGGCGTCTCTCGACGAAGCCCAACACCCTCATCATCGCTGTCGTGACGGCCACTGGCACCACCGACATGTACCGAAAGGCCCTTCTCGTCAAGCTGAGGAGGTGTATCCTCACCCTTGCGGGTGTCAGCACCAGCTGGATTCATACCGGAAATATTCGCAAGTGAATCGAGGCTGATACTCTTCGTTGGGGGGGATGATGGAGTAACCACCTGGGAAAAGACAACCAGATGAGTTCTGGGGCGGAATGGGGAGGCTCCCGCTCTATATGTACGGGGCAAGCTCCGTTCCACATGGCCATAATGGATGCAACCCCGCTTATAGCCGTAGCTCAGCACTCCGTAGTGAGGGATGATTGTCTCAACCAAGCTTTGAGACGATTCGCTCGCCACAACGCGAGCACTGAGCCAAAAGACTAATAGCGGGTGTCCGGGGGCGGCGCACTTGGCTTTGGATTGTAATCACCGTTACCAAGATGCCCAGCCTTAAAGAAGTTGCAGTTATTGGGGTAAAATAATATACCAAATAATTCACCCAACCTCTCAGCAATGATAGGAATCTCTATTTACTGACCAGGGTCTAGCAGCCCCATGTCCACAATCCGCCCATAAGCTCAAGGAACTCTGTGGAGCCGCCAAGTCTATCGTTGGTACCAAGCCAAGAGCGGAGAATGGGTATTCTATACCTCGACGGTACTGCTGATAGACTGAAGTTGCGAAGATATACACTTTTTGCTCTCGTACATCCGCGTGAATTATTATTATTATTACTGCCGCGATAATAATAATAAAGCCGGCGAGTTTGTATCAGCTTAGCGGACCAGACGTATGCCAAGCCCTCAAAATGTTTGCGTATTTGCAGCCAGACTTCGACGGCGAAAGGCATTCTTAACAGAAGCATTTTCTCAAGTTCAAGACTAAAGATCATTAAGCATCACTAGAAGTATGGCATCTCGAATTCACACTCGCGCATCGTATTTTTTGCGCAGGGGAGGGACTGTGATACCGGAAATTTCTTTTCCAGGGTATAGAGGTCACGCCGAACGAAGCTTTCACCAGGTGTCGCATTAACGGATCCACGATTGGCTGGGAAAACGGACATCCTAAGCGTAATAATCTAGAATCACCTGGCACATGGGCACAGATATCGTTGAGTCGCTCGCTATTTTCGGCGTCCAATGGTGATGCGCGTGTCATTCCAGCCCTTGACGGTGTTTCCGCACCACGGGAAGTGAAATCTCGTTAAACTTGAGAAGTCTAAAATAAAATAATGGCGTTCTAACGATTGGCTATTTGTGTTCCAGGGATCCTTTCGACGATGATTGGCGAGGGAACTTCCAAGAAATCTCAATATCGGCGGCATCTATAATGAATGGCACCCCAAAAGTATTAAGCAACGGGGGGCTTCGTTGGAACGGAAGCGCTTACCTGAGGCTCCCAAAGCCATACAGGCCAGGATTCAATCACCCGCATTGGCCAGGGCAGCTTTAGCCAAAAGAGAGAATACACGGATCATGGTCATAATTCTTGCTTGATTCCATGGGCCGCCAAGAGAAATCATCTTATATGCCGGCCTTCTCAAATATCCGCGGCGTGGCTGTTTTGGCTGATTTTCGCCATGGCCTGGAATCTGGCTGTCAATCGCACTGCCCGCTCGTGTCAACCACGTTGCGAGCTGTGTAGGATTCATCCTAATTGGCCCCAAAGCCGACAATCTAGTCTCGACAAATGCGGAGAAGGGGTCGATCACATGTTCCCTGTCGGAAGGCAAGGGTGTAACGCCTCTACGGAGTACTTCCTTGGACCAGTTGTCTGGAGAATCCTGGTCCTTCGCGTCTGGGGGTCGGCGACAGAAAGTCAAAGTTCGTTCTACAAGCCTTCTAGTGGCACTTCCAGAAACGCCCGTCTGTCGTCTAAGAGGTCGATCTTGGTGATCCGTACGAAGCGTCCGCCACATCCTGGATGATACAGCTTGGCGGCCTCGTTGGCTGCAACCCTTCCCGTAAGGGCACCATCGAAGGCGCTGGCTTCGGACAGCCAAACCTCAAAAATGAGTCGAGATGCCCCTTGCTAGCTGATGCCACAGTCACGCCAACTCCAGCGCTATGCTCCCATTCAAAAAGTCCGAAATGAGACGGCGGTCAAGCAGTAGACGGGAGAGGACTCAAGACAGTCGACGGATTAGGGTTGGGGAAGCGTGATGCTTGGCACTCTTAGTGATCACACCTTAGAGTCGCAGTGGCTGGGCACACTAGCCGGATGTGGCTAGATAGTCCGTATTTCGCTGCCGTGACGGGACGGGTAATTTCGGTACGTACGGTCTGTATTTCGTATACGGGCTTGCTTTCTCTCTCTGCCGTCCAGCTTCGTGAGACGAAACACCAGCCATGGCTTTTCAATTTTCTTTTGGTCGCCACCGCGCGACTTGAGTGCTTCGAAGGCTCTAAGTCGTGTCTTGATTTTCACCAAGCTTTGCCAAGTCAGGCAATTTTCTGTAAGGTCCTCCAGCGTTGGATGTCTTGGTATCGCCGGGAAGCTGCACAGATACGGGACTGCGCAGATATGCTGAGTGTGAACAGGGTGATCCGAGTCATGTAAAGCGGATAAGTCGTGGCGGTAAAAGTGACGTGGAATGAATGTCCCCTCCGCAATAAAGGTTTGCTGATTGGCGCCATGTTATCTTCGCACACTAGACGCCATGCCATGGTAGGTTGAAATGTGTGTACCTATGTACCTCGCTTGCTGAAGCGGTAAAAGCGGAGAGGTGGGTAGCTTTGACTGCAAGGGCTCTGTAGCACTCTACATGGTGCGGGCTAGCTATCTCTCAGGATCTCTAGTTCGCTCGATAGAAAGCAAAGCACAATAATGGCAATGACACTGCTGACAGGCCCTCGAAGATTGGCCATTGTGTGGAGGTGGCAATCACTCGGCCCCAGCCATGGTAATCCGGCTATAGAAGGGATGATGTAGACAATACCGTCATCATTAGTATTGTTATCTTTGCTGGGTTATCTTCTTCCCTTTGATGTCGGAGAATTTCGGCGTCCACGCTTTGGCCGCCAATAAGTGGATATGATTGCTCTCTTTTATCATTTAATTTGTTGTCATGATTATTGTTGCTGTCGTTTCGCTAAAGGTGCCAGAAGGGAGACCCACACGTCGCCCGCAATGCGCGAGTGTGGAGAATCTCAACGGCTTGGCCGGCCGGGAAGCTGGAGATCATGGATGAAAATTATTATTATTATTACCCTCGCTCTCGACCACGAAAGGGAAGCATGGAGTCGGGGGGGCTGGAAGAGGTGCGATTTCATCGGCCTAAGTCCCATGATCGATCCAAGGGAGGAGATGTCCTGGAGTCAACACCAATTAATAATATGAAACGCTGTCCGACTCTACCCCAGATGTTCAGCCCTTCCGCTACCAGCATGATTCCCTGCGACATGTTGGCTGGCACGTGTCGCATGGAGAAAGTTGTTGGCCATCAAATCTGCTCCACCGGGATAGAGCGGGATATTCGAGGTGGAGAATCTCCAAAAGCAAACTGGGAGTCGCCGACTACTAGACCCTAACAAGAAGGCTTTGAGAGCAAGTCGTATTCGGCTTCAGGGGTGCTACGGACCTTCGTCGAACTGCGATTCTCGCTTGACAGTAGTGGACCTGACGTGCTGTATGTCACCACGCGTCTAACTCTCTCACGCCACCATTAATAAAACAATGAAAGAGGTGGAGGAGCTCGAGTCTGGCCAGTTCCAGTAGCGGCGGCCGATGTAGGTCGCAGGCGGTGTCGGATCGCTGTGGCGGACCAGATTCTCTTCCAATCGCGAACGCACTTCCGATAAGTTCGATTAGTCGCATTTTTCAGTCCACAATCGAAAGTAGGCTCCTGGTCTTTTGTATCCAATCCAACATCTGAACCCCAGGAACTCCTATTGGGAGAGTTCTGGCATGTTCAATGTGACGAGACCCATGCTAAAAGACGCCTTAGAGGTCAGTGCAATTCACAGATAGAATCAGGATGCATTTTGCCTTCAGTAACCCCGCACAAAAAGGCATGGGGGGTGGGCTTGTATGGTTTTCATGCGCCAACAGAGTTGCTTAGAACTATGTGGTAGTGAAGTAGCTGGAAGAGGCGATGTAGGGGCTCCCCATAGAGTGGTTCCCTACTTTCCCAGCAGGTAAGAAAAAACGTCTCAAATTACAAAGACCAGGGAACTCCATACCTTTAACGATCCAGATATTGTGCTTCAATCCAGGGTTATCTTTCTCCTAAAAGAAAGGAGTTATACAGCAAAAGATTGAATTTCAGAAGTGAAATGTAGACCAATACCTCTGATTATTCTAAGCCATTCACCAAGACGAAGAAAACCAAGTCCAAAGGGCGCCTGATTTTTTTTTTCTTTCAAGTAAAGTCACCCTACCTGGCAGAACACTCTTAAAGCTTAGGTGCGAAAGCAATCACTTTATTTTTTGATTCCAACTACCACCAGATTTCTCGGGCTGTGTGCGTATTCAAACACAGGCTCAACCCACGCATCTTCGACCTCCTTCTGCTCGCGCAAAAACAGCCATCTATCCGTGACAATGATCGACTCAGCCACCCCAGCGCTAAACGCCATCAGTGTCCAAGAAATACTAAGTTTCTTCTTAGCATGATGGTATCTCTCAGCATATCCGTTTAATGTATCGTCGGAAATACCAGCGAGCTTTTCTTGAATCGATTCGCCATAGTGGGGGTCGCGAATCAGCTTGGCTATAGCGGCGTGCGCGTACGCGGGGAAGGAGGTGAAGGCGGCTTTTCTTAAGGATCCAACAATAAGAGCAGTTCCTGGAGTATCACACATATCTGAAGTGGAATCCTGTACCGACCCAGGAACCGAAACAACTTCAAAATCAACGAGGATACGCTGTAACAATGCACGGTAGAAGTGACGTGTGAAGAACGCATCGCTTTCTTCAGGGCCCCAGTTATACGGGGCTTGGACAGCCATCATCCTAGACGTGATATTAAGACGGATCCCATTCCCGGTGTCGTAGGAGTATTGTTCCATATGCTTTGACATAGGGAAGCCATGCGGATCGTATGCTTTGGAAGTCTTCTCGAGACGGGGATGGAGAGAACGCAGAACAGGAAGCTTGTAAGTCATTGGGCCAAGACGTTCAGTCATGAGATTGTAGCAACAGCCGACCATAGCGATGGCGACAACAGACGGGTTCATTACCAAAGAACGAATCCCATGGTGCACTAGGTTCCCGCAAGAGTGGAGAGAGACTACCATTACGCGTGAGGAAGAAATGGATGGCGATGATCCATTTTCTGACAGATCTGCGTCTCCCGTAGTCTGCATAATGGCTGGCCCTTGGATATCATCTCCAGCTATGGGCTCTGAAGGTTCAATTATATGCCGAATTATGGGCTCAAGGTATCCATCTTGAATCTCGTGCTCAACATAATGTACACAACCATTAAGAGGCTGCCCGCATGCTTGGCTGTCCGGCAAAGCACTGGTTTCCTTAACAATATCGACGATAGTCGTCATCTCTTCTTGGAAATCTCCTGTGGCAGCGGTGGCCAATTCCGTGTCCAGGTCCGGTTCATTCCGGCTGCCATTTAGCCTAGCCTTATGCTCTTTCTTATTTCTCATGACAATAACCTTCTTCGCCAGCTTCGCTTGAACATCCTTCCCCCTCGCACTCACGATATTATTCTGTCTCCGCTCGACAGCAATTATATCTTTGTTGTAAGGCGAGCTGGCCAGTGTTCTTCCTAGATAGTTCAAGCCAGATCCAAAATCGACAATGTGAGAGATGGCCTCGCCCCTGGTCTTACTGATATCTTCTGTCAGCGAAGCAACGTAGCGAGAGAAATGTTCAACTTCGTGTCTTTTTTTAGGCTTCATTCCGACAGCAATACTACGCGGCAGCGACTCAGGTAGTCGTCCATCCTTTGTTGTAAATTGACGCCTCAAAGAATGTCGTCGAATATCGTGGATGTATTCCACTAAACTTGGAGGCGGCTTGGGCCCATTTTGCCAGGTGTGTACTATTTCTGCATCGTCGTGCGAATTACCACGGAGCTGCGTAATATCCTCTCTCAAGAGAAGATCGAGAATATTGCCAATATCATGCTGATCAAAGAAATCGCGCCAATCGGGGGGAACAACAGTAGTGTAAAGATCAGGTTGCCGCGTTAAGAAATCAAGAATATGAACGCCTCCGCAGAGATTAGACCACAGTACAGAAGACGTAGCAAATGACAGAAGAGAAGTCACATAGCTGTCTGCATCGTCCCATTCATCTGCGAGTGGGAGTGGCTTCTCAGGCATCACTCAAACAAAACCTGCGGGCGGGAGAGAGCGCAGGTTAACATCAGAGCTCGCAAAAAAAAAAAAGGAAATCAGCACAGCTTTCAGTGGGATCTGGGTATTAATCGAGGGCAAGTTGCATGCATTGGCTATAGTAATGAGGGCCGATGGAAATTTGTCCAGTTCGCCAAGATATTGATGCCAAGCCGGCACGTCGCCGGTGAAAGTATTCCGTCGGAGTAGCTAACTTACGGAGTTCGGAAGTCATGCTAGGAAGAAAACGAACTGCGAAGCGTCCTCCATATTCATGGGAAGTCAGGTAAAACGCAAGATCTGCATTCGTCTCGGAATTGCCTCCGTGCGGCGGTATAAGCATTCGATGGCCAACAGCTTTGTCTGCGTAAGATTCACAAGAGTAGACATCTGGCGTGCGCGGTGGAGAACTCAACCCTTTAAACGGAATTCAGTCCAGAAACACAGTGTATACGGAGTATATGGGTGTCGAAAGCACAGTCATCTATGTAAATGGGGGAGACGTACGGAGTACGGAGTAAGCTAGTCAACTTAATATGGTTTGATAGCGTCGGATGCGGCTGAGCCGCAGCTAAAAGCGGCAACTCCAGGAACAGCCAGCATCGACACTCCGGCACCACAGTCAACAATGCGATAGCACCAGGATAGTCACCATAGACTAGCTCCATCAGAATCACACGTTCATAGACTACCTCCCTCTATACGAGCTACCAACATGGATTCCAACGGCACCGACCCCTTTCTCCAAGTTCAAACGTACGTACCTATCGCCAGAACACCTCCATCCCAGCTAACCCAACAACTATATCCAGCGACCTCCTCGCCGCGCTCAACAACACCCGGCCGCTCTTCTCCTCGTACCAACGCATCCGCTCCCTCGCCACCAGCGCCAACAACCCCGAACTGCTGCAAGCGCGCGAGGAACTCGAAGCCACGCTGCACGAGCTCAACGCCGACCTCGAGGACCTCGTCGACAGCGTGCGCGCCATCGAAAATGACCCGTACCGCTTCGGTATCGAGCTGGACGAGATCGAGCGCCGCCGCCGGCTCGTCGAGGACGTTGGCAGCGAAATCGGTGAGATGCGCGACGCCCTGCAGAAGACGACAAGGCGGGCTTCCAATACTAATAACAGCAACAACAACGTCGGTGCCGCTGGTGGAAAGCACGGTCACTCGGCGCTGCCGAACCCGGCGGATTTCGACAATGTGCATGGGGATGAGGAGGATGGTGGGGACCACGATGACGACTATTACGCGGAGATGGAGCACCAGCGCCAGCTGGAGTTGATGCAGGAGCAGGACGAGCAGCTGGACGGGGTGTTCCAGACGGTAGGCAACTTGCGGCAGCAGGCTAGTGATATGGGGCGGGAGCTGGAGGAGCAGGCAGTGATTCTGGACGACGTGGATACGCTGGCGGACCGGGTGGGCGGGAAGCTGCAGAGCGGAGTGAGGAGGGTAGGGCATATTATCAAGCGGAATGAAGGTATAAAGACATCCTTTCTGTCCAGGAGAAATTTTTTTGTTTTTTTTTTTTTTTTCGCTAACGGTTTGGCGCGCAAGATACGATGTCGAGCTGTTGCATCGCGGTGTTGATTATGGTGTTGATTTTGCTGCTGATTCTGGTCATCGTGCTATGAACTTGACACCTCCTGTGGCTAGGTCTAGCCCGACAACCTACGGGCTTACCCACATGTCACTCTAGCCTTGCCGATTGAACCTCCTCACCGCGGCCTACACTACACCACATCCTTTAACAAGAAACGGCCAATGCCGGCCCCAAGCCCAGGAGATAACGTAGGCAGCGCTGGCGTTTGCCCCATGATACGACGAGATACCCATCTTCAAAAGTTTCACGAAACCCAAGAAATTGGTATGCCTTCCTTTAATACATACACCCACACCCTTGCAACTCCAGATATTAACTTCTAGATAGCCTAGTCTTTGAGCGGTAGGCAGTACGCCGGGATTTCATACATTTGAGTATGACGGCCCACACTATCTAGACAGCATACTACTTGTTACTAGAACTCCACGGACCTTCCGTGGACATCAATATATAGAGGCTCGAAATTGAAGAACCAATTTCATCGAAGAAACCCCACGAGTGAAAAAAACCATTCCTCATTATTATAAGTATTACTGTACGGAGTATAAGTCAAAAAAAAAAAAAAAGGCAAAATTTGTGTCATAGTTATAGGAAATCAAGACCATGCTTTTTGCTGCGCCAACCCCTTATTAGTTATCCACGACCGCACGGCAATTTTTTCACAGTAAAAGGAAAGGGTTAGAGAAAGGAATAGGACAAGTAAGACGAGGGAAAAGCTCTTTTGTGTCACCTCGTTCACCAGGTATTCCCTACCCCTTTTCCGCCTTGCCCGTCGCTGCACCACGCGTAAAAAACAACCCAAATTCGAGAGGATATTTTAAACAAAAACAAAATAGAACGGAATATCGACGGATATATTGCAAAAGAAAAAGAGTTCAAAGCAAGTGGATCACGCCTTGACCTTTTTGCGAGGCCGTTCCTCCTCAGCAGATTCATCGTCGTCGTGGCCCTCACCGGCATTGCCATTGCCCTCCTCCTCGTCGTCCTCGAGGTCCTCAAGGTCGATATCGGAGTCGAAATCGGGAATAACATCATATGACTGGACTTGAAGGGGAGTGAGCTTTTTTCCTACTCGCGGCAAATATCATTATATCTGACTTACCATAATACTTCAGCGCATTGGGCCAAAGATCCTCACCCAGCGACACGGCCAGCGACTCTCCATCGGGGAAAATCTCCGCCTCCTCCAGCGTATCCTCCTCGACATCATCGTCATCCTCGTCGTCGTCCTCATACTCCTCCTCGCCACGAACGATCCGGGCCCAGCGCTCGTCGTCCTCGGCCACGAACCGCGCCGAGTCCTGCGCCGACACATCGCGCCCGCGGTATCCAAACCAGGCAAAGAAACTGAGACCCGCGGGGCTGTTCTCGCCGTCGATGTCGTCGTCGTCGGCCTCGCCCTCGTTGGCCACCTCGGCCTCCTCGATCTTCGCGACCTGCGCCACCAGCGCCTCGTACTCCTTGAGCCCGAGCCGGTCCTCGTTCGACACCTTGGCCTTGCCGGCCTTCTGCACCAGCGCCTTCTCCGCATCGGCCAGGTCGCAGGCGGCGTCCAGCAGGCCGTCGGTCGGATCCATGCCGGGCTTCCAGCGGATCCGCACGGGCTCGGACACCAGGCCTTCCCAGACGCGGGTCTTGCCGCCGACCGTCTTGGTGACCTCCTTGCGCCAGTGGAACTCCTTCACCAGCTTCTCGTCTTCAAACCAGAGGTTGTTCTCGCCGGCGTCGAACTCGAACGTGAAGCGCACCGTGCGCGGCTCGCCCTGGCCGTGCTCGTCGACCTCGAAGCGGTCGAGCGTGATGTTCTTGAGGCACGCGCTGATGATCTGCGCGTCGGCCGGCCGCACGTACTCGTCGATGTCCGCCGGCGAGTTGGCAAACACCCGCGGCCAGAAGTCGACGTGCTGCAGCTTGGACGCCACGAGGGCGTTGCGCCGCGCGTACAGTGGCCGCATCGCCGGCACGGCTTCGCGGACTGCGGAGGCTCATGGATTAGTTCGCTGTAAGGGGGTTTTTAATATGGGTGGGCGGGGCGAGACTCACGCATGCGCACCTCGGCATCGAGGAACTCGCGCTCCAGCAGGGCGATGTCGCGCTGGGCTTCCTTGGGTACGGTGGGAAGCTCGGGCATCTCGACGCGCTCGAGGAGAGGGATCTGTTCCGAGTCGGAGGACATGGTGAGACGGGCGAAGCTCAATTAAGGCGGAAGTGAAAAAGAGAAAAGGAAAAAATTGTCCCTCGAGCAGCTCGAAGATGGATGAACAAAGAAGGAAGAAAAGCGAAGGAAAGGAAAAAAAAAAATCTTCGAAGATGAGGTTGGAGCTGCTCTAGTTTGATCGGCAAGGAAGCTTGGTTTGCGCTTTAAAGCTTTTTGCCGGCGCCGCGGTGCCGCTTTAAGCTGGCGAGTCACAACCTCGCAATATCATATAATCTCGGGGGACGCGGAGGAGAGAGCAAGCAGAGGGGAAAAGTTATTATTTAACCAGAGAGCTAGCTGCCAATGCCAGCCGGAGAGTATATGCAGCCTATTGAAAACTTTTGTCTTTTGCTAAATAGCCCTCCCCGCAAAATCAGTCAAATCAAGGAGTGAAGTCCTTCCAGATGTTCCCAATTACATGCTTTTCCTTTTCTGCTGTTTCCCAGAGCCAAAACATCCAACAAAAGAAAAGAAAAGAAAAAAAGAGGAGAAAGTTTCTAGAAGAGCATATAGCGATAAATCCCTGTGCTTCGCTTGGCTTATTGAAGAAAAAAAATATATATATACGGAGTATAGCAAGCTCAATTTCGGGAGGGCTTGGGATTAAGGGGGAGGGGGGTCATACGTATGTATGCATGTGCCGTACGCGCAATGCTCCCAGAGGTCGATCCTGTAGTAGTTAACTACGGAGTAGTTAGCGCATTTTGCCGTTAAACATTCTGTTTTTTTTAGGTCCTGGCATCATTTCGTCGTCGGGTGGTAGTCTCATTTTTAAATTATTAGCATTATAATTTCGATTTCTTCACAATCCTTGCGCCCAATTCATGGTTTTATTAATTTTTTTTTGTTTTTACAGCATCCAGTCGAGGCCATTGGCCTCCTCTTCAACGGGGAAGACTTCGCGGGCGTACTCCTCGAGGCTGCGCCAGCCCTCCCACAGCTCGCGGGCCTCGTCGACCAGCGGCAGGGCGACGACGCCGTACTCGTCGGGCTCGCGCGTGGCGGCCGTCTTGGACAGGGGCCGGTGGAACTCGGGGTTGGGGAAGAAGGGGGCGTTCATCTGGCCGAAGAGCACCTCGATGCCCTCGAGCTGGGCGCGGTAGCCGGCGGGCACGGAGACGCGGATGTCGATCTTGTCGACGTGCACGTAGGTGCAGGGGCGGTCGAGGGCGCGAGAGAAGGCGGCGCAGACCTGGCGCGGGGTCAGGGTCTCGAAGGCGAGGGCGATCCTGAAAAAAAAAAAAAAAAGATTAAGGGTATGTTCGTGAGATATATGGAGCGAGAAGGGAGTACTCCGTACCGATGGCCGTTCCACTTCTTGGGCCCGTCCTTGAAGATCTGCAGCACGGACGGGCCGACGTCGTGCTCGGCGTCAAGCCAGGGCAGCGGCAGGTCGGGGTGGAAAGGGGCGCGCCACTCGAAGGAGCCGTCGGGGCGCAGGTCCATGCAGAAGAGCGGGTAGGGCAGGGAGGTGAAGTTGTTGTTGTAGATGCCGGCGAAGACAAAGGTGGCGGGCAGGGCGAGCTGGCGCACGTAGTTCTCGACGGCAAACTTGGCGCTCCAGAGCGGCAGGCTGGGCCAGCGGGGGTCGTAGACGGAGTGGTCGGGCATGGCGCTGTAGACGAAGTGGGTGACGGAGCCGGCGCGTTTGGCGGCGTCGGCGAGGGCGCGGCCGATGGCGACCTCGTCGCCGGCCTGCGAGGTGGTGTTGATGAAGGCGAGGTGGGCGCCGTCGAAGAGCGCGGCGAGCAGCGGCGGGTTGTCGAGCAGCGGGCCGGTGAGCAGGGTGACGCCGGGCAGGGTCTGCAGCTCGCGGGCGATGAGGCCGTCGAGCGAGTGGATCTGGGCGCGCACGCGGTAGCCGACGGCGGCGGCGACGCGCACCAGCGAGGCAGCCTGGCGGCCGGCGGCGTTGACGACGGCGATGGTCTTGCAGAGCGTCATGGGGGGAGTTATATGGCGGGGGCGCGAGCCGGGCGGCGGGCCGGGGGGGCGGGGGGCGGCATCCAGCAGCAGAGGGCGCGGGAGAGGCCGGGTCGGGGGGGGGGGGGGGGTGAGTGAGGCGAGGGAGGGTGAGGATGAGGTTGTTCGGGTCGCGGGGGGCAGCGAGGAGAGCAGGAGAGCAAGGCGGTGGCCGTCTCGATCGGGCTGATAACGGGGCGGCGGCTGCGGGCGGCGCGTCCGATTGGCGCAGATAGCGGCGGACCGCGGGGGCTGAGTCAGCGCGTGAGTCAGCCAGCCCTAGCCTCCAGTCTCGGTCGCCAGCCCTAGCCCTAGCCCTGTCACCCCGCTGCCCTAAGCCCGTGCCCTAGCCCTAGCCCTAGCCATATAACTGTGGGCCGTACGCTAACATACCCGATAGCCGCCCACCTCTTACCGCAGCGGCTTTAGCTCAGTTGGGAGAGCGTTAGACTGAAGCGCGTCTTCAGCCTGCAATCTAAAGGTCGCCTGTTCGATCCAGGCAAGCCGCAGCATTTCTTTTTGATATATTTATTGTATTGTATGTACCATTCTTTTTTTTTTATTCATACAGAACTAATCTATCTCTCCTTTTTGTCTACCTCTTCCTCCCCGTCGGCCTTCACGCCCGCCAGCGCCCACACGGCCGGCCGGCGGCGCGCGTGCAGCTCGGCCACACCCATCTCGTCGGCGTGCAGGTGGGCGCCCGCCGCGCGCAGCAGCCGGACGTGCTCGGCCATCCCGGCATTGGCGGCCAGGAACAGCGGCGTGCGGCCGGCGAGGTTGCGGCGGTGCACCGAGCCGCCGCGCTGCAGGCACAGGCGCAGCAGGCTGCTGTTGTCGGCGGTCGCGGCGAGGTGCTGTAGTATCAGAGAGAGACGTTAGCAGATATATATATAAAGACCGGGATATGAATCCGTACCACCGGCGTGTTGCCCGAGTAGTCGGCGTCGTCCAGGATCCAGTCGTGCGCCAGGCGCAGGATGTCGGCGACCCGCGGCTCGTCGCCGTGGGCGATAGCGTAGCCTAGAGCAGCCAGCGTGGCCAGGCGGTCGGGCAGGGCGTTGGCGCTGGCGCTGGCATCGGGGTGGCGGAACAGCGGCAGCGGCGGCGGCTCGGTCAGCTCGCCACGCAGGGCCACGGCCATGTCGCGGGCGACAGCGGCGGGCGAGGCGTCAGGGCGGCCCAGCAGGAAGGCCAGCTTGGTGAGCGCGGCCTCGCTGGTCATGTCCAGGCCGGCCACGACGCCGGCGCGCGACAGCGTCATGCCGGGCGCGTACACGGGGCTGACGCTGCCCGAGAGGCCTGCATGTGTCAGTGGATATTAGAGAGGATAGATGTTCAGATACGCACACTGCGTGACGCTGACGATGACCAGCCCGCGGCGGATGGCGGCGGCCAGGGCCTTGGTCAGGGCGTCGTCGGGCCCGCCCGGCGCGTTGCCGGCGCCAAAGGTCTCGAGCACCAGGCCGCGCAGGCCCGGCAGCCGCAGCACGGCGTCGACCATGGCCGGCTGGATGCCCGGGAAGATGCGCAGACACGCGACGTGCGACGTGTCCAGCAGCGTCTGCACGCTGCAGTGCCGCAGCGACGTCGGCCGCTGCACCAGGTCCCAGCGCACGCGCGTGCCCAGCGCCGTCGTGACGGCCAGCGGCGCGCAGTTGGGCGACGCAAACGCCGCGAAGTCGCACGCCGCCACCTTGGTCGCGCGCGTGCCGCGGAACAGCGTGCTGTTGAAGTACAGACTGACCTCGGGGATGGCGAAGCGGCCGGCCACCACCAGCGCGCCCAGCAGGTTGGCCGCGGCGTCGCTCTGCAGCGCCAGCATGGGCGCCTGCGCGCCCGTCAGCACCACGGGCTTGCCCAGCGCGTCGAACATGAAGCTCAGCGCGGCCGCCGTGTACGCCAGGCTGTCGGTGCCGTGCAGCACCACGAAGCCGTCGAACCGCGTGTAGTTCCAGCTGACCGTGCGTGCGATCTGCGCCCACCCGTCCGCCGAGATCGAGCTGCTGTCCACCAGCTCCGCGAACTCCAGCACCGCGAACCGCACGCTCCCCGCCGCGCTGCTGTCGCCCGCCGCCGTGCGCAGCGTCGCGTGCTGCTCGCGCGTGCCCGCGCTGTCCACCACCACGTCCACCGGCGCCGGGTCTGAGCCGTCGTTGAACGTCGGCGACGGCCGCAGCGCCGCGTCCAGGAACCCGCGCGCCGGCACCAGCCCCGCCGCCGACGGCCGCATGCAGATCGTGCCGCCCGTCATGATGACGAGCACCCGCGACTCCGGGAGCGTCTGGTCTGGTGGCGGTTCATGGTCGGGTGAGGAGGGCTCGTGGGCTGGCTGTGTCGGCGTGGTCGTCGTGTCGGCCGTGCTGGCCGCCGGGCCCAGGTCGTGAGGCATGGCCGAGACGCGCCGGGAAGGAGGAGGAGGAGGAGGAGGAGGAGGAGAGGCTGTACGTCGGTAACCTATGCTCGATGGAGTCCTCAAGCGACGTGGTATCACGTCGTCCGGCGGGTCTCGCCCGCCTGGAATGCGGACTGCGGGTATCTATCTCACTAGCCGTAGTGAGGTCTGTCGCAAAGCCAGAGGAAAGAGAAACAACAGGAGATAACTAGCCACAGAGTCAAAGACGCCTCGACAATGTCTTCGTTGTAGTGTGCGGGCTGGCGATATCAGTGCGGCGGGGTCGGCTCGGCGGTGCGCTCGGCGTTGGGAGTCTGTCTGTGGGCGCCAAAAATAGCCGCGCCCCAGGGGCGGCCTGGAAGTGCCGAAGTATATTGAACCAACGATTATTATTATTATTATTATTATTCTAGCACACCAGCCAGGCACGGCGTTGGGGGTGTCTGCCGTGACGGTGGGGGAGTATTATCATCGGTGTTAAGGCTCTTGTCACCGTGTTCTAATTATATCGTTGCTGTCACGGTGGAAAGCTGCTGGTCATGAATGCCCCCTGTACTCCGTATCTCGTTCTTATACTAACCCAACAGCTACTCTGCACAGGCCATTCATTGGCTTCCTAACTACGTATCCAAACTGCTATAGATCTCTCGGGATATTATCATTTTATTCAGGGGAACTCACTCCCAAGGCTAAATTCATTATTAAGGACTGATACCTTTTACGAGAAGGCCGTTCCATATCACTAACTAGTTATCCTCTTCCCACCGCCCCCTTTTCGATTGTCGTATTTCCATATTTCACCACCGCAGCCCTAACTAAAACCCACACCACCTCCCTTAAAGAGCCCGGTTAACACTCCAGGTAAGAGCATACGGCTGCGGCACATTCTTCGTCGCGATGCGATACACCCGCACCGTGATCTTGACCTCGCCGGCCGGGATGTTCTTCCACTGCACCTGCTCGACGTTGTTCGCCCGGTCGAAGCCCTCGCCCTCGCCCATGTTTCCGTGGCGCTCCTTGCCGTCCGACGCCGTGACGATGAGGTCCAGGTCGTTCTGCAGCGTCGCGCCGGGCGGGTCCGACCACACCAGCGTCACCTTCAGCGTGTTACTGTTGTCGCTGCTGCTCTTGCCCGCCGGCGCGGGGATCTGGATCGTCGTGACGTTGTCCGCGGCTCCCTTCGCCATGGACTTTTCTTCGTAGCCCGCGAGTTTGTCGTCCTTCAACACAACCGAGTTCTTGAGGTTGACGCGGCCGAATCCCGAGCTGGGGTTGGGCGAAGGCCCGGCTTCGGACGGCACGTATTGGCCTGGGAGTTCGACGGCGCCGTTGATGAGCATCGCCTTGATGAGGGCGGCGCTCGGCGTCTTGTTGCCGTTCTTAACGATGCTTTCGCGCAGCACGGCGACGGCTCCAGCCACGAGGGGCGTGGCCATGCTGGTGCCGGCACAGAACCAGAAGTTGGGGTCCGTGCTGTCGCCGAAGCGGTTGCCTGGGTTAAGGAGTTTGCGGGAGCGGGTGGAGAGGATGCCGGTGCCGGGGGCGACGACGTCTGGCTTAATCCGGCCTTCCTTGGTAGGGCCTCGACTGCTGAAAGCGGCCATGCCATTTGGATGGTCGGCCATCAGGTCACTGCCCAGGGGAGAAGGATAGCGAGGGCCGTATTTCACAGGCAGGTTCGGGCGGTTATTTTCGCTCGCGCCTACGGTGATGCAGTTTTTGGCGGCCGCTTGCGAGCCAATCTGTTTTTCATCAACAGTGCCGTCGCGGTTCAAATCCTTTCCGTCGTTGCCGGCGGCGAAGAGGATCACCATGTCAGGGTGCTCATAGACAAATTTGTCAATTTCGGTGCTGCTGGTGTCGTATGGCAGCTGGGAGGAAGACGTGGATCCCCAGGAGTTGGTGTGGATTTTGGCGCCATCTTTCTCGTACGGCTGGACGAAGAGGCTTGTCAGGTCATCAGGGATGCCTCCAAGGCCTCCGCGAGCGTCCAAGAGCGACTGGACGACGAGCGAAGATTTCACGGCAACACCTCGAACTCGGCCTCCCATAGTCTTGGACTGCCCGTCTCCGAGGACAGATCCGCAGACGTGGGTGCCATGGCCATCAGGGTCGTCAGACTTCGCCCGTCCCAGCGGGTAGAGGCTCTTGACGCGACCAGTAAAGGCGTGGTGCACGTCCTGGGTGTTGCCGTTGTCGAAACCAGTGTCACCAACCGCAACAACCTGGCCCTCACCTTCATAGGCGGTGCCATTCAGATTAACTTCGCCTTTGATGATGTCAACGGCTACAGTGTTGAACAGCCTTGCCGGGTGCACCTTTTGGATTAGCCGGACTTGGTCAAGCGCAGCTAGTTCCTCGAGATACTGTTCTTGGACAGAAAGTCTAACTTTATGGTTGCCGATTTTGAGCCCCTCGGGGTCCACTCGAGCAGCGGTTGCAATGGCCGTCTTGAGATCCGCCGCCTGCGTGTCGACATCTTTGTGGAATTGCAGGTCCACCTCGTGGAGGTGGCTGGTCTGACGGGCTTTTGGCAGCGACAAGCTATGAGTCGTTTGCGGAGCCAATTTCAAGCTAGGCTGGATGACGAAGGTGTCCAGATACACATTGGCCCAGTCAACGAAGTCGAGAGCTCTCAGCTGCTCCAGGTCGCTGTTCTTGTAGCCACACAGGTAGGTGTTCTCTGAGACGTATTCGTGGATGACGGCGCCCAATTTCTCGAGCTGGTCCTCCTGCGCATCAGAGAGGGGAGTAGAGGCTTGAATGAGGATATAGTCAGACTTGGAGGCATCCTCGGACTCTAGATTGAGGGCTCTGAGGACGGGGGCCTGCTGCTCAGGGTCGAGCTCATTGCCATTGATAGAGATGACAGGCATGGTCACAGATCAGTAATCAGGGTGTAGGATAGAGAGTATCTATGAAATCTGAGTTGAAAATAAGGACTGTAGATTCTCGAGAGGAGGGAGGGGACAGCTGGGGCTTTTTATTCAGCAGCAGCCATGGGCCCATCACGCGGGGCGGACAGGCGAAGAGGAGGGAGCAGCCGGTGATCTGTAGAGCGGGAAAGATGACCTCGCTGGCAAAAGAGGGGTCGCGAAACCCAGCAGCTTCGCTTATCATGGCTGGATGGCTGGAAGCACATCCATCAACGCCCGCTGGCATCTCATTTGGCCACGATGGTGCGAAGCAGCGACCATGGCGGCGCGCGCGAGCGGGGGGAGGGGAGAGCTCTCGACCTTGGACGGGCAAGCTCCAGCGCCATGTTCATGCACGCAACTCGCTTCAAGTTGCTGGCCACACTCGTTCGCCCGGCAGGCCGGGGAAACGGGTCATCGTGAGCTGGCGCTGGTTGGCTGGCGGTCGCGTTATCAACTCGCTCCAGGGGGGTTCAGCAGCAATCGGGCAGACGGACAGGACAGCCCAGCAAACGGCACCAGCAGCAGCAGCAGCACCAGCAGCAATGGCGGGGCACACGCTGGGTTTTGCTTTGTCCGTAGCTAGCGAACAAAGTATTTTTCTTGGGGGCAGCGCCTCTGATGTCGGTATGCTGTGTATATACGAGGGAGCTGGTGCTCCGGCACAGCTTGGCCCCAGCCCTATGGGGGTGGATGGGCGTCGCTGGCCGTCTCGAGTCGGGTCCCAGCAAGCGAACACGGGACAAAAGGCTAAAAGGTGTAGCTGCTCCGTGGTTATGTATAGAATTTCAAGGCGCACTGCACGCGATATGATATTAACCATAATAACCCTCGCTGGAGGACGCAAGGCTGGCCAGGGAGGGGGGCTGGGCCGGGGCGATCGTGAAGGTTGGAGAGAGTTAACTCTCGAGTTAAAAGACTAAAAGACCAAAAAACTAAAAGACTCAAGGTTTGTCTGGGTGTTTGACTTTCTCGTCAGATGATAAGATTTGCGGTGCAGCATGATATCGCAAACCAAGCAGCAGGCCGCTGCAGCAGATGCAGAAACAGCTAACTAACTCACTAACTAATCAGCATTGCGAGTGCAGAAGGTGACTGATATCACATCCCTCCCTCCCGGTTTGAATAGAAACACGATATACCCCGGGATCCTGCGCTGGTGGCAAGGCCTGCTCAGCCCTCAGGCGGGCTTGCGTGCGGGCTTACCTGGCCCTTTTTCTGTATGCCGCGTCCCTCGACCCCGTCGGTAATGACGATAATGATAATTTTAATCACGGATGGATTTGCCTCTCTTCCTGCCGACGCGGTGGTGGCCGGCTGGGCCTCCGTTTCATGCTGGCTAAGCGCCCGCCGCATCGCGGGCTGATTGGCCGGCCGCGACGTTTTTGTTAAATTATCCAGGGCCGCCGGCGCGGACGGGCTCTTCAATGCCCCCGCCAGCGATCGCCCGAATCCGCTTATAATAAGAACGATGCAGTTTCACGGCCAAACAACCCAGCGCCGCGCCGGGCATTAACTGGGCCCAGCACGCGCAAAACACCCGATCCATGCCACCATGCCTTGCCTGACGGCCTGCCACCATCCAGAAGGTTTTTGTCGCATGAGACAGACCAGTACGGGAGCGCCATGTGAACTTCCCCCCCCCCCCCCCCTCCCCGGTGCCCGTTGCGATGATGCCTGCGCTGGCCCTGGCCCAAATATAGCTCGTCCGCGCCGGGATGCAGCGGGCGCTTGAGAACTCGTTCGACCGTACAGCATCACCGTCGCCATTCGCTGCCCGTTGCTGCGTTCGTCATTTCGCTGTGCGCCCCGCGAAACAGGCCGGTCCTGGCGGTGCTGCCTTCCCCTTGGCCACTCTGAGCGGCTCTCGCTGGGCGTTTCACCGCCGCTGCCATCTTATTTCCTGCGCCCGCTTCTTCTTCTTCTTCTTCCTCTTCTTCTTCTTCGCTGCGTCCCTCTCTTCTTCGCTTCGTCAGTCCCTCGTTTGTCTTCTTCTTCTTCTTCTCGAAGCCGGCTTTGTCTCTCTTTTCTCTCCTTCTCCAGCTGCTTCACAGGGTTCCTCACCGAGACCTCTTTCGCTCCTTAGCATTAGCACTTGAGTGCGCCCGTCCGCCTCAGGCTGTGTGTGCGCCCTCGTTTCTTCCTTCAGCAGCTCCATTTCAAGCTGGGCTTGGTTCTCATTCTCTCCTCTTCTTCTTGGCTGTGGCTCCGGACGCCAGAGCTCTTCTGCTGCCGTGCTGTCTGCGTCGTGCGTGCCTGTGCCTGTGTGTGCGCAGCCAGCATCATCAGCTTCCGCCTGTGAAAGACAGTGGCGTTGACGTGCGCTGTCACTCTTTGACCTCGCGATATCCCTTCTCTCTCAACGGCTGCTAGCCTCCACCTCCCGATTTGGCAACCGTTGCCTCACGTGCCCGTCTGTCCGGTTGCTGGGGGAGCATTTCTGCATCTCCCGCTCAACGTCGCGGCATCTTCCCTCTCTCTTCTTCTTCCCCTTCCCCGCCATTACTCTTTGTTGTTTCCCCGGCCTTCTCGCCGTAGCTCGTCATCTCTCCACTACCTTACCGACTCTCCTCGTCTGGCTTCTTTTGATACTGGCCTCCTGTTCTCTGGCCTGAGCTTTCAGCTTCTCCTTGAGGTGACCAGCTAGCTGTGAGCAAGCGCTCTGGCTTGTGGCTCTCAAGACAGCAGTTGTTTGCCAGCCATTCAAGGTATGTTCCATTTTCTGTCTGGCATACTTTATTTGCACCTGTGCCCCTTGTTTTGGTGCTTGTTTGCCTCTGTGCTTCTCCTTCGCGTGCTTGTTCTGGGCCCATTTCCCTGTTTATCATCTTTACTCTCCCGGCTGAGGGTTTCGCTCCCAACTTGGCCCGTCACTTTTGGCGGTGCCCTGCACTCTAAAGTCAAACTTTCGCTCCCATCTTTCACGTCACTTCAAACCCTACCTACAATCCCAAGCTGCACTTCGTTCCCAACTTTACTGCCCATTTTTTCCCCCCTCCTCTGCTACTTTCTAGTATGGCTTTTCTCTACATATCATATCCACTACTCCTTCTATCCCCAGCATCTTTACTTCACATCCGCTAACTGCTCCCTTCCAGCTTCTTCAATTATTTCTTACTCATTTTTTCTCCTGCAAAAGTTTTCGAAGTCAACTCGTGTTTCAAAATGAAGCTCGACGTGCCCAAATTCATGGCTATGATAGCCGTGGTTCTCACCATGGTTGCTCCTGTCTTGGGATTCTGGAGACTTCCTTGCCGTGGAGTCCTTGGTGTAGCCCGCATGGACCCTATCTTCGAACCTGGCAGGCCCTCCCCCCATGCGCACTCTATTGTTGGAGGTGGGAGTAAGTAGCAATCTATCCATCCTTTATTTATGAAATTGCATCACGCATCCATTTCCCCCCCTACTAATACTGATACTTTCTTTAGACTTTGCCTTGAATACCAGTAGTGAGGATTTACTAGGCTCATCCTGCACTTCCTGTGAGGTTGCCCAAGATAAATCCGCTTACTGGACCCCCAGCTTGTATTTTATTCACGAATCTGGCAAGGCTGAGTTGGTGGATCAGACTGGTGGAATGCTTATGTGAGTATCTTGCGATTATACGAAAGAGATTCCCTATCTTCTGACAATTGTTGCAGCTATTACCTCCCCCGTGGCCCTAACGTTCTGGCATTTCCCAGGGGCCTTCGTATGGTCGCCGGTGATAACTATCAACGAAACTTCACCATCTCGGATGGCGATCGCCCGAAGTCTTCCTGGACCAAAGAGGACAAATCCCAGCTTGCACTGGGTCAGAGGGCCCTCGGTTTTAACTGCCTGAACTACAAAGCCCAACCCGAACCATCTCTGTTCCGTCACGCTCTCCCCGACCGACGTATGCTTGATGAAAAGTGCCTTGATGGTCTTCGTACGGAAATAGTTTTCCCTTCATGCTGGAATGGAAAAGACCTCGATTCTCCTGACCATAAATCCCATGTTGCCTATCCAGACCTTGTTGACAACGGTGTTTGCCCCGAAGGGTTTGACAAACGCATCGTGATGCTGATGTATGAAACCATCTGGAATACCAATGCGTTCAAAGGTCTACCTGGCGAATTCGTTTTCTCAAATGGAGACCCAACTGGATATGGCTACCATGGTGATTTCATTGAAGGATGGCAGGAAACTGTTCTTCAAAATGCCATCGATCAATGCACCAACCTTTCAGGAAGAGTTGAAGATTGTCCTCTTTTCAAACTCCAGAGTGAAGATGACCAACGCAAGTGCAAGCTTGTCAAGCCTGCTGCCCTGGGCGGCGAATTGTATAGCCTCACAAATGGTGGTTTACCTGGTAATGTTCCTATTATGAGAGGCCCAGGTTACGCAATGCCTGAAGGTACACCTTCAGAAGGTACCCCTTCAGCACCCGAAAAGGTTTCTTCTTCTTCTCCTCCTACTATCTCCAGCCCCAAGGTCAAGTTACCGTTGCCTAGCATGCCTGTACCTTCAATCCCTGAGGCACCTGTCTCTTCGAAACCTGAGGCCCCAGTCCTGTCGAAACCTGAGGTCCCAGCCCTTTCGAAGCCTGAGACAACAGCTATGTTTAGTTCTAAGACTACGGTTCCCCAGCCTATAGTCACACCACCACCTGAAACAAAGAGCAAAGAAGCTGACAGTAAAAGTAATGGAGCAGAGGTGCCATATGCCACCTCATATTCCACTGATGGACCCGTGGTATATGAGATTGTTTATGTCCGCAAGATCGTTACCGAAACCGTCACTGCAACGGCGACGCAGCTCGCAAAGCGTCACGAGAAGCACAATGCAGTCATTGGAAGGTTCTTCCGCCACCGCCATGGTCGAAGCTTCAACAAGGCATAATAACGAGACAGCGAATTTAAGGAGGTGATCATGTGGCCTTTTACTTCTCCCCTTTTCTTCTTCTTCTTCTTCTTCTCTTCTTCTGCTTCTTGCCTTTATATTATTATTTGTACTTTGCTACGTTGCCCATTGATTTTCTGATCTGACATGCCCCGGTGCTGTGATCATATTAAAAAAATTTTAAGGAAGGAAGGGGGGCGTGGTTTACTCTATGCGGATTGTGCTTTTTGATTTTTACAGTCTGAATTTTATCAGCAACTAGTCTCGAGGCTTATTATGAGATACGAATGAAATGTGAGCTTTCCAGCTGCGATTTTATTGTTTCATATTGAGGAGTGGTTGAAGTGCAGCGATTACCACGTCCTTATAAACACAGTGATTATATACATTTTCCCCCATCAACGATCATATCAGTGCCGTTTATGAAGGCGCCTTCGTCAGAGGCAAGATATAGACACATATTTGCTACATCGTTGGGATCGGTAAGCCTACCCAGAGGAACATTGGCGACAAATTTCGCCCTGTTCTCGGGAGTGTCGGGAACTCCGACGAACATTTCGAAGAGACCAGTGCCTGAGAGAAGAGGGCAGACATTATTGACGCGGATCAGATGTGGGCCGTACTCGGCAGCAAGACCCTTTGTGGCCTGAGTCACGGAGCTAGGTCAGCATAGTTGCCCATACGGCGCAACAATTGGAAATCTCACATTCGACACCGCTCCCTTGGAAGCATTATACCACACCAATCCCGGCCGCGGCCTCTGGGCTCCCGTGGAGGAGATATTGATCATCGACCCACCTTTCCCTTGCTCAATCAACCGGGGAATGAAGGTCTGCGAGGCCAGAAAGATGCTCTTCACGTTGACATCGAAGACGCGCTGGAACTCGTCCACGGTGACCTCGGCCGTGGGCTTGTTGCGGTACGTGGTGCCGGCGTTGTTGACCAGGATGTCGACGTGGCCGTGGGCCTGGACCGCGGTGGCGATGATGGACTCCCAGTCCGGCCGCGAGGACACGTCCATCTTCTGGAAGGCGATGCATGAAGGGTGTTGCGAGGCCACGGCCTCGCCGGCGGCGGTGTTGATGTCGCCGATGATGACTTGGGCGCCCTCCTGCGCGTAGCGGAGGGCGATGGCGGCTCCGAAGCCAGAGCCACCGCCTGGGGTTGGTGTCAGCTGTTGTTGTTTTGGGATGAGAGGATGGTGAGGGGACAATGATGGGCGTACCGGTGACAATGGCGACTTTGCCTGCTAGACGGGAGCCTGTGGTGGTCATTGCTGCAGAAGCTCCTGAAGTCGATGGAATATCTAGATCTGAAGAGGTGGGTTGGGGTGGAGGGTGTATTTCAACCGGGACTGGAAGACTGCGGGGCCAGCAACAGCTCGACTGCTACCACTTCAACAGCAACGTATAGGACTTGTGTCAGTGTACTACCGTCGTCCAGCTCCCGCCAGAGACGAGTGGACGAGGCGCAACAGAGCTCGCCCTCGCCGAGAGACGCCGAATTCGGCCATCGAGCAGCCGCAACACGGCAATTCGGCAGCCCGAGCGAGCTTCCCCAACGCGCGGGGAAATGCCCGTCGGGGAAATCGGCGCGCTTCGAGCGATGGGCCAATCAGCGGCATCGAGTGGATTATGTAATGTCATTTTCTAGTGCAAACTTTTAATACTTTTGGTCTAGCTAAATTAGGGCTTAGCGCAGGGGCCGTGTGGAGATGACGTAACTATGCCGTCAGTGTTGAAGAAAAGAAGGACAAAAGACAAATCTTTGTTATGGCTTTTGACTTTAACTGCTCGCTTTCAATGGCTCTTCGCTCGAAACCTGCACCGGCTGTGAATTGACAAATTTTGAGATTCGCGCATTGGGGAACCATTTCTCTTCCGGAATAACCCAATACGAGATCAGAGCCAGGACAGTCACGCCGGATAAAATTATGGGCGCATCTGCAAAAAAAAAAAAAAGGAATCAGCATGCAACTCGCCTGTTAGAATATCCAAGGCGTGCCTAGTAAATAACTTACAGTTCAAATTTTGTCCTGTGACAGGAAATTGATAGGGTGAAAACAGGATGGCAACGACCCAAGCATTCCAGAAAATTCCAATGATTTGAAAGGGTCGACTGAGTCGACCCAGGCTCCACCGTGGCTTTGGGAACTTTTCCGCTGTGAGGAATACTCGGCCCAGGCAGATCAAACCATAGGCGGCTGCTGAGGGCACACCAGCTGCGGAGACGAGTGAAGTAAAGGCCACCGTGGATGGGAGGATAGTGCACGTCACGAGCGCAGCAACTCCCCAGACAACGAGAATAGCGTTATACGGCTGTCCGCTAGGCGACACCCGGGAAACCCAGCCTGAAAATGGGAGTACACCATCACGAGCCACGGCGAAGACCAGTCGAGACGCGGCCACTATGGCAATAGTAGTGTTCTGTTGTCTGGTTAGCAATAGAGGGCGGCATTATTGACAAGGAGTACCGCAAACTCACAAACCAATAAGCTATGACGCATATGACGTTCATGACTATATGTGCTCGCTTGCCAAGAACAATGGCATATAGGGGCACAAAGGGTTGCGGAGAACCAAAGGAAAATAGGGTTTCAGGGTCAGGCTAACTGCTCTGTCAATGCTGGATCCAAGAATTTAATAATAATAAAAGTTTGGGTCGGTATAGCACTCACGGCACAGAATAGGAAAAGTACGATCGTGAGCCCCGCCCCCAGCCCGCTCACAATGGTGCTCCAAAAGATACCCCTGGCTGCGGTCAGTGAAGCATTTTTCGTCTCTTCTGCAACATGGCCCGACGCATCAAAGCCAATCAGAATACCCGCAGTCGCTAGGAATGAGAGACACCAGTTCCAGCCCGCTGGTGCGCCAGTGCCATTATATGTCTCCAAGAATGCTTGTTGGGCAGTACGAAACCCCCATGTATTATGAGCGCCAATGGGCAGCCATATGACGTTGAGAATGAAGTCCAGCAACACGAATGATGAAGATAGATAGAAAATCCATCTAAAATATTTTGCTGTGATAATCAAAAATATTAATATAGCAGGATCCTGGGATTCAACAGGCGGTAAACGTACGTGGAAGAAAATTAACTATAGCAGCTAGTGCAAGCAAGATTTCAGTGCAAATCCACTGTACTGCTCGAAATTTGATGCTCTCCACGTTTTTGGGGAAGTTGACATTGAAAACGGTCAATTCCTATATGACTTCTATTAGCCTGTATCTCCTTTCATAGTGGAAATATACGCACAGCGAGCATATAGTTGACAGCAGATTGAGTGTTGCCTATAGTACGAAGTACTGTGTTAGAAAATAGTGACTATTGAAACTAGGAGGTACTAGGATTGTCTAGAATGCCTCACTTGCACAAAATGTCGTCCACGCAGTGGTACTCCACCACGCTACAACAAAGCCCAGTAGACGACCATATCTGGGCCCGCCGGCTTCAGCGGCCCAGAGGTATATAGAACCCGCAGATGGAAGAGCTGAGCATATTTCTGCAATCACTGCAGCTGTAATAAACGTGAATACTGCCGTGATTAAATAATTTATCCTGAACAAAGCATTTCTGTTGAGTTCTATGCTGAAAGTTTGAAGGGCACAATATCAACAATTGGGAAAAAAACTGACCAATAAGCCAGGTTACCACCGGCAGCAATTCCAGTGCTGAACGTAACCCTTACTCCGCCAACAAAATAGAGGGCAGCTTTTCGTAGATATCAGTTACTGTCTGCCGGTATCCATAGACCTGAGGTTCGAGGAAAACTTACAAAAAGTTGTTGAAAAGCTTTCCAGTAACGTGTACGTTCGATGAAGAACCTAAAAAGGGCAAGTCCATAGTGTCAGACACACCTTCACATGGCTTCAAAATGGTATTGTTCTGTTTGCCACGCTACAGAAAGCAGACATACTGGTTTATATCCAAGAGATTCCTATAGCTATTGTTAGCCGAGCTGATAACCAAACATTTACATTCAATCTATAACAGCAAGAGAGATGCTGGTTATGCGCAAAGGGATCACTAAAAACGTACAAGGAGAGCATCGTCAGACCCGATCTCGCTTTGGTCTGAGCTTCCAATATCCCGGTTCGGCTCTGCAGTAGTGGTGGAGACTGTTTCTCTGACCTTGGGGGCCATCTTAGGAAGAGTGGCGGAAGGATACGGGAGTAGGATTCTTATGAAACGTGCATAGTCCGGTATCTATCAACGTCTAATGTACTCTGTATGTATGTAGTTCGATCCAGCTGCGAGGGAAATGACTTGAAAACACCCTCGGCTTAAGTCTAATAGCTATTCGTATCAAGCACCACGTGGAGCTGATGGGTTTTTTCTCTCTCTTTTTTTTTTTCCTTTGAGTAGCAACGGCCGCGATTCTTTGGGCGGGTGGGCAGGGACCCATGGTGAAAAAAGCCAAATCCAGAGAATTGTTGAAAAGGCTATCTATCGCTAGTTGTCCAGAAGTCAAAACCTCTTGCCAACTCGAACAAAAGACAAGAAAGTTATACTTCTTCAACTCACCGGGTTGTTTGAAAAGAGAGTCGCCAAATTTCTCTCACTATTGTCGCGTTAAATCAACTACCGCGATCACCTGCATATTTTTTGATGAAACAGAAAACAAAATAAAATAAAAGAAGAATGCTCCGCATAAACGCTCGTATTTCTACGACGATCTCGGATGATGTGCTCTCGGTTGGTCAAAGCGCTGCGTCAACTTTCACAAATCTCCAATCGGTTTCGATTTGCCGATGAGCGACAAGAAGTGTAATGAAGCTTAACAGGGGGGGTTTGATTACTTTGACATCCCTGCTTTTCACTCAACCATGTTAAACTGCAGAAGGGTAGCATCCAAAAGATGTAGAGGTAATAATGATATTCTCCAAAGCCACTCGTCCAAAGATTGGACACAATTCGTGTTGTTGGAATTCCCAAAATATTATTCATTCCTGCTGTTATCGTAGAGTTGAACGTAAGAAGTTGGACAAAATGTAGCTGAGACGCAAAATCCAATGTCAAACCATAAAAAAAACCGAGTGCTTCAGCAAGTATCGTGTCGTGCCAGGAGATCGCGCATAAGGATAGGCCAGTATCATCAGGGCAACAAATCAGAAAAAGAAGTAAATCAAAAGAGTCAGGATACAAAAAGCCACCCATATTCCAGTTTCCAAGCAAAAAAAAATGAAACCAGAAGAAACCAATGAGATAAAAGATGCCAGTATAGCCATATGTCAGTGGATATCATATGAAGAACTGAACGCTCCAAGAAATGAACAAGAAATCAACAATTTCGCTTGTTGGGTCTCAAAGAATCAAAGAATAGACAAAAAAAGGTTTTGGGCAACAGTATACAATTAGTCATTAAGATATTTTCGTTCTGATCATCGACCCGAGGCCGGTAAGCGCCTTGCTCCCTGCCTGACTCATATTTCCCCCTTTATCCTGAAACCATTTCATACTTTTTGATGGTGAATGTTTATGCTTCTTTGCTGAAGACTTCTTCTCCTGTTCAAGATCATGTTCTTCTGGAACAGCGAAAGTTGATGCTCTCGGTAAAGCAAGACTCGTCGTAGAATTCAATCTGCCGTCACGAAACTTGCCATCTGGATTTCTACCCATAAATATCGGACTGCCAGAAGGTCGGCGCTGGGTCGCAGGGTCGTCAAAAGTCTGTGCACGGCTGTAACGTTGGGCTAAGCCCTTGAAAGAAGTAGTATCAAATGGTGATAAGCTGAGCTTGCTAGAATTGCTGATACCACTCTTTATTGAATATGCCTTTTCACGGGAGTGTGAACTTCTAGGAGGTGTTAGGTCGACGTTATGGAGTGTACGGCTTGACACAGGAGCGCGAAGGCCAGTAGGATAAGGAGATATCGAGACGTCGGGTGATGGCATTAAACTGTATCCGAATTTTTTCTTCGGTTCTGGGGCCGGTAAACGGGGAGCAGCGCTGGATAATGTTGATGGTTGTGGTAATGGCGTTGAGTCGATGCTAAGTTTCTGTCCACGGGAGGCTATTCTTTTTGTAAATCCTGATGACCTCGACAAACCTTTAGAACTTTCGTCTTTAGCTTCTTGTGGAGACATAGGACTATTTTGGCTTTGACTTGAATATCGAGAGGATGTGTTGCTAACACGGTTGGAAAACCACGAGTCTCTTTCCACAGGGTCACGTTCGGGAGGGGGTTCTGGCTCAGACTCTGGCGGTTTTTGAGTCGCTTCGGCGCCCTTCCAGTTGGGAACAGAAAAGGAGGGTGTTGGTACGATGGACGATTCTGACGAATTTGGAAGCTGTATAAAGTATGAACCCCTCCGTTTGTCCTGCTTCGTTGTCATTAGACGCGAAAGCCTAGTTCTCACACTCGTTGTGGTTCGGGTGGTATTCGTAGAGAGGCGTCTCGATGGGGCCAGGTCAAGAGGCGCTGGGCGTTTCTTTTGCTGCTCAGCGACATGAGGGGTGGGGGAAGTCGACGGGGCGGACGGGGTCGCGGAAGGTCCAACAGATATAAGATTGGGCTTGCTGTTAGGAACATGATATGCAACAGAGGTCGCGATGAGGAAGCGAGTTTCAGGCCCTAATTCCTCATCTGAGGAGAATACATCAGAGCACATCGATTTGCGAATAGGGCTTGCAGTGTCCGTTTCCACCAGCATCGACGAAAAAAAGTGGGTATTTTGAAACGAAGGTGACTCTCGATAGGGGCCGTATGATTTTCGAAACTGCTTTTCATTATCTTCTAGTCGAGATTTGGGAGCCATAAGGGTCAAGCAGCTGCCGCGTTTGGCATTATTATTGCAAATAGGGGTTTTTGGTGCCTCTGGGCCGGGGGAGGGGCTCGGCATTCTGAAGGTGAAATCGGTTTGCGGAGAATTTGCGGGTGATACGAAGGCGCGCTGGTCAGAGTCTCCTCCACATGTGTCGCTGCCCACCGGCGAGTAGAGTTGATCGTCGAGGCTCGGCGCATCAGCCTCCGAAATCTCTTCCTCATCCGATTCGTACCTCTGAGGCATTTGCTGATGCGGGATGCTGTGCATCTTCAGCGCAGACATCACGTCGTCGAGCCTCTCTTGGCTGTTAAATGCGCTTATTGATCCTGTAATGGGCTCCATAGAGTGTAAACTGTCTTTGCAGCCGTGAAGTATAAAATTACCGAGTGTTCTCGAAGGCGGCAGCGGGTGAGGATACAACCATGCCTAGTTTAGCAGTCCTTAATTTCCGCCTTGTCTTAGCACAATAAACGGCATCACAGCATGTAAAATCAACGTAGTAGTAAGTAGCAAGGGGGGTTCGGCGTTGAGGTGCGAGTGGTGTAGAGGAGCAGGGCGTGGTATGGGGGCCACCAGGCAAGCTCGACGCGACGGGAACCGTTTGCTTTAAAAGAGCGAAACAAGGCCATAGGCCGCAAAGGACAGTAGTAATAGTTTTCAGGAGTAAGTAACGAAAAGCCGCGAGCAGATTCCAGAACTCACAAATTAGCACGGAGCCGTTGATTCAGGAAGTGTCAGGGATCCTAGACAGGCCCCAAAGCTCGTAGACCCTGGCTCCGCTGATTACCGAGAGCTGGGTTCAAATGACATCTTGAAGAGAGACTGAAGGAGCTCTGTTGCATCCACCGAAAGGAATCGATGGGGCCCTCAAACATCTGGGCAGAGGGGAAAAGTGGGAGCGAGCTGGGTCTGATCCCGCCGGGTGGGCAAACAACAGATGTAACTAACTCCCGCAACTCAAAGGGCAGCACAGACGTGTAAGTATGTATGTACTCCGTATGTCCGTACGGTACATACGGACGACAGGATGCTTGGGCCCTTTCCCAAGCTTCTGGCTGCAGGTCCTTTTTTCCTTTGCTGCTGTCCGTGGCAACAAACCTTGGGTGCTCTTGGATGATGTCTGAGACTCCCAGCGGCACGCCCTCGCGATTGGGCCACGACGGCCAGCCGGGCAGCGAGCAGACGCCATGTGTGCCAACGACGCAGGGGGGCGTGACTCGCGCGCGCGGCCGCTCGCCGTCTCACGCAGCAGCGGCGGGTGCGAAGGCAGTGGACGTGACGGGCTGCGTAGAGCTGTGGAGCCGCGGCCCAGCGGGATGCAAACTGGGTTTTTCTCCCCGGACGGCCAAGCAGAGTCGATCGCCTGATCAGCCAGGGATCCTGGGCTGGTGCAGAAAGAAGGCCACTCACTCACCACTCGTTAATAGCTGAGCAGCCGCGTTGGTGTTGGAGCGGGTGCTGTGCGGAGTGTGCGTGTTATTCGTCTGTAGCACACCCAGCCCTTTCAGTCGCCGGATCGAAGCGATGTCGTCTGCCTTGGCGCAATTACTCGGAGACGGCGAGCACCATGCTGTCCTACGGTGGGCGTGTGCCGTTTGGTCGAAGATCGGCTCAGTTGCTGCATGCGACGTGTCTCCAGCCCAGCACGCAATCATCCCAGACTGCCCATCTTTTGTCTGGGTGCCTTGCAGGCGCATCACTCTGTCCTCCATCAAAAAATAGCCGATCGTCAAAGAGCACGGCCATAATAAGCCTCAATATGGCGGCGGGGGGCTCGTATCGAGACCCTGGGTCGCAACGGGCCCAGCTGACTCTTGGAGGCAAAAGAATAAGAACCGTAGCTAAAAAATGCTGGTGATGGACACCATCCTAAACGCAGAGCCCCATCGAGGGCGATTATTTAGCTCGCTTGCCCTCACATCCAGGCGCCAGCCGACGTGAATGTTTGGTAGCTTGCCACGCCGGGCCCCAGCCAGGCTCGCTTTTCCCCTTTGGAAAACGTCAAACCCTGGGCCAGACGCGGACCGTTTGGCCTTGAGATACCCCTCAAAAGTACTCGACGGCGGCCTTCAAGAACTATGTACCCCCTCCTGTTTCACGGCAGCAGCCCGCGCGAATGGCGGGAAACGGATGCCTATGCTGACAGCCTGAACTGGCCGGCCTTTTTGGTCAGGCTCTTTTCTTCGGTTCTGTCTTTCCTTTTTAGTGGAGAGGGGACGCTGGATTGCCCTTCTCGGTCCGTAAATCTCGCTCTTCAGCTAGAATGGGAGTGGTGCGACGGATCCCGTATGACCCCCGGGGCCGGGTTGAGCTCTTGAAGACCGCAGGCAGGCCAGATTCGTATACCGGTGTCTTCACGGGGAAGATCTCATAGCCTTGCCTCTCATGCCGGATGTCCAGGGAATTCTCAGTCTCGAAGTGTCAGAGGTATAGTGGAAGACAGACGGGACTTCCAGTCGCCACCGATAACGGTGAAGGAATGGGTGACCATACCAGCTCGCCGGTGGCAAAAGGAACCCCCTACTGTTTCACGAACCCAGGTATCTGCTGATAGAATGCCGGAACCGCTGGAGATAGGCGCGTCTCGCCCGACTTCAACGGTTGCGGGCCGGCTTTGTTCGGAGGTGGCTTGTCGGTTGGAGTCCGATCTTTTTCTCCTGATGAATAGGATACACAAGGGCTGCATATGCCTGAAGCCCAGATGATAGCACCAGCTATTATGGCCCTGGTGCCGGCGCCCTGTCTTGCATTAAAACGCTTGTTGACTGAATGCAGGTTTCAGCGCCGCTGTGTTACCAACGGCGTTGGACTTGATCGCCTCTGGAGATGGACAGCTTTGGATGAAAGCATTGCGAGATGCATCAAGCTGCACAGCCTTCTTCTTTATGAAGCTGCAGGGAAAACCAAATCCCCAGGAAAGAAAAGAAAATTCTAGCGGGACATTGCAAAGAAAGCAATAATGACGATTGCAGCAGGGCGTGCATGCAACCATAGCAGTCTATCCATATTCTCTCGCAGCTGCTGACTTAAAAACTGACTCTCATATCTTAATCTAGACAGAATACCCTGAGAGAACTCACAATCATGCTGCTAATATTAGTCTGCCAGCTTTCAACTGCAGCTACCCGTGATGTCCCTGCGGGTATAAATTCATCCCTTCGTTACACACCATAAGTGCAAGCACCATCACTACGGAGTACTCTCCATGCAATCTGCAGGGCACCTGCATATGTATAGGAGAGGGGAAAACTATACTTAAGTGCATATGTGTGCCTAGCCATTGGGTGTTGAGTGCTACAATTGGGCCTAAAAACTCCCCTTCCAAACAACGCAGTTTCTTCCTGTCACTCCATTATGCTCTTCCACAGTCCCGCAATTATAGGACTTATATCACTCTACTATGGAGTCAAGACTATGGCTAGACCGCAACCATCTCAACATCTACAGAAGTCGCTATCTGTCATTTCACCCTCAGCTAGTAGTCTGGACACTCCATAACACACACTGCAGACGCTTTGTTAGTGGCACTCTAGTCTTGCATTATTGATACCCTGATGCAGAAAGATCTCTCAATAATGCAAACTTCTATCCTGATCCGCCCAGTTCTAGCATCTATATATATGATTTTTTTTTATTCAATAACTATTCAGAATCATTTTTGCTTCTGCTAGAAATATGCTTTTGCTCTGTCTATCCAGCTCTATAGTGGCTCATTTTAGGTCAGAATAACGCCTGCCTTTGAATCATGTAAATGATATCAATGGATCCGACTTCCACTATAGCATGCATTTCTTTAATTCTGCCCATGCATCTTCATCTGTTTCTCTTTATCAAAGACATAAGTCTCTGAACGAAGTATCATCAAGTTCATGCTGCTTCATGGTAAGTTTATCTATAGGAATTCAGTCTAGATCTCCGACTGATGTCCAGTGGCTCATCCATCAACTCTCCAGGTAAAAACGTAATATATCCAGAAGCAACACAGCACAACATGAAGCTTGATATGATATTTCTTCTTATCTTCACAGCATCTGCCATAGCATTTGCTAGTCCTACACCAACAAAAGACATCAAGGAGACTTTCTCAAAAAGCAGATTACATAGTTCTTTCCCAGTGTCAAGTATGTCTACCCCCCTCTTTTCCCCGGTTTAAGATACTGACAGCAATCAGTTTCGAAAAGGTGGTGCCGGCGAGTTGGTCTAATATGCTAAAAGAAAGGTTCATGGCTGTTACCAAGTGCCTCAAGGATATCGTAACCTCGCGGACGACTATTTATCTGGACCGAGGATACAACTTATACTGGGCGCCTTCATGCTGTGGACCTCCCTGTCTTCCTTTTTGACACTACGCTTTTATTATCTCTTTTTCTTATGTACGCAATTGAATACGTTGGGCTCTCGTCGTGTGGTTGGTTTGTTGTTGGGTTCGATGTCGTGTTTCCCACATTCCATGACCTAGCCGTGTGCGCTGCCTACTTCCTATCCTGGGGAGTAGCAAGATTTCCTGTCAGTCTGAGAAAAAGATGTACCAAGGTATGGAGATTTCTTCCTAGAGATTTGATTTATATGATCTTTGGAGTACTACTGGATATTACCCCAAAGTCCATAAATGTTGATTATTATATTATCCGAAGATTTTTCTATTCCACAGACATCATCAATTAAAAGTTACACCCAAGGAACCACATAGGAGACGTGAAATGCAAAAATAAGTCTAGGGTAAGAAATGCTGTTATAAGACAGGGTAATGGAAGAAATATAAAAGGAAGACTGTTAAGACATATTGGCACGAAGATCAGAAAAGTGAAAAAGAGTATATGCTGGAAGCAGTGATCATTCGGGGAAAGGACGTCCCTGCTGCTGGAAGAGAAGAAGGAAAGAAGGAGAAGTCAGGTAGAAATATGTATGCCATAGCAATATCGATGTCGTATTACAAAGAATGTGCGTTAGAGGAAAACGCCAACCTGTCATTGACTGGCGAACTGCACCAAGGAATCAACCCTCTCTCATTGAGTATAGAAAAGAAGAGAAAATCCAATTACTCCATACTGTGGGAGGAGAAAAATGGATGCTCCCCAGTGTTTCATGAATTGAATCTGTCGTGACAGTGTCACATCTCTATTCTTCAAAGCCCCGGGTGCTTTGCTTTTTTTTCTCTCGGCCAACTAGCTGCGCAAAAAATAATCTATCAGGATTGTGGGAGCGCCGTGCTTCCTAAAAGCCCCCCCACCCAAAATAAGGAACCGAAATCACTCCTTTTACCAAATTTTATGTGTTGTTTTGTTCTTTCTTAGGACGACGGACGAAATTGAGTTAAGGGCAGGGATGAAAACGGAGTTTAAGCCTTGCGCGAACGTGTGACTGGTCCATTGGTTCTTGCGGAGGAGGTAGCCGTTCCGTTCGTTTGGATGCTTCCATTTGTGGTTCCGTTCGTTGGTGCGGGAGAGCCATTCGCCTTGGCCTGCACTGCTACAGAAGGAATTTCGAGGTTCTTCATTGCAATTGCAGCTTCTTTGCCAGTGTTGCGGCGAGGGCGGCCGCCCTTTCCGGTTTTCTTGTATGTAGCAAAATAGAATGAAATGAAGAGAACGAGGTAGGAACTCAAGATAATGAGGCCTGAAAATGCAGCAAATTCTTCTCCGGCACAATTGCCAACATTGGGCATGTATGGGAAGTAGGTAGAGGTGAAGTAAGTGTAGGAGGCAAAGTAAACGAAGCCTAAATTGTTGTCAGATGATTGTGAAGGTCAAAGCGGGATACTTGATGGTTGCACATACCAAGGTCAATAACGAATTGGGCGATTTGGAGACGAGTAATCCATTGTTTCCACCAAACGCGCACGCCACGAGCGCTCTGGAAGTAGTACCAGTACATCACAACATGGACCATCAAGTTCAGGGTGATGGGAACCCATGAGACAGCCGTTAGTCCAATAAGCTGAGTATAGCATAAGAGGGCCGTGGCGCCATGGTGATAGGTGTGCAGGAAGGTAAGCGGTTTCTTTTTCAAGACGAGGAACACGGTATCAAGCAGCTCAATGTACTTGGTAATATAATTCAACTGCAACATCTTAGTAAAAAGCGCCAATTTCACGCCTCTCGCGAAGAAAAACCTTAGAGCAGGAAGCGAGGGGTCAACATACATAGTAAAGAACCACAAGCGGTTTCGTCCATCCCCCACGGTGGTCACAGATTGTGAAAAAGACACCATGCCTCCACAGAGTCGGCAAGAGCTGTTCGATAAAAAGTGCTAGCAAGAAGCCACTGGCAATAGTCAAAAAAAAGTTGTGGGCCATAAACAAGCCATTCAACTTCATTGCGGGGCGGCTGCGCATCAACTCGCGGCCACCGAAAATGATGGTATAGTATGATAATAAGGCAATCGTAGTCTCTCGGATCGTCGACATTGGGGTCACGCCCTGGGAAAACTCGAAGTCAAGCGGAGGGTATCCGAGGACGGTCGTATAGACCTTCTCGAAGATGGGCCATACCTCGATGCCAAACGGGCGATCGAGGGTCGGTAGAGGGACGGACTTGAGCAGGTCGAGAGACATAATGATATGGGGACGTACTGCCGCTACTGAGAAGAGAGCGAGACGGCTGGTTTTATAATGCCGCGGTGCTAAGGGAGCGCGATGTTCTTGGGGGGATGATCGAGTAGGATGCGGTGGTAATGGGTGGCAGTGGGAAGGAGGCAGCAGCAGGGAGGGAGAGAACGGCTGGAGGCGAAGCAGAGGCAGCAGGGGGGGATGCAATGGGGTCTATATTATTAAACAATCTAAGTATGAAAAGGCGCAGGGCAGCGGTGCTTGGGAGAAAGGAAGACGAGTCGACAAGCTGCGATGAAATGGCGAAGAACAAGATATTATTTTTCTGGCAGGATTACGGCATAATTAGATACGGTAAACATTGGCGTCGTTTCTGCCGCGCGGATCGGTCAGCAGAGCGTGCTGATTGGCCGGCGCCGGTGCGCAGCCGCAAAAAAGGGGAACGCATTACGTGCGCAATACGCGGTATTACCGAGCGCATGTGATTTGGGCCTGCGAGCGGCCGGCGGGAGGACGAAGAGAGCACAGCAGCGAGCGGACGGGCGAGCAGCAAGCCAGCAGCGGGCAGACGACCATGGGAGAGAGCTCGAGGATCGCCGGCGGGAGGGCTGGCCGGCACCCATGGGCGACGCAGCCTAGACACCGTCAACCGCCCGCAAACCCATGGCTCGCGGCCAGCAGCTTGGTCGAGGTCAAGCACGCTTCCTGGTTTGATATCCAGAGTATCCAAGGCCAGCAGCTCATGGTTCAGTATTTCCTATCAGCCCTACCGCTCTCTTGCACACAAGCTTCAGGAGTTAACTAGTTACCTAAGAGGCTGACGTGTGTTTCGAAACGGCTGACGCCCAAGCGAGCGACATTGCCACCTTGCTCACAGCACCAGCGTCCTCTACAGCCAGTGCGAGCTTTTGGCGATCGAACATCATAGCGATGCGCTGGCCAACATGGGGGCCAAACCGCTGGAGTTGGCATCAATCCGCCAAGTCGCTTTGCTCTGCCCTCTGCAGCATCTTCACAGCGGAAACAGGTCAAGCCTCGGACATACGGAGGACGGAGAACACGTTGCTATAGATAGAACACGCCTCACAAACTACATGTCTGGGCGCAGAGCACCGTTCAGAACGCCGCCCCAGATGAGATCCAGTAGTTCAATCCTTTCTGCGGCTGGGGGATGGCGCCCTTTGTTCAAGGGCTCCTCGAATCCGGCGCGCACCGGGGCCTTTGCTCGTGGGTGCCGGACAACGCCGGTGCGGGTAGGGCTGCCACCAAGAATGTCGATGCTGCGCCTAGGGCGGACAGCTCTCGCATTGCACGAGCACCGTAGAGAACACCGGGCCTCGAGCAGAACGGCCGGCCGTGGGCGCGGCCGTGGTGTTGTTGGCGGGATGGCGCGCAGGTTCGTGTTCCAAGCTTGTTAGCCACGGGCCAGCGCTCCGGAAAATCCCACCACTCACACCACTCAAAAATCTCAAACGTCACAGTCAGCAACCTCGCCGACCGCTCTGCTGCTCTATCGACTTCCCAGAAACCAGTCCGCCCTGGGAGCATTGACTCTACTGATCTGCTTTGTCTGCCTGTCCGTCGCTCATCGCCCGGAAGAATGTCGCCTGCTCTCCTCCTCCGCGCCGCTTCGCGCCGAACCCCTACGGCCTTCTTCAAGGCGTCCTACGGTGCCCGATCGAGGCTTCCAGCGGCCACTTCCGCCTCTACTCCTGCAATCGTTGCCCTTGGTGGTGCTAGTGGCTTCAGCTCGACAGCAAAGCGGTGCAGCGGTGCGCATGAGGAGGAAACCTTCGAACAATTCTCCGTCAGGTAGGGTTGTTGTGTTGTTCCAAGTTTCCCAACACCCAAAACATTCCCCTCGCGCACCTCTGCATTCTCGGGTGCGTGGAATGGGCGTGAAGTAAAGCTATTCTCGAGGCCGAAGAGGCTGTTCTATTTGAGAAATTGCGCTCTCCTGGAGAGAGAAGTGTGCTGATGGGCATGGTGTTTCAGATACGAGAAGGAATTCGACAGTGTTCAAGACGTCTTTGAACTCCAGGTTAGTAACCCAATTCTCGTTCTGCATGGCAGGCCGTGCCAATATGGGCGATGTCTTTCTAACCTGCGCGTGATCTGGTCAATTCAGCGAAATCTCAACAATGCCTTCGCTTACGATCTTGTTCCCTCCGTCGCCGTCATGACCGCCGCCCTCAAGGCTGCTAGACGAGTGAATGACTTCCCAACTGCCGTTAGAATCTTCGAAGGTCCGTTATCGAGCCTGTCCATTGCATTTGGAACTATATTTTGGTGGTTTATTCTGACTTTTTGCTCTTGAACCAAAAAGGTATCAAAGCCAAGGTTGAAAACAAGAGCCAATACGAGGCATATCTCGAAGAGCTTAAGCCTTTGCGAGAAGAGCTTGGTATCTCCCTTCAAGAAGAGATGTACCCTTCAGAGAGTAATTAAACAAATCATGGGATTCTCCAAACAGGTCAATCTTGAAATTTCGCCTGGGGCTGTAGCAGTACTTTTAGAAAGGTGTTTGTTAGGAGGATGGAAGGCTGTCAGGCCACTGGTGCTCTATTATACTACATGCTAAAATAGAAAGATGGAGGGGGGAGTGGTGAAATGTTCTCTTATTCTCTCTTTTATTCTTGGCATCCTGTAAACCAGAAAGTTGTGAGGCAGCCGATTGTTTACATATGTATTTCGCTTTCTCCATTCATGACCACAGCATTTGGATCAACCCGACCATACATGTACAAAATCTCCTAAAACGCAAAGTTGTCTTCGAAAGGCGCCTTACTATACATCACAGCCCCAGACCAAGGCTTGAACAACTAGACCGCCAAATATAGCTCCTTAAGAAAGGAATATGCATCTGCAAGTGGGAAATCAATTCCATAACTTGCACACCACAATGTACGCCCACAAATACATACAAATCATTCCCAAGGTAAAACAAGGAAAAAAGATACTTGTTATTCAACCAAAAAGTCCAATCTAACGCCGTGTTATGTAAATATCCATCTCTAAAACTCGTCCGTTAGCAATTAAATGAGCCATTAAAATACCATAATACACGCTTCTGACATTTGTGTCGGGGGAATTCGAGGGAAATAATGATATGAATGTGTTGCAGGAATATCCACAGTACATCGGCGCTATTTCTAGAAACAGTTAATGTCTCTGCCGCACAAGACGCGTATGGCCTGAGGGTTTATGGTCGATCAGCCGGTGCCGACATATTTAAACCAATTTGGACGACAGTCTTCGAGACGCAAGAATTCTTCGCCCGCGTAGAATTGTGCAGGAGTGCAGCCCTTGCATTTTGGAGAATTGGGACAATTGTAATAGGGGATATGGTTGTAGCCGATATCGCGGAACCTTAAAAGAGTATAGTGAGATACGGTCTTTTGAAAGGAGGTGGAATGCCCTTGGAAAACATACCAATGGATCTTATTTTTGTCTTCGAACAAACCTAAGCCTATTGAGTGTACTGGCGCATCACCCCATCGTTCATAGAAAAATCCACCAGCACGATCAAGGTGGTTGAAATATTCCTCATAGGCTTTTCCTCTGAAAAATGAGAGATCTCCGATCTCAAAATTCGACCAGAAATGACACGTAGAATAGCCATTAGCCTTTTGGTTATGAATGGGTCTCTGCTTGCCGTCCACCAGCCAGTTCATTGCATTGTTTGTATGGAGATATTCAGGGTGCGCGGCGATAAACTTCACCGTCTCCGGCCATAAGCTTTCAATACTTTCTGGAGAATCGTAGAGATTGATTGTGAAACCGTAGGTTTTATTGTTGTCCTGCATGTATCGGAATACATCATAATCAACATCGCAAAAGAAATGGACGTTCGGCTCGACGCGCCAATAATACTGCGCGTTTGCTAAAGCAGGATGTCTGTAAAACATGCCACTATTCCATCGACACATTTTGTTATATGAAATCTTGCCGCTATATTGAACGTTTTTCTCTTTCAGTAGATCGACGGATGCGCTATACAGGTCCATGCTTATCCAGTCAGGGGCGTCCCAGTGTTCCTTCGGTACTAATTCTGTCCAAGTCATCAGAAAGACAAATTTTGAAAAGTATTTCCACGAAAACTAAGCATACCATAATTGCACTTCGCTTTCGTTTCTGCCTGCGTGCGCTTTTTGAATTCATCCGAAAACGGTTGATCATTGAAAAAAGTCCAAGGGTAATTGAATTTACTATTCCAGGTTCTCTCTAATTCCTTCATCGTCATAATCAATTGGTCTAGCTCCTCGTTGCGGACGAGCGACAATAATGTCGCATTGATTCTCGAGGAGTTCGGGTTGTCTGGCGCATAGGCATCGCCGGTGGCCCTCCATAAATGCCCCTCTGGCTCACCGGTAGCTACAGTGATACAGAAATCAGCAAGAGAAAATAGCAGGGGGAAGCGGGGGGAGCGTACGGTCAGCGAGCGGATCGTGCTTCAACCCATTATCATATCGATCCACTAATTTGATGAGAGATCTGGGGGATTTGGAGAGGTTGTAAAAGAGGAAAAGGGTGAGAAGTATTCCACCAGCTAGAAGTATCCGGAGCGGCCTTGCAATCGCCATGGTGGAATTAGCTTCCCTTCATCGCAGACTGAATTAACTATGTATTAGTTGACTTCTCGAGCTTTTGGAGCTTTTCTTAACGAACTGTTATGCTTACATAAGCCGATCGAGATCAGGGGCGAACTGCAAACGCGTCAAGCAACGTCAGGAGAGAACACGGAGTACTCCGTACAAATTATGCTGTGGAGTGAAAGATGGCTGCAGCCCAGAGGATCGATGCTTTGCTGGCCGAGCTCATTTCAGTTGTTTCCAATATTCAAGATAGAGTAGGTCATAAGCCTTTTTGCTGTCATATACACAGTTGACTTAAAGAGTTTGCAGAATTCCACTCGTTTCAAGGGCTTAAAGCTCCAGTCTCAGACAATTCTGAAGGAAAGTTCTGCTGGTAGAGTGAATAAATTCGACGTTGCAAAGAGGCTTGATGGCTTGCAGGAAAAGTTTCAAGTTGTAGGGAATGACGCTTTGGCCGATGCTCTCTGCCCGCGACTAGTAGAGCTGGATGCAAAGAGATGCTACTGGGCGCCAGACGCTCTTTTTTTACTGCTCGAACTTTCAGATAAGCCAGCTACAAAGTCAAAAGCAGAGCGGGTGCTCCTATTAGACACGGTTTCCCCGCCGCCTCTCTTGACCTGGGCCGATATTGACCCCTTGGATACCGATGGAGACAACATATGGAAGGACATTGACTACGGTGTTGATTCATCTGATGACAATTTATCACTAGCATCAAGCGACATATCTATTCCACGTATTGTACCTCAATCCTCTAAAGTCCCACGTGACGAATTTATTCCCCAAGAAGACATTTTTTTGTCTGTGGAAGACGGACATTTAGTGTCATCTATAGAGAATGCCCAAGCTTGGAGATTCAAGTCGACTAACACGCGACCCATAAAAGATTCTATGATCCTCTTGACAGAATTGCAAATTATTCGAGAGCTAATATTCATGTTACAAGGCTTACCAAATTCCCTGTTCAAGACAGCAGGCGACGACATCACGGTGGATTCCAGTTTCTGCCTATCTCATACATCAAATGACGCTTTGTTCTCGATGCTGAGATCGTTTAGTTGTATCGGCGTCTGCATTTGGAGATTAAGGCGTTTCATTGCGCTCCCCGAACGTATACCTTTTATACAAACATTCCAAAGAGAGTTGGAGAGTTTGGTTTTTGCGTTCGATGCCTTCTTATCGGATATCCAGGCTCAATACTCGGCTGGGATGCAGTCAATATGTGTCAGTCTCGTCGAGCTATTACACAATATTCGAAAAGAAACGAAGCTTCATGTCGACCTAGCTAACCTTATTGTACAATTGGAAAAGGCCACAGAACAGAATGCGTTCCTGTGTATAGACCTGCTTTATGATTTGGTATGCACAAAACAAGCTATAGCTGAAGATGATGGATATAAAATTATTTCCAAGGTGTTTTTCAAATGTTTCAGAAGCTACATAGCGCCTATTCAACATTGGATGAAGACAGGATCTCTGGATGAATCTCCAGGGCTTTGCTTCATAAAAAGTTCGCACAATTTTCAAAACCTAAAATCTCTTTGGCATGAATGGTTCACCCTGGAAGAGGAGGCAGACCAGCTGGCTGGCCCGAAATTTCTTCGCTCAGTGGCGGGGAAAATATTGACTGCTGGAAAAAGCATGATATTCCTCCGTCACCTGGGTATTTCTCCGGAAAAACTCAATACGATCGAAGACTCTTCGATAGATTACGAAGCTATTTTCCAAATGGCTGATACATCACCTCTAATACCATTCTCGGGTCTGGTCGATCAGGCGCTTGAGCAAATGGTCAATGCCAATCATGCCATTGCTTCGTATGCTTTGCGAACGGAGCTCGACACTAAATGCGGGCTATGGCTTTCTATGCAAGCTTTGGATTATACATACTTGGGCAAAGATCTTGCTCTCCTGACTACAATTGACCACAGAGTGTTTGATCTGATTGACAAGGGAAGTCAATCATGGAACGATAGATTCTTATTAACTGAGCATTTCCAGCAAACCTTTGGAAATGTGCCTTGCGTGGATGTTAGCCGAGTTATCGCTCGATGTATAAAGGTGTCTCGTGATGAATTTGAGAAACATTGTCGCTCGGTTAAAATACTGAAGGCGTTATCTTTAGAATACGTCCTCCCGTGGCCTGTTGCTAACATTATTTCGAAGAAATCGATTTCAACTTATCAACGCGTTTCAATGCTCCTCATGCAAATCCGCCGGGCAAAATACGCCCTAGAAAAACGGTCTTCTAGTACAAGATATTTCAAACTTCAAGCATATTCAAAAGACCATATCCTTTCGTTTTCCATTAGATACCATTTCCTTTGGTTTATTAATATACTTTACTACCATTTCACCGAGCTTGTTATCTCTTCATCAAGTCGAGAAATGCGAAAGTCGATGGCTCTGGCTGAAGACGTAGATGGAATGATATCTGCTCACCAAAACTTCATGGAAGCGTTGGAAGAACAATGTCTATTATCGAAATCATTAACACCTATCTATCAAGCTGTTATATCAGTGCTTGATCTGTGCATGCAATTTTCCGACATGCAAGCAGCACGATATCTCGAATCCCAACACGCACATGCCAACCAATCGGCTACCTTTCTTCACTTACCTAGTCCTCGTTATCGCCGTCGACGCCGATTTGAGTCACAGGAAGACGACGAAGATTCAACTGAAGATGACAATGACGATGATGAAGACAGCGAAATACACCACCTGAATGAAGGTGTAATTGACGATGGGGATAACACATTTGTGTCTTTCATGGAGCTACCGTATAAAGAACGTTTACTCAACATGAAGACAAAATTCCAAAAATATTCCAGATTTATTGAAGCTGGGTTAAGAGGAATTGGAAGGACAAATAGCCAAAGTAGTTGGGAAATGTTGGCCGATCGGCTTCAATGGAGAGGAGACTACTGGGTATAACACCTCTCTTCTCAGTTTCAGATGAACGTAGAGGTTCCAAATATTCTCCCTAACTTCAGAACGAATACTGTAGAAAAATCGCGTCATTCCCAGTTTTAAGTAACTGTTGAGGTACTGATACAAATCACTCCATGCAACAAAGTATTTAGCTCTTACCAACTGACACAATTTCAAGAGAAAAAGCACAAAGTTGTGGGGCCTGAAAAGAGATGTCGAGATTAAGCTTTAGATCAAAGAAAATATAGCGAGCTAGACATTGCAACCGACTTAGCCAACCCATCTTCTCGCGCTATAGAATACCCTTCCCCATGGTCCAATGTCACCCCACTCAGTAGACAGAGCGTTTTCACCGGGAAACCAACTTCCCACGCCGTTGATAATGGTTCGTTCGGGATGAGGCATTAAAGCAAGGACCCTACCATCAGAACTCCTGACGCCAGCGATACCCTCTGGACTTCCGTTCGGATTGAACGGGTATCTCATGGTTGGCTGAAGTGTAGTGTTGTCGACATATCGGATTGGCGCCAGATTTTGCTTGCTTAAATCTTCTGCAGTCACGCCATTAACACTGGTAAACGAAGCCCGGCCTTCGCCATGGGCCACCGCAATAGGTAGAGAAGTTCCATCCATGCCATGCAGGAAGACGCTTGGAGAAGCTTTATCTGCATCAAATATTCGTACCATACACACACGGCCCTCATATTGCTCGCTTTCATTTCGCTCAAAACTAGGCCAGGTTTCGGCTCCTGGAATGAGGGACTTTAGGCGGCTGAGAAATTGACACCCATTGCATACACCAAGGGTAAATGTGTCGGGTCGCTCGAAAAAGGCCTTGAACTCCTCTCTTGTATTTTGGTGGAGGAGAACGGATTTCGCCCATCCCTGGCCTGCTCCAAGGACATCGCCATATGAAAACCCACCACATGCCGCAATACCAACAAATGAAGACAGAGATACTTGCCCAGAGAGAATATCTGTCATATGAACGTCTATAGCGGAGAAGCCAGCCATACTGAAAGCAAAAGCCATTTCAGCTTGGCTATTCACGCCCTGTTCGCGGAGAATGGCGACCTTTGGTTTCGCTGTAAACGGTGAGAACCGAGCGCTAATGCTACTCAGAAGTGGAATTGCAGGGTCTTTTGGATGAAAAGTAAGGTCATATGATAGGCCTGTATCATTATCATCCAAGATATTCTCGTATTCTTGCTCAGCCATAGCCGGATGGTCACGGATCTTCTGCATGTGGTACGATGTACTTGACCACGCCTGTTGTAGCTCTCCACGGGAATTGCGATAAATTAATGTTGCTCCATGATAAATGGCCATACTTTGTTTGGATTTCTCCGCCACACGTCCTATCCTGAATATTAAGCCTGGTGGAGGGCCACAAGTGGCGAAGCAGCTTCGGAATACACCCTCGTCCTTTTTGCGAACTTGGAATACGGCTCCCAGTTCCTCGTTGAATAAAGTCTCTAAGACGTCATTCACAGCTGTACTAGGACATATATCATCGAGCATTATTTGCACTCCGCATCTACCCGCAAACATCATCTCTGCTAAGGTGGTAAATAATCCACCATCCGAACGATCATGATACGCGAGGACAATTCCAGCCTCTTGGAGTTGCTGAGTAGCATCAAAAAAGTCTTTGAAGAGTTGAATATCATGAATATCAGGGCATTCATTGCCAACCTGGCCAAACACTTGAGCCAAAGCCGAGCCCCCTAGAGCCTTGCGCCCGGAAAGGTTCACAAATAAAAGAATAGTTTCCCCTACATCTTCGAAACTGCGAAGCGCAGGCGTCCAAGTATGTCGAATGTCGGAAACTGGGGCAAAAGACGATATGACAAGAGACAAAGGCGCAGTGACTTCACAGGCCTCCCCAGATGATTGGTCGTTCCATTTCATTTTCATAGACATTGAGTCCTTTCCAACTGGGATGCTAATTCCAAGTTTTGGGCAAAGCTCCATTCCAATAGCTTCCACAGCTTCATACAGAGCGGCACCCTCACCAACATGGCTTGCAGCAGACATCCAATTCGCGGAAAGCTTGACACGGCGTAATCGATCGGGAATATCCGCGGCTGCAATATTCAGAAGAGATTCTGCCACAGCCATTCTTGCAGATGCGGCAGGGGAAATGAGTGCAAGCGTGGGCTTTTCTCCCATAGCCATGGCCTCGCCTGTCCGCATACCAGCTAGGAGAGCGGTGGCGGTTACTGAAACATCGGACACGGGAACCTGCCATGGGCCGACCATTTGATCCCTTGCTGTCAAACCACCAACTGTTCTGTCGCCAATGGTAATAAGGAATGACTTTGAGCCAACTGCAGGCAGTCTCAAAACCCTTAACACGGCTTCATTAAATAAGTCTTTGGTGGGAATTTCCGGTAGATAGGATCGGAGGGTACTATCAAAGGCGGGCAATTTCAGCTGTCTTGAGGACACAGTCCTCGTCAATTTTGGGGGTTTTCCAAATAAGACAGAAAGGGGTAAGTCAATTGGCTTAGGGTGAGCCTTCGAATCTCGATCAAGCAAAATCAATCTCCTTTGTTCCTCCGGTTGTCCTAAGCCGCGCCCTACAACCGAGTAGCCACAGCGCTCTCGCCTTGCGATAGCTGCAAACTTGGTCATTCCGTCTTCTGAAATGGCCATAACATATCTTTCTTGGGCTTCACAACACCATATTTGCATCGGGCTCATGCCTTTATCGGCATTGTCAATTTCACGTAGCTCAAAGGTGGCCCCCAGGCCGGCGTCATGTATAAGCTCGGGCAACGCGTTTGACAAACCGCCAGCGCCGACATCATGGATAAACTTGATAGGGTTGTCTTGGCCCATAGAGACGCAGGAATTGATCACTTCCTGCGCTCTCCTTTGGACCTCTGCATTCCCTCTTTGGACGCTCGCGAAATCAAGATCAGCAGATCCTTCTCCAGATGCAATACTTGAAGCTGCGCCTCCTCCAAGGCCAATAAGCATGGCTGGTCCTCCAAGCACAACTAAAAATGATCCAGGCTTAACTGATCTAGGGTTTTTGAGGGCATGTTGTGGCCGAACAGTCCCAACACCTCCAGCGATCATGATTGGTTTATGATAACCTCTAATTTCAGAGTCACCGTTCTCAATATCAACTTTTGTAAGTAGAGTCCGGAAATAACCCGCTGTGCAAGGACGGCCGAATTCATTATTGAACGCGGCGCTCCCGATTGGAGCTTCGATCATAATATCAAAGCTACTAGCAATGTGATTCGGTTTTCCAATATCCAGTTCCCATGGCTGTCTGAAGCCGGGAATCAACAGATCGGATACACAATATCCTGATAGACCAGCCTTAGGCTTGGATCCTTGACCAACTGCACCCTCATCGCGAATCTCCCCACCCGATCCAGTAGCAGCACCGGGGTATGGGGAAACAGCAGTGGGATGGTTATGAGTTTCGACTTTCGCGAGAAAATGAACCATTTCTTTAGTTTGGGACCATTCCCCGGTAGAAGGATTGGGGGCCCAGTGACTCGCTATTTCCCCCTCGAGCACAGCAGCATTATCGCTATATGCGCTGATAGTGTATGCGGGGTGCTGTTTATGGGTATTCCTGATCATGCCAAATAGAGACTCGGGCTTCTCTGTGCCATCAATGACCCATTTCGCGTTGAACTGCTTGTGGCGGCAATGCTCTGAGTTTACTTGTGCAAACATGAAAAGTTCGACATCGGTCGGTGACCTGGAAATGGGGCCACCTGAAGAATATGCTTCGACGAGATAATCAATTTCCGATTGATCAAGAGCCAGGCCAAGTCGCTTATTGGCCTCTGTAAGGATTTCGGCTGGGGTCTTCTGATTATCTTGAAGACAAACAATTTCAAGAGGCAGGGGCTGATGCTCCGAAAACATGGCATGTAAATCAGGTGTATCAAGGCTTATTGACTGAGTCATCCGATCATGCAGCGAGTTAAGATATTCTGAATCTAGAGCGGTGTGGTCCTGGCCTAGGACACATGTAATCTTCAAACCACGCTCTATTCGTTTTACATACTGCTTCAGCCCACAGACATGAGCAATTCCGGTTGCTTGGGAACTCCATGGTGATATAGTCCCTATGCGGGGGGTAACATAGTACGTAACATGGGATCCCTCAAGAGAATTAAAGGCAGCCACCTCATCGGTTATATCTCCATAAAGTAGAAGTTGCTCCAAGACTGCACGGTGTCGATCCTGTAGATCCTCTACAAGGTCGATATAATGTATCCATTGTGCCCGGATAGCATGGGCCTTAACACTGGCAGCAAGAGCACGACAGCGAGATTGTGAAAAGGCAACGGAACCTGATATCACTAATTTGGGAGAGTCGGTAGACGGCATCGCCAGGGCTGAGAACCGTAAGGTTAGCTGCTTGTTGGAGGGTCAGTCGGTATGGTCTCCGAAATAATCGTTTTGGATAAGAACCTGCCCCACGTCACAAAGTGGGCTGGATGGAGGGGCAAGATGCTCAAAGAAGTCACTGGCTCTCAAGAAAAATCACAGAATAAAGAGACATTTCGGCCTCTAAATTGATAATGGGGCGCGTGATTTGGTGTATCAACCCTCAGCTTCTCTTGTTTGCAGATTCTGCTCCTCATTTCATTGTTTGATTGACACAATCGCAAATTTCCTTGATGTCACATGACAGATAAGATCATGCGCTAGTTATACCTAAGATGGCTAGTTCTCGTATTGTCAATCGGCATTGATAAGATGCGCTTAGTCATAGCTCTATGCCAAGACATTAGTTACACCAGTGGTGCCGAGAGAACTCCGACTTCAGATCAGACGCCGTCGGTTTTCCAATAATAACGGGAGAGCTATTATAGCTGCAGCATGATGTCTGCACCTTACCTCAAGGTCCCGCCAGATGGGTACTGTACGAGCTAACCCGTTCCTTGCAAGAACCCTTGTGACCCTAACCCCATCAGTTACGTATTTGGATATGGCTGACGTCCCGCAAGCTCAAGTTTTGGAAGATAGGCAAAGGACAATGCACTATGGGGAAGTTTTTTTTCGCTGTCGTCGTGCGTTATTATCGGTGCTAGAAAAACACTCTGCAAGAGGTCTTACCCCTGCTGGGTCATAATTACCAATCACATCAGTCTAGGCTCCCACTTCGCTTAATATGCATGCCTGAAGATACCTTTCGGTGTACATCATAGTATGTCAGCGCAACTTGCCTATTTTAGGGAAAACCTCCAACCGTGCTTCTCGATGGCAGCAATCAGCTCACCTGATCTTGAATTCTTCTTTTTCACCACATTACAAATGGCCAAGGTGATTTGTACCAACTGGTTGGTATGAGGTATGGCCTCTGCGTCAAGATTTACATGATATGACGCAGGCCCAGAGGGAGATCCCTTTGAAGTCCGGAGTACCCGCAGATCCATGCTTCTGTTATTTTGTCAGTGGGTGCTCTCGGGAAAATTATTGGTTTCTGGAAGGCTACCTAGCCTTGGCCAAGCTTACACATTGACAGAAGTGTTCTCGGAGATAGATTAAAACATTATTAAATTTGGATTTACTTTTGATATTCATTGGGATACCCATAGGTCATGTCATTGTTTTCCTGAAGGGAATTGGGACTTAATAACACAACAGATATCGTTTACATAGTACGTTTGAACCTCACATCACAGCCATGTTCTTTGCTGTAAAATTAATGTTCTATGTCTGTAACAACTATAAATAGCTGCATATTCCCTGTCCACAGCCGGCCCAGTCAACTACCGCTGTCAGTTAGGATATACTCGTCGCATTAAAATCTCTAGTGATGCATCGCTAGAATCAATGATGCGTGGAAGATTAGGCAAATGATTATATACTAGTGTTTCCATCGTATTTGAGGAGTACGGAGTAATGTTGTAGGAAATATGGAAGATCCTGAACTCATCGCCTATTCGTAGGTGGCTGAAAGAATTAGGGTCTGCAAACCAACGACTCCGGAGTTTGGTAACATTCAGTGGTGAAATAGTCGCAACAATAATGTCATTAAAGATGAAGCGGTTGCTTGTTGAAAGAAGGATATTCTCTCGCAACAATCATCGGCTTCGGACTTGGAATGTGACGATTTGGTCCAATCCAAACATATTCGCCCAAGGGTCTCCAGAGCGCCGGAGCGCTGGTAAGACTGCCAGCATTGAATATAGTGCTCCACTTATTGGCATGAGAGACTGTACTAGTGTGTTCAAAACGTCCCCCTATCGTATGCTTGAGCGTCTTTGTCGTTATGAAAACGGCCTCGTGTCGCGGATACTTACGTCATCCTTAATGCGGCTAATCGGGGCTGCAGCCGCGTTAGGCGACAAAAATACGGCCTAGGCGCCGACACCGGCCCGGTATTTTAATAATCCGGCCAAGTTTGGCTTAGTCACCTGTACCCGGCTGCCAACTTTTGGCGATGTCATCGCAGGATCGGCGACCCAAAACATGGCAACTTGCGATGCGAATCCATCCGATCCGAACACTCGTTCCACAGGCCGGTTGACGCCATGTCATTGCCGTTGAATACTCCTCCCGCCGCCACGCCTCTGCAGCCTTTATCCAACCCTGTTTCTGAGCTTCCCCAGGCCGAGGTCGACGCCATCATCCGCACAAAGCGCAAAGCCCGCGAGCCAAAGGCCTGTTATCCCTGTCATACACGAAAAGTTAAATGCGACCGCAATCTCCCCTGCGATGGATGCGTTAAACGAGATCATGCCGACCTGTGTTCCTACGAACGGCCGTCGAAAAAGCGTCAAGTTGTACCTCAGACCTTGGTGAAACAGGAAGTCTGCGATGGCGGTAGCCCTGCCATTGGGCTTGGAATCAGCCCGTCTGGTGTGGCTACCGACCCAACGAGGGTTACAATGTCGAGAGATGAATGGGAGAATGTCTGCTCAAAGTTGAAGGAGATGGAACAGACCATTTCATCATTACGCATGGGGATGGAGGGAGTCCTCATCCCTCCACGTGCCGCCTCCGAGATAGGCGAAGGCCCTACTAGCCATGAAGCGCCGTCTTCTGAGCAAGAAGGCGTACATGCATCCAATGAATTAGGGAATGGAACTATTCACCTCGGCTCACGGTCGGTTCTGGCCTATATTATGGGTGGTTCTGGCACCTCTCAGGAGGCCGCACAGGCTCTTAACAGCGAGGGGAGTATTCTCCCTAAGCTCGGCCTTGATAATGAGCTAGTGACGTACCCCTTTATTGATCTATGGTCCTCGAACAGTTCTACGTTTGATATCAATGCTGTTTGTAGTGCTTTGCCAGATGATGATCAGTGCCACAGGTTAGTCCCATGGTGCCCTTTGACCCTCAATACCTAACCTAGTCTGACTTCTTACTAGGTTATTTTGTTGCTATCGTGATATTGGCGGTACGCTCTACCCGGTTATACCGGATATAGATATATTTGCCGCAGACCTGGAAGTGTTCCTGCGGAACCGCGCACGTAGGGTCTCTACAGAGGATACCGACGCGATAGACAAACCCTTCGGAATGAGCATAGATTTTATCGGTTTGCTCTTTGCTGTGCTCGCCGCGGGGTGCCAGTCTTCCAACATGTTAGGCAAAGAGCGGGAGCTGACTTCTCAAGTCTACGGTAAGCTGTTCACACATATATCCCTTGGCATTTCTGATACCGTCTAGTGTGTTGTTCATATCAATGCCTGCGCGCAATAAACTTCGTTTCACAACCAAATGTGAATGCCATCCAGACGCTACTAATTATTGGAAATGTACTTTCCCACAATATGAATCCTGGTGCTGCCTACGTCTTATTGGGTGAGTGGAATGCATCTTATTATGTAGAGACTTCCTAACTAATATTGGAAAGGTATGACGTTGAGAATGGTGATTTCACTTGGGCTACAGGTCGAATCACACAAATTTTCTCCCGCCGAGCGGGATATTAGACGGAAAGTATGGTATGTTTACACATCGCGAAGTTCAACTAAGACTCAAAGCGTTTCTAATACCTTAGGAAAGGTGGTCCACTGCTTGGCAAGATAGCCATTTTTCATTATCATACGACCGACCATCCACCATGGCTTTTGGCCACCCTGATATCCCTTATCACCCAAGCTCGCAGCCTGGCAATAGAACATTTTTCGAGACTCTTTGTCGTATCATTGCTCTGACCCTCGAGATTGTCCGAAGTCGAATGCTTTCTCCTCAATCTCAGATGGGATTTGCTGTTATCAGGGCTTACAAAGAAGAGATAAAACGAATTATGGCAGACGCTGCCCCCCACCTTCGTGATTCCCAATTTTGTTCTAAACCAACAGAGCATCTACAAAGGATTGGGCTGAAACTGCATTCATCTTATATTACATCGGAACTTTGTCGCCCAGTATTGAAAGTTCCAGCTGATTCAATTGATACAACGACAGCCGCGATACGGAAAGAATGTATCCAGGCCCTCAGCAGGACCGTCGAAGCTTATGTCGAGCTGCACGCAGCGAACCCTCAAGCCTCACGGTCTTGGATCAGTATGCAACGCTCGATTAGCTCTGGCTTTCTACTAGCTGTGCTGGAGGAAGCCAAATATGACCCTCATATCCGCCGTCTTTTACTACAACTTGAAAATGCTATTGCAGAGCGTACCGCGGCGGATGTCGCCGAAAAGGACTCCGCCCCTCGTGCCCGCAACCCCGCGTCGGAAAGCCCATCTCGTCTTATAAACGGTGTAACCAATATTCCAATGCCAACGCTAGATCCATCCCAAGTTTCGACGACGTCCACTGTCCCTGCGTCGGTGGCCGCAGATACAGACACGCAGTGGCAGAAACCACTCACAAAGTCACTTAGAGCTTTGCAAAAGCTGAACGCTGCATATAGTATGCATAGCAGACAATCGCAATCACAATCTGTTGCAACGCTCTCAGCGATGTCATCGACCCCGGGCGTTAGTATTTCAGGGTACGTCACCCCTGCAGGTTCTATCAATGGGCCCAATGCCCAGCAAGTTCCAGGATCTGCCCGGTCCGGATCTTTGCCTCCTCCTACTCCAGAAAGCTCTGGAAGTTCGGAGTGGAATTTACCAAATTTACTGGACCGGGCGGCTGAATATATCCATCCTCCACTCTGGCCCTGAGGATTCTATATATCGTTCATCTTACATAGCTTAGTCCGCGCATGTCCGAGCTCTGGTGTACAGGCGTGCTAACACTTTTATTTTGGTTTGGGAGTATATACAAGTATATACCAATAGGTGGAAACAATGTTTTGTCTGTACATAAAAGTAGTATTTTTCATATTGTTTGTAGACATTTTCGGGTGGCTAGGATTCTCCACGCGGTCGATTTGGATAAGGCGTTGGTTTCATTTCATGATATGAAATAAGAAATAATTCTTGGGAGGCTACTTTTTCTGTTGTTATTCTGGTAGTTGGGAAGGGGATTGGTTTGATTGAAGATTATTCTTATTGGGGGAGGCGGCAAAATATGCTCGTAGCCAGGAAATTTAGTTGTTTTCTTTTTGGCTATTTTGAGGTTTAATCGGCTTGGAACAGTATCTGGAGATGCGACAGTGACAGGTACTGTCTAGAATCATCAAAACAGTATTCATTTCGTTTATGTAGAAATCGCTGTCTCGAAATGGATTATAATAGCAGGCTATCTATCCATGAAGCGGATGTAATAAGTACCTACAAGCTGCCCCAAGTCCAGCAGCAGTAAAGGTCCGATAACAAGTTCAAAAACCCAAGAATGGGCATTTAATTCGTGCGGGTAAGAGGGCCTCAAGGGAAGCAAATATCTATCCACCAAGACCCCGTCGTATAGGGCTCTTCCGTCGGCTGGTAGCTCTCGTTGAACGGATCTGTCGACTACGCTCAGGAGCATCGGGTGGGTGGCTGGTTAGAGCATCTTTTCTGGTCGAGGCATGCTTGCTTCGAATCCGTGCAATAGCATGGTTGAGAATACCATCCGCCTCACCATCAAGTTCCATCATTGTAGAATGGCCATTCCCATTATGATTGGAAGATTCATGATCAATGACATCGTCAGTCCATTCTGGCACGGGAACTGGAGGCTTTTGGGCGTTGGCTTTGCTGCCAGCCTGATTCAGGTGCTTCGATTTGGGAGCCTCCTTTCCCTTAGTACTGAGCAGCTTCGCGTTAGCTGAATCACTGGGCTGCTCTAATTGTTTTGGATGCTGAATTGAATCTTGGTTGTCCTCTAGAGCCCAGATTTCTAGAGCCTTTGAAAGCAATGTTCCTGCAACCCCTGCACCAGCAGCGGCATCACCACCACTCGTCCCCAGTACACGAACAGCTTCGTGAAGTGCTGTTACGGCTTCCGTCACCCTACCTAACTCTAGGAGTACGAGTCCACGGGCTGTGTGTAGTGACCCAGTAAGGCCTCTATCTTCATATCCACCAACAACGGCTGGGCCAGCGGATAAAGTAGTGCCGACTCCAGCCTTACTCGTATGGCCCGTCACGGATCCCCCTGCACCAATTCTAAGACATTCCTCGAATTCTTCTAATGCGGCATCGAACTCGCCTCGACGCCGTAAAGCATGCGCTAGGTTCGCGCGAGTCGCTAGCCAGGCGCCTGGGTCGCATTGCAATGAAGCTGCTAATGCTAATGCTTGACGAAAAAGTTGGATTGCACCTTCTAAATTGGCCTGATGATACAGAACGACACCAACTTCATTTAGGACAAGAGGATCACCGCTGGTTGGGGCGAACTGCTGCAATCCACTGGAGTTTATGGAAAACGACACAGATGCAGAGCCATCGGATAGAGAACCGGAGGACATATTGTACGCTGCAGAAAGATATTCATGGGCAAGAGACATGTTGTTTAGGGCTAAATGTTGCATGCCGAGAAATAGTTGGGGTAGGTGACTGCCTTGGAAGAGCCTTGCAGCAGTGCTGTATGCTGCGATGGCTTGGTCATGTTCTCCTTCGGCAGCAAATGTATGAGCAAATCCTATCCAGGCGGGCGCTGAATGTGGATCCAGCAGAGATGCTTTAGAAAAGAATCTTCTCGCCTCGGCAATTTTTGATACCGATAAATAGTAAACCCCGATAGCAAGGTAAGTATAAGATTCATCCGGTGCATTGTCCGCCAATGTATGGGCTAATAGGAACAACGCATTCGTCGCACCTGTTTCGTAGAGACAAGCGAGATGGAGAGGGTAGACGGACGGGGAATGTCCGAGATTACAGCCCTGGCTTCCTTGAGAAGGGGCAGCAACAACGGACTTGGAATCAGGGGATGATAATATAGAAGATGTCAATTCTAAAGCCTCTGGGAATCGACATTGGGTATACAGTGTCTCTGCACGGGACAAAAGAAGATCCGGGTTTTCAGCTAAGTTGTAATGCGTGCATAGCGTTTCAGTCGCATGAGAAATAGTTGAAGGCGATGAATATTTCGAAAGTCGTGTCGTGTATAGTAGTTTGACGAACTCTGCGGCCTCCTGAGATACCGATGGGTCAGAGGAAGGATTTATCGAGTCGAAGTCAAGAGACTCTAAGAATACGAGCTCTTCAGCGGGGGACATTAAAGAATTCTTCATGAGCTGGTCGAATGCTTCAAAGCATTGAATATCGATTCGTACAGCGTCTTTGTAGCAGTCCCGTGCCCGATCAAATGCATTTTGACGGGCATAACATTGACCCCTGAGGTAGCACATTGCAGCTTCAAATTTAAGATGTTTCGTATCCTCTCGCTCTTGGTCTTCGTTTCTGTCTAATTTGTCTAGCCTTGAAGCCGACTTTCCATTCCGCAGAGTTATGTGAGACCCTCCATTCCTGTGTTGCAGTTTCCGTCGGCTATTGCTTGCGGTGGTAATCAAATGGCTAGGATTGTGTTCACCAAGCACTTGAAGGGCTTGTTCAAATTTATTTTGTTGTATGTAACAGTGTGCAGCGAGGTATTTGCAGGAGGAACTTCTGGAAATCAAGTCTTTTCGAGAAAGTAATGCCAATGCTCGTGTATAGTTGTTGTTCGAAAAGTGGACTTGGGCAAGCCAGAAAGCATCGTTATCGCTGTCTAGAGACTATCAGCTACTTCCACACGCATAAGAAATAGCCAATTATTCTGCAAAAAACTCACTGGTCAGGGCAAGCACCTTGTCCCCAATATAAACTGCAGCATCATGCTGCCCTCTATTAAGAGCTTCTTGCCTCCAGCTGCGAAGAAAGTCCTCCATAGCGGCCTAAAGTCGAAGGTACAGATGTTATAGGAATCATTGAGTATCTTGGACAACATAGACACTGGATCCAAGAGCCAGACATGGGCAGCGTTGAAGGCCCTATATCAAGCACAGAAACACTTCGGCCCGCATTTGTCCTCTAAGATGTTTTGTTTGCACTGTTTGACATTACTGATGACTAATGAACTACTAGTAGTCAACCTTATTCTTAATCTAGCTAGATCACGTGCTGATAACGTATATGTGCTTATGTAACTAAGTCGTTGTCAGTGATGGCCTACCATTCATATCTTAAACGTGAGCTTTTGCCAGGTCACAGTACAGATTATTAAACGCAGTATTATTCATTTGGCAACAATTGCCTATCAAAATAGCATTCGGCCAATATGTCTGAACGCAAGGTTCTTGTAAGTGTCTTCTTATACTGAATCCGTTCAGAGCCCATGCTGACACTATAATTAAAGACGAAATACTATCCGCCAGACTTTGACCCGTCGGCTATTACACGCACTCCCAAGCATTTACGCGCAACGGGTCCCAAATTACTGACCGTTCGGTTGATGGCCCCGTTCAGCCTAAAATGCACCAATTGTGGCGAGTATATTTATAAGGGTCGGAAATTTAATGCCAGAAAAGAAACTACAGATGAGCGCTATCTCAATATTCCTATATACCGATTCTATATCAGATGCACTCGATGTTCTAGTGAAATAACGTTCAAAACGGACCCGAAGAACATGGATTACACCTGCGAGAAAGGCGCTAAACGAAATTTTGAGCCGTGGAGAGAGGCTAAAGGAAGTCAAGTTCACGAAACTGAGGAGGAAACTCTGGACCGTCTGGAAAGAGAGGAGAATGAAGCTGAAGAAAAAGCAGAGAGAGACAAAATGATGGAACTTGAAGAAAAGATGTTAGATTCAAAGCGGGAGATGGCAGTCGCAGACGCATTAGACGAAATACGGACAAGAAATGCGCGAATAGAACGTGGCGAAAAGGGCGGGGAGGAATTTGCATTGCTTCGTGCGAAACAGGAAGCAGACGAGGCTCGAGCCAAAGCTGATGCGGATGATGCCGAACTGGCGCGTCAGGCATTTACGACAAAAGATGGTGAGCGTATACGTCGGTTGGTTGACGTCGAAACGGACACAGCAGATTCTACCCTATCGAATTCTACTGAAATGCCGCCCCCTTCTTTTACCAGAGTAAAGAGACCTAAAAAGGTATTTTCAGCCGACCTAGGAATCAAAAAGAAGACACCCCTGGTATAGAGTGAGATGCGGTTATTTATAAGAATTAATGAGTCTCTTTTGATAAGGTCACCTGGTACCTACAATTCTTGGACTTGGTGTTAGTGGTTGCTATCATGGACGGCAGACGTGTTTAATGGTTCTGGATTAACGTACATACATGAATCAAATGAAGTGTTTTATTGAAGTTTGGGTGAATTGGCCCATTCGCCCGAAGTGATTGTACAGTAGCTAATTAATTTGCATGGGATCCTCTCCTAAAAACGCCATGCTACCAACCATTTTACCAGACCCAACCAATCATCACATTGTACCATTTGAAGCCATCGAACGTTAAAGGGATCAACTAAGAAGAACATCGCATCATAAGAACCACAATGCCTCAACTGAGGAATAGATAATAGAAAGTAACATCAAATCAATAATTAAGAAAAATTACATGTATGGCATCCATAATGCTTCGCACTGCGCTAAACTTTGCGGGTTCGCTGCCTTGGAAATAAGATCGATAACAGACTGGTTGGCCGGTAGGTTGCCTTCGGGTGGGCTGGCCAGACTAATTGCACGATTGACAATGAAGTCAATGTTGTTCTGCACAAGGTCACGCATTTGCGGCAAGACACGTTGCTGTGCAGCAGCCCAAATCAACAATTCATCTCGAACAAAAATGCTAAGTTGTTGCTCTAACTCGAGTCGAGGCTCCGATAGACATCGTGCAATTGCCATAATAGCACAAGCAAAGATTCCTTCTGTTGCCAATGGCCCCATCAGCGTTTGAATATTAGGTGTGAGTCGAAATGGAACGTGCTCGGGGTTGTAGAACAACGCTTTAACGTTATTCATTGCCGGTATTAGCTCAGAGCTCCAGATATCGCCAGTTCGACGAGAGATATGGATCTTGCTCGGATACCGGTTGCCCATATGCATGACGTACGTCATGAACGCTATGGCCGCGTATTGGTAGGAGAATTGGCGACGAAAAAGCCAGAAATCCGAATATTGAGGGTAAATCTGCTGAATGAATTGTAATAAAACAGTATTTGGAACCCATTTTTGTTGGATTGCAGAGAATATTTCTGTGCGTAACACGACAGAATGATCTGGGGCACGCTGTTGACTATCAGATAAACTGGTTTGGTGTCTATTGAGATAGGACTTGACTTACATTAACCTTATTTTCTGCGAGTGCCCGCATTTTCTCCATAGTATACAACATGGGCTCGTCTTTATTCATACCAGTTTGGCGGCAATGGTCTTCGTATATTCCTTGCAATGTGATGTAAGTCGGATCATCCTGAACGAGTCGTATATGTGGCGCAAGGGGAACCATCAGTGGAAGATAGAAGTAAATATTTCGGCGACGGCTTTCTTTTCTCTTGCGGAGAATGCAATTGAAAATTCGGAAGAGCTGCAGCATTCTCTCCTCACGTCTACAATGACGAGCGGCTGGATGCTGAACAGCAAAGGCATGCACACTCCCGTCGTGGCCACGCATCTTTAATCGCCTGTGACATACACCAATCCCTCGTACAAGGTCGACATTTGGTAAAAAGCGGTCAACACGCACGAAGTCCTGGTTTTTATCTTTATGTTCTAGGTATTGGCCGGGAACTTCCACTTCGTCAAATTTCTGGAATTTGAATTCACTAAGATGGGGAGAATACGATTCAAGGAATTGAAACTGAGGGCGACGATCGAGTTTCTCCTCAAATTTATCACGCCACTTGCGAAGTTTCTGTATATACTCGTACATTGTTGGCTTTTTAATGACAAAATCCGCCTCAAATGACTTTCGAATATGGGCTGGAAGAATTGTTTCCGCAAATCGTGTGATGTTGGCTTCAGTGGAATGTGGGAGCTTGAAATCTTGTGCATATGAAGAAGGCATCCGACCCACATACGCAAGTCCGTCGTTGAGAAGTGCTACGATGAGACGATATGCGTCTTCGTCTGGTGGACATTTGAAGTTCTTGTGAATTTGATCCACCATTGTCTCCATCGATAGTGCCAGTAAGGGGAATGCTGTTTTCAGGCCCGCCATGATGTCTTCAGCATATTCCCAGGGTTGTTTTTCCTTCTGCGTCGTCTCAGGAGTCGCATTAGTCTGTGGTGGCGCTGGATTTGTCTGTCCCGATAAACTAGGAGAGCCAGCGCCAGCTGCAGAATTTGCTCCTCCCTCTGTATTCTGGGCGGCTGGTTTGTTCTCAGTCTTAATCTGAGGAGATCCCTGTTGCTGCTTCATACGATTAAGCTTTTCTTGCTTCTGCTCCTGGTTCTTCTTGATCCCTAGTAAATCCTCGCGTGAAGTACGTAACAGAAAAAACAACGATTGGGGATAGAGTTTCGCAATTTTCCCAAGTACCGCTTTGCAAAGCCGAGCTTCGCGATGTGAAAGGCTGGTAAGAAGCTGCGGTATGAAGGTAATCCAATACCAAACTGGAGTGTCGCCTTTGAAACTCTCAAACGCTCCCGAAATTTTACCTTCATCATTATCTTGGCTTAGCAACCACAGAATACGACTCAGAAGTTTTCTTGACTTGTGATTTTTATAAAGTCCTGCTGCTTCGAGATAGCAGCTCATAGCGTTACTTCCCAGCTCCATATCGGTTGGGTCTGCCTTAAACCGCTGGTCACTATACTGGCCCCATTCGGCCCAGGCCTTTGGAAGCCGCAGGTCATAATATAACGCAACCCCAAACGCATCGTTGGCATCGTTTGGCTGATCCAATTTTGCTAAAAACATGCCTTTCAGGGTGAAGAATTCTGCTTTCTGCTGCGCACCAAAATATCCTAGGTTGGTGTTGTTGATAACGTCTAGACCATTGGTAAGCTCCTTCGGATTCTGATAGTGACATTTTGCTTGCTCTCTTAGTTTCAAGAATGCTTCCTGAATCTCAATGTTCGGGAGGGTATAAATGCGGCCGAGTTGAGTTATACAAACATCGGACATTTGGTGCTTCCGGGCAACGTGGGCAAATCGATTGATAATCCAGGCAGTTTCATGGTAACCTCTGTAGGCATAAGAATTACTGGCAACACTATTAGTCTGTGGAGGCAGGAGTGCAAGATATGTATTGTTGATCAGTTGGAAGATATGCTGCCTCCAGGTGACAAGATCCTGCCAAGAGTTGATATCGTCCCATACGTTAGGGAGTCGATCACGCCAGGTGCCAAGAAGAAGCTTCAATTCGGCAGACTTTGTGTCTAGATTCCTCTCATTTGTCTGGTTTAAGCTACTGCAAATCACACTTGCGTCATGTAGCTCAACAAGTTGTTGAAATAGCTGTAAAACTGGAATGTGGGCGTTGGTGATGCGCTTCGGAAGCTGGTGCCATTTGCGGATTGCCAGTTGAATTGCTTCATCACAAATATTATGAAACTCTTGAGGGCTTTCTTGTTTCGAATGGAATTTCAGAAGTGACATAAACGCTTGAAAGAAAGCTCGTCTTGGAGTAAGAGCATCAGAGACGGATTTGATCAGAGATTCTATCTGTTCTCGATTAGAATCGCCCTGCCAGCTGTCCAAGCTTCTCCAAATAGACTCAAGCAATAAATCATTGAAATTTTCATGCTTAGCAAAATCTCCCAGAATTTCCCACTGTTGCATTTTTTGAGCACAGAGAACCCAGTGATCTTCCCAGAGGAAATATTCGCCTTGAGAAAACGGAATAGCGCCAGTACGCGCCTTTATCTGAGCCGATTCATAAAGTTGTTGTGCCTTATCCCACATCCCTTGCTGTTCGTAGGAAAGCGCAGCATTTGATTCAACAAATTTAGAACGTCTTCGCCAAGTTCCATAGAACATATCGTCCTCCTGCAAACCAGAATAGATTTCAACGAGTGCGTCAAGATTGCTTTCCCGTACAGTCGGGGTATCGATAATAGGGCTTATAGCTGACTGCTCAAGGGCAACAGCCGCTATATACCAAGCGTCATAGGTCCTACTGAGGAATTTGAGAACGTGCGGGGGAATTTTGAAACGCGGTTTGGCCCGTATTACGCCTTCAAGCAAAGCCTGGACAACATTAGGCCGGTCATCAAGCTGTCTTTGGTGATACTCCTTAGTTAATAGCGTCACAACCCCTTTTTCTAAATCAATCCTCTCTTCTCGGGTTGACGCAGACCAACAAATCGAAAAGAGTGTAACCCATACTTGGTAAGCAGTTTTCGGATCGGCATGTTGTAACTGGGCTAGAGGATCTAGGAGGTCACGAACTTTGACATCAGCAAGTTCTAAGCAGAAGCTCCGATGGTCGGCGACCAATGACTCTAAACTACTGTCCACTATAACGTTGTCTTTCGATGGATCTTTCTCCATATGGCTGAACAAAAACGAGGTCGGCGCTAGTGTATAGTCTTCCGGGTGTAGTTTTGCCGGATAGTTCACATCAAGCGATCCCATAACCAATTGAGAAGCCTGCGTTAGCCAAAAGGAGTCTGCCAGGGTATCCCAGTTCTGTGAAGTAAGAACGTAAGTGAGTCGCCGGCATGCAGATCGTGTCAAGCTTCGGTCAAAGATAGCCATGAAACGAGAGCGCATTTCAACATCTTGGGCTCTCGTTCCAATAAGAAAAGCATGTTCCAGTCTAACAGTGAGTTCTGTCCGTGTAATCCTGGGGTCTTCATAAATTTTTATCACCAGCTCTAGAAATTTCTTCAGCATTGTTTGGTCTTGCCTTGTTTCGAACAGTAACATCTTATGCAATACTGCAGTCTTTTCTTTTAATGTTGGCCAGGACTCTGTGGAATGGAATATCCAAGACTCAACCATTCCCAACACTTTGGAGCACAGTTGAGCATTTTGTGATCGCTCAACCAGTTGAGCAAGAACACTGAGAAATGGTCGTCGCTGTTCGCCCAGCTGTGACATACGGGCAGCAATTAGGTCAATTGTCTTGAGTATAAGGTTCACTCCAAGCTCAAATTCCTGTTCATCAGTGACAGCTTGCTCTGAGTTCCCATTTCTATTATTAGGGGTATTGTTATGATTGTTAGTATAAACAGCAACATGATCTTTTGCCAGTTTTTGTGAAAGAACTTTCATCACATGTGGAATATGCTGATCCATCTCTGCTGGACGGCTATTTGAGAGAGTCCAAAGAATGTTAATAGCTGACACGTAATTATTGGCAGAAAGAGACTCCGTAGCAATCGCAGATAAATACGTGACAAATTCAGTGGGCGTATCATCGACATCCATAGAGTCATCATCCGCTGGTTGGCTTTGAGGTAAAGAATCCAGCACCCGCTTAACAGGTGGAGGAAGTTTAGGGGCAATATCCATGTCATCTTCAATACCATGTAAACAATCCTGGAGTTCCGGGTTGTCCAGCCGCAATGCTTTTTCTAATAGTCCTTGAACAATAGGTGCACGACTGGCAACCCATTCATTTGGTTTAGCCGCAAGTAGTACCCGTAATACCTGCAGCGAATTAACCATACCAGTGATGTGTTTCTCATCTGGCTTTTCTGCCTTCTCGCCAGCAAGGATTGGCTCAGTGACTTTCTGGTAAAGATCAATGTCAAGATCAGTCCAGAAACCAGAAGAGAGAAGATTCCGTAGCAACTGTACAGCTCGAGTAATCATGTCTCCATACATAACAAAAGGGGGCGTCTTTGGCGACGGCAGTTCGCGTAATTTTGCTGCTGGGACAGCGAATCGCTCTGGTAGTCCGCAGATAAACGTTACCAAATACTTAATAAGGGCTGTTCTTAGATCAAGTGGTACCATATAGTCTGGGCGGTCTTTTGGGGGAAGCGGCCCTGGCGGCAGAGACGGAGAACCTTGGACTTCGTCTAATTTTCGTTTTCTTGACTTTGGACTTGCGGATATTTGTTCTTTCACTCGCCGTTTCTCCCAAGTCCATATTAAACCGATTAAATTAAGAGCAAGCTTTTTGCTCTCCATAGATGGGCTAGGGGGCGCTGCGATTTTAACCAAAGAGGGCACGATAAGAGGAACAAAATTTTCACGAGATTCGTAGAATAAATCGGGCTGACGAACAAGGAATTGAAGGATGCTCATGACTTGCTGCAAGTTTGCAGTCTCCTCAGCAAGGATACGGCGTGGCCATCTTGCCCAGAGCGGATATCTGGTGTCACCTGTCGAGTTGACACGCTTAGGAAGAACTGGTGCTAATATCTCGAGAGCTTGTGCCACAAGAGCTTTGCCTTCATTTTGATGGGCTCGCAGCAGAGCGACGTATATCTGGATCACTATCTTGGAAGGGGTTTCATAGTGAGCAATAAAATAGCTGATTAACACGTAAGCACCGTATTTGTTGATGATGTCTTCAAGGCGAATATAACTCCAAGCGAATTTGATAATGTCTTTACGAGTCTCTTGTACAGTTGCGTGATGATATTTGATCAGAAGAGCAGAAAGCTGCAGCAACGCCATTCGCGAATGATCAACACCTGTTTGAGAGGACTCCTCGCTAATATCACCAAGCTGCGGTTTCCATAGACGATTATGGATAGACTCAGTCATGCTTTTATCCATTAATTTGGGGCCTGTATTTGGGCTTCCCCAAGTTTTTTGCACGTCCTTTGCGAGGATTGGATTTACGAGGTTTCGAAAGGCATAGGTTTTTAGCTTTTGTGACGAGCTTCGTTGAGAGAACAAGTCTAGACAACGCATTATGACAGATCTCCGATAATCAATCGAATCATTGCAGATGATATTTCCAAAAAGAAATTTTGGCATAGCAATGGTAGATTTCAATTCACCTGCAGAAATCTTATCAATCAAGTCGAAAAGAAAATCCAGATCCTGGAGGTTCTGGGAGAGATAGACGGTGAATATCTCTATTAATTGTTCCTCTGCTTGTTTGACTCTCAGTCGTTCATTCACTGGCAACTTATCGCCTCGTAGTTTTGACTCAAGGTCCCGACCGGCATTCAAAAGATGTCGCTTCAAATCGGGGCTTCCGGAAAGCCATCCTTTCGTAGCATCATAACAAGACATCGAATAGGCGGCACATATGCCATTGATGGCAGCGGTGTTCCGAGCCGGAGATTCCGACTGACAGAATGCAATTGTGACGAAAGTGTTCGTATCTGCTGCCACTGCAGCCCTTAACGATGAACTTTCCGGATCAGCGAGCAATTGCCCAAAGAAGCGCCCGAACCTTTCATCATGGAATCGGACTTGGAAGAAAGACCAGCTTTCTTTAGGATATCGATTCAAATATTTGACCAACGGCTTTCTGAAAGGGCTATTAGCAGTTCTTCGGAGTTTCTCTTCCAAGGAAAGGACTTTGTTGACTAGATTATCCATGAATGAGGTAGCTGCAGGGGGAAGAAGATGAAAAATGTTGAATATTGCAGCCACGATTTTCATCTGGGGACTCTGTTCAACCAAACCAAACGATACCTTCTGGAGGACGATATCATCTGCAATTGTTTTCATATGATCCAGCAAACGTGCCCCAATTTCAACCTTGAAGTAATTGGTAAGAAGAGTGAGTAATCGTGCCAGGCCATCCAGTCCCGCAACACTCAACCGCTTGGGGTCTTGAAGATTCATCAAAATTGGGCGCAGCCCATTTTGGAGTAGATCCTTGCCAAGTTTATTTGTCTGTGTCAATACGTCCCGTAGACCAGAGTTCGCAGCTTCGATGATCTCTGGGGATTTAGAATAAAGTGATTTGAAAAAAACGGCAATTATACGAGCACGGCTGGTATTTTGAGTGCCGCTGGCAAAATCAGGAAACCCCATGGCCATGGATAACAAATGAAGGCACGCCACACGGAGGCTTACAATTTGTTCGGCAGTTTTAAACTCATGAGGCTTCGTAGCGAGAGAATCATCATCCACGTCAGCGAGTGCCAAAGATTCCATTAAAAGACGATTGAGCTGATCATTGAACGTCACTATGTCCCGATGCAAACCAAGACAAAATGTTATTGCCTCGATGAAGCCGATTTGAGTGGAAAATGGAAGAGCGCGTAATGGTTTATTGAAGATTGGCAAAAGTAGCCGATCTTTCACGGGAAATAGTAGTTCATGAACTTCAGCCCCAACAGAATGGCCGATAGTCTTAAATGCATTTCGTGCGGCCTCACGCACATGCTTATTCATGTGTGATAGGTCATGCACCAGGAATCCACAAAGACCAAAAAGTCTACTTTTGTCATTTTTTAGTTCTTCGTTTGTTAGGCCTTTGGTGCACCTCCGAAGGACGAAATCTAGCGCTTCTTGGGCACGGATACGAGTACTTGCAGGGAAATCCGAAGGCGTATCCTTGATGACATACATCAGGGCACGAACGAACTCCGCTTGGCGCTCCATCAGCCAGGCATCGCCAAGATCGAGATCCGTGACAAGCAGGTAAATTCCTAGACTCCCACCAGCCTTCATGAACCATTCTTCATCATGACAAGCATGACAGAAGGATCGAGCGAGATGTGGAAAGAATGGAAGTTTGCCGATCTTTGCAACAGACCCAAAGATGGCAATAGCGGAATCACGGACAGTAAACATTGCCTCCTTAGCGGCGTCTCGTACCGCTGGGTTATCAGATGCATAGCATTCGATCACAGCATCGGACAGTACTCTAGTATCCAAATGAAGAGGTCCTTCTCCCATGGAGACATTGAACGGTCGTCGAGAATGTTTTGCTTGGGCAACGGCTCGTCCTACTTCGAGAATCGTGAAATGACGGCAGACATCCGCCAAAAACCTGGACGCATTTTGTTTGAGGTCGGGGATGGTTGTCGCATACATGCATGCCTTGAGAAGCTTTTTCAAAGTTTCTTCCTGTGCAATCTTTTTGGGAATTGAATATTGGCGTTCTGACTTCTCCATTATATCAATACCACTAGAAAATCTAGATTCACTGATTTCATTGGCCTGAATTCTCAACGATTCTGCAAAATCTTCGGGCAGACTTTCGAATCCGATATAAAGTTTAAGCTGAGAGCTCAGCATGCGATATGCTTGCTGCTTATAGAAAGTGTCGGAGGCCTTCGCAGCAGGGGTTTTCGGGATTTCAAGTAGCTTCCCCAAAGCCAAATCAATGCCAATATCCAGAGGAAATGGCCTTTCTTTATTAGACCCCGTAAGTTTCACATCCACACTTGGTGTGTCGTCTGAATATTGTTGAAACGAAAGATCAGGAGGATGGTTTAAAAATTTTCGGTTTCTGCCCCCTAGTTTCCCAAGAATTCTCATAGTCGTGTGGGCGTGAAAATGGCTGTATGGGTTTGGTCGAAGGTGGTCCCAAAGTGCCGTCATAAGCTCATCCATGATCGGTGCCATTATTGGATCCAGGTAGTCCGCTGTAAGATTATCAACACAAAGCTCAAGGGTCCTCAAGCCTTGACCGACTAGGTCAGAGCCTGCACGAAGGGCGACTACCAGGGGCCGCATAAGATGGCTAAGATGAGGGAGTAAATGACTAAGTCGGGCGGGTACTGTCAAGGTAAGTTCGACATAGAGGTCTCGCTCTTGAACCTTCCTAGCACCCATCAGTAGGTTGTTAAAGGTCTCGAGAAGCATTTCAAGCAACGGCAAAAGTTCTTTATACAGCAACTCAAAGCGACCCCCGCCGATACTCCGAAACAGAGAACGAAGTAGAAGAAAATAATTCATCGGTTCTTCGGCGGTAACAAAAAGTTCTATGCATTTCGTTACAATCTTAGTAACATGAGGATGCAACACTTGCTCGTTTTGTGCTGAAAAAAGCGTGACGGCCATGAAAGAAAGCTTAAACATCCGTAGCAGTATCCTCGACTTCTTCATATCGGCGGACCCAACTTCATGAATACGACTCATTAAATATTGTAACGCCATCCCCGCAAAAGCTGGTGATGTTGCCTCGCTAGCCAGGAAGAATTGTGGCAGGTGTAGTAAAGCACTATGCTCCAGCATTAGGTCATGCAAATAGGGCATTTCGCTGTCGAAAACTTCATGAAAAGTTGCAGGATCAATGCAATGAAACACAGTTCCAAAGCTTTCTAGAAGATCTTTCTCTTCCTTGCTCATCTGCTGCATGTACTGGCTGGTAATGAATTCTAGGGGAGAGGTATATTGTAGTTCAGGCTCTGGGTCACCCACGCCATAGTATCGAAACACGGCAGCACCTTCATGAAACAATTTTTTAATAATCCGAACCTCTTCTGCATTATACCCGTAAGATACCTCTGCCCAATTGATCAGGACGCTTGAGGGGTCGATTTTCACGTCTTCGGGGTTACAAGCCTTAAGCTGATAAAACAATCCCTTCAAACCATTCACTAGAGTCTTAAACAGAAATTTGTTATCGGCGACAGGGTCCGCATTTCTGTCCCTAGGGTTTGAAGTCTTGATCGGCGTTGCAGAGAAGATATCAATTTCATCCCAGTCAGGCGGGTGGTCCTTGTCTGCAAGGTAGTTTTCGATCCCATCAGGGTTATCCCTTACATCTTCCGATGCTTTGATTGCGTTTTTGAATTCGCGGTTCATAGCAGCAAATTTGTCACCTATTGCATCAAGAATAACAATCAAAAAGTATCGAGCGTCACGCTTATCTTCCAGTTTTGATATTTTCTCTGCCATATTGAGTAGCAACTTTGCACTCATGGCTTGGAAGCTAGTGCCGGGGAAATCGTCATGCAAGTTCTTCGTATACACTTCTACGGTTCGTCGAATTTGATCGCGGTTCAGAGATTCCCGAACATGATGAATTAGGTCAGCTAGCATGCTGTATGCCAAAGGCCGTAAAGCTTCATAAACAGTAAGGCCGTCACCAATCAAGGTTCGTTCATCCAGAAGTTCATCCAGTTTCTTCAGAAATATCTTGCGGTAGTTGAAGTTGATGATATGTCGAATCGCAACAAGTAACTCTTTCCTCGCACTTGACTTCTCTCTAGGGCAGTCCTGTAGTAGCCGTACAACCACACCAGGGAGCGACGGAAGAAAATCTTGTAGATGATTGGCGTATACCCTGAGTAGATAGGCGAGAAAGCTCATCGTTTTGACCTGTGCGGTAATAAATTCTCCGAAGGCAGCTCGGTTCTTAATTTCTTTGCATATTCCAGTGAATATTTTTCCTTGCGCAAAAGCCTCTGTGTGCGCTCTTTCCTGTGGTTTAGCCTGGAGAAGTAGAATTCCTTTTATGAGAGGAACAAAAACCTTTACATTCTGCGCTACCAAGGAACGGTGAACTTGAAATATAGAAACGACGATAATCGGACATTCGGCAAGGACTTTGAAGGACTGCATGCCTTTCAGCAGTTGCTGGTTGCCTTGTTGATCGGGAACAAGGTCCGAGACAGAGGTAGCAGGTGAACTTGGCCGTGGTGACTGGAAATTTTGAGCGCCACTGGGGGTTGAGGGCATCATGCCAGGAGTTGAACTTTGTGTTGGCATATCAAATGTGTCTTTGACAACCTGCGGCATGCCTTCAAACATATCCCGTATAAGTTCAAGAAACGGCTGGACTCTGGTCTGCGTTGCTCGAATTTGTCGACGCTCAAGATCCATAATTGTCTTCATACAGAGAACAGCATTTTCTTCATTTTCCACTCTGACCAGTTCCATCAAAAGATCAACCATATCACCAGCGTAGGGTTCGACATCAGGGAGGTCCAGGGGCAAGCGATGTAGGATTTCCAGAATACAGTTTCGCAATTTCTAGTGGATCACAGGGTGGTCAGCGTCTGAATCTCATCGGCTCAAGAAGTCGTTTGTACCTGTTCCCATGACATGCTCACGAACACAGGGTCGCCTTTCAATATTCGCTTACAAACAGGCCATAATTTCGTCAAGAACATGGTGTAGGTCGGAGGAGAACATAGTTGCTCCAACGAGTCGCGCAGCTCAACAGCTACATTCGTTTTGAATTTTGATTCTGAAGCAAGCAGTATAACAAGGTAAGCAGGGCACCAATCACTGACTGGGCAAAATCATACCAATGTTAGCATCCCCCAGCTTCGCGGCATAAATGTCAATGTTGCGCTCCACGATTTCGCGCTCCATTCTGGCAATCGGACAGTGGAATGATCTACTCGCATATCCGTCATAAAAGGCTGGTGAAAGTAGCCGCCAGACCCGTAGGTCGGCTTTATCCCAGTTGTCCTAAGACAACTGTAGGCAGGTGGTCACTTCGCATCCAAAAGGTCCGCGTCGGGCTTTCGGCAGCAAAAAAACGAGAGACTGGAGAGCCCGAGAGGGGAGTTGAGAAAGTAGGAAAGCCCCAGCAGTAAAACAGATGCCTCTAATGAAAATTCCCTTGAGTTAATTGTTATGTGGGAAGTGTTCAAGTGCCGGATTGTCAATATTCAACAAGCTAAGAGGGAGAAGTTTCCATAGAGCTGGGGCATGCCAAAGACCCTGTAAAATCCACTAGTCCAAATATGGGCTAGATCGGTGCGCTTACCAGATTAAGCGCGCGGAATGTATTAATATTATTCCACGGTCACGTGCCAGTTTCCTATGTCGAGCGCGTTTAATGCAGCGAATAGGACATATTACTCCAGACGGAGGCCACTCATTCTCCTGTTTCATACTCCGTACTAAGTGCATCACTGTCCCTATGCATTTTACCAACCGCTGTTTATATAACTATATGTATGTACGGATTTGCATAAATACATAGCAAGCGAAGCGAAGTAGAGTTTCCCTCTATTCCAATATCTCAGTGCCGCTCGCGCGAATACTTAAAATATGTAAATGTTTTATAAGCTTAGATGGAATATTCAACAGGGGGAAACAGTGTAGTCTAGCCTGAGTTGGTTGTCATCTTAAAATTCAGCATTACAGATCCTGAATGTCTGTGCCTGTTCTACAGCCATTTATGCATTAATTTATCTGCTAAAAAGAAGCTGATAATTAGAAAAAGAAAGAAAAAAGGCAGCCCAACCCAGAGAGCAATGGTAACGCCGCCCGCAACGAAAATTTTTCCCTGCCCGACGCAAATCTAGAACGATCCAAGGTCCTATTTTCCACATTCCAAGGTCGGCAAGAATGAAACTGGGTGAGAGCATCAAAAAATAAACGTCAAAATTCCCATGCACACAAAAAACTTGGGGATATTAGAATTCAAGGAGAAAAACGAAGTCAAGAACCCGTCGTATGAAGAGTAGGGAAATACCAAATCACTAGAGGTCTGTTTGCAGCTTGCTAATGCCAAAATGTCATCATTGTACAGATCAACGGAATTTCGAGTTTTATCAAAAAGCAATGATTGTATCAAGTCGTTCGTTTGACGTCGCTGGTAGAGTTGCTACGGGTAACCGTCGGGGCCGATGGCGCTGCACCACTGCTACTTCCAACAAAGCTACGTCGCTCTCCACGTCTTCTGTGCCCGCTGCCAGCTCCACTCCGTCGACCCCGAGAGTCATCGAAAGATCCACGCCGGTGCCTCTGAATCAAACGTATGCAACGTTAGAATCATCGCGGCTAAACACATCAATAATATAGTCTATAGCGACAAAGAATTGGGTGAAGCGGAATTTGAACAGGGAGGAAAACGGCAGAATATACATCAATCAATATTTGAGCCACTAACCGAATTTTGTACCTCTCCCTCGGAGGACCGGTGCGGGTTGGAATCCTTGCTTGTGGTAGTATCGTCTTGCAATTTCAGAGCATTGAGCCGTTGTCGGTGGTCTTGGGTGATAAGCTCAGGGTCCTCTGAGTGGGGAGGGAGTATAGTGAGCGGTTTGGCAGGAGTACATATAGTATTATCGCCGCTACGCTGGGTTTTTGCCAGTGCTTCCAACCGATCCCATTTAGCTCTTCTGCTCTGTTCACGCGCAGGAGCGCTGCTTTTAAGTTCCCGGTATTCATGTGAACAATCATCGAATAATTGAGGGTTGATTTCCATAAACATTTTCATTGCAGTGTAAACCATGCTGTGTATCGTCCTGTTTTATATAAGCGTGGTGAAGTGACAGCCATGGGACTGACAAACCTGTTCCAATGCCCCTGCGAGTTTTCATACAACGAGGGGAACATGATAGGAAGTATGGTCTCGACATTGTCGCCAACGAGATTACAAAAATACTCATTATTCCAGAAATACAGCGCACGCTCGGCGACCTAGAATTATGAGTTAGTTAGAGAGGAGCAACATTCCGAACATGAAACGTACCTGAAAATGAGAGCTAGCAACTGATTTTGCCAACTGGTGAAAAAGAGGTTCTTGGACCTTCGCAAATTCTGCGGGGTCCATGACTTCAAAAATATCCTCAACCTCATTGAGAAACATCACTTCCTTTGTACTGTTGGTTTTCGGCCAGAAACGAAGGAGGCCAAGCACAACCTAAGTTGACGATTAAAATAGTTCACAAACATCTCGGAGAAGGGATAGTTACATCTTCAGTGAGAGTCGAGTCCTTTTCAAGAAACTGCACAATGCAGTACGCTAGCTGAGGATGATACATGCTTAAGCTCTTGACTTTATGAAGTGGAATTAATACCCTCGTAAGAAATGTCTTGTGCTCCGATTTCAGCGGCAAGGCGAAACCGTTTATGATAGAGCCAAGAATTTCCAGAAGCTCCGCAATGCCGTTAAACCGCTCTGTCTCATACATAAACTGAAAAAATACATTGTTCATTGATTTTCGAATGTACGAGCGAAGGTTCAAAAATTTTCCGTAGATACGATGTAGGGTAGTTTTGAGAAAATCGCGCTCTCGAGGATCTTCTGAGTCGAACAATTCCAAAAGCTATGAAAACCCTTAATTAGCCACAAGATAGAAATATTTAATGCAATGGCAGGACCTACTTGCAAAACAAAATGATGGTCGATGTAGGCTTTAGCAACATTGGTATTGAAATCTTGACTTTCAATAAACCGAAGGAAAAATTCGTAAACCACTTGAATGTGAGGCCAAGCCACTTCTAAGACCGGCTCGTCCTCTTCAGGGTCGAATGTATCTCCTTGAGGATTGACGGGGGGAGGAATTGGTCGAAACAAATTCTTGGCAAACATCTCTACTACCTTCGGATACATGGAATCTGTGATAACAGATCGGTTGTTGGCAACATAATCCAGTAATTCATGGAGGGCGAGTCTCTTGATTTCCTTCGATTTCATATCTCCAGAAGCGTCATTGAAATCAAAGATAATATTGCACTGTTCAATTTTCTGCATAAAAAGATCTTGACGGCGGTTTGGTGGTACTTCGTGAAATCCGGGCAGCTTCTCAAGGTCCCTCTGACGCTGGTCAGAAATATCAAATCTAGATGAATGCTGTCGCTTCGGAGTTCTAATTCCTTCAGGGACATCCCTAGGGGTCGTATGCAGTCTGTCAAAAGCGTGAGATTTTTGCCCAACCTTTGGCGGCTGGAGATCACCGGGCATTGTTTCTGCAGCTCCTGGAGGAGGGATATGCTGTGCAGGTGAGTCCATGGTTAGTCTTGTACTAAAATTGGGATGGTATGTGTTTGAGACGAAAAGAAAATATGCAAAGGTAAAAGGACAAACCAGTAGGCAGATGCAGAGGAAGTGATAATTCAATTAAAAAGTTCACCCAGAAAAAAGGAAACAAGTCAAAATGATGGATAACCGAAGTGATCATAAAGGGGCGAAAGGCCACTTTCTAGATGAGAGGTGAATGGAGAGGTTGTAATGAAAGTAGTAAACAGGAAGTGGGGATGATAGAACAGTATACCAAAAACCAAGCACATACACAAGGGGTGACCAAGAGCATCAGGAGAGCAAAATATTAACCCCCATCACGTTAATTCTGAAGGAATAAAAGGCTGAGGGAAAATGACAGATTAACTCATAAAAGGTGTCAACTGAAATGGCAAACGGGATGTGGTATACTACTCGAAAGGCCAGAAGAGGCTAATAATATTCAGAGAGCAACGGGGTAGCCCTATCGGCCACCAAAGTGGTGGGCAGAGTAAGAAAAGACGTTTAGGGGTGGAGAGGACCAATATCAGAACGGACTTATGTAACTTGGGATTTAGGCTTGACAAAAAATATTGGTGGTGCAAATGCAATACACTTCAAGAACAATGAACGATATATATTGAGAGTAATGCAGGCCAGGGTGAAACATACCGGAGCGCTTGGGCTAATTATCACACTCGGAGGGATTTGCTGGATTTGCCGGGACGGAGTGCTAGGCCCGGTTCCTGGAAGTTGGACAGGAAGTATTCCCGTATGAGAAGGTTGAGGGCTGTAATGCTGAGAAGTCGGGGCAGGGGTGGACATGACATGGGCGTTGTGGTGGATCGTCATAGAAGGATGCCCTCCACTGTCAGATGGCGCAACGCTTTTGCCTTTTGTATCATTTACCGTCGTTGAGGACGAGTTGGGGGTTCCATGGTTTGAATTAGTCGGAGATGGGCCTTGACCAGAGGAGGCCGAGCCTGGGTTTGCGGTATGGTTGGAGGAAGAAGACTCTTTTTTCTTCGAAGACTTATTCGAGTCTTTCGCGCGCGATAACTGCTCGTGCTGTTGCCATTATTATATATCCATCACTCTGAAACAATGGAAAGTACATAGGTCTAAGAAATGTATTGCCTATGGCTATGGTCTTGGGTCACATACCACTCTCTGCCTAAAGCCCTTCATTGTAACCACCAGTTCTCAGCCCGCATAAAAAGAATATATCGATGGGCTCTCTATCGACGACAACGTATCGAATATTCCGGAGGGCAGTAGTGGCAGAGTGAGCCCGCTTTAGGATCGCGCTATACAGCGGTTCGCGTGGGACCTATGGAAGACGACGGTAAGTGGCCAGGAGCAAAATACATCATTGGAATGTCAATAAAATCAAGGAAAAGACCCCTCTGAATGGATTGGTCAAGTTAAGAAGCCAAGCGACAAGTGTCAAAGTGGTGATAGCAATAGAGGTTGAGGTCACCAGGCCCTAGTTAACTAACTAATAACAGAACAACAACCATAGACGGCATACCGCAAGAAAGTGGATAATTGGTGGCAAGCAGCACGACGCACCTTGACTAAATTCAAGAGAGAGCAATTGGAATAAGTAATGATCGAGAAGATTGCCTTCCTCAGATGAACTGCTTCGCAACCAGACGACCGCGGAGAGAGAGAGAGAGAGACAGGAGGCGGGGACTCCTAGCCAGGCCTAAAGTGGTGATGGCGTTCGTGGAGGACAGTCGGATTCGAGAGTTCGTGTCACCGGGGACAATCACGCAAAAGCCAGCCGGCAAAGAAAGGCAGGCAGAAGGCAGCGGGTCATAGGAGGCGCGAATGCACAACTTGGAGTTCCCGGCGTGGAGCGTCCATGATCCCCATAAAGGCTGATACAGCGGCCGCCCAAGAGGAGCTCTTTTGCACTGAGCCGGGGTTTCATTAGCTAATCCGATTTGTCACGTGCTATCAACTTCACTGAGGCGTTGGCTGTGTTTGCCCAGAAAGATGCGCAGGGTTGCGGCGAAACAGCTAGTTAGCGCAGACAGCTTTTTCCAAAAAGCATTGTTTGCATGTCATCTCTGAGCACAGTATGATCTTAGTACGCCACTGTTGATGATACGCGGCGCTCTAGTACTTATTGCGGCTCGAGACATAAGGAATCAGCCTCGGGCCCACCACTCATCAAAAATCATCCTATAAACTAAACTGTGACCCTATCATATCCTACAGTCCATAAAACGCTTCGAAATTTTATATATCCATACCTAAGATCACCTGCGATACCCCCTGACTATACCAGCCCCGGTGGCAATCTTTTCATGGCGTCCTGGAAGGGTCCAACCACAGCCCCCTGGTACGCTATACCACCCCGGGAAATCATCAGTGTGGAGCACCCATGTATCATCAAAGATGTTGACCGGGGAATTGCAACGCTCCAGCGTGGGCTAGGAATACCAGAGGTAATCTATCAGTGTCAGACTCTGCTTGTCAACCTACTTACAGCGGTCCCTATATAAGATTCTGGATCCCACGCGACCAAATGCAACCGCTGCACTCTCTCTAAATCCAGAAGATGGAATGAGTAGGCCAATGTTCTCTACATCGAAACCAACAAACAATTTGTTGTTGAAAGTCACTCTGCCGAAGAGGACCGGCCGCAAACGGAAGCGGGGCTCTCAAGAGCCGTATGTTGAAGCTACTTGTCCTGTTAATGAACCCTCCAGCGTGGAAGCCTTAAATGCCCGCCAAGTACTACGGCGTCTACAAGACAATATCGGCCGGTATGAAGTCGATGTCGTGGGCCGGATTGGGCGGACGCATGTTTTCAGAGGCATGGGCCATAAAAACCGAAAACTAGTCTCAGCGCTAACAAAATTGTATAGGAATACCGGACTTTGTCTATTCTACTACAGCCAGCACATTTATGAGTAAATTCAGGGAAAATATACTGCCATTTGAATGTGAGGGAACCCATTGCTTATTTCTTCTTCGGTTGTTAACCACCAACTTGTAGATCAAAAAATGAAACAATTTGATCTGGATATGAGGAAAGGAGCTACATCAAATGTCGATATTACCCCTCCCCCGTCGTTCAGTCATACCGATTTGCCCTTCCAATATATGTATGAAACACCGAAACAAAAAGGATATCCCATCGTCTGGGCGAGCTAACATATCAACACAGGTATCGACAAAATCCTTCTGTAAAACAATCCATCAATACCTCTGGAGAAACAACGACCATGAACACCCAGCGAATATCAAAAGTGCTCACTCACCTGGTGCCATGTGATATTGATTCTGTCCCTACACAGCCCCACGAACAATTACCTCCAAGGGAGTCCCTCAGCTCAGAGCTCAAGGACACCATCCGTACTCTTGAAAAGATTTTAGATGAAAGGCCGGCCTGGACCCGTCGTGGCCTCCGGAACCAACTCACCAGCAGCGAGCAGAAATACGCCCTCCGTACCGCCGTCCCCTATGTCGGCTACATCTTCCGCTCCGGGCCCTGGCGCGATGCCATTCTCAAATTCGGCTACGATCCCCGCACTACTCCAGACTCACGTATCTACCAAACCCTCATGTTCCGCCTCCCTCCTGGCGCCGAACAACCGAACATTGATCCATCTTTGCTCGAAACTACACCACCACCTGCAGTCTCCACGGCTCCCGTCTCCGGCCGCCGCCATACCGTCCCCCGCCGCTCCCATGTTCTCGGCGACAAAAAGGCTGGGGAGAAATCGCACCTTTTTACTGGCGAGCCGCCCCTGGGCCGCGACGGCAAAACCTGGATGATATGCGATATTCGGGACCCCATCATCACGCAGCGGCTATCACCGCTCACCCCCGACGCTCCGCCACCGCGAGATACATGCGAAATCTACTCGCTAGGCTGGTACGGCAACGTGATTCTGGGCACGGTTCGCGCCATCATGCGTGCCAAAATCCACCATATCCTCGAGCACAATTCTGGGTATCCAGATGATACAGAGTTCCAGCCGTTGCATAATTTTCCCACCCATGTTGACACGGAGGATGAATTTTCAAAGGTGACCGTGGATGCAAAGAAGGCTGGGTCAAAGTGCGTGCAGTTGGCCACGGAAATTCGCGGGACTCTGAGGAGCTCGGTAGTGAAAAGGCCGAAACGCAACAGCGGCGGAAATGAGCCAGTTACAAGTAAGAAAGGTCAAAAAAGGGTGCGGTGGGAAGACGAAGAAGAAGTGGAGGAAGTGGGCGAAGAAGTAGAGGAATTTGACAGGGAAATTGAAGACGAGTTAGACGTAGATGCTGAAGAGGAGGATCAGTAAAATAATTTTTTGTTGCATTTTCAACTAGCTACACTGATAGCTGTGTAGCCAAACTAAAAATTAAAAAAGTCATTCTCAAGCCATATATCGATCCCAGAGTTGGGCAAGTAACACGAGTAGAAGCAAGACGAGCAAGGTTTAAGACATCTATGTCTTGACGAGTTAGAAACTGAATAACAAAAAGGAAATCACCAGTGTAATGGGCAAACACGCTTTCAACGCAGTAACATATTGAAATAGGCAACTTTGCAGAAAAAGCTCAAGAAAATAATGTAAAAAGACATTCGTTGGCAGGCCATACATTTTAGACTTTCTTTTATCATGTCGGCATTAAGAACATTGCGCAGCATCATCAACGTTTGCAGTCATGATCATAACCCATAGCTTCGGAGGTGTAGTTCGTTGCAATCATCAGGGTTGGCAAGGAAGCAATCAAGCAAGCTTCAAATTTTCAAAGACGTAGCATAGAACGCTAGAGTAGACTGAGGATAACAGAGCACAAGAAGCACGATCATAGGGTAAAGCAATCGCGAAGTGTAGCAACAGCAGCCGTAATAGCCCAGATACTATGCTCGAATAGACATTATACTAAGGGTATTAGGGTTGCGCGGGCACATTGATTAGCCAAAATATTGCGGATGGCCAAGGGTAAATATGTACATTAGTTATTCAACAATCAGACTTGTTTGTGGAGTTCGAGGGTTCTTCATTGTGGGCTGTGGGACCTTTGGACTTTGAGTGTTCCTGGGCGACATTGGCCTTCTTGATCAACGATGAAATCACTGCCCGTTTGAGCAATTGGGGAGGCTGCATAGTTGAACCCGCTTTAAATGAGGTAGTAACGGGGGCAGGTGGGGACTCCGAAGATACGGCATCAGCTTCGTCATCATTGACTATTGCTGGGGATATGTCCTCGCCGTTCGGAATAAAGTCTTTCAGGTTCAGTTCACCAAGAGGAGACCGAGAGCCATCAGTCATCTCAACAGTTTCAGGCTGGGAAGCAACCATTGAAGATACATTGGCGGGAGTTAGTTCAGAAGTGATATCGGAGGGGGGGATATTTTCTTTTCCACGCTCGTCTTTCTTCGACTTGTTCTCATCGTCGCTGATGTCGAGCACGCAAGTGGAATGTTCCATCAAGTTGGCCATCTCCTCTTGCTCGGTGTCCACGTGAATCTCGAAGTCCCACGCCTTCCGGCGGTGCTTTCCGCCGCTAGGCATTGCCTTGCCCATTTTCAATGACGAAACAGTGAAGGTACCACTCAAGGCATCTGAGATAGAGAAAGGAGCGGAGGAGACATGGTGTTTAGGGAAAGACGGTGGATCCACTCGACAGAAGCCGCTACCTCGACGAGCAAACGCCTTGGCGACTTTGGATTTCGGGGATCTGCCAGCAGCAGCTCGCAGTGGGGCTGGCCGAGTGGTCGAAACAGCTTTAGTACGTAGTGGAGCAGGAGACAACTTAGTTGGTGGACTGAGGTTAAGAGATGATATGGCAAAGTGAGTCTTCTCCTTTGGAGTCCATGTATCAATGTCACCACGATTCCGTTGTCGTTTCGTTGGAGACTCCATCAGCAATGGATCCATATTCTCGGTATCACAAGAATCAGCAACGTCCAGAGGACGTTTGACAACAGATGCACGCAGTCCTGCAAGGGTTTGTTAGATTGAAGACGCCTCATCAAGTGAGCCAGTGTTTTGGGTCATACCATTCTGACGATTCTTCATACTGTCCACCGCCCGCAGGCGAGCTTCACCCAGAGCAGCAAAGGGCCGCCTTGAAGCAGGAGAGTTTGGCCGAGAGACGGCGGCCATATTGAGTAGTCTAAAGCAAACGCGTCCCAATGTTAGTTTAGGGTGTGAAACACGGTGTGAACAATGCCGTGGCCAGCAGCAGAACAGGGCAGACATGTCACAATTGCCCGTATATACCTCGAAAAGACAGAGATGGCATACCTTAGGGAGGAAAACCGGGGTTCAGTATCAAACAGCACTGCAGCAACGAGCAGTCCAGGAGCAGGCAGAGGAGGGTTGGGTAAAGAGAGAGAAGAGAGAAGAGGGAGACGAGCGAGCAAGACGAGCTGAGGGTATGACGGGCGCCACCCGGTCTGGAAGGGACGCGACGACCGACCGCGACGCGTAAATGGGGGCAAGAGCTCCAACCGCACAGGCGCAAACGGCAGTCAAAACATGAGACGAGACGGAAGCAGCGCGTGAAGCAAACAACACAGCGAGCAAGAACTATCAACGACAGAGAAGTCGCGAACAATTGTAGGAAAGAGACACGAAAGCGCGCGCGCGTAGAGGCAGTTTGAGCGAGACGCGGCGCGACGGCGGGGGAAGCCGGTCGGGCTGACAGAGGTAGTGCGAGGAGGAGGAGGGGGTAGCCGCCAGGCCAGCGACCTAAATCCGGCACAGGAGACCCGGCTGAGGCTGGGCACGGAGGAGCTGCGCGACGCAAAACGAGGGGTAGAAGCACTGCGGGCGCGAATGAGCGGCGCCGAACGCGGATTTTTCCTGCCGCTCTCGTCTAATCGTGGAGCTGGAGCTGGAGCTGTCGGGTTGGGGGTGGTCGACGCGTCGAGGCGAGACGAGACGAGGATGTTGCAGGCGGGTTTGTTTGGGCGGGACGCGTTGGCTGGCGGAGCGTGTTGGCGCTTGGGTTCGGCCCCCGCACGGCCCTGCGCTGATGTTTCATCATCAAGGGCGGCGGCTAGTCGAACATCCACCTGTGTGAAGTCTTTTTATAGTCCAGATGTCACGATGCTCTGGCAGGCGGGCGCCTTGTCAAGGTAGGAGGGCAGCCATGTGGTTCGCCTCTCGTCTTGGTGCCATGGCTGATGGCGTCTGTCGCGACGGCCACCTCTCGCCAGACCATGCCGATCCCCTGCATTTCTCGATAGGAATGTCAGTTTGCGTGTCATAGTGCAGCCCAGTCTTTCAATATTCGCTCCCAGACTTCAGCCATCCCTCCTAGAGGGGAAGTGGCAGTATACGAGGCGAAGGGCAAGACAGTCAGCCAGCCAATTGCATGATATCAATCTCTCGGTTTGCAAGATTAGGTCTCCAGACTGCTATTATAGTTATATCTGCCCTACTTACAGTGTATATCTCTCACACACGAGTCTTTGCTGCTCGTTACATCTCAATTTCATTGCCCCACGGAATGCTATTCATAGCTCCAGGTTGCTGGACGCATCGTGCCGAGGCCAAAACTGCCCATTGAATAGCCGCCTCGATGCCTGTGTGATACCGTTCGCGCCGCTCCGTCTCCGTAAGATCGTCTGTGCCTTTCCCAGATGCCCGTCTCTGCTCTCTCCATCGAGCAATTTGCACAGCGTAGCCGCCCACAAACGTGTCTCCAGCCCCCGTAGTATCCACGACCCTGTCAACCTTCGCAGCAGGGACGTGATTAACATGTCGAAGCCATGTCTGGGGATCTTTCTGCGCCGAAGATCCCACATCTGCGGCACTATACCACACTCCTTGGGCGCCGAGGGTGACGATGACATATCGCACCCCGAGACGATGGAAATACTTGGCGATTTCCGTCCGGCGTTCTTCCACATTGCCAATGTTCCTCAGCTCCTGGGGCGCCATGATCTCACATTCCGTTTCGTTCATAATCAAATGGTCAATTGCCGCATATACGTCTTCGGAGAGCCCGCCCTCAGGGGCCGGCGCCGGGTTGAAGACAACTTCGATATCACCCTCCACACCACGACGGCCGTCGGCTTGTAGTTGCACCTTTGTCTGACCGACTCTCCTGATCACCTCTATCACAGTCTCCAGTGGTATCTCCGCTTGCACTACCAACAAATCCGGGAGCGGTGTCGACATCGCCAAATCCAAGACATCCACCGTGGGCTGCATGCCTGCATAGTTCGCTCCAGGCGACAAGAGAATACGGTTCTCACCGCCGGCAGAGCTGTCCACGATGATGACAGCAATGCCGGTGTGTGCATCGTCCACCTGGCGGATCCGCGAAATGTCTACTCCGGAATATTCCAGGGTCGGCTGCATGAGCGTTGAGAAATGTGTATCCAGACGGCCGACGGCACCGACCATTTCAACGTGAAAAGCTTCATGTTGGATACCTGCATGCGAGGCCGATCCAGGCCTTGGGCGAGAAAGACGGCCGCAGGCAACGGCCTGGTTGGCGCCTTTACCGCCCGCGCTGGTTGCGAAGGATGTTGCGGTGAGCGTTTCTCCCGGGTCGGGGAAACGCGCAGTCACCGTCACCATGTCGACATTCAAAGAGCCGATGATGCGAATTCTTGATGACATTGTGCGCTCTTTGGGCTTCCAATCCTTTGATATGTATGTGTCTTTTGTCTTTGGTCCTGTGGCCGAGACTCCCACAGTTGGTGTCACAGATATTGGCTGCAGGTGTTATTTCTTCAAGTAAAGCTACCCAGACCACAGACACTCTTTCGCTCTTTGTTTATACTCTGTGTATTTTTTTGAGATGTTGGATTCTCCATTTCGCCAATTTAACTACCTGTTAGTGTCGGTTGTGTAGTTAGCTAGTTAGTCAATGCTGGGCAGTGATGCCCCTCACGGAGCCTTCAACTCCGGCTCATCCAAATCTCGCCCTTACTCCCATTCCAGTGATTGGATAACTGCTACCGATGAATCAGACAAGAGCCAGAATTCCATCATAATCCTCATCATCACCTGCGGAATATAGGAGTCAAGATGTTCAGGATAGTGTTATTGTAAGATTGTTATGCATTTTGGGTAACTATATAACTACAGTGCAAATATCATCCAGCGTCCAAAAAGCGCAATAGAGAAACGAACAACAGAGTACCACCCATCACAACCTCAATATCTTGGAATAACTGATCAACCAGTCACAGCTTTGATTGCCTCTTGCCCCGTACAAACTTCAATGCGTCACGGATTGCAAGATCCGCTACTTTTACGCCTCCCTCAAACTCATACGACAGCGCGTCCTCCAGCGACTGGGCGTGATACGCTGCATAGTAGCAAGAGTCTCGATCCGCATTCAGACACTCCTGTGGAAATGAAACCAAAAGCTCTGCCAGTTTCATCGCCTCTTGATACGCTTGGCCCTTGGGTACCAGCCGATTTGCCAGCCCCATGTGGAAAGCTTCGTGGGCGCCTACCGGCCTGCCTGTCAGCGTGATATCCATCGCCCGCCCCAATCCAATCACCGCAGGAAGTCGGACTGTTCCCCCATCAAGCAGTGGAATGCCGAAGCGCCTGGAAAAGACTCCAAATACCACATCGTCCTCCACCACCCTCATGTCTGCGATGAGACTCAGCTCCAAACCTCCCGCAACACAGTGGCCTGACACTGCGCAGATGACGGGTTTTGAGATCTGCATTCTGCTTGGGCCCAGTGGACCTGCGTTGCGGCCCTTGACAGGCCTGAATTTCGAGCGTGTGATGCTATCGGAACGCTGAGTGCACCTGTCGTCGCTTGTGTCTCTAGACATTGGAGCCGGTCTGTCCCATTCGATCAATTCGCTGAGGTCAAAGCCTGCTGAGAATGTGCCGCCGACGCCGTGAAGTACGCATACTTTTTGCTGAGGGTCACTTTCAAAATCAAGGAACGCTTCATACAACTTCTTCGCCGTCGGAGGGTTTATGGCGTTTTTTCTATGTGGTCTGTTGATCCCGATAGTCGTGATACCATCTGAAGTTCTTGTCTCGATCAAGATGCCGTCAGCATCGGCGTTTTCTCGGGTAGTAGTGGTAGTAGCCATGATTCGAATATATCTCAGTGAGCTATGAGCAGGGTTATACTGGGCCTTCTCTCTGATTCAGTGACTGCTGAGTATAAATATATATATATATATTTAATATTTCGAAGGCTGGTATGCCGCACACGGCCCCTAGTGTAACCGCAGATGCCGTTGCATTTGATGTGCAACACGGGCCAGACTGATGTGCAGCCTCAGGGACCACCAGTGGCACAACATCACCGCCGAGGCACAATGGGCTGTTTCTTGAACAGATGAAGAGGCCCCGACGTCCGCTCCGTTGGACAATTGAGTCATGCAAACAGGAGCAGTGTCTGCCAAAAGAAACTTTAAAAATTTCATTGTTCCTTTCGCCCCTTGTTATTCTGTTCTCCGACTCTCTGGTCCTTAGTACGCCTTACTAGGCATGAAGGAGGCCAGGGGCTTCGCCTTGTCAAAGAGGTGGTGAAGAAATGAAGACTATGGTCTAGACCTTCAGCGTCAACTGTGTAAGTCAGATAACCTGGGAACTGGTGCTGGTGCTAGTGCTAGTTTGGAGCATTTTTCGACCAGTCACGCATTCCATCGATCGATCGGCATGCATTTTGACAGGCAGGTCTGGATTTCAATTTGCAAAATGCATCATTTTGTCCTAGATGAACGGATTGGAAACAAAGCAAAGAGACAACAAGCAACATGTCGTGCAGTGCCCCAAAGGCGGCCTTCTGGCTACCCTCCGGGCCGCATGCATATGCTGTTATGTACGGAGTACTCCGTATGGAGCACATAAGACATGAGCCCAAGACCTGGCAGTAATACGTAGGACAGACTATATATCCCGGGAGAATGGTATAACTAACTAGTTAGTTGTGTACTCCGTAGCTGCTTTAGAGCCCCTGACTATACTCCTTGCTTCGTATTGTAGCTTTAATAATCTACGGCAGCTGAAAAGCGAGCTGGGCAACTGGTCAAACAACAGAAAAGAGGGCCCCTGCCCGTTGCAGTGGTATACTATTATTATTTTTCATTCATCCATGAAGAAGTGATAAGCGCCAAAGTCGCTTTAACCCGCTCCCACCGTCCTGGTAAACTATGCCAAACGCCAGCCCCCCCCAGGAGAAGTATCCCTTTAAGTTAAGTCATTCAAGGGGCATGAAAGAAAAGCGCCAAATAGGACAAAGGAAAGACGCCCATCAAGGCCCGTTCCGATAAATCTGCGATCCCCCAGACCGGAACTGTAAAGTTTCTCTCCGTTGTAGAATCACCAATGCCCGGTTCAAGGCTTGTTCACTGTAGTTTCTACCATCCACAAACTCCCGCCTGAGCGTAGCCAGACTGGTGCTCCAGCCAATGGGCAATCGTCGCTTCAATTCATCTTCGACTTTGCCGACTTCGGCCATAAGCTCTTTACTCGCGTGGCCTTCGCCATGAACCGCAGCATCCATGGTCGACGCCAGGAATAGCCTGACGGCCTCGTCGACGTGAGTCTCAGTTGCGATCGGCGACAAACTTAATTTAGCCAGGGACTCCGTGATTCGGATGATGGCCTCTAGTTGTCGAACCGTTATAGGGATGGATGATCTGGCGTTGGCGTCGAGCTCAGCTTTATGCACTTGTTTGCGGATCGAGACGAAATGGGATGAGAGTTTCTCTGCCGCATCTGGTGATAATCGAGGCGCGCAGCGACTAATTTAAGGTGGGTTAGTATCTGAAGCCTCACTGGGTTTCGGCGCGCCGAATAAAAGAAAGGAAGGGGTGGCCAACTTACGATCTGCAATAACTGATGTATCGCTTCATCTTCTCGACTGGGATCTCCGCCTCAGCTTGCTCTTCAACACCTCTACCACCCATATGTATGCCCATGACGTGTCTCGCCATCTTTCTATCCCGTCCTTTCTCATGCTCGTCCCTGACAATAAAAATCATGTCAAATCGAGATAAAATTGTTGTTTGAAAGTCGATATTTTCGCCAGGAGTCTTCATGTCATCATATCTTCCAAATACTGGATTTGCTGCAGCTAACACCGAAGTTCGTGCGTTTAAAATTGTTGTAATGCCAGCTTTAGCAATGGAGATAGTCTGTTGTTCCATGGCTTCGTGGATTGCAACCCGGTCCTCATCTCGCATTTTGTCGAACTCATCAATGCAAACGACACCTCCATCAGCGAGAACCATGGCACCGCCCTCGAGATAAAACTCTCGTGTTGTAGCATCGCGTTGGACGGAGGCTGTCAGACCTGCGGCGGAAGAACCCTTGCCAGACGTATAGATCGCAATCGGGGCAACTCTCTCAACGAATTTGAGAAGCTGGGACTTTGCAGTACCTGGGTCACCAAGTAGTAGAACGTTAATATCTCCTCGCAGTTTCATACCATCGGGTAGAATTTTCTTTGATCCGCCCATAAGAAGACAGGCTATCGCCTTCTTGATGTCTCGATTCCCATAAATTGACGGCGCTATACAATCCGCGAATACATCGTAAAGATCTGCTCGTCTACTGATTTCTAAAAATTCCTGCTCCTCCTCTTCAGTGAAGATCGAACTTCCCTTGGCAGTGTGGTCAATATCACTACTAATTCCAACGGCCCGAACGTAGGGATTTCGAATAGCAGTTGCTCCAGAGGTAGCACTTTTCTTCCCTTTGGCCTGGTAGATAGAGAAAACACCCATAACGGTGCACCGAGAGCCAGGTACGACACGGTTGGCAAGATACCGATCGGCGGAAACTAGAATATGACGCGGTAATTCTCCCACAGGAACCTGATCAGGAGCCTCCTGGAGCTTTAAAACTTGTTGGTCGATGAATTGGCATTTCTCGTGCACAACCACGTAAGGATCCAATGGACAGGGGTCCTCCGTTCGTTCTCTTTCTTTCTTACAAGTTCGAGGCAAAGATATACCTGAAAACCCACCTTCAACAACAATGTTCTCTGACGCCTCACAATTGCGGCATTTGATATGGATCGCAGTTGCTTTGGACGAGATCGTTGAGGCACCGATGACGATTCCAGGAATCCGCACCAGATGGGACACATTTGTGGCATTAAGATCTCTTATTGTTATATGCGAAGCGCTCGAATGAAGCAGAAGCTGATGTTCAGGTAATTCGATATCTTTTTGCGATGGGTACACTATTCGTTGCGTGCACTGCTTTAGGGCTGCTTCGAACTGTGAATATCAGAGCGATTAGAACAGGAGTAATATCAATCCCAGTTACCAGAACAGCCATACTAAAGGGAGTGTATCTAGAGGGTTGGTGGTAAGCCTGTGAGCTAACTCTTCGTTATATGCAATCAGGTGGGCAACATCGACGTCGCAATAGAATTTCTTCGCAAGAACGTTCTGCCGAATTTGATCTCTTTTTCATATAGTTAGCCAGGGGATCTCGGAAGTGGGTAGTAGTGTAGATACCTGTAAATAAAGGCATTATCTAGTTGAAAGGCGAGAATAAACTCTCGAAGTTGGGACTGAACAACAGTGCGGGCTTCATCTGGCCCGTCAGTATTGGGCTGAAGAACACTCAATGAGTACGGGGTTCTTCTATCCATTGTGGCAAGAGCGAAATCTGCACGATAATCACGCTTTTGCTTTGGGATAAGGCAAGAATATGCAATCAGCTATAAAAAATGGAGGAACTTCCAATGCCTGGCTTGTCAATGGTTTCGGCACGCGTCGCGTTATCGTAACCGCGTAAAGTGATTTCTTGGCGTGTTTCCGGAATAATGATCATCCGGACTACCGCGCTCCCAAAGTGTGGCTTTACAGCTGCGCGGCGCTGATTGGCGGGCGATGCTCCGGCCTGGCTCATCAAGTTGGGAGTTTCTAGCAAACAACGCTCTGGCAACCTTCTTCAGTCTACCTCCAATCTCCTGAACTAAATTTTGTATTTGGGTACCTCTTTTGAATGCCCTTTCTACTTCTTCGAGCGGAGCAAGCCCGTCCACGATGTTGCTCCCTGCTCCAGCTGTGGCCACTTAACAAATCAACCATTTAGCTGTCGATCTTGGTTGCGACATGACCTCTCAAGGTTCCCGAAAGTCGGTGGAAAGCATAAAGTCGACTTCTTCGCTACCGCAATTACCCTTTCTTCAAACTGATCCTAGTCGCTCGATCTATCGAACTAGGCATGATCCTCGCCGCGGCTCGACGGCTAGCTCTATTGCGAGCTCTGGAGGCGCTTCCGTTCTGACACTATCTAACGGCTCGATAGCGGAATCTGGCCAAAATGGTATACATATATGCCCTTGTTGACTTAATTGCAGAGCTAATTTCTGTCACTTTAAACAGCTATCTCTACTCTACTTCAGCCCCCAATCATCCGTACTGGCTTGCTCCCCCATACCTCTGCTACATCAACTGGCTACAAGCCACCGTCTACAAGAGATATTCCTCCTGTAACCTTGTCTAATATTCCTCATGTGGAATTGGCGCCTTTTCAGGCTTACATTTCGCAAGTTGGATCTCTCTACGAATCGTTGCGTCATGCGAAGGAAGCGAACGAGAGGGGTGGTGATTCCCATAGCTTTCGAAAAAATGTGGAGGCTCAAAACTCCTCAGATCTAGATAGTATTATATCTCAGCAATTGGATAGGAGACATTCGGCGTCGTTATATTCCCAACCAACAGATGGTTCTAATCGGAGAACTTCGTCGTTAACCAACAGAGGCCGGCCTTCTACTACGCCCTTGTCCACCATCCCTAATATATATTTTGATGGAAATTTTCAGCTCGAGAATCCAAGAACCTTTGACATTGTCTCCGAACGATCCGAGGTTGTTAGCCCCCCAAAACCTACTGGAGCAACTGATGCGTCAGTGGAGATTCCTCCAACGAAACGAAAAGCCCTAGCAACCAACGCCATCTTACAAGAGAAATTATCATGGTACCTGGATACGGTGGAGATTCATCTAATCTCATCTATATCCACCGCATCTACTTCTTTTTTCTCAGCCCTAGGCTCCTTGCGCGAACTCCATGCAGAAGCCGAAACATCTGTCGAAAAAATCCAAACTCTACGAGGGGATTTAGCGAAACTGGATGACGATATGGCATTGGGCGGTCTTAAAGTAGTCAAACTTCGACGAAGACGGGAAAACGTGGAAAAACTCGCAAATGCCATAACCCAACTAAAAGAGGTTATCACATCGGTATCTCAGTGTGAGCAAATGGTTGAGCAAAATGATATCGAGAACGCCATTGACGAGCTTGACGACGTTGAGCGTCTGGTTTCTGGAAAGCAAACAATGCGCCCCCGCTCAAACCTGGCAAACGACGGCATCATTGATCTGAAAGCAATTAAAGCCCTGGAAGGCGCATCAGAAGATCTGAGCAAACTTCGATACCGTATCGGAATGGCATATGAGACCCGTTTTCTAGATTCCCTTGTTGAAGATCTCAAGACACATATAAATGCAATTCCTCCGGAAGTAACTCTACTGCGTCTTGGTGACACGTTTGTCAGGACTCGCCGGACGAATCGCCAATTTACTGCACTCCCGCAGTACATGAATATTGACAATGAGATGCGTCTTCGACTTAGCAGAGATCTAGCTGGCCTTGGTCGTTCACGACATACAATGCCTGCTGCCACTTCCTTTAAGAATGCTATTCTACGGGAAATGAAAAGCATAATCAGACGTCACCTACCTAGCTCAGTCGATGATGATGCAGATTCTGTAATGTCTGCATCTACGCAAGGCGGAAAACAGCTCACGCAGCAGGAGAAATCGTCGATATTGGCTCGGAACCTGCGATCATTGGACCCAGAAGATTCTCATTCTATGCTAACAAAGATCTATACTGGGATTAGCGAGTCTCTTAGGCGCCTTAGTGTGCAAGTAAAAGTATTACTTGATATCACAAGTGGACTAGGCCATTCCCCAGGTTTGGATTCGGCTCGATCTCCGTCCAGAACCCCCTCTATAGCAAGGTTTGAAGATATCAGCAATCCCTCCGAAGCTGCCAGTATAGCAAAAGATGAAATTCTCCAGGTGTTGGATATGTCCAGCTTGCTAGGCCAAGCTGTTGATATTGTTCAATCACAAATCGTGAAAGTGCTCAAAGTTCGAGTGGAGCAAGTTGAACTTCTCGCCTTGCCACAGTTTTTAAAGTATTTCAGCTTAAATAGGCTTTTTGCTGACGAATGTGAAGCCATCTCCGGTAGAAGTGGCACTGCACTAAAAACAGTTGTGGACAATCAAATCAAGGTATATATCAGCAGCTTTGCAGATCGTCATAAGCATCGAATTATCCAAACAATGGATTCCGACAAATGGGATGCCAAGGACTTTGGTGATTCGGAAACCGTTCTTCTTGGAAGGGTGTTGGCTTCTAGCACGGTGGACGTGGATGTGTGGACAGCAGCATCTAGAATATGGGAATCAGATGGCAATAATATCAATCATGCTGCTCAGACAAATGGATCCCCATCAAATGGCAATGAAACCTCAGGAAAAGATCGCGTTCGAGGTGCGCTTATTGACGAACAAAAGTATGTCTTACCCGAATCCGCCATCTTAATGGTCAAGGTCATAGAAGAATTCCAGCATTTAATGACAGGGATACCAAGCATGGTCCCTGACATAGCTGTGAGTTTCTTGGAGTGTTTGAAGGTATTCAACTCTCGTCTTTCGCAGTTGATTCTTGGCGCCGGTGCGACAAAAAGTGCTGGTTTGAAGAACATCACTACTAAAAACCTAGCACTTGCATCGCAGGCTTTGAGCTTTGTTATGGCTCTTATTCCTTATGTTAGAGAGTTTATTCGCAGACATTCAACGTCCTCTCCGCTGATGGCCGAGTTTGATAAGATCAAGCGGCTTTATCAAGATCATCAATCGGGAATTCATGAAAAGTTGGTTGATATAATGAGTGGCCGTGCAGCAATTCAAGCCAATTCAATGAAGAAGATAGACTGGGAGGCGCAGAAAGACGTCAATACAGTCAGCCCGTATATGGAGATCCTAGTAAAGGAGACCGGAACCCTTCATCGAGTATTGACAAAACATCTACCGGACACGACTGTTATGATGATAATGGTTCCCGTGTTCAGCAATTATCGCGATCAATGGACCCGGGCATTCCAGTCTGTGATTCTACACTCCGAAACGGCTCGTCAAAGGTATGTTGCTTTCGCCTCGAGCCAGCCGGCCCACTAACAGAAGTAGAATCTTAACCGACATCCAATTCCTGAAGTCCAAAATTGATAGGCTGGACGGCGCTGATGACCTAGGAGAACACCTTATGCACATTGTCAAATCCAAGAGTATTGTCAGCACCCCGGTTCCTTGCGCGTCTCCCGAACCCGTGTCAAAGGACACGCCCAATTCCAAGCCTCTCGAGCAGACAGAAGCCAAACAAAAAGATAGCGGACCCCAAGCTTAGGCCATGCCCATTTCCCACGTTGATTATCTATCCTCTATTACCGCAAATTGCTCCCAGCATCACACGATGTTGGCATCATTCGCCTAACTGCCTATTATTCGCTTTATATATAGGGTCCTTCCTACCGCCGATGCATCATCCATTACCACAAGCAAGTGCGGAGTTCGAGGCGTTGTTCCTACCACTAACATTGTTTTTGTCTACCATCCAACATGATTCTGGACGGCCTGTTTTTGTCCCTTCCTGTCTTTCAGGAGGTTCCTGACTGTATTATATGAGCATTTTCACTATTTAATTCCATAGTGCCTTTGCTGGTGACATTCATTCTACTCCTTTTACCTATAGTCCTATTATTAATACGACCCTTGCATAGACTTATTAAGCTCTATATATGCTGATCTGTGTGAAATACTGGCGGCGACAAAATTTCAGAAGCTCACTTATTTTGTTGGGCATGATAACAGAACAGTAAACTCTCGTCTTATCTGCACCATCGGATTTATTATACAGCACAGACACTGGTCCCGCGTTACCACATCCATGACTGAAAGGCCAGTATTTCTTCTTTCCCTGTCTAGAAATAGAGACCTTCTAACTCCTTTTCAGGATACAAAATGCCAGCACAAGCTGTCCCGATACAACGATGGGATCCCGACTACACCGCTGTCCTTGATGGAATAGAGAGGTTGGAGGTTATGTTACGGCATAGAGACCATACACCGATAGCAGAGACTGATCTCCGGCAGCGCATTGAAGGCTGCAAATTATCATTGGAGCAGCAAAGAAAGCCAATCCATAAAATTTTGGAAGACGTGGAGTTAGCTCTACGTCAGGCCCCATTTCTCTATCACCTGGAATTACGGAAGATTGTGGTAATATCCAACGCAATACGAACCCTATCCTATTATTCTCAACCGGACGGGAATGGCCAACGGGCTCCATATCAGTATGAGGAGTTTGGGGATGTGTTTCGGCCACTGACCGAGGCTCTACGTTGCGAACACTGTTTTCCAGACGCCGCGTACAATCAAATTGACCCCGACACATGGAATCAATACTCTTGGCCCTATATTGGTGCACTTCTTAAAGAGCACGCCATCTCAGAGCTTCCTCGTTGGTACCATCCGCCAACAGACGAAGAAGCTGCCATTGTGGATAGCCTTAAAGCGGTCTGCGATCGAGTTAACATAAGCTTCGAGACCGTTGCCTGGCAGATTGTCAACTATCACTCGTACCAGGAAACTCTTTGGGGGCCACAACAGGCACTGCGGACGGGAAACTGGGAAGTGCTCTTGGAAAGGATCAAAGGGGCGTTGGCAGAACTTCGGTTGCTCATGAAGCCCGGCGGAGGCAGAAGCTGGGAGGTGAAGCTTGCGGCCGAGTCCCTTCTCGAGGGTGTGCAAGCCGCGCTCTTGAAGTGGTTTATCCCCCAGGATTTGCTGAAGTGCTTTGATTTGAGCGACGCTGCAAAAGAGCACAGCCAGCGGGTGCTAGACAATCCAGATGGGCATTTCTCACCCCTCATGGAGTTTATTTGCCAGAGAAGGCCTCCTGGGTGGTTTCCAGAGACCCCAAAGGAAGAATTGCTTTTGGACTTGATGGGCCGTTTTGAACCAGATGTCAAGCCCCCATTCTTCTTACCAGCTGATCGATGCTGTTCGCCAGCCCGGATCGATATGGAGCCCATCCTAGGGCATGTGCTGGCGGCGGACCAAATCATCTCTCACAAGAGAATCCACGCGATTCTTGAAACATACCACTACATGGCACGTATTGCCGATAGTCAACATCCACTTGCCCCTGCTGCCATTGAGGATATAAGTCTGACGCTACTAATGTCCATACTTAACCCTTCGCTATATCGTAGCTCATTCCTGGAAGATCTTCCCAGATTCGCGAGGCTAAGTCCTGCAGAATTAGCACAGCATCATCTTGTTCGTTTACCCCATAGAGGTCTTGCTTCAACGGCCGACTTTGACGGGTTCTTCCCTATTAGCATGGGCCGATATGAAGTGCCCGTCCATGCCGCGGAAATTGTGGCGGAAATTGTGGCTAGTCTCAATAATGGAGACGAGGAAGTTCTACGGTTCCATGGGCTGGACACCAATGCCGAGGGCTTTATGCCCTTGTATAGTGAGGAATCAATGTCGTCTCTCGTTCCCCTTCTACGCGGTATTCTCAATTTTCACCTCTTGTCTCGCTCGTCCGAGAGGCTCCAAGACCCCCTTCGGCTCGTGGATCTGACACTCTCGCTGTATACTCTGGTCCGTAGGAACAACTTCGAATTGTTGCTGGATTCCGTTATTTTCACGCCTAAGGCCATTTATAACGGCGCTGGCAAGGACGAGCACAGCCTAAATGTCGTTGGCCTTACTCGACGCCTTGGTTTGGGTATCGTGGCGCTGAACCGAGAGGATGAGGGGTTTCCTACTACTTCGTCTAGCTGATTGTGTCTTGGGAATGACGGGCTTTGCTAGAAATAAGTCCACATTATTCATCCCAGACTTGTGGGATGTATGTATATTTTTACCTCAGTATGGATGGCAATTATAGAAGTCTGTTTCCTTGCTATTATTTAATCGCGTTCAACTTGCAAGCTCATTCATAAGTAACATAAGAAAACACGTAAATTCAACATTATCCACGAACAAAACAAATTATTAAGCCCCCTAATTCCATGCAAGTTTGGCGAAATTCTTCCTACATAGGTTGGACATTTTCCGCTTCCGCCGTAATAATGGAATGCCAAACGCCTGCAGTGCCACAGTATCAGGAAGACGATCTACCCATGTCGAAACATGCGGATTGCTTTCGTAAAAGCTAGCTCCTTCAGCACGGCAAAGTTGCTCGCGATCCACTTGGAGCCTTTTCTCTGTAGATGATACCAAGCGACAAGACAATGGCGCCACCGTTCTTTCTTGCCCGGGATGAGCTACGAGCTTGGGAGTAGAGGTAACATAGCTACTTGAACATCCACAGTAGGCGGATGAACCTGGCCGCGCTCTGGGTGACTGGCTTGGGTATGGAAATTGAAAGCAGATTTCATGCACTGGAGTATGAGATGACATTGAACTGGTATCATATCCGCTTGAGAGTGCAAGATCCACCAAAGAGCTGTCAAACTGATGCGACGAACATTGACACGATCTAAACTCTTCGAAGGCAGGCATCAGACTGTTAGACATGATCAACTTCAATCTGTTGAGAAGCTGGGGTCGGCAGTTGCATTCGTAAAGGCTGTCAACCCTTTGAGGCGGTTTCGTGGGATCGCTGAGGGTGGATGAAGGACGTTCGGCTGGAAAGTTTTCGATGAGACGAACCTTGCCATTCTGAAACACAAGAGGCTCGGAAGATACTTCTTGGGGAGATTCAGGAGGCATAGCTTTTTGTTGAAAAAACAAATAACTGTCTTTTCTCAAAGATATATATCGCTTGACACTCTGCTACCCAGTCTGGAAAAAGGCCTTGTGGATATGAACGGGCCCTCGAGCATTGACTCATTCTTCGAAGATGCAATACCCTTGACAAAGAAAATACTGTTAGTTCTTAAGACAGATATATACGGTATTGAAGCCGACTGCGAAATGTGAGTAATGAAATAGAGAATATTGTAGAAAGAAACAGCGGTCAAGACAGGCCGATAAAAGAGAGAAACGAGGTGTCTCGGGTACTGAGTACCCCTTGTCTTACCGGCGGCTTATAAACGACTGTAATAAAGGGTACAGAAGCAAAATCCGCGGTTCTCTCCTAGATGTATGGCACCAAGAGCCTTTATCATACTCAAAGCCTAGGGATGGTGCCGGGCCGTATCAACCTATTGCTCTCATTGCCCTTATTCGGAAACCATTCTCAAATAGGGGTGGCTCAATAATGCTTCGAGTCTATACCGCATATTTAGAGCCCTAGAAGGAACGAAAATATGTTAGTGAACGCATTTAGCGGATTGTTTTGATAGAGATTTGAGGCAAAACTTAGGTGCATCGGATCCAACGTTAACACTGGCGGAAAGAGTATGCCATTTATGATTTTTATGGCAGAATCATTGACTAGATATACTAGAGGGTAAAATAATGGGAAGGGAACGCGATAAAAGACGTTGTGGACTGTTCTGTTGGCGGTTGAAGAGGATGAAGGCCGACGGTCGCAACATGCTCCAGGGCAAGTTGGAAGCCAGCGCCCTCCTACAGCGAAGGAGCAATATTTCCCACCACAACGCCCGCAATGGATCTGGAAAAGAAGTAGAATGTGTTCTATTATCTTTTGACTAATAAAGAACTTGATTTTCTGGAATAACGAGGAATCCAAGCAAATAGGGATAGAGGAAAAGGCGGGCAGAGGGACGAGAATCTGCTTCAGGCAACGAAACGAGGAATTCTGGCCATTAAATAATGGAAAAATCATATGGAGCATTATAAATAGGCCCAGGGAGCCTGAAATAACCCCTAGAGCATCCATTTTGGAGTTCTGCGAGCCAGTGCAGGAAAATGAGGCCGAAAAGAAAGGAAAAAAAGTGCCGGGCAGGGCGAGACTCGAACCCTGGCAGGGGGGTACATAGGAGGTACCTCTACTCGAGGTACCTCCAATGAGTACAGCATAAAGGGCTTGAAGACAAAAAAGACCGTCGATGCAAGGCCGCGGGTATATTAATATAAAATAAATAAATTATATTGTATCATGTAAAAAAATATAGGATGCAAGCACCCTATCAAAACTCACCCCTATGGGCCCCTAGGGGTTGGTTTTAGACACACGATCGTTCTGAGACACCGAGATGGCCGTTAAGCAGCCATGTGCGTTACAACGGGTTACGTACTACCGAAGTTTCCTGTGAACCCTGCAAGCTGGTGTGATCCTACGCTTTAACCACTCGGCCAGGCAGATCGGTGTACAAAATAACACCTCTTTTGCAAATATAACCACCCTTTCCAACACTTCGCACCCCATTTACCGCCGCAACGCACTCGCGGGGATCTTCATCTTTTGGCAAGTTGCAGAACAGTGATTGCAGCAGGGGTGCATCAACTTTTTTTTTTCTTCCAGGCGGTGGGTGAATTGTTGTAGATTCCTTGGAGCGTCGGACCCCCAGCCCTAGGCATGGTTTGGGCGGCGATGAAAACCGGTAATAAGGACGCCGTGGCCCTTATTTGGCCCGGTGGCTGAGCGGTAAGAGCACCGGTGTCACTTTGGGGGAGTCCAGGTTCGAGTCTCCAGTGTCAATGGGGGGTTTGTTTTTTTCTAGATAGGCAACTGCCCACAGTCATGACCAAGACTTCCCGCGGGCGGCTCCTATTTGGCTGGATAGTCGAACGGTATGATCGCCGCTTTCATTTTCGGAGAACCCAGGTTCGAATCTCCAGAGGTCCCACACACTTTGATTTTCCCTAGGCAGCAGATGTGTCAACAATGAGGGTCCCAATTTCGGATCCTGCACCTTCCAATTTGGTCAAATAGCCGAACGGTATGAGAGTCGCCATCATTTTGACAGGCTCCGCGTTCGAGTGTCAACAACGCAATGATTTTGGTTTTCTTAATCCAGCGTGCCTACCACTTAGCAAGCACTAACCACACCCCGTACCTATTAGAGGCGACATCCTTGATTAGCACCAATATTTTGACCTCGGAAAAATACTTATTCAGAATAGTCGTCAATATCGCTTAAAAAAAGGGGATGTCGGCAATGAAAACAGCCGTGATATCCACCTTTTTCAAGAGCACACCCAAATGTAAGTCACCGGAACAATAAGAGGCTGATGCAGACAGGTGTCGTGAACATGTTGATAGGGGCTCGCAAAGGTATATGAAAAAAATGTCTTTAAAATATCACGACTTCAAATTATATGGAATCTCCCAGATCAAAAAAAGAAATACAATACGGAATTATTCGCGGTATTATATTATGATGCGTATTTCGAGGCCATGCCCTGGGCTAGTAATAAAATCAAAAAGCCTTCACGTTTCGAGCCGGCGAAGATCGATAACGGTAGATACCGGAGCATACGGGGTCTAAAGAGGCAGACGTCCGGAATTTGACAGAATATAATCGTGCCTCTCCTTGAGTATCCATATCGGCATCAAGTGAGGTTGAGCGTGGACCTTCAGTGATCGTTTATGATCCCGAGGCGGTGCAAAATACGTTTCTCGACGAAACACCACTGAAAGAAGCCGCCGGGTGCACGGGAATGATTTCTCAGGGAAAGTACCAGCAGTTTTGGATCTTCCTGGCGGCAAAATGCAACAGAAAGAGATGAAGAGATGAGAATGATGGAGAATGTCGATAAGAATAACAATGAACTGACGTTGAAAGAAAGTATTTGCTGAGTCAAACTATCTACAGGGATCTGTCATGGCTTGATTGGGCGATCCGAGCATTTGGCCCTTGGCGGCTGAAGTTTGAGGCTCACTGGGTGGAGACTCGATGGGCAAATCAGAGGCGAGCGATGACGGACCACATGGACGAAACCTTCGTCGCACCGGGAGCATTAGAAGTATCGCTCCGAACTCGCCGACTGATAGTTTACCACTCAGGTCGCATCGCTGTGGCTTTGGTCAGGTTTAATAATTTAGCCATCCCCCTCTTGATTCCCGCATTACTGTCAGATGCACGTCTATTTACAATCTTACCTTCCTTTCAAACCTCTACAATAACTTCATTTTACCTAATCCTTCGAATGCTCATGGAAAGCGTTCGAACTGCACGACATTCATAAGACGATCGCTTACCCTACATGTGCATATACCTCCACACCTAGATATATACCGATGGATCTCGGCCAATTGGTTTTGCAAAACACTGTCCTCCGCAGGTGAAATTATACTTGCTCCCATTTGACTATGGTACGGACGTGTACCTAAACGATGAGAACTACCCCACATCTTAAATATCCGGGTTTGCCGGGCTGGATATTCCGAACTACCGACAAAATCCCTTAATAACAAGGCTGGTTTAGGTGAAGCACGAGAGTATTTTGGTGGGGATGGCTTGCGATCAACATCTAACTATAGCTCCAACTAGTGAAGAAGCCATTATGGAAACTTTTCACAACGCTCTCCATTCATTAACACCTTGAAGTTTCACATACCTACTTCCCCACAATAATATTGGTACGCTCATAGATGTTGAAGATGCTTTCTTGAGAAGATTCTAAATTTAAATGCCTATGTCTATTGACTCTGATTGCTTACTGTCGAGGTTTTTAGGCTTTATGAGCTAGACAGTTGTGATCGGGTCAGCTCAGCATTTTGATTCAACTTCCTACATCCAGTAATCTGGATTGACTTAGGAACCAAGAACAGACCAGGCGCGATTTCTTGATTCTTGCAATTTGTAAGCATCAGATGTTGCAAGATTAATGTGCAGCTTTGGAACCGGATAGTGACTTTCATAGTATAAACACTTCTCTCGTATTTGAGATCAAGTTATTCAATACCGCTCTAATTCTTGTGCGCGGAAGATAGACGACATTACTGCCCCAATTCGCAGAGAAACTGCCTAGAGATTAGCTTACGCATACCAATGGGTTTCCGTGCATGCATCGATTTCCGGCAGATAATATATTATCTTTGATGACTATAGATCTTTTCTATCATTAACGGCTATGGGGTTATCTACAGAGTATATGACACCATTGCACGTAGAAGATGGGTCTGACCCGGATAACTAATAACTTGGAAAAGTTATGCGAGATAGCTAACCAATACAACAGCGATGGTCGAAAATAGTAGTAACATTAGATATATTGCGAGCTGAAACTGATAAGAAATTGTTTGTAAGGGCGACGATGGTAATAATGTACGAAGTACTCCGTCCTGCATCCAAAATTCTTTAGGCATTCGGCCTGCTTTCTGGGGGCTGGGCTGGCTATACGGAGAGGGTACTTCGTTTCCTTATCTCCGCGCCACTCCGCCAGCCTTATATTGGCCTTCATTGCCTTAATTCGTGGTGAGTATGATCCACATTCTCTTTTGACAGCGGCAGTTCGGGAGCCAAATCCAAAAAAAAAAAGGCTTTTCTACCATAGCTGGTTGTGATTGCACCAGGAAGCTCTCTTTCTCAGCCAATATCAATAGCCTCGATGGTTAACTAGCCTTGCGATCTGCACTCTCATCGCTTCCGTAGACCAAGGTAAAATGCTTCCGCGGCTCGTGCTCGACAGCCACGCGGCAGCTTCCAGAGCGAGAGCTCGCTCTGTCGCAGATTCAGAATCGTGTCTCGCTTGCGGCCATCGCGGCGCAACACTCAACCAGCCAGGCCAGTAGGGGCGCTGCGAGTAGGAATCGAACTGGCTGGTGGCCATCATCATGATGCGCACTGACGGCGTCCGCTACCCTCGCCGCTCAAGTGGATTGCCAGCCCCCCCAAGCCCAGGCCCAGCCCTCAAGCTCTCTCGCGCCCCTCAAAAACAGCGTATCTTTTCCTCCCAAGCTCTCGTACCAGCACCACTCAGCCATATCCGCAGCTGCTGAGCCCTGCCAAAAAAACTCGCGCTGCCGCAGACTTGCCGGCCGCTCATTTTCGCTAGTCAAGCTGGTCGCGGCACGTGCTGGCTGGGGCCTGTCACGTCTTCTCCTCCCAAGAACCGGTCGTGCAATCCTCATCCGCCTACCCGCCATCGCTACTGGTCTTGTGCCCTCCGAAAATTGATTCCCCCATTGACACTCAGGCATTACTCCTCAAACCTACCGTGATCGCACTCGCTTTCCATTCCTGCACTCTCTGTTGCTGCGTGATTCCGACCAAAACAACTTCTGAGCAAACGACGTCATGGCCGAGAACGCCGGCGGACAACCACCACCGCTAAAACGCAATGTCAAAGACCACGCTTTGTTTGAAATTTCGACAGAGGTGGCTAACAGAGGTCTGTGTTTACTTATCCGACTCCGCGAAAACTATGTGATATGGCCTAGCTGACTCCAATTGAGTTTCAAAGTCGGGGGTATCTACTCTGTTTTGAAATCCAAAGCTCCCGTAACAACCGCAGAATATGGGGACCGATATACGCTCATTGGGCCTTGGAACAGAGCTTCGGTAAAGAGCACTCTCTTCTCTACCCTTTTCTCAAATTCGGTTGTTTATTGACTTTGTGTACAGGCCGTCGTTGAAGTCGAGCCCTTGGTACCCTCCAATCCACATATCCTCGGAGCTATTGATGCTATGAAAGAAAGGGGAATTGATATTGAGTATGGGCGTTGGCTTATCGAGGGAGCTCCCCGAGTTGTTTTGATTGACACAAGTGCCGGGTATAAATACCTAGATGAATGGAAAGGAGACCTGTGGAACGCCGCCGGGATCCCATCTCCGCCAGGAGACAGCGAAACAAATGAAGCTATTGTTTTCGGTTACTTGGTTGCGTGGTTTCTTGGTGAGGTATGGAGTATTCCCTTCGTCGCCTAATACCTTCAAGTTGCATCATGGGTGGTGACACTTTCTTAGTATATCTGTAGGGATGCCAATCACGCCGTCATTGCGCACTTCCATGAGTGGCTGGCAGGTGTAGCCTTACCATTGACTAAAAAAAGGCGCATGGATGTGACCACCATTTTCACTACACATGCAACAATACTCGGCAGATACCTTTGCGCGAGTTCCGTTGACTTCTATAATAATTTGCAGAACTTCGATGTCGATTCAGAGGCAGGTAGACGAGGCATATACCACCGATATTGTATCGAACGCGCCGCTGCCCATTCCGCTGATGTTTTCACCACTGTCTCTCATATCACTGCTTATGAAAGCGAGCATTTACTAAAACGGAAGCCGGACGGTGTTCTGCCAAACGGTCTAAATGTGAAGAAGTTCGCTGCCGTTCATGAATTCCAAAATCTTCATTCTCATTCGAAAGAAAAAATACATGATTTTGTTCGGGGCCATTTCTATGGCCATAACGACTTCGACCTCGAAAATACGATATACTTCTTTATTGCTGGTCGCTATGAATATCGGAACAAAGGAGTAGATATGTTTATCGAATCCCTGGCTCGCCTTAACGCCCGGTTAAAAGCAGCTGGATCAACGACCACAGTTGTTGCGTTTATCATCATGCCTGCCCAGACGTCGTCCCTTACTGTGGAAGCTCTCAAGGGCCAGGCAGTCGTCAAATCCTTAAGAGATACCTTGGAGATGGTAGAACAGGGCATTGGAAAACGGTTATTTGAGCGATGTTTGAGCTGGCATGAGGGTGACAATATGCCCGATGAAAAAGATCTGATTACGGCTCAGGATCGGGTCCTTATTCGCCGTCGCCTCTTCGCCATGAAGCGCCATACCCTACCGCCTATTGTGACGCATAATATGATGAGTGATTCCGAAGACCCCATTCTGAATCAGCTCCGAAGGGTCCAATTGTTCAACTACCCGACAGATAGGGTGAAAGTGGTTTTCCATCCAGAATTTCTGAATTCCTCGAACCCAGTTCTTCCCCTGGATTACGATGATTTTGTTCGTGGCACAAACTTGGGGGTGTTTCCTTCATACTATGAGCCCTGGGGATATACTCCTGCTGAATGCACAGTAATGGGCGTTCCTAGTATCACTACTAATCTTTCGGGTTTTGGATGCTACATGGAAGAGTTGATTGAAAATTCGGCTGATTATGGCATCTACATCGTCGACCGCCGTCTAAAAGGTGTGGATGATTCTGTTAATCAACTAACCCAGTACATGTTTGAGTTTGCTTCCAAGAGCAGGCGTCAACGTATCAACCAGAGGAATCGAACGGAGAGATTAAGTGACCTGCTAGACTGGAAGAGGATGGGCATGGAGTATGTCAAAGCCAGGCAGCTGGCTCTCAGACGAGGTACGAGCTTTCCGTATTTAAAATATGTGCCATGCGGCCCAGGCCGTTGACTTGTGTTATTAGCGTATCCTATGTCCTTTGACCCGGAAGAAGATTTCCATGATATCATCGGCGGTACGGAGCAGAAGATCTCCCGTCCATTATCCATGCCTGGATCCCCTCGCGACCGGTCAGGAATGATGACTCCTGGCGACTTCGCGTCTCTTCAAGAAGGACGAGAAGGACTTAGTACTGACGACTATGTATCCTGGAAGCTACCGTATGTTATCAATTTCATAAGTGTTGTTTATTGGATGTAACTAACGATTGAATCTAAAAGTAGTGACGAGGAAGAGCCCGATGAATACCCTTTCCCCGTTGCCCTTCGAACAAAAGGAAAGGTTGAGACCCCGCATTCTCCCGACCGCGATGTTGTAGGGACCGTTGTAGGGAACGGAAGCTAGCCGAGCCCCTCAACTGACACGGTTCGCGGGATTTGTTTTGGGTACAATTCTCTTTTCGTAATTTCATGGCAATGTCCAAACTTCTATACCATAGCGTTTTAATTAGTCTTCAACCCTCGATGCATATATTCTGTGGGTCTGGTGAAAGAGCGACCTGTGGAAAATTGAAGCTGAATTTAATTGATCCTGTATTCTACTGTCCCTAATACTGTACGCCATTTGTTGAGAGGGGAATATTCAGGGCAAGATTTTTTTTCATTAGATTCCTGTTTCAACGCCTAGCATTAAACATCGCTGTTCTATGTCTTTCATGTGGCTTCTATACGAGTAACAATGCTGCACCTCAGCATAAGAAACTCGGTAGGCACCCGACATTTTCAAGGACCAACAAGGGGCAGAAGAAACATTTATTTATCACGTTTATAAATCTTGGCCAAAAAAGCCTCAAAAACCTCTTTTTCCAACCCCTCTGATGTGTCTAGGCCGGCAATTAGGTTTCTGAGCTTCGCGACTTGTTCTTCCTCATAATCATTATAGACCCGCACCATATTCAGCTCGTCGAAAACAGCTCGGACTTTGGCTTCGAGGTTCGAGTCCTTTCTTCCATAAGAGTCGTCCAGGATCTTACGTTGCTCAGGAGAACACCGCTTCAGCGCCTGATTGATGATCCAGGAGCATTTGTTGTCCTGAATATCGGTGCCAATTTTACCGATCTGCTCTGGCTTGCCATAGACGTCGAGATAGTCATCCTGGGCCTGGAAGTATTCGCCTAGGGGGATGAGAATATCATGTGTCTGTCGAAGATTCCTCGGCGTTGCGAGCTGTAAATAATGAAGAGCTAGAGCAACAGGAAGATAGAAGCTATAATAGGCGGTCTTATATATGACGATGAAACTGACTTTGTCCAAGCTGAACTTGCTTAAGTCGACTTCATCTTCAGGGGCAGTGAGCAAGTCGCACAGCTGGCCGAGTTCAGTTTGGAAAGAGGTTTCGTGGAAAAGCTCAAGGAAGTCAACGTATGCAGGGTGCGAGCGGAATTGTTTCTTGAGAAGGACGTAGATAGACGATTCGAGCATAAAGCTGTCATTGATCGCGATCATCCCGACACCTTTGCGCCTATACCAGCATGGCTCACCACGGCGAGTAATGGAGCCGTCCATTATATCATCTGACACAAGGAAAAACGCCTGCAGGAGTTCTGTAAGCCAGCCAAGGGTGCAGAGATCTTTAGATTCTTGCTCTGTTAAGGCTCGTTTAAGTAGGAACTCGCCGGAATGAGGAACAGAGAGGCCGCGGTTCAACTTTCCGCCAGGAGTATTTGTATTGAGAGACTTCACACAGGGTCAGTTGAGTGTTCCAAGTCAACAATAGGAAAAAGGAGCCCGTTAACACACATTCAGGAACCACTGCAGGGCGGCAGGGGGCATGCCGTACTGGCGGGCATGATCGCCCAACTCCTGTACCAGAAATGGGAATATACCCTGGAAGTCTGCTTTGCTTGTCTGTGCAGCCATCGTCTCGCAATCTTTTGCACGGAGACAGAAGTAAGGAATAGAGTGTGACGTAGTTTATCACAGACAATGCTGAGAAGAAGAGCTGTGGCGGGGGAATTTCCGGCATTTTTTCAACGGCCTCCTGTTTGCCATGTTTGCACCGCCTCGCGTTTGCCACGCGCCTTCGCGAAATGCTGGGAGGAGAGCGATCCCATGGTTCTGGCATGGAACATTCAACAGGCTACCAATGCAACCCGCGTTTGGATTTCAGAGTTGCCACACTCATGCCACACTCTGGCTGTGATTCTATTTGCCTAGACATCAACCGACCCTCTATGTAGACAACGCCGAGCCCCTAAATGATACGCCTGAAGTACCTGGCATAACCAGCCGCGGCCTACATTCCAAGATGGCGGTTAATGTCAGCGAAGAAAACATCCAGGAGCTGCGTCATCGGCTCGAGGATGCGGCGATCAAATGCTCTGAGCGATGTTTATACCAGTCTGCAAAGTGGTACGTCGGAGTTCTTCCGCTGCGAGTGTTAGAATGTTCAATGCCTAACGGGATCTTCAATAAGGGCAGCAGAGATGCTCGATTCTGTAATACCAATCGAGCAACTGGGGGATGACGATACAGAACCAGAATCCTCAATGGACTTTTCAACTACCGCCGAAAACCCATTTCTTGGGAATCCCGACCCCGAAGAAGGAGCATTAGAAGCTAAGGAGGCTCATAAATATATGCTTGCTAAATCCTACTTTGATACCCGCGAATATGACCGCTGCGCCGCCGTTTTCCTTCCTCCATCAATGTCCGCAATTCCTCTTGCCATGCCGGCCTCTACGCCGAAGACAAAAGCACACTTGATGCCGCACAAGGGAAAAGAGAAGTCAGTATCGTTTGGTATTCCTTCTGGAGACTCTACATCTCGCAACCCCTTTCCGCAGATAAGTCAGAAATCTCTGTTTTTGACTTTATACGCCAAGTACCTAGCAGGTGAGAAACGCAAAGATGAGGAGACAGAGATGGTACTTGGCCCGGCGGACGGAGGAATGACGGTAAACCACGAACTGCACGCTCTTGCTTCGGGATTAGAAAGCTGGTTTTCCAACCGCCAAGAACAAGGCATGGATTCTAGCGGCCAAGGGTGGCTAGAATATTTGTATGGGGTTGTTCTTTTAAAGTCCAAAAATGAAGTGGAAGCAAAGAAATGGCTTGTAAAGAGTGTACATCTATACCCGTTTCATTGGGGTGCTTGGCAGGAATTAAACGATCTCCTAACCAGTACTGATGATGTATGTAAGTCCTTTCTTCAAGACCATGACACCTGGGCTAATTCTATCTTCGGACCAGTTGAAACGAATAGTCGAGGACCTGCCCCAGAATATAATGACGTTGATGTTTCATCTCTATTGTAGCCAGGAGCTTTATCAAGCCACAGATGCAACTTACCAGACCCTTGTTGAGCTTGAAAACATATTTCCTTTCAGCGCATTTCTCAAAACCCAGCGAGCCCTGCTCTACTACCATTCAAAAGGTACCTTGGCCTTGAAAAAGCTGTTTTGCGAAGCTACTGATGCAATGAATAGATTTCGAACAAGCATCGTATCTTTTTTCGGAACTTCTTATCAACCATCCTCATCGTTTAGACGGCCTAGATCATTATTCTAATATTCTGTACGTCATGGGTGCTAGGCCGCAACTCGCATTTGTAGCTCAGCTGGCCACTGCTACTGATAAATTTCGTCCTGAAACATGTTGTGTCGTCGGAAATTATTACTCACTGAAATCAGAGCATGAGAAGGCGGTAATGTACTTCCGACGTGCTCTTAACCTGGACCGAAATTTCCTTTCCGCATGGACATTGATGGGACACGAGTACATTGAGATGAAGAATACACACGCCGCCATAGAATCTTATAGGCGCGCCGTGGATGTGAATCGAAAGGATTACCGAGCATGGTATGGCCTGGGCCAGGCTTACGAAGTTCTCGATATGGCTTTTTATGCTTTGTTTTATTACCAACGCGCTGCTGCCCTGCGTCCATATGACCCTAAAATGTGGCAAGCGGTGGGGTCTTGCTACGCAAAAATGGGACGGCCTGGCCAGAGCATTCGTGCTCTTAAGCGTGCGCTGGTTGCAGGATCATATTATGATACCAGTGGTTCTGCAATGAATTCGTTTGCTAGCGGGGCCGCTGCTGGCAGTAAGTTTCCACCCGGGGGGCCAGAAAGTGCTCAGCTTGGGCGACGCATCCTCGATCCGGAGACGCTACATCAAATCGCCACTTTATATGAACGCCTAGGCGACGAAGAGGAGGCCGCCGCGTATATGGAGCTTACTCTGCAGCAGGAGACAGGACAGACAAGCTCAAATGATTATGCTGATGGTGGTGATACCGACGCAGAAGACGATGGAATACCTGCTTCACGGCGGACATCAGCATTTACTCATCAAAATGACGAGTTGAATGATGAGCCAACGGGCACGGGTGTGACTGCAACTACCAGTAAGGCCCGGTTATGGCTTGCCAGATGGGCTCTACGACATAGTGATCTGGATCGCGCCGATCAGCTGGCTGGTGAATTATGTCAGGACGGAGTAGAAGTTGAGGAGGCAAAGGCGTTGATGAGAGATGTAAGGGCGAGAAGGGAGGGCAGCGAATAAATGAAATATAGCGGATTTGTGGCATTTTTTAGCGTATTTTTTGGGCTATGGCCCGCCTCCTGATGATATACCCTAGATTTTCCACCACCTACCCCATACGTGCTTCACCCACCTGGTCTTAATTGTGCCAGAAGAGATATAATATTGAATATTATGTTAAAAATTATGGTGTTTCTTCGCCATTCAATGTACGGCCGTTTTCATCCACACACATATAATACACACGTATCTTTTAAGTCTATAAACATTATGAAACACATTCAGCCATACCTCGGATTTTGTTGACGCATCTCCCAGGAATACAAGGGTATATGTAGAATTAGCAGATCTCAACTAGGCTCAAAACAACCTCTTTGGACCAGAGGTAAAATCTCTTGCCAATCCAAGCTAACTTTTATACCCCTTTCCACTCGAGAGTATTGATCTTGAGGGGCTGGTGTCGTGTCGGTCGCTGAATGAATTTCCTTCCGCCGTCGTTTCTTTGATGCGCCATAACCCCATTTGAGGCAACCGGCAAAAATGGCTTTTCCATATGCTTCCCGCCTCGGTTTGAGAATCCCGCGGCTACTTGCAGCAAGTTGCAGGATTCTCCATTGTACAAAGACAATTTTTCCTGATTTGGGAAAGTATTCCCGCTGCCGACAATTGACGATTTCATTACCCATGCAAGCAATCTCCGAGGCGATCCTACATTCATCTCCATTTTTTGAATCAACAAGCACAACACCGAGAAGTGAAGGCGAAATAGCTTTCAGCTTATCACAGAAAGAGGAATCAAATTTGCTTCTTGCAGTTATTTCGATAAGAAATTGTGAAACGGACATCGCTGCTGATCGTTTTAATTTTTGTAGGTATTTATTTAGCATGGGGAATGTTCCTTTTGAAAGGCTAGATCCAAACAAAATGGGTATATTGTGCAATATCCAGTCATTTTTGACAGCCGTCCCTTCAATAAGACCTTGACTAGCATTTCTAAAAAGGTCTTCTGTAGATGTTTGTTTCAAAATTCCCTCAACTTGAGAAACCGATTGAGAAAAGCTTGGAAACTCCAGCATATTTTTGCTAGTCACTCCTGTGGCATTCAAATGCCTGCTATTTAAATGCTCGGGGAAGTTCTCCAAGTTAAATGAATTTAAGGATGAGAGTGGTGACCCGGGTGTAGAGGTAGTGCAAGGTATTCCCAGAGGCGTACAGTTCTGCTGGTTTGTTTTTGCTGCAAAGCCGCTTACATCGGCCAGAATTGCAGTGGTCGAAGGGCAAGAATCCTTTGAAGAGAATGCATGTTCTGTGTGGTCGGGCAAAATATTTATCACTTGTGAATTATTTCGATGGTACAGTTTCTGTCTCTTATTTGACATCCCCTGGGCATTTGGGGTATTGGAGATCGATAGAGTCCCAGTTGATCTTCTAGAAACATAGCGAGGCGCAACATCTACCTCATGGCTTCCCTGTAGTTCGATAAGAGCTCTGTCTTTGTGCACAAAACTTAGTCCTGGAGTCATCTCAGCCTGAAAACTTAGACAGGGCGGGCTATTAGGAGGACTGGACGACGAGGACGACTTGTCGGAATCATCTACTATATACTCCGATATGCCACCCCTGCCGTCCAGCTTAGTATTCCAGAGTGCAATTTCCTGCGATAGTTCGTCTTCCGGAATGGTACGAGACGTCTCCGCAAGGCGCTGCAATTCCGCAAATGTAATAGCTTCGTCGACACTACGATCGGAGTGAATTTTCAGCACACGAGGAAATCTCAAAGTATAGTACCTCACATCTTGCGGGCGCTCGAAGCAGCTTCCTACCATCTCCACCACGAACGGCATTCGAAAAAGAACTTCTACCTCGGGCATTTGAGGCTGGTCTGATTTTATGAGGAATGGACTGGAAGTGGGATCGCAGATTTGAAATTGGCCCAGCTGATTAAGGGATAGAATAAGTTGTGGGCCAATGTTGTGACGATTAATCACGTCGATCACCCGAAAAACTTGTCTCTGTATGCCTGATACCTGTTGAGTCGTTTCTAGGCAACCAACAAAAAAAGATGTCCACAACAGTTTTTTGATAGTCTGCATTTTGTTGGCATCATTGGCATCATATCTTGCTCCTACTAATGCGAAGTCTGCCGAGTCTCCCAAGCCGGGAATATATTCCTTTTTCAATTTGATCCAGCGTCCAAAATTCGACTTGGCAACACTATCTTCAAAAATCGGAAAATATGGCTCTTCGTTTCCCTTTAGTACAAGACCTTCCCATCGCTGTGCCGCCGCCATGGCGACTGCGTCTTTTAAACTATCGAAACTGTCAGGATAGGAGAAGTTGATCACTTGCTGCTTCGCTATCTCAGAATAGCCTTCAATGGACTTGACAAGGTCTTGAAGAATCTGCCTGCGTTCGCGATATGGTTGTGATAAGCAAACCTTGTCATCAACTAGCAATACATCAAAGAATGCCAGGTACAAGTGCTCATGCTGGTCAGGTCTATGTATGTTAGTAGAGCATAAGATGCTATAGCGAAGGCATGACATACGGTGAGTCATTCTCAATTCCGATAAATGACCCAGACCTAGGGATATGGGATCGAAGTTTATGGAATGGAAGAATTTTGGATTTAGCGTCGCTCCAGACTAGGACTTCGCATTCAACGATGCATCGATCAAAAAATCGGCAATCACTTTGACCAATTCTTAGGGACTCTTTTACTATTCGGTGTGCCCCTATTCTATCTGCTGTTGAGTCCTTTCCACTTTTCGAAAAGATTTGGATAGCTGTTGGCCCCGAAAGATTGATGTGAACTTGGCAATATTCTCCATCATACTTCTTTTCGACACTCATTACTCGGCCCTCCGCCATTTGACAGCAATGCTGGAGGCTTCTAGCCTTGAAAAAGTCGACCCTTCCAACTTTAACTCCCACCTCCGGTTTGAGATATGGAAGCGCAATTGTTGATAAGTGGCTAGCATACTGTCTTTCAGGCCGGGGCGGAAATGATTTCACTAGGTCTTGATCAAGAAATTTAAGAGCTCCGCTAAGCGAGTTTTGAAAGAGAAGCAAATTTGGCAGTAAAAAATGGAAAGTTTTGAAGACCAATTGGGAGGGAACGACGACGGGGCTGAAGTCTTTTATAATTAGCCTCGTGAGCCATTTGCCGTCTCGGCTCGACAGCCTTCGGAAGATTGGTGATAGAGTCTCATCAACCCCAACGGCATCGTATTGATAACGAACAGCAGGGCCAGAATGTCTGCATCGAGATGCAATCTTGGCCAGTGCGAGGTCTATTTCTTCGACAGTAACTTCATTATTTGATTCGATTTGATTTTCCGCCTGTCTCATGACGTGCTCGACGCATTGGCCTAAATCTCCCCAGCCCCTTTCTCGCCATCGGTCTAGTTCCTGTTTTCTACAGGCACCGAGCAAGAGGCAGCGGCCAATGACTTTTACTAAAGATGCCTCTCGAAGTCTGAAAACTCGTTCTGGGCGCTTCTCTGGGGAGATGCAGGATAGAAGAGCAAGGCGGTCGGTATCCCCACTATGTATCTTCTTCTCATGGCGATCAAACCAGTTTAAAACTGTAGAGCTATCTGGATTTCTCTTCTTGGCCTCTGAAGCTGCCTTGAGAGTACGATTGTTATCCAAAGTAGAAAGAAGATCGCAGACGTAGGAGAATTTAAAGCCCATCCTCAAGATCGCACCGCGAAAGTGATAATAGTCGAGGCGGCATCATTCAGACCAGCGGTGCCTGGACTCGAAAATCGGCCAAGGGCGGCACATGCATACATGCAATCAGAAAACAGCCAAAAGAGAACGCGTTTCTTAAGCTTTGTCTCAATAAACAGATAATCGGCCTAATGCAAGTGAGGGCAGGGATTGAAGCGCCAGGCACCAAGTGTAACGCGAAGGTTCGCGCCCTAAACGCCACTGCACGTGACCCGGATTGCCGCGCGGTTAAGCAGCTTTTTAGAGAAGATGATATGGTATTTGGATAGGATTTATCAATAGAAAAAAACTAAGTTTACAGTCCGTAGATTGAATGAAACGCCCCATACCAAAAATTACCGATGTTAGCGCCAACTCCAGCCAGTATCCAGCCAGAGAACCCCATACCAGCGAAACTCGAAGGTGTTTACAAGATACCCTGCTTCTGAAGACTAGGGCATAATTAGCATAGGACAAACAAATATGTAAAGGCCAAAATACGTACTCGTAGTAGATACGCTCCGGCATCACGTTTCCCTCAGCATCCTCCATTTGAACTACGTTCTCCCGAGAGTCTTTCTCCTTCTTCCTATCCCGTTCAAGCTTCTCCCAGAGACGTAAGGCATCTTCGATCTTTGTAATCTCCCTAAACAAACTTGTTTGCTGGGTGATGCCAAGGCAACGCAGACCGTAGATGTGTCTTGCTTCGGAAAAGTGTTTATCGAAAGCACGTCGACCCATATACACAAAATTGCCACATATTTCGCAGGGCAATTCCACTCCCAAACCATGAAGTTTGTAGAGCCAGTAAGGAATTGGTTTTCCATCCCAAGCCAATGGTAACTTAAGGGGGTTGTATATCTTTTCTTCACTATCGCTGTCTGAGTCTTCGTCACGACGAAGCGGATCCATATCTCCAGTATCCGCCATGAGAGCTTCAAGTTCCATCTGACGTTCACGTTCTGTCATTCCTTGCTTTCTCTCGACATTAACACGAGTTGCGTCTCTCTCCTTCAGGAGAGCTTTTGCTAGCGACTGGATCCGATATTCGCGCTCGGCAATAGCCTTTTCTTTTAAATGACGGACCGCAGTCCCAGCCCCGTTAGGTTTAGAGTTGTTGGTTTCAGTGGTACCGTTGGCTTTTCGTGCTTCCGCCGCTCGTATATGTTTCCTGCCAGTGAGGTGGTTTTTATATACGTTATCATTTTTGAACTCTTTTTCACAGTCCGGGCACCATATACCTTCCCCAGATCCTTCAGTCTTTGGAGCCGACGAGGCCTTAGCTGAATCCTCGTCTTCCCAACCAGGGACTTCCTTTGCCTCCCAGAGGCTCTCGAATTCCTCATCGAGTTTTTCAAAGAACTCATCTAGAGGCTCCAATGGCTTGACACGTTTTATAAAACTTTCTAAATAGCCCGAAAGATTCCCTACGTACTTGAAATACGTATCCGTTAATTTCGTGTCTCTCTTAATCGGTAACTGCGGTTGGGTGAAGATGTCAAACTGGTCGAGAAATTGCAAATATGTCAATCTTTTAACCCCAGGAAGATTTAAATACTCTTCATGAATCGTAGTGAGATCGAAAAATTGGCCGTAGGACTCTTCTCCGGTGAACATATGATCTACCGCTGATACCAAGGTTTCCCCATCTTGCCTTCTCCTGTACGCTCGTTCTAGATTTTCAACAGGCTCATTCGGATATCGTCGATGAAAGTCCTTTATTTCCTCCAGTTGTTTGTAGAATTCTTCAAATGGGTCGCCAGCCGATATAGCTTGGATTTCCCTCGCACGAAGTCCGTCTGTATCATTGTAAATATCGAGGAGGCGCTCTGATTGTCCATGTATTCGATCCAAGAATCCAGAGATCTGATGGTCTCTATTTAACCTGTCTCTTATCTACTCTCTCTTGTTAGCATTGGTCGTGAGGTAGTAACAATTTGAGACTGACATTTCGAGGCTCCTCCAATATTCTGTCACTAATGCCTTGCTCAAGCCTCTCGAGATCTTCATGGATAAACCTCTGATCTTCCACCAACATCTTTGCTGCTGCTATGCTGATCAAATTCTCTGCGGAGAGAATTCAATCTGTGGCGGGGCTAAACTTGTCCAAAGCACACGCCTTGAGCATCTGGAGAGTTCCAATATTTGTGTCTCTGCACGTGACCGTCAAGAAACGCCCGCGCCTTCAAAGCTTCAAATTCTTCGATGTGCACAAGAAGTAAGAGAGGCTCGCCGCCCATCCTAGCATTGACTTAGCCGTTTTCCCTGTATTACATTCATCTTTCTATTTGGGGGCACGTTTAAAATGGCAGACACTTTCGACAAAACTACAGATGGTACGCCCCAATCCCGCGACATATTGGCATTATGAGCTGACCAAAGGGCCAGAGAGGATCGAGTTCACAACCTCAAAAGAGGTCACGGTCGCTCCGACCTTCGATGATATGCACTTGAAAGAGAATCTCCTAAGAGGAATTTACGCATACGGATTCGAATCGCCATCAGCTATCCAGTCTCGTGCCATTGTTCAGATCTGCAAAGGCCGCGATACTATAGCGCAGGCGCAATCAGGTACTGGTAAAACAGCAACATTCGCGATCAGTATTCTACAAGTTATCGATACTGCGCTTCGTGAAACCCAGGGTTTGTAGTCTGCTCAGCATCTATTCGCTCTTTTTGCTAACCGCGTACGCGCCCGGTAGCATTGGTTCTCTCTCCGACCCGTGAACTCGCAACACAGATACAAAATGTCATCATGGCTGTTGGGGACTACATGAACGTACAATGCCACGCGTGTATTGGAGGCACAAACGTTGGCGACGATATCAGAAAGCTTGACCACGGGCAACACGTCGTTTCCGGAACGCCAGGGCGCGTTGCAGACATGATCCGGCGCCGCCACCTTCGCACGCGGCACATTAAAATGCTTGTTCTCGACGAGGCTGATGATTTATTGGCGCGAGGTTTCCGGGAGCAAATCTACGACGTCTACCGATACCTTCCCCCGGCGACGCAAGTGGTTGTTTTGTCCGCCACTCTGCCTTACGATGTTTTGTCGATGACAACCAAATTCATGACAGATCCAGTTCGCATCCTGGTGAAGCGTGACGAGTTGACCTTGGAGGGTTTAAAACAATACTTCATCGCAGTGGAGAAGGAAGAATGGAAATTCGACACCCTTTGTGATCTATACGATACTCTTACCATTACCCAGGCAGTCATCTTCTGCAACACCAGACGTAAGGTCGACTGGCTGACTGATAAAATGCGAGAAGCCAATTTCACAGTATCCAGCATGCATGGAGAAATGCCCCAGAAAGAACGAGACAGTATCATGCAGGATTTCAGACAAGGAAATTCGCGCGTTCTCATTTCTACAGATGTTTGGGCACGTGGAATTGATGTACAGCAGGTGTCTCTGGTTATCAACTACGATCTCCCAAGCAATCGTGAGAACTATATCCACAGAATCGGCCGAAGCGGTAGATTCGGCCGCAAGGGTGTGGCGATCAACTTCGTCACAAGTGAGGATGTCAGGATCCTTAGAGATATCGAACTCTATTATTCTACTCAAATTGATGAAATGCCCATGAACGGTAAGCTTCTGTTGATGGCCCATCCTCTCATTGAATATTTATCCCTTAACCCTAACCTACCCTATAGTCGCCGATCTTCTCTCGTAAATGTCCCATTGTTTAGTCTCGAAAACGAAACCAAACCGATACTCGACACGACCACCCATTAGATCAATGGTTTTCTATCAACTGTAGCGTCGTTTGACTGCACGTATCTCTAATATCTGTTCCGTCGATCCAGGTCCATCAAGAGTATATCTGGGCACAGAAAAAACGGAGCAAGACGAAGGCAAATATTAATTGTGGAGGAACAGGGTGTACCCGGCAATAAGTACGTATTTGCTTTACTTTTTTCATCTAGATCTGATATTGTCTCAGCTAACTTTTTTCCACTGGTCAAAAATATAGGAATGTCTTTTACTTTTCCATTATCCAGCCGCGCAACAATGAAGACTGCTAGGACTTGAAGTCGATGGGTATTTTAGGCTTCCTAGTTGTACAGCACGGGCTTATTTTGAGTACTTCTTGCGTATCTTCCTCTTCATTCTGCGCTGAATCTGAGTGGATAAGGTAAAATCACTTCCAATATACTGTCATTTCAACTAGCTTTTTTAGAGGAATCAAAATGAATGACCCTTTCATGATCGTTTCCCTTTCGCCATAACTTAGTACATTCCTACAGAGGGCGGCCAGCTTTAGTCTCTGTGGATTAACTTCATATCATCAACCTAGGTCGTTTGCTATTTACATTCGCAACAATCTCTGATGTCCTTCCAAGTAGTCGAAAAGAAAATTGGCGAAAGCCTGAAAAGCCGGTAATAAATACCCTTTGCAGCAAGTTAAGAGGTATATAAAAAAAATACACAAGCACCAAAATAAAGGAGCGCTCTCGAGGATAGCAATGATAAAACTATATCCCAGGAAAAAAAATCAAAGCCATCCGATGTCTAGAAACTTCAACCTCGTACCCCATGCCGACCCAGAAAACATAGTTTGGTTAATGAACCCCTAGGGAGGAAATAAAATGTGGGACGAAAGGAAAGGCATGAACAAAAGTATCCAAAGGGAGATCGTCAAGAGGAATTTCAACAAGAAGCCAAACGAGCCCCCCCTTTCTTAATGCTTTCATTTCGAATGGTGTAGACAAACTCCATATATCAATGTGTGATATGTGCGGCGATGAGCGCCTAAACCGAGGCCATGGGCGCCAATGATTGTATGAGAAGTTTAGGAAAACAAATGAGTTAAAAAGATAAGCAAGGTACTCCGTAATATTGTCCAGGGACTCCGGCATATGGGATAACTCTAAGCCCTGGTCAAGTTTGCTTAATGCATAATGGAAGAGCGATTGATATAGTATCCTAGGGAACTAGGACGTATAGTGCCGTTACTGGAACTGTGTGACTTGCTATGACTAGGAAAGCTGGTTGTCCATCTGGATTTAATATTTATTAGTATATCTTTGGCGAGAAGCACAGGAAACATGGCTTACATTTTGACTTTTCTGTCATCACCAGCCGACGCAAACATTCCAGAGTCCTTAGGGTTCCATGCCACCGCATTAACACAGCCGGATGAATGACCCTCAAGAGTCTCAACCAGAGTGCTGTTTTCCTTATGCCAGATATAGATTTTCGAATCTATGCCAGGTTAGGACTCACAATAAAACGGGTTGGAAATATTCCTACTGACCTTCACTCCCACTCACAATGAAATTTTCTGCGGCACCGCCAAAGCTGCCCCGGATGATGAACTTGGCTTGTTTTTGGCCCGAATATTGGCGAACCACATCTGTGGTTTCGATGTCGAGAAGTTGAATTTCACCTTCAGACATGTTGACCAGCATGTACCTGGAGTCTCGAGTAATATTGATACACGTAAGATCAAGCTTCAGAAGAATACTATACTCTTCTTCCCGAGTTTGAAAGTTGTATACGTGAATCCTCCTCTCTATCGAGATGGCAATCAGTCGCTTCCCATCCGGGGAGATGGCGCAGTCTCTAATTCGCGAGGAGCCAGGCCAGGTATAAAGTGCAGTTCCTTGAGTATCCCAGAGACATAACTGGGATTGCTGGTCAAGAGAACAGGTGACAAAGGTTTCGCCATCGGGAGCCCACGCAGCAGAGGTAACAGGTTCATGGTGATGATTGATAGTAAGAATACACCGACCCGTCTAGAATAGAAATAATTAGCATCATACTAGCCATGACGGGCAACAGGAATACCCACATCCGCGTCCCATAACCGGGCTCTATAGTCCTGACAGCAACTGATCAATTTGGTATCGTCCGGGCTCCAAGTCGTGAAGGCGACGGGGCCAGTGTGGTCTTCCAATCTATGTAGAAGATTGAAAGTTTTTGCGTCGTAAATGATCACAGATCGATCGCGACTGGCGGTAGCTAACTTTGTACCATCATGGGAAAACTCCAAATACCACACTTCATCAGTGTGGTGACTGAGCTCTGTTACGGCTTCTCTAGGAAATTGAGCACGGTCACACATATGATCGGAATAGAGTGAAGGCGTTTCTGCAGTATTGTGGTATAAACAACGATTGATCTGGCCTTGTTTAACCTGATCGAGTAAAGCTGCTAGGCGATGCTGGGGAATCATAACCGAAGGAGAAATGGATTCTAGGCTCCAAGGTTAGTTTGTTGCTATCTCGACTGCAGGAAAACACCGCAAAAAGAAAAGCAAGGCATACTTGAAAGCACGTCAAGTAGCTTCTGTCTAGAGCTAATCACCGACGCTTCAAGTCCTGCCTGCGCACGAAGGTCTTCAGGCGGACACATCAATAAACTAAACTCCGTTAGAGAATGAATCGGTAGGGTTGTTATGGAGAATCACCTTGAAAGTGCATGGAGTCTAGAGATATCGTGGTTCAGAGGGGTAAGCTCGTTCCGTAAAACCATGAGTGCAGTTGCGAGATCCCGCCGGTCAAGTAGCTCAAGAAACCTCTGTTGCCTCAAGCAAAACAGCATTTCATTCTTGTCCGCATCCTTAGCTAAAACCAAGCCGTGATTTCCTGATCGCTGTTTTCCATTTGCCATGCTCTTTTCGTCTTCATACAACGACTCTAAGAGAATTCGCTCTGCCTCAGCCCATTCTCCATCCACTACACATGACCGAAACGCAGCCACTGCGCCACTCTCCAGTTCGTATTTACTCTCACGACACAGAGTGGTGGCCGCATCAGGATACCCCAGATCATATAAACTTTGAATCAATATTCTCGTAACCTCTTCTCTACTATGGCCGTAGTATGTGGGTGACGAGGATGGATCAGACGTACCATTCGTCTGGAATTGTGCTGGCGAGTGTGGAGACCGGCCGTTGAGGATATTTGACATGGCGGCCTTTTTTGAGGCGCTCGTGGCCCCGTTCGTTATTGGCGAGTAACCGTTGGTGTTTGACGTCGATGCTGCTCCGTCCGGCTTCATATTGTCGGCCAGGCGCCTCCGTTTAGTAAGAGGCCTCTCGTTCTCTAGCGAATGTGATGTTTGGTATAAGAGGGAGTCTTGAGAGGCGTGATGACTACCTCCGCTGTATCCGGAACCGTTACTTCTGGGCAAGCTGTCAGGAGGATCTGGTCTCTCCGCAGAAGGTTCCCGGCGACGTCGAAGACGGTTAATGCGAGTAGCGGTTGATTCAGAGCTCGGGCGAAGAAGGTTCAGAAGGTCTTCTGCGGTGTGTTGGAGAGGAGAGGGAGGGTTCGTAGAGCTTGAGAGACCAACGGCAGAGCTGGTTTAAGAGTTAGACAGAAGCGTATGGTCGCCTGGCAAAGAACCTACACTGACTGGGGGTTTGAGCGAGGGTTCGAACGGCCGGATCCAGCAGAGGCAGGTTGGTTGGAGGAAGCTTCGTCTGCCAGGTCGAAGTAATCAAGCAGCCCTTCAGTCTGGTTCTCCAGAGAACCAGCTGAATAGGCCTGTACGGGTGGGGGACGAGAAGGTGCCCGCAACAGCAGGATACAGGATCAGCGGCTCAAGGAGCTTCGGCCACGTCTGAGCAGGTCAACGAGGTCAATACTTGAGGGAGCGAAGAGTGAGCGGTCGCAGCAGAGAGCGAGAAGTGGGTCTTGGAAATGACGACAGCGCAATAACTGGTGGAGGGAGCGGCAGCAGGGATAGGGGACAGGGCAAGATGGCCGCAGTGAAGGGGACAAGCTATACAAGGCGGGTGGTGAATGCCAGCGGCGGGTTGGAGAGAGAGAGAGAAGTTGCTGGTGGTGCGGGAGAGAGCTTCGAGGTTGGAAGGCGAGCCGTAGGTGGACGGAAGTCTGTCTGTATGGATGGATGTACTGTACGCTCTGTGCTGGCAGGGAGTGACCAGCGTATCTACGTATGGATGTATGTATTTTACCCACGCAGGCCCGCTACCGTCTCCGCGGCTGGGCAGAGACAGCTCTCGTGCTGGGCCTGTCACTGGCATCCAGCACCGGCCTGCAATGGTGCCTGTCGCTGCAGCTCGTGCTGCTGGCCATCCGACGCGGAGTGTCCCTAACAACCGGGGCTGGGCCAGAGTACCTTGCTGTATGTAAGGGTTCCAAGGTGTGTGTGACTACCACCACAGCATCCTCAGGCCAGTAACTGGCTACGATACGGCCAGGCTGCCACAATCTGGCCGCACAGGCCGAACTCGACGGCTCTCCAACCTTCTCTCCGCCACTCTCTCGTGAGAGCCGGCGATGACGGTTCAGACGAAAACCGCCGTATCGTCACGTCACGCCAGTTAGTCACCTGGCGGCCCACCAATTGATTGGTCGGGGCGCTGCACATGCACCAGGGTTCAGTTGCGGGCGACGACGTATCGATTCGTTTCTGTCTCTGCAGCATCTCTGCCCAACAGCCAGAGAGTGTAGCAATGCAGTCTGTGCTGCTCTACAAAGCGCTCTCCACGACTGTTGGCTGGACGTGTCCCTGGCCCGATACTGGACGTGGGGCAGCCAGTCAGACGAGGTCGGTGGATGGCGTGCTGGCTGCTGATAAGCCGGCCATATTATTATCACCAGCCAGAAACGCCTATCGGGAAGACGGTACGGAGTACTCCGTACACAGTTGACTAGCCAAACGGCGTGATACCACGGCCCTGGTTCTTCATCATCATGCCTGTGACTGGTCCTTCGTCCGAGGCCACCGCGTCTCCACTCGACCGCCTGTTCAGCAACGATGACTCTTCGCCCGTGGAGAAATGAGGGAGGCGGGCCACTCAATCGTCACAAGGCCGATCACAATCAAATCGGGTAAGCGTCGGCGAAATTTGCTGCTTCGGAATAATCCGACGGCCGAAGTGGCCCCAGCCAATCAGCGATGGCAGTGAACATTCGGCTATTTTTTCTGCCACCCGACCTCACCGCCCATGTGTATAAATACTATGTCCTCCCCGCCCCATTTTGGACTTTTTTTCTTTTCTTCTCCAGCTCTCTTTGCCATTATGGCTTAGATCAAGTGTAGTATCTGTTCTTTTCAGTTTAATCTCTGAAAGTATTCTAAGGAATACAACATTGATTAATCTCATTTTTGGAATTCGCAGAAAGACCTCTGTGCTTGCGCATGTCTTTTCGCACCGTGTCATCGGTCTTACACTACCACCGATCGACGCGAACCCTCTTTTTTCATCAACTTCAGTCGGCTTGTTTCCGACGATTTGGCGAAGAAATCGGGTCGTACACTTTTCTCTTGAAACACGTTCTGGGGCAGTGTGGCATGATGCCAACAAGCGCGTAGTCATTCTCCATAGCTCTGCAAGTTTTCTATAGTGAAACTAGAAGCCCTGCACAAATATACCTAGACCACGAATGACTCCTGTCCATGTTGCAAGGGCGTTCGTTGGCACTCACCCAGATTCTATCCTCGTAGCCCTCCGCCTTCTCGTAGACATCGCAGCGGTTGGCTGGCATTGACTCTTATGGCTGTCGCGGCGCTTGGCAGGCGGTATGGCTGAGGCGGGCTGGCAAGGCCGCACACCTCATCCCCCAACGACGAAGCGCTGCATCGGGGTTCTGAGATGCCCGTGTGGAAAATCGCATGCTTGGTCTAGGCCGACCGTCTCTCAAAAGTCGATCCTCCATTTTGGACCTGGTCAGGGAGAGCAGTAAGCGCAGTGTTGCGCCCGCCAGTGAAGCTTATCCCGCAGTGAGCGACACCCGTCTGCCTGGTGCTGCTGCCGGTCGTCACCCGCCCACCTCCAACCACACGCTTCCTCCGCAAACGACATCTGTTCCCGCGGCTCAATTGCCAACGCCGCCTAAAATGCCTTCTAAGGATTCGAGTAAAGCCCGCGACGGCGTCGATGGAGCTCCCGATGGCGCCGTCTTCTCCGTGTCGGGTCCTGTTATCGTTGCTGAGAACATGATCGGCTGTGCTATGTACGAGATGGTAAGTTTGCAGTCTTGCTCCGCCACCGTTTGCCATACTTATAATATCGCTGGTATAGTGCAGAGTCGGGTATGACCTGATTGTCGGAGAAGTTATTCGCATCGAAGGAGACCGAGCTACAATCCAGGTTTATGAAGAGACGGGTATGAACTAACTCTCCACCGCCTATCGTGGCTTTCAGGGCGTATTTTTCGCCAACTTTTCACTAACCCATTTCTATTGTAGCTGGTGTCACCGTTGGTGACCCGGTTGTTCGAACCGGGAAACCTCTGTCCGTCGAATTGGGACCTGGTTTGATGGAAACCATCTACGACGGCATCCAGCGACCCCTAAAGGCTATTTCTGACGATTCGGATAGTATTTATATTCCTCGTGGTATCTCTCTACCCGCTCTAGATCGGAAGAAAAAGTGGGACTTCAAACCAGGCGAATTCAAAGTTGGCGACCATATTACAGGTGGAGATGTCTGGGGAACAGTCTTCGAAAACAGCTTGCTTCACGACCACAAGATCCTTCTCCCACCACGAGCTCGTGGTACCATTACGCGTATCGCGGAAGCAGGCAGCTACACTGTTGATGAGAAGCTTCTGGAGATTGAATTTCAAGGAAAGAAGACGGAGCACAGCATGATGCACGTTTGGCCTGTTCGAGTCCCCCGTCCTGTTAATGAGAAACTTGCTTCGGAGTCCCCGTTCATTGTAGGTCAGCGAGTGCTGGATGCTTTGTTCCCAAGCGTTCAAGGTGGAACTGTTTGTATTCCTGGTGCGTTCGGGTGCGGCAAGACTGTTATCAGTCAGAGTGTCTCGAAGTTCTCCAACAGTGACATAATTGTTTATGTCGGTTGCGGTGAGCGAGGAAACGAGATGGCTGAAGTCTTGATGGATTTCCCAGAGGTAAGTTTTCCCATTCAGTCCCTAGGGTTTCTGTCGTTGACCTCCCCGTCAGCTCACCATTACTATCGACGGCCGCAAAGAGCCTATTATGAAGCGTACTTGTCTGATTGCCAATACATCAAACATGCCTGTGGCTGCTCGAGAGGCTTCCATTTATACGGGTATCACCGTTGCAGAATATTTCCGTGACCAGGGTAAGCATGTCGCTATGATGGCTGACTCCAGTTCGCGCTGGGCTGAGGCCCTGCGTGAGATTTCTGGTCGTTTGGGTGAAATGCCGGCAGACCAAGGTTTTCCTGCATATCTCGGAGCGAAACTTGCCTCATTTTACGAGCGTGCTGGACAGAGTCTGGCTCTGGGTAGCCCTGAGAGGAAGGGAAGCGTCAGCATCGTCGGTGCGGTCAGCCCGCCCGGTGGTGATTTCGCAGATCCCGTCACATCCAGTACTCTCGGTATTGTACAAGTCTTCTGGGGTCTTGACAAGAAACTTGCACAGCGAAAGCACTTCCCGTCTATCAACACATCTATTTCCTACAGTAAATACACTGCCATTCTTGACAGATATTACGCAAAGGAGCACCCTGAGTTTCCTCGCCTGAGAGACAAAATTAAGGAGTTGTTGAGTAACTCCGAAGATCTGGATCAAGTAGTCCAACTTGTCGGTAAATCCGCTCTCGGAGATCCTGACAAGATTACTTTGGATGTTGCCGCGCTTCTCAAAGACGACTTCCTGCAGCAAAATGGTTATAGTGACTACGACCAGTTCTGCCCGCTGTGGAAGACAGAGTACATGATGAAGGCATTTGTGCAATACTACGAAGAAAGCCAAAGGGCTATCGCTCAAGGCCAGAGCTGGGCCAAGGTAAGGGAGTCAACGAGCGACATTCAAACTGCTCTCCGAAACATGAAATTCGAAGTCCCCGATAACGAAGACGAAGTCACAAAGAAGGTATGAGGCCCGGCCCCTTTCATTTCTCCCCATGAACCCCTGCTTACAGCTACTAGTACGAGAAAATTCTTCAAGATATGTCCGAGAAGTTCGCATCTGTTTCTGATGAGTAGATTTTGGGGCTTGACGTACTTAGTTTTGTAGCATAGTAATGCTTTTCAGTATTTGTTTTTTCTCAGTCCATTTGTCGATAGTATAGAGGCTGCTTGGTAACTATTACATGCGATCAGGCGCGTCGTCTCAAGGCAGCCACATTCTCATCATTGCTTCTCAGTCAGCAACAAAGGGCAGATATATAGACCGCCATTCACCGTTTTCCCCGTACATCTGGATGCTTGTTCTTTTTAAACAGTGCAAGCACATCACCCCTGTCTTGCGCTGTGCCTGGATCGTTTCTCCTAACTAGTTAGTGCCCACTGCTGCACGTGAACTTTAATATTGCGAGTGGCAGTCGATTCCCCCCAAAGCAACAAACTAGCAGTTTGTGGCCTCGATCAGCACAGTTCCTTCAGCCTGCAGGGGCCTCGTTTCTCAATTCTGCCCATCTTAAAAGTTTTACCTGCCCTGTTTAACATTGCCTCTCTGTATTTTCACGCTGCTCGCCCGACATGGCGACACCGACTGGCTATTCGTAAGTCGTGTCCCTTTAGGCACCCGCACTACTGCCTGGAAATCGTCGAATAGCTAACGGTTAGAGCTTCATAGCATAAACGTCAACGATCCCTCGCTCATCTCGCTCGTGAATAAGCTTCAGGATGTATTCACGACAGTTGGAGTATGTATTGCGTCGCCGTTACCGCAGGGCTATCGTTTGCTGACAATGGGTGCTCCCTAAGGTCCAAAACCCCATAGATTTACCACAGATCGTTGTCGTGGGCTCGCAGTCGAGTGGAAAGAGTTCAGTTTTAGAAAATATCGTTGGAAGAGACTTGTAAGATGTGGCATGCGCTTTTAACTCCTTCGGCGAGAGCTGACACTTGATTGGAATATAGTCTCCCTAGAGGTTCTGGCATTGTCACTCGACGACCACTGGTGCTGCAGTTGATCAACAGGCCTGCTCTCGTAAAGACACAAGCGAACGGTGTCAAGGAAGAAGAGAAGCAACTCGAAACTACTGATAAGGAGTCGAATCTTGACGAATATGGCGAATTCCTACATATTCCCGGCCAGAAGTTCTACGACTTCAATAAAATTCGAGAGGAAATCGTGAGAGAGACCGAGGCAAAAACTGGACGGAATGCTGGCATCTCTCCTCAGCCGATCAATCTACGAATTTACTCACCAAACGTCTTGACGCTGACCTTGGTTGACTTGCCTGGCCTTACCAAAGTGCCTGTTGGGGACCAGCCGAAGGATATCGAGAAACAAATAAGAGATATGGTGTTAAAACATATCAGCAAGCCAAATGCGATCATTCTTGCTGTCACAGCCGCTAACCAGGATCTCGCCAACTCCGACGGTTTAAAATTGGCTCGTGAAGTCGATCCGGAAGGCCAACGGACAATTGGTGTTCTCACCAAAGTTGACCTGATGGATGCAGGAACGGATGTGGTGGACATCCTTGCTGGCAGAATTATTCCGCTCCGACTTGGCTACGTCCCAGTGGTGAACAGAGGTCAGCGTGATATCGAAAATAAGCGGCCAATATCATATGCTCTGGAGCATGAAAAGAACTTCTTTGACAACCACAAGGCGTATCGCAGCAAGTCTTCGTACTGTGGTACTCCGTATTTGGCGAGAAAGTTGAATTTGGTAAGAAATCTAAGCATTCCATCGGTGTTTTCGCAGACACTAATTAATACATAACTCTGTAGATTTTGATGATGCATATCAAACAAACCCTCCCAGATATCAAGGCCCGAATTGCTTCTTCACTACAAAAATATACTTCAGAGTTGGGCCAACTCGGAGACTCGATTCTAGGAAATAGTGCAAATATCGTCCTCAATATCATTACGGAATTTTCTAACGAGTACCGGACCGTCTTGGAGGGTAATAACCAGGAGCTCTCGAGCATCGAGCTATCCGGTGGTGCTCGTATCAGCTTTGTTTTCCACGAGCTCTATTCCAACGGTGTCAAGGCAGTGGATCCATTCGACCAAGTAAAGGATATTGATATTCGCATCATCCTTTACAACTCGTCTGGTTCATCTCCTGCTCTGTTTGTCGGAACTACTGCTTTTGAGCTGATTGTGAAACAACAAATCCGAAGACTTGAGGAACCTAGCTTAAAATGTGTCTCCCTCGTTTATGACGAACTGGTGCGGATTTTAGGTCAATTGTTGAACAAGCAGCCCTTCCGTAGATATCCCCAGCTTAAGGAAAAGTTCCATAACGTTGTGATAGCTTACTTCAAGAAGGCCATGGAGCCCACCAACAAGCTTGTGAGAGACCTCGTGTCGATGGAATCGTGCTATGTCAATACAGGACACCCCGACTTTTTATCTGGACACAGGGTAAGATAGTGGAATCACTAGAGTCTGGACCCATGCATCTCTAATGCTATATTCTAGGCTATGGCCATTGTTCAAGAACGACAAAATTCGAGCAAGCCCACCCAAGTTGATCCGAAAACGGGAAAGCCGCTTCCTATTTCTCAGCAGCCGCCACGCTCTGCAAGCCCGTCCCTTGACATGTCTGACGGTAATTCTGGCTTTTTCGGGAGCTTCTTCGCCTCCAAGAACAAGAAGAAGATGGCCGCGATGGAACCGCCACCACCAACGCTTAAAGCCTCTGGCGCTCTATCCGAAAAGGAGAATGCTGAAGTTGAAGTTATTAGTATGTGTTTTGCGAGTGTGCTCTTATTTTTCAGGGAAGTCTAATCTTTTCACAGAACTCCTCATTAGCTCTTACTACAATATTGTGAAGCGGACCATGATTGATATGGTTCCCAAAGCAATTATGCTTAACCTTGTGCAGTATGTCTCAGATTATATCTTTTCGGGTAGATTTGCTAACCCATATTGCAGGTTTACAAAGGATGAGATGCAGCGGGAACTTCTAGGGAACATGTATAAGACAGAGGAGCTTGACGATCTACTACGCGAAAGTGAATACACCATCCGACGTCGGAAGGAGTGCCAGCAGATGGTCGAGAGCTTGTCAAAGGCAAGTGAAATTGTCAGTCAGGTCCAATAAATTTTCAAACAATGACTGCCGCTGGAATCAGGCAAGCCTGTGTGTTTGTGAAAGCAACTCGGGACCACACTTTTCGGAGAGTAGTACGACATTTGGCCGATTCTCCTCTGCTTCATACTGTTTCATTCTGATGTTCATGAAGATCCAATTGTTTGGCGGGCTGTATCTTGAAGCGCAGGGTGTTAGCTGCTCATATTCTCTATAATAATTTGTCATGCTTTAATGATGGTCTTTGGTGTTGTACTTTCACAGTCGTTTTTGGTACAGTCGTCTCATTTCTATGCCATGATGATTTGAGATTATGCAAGTTAAAGATGGTTTGCTGGTGTTTTCTTTATGTCTTTCCTTACACGTACTATATGCACGTCTCCTACATTTATACAACTCCAATTATTATCATTCACATCTAATCTGGTTTCATACCAGACCGTCACAGTACCACTACTAGAAGGCTCCCTGAGCATGAAAATTGTCTACCCCAATCTCACCCGATCTATAAACCCCAGAGAGTCAAATATCACATCGACACTGTTTCGATGCCCAATCAAGTAGGCAGGCTCGCTGCTTTAGAGAAATTCCCTTGCAAAGAAAGTCCATTGTAGTCTGAAAAGACTACGTTCTCATCAATTGTTAGACGAAATAAAAGTGGTGGAAGTGCTTCGGTTTGCCCAAGGGGTACCTTTAGCACCGCTGCGGGAACTTTTGAAAACGTTTGAATCTGTCACAAGCTACAATATCTCTGGAGTTTGCACACCCGAGTTCGACGACTAGAAGGTCCCAATACTAGTTCGACTGTTTAGGGGTATTAGGTCTCATACTCAATGCAGTCCCTGTCACCGACATGGCACCATTGACGATCGGATTTTCTATCCAGAAATACGGATAATACATACTTAGGCTAGATGACGGGATTAACGTCAATCACATAAGAAGCTCATGGTGGACTCTAACTTAAGTGAAAGCATCGAGGGCATCAAGGCTATATTCCAGCTTGGTCAGTGCAGCAAATCGAAGGCCACGACAGGAGGCCATGCCTATGCGATCCCCAAATATTCCATGACCTCTGGCCATGTTTCTGTCCGCTGTCCATTAATGCGGCTGATCGAAGGGGTGACTGGCATACTGGGTATACGGCCTGTGTTTCTTAACGGGACAATATATCGCTCCAGGAGAGAGAGTAGAACACCACGGGCAAGGGTGGTTGGTAAGATCCATTGTCTCGTTCGGCTTATGAACTGGGCAATGGTGAAGCAGATAACAGGGCTGCCATTGAGTGAAGGTCTGCGGGTTCGTTTCGTGGATCGTCAACCCAAAAGCAACACGCAGCGTGCCGGCCGAACGCACTCCACATCTCAGTGGCATCCGGGTCAGACTCGGTTGTCGGCTGTAACCCGGCGATCCAGATGCTTCCAGGCGTTCATCAACGCTCTCTGGCCAGCCAGCGTTACGTACAACTACGTAACTGCGCCGGCTGTGCCTTTCCGCAAACAAGTTCACTTTGCAGCGAGAACGACGTTTCTCATCTCAGAATAATTGACCGACAGCCAACAAGCCAAGCCCCGGATCCTTCGTTGTTGACGCGTCAAGAATGCTGACGATGCTCGCTAACTAGTTAACTAGTTAACCTGTTAGACCGCCAGTCGCGCAAGGATCGGACCCTGGACATTCTCATCCTCGAGCCATCAAGGCACTTCAGCTCCAATGATGCGTGCCCTGCGATGGGTAACTATCGAATGCAATATCAACCTCAGGGAATAAGATTTCCTAGGCCCATTTCCGAGGCGCAACTCTGATCGCCACCGGGAAGCCAGTCGCCCTCAGCCCCGTGCCAGCGAAGACAAAAACGCCGTCTCTCCGTTATTGGAGTCTGGAGCCAACTTCCACTCACAGGGCTGCCTTATATCCAGCAGCCCGCGGCCGGTTCTCAATGGCAAACAAGCTTTGGCTCCTACTGGCACCACTCATTGAGCTTATGCCCACTTGGCTATCTGTCAGAAGTTTCTCCAAATCCACCCGCGCTGGTCTCGCTCATATAACTCTACAGGATTCTCTGCTCCCTAATTCTCATTATGCTTACGGTCCTTTTGCTCCGGTCTAATTCTTTCGTTCACCTCATGCTAGGACCCCCTACCTCAGCTTCCTTTCGGTGCGGCTAGTTACCGAAGAGGAGGTTGAATTGGGCTGTCTTTCCCGCGGTATTATTCGACAATATCTATCCCTTTCCTTTATGGAGTTAGATTTCGCGCTGGCAGTTGACTTCACCTCCTGGCCATATGAGCCGGCCGCCGTTGATCGACGCCCATTCGAGAGCCATGTCAACATCTCCTCCCCAAAAGGCCTGGCAGAGTAGAGCCGCCTCGTCTATCTCCCGGTTCGCGTCGCGTAGTGCCAAAACACTAGGGGTCATCAAAAGCAAAGTACCATGGATTCGTTCTCTGCAATTGAACTTCATTTTCTTCCATTACATTTACATTATAGGAGTCTCCATTATTGGTTCAATATACCTCTACCCTGGCGGGCACATGTCGTATACTGACGCGCTATTCCTCTCTGTTGGAGCGGCAACCCAGAGTGGCCTAAATACTATTGACCTCAACCTCATCTCCACCTACCAGCAAGTGGGACTATGGCTGGGATCGATGATTTCAAATCCAATCGTTATACACTCGTCGGTAGTTTTTATCCGTTTACGGTCATTCGAAAAGCGATTTCAACATGTTGTACGAGAAGCTAAGTTGCTCAGGCGAACACGTAGCCGGACGAGATCCAGAGCAGTGACTACCGACGGCGACCAGCATGAAATACACAGGGCAGAGATGGGAGTGCGTGGTCGGAAGATAACGGTGGTACGAAACAGCGAAGGCCAGGCATTGGGTCACACTATTGAGTCCAGCAATAAAAAGAAACAGGCCGCAATGCCAAACGGTGGTGATCCGCACACAGACCAAAATCCAAGCGAGGTTAGGCAAGCTGCCGTTTTGGCTGAAGCGGCCCCGATCTGCATCCCTACAGATAACCAACCGCAATCACGACTTGACGAGGACGATCAACCCACTTCGTTCGTCAATAACCAGAGGAGGCAAAGTCGGGCGCTTAGGATCCCCAGTCCCCGTGAATTTGATCGAGGGGGAGTGCCTGAAGCAGTTGATGTGAGTGATACACTCACTCGAAGGAAAACCTCCCCGTTCGAGCAAGTCACCGATACCGCACCTCTCCATCATTACCCATCTCCAGGCCAGCACATTACAATCGATGAGCCAAATACTGTGCACCCGCGCCGAGCAACCACGTTCCCGCCTGTTCAAGCTCGTCCTACAGCCGCAGATAATGAAGATGAGGAACCCACCGCTGCGCAACGTAGGAAGACAAGGAAGGGTACACTGGCATCGTTTTTGTTCTCCGGGCCCCAATCGGGAAGCAAGGAAGCCCCTTATTTGAGCTGGCAACCAACTGTGGGAAGAAACTCCGCGTTCGTGGATCTCAGTGAACAGCAGAAAGATGAGCTTGGTGGAATTGAGTATCGGGCACTCAAGACTCTTGCCTGGGTCTTAGCAGGATATTTCTTCTTTTTTCATATGCTTGGAATCGTTTCTTTAGTTCCCTGGATCTTGCACACACGCTGGGGTAGATTTCCCAGAGAAGCAGGCGTCGGGAGACCCTGGTGGGCAGTTTTCATTTCTGGCTCTGCTTTCAATGATCAAGGCTTCTCTCTCACGCCTAACTCCTTGCTTTCATTCTATGATGCCATATTCCCGGTGCTTTTACTGACTTTCCTCATCATTATCGGAAACACCGGGTTTCCCTGTATGCTCCGATTTATTATATGGGTGTTTTGGAAAATCTTTCCCAAAGATACTGCAATTTCTGAAGAACTTCACTTCCTTCTAGACCATCCACGGCGTTGTTTCACGCTTCTATTTCCTAGCAAAGCGAACTGGTGGCTATTTTGGGTACTGGTTTTACTAAACGGGTTGGATTTGCTACTTTTTATTATCTTGGATGTAAGTGAATTTGACAGAACACCTGTTGCTTGATAATATGCTAATTCGAGCAGCTTAATGACCCAGATGTGACTTCTATTCCTGGTGGAATACGATTTGTCGACGGCCTGTTCCAAGCAGCGGCAACAAGAACGGCTGGATTATCCGTTATAGACATTACAAAACTTCACCCAGCAGTGCTGGTTTCGTACATGATCATGATGTATATTTCGGTTTATCCGATTGCAATCTCCCTACGCAGAACCAATGTGTATGAAGAAAAGAGTTTAGGGATATATTATAATGCAGACCCCGAAGAAGAGCATGGAGACCCAAATAAAGAACCGAGTTATGTTGCTTCGCATCTCCGAAGACAGCTTGGGTTTGATATATGGTATATTTTCCTGGGCCTTTTCATTATCTCGATTGTGGAAGGCAGCCGGATTGAAAAAGACCCCGCGTTCACTTTATTCGGCATCCTATTTGAAGTCGTTTCCGCTTACGGAACCGTTGGTCTCTCACTTGGCTATCCAAAAGTCAACACCTCATTCTCCGGGCAATTCAAGGTCATATCCAAACTCGTGATCATCGCAATGATGATTCGAGGTAGACACCGTGGCTTGCCATACAGTGTTGATCGTGCTATCCTCCTCCCCTCAGAAGCCTTGCGTGAAAAGGAGCACCGTGAAGCCACAAATCGCATGAGACGGCGTAGCTCGGTGATTAGCGCAGCCAACCCGCCGCCTGAGACTGATACTTCGAGGGATAACCGTGGTGTTGCTACGGGATGGCAGCATAGCCCATCCGGTGGCCCATGGACTCTTGGTGGTCTGAGATCGCCTCCAAGCGGGCCGACTCCCAGGTTACCTATTCATCGCGAAGAGGACGGCTCCTAAGCGTTGCTTTGCCTGCGTTGGCCTTTGAATTTTCTCAGCTTCGATTTATGTTGCGTCCAGTTTATATTGAGCGATCTTTTTGAGCAGGCGTTTCTAACTTTGTCGACGTTTTCTACCATGTATTTCCCAGCGACGTTCTGCATTTGATCAGGCAAGCGATATCAGATGACCTAAAAATCAAACAGAGCAAACAGTTATTTTAGCTTGGTTGCGAGTGACGTCAGCAGCGGCCAACCAGCGGGCACGCCAAGGTGCTAGCAACGAGGCTCAGGCAATTGAGCCGCCGAGCTGCCGACCAGCCACTGCAGGCACCAGGATGACATACATTGCAGTGCATTGCATGCCAGGGCGGGATTGACTTTCCCCTACCCAGAGGCCTTCAGAACAGGCCCAAAAATGCCGGCTCGAGCTAATCTAGCCCGTCGCCCAATAATTAATGCCTGAACCCTGACATCATGGTCAGGATCCCAGCATCCTTCTGGCGGGAGGGGGCTTGGTCGCGATGTCTTCCCGCCGTGCCACTTCCCAAGCCTCTCTCTGCGTTCTGCACATCTTGTCTCAACGCCCTCCGCCATTCACGCTTTCGACGAAAAGGCAAACACGCCCTATTCTAGCCTCCGAAGAACTCTTCATTCTTGAAAAGCCTGTTGCTGTTAGAGTTACTGCTTAACGTGCCCGCGCCACTGCCGCCGGATGTCCCACGGCACTCCCAGATTCAAACGACAAACGCTTCGCAAAGAACCATGGTACATTTACACTTACCCTGAGTTTCAAAAAACTGCTTGCATTGGACAGGTTACTCATTCGCCTGCTTAGAAACTCCCAGAACACTTTCTCGCTGCGCGACAGAGTGCCCCGTCCTCTAATTGCGATTGCCTGAGCGGGGGTGCCATCGCCGGAATCGTCTTAGGCAGCATCGCGGCCTCGTTTCTTCTCTACTGGATCCTCAAATTGGCTCTGTCGACCACGACTGCTTCTGAAACATACACCTATCGCACCAGATATGAGGATCCTCCACGGCGACGAAGACGACGATCGCGGTCGACCACATGCTACGTCGAAACAGAACAGCCTGTCACAACTCGGAGATATCGGCGTGAGGTTATTGAACGTCCCGCGAAGGTCTACGTTAATTGACCAGTTATACCCGTTGGTGCAAACGGGGCCATTTTGTTCGTTTTTGTAAATATAGCTAATGTTGTATGTACGTACAGAGTAACGACTTTCCTTTTTTTTCGTCTTGCAGGGTGGAATTTTTGCAAGGGGCAAGCGTGTGAGCCATTAATAGTATTTTTGTGTCTTTTTACAAGCAGTTATATATTCTTGCATTTTGACATTTCTGTCTGTTCTCTACCTTACAATGCGACAAAATTAACAGGGCCCTATTCCGCCAGCACAAACATACCTCCATGCCACCCGTATGCCCGATTCAGTCGCCGACCAAAACACCTCGCCATGGTAAAAGATATCTTGTTTCGTGGGTGAGGTTCGTGGAACTGTATACTCCTCTCGACGTCCAGTGTTGTTGGAGTGAACTGCCAGACAGACCCGTGAAGTTTGGTCAGACTAAAGCCCGTCGATGCCATCGCGTGGAGAAAGTCTGTCCACAGAATCTCGCCAGGCTGGTCATGGCGGCCGGGGTCGTGGAAAAGCGCTGTAAGGACCTTGTAGGCGCGTTTTCCAAGCGTCATTTTCGGTTGAATATCACTGTGGACTTGCCCAGGGGTCTCGCCAGTTGAAAGTTCAGACGGGCGATTGTCCGGGGTGCCCTTTGTCTTTACTTTGTTCCTAACGTCTAAGCTCGCTGGTTTGGTATCAGAGGTGATGGATAGACGTGATAACGGGTCACTAAAGTCAGTGAATTCGGTTTCTCCCATCGCCTTGCCTGATGTCTCTGACTCTTGGACAGGAGGGACCCATTCAGGAGTACGTTGCAGTGTTCGATCGGCTCGCAAGAGTTTATCGACGGTTTGATTCAGAGTCTTCCTTGTTCTCGACCGATAGAAGTTATCAACGGTCTCCCAAAACCTATCGAGGTTCTTCTCCGAGTTACGCATGGTTTCAACATGTTGTTTGGTACGCCGCTTGACTGAAGGATATGTGTATTTGCCATCGAGAGGGTCTCCCAGCTTCAACCTTTGCAGATCCGTGTCATTGATCGTTTGACTGACCTCTGCTAAAAGAACCATTTCTTTCATGAAGTCAACTTGAGTGCCTTCCTCATAGCCACCAGCAGCTTGCGTATCTAGTGAAGCAGCCCAAGGCTGATAGAGGCTAACTTGGTGGAGTGCACCTGCAATAAGACCCAAGTCGGACAATTCGTTGAGAATCCATTCAGACAGCCGTGCCTTTTCTGTCTTGTTACTTTGTATAAACTGTTCAAGTTCATCCATGAGATCTGGCAAACGGACGAGGAATAACTGTTCATCATCAAGCAGTACTTGGACTGCCCACATTAGAAAATCATTGGGCCGGTTCACTTTAAGACCTGCTGCCATCTTCGTAGTACCACTAACCTGGGGCATCCGCACCCAGTCAGAACGCAAAGGTGGGGAGGCACCTAGGCCACCCTTGATATTCAAAATAGGCCCTTGACTAGATTGGTTAAGAGTATGGCGAAATAGCAACAATGCCTTCAAATATTCTTCGGGTAACGTCTTATCCGGGGAGATCCTCGATCGGTATTTTTCCTGCAGCCGTGCAAGCTTCGTGGCTTGTCGAGCAAGAGAATCAAACGCGATAAGAGCTCCATAAGCGTTAGTGATCACAGAACCAAAGACACGAGCCCAGAACAAGCCGTCGTGCAGATGCGGGTGCGGGTTTCCCTTGGTATCTGGGAGCACCTCCAGGCGATGTTCGCTCTCATCCCCAACCACGTCGAAAAAATACCCCGGGTCTTCCCGCAGAGCCCAGATGTGGTCCTCCGCAGCAGCCCGCCTGGCGGAAAGCACGGCGACCAGCTGATCGAAATCTAGATGAGCGGGCACTCTGTACGGAGCTTCCGCGCGCAAAACAGCCAGCGTTGGCCATTCGGTGGGATCGCCGCTCAATGCTGGAGGTTCAGGCTGCACGGGAAATTCGGCCGCAAACAGTGACGGAATATCGCGAAGAATGGCTTCACAGCAGCTAAGCAGGAAGCCTATTATTTTCTTCTGCACCTCCAAAATCAATAACCCTTCGCCTGGTTGCACTGCCCTTCCGGTGTACATCATATCAAACGCATCGTCGTCGTCATCCCAGGAAACGATACGACCGTAGGCCGTAGCGGAGTCACCATCTAGATACATGGTGTATTCGTTTAAAAAGGCAGGCATGATGTTTCCAGTAACATGCCCCAGGTGAAAGGCATCCAAGTCTGCGTGGGCAAAAGCGCTCGGAGGGTTGCGACCTCTGCTGTTCACGAAAAGTAAGAACAATTTCCCCTGGACCAGATCCTCAACATTCATAGACGGTAGGAGATATGCCTGTCGGTCCTTGTCCGAGGGGTGCTTGGAATGCCGGAACGCTTGAAAGTCAGGACGATGGACGAGGGACAATTCCGGCTCGACGGACAACAGAATCTTCTTGCGCTGCTCTCTGGTCTTTTTCAGCCATCTTTTGCGCAATGTGGCTTCGTGACGCTCTAGGATCTTTTTCAATGCCGTCCAGGATGCAAAGATCGCGGAGGACAAGGCCGCTTGGTCTTTTCGGGCCTCTGTGGCACTTGGGAAAGCTGATGGCATGGGCAATTGGCTGCCGCTTTGCCGCAGACTCTCAAAGAAAGAGCTGGCATCGGAGTCAGATGCTGCAGTATACGACATGCCTGCGAAGTTGTTGCGTATAGGGAGAATCGCAGGTGGTGGTGCTGGTGAGGGGCGGACTGTTTACGTTGCGTTTTGTTGACTGTTGAAGGATCGCAATAGGGTTTCCGACATCACGCTTTTTGTGGCGGGGGTGAGCCTCTCGGGCAGCTGGCTTGAGAGTGGCATTGAAAGAATGCAATTTACAGAACGGACCTGGTGATATTGATCCCGGAAGCACACAGATATGGAGCTTCGATTTATGTGTACTTTAACGTGGAAAAGAGAAAGCAAGCATAGACAGAGGATCAAATCTGCCAGTTTGGCCTCAAAGGATCTCTCTCACAAGGTAAAAGAAAAAGACACTCTGGTAGCAGACGTGATACTAGAGCTGCTGCTAGCCGTCAAGTAGCACATTTGTGACGCCCAAAGACGCATTAATGGCCTGCCACTGGGCTTTGTTGTCTTTCATGGAGATGACAGCTTGTGATCCCTTCGCAATGAGCAAATGGCGATTACAGCAGTAATGGTATTGGACCCATTTTGTCTCTTGGGCAATTGACCTCACTGGGAGCTCAACCTTTGATGCAGTGTCAGGTGTTGCTGCACTGCTGCAGACATCCCAGTGTTTCTGGTATGTATGTAGTTAAATAAGTATGCAGTTACCCCCTATGTGACATGTTCGTAGGCATCGAGCTGGAGGCGCACTGGATGCCCACACACATGAAACCGCCACCAGCTCACCTCTTTTGACATGTAGTTAACTAGCAGGCATGCAGGCATGCAGGACTGCAGATCCGCGGTGCGTGCGTTGCATTGCGTTGCGAGCTCGTTCGAGCTGATATGGGGCGTGCGCGCGCGCGGGGGGAAGATTGGCCATGACGTAAGAACGCGGGCATCCTTGAAGGCTCTTCGCCATCGCGCGCTGCGTTCGGATCCTCCCGCAAAGCATTAGCAGCCCAAATCCTGCAGAGAACAAAAAAAGATGGCGCGCAGAGCTTTGATCACCGGTGCCAGCGGCCTCCTCGGCCGCGAAGTCTTCAATGCTTTCAAGAAGGACAGCCACTGGGAGACGTTTGGCCAGGGCTTCACGCGTGCTGCGCCGCCAGAAATCCTCAAGGCCGACCTGACGTCCGCGGCGGAGATCGAAAAGCTGATGGACGAAGTGCGGTGAGTCTAGACTGCTTGGAAGCTTCTCGACAGAGCGAGCGTGTGGTGGGACGTGGCTGATGCGTGATCTGGACGAACAGGCCGCATGTTGTCGTACACTGTGAGTCGTCGTCTGCCTTGTCTTTCCCCGGCTTCGCTCGCTGATGTGACGCAGGCGCGGCCAATCGATTCCCAGACCAATGCGACACCCACCCCGATCTCGCGCGCAAGATCAACGTCGAGGCCACCCGGGCTCTGGCAGAGACGACCGCGGCCAAGTCCATCCTGCTCATCTACATCTCTACAGACTACGTGTTCGCCGGCCGCGAGGGGGAAGCGCCGTACGAGGCCGACGCCCCCACCGAGCCGCCGAACATCTACGGGCAGACGAAGCGGGACGGCGAGCTCGCGGTGCTGGAGGCCACGCGGGCGACGGGCACGGGAGTCATCCTGCGCGTGCCGGTGTTGTACGGGCACGCCCAGTCGAACAGCGAGAGCGCGGTCAACACGCTGATCGACGCGGTGTGGAAAGCGCAGCAGACGGGCGTGCCCATGGACGATTGGTCGCAGCGGTACCCAACAAACACGGAGGATGTGGGCAGGGTGTGCCACGACATCGCGGTGCGGTACCTGGACGAGCCGGCAGCGGCGGCGCTGCCAAGGGTGCTGCAGTTCTCGTCGGAGGACAGGATGACCAAGTTCGCGATGTGCGAGCGGTTCGCAGACATCCTGGGGCTGCCGCTGGCGGGACTGGAACGGGTGCAGACCGGTGGCACATCCGGCGCGGGCGTGCAGCGGCCCTTCGACACGCACCTGTCGACGCGCGAGCTGCGCCAGCTGGGCATTGCGGTCCACACGCAGGATTTTGTTGACTGGTGGTATGTGCATCACTACTCCTCTCCCTACCTGCGGGCGCGAGTGGAGCGGCATCGCGTGTGCTAGTTGACTAGTTAACTAACTGACTGCCCTGCTTTGTTTCGGGCGCGCAGGCGACGCGAGCTGGGGGCGTATCGACACTGATTTCTGCACGGGGGGCGTCGTTTCAGGGGCAGCGCCGTTCTGTCCAACCTCCGCGGGTGCATTATTATTATTATTATTGCTCTTGTCTCGCAGCTTGATCTGAGAGGTCCGGCGGACCGCAAGTGGGTTTGTGTTTCTCGCTGGGCGGAAAATCTCTCGTCTGGCTGGGTGGCGGACAGGCCGATGGGGTTGGCAAAGTGGCCTGGCGGTTCTCTAGCCGGTGGAGTTGGAGGGGGCCTTGTGGCACTTGTATGATGCCGTCGTAGCAGGTAACCAGTTAGTTGGCGAGGCTTGATAGCCCGATGCGTGTTCTCCATGCGCAGCTCGTGAACTCATTATTATTATTAGTTTGCCGGCCGTCGCGCAGGCCGCCGTGTGGTGTTGCGGTGTGGCGGGCTCGCAGGGCCTCATTTTAAAACCCGGGCTGGCCTCAGGGCCCCCTGGAGCCTTCGGGTGTGTCTGAGGCCTTTTTTCTTTCTTTTTGTCTCGCGACCAACCGACCATATTAATACTTATTTCCTCAGCTCTCGCCCTCCTGCTCTTGCTGGCGAGATCGCCGCGAGCCCTCTGCGCCGTGCGTGACATCACCCTGCGTGATAGCTCAGCGCTGCGCCAACTTTGCTGCTGCGAATTCCGATACATCAGCTCGCCGAGCCGCGGCCGCTGCCGCCCGTCATTTCATTTCACGCGCCGCTCAAGAAGGCGGCTCTTCGCTGCTGCTGCTGCTGCTGCTGCTGCTGCTCTGTGCTTCACTATCGCCCTCTCGCCTCCCTCCGCTGCGCCGGGCGCCCTCCGTTCGCTCGTTTGCTGCTCGCGCCGTGTTTGAGTTTGACGGTTGCCAACGACTCTGCTTCTTTTTTGCTTTCGTGAACGCCAATTCTCTTGCCTTCTCTCGCGGCCGAATCCCATTGGGCACATTCTGCGACGCATCGTGCCCGGTGTTGCGTGGGCAGCCCCAGCTGTTGTCGCTTAAAAACAAGAACCACCGCCCAACACATACTCTCCACCGCGTGGATGTATACCTCTGTCTCCCTGTAGCAGATCGACCGTTTGCGCGCATGCGACCGAGCCATGGACCAGAATTACAACGCCTCGTCCGTCGTGGAGGTGCAGCCGGTCCCGCAGCCGCCGCTCAAATTCTCGCGATACCGATCTGTGAGAAAAGCCGCGGCCGCCAGCGCTGCTCCGCCGCTCCCTCCGCTGCCCGCCGCCTCTGCACACGACCTCTCCGGCCTCGCCAAAACCCAGAGTAATCATAATAATAATAATGAATCGATCCAACGGAGCATGTCCAGGTACCGACACGCCAAACCCGCCAGGATCATAACCTCCATTCCGCCTCCGCCCGTACCCCAGATTCCAGTCTCCCCACACCAGACCAAGTCGCGCATCGAGGACTGGGTCGAGAGTACGAGGGTGAGCCAGGATATCCCGCGACTCGACGACCTTTCTCTGGAGCAGCAAGACCGCAACGACCTCCGCTCGCCGTCGTTGCGTGGTATCCCCAGCCAGAGTCTCTCCCAGCCATCCAGCCCAAGATTCCGCGGTTTCTCCAGGATTCTGGGCAGAGCTTCCTTCGACCGGCGTCGAGAGAAGGAGGACTGTATCTCGCCAACATCTCTCGGACATCATCACCACCGCCTGTCGTACTCCGCAGGACACGACGCTAACACGCAGTCCAAGAGTCTTCGCCGGCGGCCTGAAAATATTGCTACTCCTCAGTCTCCATTGCAGCAGGAAAACACAACAGACGAAGAAACTCCCCTAATGGACGTGAAACAACTCACACTCAATGAGCAGCTAGCAAACGAAAGAGCCGCCGCCTTGCACAATGGCCATAGCTCCAACAAGAAGCTAGTGAAAGGAAGAGGCGGGTTTTTATCGCTCTTCAAAGGTATTGATACCAGTGGCTCATCCAGAGCTCAAAGAGACGCAAGAGAGGGACTGAAGAACAAGATCTCCTCCCCCACGTTGATTGAGCCAAAGGACCTGCCGAGCGTGCTACCTGATGACACGCCTGTGTCCGCTGTCAACGCTGGCGAAAGAAAAGTGCTGGTCACCTGCAATGAGGCCTTTGTCACACTGCCAATCACCCCATCTACAAAAGCTCAGGAACTCCTACACTCTGCCTTCGCCTGCCTGAAGGAAAACATTGACCCCAAAACTGCTGTCTTGGTGGAGAGCTTCAAGCAACTTGGCTTGGAGAGGCCTTTACGCAGATACGAACATGTTCGGGATGTCATGAACTCGTGGGATAGTGATGAGCAAAATCACTTTGAGATCGTCCCGTCTTCGGAGGGGGAGGAGGACGACGAGGCCCTGGATATCCGATTCGCGCCACGAAAACAACCTAAAGACGCTACGTTCCACATATACCACTCCCATCGCGCAGGGAAATGGGACAAGCGATATATAACCCTACGATCGGATGGCCGCGTGTTGATGGCGAAAAAGCCCGGCGCGGAGCCCACGAGTATATGCCACATGTCCGACTTCGACATCTACCGCCTGAAGAGCCGGGAATACCGTCGAGTCAAGCCGCCCAAACGGTATTGCTACGTGATTAAAAGCCAGCAAAAGGCAAACTTATTCGTTGCAGGCGGCAATTTTGCCCACTCCTTCTCCATTGGCGACACAGAAACTGCTCAGGCCTGGTATAGGAGCGTGCAAGAATGGCGCAGTTGGTATCTGGTCAGCATCATGGGTGACTCAAGTGATTGCTCCCCTGATCTCCATGCCAGCGCGGGTGTCAGGACCTCGTTCCATTCGAACCGCTTCTCGATTGATTCGATCCCATGCCAACCTAATGGTTTCAGGCCCATGAATTCCGCCGCTCAAGCAGTGCCCTCGAAGCCACCGACACCTCCTGATGAAGCGCATCCGCAAACAAGAAGACCGCTTATTTTGGGCGCGACATCCAATAACGATTACTTCAACACTCCTCTCCCTACGGCGCCGTCTTCTCCCAAACGATCTCTGATGCACATGGAACGGAAGCCCACGGTGAAGCGAGAACGCAGCCAAACGGTCTCGAGCCGACATCAGCAGCAACAGCCGCCTGCCGAATCCGAACCATTTGAGCCAACCGGCCTGCTAGGCCGCACGTATACCCTTCGCCAGCATGCCATGCGCGAGCGGGAGCGCGAGAAGGAAGAAGAGGCCGAGCAACTCAACCCGTTCACGGCACACGGCCTGCTGAGCCATCTGGACATGCCCACGCGTTCCGCCGAGCGGCCCATACACACGTCGAGCGGCCCACCCAGCCGCGCAAGCACCGTCCGCTCGCCACCCGGCCACCGCCCCAGATCCTCCATCCAACAACAACAACTCCCCAAACCGCTCGTCGACCTGACGCCCACCTACCAAGAGGCGCCGCAGCACACTCGCAAAGGCCGTGGCATCACCGCGCCCTCGGGCACACCGCTCATCGACATCGCCACGGGCCCGGACCTGTGCCCCGGCGCGATTGCCGTGCCCAGCGCGACCACCTGGCGCAAGCCGATGCAGCGCAGCGGCACGATGTCGTCGCAGACCACCCGCGTGCCCGAGCCGACGACCTTCGCGCCGCCCGTGCCGCGCGACCGCCAGCGCTCCTACACCATGCGCGGCACGACGTCCTCCTACCCGCGGCCCCTGTCGGCCAATTCCCCCGCCTCGCTCGAGTCGCCGTTCATCCCCACGGGCCTGCTGGCGCAGGCCAAAGTCGGCCATGCGCAGGGCTCCGCGGAGACTGGCCGCGGCGTGGCGACGGGCAGCAGGCACGGGAGCCGCCCGCTGCTGGACATGACGGAACCGAGTTGCTTTGCGGACGGGAGCCTGTTGCGCACGGTGGAGCAGACAGGGGCCGGAGAGGATTGTCGGCCTGTGATCGATAGAGAGAAACGGGACTAAATTTAAGTAGTAATTGCAGGTGGTATTTGGCTAAACGCCTAATCGTCTTCTTTGTACCCTTTCATTTTTTTTTTTTTTTTTTTTTCATTTGTTTGTTGGTTTTTCCTGTGGCTCTTTTTATTTTGATGTCCCTCGTCTTTTGCATTCAGCATGAATCAGGGAGCAAAATCAATGATACCATGTACTGTACTTTAAGCCTAGTGATTTGATGATGACTGTGGGTGGAATCGGACTGGGACCATAGGGATAGCAGGCTGGATATCTTTTTCCATTCTTTGGCTTGGTTGGCTGGTGACGTAGCGGCCTAGTCTCCTTTCCACATGAAACGTTTTTTATGAATAATAGGGGGCTGGAGGGCCGCGCGTTCGGCTGGCCAATTTTAATCAAATAATGTCGATTGTGCGAGCATTTCTAGTGAGATGTAGGACAAAGATAAAATGATGAGCAAGAGTATGCGTACTGACAAGACACAACAATGTGGCATAAACCAATCCTCTTCTCTGCAAGATCCCAAAAAGGAGACCAAACCAGTGAAAAGACCAGATCCGCCAGCAGCAGCCATGCTGCAAGCCCAAAAGTTCAAGGCGATCCGATCCCCCAATGACAAAATTTGGAGGGCCGATTCAAGCCCGCGAACTCCTCTCACTGAGGGGGAGCACTCACTATGGTATCTCCAAACCCTCAACAAGGACGATAATCTTTGATAGGTTTTTTTTTTTTCAAAAATTCCCAGCCGATCCGAAGACCAACTGGAGTGGTCTAGGTTTGTAGTTTTCAACTAGCAAAAACGTTGCCTCAGGCGAACCTTCACAGGAAACGTAAAACCCTTGCACTTGGATGGAGAAAGAAAGGAAAAAAAAGAGGGAAAAAACTTTGCGGAAGGGCGGGCGGGGGCGGGAGTATTTATACCTAGCGCCCGGCACGCTAGCGTTACGCGAGCGGGCGTGGAGGCTGCTGATTGGCTGTATGCCGATGAGTCATCATCGTTGGCTCTTTTGGGATTAGCGCTGCGCTCTAGCTACAAAGGGCGAGCAAACAAACCAAACAAGCCTGGAAGCTGACTTGGCCGACTATACAATCCAGCCAGGAGAGACAAACAAATCGCAATAGCATCGTAGGCTCGTTAATCATCAGAATATCATCCCGAGAGTCATTACAGTACAAAAGTCTTAGTTAATCTAACGCCATAAATCCCGCTTTGCACCCGCATTCGGCCACTCGCCGCTGTGTATTACCGGCCGTTCTTCCGACGGCACCGCCAGAAACCCACCACACCCATTCGTCAGAAGCACACTCTCGCGAGCATTTCCACTCCATGTAGGGCCCAGCTGCGCCCCGTGGCAGCTCATGGGCTGCAGCATGCTTGTGCGCCGCTCGGACCCACAAAACCGCTCGTATGTCGAAAAATTCCACTCCGTCTCGTCTACGCCTTTGCTATAGACGGACAGAATCTGGTTAAGGCCAGGTCCGCTGGGCTTAAGTGCATTTTCACCGCCGCCAAGCTGTTTTGGCGGCGCGGAGGCCATGAGCGTCTCGGAGAAATTGGCGTCGCGGACGTAGAGTTCTTTTAAGGCCGTGAGTTTGCCGGTGAGCAGCGAAGACCTGAGATAGGCATAGTATGAAGAAGATACAGAAGGCACACCGTAGGCATAAGCCTCAGAGGTGATTTCGTAGTGGAGGAGGCGTAGGGATTTAGAGCGTAGAGGGGGAATATTGCCAGAAGGGAAAGGGCTGGTGACTTTGTGGATGATGGACAGTGTTTCGAGAGAGGTAGCGTGTTCAAGAATTTCGTGTAGTTCCTGCGGGGAAACTCCCGTGTTCACAAGAGAAAGATGCTTCAAAGCATCGCGATTCTGAGGAAAAGAGAGGTATGTTACCAGGCCCTTGGCAGTGACCTGAGGGGTATCTTGTAATGTAAGCCGTTGTAGAGGTGGGAGGCCAGGTGACGAAGCTGGGATTGCAGAAATAGAATTATCCAGCCATCCTAAATCGTTCAACTTCAAGTCTTGTAATTGTGGGAAGTGACTGAGTGCCAGACGCAGTAAGTTTGGTTCAAGGCAAAGCTTAGATAGCTCCAGCACCTCGACGTTAGCCCATGGCTGCTTCTGCGGTATTTTCGCAAAGCTGGCTTCTGATCCATGGGCGTATTTCATACGGCGAAGATCGCTGCAGCTGGTCATTAATTCTAGTTTAAGAGTAAGGCATGAGGCGTCATCGGTGAAAAACCCGGCCGGCAGGTCGACATAGCGTAAGTTAGGAAGAATAGAAACCGTCCGTGCCAGCTCGCTTTTGCTAGATTCTCGTGTCATATATGGCATGCGTAGCGAGAGCACTTGTTGTCCCAGGTCCTTGGACTCCCTCACTGTTCGCATAAATAGTAGAAAACGGGTTCTAGGTGCGTCTAGCGGCAATGCGTTGTTATTTAGCCACGAGGATTTCTTTCGTTTTGCCGCCAATATGACCTCGAGCTCGCAGTAATGCACTGCATCGATACGGACATGGCGGTATCTAGGTAGCCCACGAAGTTAGCATAAACGGTACCGGAGCGGGGTAGAACAAGGTGCATACAATAAATCTTGAGCGACCCCGTACCATCTGCGGCAGACAAGTGCGCACTGGGCAAGATTGCGCATATCACATAGCATGCAGCCATCGCCAGCTATCGATTCTTCCAGCGGCGTCAGAGAATCGTCGGCCGAATGGGGGCAGACATATGTAAAGATGTTGTAGAACACTTTCAGAGGGAGGTTCTTTGTGCAATCTTGAGTCTGCCGGTTAAGCCGATACTGCAGCTGGAATTCTTGCTGATACACATCGGTGGGCGCGTCTTTCTTGGCCTTCCCCGAGCCCCTGACTTTCTGTCGCATGCGCTTGAGGAAGCCCATAACTGGCTACCCAAGTTTCGGGTATGCAGCGATGTTGAATGTAATTAGAAAAAAATCAGAAAATTATACGAATATAGCTTTTGCAAGCAGAGAACAAAATGATAACCAGCTCATGGAACAGAAAAGAATGGCATTTGCCGCTGAGGGCAGGGTATCTGCAGCTCAACAACAAGTGAAGGCCGGCGGCGCAAACAACTGGCTGTGATGCAAGCGCTTGCTCGGAGTGCGGTGATTGGCCGAGGGGGTGTTATGTAAGCACCGTCATTCAATGGCGGAGCGGATTAAAAGCCTTCCGTGTCGTTTTGCTCAGGTCCAGCTCCTGCAGTTGAAGGGCGGTCGCTCGCTTTGATATGCTGAGGAGTATCAAAGTGTTTGCGTCGTGGGCAAGCAGGACAGCGACTAACGTGTAGCTCGCGTTTCAAGTTCTCCCGTGAGATCTACCGCTCGATGGAGCCACCATGTCCTTTGGGGAAAAAAATGCGGAGGCTAGTTAGTTACAATCGACGTGGGGGGCTGGCTTCTGAAAAAGAGTGTTTTGCCCGGTATGCCACTGAAACGTGTCTGAGGTGAGATGATCGCAGAACTGCGTTTATCTGATGCGGGATCCGGTATCATGACTTGAATATTCCCTGCAGATTTCAAAATATCCACTGTTCTCTTTTATTTACCGGTGATTCCCAGCAGCCCAGACTTCTAGATTGCAAAGACTGGTTTGATGACCCGGCCTGCTCCAGTGATAGGCGAGTATATATAAGAATCCATATATCCGCTATTTACTGGGAGTATTGGCGAAAACACGGAACTATGCCCCGGCCATGCTGCCTCAATCACCTTTCTACACTCTCGCTCCTACTCATGGTTGATCACATGCCCGACAACCAGTATCATATATTGGTAACAGACCCTTCCCAAGTGCCCGGATGACCTTTGTCTGTAACCACAGTGAGCACTACGGCAGCATTTTCTAGCTTATTCGTCTTTCAGGCATCGTGCAGTTGCTCATGACTCGGAATTCACTATTGCTAGCTGATCAGATGGCGATCATTGTGTCATGGCTCGTTAATATTGATTTATCCTGCATGATACGAATATTCTCGATACTCTTTACTATTCAACTTTCAATCTAGCTGGGCCCGAATTACGGAATAATGTGGCGGGTCCAGAAGCACTGCCTGCAATCCACTACCGACTGGCGCATTGTGTAGGCCGTTTGAGCGTTGATGAGTTACAAACTTGAGTATCATCCACTACGTTACCTATGCACCAACAGATCAACTTTTCAAGCCACTGCACCGTCTGTCTTTAGTGTCGGTACGGAGTATGAGTATCAGTATTATGTGGAAAGGAGCAGATTGTTTATGGTGAGAACCGATTAAAACTATTTCTCTGGGCTACTTGCACCGTATGGCCTCTAATAATCTGGGGTATAATTATCCTACTGAATGCTATGTGCGTAGGAAAAGGGGCATCATTCCGAGAAGGTTGCATCCCCGAGTAGCTTCACGATTCTGAGCTGCGAATCAAGGCTCACTATTATTATATTTGAATTGAGATAGACTACTGGTGGTAGATTAAAGATCAGTCATTATACTCTCACACTGTCAGCCGCTCGGCCGTTAATCACAACATGGAGGGATACACAACGTCCGGTCGTTGTACCACCTACGGTTCATGTGGGCGAGACGCAGGGCGAGAGGACGGGGCTGATTGCCCCGCCACTTCACCGTGAGGTTCTACCAAAGTTGCTTTCAATTTCGCGTACATTACAAGGGGCGATGACGGGGTGATAAGCGTGGCCGAAGCTCATTTATATATGTACAGCACTTCAGCAACGAGGCACCTAAATACATTTAGGTATTTTTGTCGCAATACATGCAAACAACGTCGGTTACATACTAGCAGGTACCGCTGATGCGTCTCTCCCAATTGCTCACGCCGTACGGGATATCCGGCCAAGCGTTCAGTACATACATATCACTGTACTCCGTACGGTATACCCGACCGGACTTCGGTGAAGCACCAGGGATCTGTGGACCTGAACCAATACCATGTCTGATTTTTGGGAGCAAGCGATGCTGGCCAGTCACCCGTTACCCACCATCTTCCTCGACTGCCCCGGGTGCCGGAACGGCTGGATCTTCGCGGAATTCACCAATGGCCGAGCTGGCCTGCAAGCCCGTAGCGCTCGGGCGGCGCAGCGTCTCCAGGTCAAAACCGGCTTCGTCGAGGGGATAGAGAGAGAGAGACTGGACTGGCGTATTTGATCTGTGCCTGTAATGGCTTCGCTGGACGTAAAACTCTCGGTGGCAGCGCCGGGTGCGCCGCCCTCCCCGCTGCGCAGGAGACGGGATGCAGCGTCTCCGGTGAAGACTCGGTTACAGCCCACGCGCGCAGGGACGGACAGTGCAGCGGCACAGCGCAGCACCGCGACCACGCACCGCCTGGCATGAGCCCGCGGACCTGCTGGACCTGCTGGCCGTGCTGAGCGCGTGAAGCCGGGGCTGCCAGCGCGACGTCTCGATGGCTGTCGAGCGTTGGGGCGGGTAAGTTACGCTGGTATTGCCGTTACCGCTCACCCGCGAAAAGAAAAAAAAACGCCTCCACTTGTTCCTTTTCCTCGACCTCAAGCAATCCGAGTCTCTTCTCACGCTTCCTCCCCTTCCCCCCTTCTCATCTCCCTCGCCCTGTCTGCCTCGCCTGTCCTCACGCTCTCGCTTCTGTTGTTTCTGGGCTTTCTTTTTGTTCTTCTTCGTGCTCAATTCTTGCGCTTTGCTCTGTTGTTTTGCTGTTCTCCTCCCTTCTTTAGGCCTCCCTCCTGCACCTCCCTCGCCTCGTATCCCGTCGCCTGTATCAAGCATCCGTCGGCGGCAAGGCTCTGACACTGTGCTTGGACTACTTCTCGCAATCCTGGGCCTCCCTTCTCAGCAATGGCTTCGTCCCTCCAGTCCCCGTCCCCAAAGCTGGACCGTTACATTGTCATCCATGTGTCCACTACCTGCGATGAGCATGGTGTCTATGTCACCAAGGATTCGGCAGAGGTAATCGAGCTGGGGTGGATTTTGCTGGACACAAAGTCTTGCGAGGAGGTCAGTCTGTCCAGCTCCATCTGCGCCTGCTGACGACAACTTTGCTGACTGATGCTGCCTCGTAGCTCCACCGGGAGAGCGTGCTTGTCAAACCTGTCAATACACCCATCACTCCGCTTTGCAGTATGTTTCGGTATTCTACGCCGCCAATGTGTTATCATTTGCTAATATGTGTTATCAGCGAGCCTGACTACCCTTACATGGGAGCATGTTCGCTCTGCAGGAACCTTTCGTGATGCCGTCAATCGGTTCGACGCATTCGCCCAGGAGCACCTCGTGTCCAAGAACCTCGAGTTTGCTTTCGTAACGCTCGACTCGTGGGACATGCGAGTCCAGCTTCCACGTGAGGCTCGTGATAAAGCTGTTGTTTTACCCCCGTATCTTCAACACTCCCGTACCTTTGACCTGCGGACGGAGTATCAACGATGGCAACAGCACCATCCCGAGTCTCTTCCATTCGGCCCAAGTGACCTTGCCAATATCTGCGCTGCTTTAGAAGTGGAACCCGTCCAATCCTCTGCTCCTATCAAACATAACCTTCCATTTCACTTGCAGGCACTAGCCCCCGCTTCTCCCCGACGTGCAATGGAGGAGGCCATCACGCTAGCACGAGTCCTTCGTGGCCTGATCAGGAAGTCCCAGCCCGCACATGAACATCCTGAGATTCTGACAAGGCCAATGGATGCTAGAGCTGACGTTCGTGCGTTCCTGGCGGAGCGTAGCAAAGTTTTGCATATGAGTGGTTTGCCTCATGACACCACTCAATCAGAGTTGGAGAGTTGGTTTACACAGTTTGGTGGGCGTCCAATCGCTTTCTGGACCTTGCGTACCCCAGACCAGCATAAGCCTACCGGCACTGGATTCGCAGTGTTCTCGTCCCATGAAGAGGTACGTTTGTTATTTCGATCCCGCTGGATGGTGTTCCATTTTCCCACTGTATCGGATACTGATCATCCTGGATAGGCCGCAGAGAGTCTTTGCATGAACGGCCGTGCTTTAAACGAAAGGGCAATTGAGGTGTCCCCTTCCTCAAGCAGAGTACTTGATCGGGCCGCCGAGATACTCACCCCTTTCCCGCCAAGCAAGAATCGCCCCCGTCCAGGGGATTGGACATGCCCATCCTGCGGATTTTCCAACTTCCAGCGCCGCACCGCTTGTTTCCGCTGCTCGTACCCTGCCATTGGCCCTGGCCCAGACCCCATGGGCTATGCCTATAGCTATGGCCCACCAAATATGATGCCGCCGCCTCACCATATGGGCCATCATGGTAGCCACGGCATGGGTCATGGTAGAAGCATGGGAGGCAATGGAGGAGTTGTTCCGTTTCGGGCCGGTGATTGGAAGTGTGGCGGTGAAGGCTGCGGCTATCACAACTTTGCCAAGAATATCAACTGTCTTCGATGTGGTGGACCGCGCTCCGGAGCTGCTGTTGTGGCGGACTCCGCTTTCCCTTCTCCAATGGATCCGTCGTCGAATTTCGGTATGGGACCTGGGTCTATTAGCAGCACCCCTGGCGCTGCTCCGTTCCCATCTACTGGTGGAGGCTTCGGCGGGTTTAGCCAGCAGTTCGCTGCCCCTCCGAGCAACTATGGACTACCTACACCACTCGGAGCTGCACCAGGGCCTTACCCACCGATGGGTCAAATGAACACCGGATACGGATCGGGCGCTGCGCCATCTCACTCCGTCACGTCCTTCGGAAACCCGGCGACTCAAGCCGCATTCACTGGCGCTGACCACGTCCAGCAATCCGTTGGTGCCGCAAATGGCGGCTTCTATAATAACGATTCCTCTGCGGATCCTTTTGCATTCCTGTCCAGCGGACTCGGCTCCCTCACAGTTGCAGAGGAGACTCACGGCCGTAGAAATGGTGCTGCTAACAGCAAGTCCTCCGCATAATTAATCGAGAAGATTTACGGCTTAAGCATCTACGTCGGATTTTCTATATGGTATGATCGTTTATTCACTAAAAGCAAAAAATCCATCTTCACCTGGTATTTATCATGCCTCGAAGTCTTTCGAGACCATACGATACTCAAACCCTCGAAGTCTCGATTACCTGGGAAATTGCTATGAGCTTTTCCTATACATATAAATGGTGCTTTTTTAAGAGCATCTTCCCCTTTTTTGTGGTTCCCAGTGTTTTTCCTTATTTTACTTTCGTTTCTTTTTCTTTTGCATTCTTACTTTTGAAGTCATTGCTGTGAGGCAGCTTCTGACTGGATTCACCATTTCCGATGTAACGAAAACCTTCAGCCCGGTGTCGTTCAGAGATACCTTTTCTCGGGGAGAATTCCATTCGGCCACGTCGTTACCATCGTCAGCATATTGAGCGATAACGGAATTGCTTCGGGTTTGTTTCACGGTCGGCATTGCTAAATCGAGTTTTATGCTTTTAATTGTTTTTTATCAGGTTGGAGAGCACCGGCATCGCGTATCGGGGCTATCATTTTGGTTATTTAGCAGATCCCCGTTGCCCATTCCGAGATTTTGTGAAGCATTATTCTTACAATGGGATACCAAAAAAGAGCAAAACAAAAAAAGGGCACACGATACATCTGGAAATATGGGATATCGATAGAATCGTACAAAAAGAAAATGGGTCATGGGAAAATATGGATAAAAAAAGTAGGAAAATTGGGAGCCCGACGGAGGCCTAGTTTTCCCCACCTGAACAATATTCAGCCAGTCTTGTTTATGTAGCTTTTTGATTCCATTCATTTTGTTTTATTTCTGTCCTTTATTTCGGAGATGCTTGTGAGTTGGGCAAAGCGGGCTAGCTTTTTGGTCGTTGGATGGAGCGCTTTTTGGCCTTTTATCGACTGGGTTGGTAAACATTGGGATGGTGGGCGGTTTCTGGAGTGTGGCTTGGTGGATTCCCTTTCTATCTTGTTATCGTTTATCATTACTTCTTCATTGGGTGCCGCTTGCAGTTAGATAGCTTTTTCTTCATCGGAACCACCTATCCCCCCTTTTCTTGTACACGAGGATGCCGGGGTTCCATGTGTTTATCTATTAGTTTTTACTGCTGTACACCGTGATAATCGAATTCCAACATGAAGTTATATTTGGCTATTTTGGTGTATTGAGATGAAAATTTCCTAGATTTGACGTCAAGAGAAAGTCAAGGCATCCCCAAGTTATATAAATCGGATCTTCTTTTAGAAAAGTAGGTATTGAACGAGTGAATTATTTCGATTCTCTACAAAAGTCGCAAGCTAACCAACTGGTAGACCAACAGGAAAGAACTCCAAGCCGACCCATAACAGCATCAAAATGTGATCAAAACCGCCGTGAGTGCAGAGGCCGTCTATCCCCTCTCACTCTGCACCGAGACAACTGTGGCAGCGTCCGATGCCAACGAGTTCCTATCAGCCGGGCCTCTAAAAACAATTGTATCATCTTCGTCCTCTTCTTCGTCTACTGCGGCTAGTTCACTCGGTGCTATACTCGACCTGGCACTAGCAACACTAACCATACTTCTCGTCTCGTGCAGATAACTGTCACCTTCAGGCTCTTCCTTGACATATGAACTTTCTCTCTCTCGTCCAACTGACGCCCGTCCACCGTCTTTCCCAGATGGTCGACAAGCACCGAGTAGTTTCAGTACTGCATTCTTGACCTTGACCAATGCATTTCTTCCTGTTGCATCTGAAGCAACGCCAGAAGCAATGGCTTGGTCAACCAATTCTTTAACTTCCAGAGGCAGTTCTCCACTATCATCGATAATTACAGGCTCAAGGTCCAACTTGCTTGACCTGATACTTGACCGGTGGTTCTCACGCTCATCAGCTCCTTCAGGGGCTCGGGAGCCATGCCGGGAGGGAGGCGACGGAGGCACGGGCAGGTATAACTTTCCGATCATTGAAAGGAGAAGCTTCCTTTCTTCTCTGGGCGCAGAGCTGAAGCCTCCTACGCCCAAAATACGCTGCAGAATATCTCTTGCAAGAGCAAGATGTAAACTTTCGCTTGGTGTTAACCGTGGTCCCACTTCTTCCGATGTACCGGGCAAAGGCGTATCGGAGTTCAAGCCGATGATTCGTCGATCATCAGTCCACTCAATGAGCATTCCTATAACACCAGCCATCAACGCTTTTACTTCTTTCTCGCCGACCACCTCGTCGATTTCTCCATCGCTATCTTCTTCCGCTTCCAAAGCATAGAAGTCATCAGCGGCAGCTAATACGACACGGATACTGGGAATGGCTATTTTCCGCATATGCTGAGCGTTGTTTAGTCGTGAATGACAATACACAGGCAAAAAGTACGTAAGAGCCTGTCTTAATGACAAGTTGTCGCGAGTTCGAGGGTGGAAAAATGAGAGAACAAGGGCCTGGAGAAGAGTATCGATGGAACTTTCATTTAGTTCCCTGATAGATGCGGGTACCGAAGGGCCAGATGGTGAGAGTGTGTTGGTAAGTAGCAATTTCGCTAACGCGGTCACTGCAGTTGCTTGTATGCTTGGTGGAGAGTTTGTCTTTAGGGCCTTTGCGAATACCTTTAGTAGTGATTTTTGAAAGGGAGGCGGCGTCACTGAGTTAGGGTCATTCTGTGACGTAACTGGAAGAAGGATTGAATGATGCACTGTAAGTATATCGGCGAGGATACGCAGCGCCATTTCTTGCAATGCTTCATGGCCTTTGCTGTAACAGTGGATGAACAAGCTCATATTTTCTTCGGCAAGGGTCTACGTTTTGCAGATTAGTAAAGACACTCCATCGGTTTGGCGGCATTGATACGTACCTTGTCTAGCAGACAGCATAGGCCTAGACACTCCAGCCCACGTTCCCGTACTGGAGCCTCATGGCTACGCACTGCTGGTATCACCAAGTTGTTTAACATTGTCACGAGATGAACATTATCCTGCAGATTTCCTGCCACATTCTGCAACATGCATTGAGCAATGTATAAGCATTTCATATTAACCATGATCTCTTTAAGCACCTTTGCTTTTGCTTCTTCCTTGTCAAATGGCTCTGGGGTTTCATTGCCATTCCCAGGAGTTTTTGAACGGCTTCTATTTAAGCTTTCATCGCTGATTTCCGATTTTGCAGAAACAAAGCTTTCTTCAGCAACAATCGTATCGTGGACTTCCGCCACGGCCTCTAGAACAACACTGCAAAATTCCCCTTCACTAGCAGAGTCGGGTCCACAGACATTCCGCAGGACTTCGACTGTGAGTTTTGTGACTTGCTCGGGAAGATTCGAAACAGCCAGTGTTTCCCGTAAGAGAGAGAACATTTTCCTTCTCCCTGCCTCATCACTGTAGTCAAGCGTAAGAGAGATATGGAGAAGCTGCTCAACAATGAATTCATATTCCATAGTTTCCTCCTCGCTTCCTTCGACTTGCTCGGGCATACTAAGCCTCGATAGTAGTGTCGTGGTATAGTGATGTAAGTAAAATGCTAGAGCGGTAACCTCTGGCATTTTCTCATCTGCAAGACTGTCATACTTAGCACCACCTTCCTCCCGACAGAAGTCGTTGAAGCTTCTGGCCATAAAGGCAGATTCTGGTGTCAATGATTCCCAGAATGGCAGATCGAACTCCACAGCTTCACGATAATCCGGTCTACCAGCCCAGAACGTTCTTGTAGCTTCGTGGGCGATGCCACCTTCCATGCCAGAATTCACAACATCGATACGTTCTAGAAGCTCTGTTAAAGCCGAAATACTAGGTGGTGCTAGCTTATCTTTTTGTTCCGTGGACTTGTCAGGGTTTTGAGTACTGGCGCAATCCTCAATCCAACGTTCGTAGAATAAGCGACCAGTTGCTTTTCGGACGGTTTCGTCACGATCACGTAGCCCCCAGCGCAGAAGTTTTTCTCTCATGGACAAAGAAAGATGCCGGAAGTCACCAAGCGTTGGTAATAGTTTAGAATATAAAGCACGTCGTGTAGCGGGATCTATGTCGCGGGCTCTCTCAAGGAGGAAAGGAAGCGTTGAAGGGGTAAATGGTAAGTTGAGGAGTAATGTTCGTCGGACCTCAGCACTAGTGTCATTCTGGAGCACATCCAATAATTTATCAACCAGAGCAGAGTTGCCATCGTTTTGATCGTTATCGTCGTCGTCCTCATCGTTGCCTGCTAGCCTCCCAAGTCCAACCACGGCTTGAACGCGAACTGTTGCCTCCTTGTCTCTAATTCGTTTGACAAGACCCTGTCTGATCAAATGGTAGAGTTCATCGTCGATAGAATCTAAAGAGTTGACGATATGCGAAATGATCTGCGTTCCCCGATATCTCACAGTTTTTTCTTTGGTAGATAGGAAAGGTATTATGGCAGAAACGACTTGAAAAGTAAGCCTCGATGTTGGCGTCTCTGGCAACGTCTGGGTCTCATCCGGATCGCCCTGTCCAAAAATTCCAAAGTCTGAAATTTTGTTAGAATCTGCAATCGAATACAGCAAGGAGCGTTGAAAAAATACCCTTCTCCGTTGCAGCTGTCAAAAACGTCCCCAAGAACTTGACAACACGATCTGCTGCAGGCTCAGTCCTCTTGATGGGCAAAATCCGTAACAAACATCGTGATATTTCGATATTAAACTCTCTCTCTGCAGGCTTTTCCTTCTCCCCAAAAGCGCCTGAATTTCGCCTCGCATCTTTCTTATCCTGTTCTTTTGAAGCTCGTATGCCACAGCATCCTTCTTGGATTTTTCTTAGTTTAACAACAAGCTTCCTATGGCCTGTCGTGGAGCGCTGCGCATCGGCAAATATCTCCACGATACTGGGTCGCAAATTCGGGGAGCTTGTTGGCTCCGCTGGCTCGTCGGGGATGTACACATTAGCGCCAGTCGTCGAAGGAGGGACGGAGGATTTGCGAGTAGACGCGACGGAGGAAGCACGGGTGCCCGAGCGGCCAGGCATTGTGTGTTATAGGAAATGCTGGGTAGAGTCTTGTTGGTGCGATTCGTATCGGGAAGGGGTGGGGTGGGCGCGTTGGCCGTTATAAATGCCGATCTAGCTCCTAAATACTCTGTATGCCATGAATAAACGTATTACCAGGCCACATGAAGGCTATGACTCCAATAATTCCATTTAGTGCCCTTGATATCGCCTCTAAAAGATGCCTGATAATGCTTGATGTTGTTTCGCTGTCGAAGCTCCTCGTAGCTCTTGATTTAGTTTAACTCTTTTGGGACGATAAGGTAAACAAAAGCTAGACCGCATATGGACTAATAGTCTTGGCCAATTTGTACAGTTTGCAGCTGTCGATATCAAATATGCGGGGACCAATGGAAATTGAGATCAACCTCGGGTTTCAGAATCACGCCATCTGTGACAAGTTGACGGCTCTGCATTTCTCTCGAAGGACGTAAATCTGCATTGTTGCATCTGTCTGTAGCGCTTTCTTGACTCACTCAGTGTCTAAGGGCCGTTATGTTTCGCAGAGCCATCCGCAAACTATCTACATCCGCCGCTCGAGGCGCGGAGAGCTTGGTAGCTCAAGCGGAAACTAAAAACCAGTATGGAATTAGGGTATCCAAGGCACAAGGCTCAGTTAGTGGCCTGACGGGAGGTACCTAGGAATAGTCCTTCATTCCTTCCTCAAAGTGCTAATCTGTTCTTAACCCCAAAGCTATCGGAAACACCCCCCTCATCCGTCTGAACCGTCTCTCCGAGGAGACGGGCTGTAATATTCTCGGGAAGGCGGAATTCCAAAATCCGGGTGGAAGTGTGAAGGATCGTGCTGCATTATATGTCATTAAAGATGCCGAAGAACGTGGCCTGCTACGCCCTGGGGGCACTGTAGTCGAAGGAACTGCGGGAAACACTGGTATCGGTCTTGCTCATGTCTGCCGATCCAGAGGATACAAGTTGGTAATTTACATGCCAAACACACAATCCCAAGGAAAGATTGATCTTCTCAAACTTCTCGGAGCAGAGGTGTATCCTGTACCTGCAGTTGCATTCGAAAACCCAGAAAACTACAACCATCAAGCGAAAAGACACGCGGACTCTATAGACAACGCTGTCTGGACAAATCAATTTGACAATACCGCTAACCGTAGAGCGCACATCGAGACAACCGGTCCCGAGATTTGGGCACAAACAGAAGGAAAAGTCGATGCTTTTACCTGCGCTACGGGGACGGGGGGAACTCTGGCTGGTGTAACACGGTACCTTAAAGAGGCTAGCGATGGCCGAGTGAAATGCTTCCTTGCCGATCCACCTGGCTCCGTTCTCTTTAAATACATCTCCAGCGGTGGGAAATTAATCGAACGTGGTGGTAGCAGTATCACTGAAGGCATTGGTCAGGGCCGAGTAACAGACAATCTAAAGCCTGATATTGACCTCCTGGATGGCGCCTTACAAATTGCAGATGAGAAGAGTATTGAAATGGTGTACCGCTGCCTTGATGAAGAGGGCCTTTACATTGGTGCTAGTTCCGCTTTGAACGTCGTCGCTGCAAAGGAAGTCGCCGAGAAGCTGGGCAAAGGACATACGGTCGTTACGATGCTATGTGATGGTGCTTATAGATACGCCGATCGTCTGTTTTCTGACTCGTGGCTGAAAAGTAAAAATCTCAGAGATTCGATACCCAAGCACCTTGAGAAGTACATTGTCCTGCCATGATTTAAAATCTATGACCTGTTTTTATATTCTTGTTTGTATCTGGTTTTTATCAAGCTCTGCATGCTTGTCGTTTTCGTGGTTTGGTACAACTCTGCCGAAAACGCTGACGATACGTGTTGAATCCTGTGCATGATGTAAATAGACTGCTTATCGTCAAGCATATGCCCTCTTGTTTTCTTTCTTTCTTTCTTTTTTCGTGTTATTATTATTGCGAGACGTTTTTACCGGGAGAATAAATTTCGTTCCCTTCTCTCCCATTTGACGTTATCACTGTCCTCTGAAAATATTTCATGCGTGTTCTCGATTCTGGAAATTGCACCCTGCTTCTAGAGATAAGTTGGCGAGGCGGATAGTCTCCACACTGCAACTCCTGAAAGGGCAGAAAAGAAAAGGGGGATATGATTGCTTGGTTATTCTTTTATGAGAGGAGAGGGTGACTTATTTACACAGCCAAGAGGTAAGGGCCTTGGGTGATCATCTGGACTTAACTATCCATGTCATGTTATATTCCGGTTTCATAATCGATGCGGTCGATCAGCAACGAATTTTAATGCCAACTGGTAGGGTTTCGCGACAAGTTTCCTTTGGGCACCAGAAGTACGAGCCAGGGATGGTATCATTGGCATCCTTTCGGTTTGGAACACCCCGACTGATTTGCGGAACGAAAATAGAAACAAGAATAACAGGTAAAGGGAATTAAAAGAAAATATCAATTAAAACTTTCAAAGAAAAGGCGCTACTCTCCTTTTTCTAGGGAATGCATCATGCATAGAATCAGGTAAAGATACATGGGGATCAATAAGGATTAATCAAGTATGACGCAAAGGACTCCGATGCTGTGCAAGGGTATGAAAAGAAGAAAAGAAAAAGAGCGAAAACCCCAGAGAGATGTAATGGAACAGACACGAGGATGATACTCCCTACGCCACGACGCAGCAACAGTGACGATTGGTAGAGAACCCGGCATCGAGTGCGATCTCATAGCCGGAGCTGGGCTTGTATAACCTTGACATTCCACGACGCACCGTATCCGTTGTACCCAACACCACGGAGATTCCATTCCGAGGTAAAAGGCTGGGTGTTGCCCCCCGCATCTGTGGCACGACTATAAATTGTCTGGTTGGGCCCGCTGTCCATCTTGACGCGGGCGCGCCAGAGGACCCAGGCCCATTTATATTTCTGAGCGGGCTGGCCGGCGTAAAGGTCAGCATCGATCCAAGTTTTGCCCTCGTCTCCTGACACTTCGACGCGGATCACGGGGCCTTCGTGGCCGTGGGGGACGGCGTAGCCTTTGACTTCCACGTAACCGTCAGGCGTTAGTGTGACGGTCTCGCCGTCATCAGGAACGGCTACAACGGAGTTCACGAGCGTTTCTTGCATGCAAGGCATTTTGGGCCAGTATTCCTCGGCCATTTCCCATGTGAGGACCTCGGGCGGAAGGACCTTGTAATCATGGGCTTGGTAGAAATTCGGTGATTCGATGGTTTTTACTGTGATAGTGTCGAGCCATTTGACCCATCGAGCACCAATGATTCCGGGGATTACAAGGCGGACCGGATAACCGTAATCTGGACGTAGGGTCTCTCCATTCATCTGGGGTGCAGATGTCAGCATCGTACCGTACTCCTTCTTAATTGCTCGCCTGCCTGCCGGGTGTAGCAGCGAAATCTCACCTCAAGCGCCAAAATTACCTCCTTCCCAGGATCCATAGCTCTCCAAATTTCGATACTTCCAGCGTAGTAGTCATCGTCTTCGCAGAGAGCTTGATAGCATGAGAATTCGACATGCAACGGGCACTGCGCGGCATACTCGCTTTTGACGCCAGCTCGCAGTAGAACGTCGCGTAATCGGGGCCCCCTCCAAGTGCAATTCATCACAGCTCCATCCTTCCAATCAATGCCACGGACTTCCTTGAGTTTCGTTCGCATGGTATGCCGCCTGTTGCCAGCACACTGGAGCGCGCAGGTAACCTCATACTGGGTGTAATCCTCTCGCAGCTGCTTGAGGGTGAGATTTATGGGGTTCGTCACCTCGCCATTGACCTGGACAAGGTGCACGTCACCATCGATGGTGGGAATCGCGCTGTGGTTACGGTGGTATGCGCCTTTGCTGGTGATGTATCTGCGGCCGCTGGTCAACAAGGCCAGGCTTGGCCGACATGGGGGCTGCGCGACAGCCAGGGATTGCGGGCTCGGCCAACTTACTTAGAAACCAGTTCGCGCAGTGGCTGCTCCCGGTTCAGCGGCGGCTCTGCAAGGGTCTGCTCGGAGAATAAACGGCAAATTAGCAACGGCCGCTGGGTTGCAGCAGACGCACATCCATGCGCATCGAGACTCACATTTACCATCGTCACACAATAACAGGCTCTGGAGCCGGCTCTGGTTCTCAATCGAAGCGACGGCTAGAAAAAAGAGCGAGGAGAGAGAAGGATGGGTTTTGGGAGTCGAAGGGAGAAGGAAGAAAAGGGTAGGGCGTGGATCGTATCCTTAAATTCCTTGTTGACGACGCCCTTTTCTACGTGATCTGCAGGCACGAGAACTGGCCGCTTTTTGAGTAACGTCGGACAGCGAGAGAAGAAGGATTCCAAAGTCTACTAGCAGCCGACCACTCCAGGAATCCAGCGGTTGCCACGGCGCTGATGGGCACTCCAAGACAGGCCGCGGGCCAGCCGGAGTCTTACTTTGCCAACATTGCAGGCTCATGGTCTCCGCAGCCATCGCAGGATGAGGGGGCCAGCGGGGGAATCCATGGACACAGCGCAGGCTAGTTCCGCGGAAGCGAGGCGGCCGCCAATTGTGCTCCGCCTGACGGCCGTGGCGAATACAAAGCCTGGCGTGTTGGTGGTGCTGGTGCTGGCCGGCGCACCGGAACAGACGCCCAAACAGAGGGCGAGATGCCCCTACGCCCCGACTGGAGATATCTCGGCAGGCCAGTCCGCGAGCAGCTCAGCAAATAGTGAAAGCCAGAAGACGCACATCCTGCCTATCTCTCTTGGTCTTACGCTGCCCAGTGACCGTGCTGAGATGGATTGGCCCTCTAGGGTGGTTACTATACAGCGGATATGCAGTCAAGACCCAGTAAAAAACGCCAGCAAATGCAGCCCAAACTCCACCCCGACCCCCCGAACGCCTACACGGCCCAGAATCTAATAGAGGTCTATGTATGTGAACAGCACGAGAATAATAACATCCCCATCCAGTGAGCTTCAGTCGGACGGCTGCCGCATGTATGCATCGATGGCAGCGCTGAAGGCCGCAAAGCCGGCACATCCCAACGCGGCGGCTTGGGGCCCGGCTTTGGCGCCCAGGATACCGCCCGTGATGCACCCGGCAACGACGCCGTTCGTCAGGTCGTTCTTCGCGCGCAGTCCTTCGATGCAACATTCCGTGCCGCTGAACAGGGCGCCCACAATGGCGAAGTTTTTGGCGGAGCTAAACGACCGACTGCCCATGTCCTTGAATCCCCGTCGTAGCTGTTCGCGCACCGGAAGGCTGGATATTTCACGTCCCTGGGGGGTGAGAGGTGTATCGTACGACATCTAGGTAGAAATTATAACATTAAGTAACCGGTCCTGGGAGCTGATAAGGGGCAGGGCAAGGCATACGCTGCTCATGAAGAGACCAAAAGCTCCGCCCAAAGCGAAGCCCATTCCCCCAGCCATGACGGCTTTGACCGGACACGACTCCATGGCCGCTTGTATCTGCCCACCCACGCGTTAGCAGCGGAGCACCACATCGAGACTCAAGACCGACGCTTCACACATACATTCTTCACCATCGCCTGCTCTTGCTCGCTCATCCCGCCGGCTGCGAGGCCGCCGGGTTTGTTCATTCCTGGGAAGCTCATGGCTCAAACGCCGGACGCGGCTGAGGCGGTTTTGTTTTCAAAACGAATGGAAGAAGAACGGCGGCTAATACGCCAACACTTGGACTAGCATACAAATCGCGGCGGTCTCTGTTCTGGCGCGACGAAGCTCGCATTCCACAGCAGCTGAACGGTGCGCGAAATTTTTGCGACGAAGACCCGGTCTTGGCGCGGCGAAAAAGCTTGCGGCGCTTGACAGCCGCTTGTGCTGCAGCACCGTCGAGCTCGCCGCTCAAGCTGTCGGGCGTTGGGTAACAGCTGCGAGAAGCCGCTGGCTCGTCGAGCTGCCCCTCTGTGGGTGATCATAGCCACCAGCAGGTTTCCGCTTGCAGAGCCTGAGCCTGCCTTCGAGGGGCTACTCCGTCCCTAGTCCATCAACACAGATCCCCCCACGCCCAGCCCCAGGTAGATTCAACGTTCTCCAGCGACCGCATTTCTTATAGACGGTGAAGGCGCTGATAAGATGAATAACACTCCGTGATATATCGTATCTACGGTGCTCCCCGGCTACCCATTCACATGCCTGGTTCGGCCGTCGCTGTGCCCGGCACACACAAGCCTGCAAGGTGCAACGCATCGGGCGCAAGCCATGGATAATAGTACGCAGGGCCTCCAACTTAATCTGCCTGAAGAGAGAATCTTCTTGTTGCGCATGGATCTGGCTGGGACTCCATCGCATGAAGGCGCGCAGGCATGCGAGAAGACGCCCAACCCGGCCAACCACTCACCCCCCAAGCAGCACTGAGTGGCCGACTGCGACACGGCCGTAGCTAGCAGACCCAGCGTGCTGGTAAGGCCTCGTGTGTTCTTCTTGTATGCCGTCGCAGCAGTCCCAGCGTCGGCGAGTGGAGCGCAGGCCTGGCCGCGGTGGCTCTTGGGCGCAAGGATCCCGCCGATCACGGCCAGGCAGAATTAGACTCTCGGGCCATATTTCTTTGTATAAGACCATTCTCTCGCCCGGCATTGATTTCTGCTCGCCAGAGTTAGCGTTGCGCCATGTCAGGATCAGGTAGCCTCTCGTGCGTTCTGCGAAGGATGCGAATCATCGCACGGAGAAATCCCCTCGATCCTCGGCGCCTGCGACCCCCTTGCTCGTCCCTACGATCCTTTTCGACCACGGTGCCGGTGTTCCAGTCGCCTGTGCCCTCCCCCCCGACACAGCTGAAATTCACGACGGACAACTACCCGCAGCTGAAAAGGAACTCGAGCTTCTCTGAAGTCACCGCCGAGCATGTTCGGCATTTCAAGAGCATCCTCGGCGCCCAGTCAGCAGTCATCGACGGCGTCTGCGAGGATGCTGCCGATGATATCGAGCCGTTCAATCGAGACTGGATGAAAAAATACCGCGGCCATACCAGGCTGGTGCTAAAGCCGCAGAATGTGAGGGAAGTCAGCCGGATATTGCAGTACTGCAACGAGAATAAACTCGCGGTGGTTCCTCAAGGTGGAAACACGGGCCTGGTCGGGGGCGGGGTGCCAGTCTTCGATGAAATCGTGGTAAATATGTCGCGGATGAATAGGATTCGATCCTTCGATGAGAACTCCGGCGTCGTATCCGTCGACGCGGGTGTCATCTTGGAGACCGCGGAGAAGTACCTTGCCGACAGAAACCATATCTTTCCACTCGACCTGGGCGCAAAGGGCTCCTGTCATGTTGGAGGGAACCTCGCCACCAATGCCGGCGGCTTACGGCTGCTGCGCTATGGCAGCCTACACGGGAACGTCCTTGGCCTGGAAGCGGTCCTCCCGGACGGCACGATCGTCGATGACATGTGCATGCTCCGAAAGAACAATACTGGTTATGACTTTAAGCATCTCTTCATTGGCGGTGAGGGCACGATCGGCATCATCACGGGTGCATCGATCATTTGCCCGCAGCGGCCCAAGGCCGTCAATGTTGCCTATTTCGGCCTGCAGAGCTATGATCATTTATGCAAAGCCTTCCGCGAAGCGAAAGTTCAATTGTCTGAAATTCTTTCCGCGTTTGAACTGATGGATGGGAAGAGCCAGGACATGGTGCATACTGTCACTGGTCTCAAGAGGCCGCTTGACGGATCGTATCCTTTCTACTGTCTGATCGAAACGAGCGGGTCGAATGGGGAGCACGACAGCGCGAAGCTTGAGGCTTACCTAGAGCACGTTATGGGCGAGTCTATCGTTGAGGATGGGGTGCTAGCTCAAGATGAGACCCAGGCACAGTCGCTATGGCGCTGGAGAGAAGGCATTACTGAATCTCTGAGTCATCTTGGTGGCACATACAAATATGATGTTTCCATCCCGCTCACTGAGCTATATCAGCTCGTCGAGGATACTAAGGAGCGCCTCTCCAATGCAGGCCTTGTTGGGAACGATGATAGCTACCCTGTGCACGAAGTGCTCGGGTATGGGCATATGGGAGACTCAAATCTCCACTTGAATGTGGCTGTGCGGCGCTATAGCAAGGAAGTAGAGAGCATGATTGAGCCGTGGGTCTATGAATGGATACAGCAGCGAAAAGGGAGTATTAGCGCTGAACATGGCTTGGGAATCGCGAAGAAGGAATTTATTGGCTACAGCAAGAATGATACCATGATCAAGCTGATGCGCCAGTTGAAAACGCTCTATGACCCGGTGAGTCCCATACTCATATTCACTCCCCCTTTCCAGACCTTTCCTTATCTAATGAGCATCTCCATAGAATGGAATAATGAACCCGTACAAATACATATAATGATCTGCAATGCAGACGCAATGCTTATCCCTGCAGAGTAATGTAGACAGTGTTTCTTGACGCATGATATCCCTTTATTCCAGCCGAGATGATAGACTTCTGGGGGGCACCTAAAAGCGAATTACGCCTGCGCTAACAACGGTTGTCTCGCGCGGATATGCAGCCGTTCACGCCTCCCCGCTGTTCAGAATCTCGGGTCTTGAGCCCGTTCAACTGCCGCGCGCAAAACGCGCCTGGCGGCTGACTCAGCACCCCTCCCCACCCTTAGCGCACCCAATCGTGCGGCCTCGCACGGCGGTTGCCCCGGACAACCCGTGCCAAGTTGCTCACCCATAATAAGGGAAAAATCGCATCTGTTCTGTGATGAATCCAACTTTTATGCTTATCCAACGGTCGTGAATTCTTTTCCGGCATTATCTATATTTTGCTTAGTTACTTTACTTTTGGATATTTTTTTTCTTAAAAGTGTTTGTCAAACGGCATTGGTTACCCACAGCTATTGTTAGAGGCTTCGCAAGCTACGTGCTGGGCGCTTGGGGCCGGACGCAAGTCATCGTGCGTAGAAGCAAGAATGGCTGACGAAGGCGGGTTAGCAAATCATTACCAAGTGCTAGAGGAGCTTGGGAGTAAGTCAACGTTTTATCTCCCTCGTTACTGGCAATGGCGAGGCAAAAAGATTAATTTATCCGTTTTTGAACGTTAGGTGGAAGTTTTGGAACGGTGTATAAAGCTATCGAGAAAAGCACCGGTGAAATCGTTGCCATCAAGCATGTATGGAGACTTGTCAAAACGGCCCGGCGTGGTTACTTATTCTTCTTGCGGATAGATCGATCTTGAATCGAGCGATGACGATATCCACGAAATCCAGCAGGAAATTTCGGTGTTAGCGACGTGTGCGAGTCCGTATGTCACGCAGTACAAGACAAGTTTTCTTAGGGGACATAAGTTATGGATTGTTATGGAATTTTTAGGTGGTGGCTCTTGTCTTGACTTGGTATTTATCTCGAGGGAATGAGGTTCGCGCGGCCGTTAACATAAGAATAGCTGAAACCGGGGTCGTTTAACGAAGCGCATATTGCCATTGTCTGTCATCAACTTCTTTTAGGACTCGACTACCTCCATCAGGAAGGAAAAATACACCGTGACATAAAGGCCGCAAACGTTTTACTAGCACAAACCGGAAAGGTCAAACTGGCGGATTTCGGAGTCGCAGCCCAGCTTTCAAATATCAAATCGCAACGAAATACACTTGTCGGTACACCCTTCTGGATGGCACCAGAGGTTATTCAGCAAGCAGGGTATGATTTCAAGGCAGATATTTGGTCCCTGGGTATCACTGCTATGGAAATGGTCAACGGAGAGCCACCGCACGCGGATACCCATCCAATGAAAGTCCTCTTCCTTATTCCGAAAGCTCCTGCACCAAGATTAGAAGGAAACACTTATAGCGCGAATTTTAAGGACTTCATTGCCCAGTGCCTGATCAAAGACCCGGATCGACGACCAACCGCGAAAGAGCTACTGAGACATAAGTTCATTCGAGGAGCCGGAAAAACGGAGGCTCTGCAGGAGCTAATTCAACGGCGCCAGGAATGGGATGCAACTAAAGGGGCTTCTAGCAACATTAAATATTATGCCGAGTCATTGTACGTGATATGAAGAAAATCTTGATTGGCATATAAGTACTAACACGATATAGAAATACTTTGACACAGTGTAATGACGACGATGGCTGGGTATTCGATACAGTGAAACCTGGCACAATTGCATCCGCCAAAAACGCTCAGAAACGATTACGGTCGGCTTCATACTCCCTGGCAGACGTGGACGAGGCCGCAGAATTGATGGACAACCTCGATATAACGGATACGATGTCGGAAACGAGATCCACAGCACACTCCACCGTTCGACGTCTCCCTGCTCCAGAACTTCCGCCTTCAGTAAGGCGGGCCAAGAGCAAGCGAAAGTCGAGTGGTGCAAAACAGCCCTTAGGTGTTGACCTCAGCTTTGGGAACAGTCCGTCTACAGTGAGGCAGTTCCGCCGCGTCTCCGATAGGAACGACTCCGAAAACGAAAATCCAGGGTATATTTCAAGTATGGATGAGAATTATCCGCCTAAAACCCTCTTCTCTTCTGAGCCACAAAGTAAAGAAAGTGTGCTTGGAAAACGCATGTATAGCGTTGGAATTGGCCTTGCTTGCCAGGAGGCTTTGGCAAATACATGGGATCAGGGGAAGAGGGAGGCACTCTCCCGGCTTGCGGAAGCGTGGAGCGAACTTGAAATGCTCGACCCGGAGGGCGTATACCAAATAATCAAGTCTTCTTATGAGAAGCTCGTAGCGTAAGTGTTTTGTGGATTTGACCATACTCTTATCATCTCACTAATCAGCTTTCTATACAGTGACCCTAAAGTTGCAACAGTCCTCTCTAAAGCAACTCCCGCTGACTCCCCACAGAGACCGAAACTCATGCTAGCTCAAAATAACCCTCATCTTAAGAGTCACAAGAGACGCCAGTCGGCCCAGCTCACATCTGAACAGCATTTTGGAAATTCCAAACTTCCCAACCAATGTATCCCCGGCATGGAACATACTAAACAGCTGGCTGATGTCCTGTATGGCCGCTGGAGCGAAGGCTTGCGAAACCGATGGGCTGCTTCATAATGTTGCCCCAGAAAAAGTAACCCTACCCACCCTCGCACTGGCCCGTGGGCTGATGTTCATGTATATTACACACGTCTATCTTTTGTTTTGTGAACTTTCAATATCTCCCTGCATTCTATTTCTTATTCCCCGCAATGGCGTCTTCATTTGAACGGCCAAGAAAACCATTTACATGGAGTTGAATGGCTTTCGGTACGCTGTTGAACCTGTTTTGTGTTATTTTTCCTCTTTTCCACTGACTATATTGAAGGAAAATTTGTGTTTTGACTTACACTCATCATGTATGATTTCATATTTTTCTTCCTGTCGTTTCTTTTTGTGCTTTGAGAAAGGTGTTGGATGGGGTCGAGGCAAGCGTGCACATCATTCGTTTGAAACCACATTGGAAGGGTATACGGGACCTTCTGGAACCAAAATCTAAAAAATTGGATGTAGGTGCCATACATATTTAGGTAGATAGCTATCAAGACATTTACCGTGACTCATGGCCATAGCCCCCTAAACGTTCCGGCCTGGTGCTACCCCGGGAATTTACACTAAGCCACGGCTGGCTAGCGGTCGCCAAGGATGTCGTCGTCGCCGTTGAAACATCCGCGTTGATCTCCCCTGAGCTCATTGTTTTGGTTTGCTTCAGAGTTCGAGAATTCCCCGGCCGTTCTTCTCCAGCAAAATATCTTTCATAGACACCCACGCATGACCCACGAGTTATGTTGGGCTCCATATATTTCTCATGAATGTTTGACTGCCGCTGAATGCGTTGACGTCTCGGTCCCATGGATACTCTCCCGAACTCTGAATCTTCAAAGGGCAAAGCATCTTTGCCTTCTCCGGAACCCGACAATGACGAGCCGCGAGGCCAACCTTCGTCACTCCCTCCTCGCCCCCATGCTGCTGCTCGACATACAAAACGATTGACTGTCAATTTCCCTATTGGCCCGTATCCTCCCCAGCCTGATCAAGCTTCCCCATGTACGGGTACGATGTCTCCGCTCGCCCGTTCATCGACGTTTGCACCCTCGAATCGGTCGTTAGCAAGTCTGGCATTGAATGAACCGGATAATGAGAATGACTTTTATTTGACAGCTCTTGCTGCGCAGGAGAGAAAGGTTCTGGAGCTCAGAGAGGAGCTTCAGAAAGCCGAGGCAGAACTTACAAACCTCAAAAAGCAGTGGGCGGCACGAGAAAAAGGGAGGCGGCGGACGGAGATTGTCCATCATGCAGAAGTTATGAAGCCTATCAAAACAACATCAGACGAGACTGCTACGAGTAGTTCCGATTCGGGTCGATCTTCTCCTCCTGATCTTACGAAATTGGCCTTGCAAACGAGAATGAGTCGGGAAATTGAAAGAAAGCATAGCTCAAGGCAGTCGATCTCACAATTTTCAAATGGCACCGCTAGCTCTGCCGGGCGGCCAAGAACCGTGTTCCAAAGTTCTCGTCACGCAAGAACCCTCTCACTGTTGTCGCCGAATGGTGCAGAAACTTTTTCACACAACCAGATTATTAGTTCTTCCCAGAGCCTAGAAAACGCTCGAAGCTCCACACATCCCAGGTCCGCTACACTTCCGTCGATTGATCGTACAGACACAGCTACTACCGAAAATGCTGCCCCAGTTGTCAGCATTGAAAACGAGCGAAATGTGTGGCGCCATTCCCTGCCCATAACCCAAGATGGAACTGCTGACGCCTTAGTGCGTACTGGAAAGCAGATGGCTTCGGATTTCAAAGACGGATTTTGGACGTTTTTGGAAGATATTCGCCAAGCTACTGTTGGTGAAGAAGGAATTAATGCCACTGAGGTGAGGTCAATGCAGGGGTCTCATCGTGCTCTGCGTCAGTCCAAAGTTGCAGTGGATCGTTCTGTGAGTAAAGGCAGATCAACAACACCGTCTGCTGCTGCTAGATCCAAGTCATCAAAAGCGAAGAAAGCGTCGACGTCAACCACAGAAGACTCCTCTTTCTGGAGTGAGTTTGGAATTGACTCCCCCGATATGAAAGCTCAAAACAATGGGATTTCAAACGACAATGAGAAGAAGCAAAAACCTGCGTCCAATCTTTTAGATGTGGATGATAACTGGGATGTATGGGAATCCCCCCAACCCAAAACCCATACACCGTCCTCAAGTAGCTCCACATTTCCTTCTTTCAGGCGAGACCCGTCGCCTTCGACGAGGGCGAGTAGTCCTCGGACAAGTGCAAGGTCAGCAGCACCGTTTCGACTCAGGGCACTTTGTATCCAGCCAACTAACAACTTTGCAGTTACGCAGATCTAAAGGCACTCGAAACTGACCAAGCTACGAGTAATGGTCAAACCGAAAGTATCCCATGGCCTGTTATAACAAAGTTGCGTCCTTCGAATCTAACGAGAACGGCGTCGAGTTTAATGGAAGAGTGGGAGCGCAGCTTATCCCCTTCACCTTCCCCACCCATGAAACAAAAGGCCGCTTCTCAAGTAGCTAAAAGTGACTAAACGCCAGTAACTATGCTCCTTTTATATTTAGAAGCATTACCTCATTTTTATTGCCGAATCAGTTTCCCGATATTAGCGCATAGCTTCTCTGCTATGATGAAACGGAAACACGGCGTCTTAAGCTCAACAGCGTCTTTCAATCACATGCTACGCTTTTGCATGTATTTCTTTTTATTTGTTGCAGCTGCTTCGGGAATTTTGGATGACAGATAATGACCATGACATGTATATCCTCTACGAAAATTTTGGTTCTTCACTTGTTGTATTAATCTTTGTTACTTATTATTTCCTTCTTGAAGACAGTTGAATTCCAACCAGTGTCTTACTTAACACTCTTCTATGATACTGCCGTCGATGTTAGTGAAGAATACTTTTGGGTGGAAATTTTTTATCAATTCAAATTCTCAGGATTATATGAATGAGATACTGACCTACAGCCTACGGTACTGGCACACTATAGTTGCATTACATGAAAAAGAGGATTTACAGTCCCGGAACTAACATCTAATGTGGTTATATTTTGGGGCCCAGTTTCCTTTTCTTGTCCCGTTCTTTATCTCGCAAGTACCGTCTTAAAATCTTCCCGCTCGCACTTTTTGGAATAATGCTGATGAACTCAACTCCACCATTGAGCCATTTATAATGCGCCTTGTGGTTCTGGACATGCTTTTGAATGTCACGAATCAAATCCTCGTCTCGTGCAGTGATGCCATGAGCCTTAACTATAAATGCTTTTGGAACTTCACCAGCAGCGTCGTCATGGATGCCAATAACGGCTGTATCCGCGACGGCAGAATGCGTTAGGAGGTGTGCTTCCAGCTCAGCAGGGGCAACTTGGAATCCCTGCGAAATTGTTTAGTATTTTCTGAAATCCAAGTCTTGGTCAGAGCTCAGAAGTCTGTTCTGGACATCTCACCTTGACCTTGATAAGCTCTTTTATTCTGTCGACAATAAATACGTGATCTTCTCCGTTAGGACTTTTCTTGAATACCGCTTCGTCGCCCGTCTTCAGCCATCCGTCGTGGAAAGTTTCCCTGTTTGCTTCTTCGTTGTTAAGATATCCGAGAACGACGGTCGGCCCGCGCAATAGGAGCTCTCCCGGCTTGTCATACTTCTCAACTTCAGTGCCATCTAATGCTACAAGCCGTGCCTCAAGCAATGGTAGGAGACATCCGGACGAACCGAAAAACATATCATGAGGACTAGTGTGTGTCGCCACTGCTGTCGTTTCCGTAAGGCCTTCGAAAAGTTAGAATGATTGTCTATTCCACGGCACACTGTGACTATAACCTACCGTACGCCTGGAGAATGGACCATTTTGGTTGCAAGTTGTGAAGATCTTCTGCCGTTTCATTTCCTAGAGGAGCCGCTCCAGTGATAATGTGACGCACGCTTCTTAAATCGTATTTTTTCATCAGTTCGGGATCCTTAACCATGGTAATGATCACAGGCGGAACCTAGATGCAAGATGGTGAGCATTGAGCATTAGCATGAATATAAGGCCTGGAATTTCTCCTACAACATAGAGAACATTGATCTTGCACCTCTCGATTGCGCCTAGAAGGGTAGCAAGTTCAAATTTTGGCAACACAACGACCGACTCTCCCCGATATACTGCAGCATTAAAAACCGATAACCCGAATACATGGCTATAAGGCAACAATCCAAGAACCGTGTCTTGTTGATCCAATGTTCTAGTATGTTCCTCGAAAAGTTTGAGGAGCCAAACTTCGGATATCATGTTCATGTGAGAGATCATCACCCCTTTCTACATTGCACAAAATTAGCACTAACTTTTCAATATGTAAGTGTAGTCCGTACTGGGAGACCTGAAGTGCCGCTAGAGAAGCACAAATAGGCACATTGTCTAGTAGCCTGGCCTTTTGTCCAATTCAACGGCTCCAGCTCGCCATACTCAGAGCCTGCTTGTACCAATTGGTCTATGTTTCTAAAATCCTGGGGACTCGATGAGCTTTGTGGCATATTGAGCAAGAAAATTCGAGATTGTGGAATTCCACACTTTGCTGCAGCCTTCAAGGCCGTGCCCAGTAACGGTACACAGGTAAACAGAGCATGGACCCTAGATGCTCGGAGTTGATAAGCAAGTTCATCCACAGAATATGCTGCACTGGCCAGGGAAGCTATCCCTGATAATCTATGAACCGCCCACCCTAGTGGAAAAAAATCTATCTATAATATAACAATCATTAGTAGGTAAGATCAGGTACGTTTAGAGGCCCTATCCATACAGTATTCAGTGAGAAGATACAAATAGTCTTATCCCACTCTGTACCAACATTTGGCTGCCATCCAAATTCATGTGCGAGGGCTCTGGCCAAATGATCAACACGTTGCTGAACCTGGATTGCACTGTATCCATCCCCGGTATTGCCGCAAACAAAAGGCTGTTTAGAGGTGACTAAGCTTGCCCGGCCATATTTCTCGTTGAGAATATATTCACATATGGGAACTGAGTCGGGAATAGCATCTATTGATGCATTAGAGACCCAAGAAGGGCCTCGAAACGGCATGTTGACGTTGGGCCTGGTGCCACTTTAGGGTGAAATTTGCTTATACCTCGCTTTTATTATACAGCTAAGGCTTCTTCTCCTTATACTAAAATGATACGTCCGCCTGACTCAATATAACTCCGCGATCTTTGTTTTCGGCAATAGCTAGAATAAAGCTTCTGAGGATCCTGGGGTAATGGCCGGCGTCGTAACTATACCGCACACAAAGTCCAATGTTCCTCTTAAAAATATAAGTCAGATAACATGTTGCTGGAAGGATATTGGTTATACCGCTGTGCTTCACGGCCAAGTATACTTGAATTTAAGTATGTAACTGCTGGGGAAGCCGGGAATAGCGCAATCAAGCCGAGGGTTGGCAGCATAGCTGCTAGTGGGGCGGAGCTAATCAGACTATTGGCTCCTCCGCGCGAAACACGATGCCCGGGCAAAAGAGAACGGCAAAAATGATGAGTGCCAGACCATGGGCTAAGTCGAGCTGGAATTACTTAAGTTGCTGAATTTTCGCTGGCCAGGGTTAAGTTATATGTATTCCAGGCGGCCAAGTAGGCGAGATACTTTAATTGTCTCTAAAAGAAAGACATGGTCAACCATCCAGTGCTCAACGAGAAGCTATCACAATATGCAGCTATTTGCACCGCCAGATAACTAGATTAAGTGAAAAGCGCAATCAATTGTCGAAAAGCCGTAGTAATTTGGGCCAAAGGTGGACGGAGTGGGTTAAGCGCGGCTAAACGCGCGCCTAATTCTGGGTGCTTGTGATAGGCAGACACCGCGCTGCGTACCTCCAGCTCGCTCCAGCACCAACTATCGCCCAGGTCGACATCGACATCCAAACCACCGCCCCTTTCCTGTTGCCCCCATTGTTATCCTCCCACACTTAACATTTTTTCCCCTCTTAATTAACTAAAATGGCATCTGGCTATGACAGAGCTCTTTCAGGTATGTTAGGCACGGTAGCTTCTTGAGCTTGCTTCCTAGCTAACGTCTGTGCTTCGCGAACAGTTTTCAGGTAAGCTATAAGTCATTGTACGAGATGCTGAGCGCTCTAACACTACTTTAAGTCCTGATGGACATGTCTTCCAAGTCGAATATGCCCTAGAAGCCGTCAAAAGAGGTCCGTGAAACCCCAGGCTGCAAAATATCCCTCCAACTCACACAAATATAAGGTACCTGTGCCGTCGGGGTAAAAGGAAAGGATGTAGTTGTTCTGGGCTGCGAGAAGAGATCGGCAATGAAGTTGCAAGATACACGAATTACGCCATCCAAGATTGGCCTTGTCGACGAACACGTTTGCCTTGCCTTTGCGGGGTTGAATGCAGATGCTAGAATATTGGTGGATAAGGCAAGAGTAGAGGCTCAGTCGCACAGATTGACCGTTGAAGACCCCGTTACGATTGAATATATTACGAAATACATCGCCAGCGTTCAACAGCGTTATACGCAGAGTGGTGGTGTTCGACCATTTGGGATCAGTACCTTGGTTGTTGGGTTTGACAACGGAGACTCAAATCCTCGGCTCTATCAGACTGAACCTTCGGGAATATACTCTGCATGGTACGTCAAATCGATAGTAACGTCGGAAATTTTACTTAATATACATATAGGAAGGCAAATGCCATCGGCCGATCGAGTAAAACCGTACGGGAGTTTTTGGAAAGAAACCATAAGGATGGTATGGATAGGGAAGAGACCGTTCAACTGGCAATCAAATCACTACTTGAGGTGGTCCAAACCGGCGCCAAAAATATTGAGATCGCAATCATGGCGCCCGGAAAACCGATGGAGATGCTGCCAAGCGAGAAAATCGAGACCTACGTTAAAAGCATAGAAGCCGAAAAGCAGGAGGAAGCAGCAAAGAAAAAGACTGGCCGGACTCCAGGGACTGGTACTGCTGCGATACTGACTCGGGGGAGTGGAGAGGCGTCAGAACGCTAATTGACTTGTTTATTTTTTTCGTTAGAGGTACCAGCCATTCATCATCTAAATATACTCTCTGCAGACTGAGCTTCGAAATTCATGAAGGTTTCATCAGTCATTATATCTCAAAACGTGAATCATCTATCCTAGTTTATTTGGAGCCTCCTTCACGTCGAAAATAGGCCGTTGTTGTTCCTGGCGTACTCTGTCGTCTTTCAGCATTCGGGAATCGATACGGATGTCCTCTCCTTCGATCTTCAGGGACGGCTTCGGAGTTACAGCCTCCAGAACAAAGTGATTATCGCAATGGGGGCAGTATTCATCACTACCATAGAATCCGGTTAGTTGCTGTCGTGCAGATGTGTGAGTACAATATTGAAGGTGTATGTATGTACCTCTCCTCGAATTCTGAGGCGTCTTTTCTAAAGCATTTCTTGCACTTCTTGCATGCAAATGTCTGTAATACCGATAGCGGTTAGAACGTTGCTGCTTCTTTTTCTCCGTCTATTCCCCATAGTGTCTTCTCACCATCTCAAAGGATTGTTGCAGTTCATGGCTCTCCTGTTCTCGATGGCACTCGGCGCAGTCAAACCATTTCCGACCTTCTCAGCGGTTAGAACCCGGCGCCACAGAGGCATTAGTATACTTGCAGCACGGCGAGCGGATAGACACCTGGGCATTCAGAATGTGGTGACTACCCTCTGCCAGTCAGCAAGGATCACGAGCCTAGGAGCGCGCGGGCATACGTACCACATATCAGACACTGTCTCAACGCCTCAGCGTACACGTCGCGAAAGTGAGTACCAAGCGAGCGAAACCGTGCGGTGTCTTTCCTTCTTTCTTTCTTGCGCGAATTCGTTTCGCGATCCGAAGACGGTGTGGCTCCCGTGGAGTGACGGACAGATGCTGATCGTTGTTGGGTTGAATAGTTATTTCCCCAAAACAACCTTCAGGCCCTAAAATAGCAACGTTTGTAAAGTCACTTCTCAGACCACGGCACAGCTGCGGGCCAATCGACTCTAACTCCCGTGTCCAGGCCGCCGCCAGAATCGCCGTCGCTGTCACGCGAGAGTCAGCTGGCCTCACAGCGCTGCTTGTCGTTGTTTCTACTACTTGTTGGCTGACCGCCATGCCCTGAAAGCTGCCAGCATCCCGCTTCACACACCCTCTGTCCGCCTGTCGCAAGCTCTTCGATTACACCTCCTGCTGATACATGTCCGTCATATCCGAGCTCAGCCTCAAGTCTGGGATGATTCGAGATCACGACGCTGGTGCTCCTCTACTCTTTTCTCAGCGCTAGCGTGTATTGTCGGCGCCCGCGTCTCTGGGCCTCTCATAGCACGCTTGGAGCCGTATCTTCCCAGCTCCTAAATGAACAGTCTGCTAGTTGAGCCAAACGTTTCAAGACATCAATCTTGAAAATGGAACGGGATAGGCCTGAGGACACGGAACAGGAGTCTATTGTGAGTTATCTCTTGAAGGTCAGGCTGGGATCTTTTCAGCATACTAATGTTTGAGCCAATTCATAGAAACCCGTGTCTTCACTCCTCTCACATTTTGAGAATTTGAATCGTAAGGAGGGTAAACGGGAAGCTCCATCCAGTGTTCTACAGGCACATCTAACAAATGATGATATACCTATCGCCCGTGCTTCGTTGGACCTTCCGCGCCGCGAATCGCAGTGGGCACCATCCCACGTCGAAGCTCAAAACACATTTCGAGGACCCTTACAGCCTACTCAGACAGGAGATTCTCCAAGTAGACGACGTTTTACCCGGCCATTTTCGATGAGCATACAATCTACGCCTCCTCGCGGCCCAACTTTGACCGTTGAATCACCGAGATCACCTCCTTATAAAAGCCTCATCCCATCTACAAGACCCCTCATTGGTAGCTCACCAAAGGCTCGTGGGACATCTGCTCCGGTCAATCGGGGCCATGACGATCCCTCTACTCGAGAAACACCACTCTTGTCGGATACTGGTCTGAGTGCCTCTCCCCGCACACTTGCAGACTATGGCCAGGATGCTAGTAAAAGCCCTATTAAAAGTTCATCCCAGCCTCCACCGGTTAACAGAGCTGAAAAACCCAAAATACCTGCTAAAAGACCAGGGATCGTGAGCAATATAGATACCAGCGCCAATACTCTGCTTGCTGCGCAAAAAACTGCCGTCGACGACAAAATCTCCCCCTTTAGTACGCCTCCTAGTAGCCCTGAGAAGTGGTCATCATTACCTGTGTTTAGGGGACGCTCTCCAAATGGCCCCTTCCCCTCCCATTTCTCTTCGGATTCGCCCGGCAACCCTGTTCGCCATAGACCTAACGTTCAGTCTCCACCTCGCTTGCACGATACTTATCCCAGAGAATTGAGCCCTTCAAACCGAACGAAACCCAAACCGATTCCTAATCGGGATACAAAACCTCCCCCGCCGCCACCTCCAATGAAGCGGAATGGAACCCTGTCCAAAAAGTCGAGTACTGTGCAGACCATCGCGAGCAAGCTGGCCACCAGTGACGACTCAGAAGGCAAACCGGATTTGCCCCCAAGATCACGATCTCCCGCTTCCCGAAATATTCTTTTATCTCGATCACTCCCACAAACTGGCCCGGAGAGCTCAAACCATCCTCCTTTATCAGCCTCGCTGCAATCCTATGATGCGGCCCAGAAACCATCGATGCGGGTTCTGGGCGGCGAATCAACTGTAAATTTCCCACCGCCTCCTCCCCCTAGACGCGACACGAGCAATTTGTCTATGAGACAGACTGCGGATAATCTACCGAGTTCGACGCCCCAGACCCCAATATCATCTGTACCTCCTCGAATACCGGCCGCCGTGTCAAATACATTATCCAAGCTCCACATAACGTCTAACGCTGCCCGTGATGTCGAAATCCGCTCCGTTGACGAAGCCTCTATACCAAAAATGGACTATCCAGATGCTTCATATACAAACCGTCGCCCACCAGTTTTTCGCTCCGGCACTCGTGCTATTCATACAAAATATGATACTCGAGTGTTTGATGTCTGTGGGCAATATGCTTGTAGCACGGGGTACTTTACAAGAGTTTGGGATCTTGTGACGGGAGAACAGCTATTAAATTTAAGTCATGGTGAGTCTGTTAAAGGTTTAGCCATTGCCTTTAAACCGGGGAGGACCGTGGATCAAGAAGGCAAGGCAATCTGGGTTGGAATGAGCACGGGAGACATTTGTGAAGTCGATATTATGACACAAGCAAATGTAGCGTCGAGATCATCTCCATCCAGACGAGAAATCATCAAGATTTTCCGCCACAAAAAGGAGCTTTGGACGCTTGACGACGATGGCAAATTGCTTTTGTGGCCTCCGGACGAGTCAGGCGCGCCGAACCTTCACTACAGTTACAACAATCCCTATGACAGAGTTCCAAAAGGGCACACATTTTCGATGGTTGTTGATGGGATTTTATGGTATGCGACAGGGAAAGAAGTCAGACTGTATAAGCCTAGCGCAGCCGATACGTCTTTTCAAATTCTCAGATCTCCTCTTGGCAAATTTCATTCCGGCGATGTAACAGCTGGCGCCGTTTCTACGAGGAACGGAGGTGTCGTTTACTTGGGGCATGCTGATGGAAAAGTTACCATGTATTCCGCTCAAAGCTTTGCATGCTTAGGGATTGTCAATGTCAGTGTCTATAAGATAAGCTCACTTGCGGTTGTTGGTGATTATCTATGGGCCGGTTACAAAACTGGCATGATATACGTATATGACACTGCTTCGGACCCGTGGATAGTGAAAAAGGATTGGGAGGCACACCATCATGGCGTCTGTGGGCTACTGTTAGACCCTAGCAGTATTTGGACCGTTAATAAACTCCAAGTGGTTTCCTTGGGTGTTGATAGTCATATCCGTATATGGGATGGAATGCTAGAAGACGACTGGCTAGGTATTCTCATCTTTTCCCTATTTCCGATTTTCTTGCTAATTCATATGATAGAAGCTAAGATGCATAGTCTGGATGTTGACTACTGCAAATTCCGTGAAATTTCAACTGCTATCGTTACATGGAATATAGGTGCTACAGTTCCAGGGAACCTTCCAAACAGCAATTTCATAGCAGAGGCGATTCATCCAGAAGATCCCCCTGATATTTTGGTATTTGGTTTCCAGGAGCTTGTTGATCTTGAGAATAAGAAGATCACAGCAAGTAAGCACTCGTTCTGATAATATGGAGGGGCATCCAGATGATTGACTTGTTTCTTAGAGAGTTTCTTAAAAGGCAATAAACGAAAAGATCACGAAGCGGAAAATGTGAGCCGGCAGTACCGTGTTTGGAGAGACCACCTTGCCTTGTGCATTCGCGAATTTATGCCACTTGATACGTCCTACGTATTGCTCCACACGGCGAGTCTTATTGGGTTATTTAGTTGCGTTTTTGTGAAACAAGATGAACGCCAAAGGATTACGAATGTAAATGCTTCGGAAATCAAACGAGGAATGGGAGGTCTGCACGGAAACAAGGTCAGTTGTTAATTTCTCTACTGGAGCACCTTGAAATTCTTTGCCAACAACTGCTCTAGGGCGCTCTTGTTCTCCGTTTTATCATCGATGATAGTTCACTTTGTTTCATCAACTGCCATCTAGCTGCTGGTCAAACACAAACAGCCAGCCGTAACAATGACATTGCTGCAATAATGGAAAACGACTCTCTTCCAGCAGAGCCGAGCTCCTCAACACGCATCGATCATTACGTTGGTGGTGGTGATGGGTCCATGATTCTTGATCATGAGATTTGTATACTGAATGGTGATTTGAATTATCGTATTGACTCGATGCCTCGAAATACCGTACTGGAAGCCATTAAGGCAAACAATTTACCAAAGCTCTTAGATCGAGACCAGTTACTGGCATCAAAACGCAAAAACCCTGGCTTTAGACTTCGGTCATTCAACGAGGCTCCGATCACATTTGCTCCGACATATAAGTACGATGTTGGCACTGACAATTACGATTCCAGCGAAAAGAAGCGCTCGCCCGCATGGTGCGATAGGCTTCTTTATCGGGGTGTTGGTAGGATCAAGCAGATAGAGTACCGACGGCACGAAGTCCGTGCATCCGATCATCGACCTGTTAGCGGTTTGTTTAAGATGCGAGTCAAAAATATTTCCCCTCAAAAACGTACCGCCGCATGGGAGGCATGTCAAGCATTATTTCTTCAAGAAAAACGTCGCTTAGCGACCGAAGCAAGGTAGATTATGTCTGTTCTATATCTGAGTGACCTGCAGTTAACTCTGGCCCCCTAGTGTTGACTATTTGGTCTGCGTTCTCGGTGTTGACCCAAATGAAGCTGAATCGATGATTTCTAAGACTTAAAATTCACGCCATCTTCTTCTACTCTCTATATTTCAACATTCTTCAGTTAATACCGGAAGCCAACACTTAAATGGCCCAGCTTTCTCGCCTGTTACAGCGCGCTGCTTTAGAATCGTTCTTCTTTGGGCGGCTATGTGATACGACTTAATGACACTATATAGACCATTTACGCTTCGGAAAAGATGTTGTCAATTACCTATGACCATATCAATTCCCTTTGAATTTTTCTGTTTACTCCTTACACCTTCGCCTAATATAGCACCCTTCTGGCTGTTACACCGAACTACACATTTTGGTTCTCACATCGTATACTCAACCTGTCATCTTACACACATTTTAATAAGATCATTTCGGTCTTCGGCGGATTGACTAGAATATTTCTTTGATATCTGTGGCATTGTGGATGGGTGTTTTTCATCTTCGGACAATTTATGGAGGCAGCCTTGTGAGTTAACTATGAATTTAGATAGGGGTTAGCCCGCATCAATTACCATACCGTTGAGCTCTGTAGATGCTCAGGGACAATGCATTTGCTCTGGTGATCTTTACTAAATAATTGCCAATCAACTCACTTCATAATTTTGGGTATTTTAATACACACTCATCCATACCATTCATAATCCAAGATTAAACATGTGACTCACTACTTACATGCCCCAGGGGTGTCCGGCAGAAGCCCCGTTTCCACATCTGCCAAAGCAGTCGTTTGCTCAGGAAACAATTTGCAGTTCAAATAATAACTAATATCACTCCCGTCAAACTCTATTGTGCTGAAACCGTTGCCCAAGTACCCCCACCGATTGCCGCTCCAGTACTCAATCTCATAATCTTCATACTTAGGCTCTCGAAGAAGATCGAAGAACGACAAGCGGCTGCCTGGCCACATGACAATATTTCCATCTTTCTTTCCTTGTTTGAACCAGCTGCTACATGGGTCTGCCCATGCCGTACGCTGTAGGTACAGCGATGCGTGCTCCATGAAGTCTTTCATAGCATTCTCTTTGGGACTGAGACGGCGAATATGTTCTTTCCTCATTTTTTGAATGATCTGGATGAAGTGGTTTGAAAACAAGGAGATAAGCTGCAAGATTGATCCCTGGGCCACGGGGCTGTAAGGGCCACTGTACATGAAATAGTTGGGGAAATTTGGCACCGAAACAGAAAGATAACTTTCTGCTGCATTTTTCCAGCGGTCAGAAAGTAGTTTCCCATCGAGTCCAATGATTGGAAATCGTGGGCGAAACGTGGTGTCGAAACCTGTGGCACAGATGATGACGTCCACTTCAACTTCCACCCCATCAGCAGTGAGAAAGCCATTAGGAGTTATCCCATTAATATTTTCAGTATAACAGGTCGTCTTTGAGCCAGCGAGAGCCTCGAGATATCCATTTCCGGGAGTTGGTCGACGACACCCGACGTTGAAAGTTTGTGGAATGATTTTAGACTTCAGATGAGTATTGTCTCCAAGTTTCGATGTCATTTCATTGTATGCAAACTAGGAGAGCGTGTTAACAGATTGGTAAAGTGAAGGACCGAGAATTGAATGTTCATATACCGTATTGGCTTCTTCGGACTCCTGACTATTCCTCAATACAAGTCGAAACCGTCCATTGAGTTCATCTTCGATCATCTTGCGATATCTAAGGTATTTTTCAGGGTGAGTCTTCCAAATGGTCTTTTGCTCTTCACTATCTAGTGGAACACATGTCTAGTTAGGTATATACGACCAGAAAAGGCGTTAAAGAGCTCATACATGCGAAGTTTGCGCCATCAGGCCCAGCGTATTTCTGCCCAAACCCCGCTGTAATCCACGTCGGCGTTCGAATCCAGGTATACAGCTTTGACACATCGTTGTATATGGCGGCAACAGTCTGTACGCCTGAGCTCCCCGAGCCAATCACGGCAACGCGCTTTTCCCTGAGATCGTATTCTTCGTCGTACCGGGCGGTATGGAAAAGGCGACCACCGAAGCTGTGCAGGCCTGGAATATCCGGCCATCTCCATGCGCTTTATTTGCTTTGTTAGAAATGAACGGCTGTCTTTTCAAGTTAGGGTCTCACTTGAGAATTCCAGAGCCGCTCAAAAAGACATCGCATTCCTCATTCCATTCCTTAGTCACATTACCTTCACGGTCTTTTTGCACCAGGTGAATCACCCATTTAGATTTCGCCTCTTTCCAAGCTGCATGGATTACTCTGGTCCGCAGCTGTATGTATCTCATCATATCCTCCTCATCCACAACCTTTTTGAAATACTCCCAAATCTCCTCTGATGGGCTGTAGTACTTAGTCCACTCCGGATTTGGTCGCCACTGAAACTGGTAGCTTGCGCTGGGGATATCACAGGCACATCCCGGATAGCGATTTTCAAGCCAAGTGCCTCCTATGTCGGGATTTTTCTCATATACGACAAATTCAACGTCTGGGTCGTCTCTAAAGGCGATGGCAGCGTGGTGGACGAAGTCTATTCCAGCAGCGCCCGCGCCCATCATGATAATTTTAAATGCTTTTCGTTCCGGAAACGGCTCATTGACCATATGATCTGAGATACGATAACCGCTGGCCGATGAGACAGACCATTCAGGGAAGAAAACTGGCCTGTCTATTGAGGCTGGATGGTCAATATGAGGGTTGTTGCTTCCCAAGGAAGCGGGCTTAACAGCTGTAGGCGAAGAATTCATGATAAGCCTTAGAGTTTTGGTATCGAATATGAAATAGGAACTGAGATTACTGCCTTTGTGCGTAGACGAAGGCTTTGTATCCGCTATCTGACGATAGGCACAGGGATGAAAGTCGGGCATTTGGGGGCATCGATGACTCGTAATTCAGGACGCTGGGTGACGCCGTGCCGAACCACCGGCAACGGGTGTCACCCGGTCGCGATTCGTACTTGCCTCAGACTTCCATTCATAAGGCAAGGTTCGTACGTCGAGGACACCCATGGACCCCTGCAGTAGACACAAGGGTGCGCCTCGTCTATAGTTTACACACTCGCAACCCCGCGCCCAAAAGCCAAGATTAGATAAGCTTTTCGAGAGCCGAGGCTCCGAACCAATCCATCGCCGTGCAAAACACCGCGTAAGCACAAGAGTATCGATCTTTTGGGATCTCTTGAGATTATTGGTTAGGGTGGGCAGCTTACGGAACAGCAGGCCGAAGATCACAATGCAGCTCGTTCACTCTTGTGTCACTACACTGGCATTAGCATACATGAAAATAGATTCAAAGCAACGCAAAAGCTCTTCATCATAAAAATGCAATCGCCAAATTTACAATTTTGAAGGAACCCATTTCGGGGTACGTTTTTCCCGAAAGGCTGCAAGACCTAAGAGGACATAATTAGCTGTACTCCGCAGCCATTGAGGCGTGTAGAAGCTTACCTTCAAACATATTCTCGCCAGTAAAGAGGCCGATATCATACTTCTCTCTTGTATTCGCGGTGGCATCATCAATAGCAGCAACTTCCCAGGCCTCCCTAATTCCCGCTCTTGTCACAAGTAGCGCATCGGGGCTCAATTGAGAAAGCTCCTGAGCAAACTCCACTGCCTCCTTGAGCAACGATTCATGTGTCTTTGAAATCCGATTGATCAGCATCCAGTTTTTAGCTTGTTCTGCAGAGAAAGCTCTTCCTGTAAGCGCGATTTCAGATGCAATCTGCAACCCAGCAATGCGCATGATACGAGGTAGCCCGCCGGCCGCGGCATAGATACCACGCTTGGCTTCCGGCAGGGAGAATTGGGCACGAGGCGATGCAATGACCAAATCACTAAGTCGTCAGAAATATCCAACATTGCGCTGACCGTAGTTTTGGCTTACCAGTTTAAACATATTTCAAACCCACCGCCGAAAGCAAAGCCATTTACAGCCGCAATAATCGGTTTTTTCCCTTTCCTCTTGCTTATTCCAGCGAATCCTGAGGGCGGATGGCCTTTCAAAAAAGTCCCATCTGAAGGGTCTTGCCTGTTCCTCTCTACCTCCAGCAGATCCTGGCCAGCACAAAACGCCTTATCGCCGGCTCCGGTGATTATTCCGACTTGCAGAGAGCCCTCTGCATCGAGCCACTGCCATACATCGTTCAAATCCCAGTGCCCTTGGAAGGTAATCGCATTTCTTTGTTTGGGACGGTTCAGTGTTACGAGGAGAATGCCGGGAGCCGGATAGGAGAGCAGGTAGAACGGCGAGGTAGGGGGAGGCGAAGAGAAGGCCATGGCAGCAGCAAGAAGACTTGAGACGGAGAGTACAAAGGGTCAAGTGTAGGAATCAGCCGGGAGCAAGATGAAAGAGAGTCCGGGGCCGCGCGCATGGGCTGGCCATCTTTGTTTAGCGCGTCAGCGTTACCCGGAGCTGTGCGATGCACCTCGGTCGGCGGGCTTGGAGCTGCGCCGTCGTTTGTTCGGGGGCGATCACGTGCACCACAGCGCTGCGGGCAAACAGCGCAGGTAAGGGAGGCATCAACTGGGAATTACCCAGCAAAAGGGCCATCGACACGAGTATTGTATTTTTACGTGTGCGAGTCTGAAATGGGATGTGTGCAATAGTGGATGGTCTGCTTTTGATGCAAACCTTGTTCATGCCATTGGGCCTGACCTACACCTACCAGGTCCATACATTCCTCAGGGTATGTATCTTTAGGCTCCAATATTAAGCCAGAATCTATTCCTAGCATTCAACTCGCCACATCACAGCAAGCGTTCGAAATGTAGTAAAGCATCCCTTTCAGCGCGTTCTGCTTGCTGGTGATTCCACCTCTTCGCATCCCACATGACGTCGCCGCAACAAAGAGCCCCGCCGCGAGCCTCCTCAGGCCTCCAAATTCTCTTCCTCGCCATCTTTATTCTGGCCTTCTTCCCAGGCTTCCTCTTCACTTTCCTGAGCTCGCTAACCGCTTTGCCGGCGTCCATTGCCCACCTAGCCTTCTTCCACTCCTCCAGCTCAAAAACTCTCACCCCTTCGCCCACCCCGTCACCCACTCCCCACTCCGCCCCAACAATGAGTTGGTTTCAAAAAACCATTAACCTTCCAGCACGGTCCCGTGGATCCTACTTGATTACAGACCAGATAGTTTCGGAGCTACCAGAATTGCGCAACTACAAAATTGGTTTACTACACCTCTTCATTCAGCACACAAGCTGTGCGCTGAGCCTGAATGAAAACTGGGACTCGGATGTCCGGGCTGATATGAGTGACGCGTTGGATAGAATTGCCCCCGAGGATCGCAAAGGCAATTTGTATCGGCATAGCGCTGAAGGCCCGGATGACATGCCTGTGAGTTGTACCTTTGTGTCAGGAACAGCCTTAAGCATGTTAGCCCTAACAGCCCGGCGTGATCGAATCTAGGCACATATCAAATCTGCTTTAGTCGGTGCAAGCGTCACAATTCCTATCAGAAATGGAAACCTGGCCACAGGAACGTGGCAGGGCATCTGGTACCTAGAATTCCGTGCCAGTAAACACCAGAGAAAGATAGTTGCTACAATCCAAGGAGAGAAAATAGAGTAGATTCTCCTAGTCCATAGACAACAAAGCAAGATCTTAATCTACAGGCCCCGATATAGCGGGTGATATCACATTAAAACAAAACATGGAAATTTTTGCGTTAGACATGCTGCTGATAATAACGGGATAGACTCCCAAGATACCACAAGGTACCATAGGACTACAGCTCTATTCGCCTCGTTTCTCGTTCAGTTGTCGGAAGGAATTCGCAAAATAGCTGGAAACCATTGGTTACTGTAGATAACGAGGTTGCATATATGGTGTCATTGCATTTTATAGCTGGTACCTGTACAACATAACTCCAAAGCGAACAACTGGTGATAAATAGCGGTCGTCCGTGTAAATAGGCTACCGCTGTTCAAATGCGCCATCTGTAACTCGTTGCGATTCCGGAACTTCGGCTGGATGTCCAACAGGCTCCAGGGGGTACGATGTTTGGGGAAGAGATTCAAGAAACTTGCGGTTATGTTCATTCGCCTAATGTAGACAGTAATCAGCCACCCAGCTCTCATAATGATGGGGGGTATATTAAATTTGAGGAGCAAAGACGTACGAAGGGAAGTCCACAGTAGCCGCAGACCGCAATCTCGGGTTTATCGGTGTTGATGAAGATTTTTGGGTGGCCCAATGGTCCACCACCTCCATCGCAAGAAACGACTCTTTCTTTCGTCCATCTCACAGGCTGTCTGTGGATCAATTCAATTGCGGCATACGGTCGTGGCTGTACTCAATTCTTCAGTACAGTCATACAAGTAATTATCTAATGAAAGCAAGAGAAACTGGGCTATATAGGCAGGTTTACGAACCTGGTACTCCATGGTGGTCTGCTCAAATCTAGGCCCAGACATAGCAGCCTCCCTTGGCTGTTGGCTCTTCGCCCATGTAACTTCTCTATTCGGGGCCTGCATCTGCACAGCCTTGTCCGCACGCTCTATTGAATCCGAGGGCACCGTGTGCGACTCCGGCGTGCTGGTGACCTTTTTGTGAGTGGTCGGAACACCATTGTCGGATTTTTCGGAGAGACGGGGGGCCGTGGAGGTATAAGTCGCGCGGGGAACGAAGCGTGACGAACGTGCGGTTAAAAGGCGCAGGCTGGAGCGTGTTGAGGAGAGCATTGTGACGGCGGGCAGACGCTGCACCACTGCTGTTGATGGTGGATGTGGGTGTCGGTGGTGAGATTGACGTTCATCGGCAGACAAGTGCGGCCAACCAATCAGGTGTGTTGATTGCGATCAAGAGCAACTTCGCTGGACGTCTTCCTTCAGTTCCAACCACATGGGAATAAAAACGCCGTCAATCCATTTTTTGTGGATATACAGGGACTATTTATATTCCTGACTGGCAATATACACACAATATCAAGAGATCTCAGTCACCATCTTCCACAATGCCACGGTCACGGCCTCAGAAGAGTATGTCGTCTCGGCTTCTCACTATGAAAGTATGTTCTGCGCATATACCGTTAACCTCCTTTTCGATTTTCTGCTTTCTTATTATAGCTTAGTTTATGCAACGTGCTGCTGCTGCATCTACAAGTAACCCAGCAACTCCAGCAAGCGAAAAGTCTGCCGCACCAGCCGAGCTTACAACGCCATCCCCAAAGCGCAGAAAGGTATCAGCAGATACCTCTTCAAATTCGCCACTAACCCCCTCATCTTCGGATCTTAAAGCAATATCGGCCGCAGTTAAAGCAGAAGAAGAAAAGCGTGCAGCAGCTATCGCAAAACAAGCAGCAGATGCTGGGGAGACGGAGTGGGTGTTGGAATTTCCCGCTGGAACGATTACCAATTTGCCCTCAGCTAAAACCGACAGCAATCCTGCGATTGAGGAGCCAGTAGACGGCGGACGAAAAAGCTACGGCAATTATAAGAAGAAGGCAAAGCCGCTTAATTGCGGCAAGTGAAAGATCTACCAATGCACCGATTTGGCTGTTTACATACAAAAATCTTATTACCGGCTTATTTAAGCCTCACATCTGTTCGACGACAGGACAAGGTATCGTTTCATCCTGCAGGGAAAGCGTTTCCGATTGAGCAAACTCTTGCATACAGATTTATACAGTCACCCAACAGGACAGCTTGTAATGCCTGATTCGATGCTCCCAGGGCAGGGCACTATCGAGGAAAGTATGATGGAAATTTTTTTTTGAACAAAGCCCCCATCCCAAGACCAGAATCAAGGAACAATCTTCCAAGTTGGCAAAAATTTTCTTCAATCGGAGTAACTGGAGCCCAGATATCAATGATAACACAGGCTGTAACTAAACGTGGGGTAGGGAGAGTGGCTCTCCCTAGTTATACACTGCATGAGAGGCTATAAAAAAGAGCGAATAATAATAATAAGGATCCCTAATATATCTGCTTAACGAAGGGCAATTTTCTTTTAAGCCATAACTTCGCGCGTTGTTGATGCTAACTGGAAGACTGCCCATCACGTGAATTTGATCGCAGAACATGCGAACTACAAAAATGACACTCCTCCCCCTGCTGCAACTTCCAATGCTTAGTGCAACTGTGATTGCGAAACTCCACTACATCATGAGGTTAATAAAAGAGTGTCTAAAGAAATCTCGTTCTCAAATTTCAAAATTTCTTTTCCCTCAACTGGCATCAGTTAAGCACGTTAATTCTTACCCAGTTTCAGAAGAGCCAGATTATTACAAAGCGGGAGGGTTTCATCCTATTTCCTTAGGCGATAGATTCAAAAATGACCAAAACACTATTCTAAGGAAACTGGGATATGGCCAGTATTCGACAGTTTGGCTAGCTAAAGATTCTAAGTGCGTTATCTGCTGCTGCGGCTTGCCGAGCTAACAGTTAAAGTAGGCATCAGAAATATGTAGCCATCAAGGTGCTTAGAGCTGATTGTTATGGTGGCCACCATGACATCTTTGAGAGAGAAATCCTCTCGAGAATCTTGGAAGTTTCGAGACGTAGTTCTCATCAAGGCCGCAACTATGTGTCCCATCTTCTCGAGCAATTTACACAGACGGGACCCAATGGAGATCACGTTTGCTTAACGTTCGACGTTCTAGGACACCACCTAGATTTTCAAGCCGCCAAGTACGAAGATGGAAAGCTACCTGTGAGGGCTGTGAAAGTGATCGTACGACAGCTTCTCCTAGCGCTTGATTTCCTGCACAGAGAGTGTAGTGTCATTCATACTGGTATGAGTAGATTCCATGATACAAGCCTCTATTTCAAAGCTGACGTATCTTTTCTTCATGCAGATTTGAAGCCAAAAAACATACTTTTAGAGTTGGAGAACCCGAGTAGTACCATTTCCCACTATCTATCGGAGATTCCTGCGCGAACAGATTCTCAATGTGGTGCTACAACACCTCTACGAGAGGTCATCCCAACATCGCTAGTATCGGAAACAAAAAGCCTCCACGTCAGGTTAATCGACTTCGGTGTCGGTAAGTAAACTATCTCATTTTCGTAGCTTATGAGACTTACTTATTTGTATATAGCGTCTTGGACGGAACGCCATTTGTCGGATCTAATCCAGTCACAAGCTTTGAGAGCTCCGGAAGTAACGATAGGTGCCCCTTGGGGCACTGGCGTGGATATATGGAGCCTTGGGTGCCTTGTAAGAACATTTGATAATCCCGTGCGTCACGGTGCAATTTACTTGACTTACATACTGTGACAGGTTACGGAGTTTGTGCAAGGGATAGTTCTTTTCTCTGGGGAAGCATCGTCGAGAGGAACGTGGACCGTTGAAGATGACCATCTAGCAAGGATTATTGAGATCCTTGGCAAATTTCCGCTCCATTTTATAGCAAAAGGTCGTCGCGCAGCACACTTCTTTGACAAGCAAGGTAAGGTTTCATGACTTTTGTTGATATTCGATTATTTTTCTGATCTAGGTTTATTCCAGGAAATCTTCTCCGAATTCCTAACCTAAAACCCACCAGCCTTGAACGCCTAGTTAATGGCACGACAAAACCTTTCCTAAAACCTATCGAGATGCCTGAAGCTGAAGTCCCGATCTTTGTTGACTTCATTAAGGGTATGCTCGAAATCGACCCAGAGTCTCGGAAGTCTGCGGTTCAGCTGTTGCAGCACGAATGGATTCGTCCGTAGATATACTCCGTAAGCGCAGAGAAAAGTATGAATCTAGACCTTTTTTTGAAGAACCTCTTGAATCGTTGACACCACAAGCGGCGAGTCGCCGATCGCGAGATTATATTGGCTCCTAGCTGACCCAAAGCTAACTAACAGGTAACTAGTGCAAAACACTAAATTTGCGCTAAAGAACCTTAACAGCACGCGTCTGAGGATGAGGTAAATAGTCTACCGCTCTACCTATTTATGACTTGAGATGGGGGTTCTGAAAAACATTCTCGCGCCAAGTCGCAGCGCCAGCAGAGCAAGGGCGAGTCTTGGCCGTAATTACAATTTATTCGAGTACACCAAAGGCCGGTTTTTGTAAGTGTTCCTTCATCCGAAGAAACTAGATCTGGAGCAATTCTAATGACATGATTAATAGGTTTAATGAGGAACTACGCCGCAATGAGCGTCGGATAAACTTCAATCCTGATGCGCTTGCCGCGACAATCTGCCATTCTGTCAACCGTTCTGTTTCGGAGCTGATATCATTCGAAAAACTAGCCGAGGGCGGATTCAATAGAGTGTTCGAGGCAACTTTCACAGATGGTTATGCTGTCCTCGCCCGACTTCCGTTCCGTATTACCTCTCCCATCCGTTATGCAGTTGCAAGCGAAGCAGCCACTCTTGGCTTTCTGCGTGCCAATTCTCTGCCTGTCCCGAAAGTACTGGCTTATTCATGTGACAATACAAATCCTGTTGGGGCAGAGTACCTTATTTTGGAGAAAATTGAGGGAAAGCCATTAAGCGATCAGTGGTTTACAATGGACACGAAAATATGTGTTAAAATAATGAGACAGATAGTGGAGCTTGAGGCACGCTTTATGAGCCTTTCGTTTCCTGCTAGCGGCAGTCTGTATTACCAAAGAGACTTGAATCCATGTGATAGGATACATTCAATAGAAGGCGGCCCAGGAGATACCGATCAATTTGTGGTTGGACCGACTGCTCAACACGCATGGTGGTATCGAGAACGAGCGCGGCTGGATGTGGACAGGGGACCGTGTAGTTGACTACGTATCTCGAAATCCTCGGGAAGCTGCTGACAAATATGCAGGGACAAGCTTCCTGGAATGCACTCAGGCTCCAGCCAAACGTGAAATACAGTTCTGCAATCAATATGGAAAACCGCGACTTCATGTTGAACGCTATTTGCGGGAGCTACAAGAATTCAGGACCTTATCGCCTAAAGATCATGCGCTGCGGCTTTTTGAATACCTTCAGTTGACATTGCACCTAGATTTACCATCAACAAACCCTTTTGCCCGACCTCTTTTGCGTCATCCTGACTTTTCACTTAGTAATATTTTGATAAACCCTTCTGATAACACGATAGCTGGAGTCATTGACTGGCAGCATGCAACAGTTCTGCCCCTCTGTCTCTGTGCTGGGATCCCCAGGTACTTTCAGAACTGGGGTGACTCGAAATCAGAGGCCCTAGCAAAGCCTGAAACAAAACTACCCGATGGTTTTGACGATCTTCCCGAACAGGAGCAGGATGTTGTGCAAGAAACTATGCGCAAACGTCTTGTACACTTTTATTACGCTGCATATACCATGCGCAAGATGCCTGATCACTTTGATGCATTGCGCGATCATAATGCAATACTTCGAGCAAAACTATTTGATAGAGCCAGTGCACCTTGGGAAGGCGATTCTCTGTCACTAAAGCATACTATACTTCAAGTACAGCAAAACTGGCCGATGCGACTCACTTCTCACCCGCCAGTTCAGGCGGATGGAGACTGTCCAGTAAAGTATTCTCAAGAGGAGAGATATCAGTGTGTCAAAGAGCATGAGAAAGAAGAAGAAAAACTACAAGAACTTTCTGAGATGCGGGAAATGATTGGCATTGACCAACTAGGCTGGGTTCCTGATGATGACCATTTAGAGAAGGCAAGGGATGTGGCTAGGATGATTAAACAGGGACTATTAGAGCACTCAAGCACCGAAATTGAGAGGCTTGCCATTTTGAATCACTTTCCATTTGATGATCATGACGAAGAGGAATGAGAAGGGTTGTGGGACGAATGGAAGCTTTTATGGAGTACATTAACTGGAAATGGAAAAAAGTTATAGAATTCACCGAATCCCATGCCCATACGGAAGTGGCTTAGTGCCACAAGTCATCTGCAAAAGATTTTCATTGACTAATGCAGCTCCAGAGGAGCTTCACAGCTGATAGAAAACCTCATCATTAAATAATCTACAACACATAAATTTTGAAAGTCATTTGCACAGATGATTTCTGTCGGTTTGATATTTGTTCTTTGGCTCATTATGATACGGTCACTCTTAGTATGGAGTAACTACATTGTAAGTCACTGAAAAAGGTCACTTACCGTAAAGCTGTTCAGATATACGGTACTCTGTAAAGGTAATTAATTGTTTGTTATTAAAAATATCAATATAAAAAGTCTATTGCAAATGGTTCATAATCAATGGTACATAGAAGGTGAATAGATAAACCCTTGTGATCCTTTAGATTGGGCAAACTATCTGGAAATGTCATTTTTTCCTTCATAAACACGTTTGCCTGATACATAGTATAGTTACTTGAAGCCTTTTGAAGTTCCTGGCAGGTCGGAGATATTGAGTCCATAGAATCATGCCGCATTGCCACATGACGATATTCATTTATCATGTGTTTCTTCTGTTTGCTGGACATAATCTTGAGCAAGCTAATTATGGATAAGCACATCGCCAGAGCAGATATCGCAATCAGGGGTCAAGATGTAAGCCCCAACGAATGAAAGTAGGTGCTAAGGAGGAAAACCAGGTCACAAACTTACAATAGAGTATATATGCAGTATGTATGTACATAGAATGACAGGCGCCGGCGGAACTATATGGCAGGGTATATTCAAAGTCTAGCTTTCTCTTTCAGCTGTTTCTCCTGCCATTGCTTTGTTCCGCGGTAATTGATCGCATAATTCCACGCTGCAACGCTGATCCCAATGGGCGGCACCAGAAGGAGTACCCAAGCCCACCACCGCGGGCTTGATGCTTGAATGCGTGTCATAGCTTTCTTTATCTCGACCTCCAGCGCTGCCTTATCGCTATCATTCCACACGATGACTCCTCTCGCGGACGCAACGCCTCGAAACTCTGCACGCTCGACTTTTCCAAGCACATCGCCCTGGCTCTTCACACGATTCTCAGCGTCCTCGGCGCTCAGGTGCGGGTCTCGCAACCGTAATCTCTGCATCTGTATCGCGGGATCCTTGACACCAACGACAATCACCGTTCCACAGAGTGCATCCAGTCCGCTCTCAAATAGTAACGGAACATCTAGCACGACAGCCCAGTGGCCTTGTAGATAGTATTTCAAGAGCGATCTATACATCTCCCATCTTACAGCTGGGTGTACAATTCCATTCAACACAGCACGATCCTTTTTGCGCTCGTCAGAGTCGCCGAAAACCCGTCTACCTAGCACTGGACGATTTAACGGGCGGCCTTGGCCCACGGTTTCTTCCGGAAGCAGGAGATCTGGGGTAGTAGGGCCGAAGTAATCGACGATTGCATTGTAACCGGGCGTGCCTGGCTCTACGACCTTGCGAGCAAGGACATCGGCATCGATGATCGGAAGATTGTACGGTTGCGCCGAGAGGAGGGAGGAAACGGTGGATTTGCCGGTGGCTATGGAGCCAGTAAGGCCGATTAACAGCATCTGGGTGGGCGAATGAGAACAACGACGGTATACTGGAGGCAGATTAGGGCAATGCGGTCAATGTAGATGAGAATGCGCGGGGCGTTGGGGCTGGAGGTGAATCTCAGCTGTTGCTGGGTGTGCTGTTCCCGGATGCTTCAAAGGCCGCGGCAACCAACTAGTTGCAAAACTAACTCACTGGTTAATGAACCGGAAGAGACGAAGCGGGAGCTATCCGTGTGGCATGCCAATCATCAGTGACGCGCAAGCCATGGCGCCAACCGAAGTGGCGATCCGTGCTCCTGGATGGCCAAGACTGATGGAGGTCTTTCTGGAGTACTCCGTACGAAGTAGTTAGTTAGTTACATATCTGGCGATGAGTTTTAGTACTCCGTATAGGAGCCAGCCAACTACGAAATATATGCCAATCGCAGTATTGCCATGAAAGAACCCAGACATAGCTTTAAAATGATATGAGCTGTCTAAACTGGTGATAACCTAGCCGTGAAGCCTTCTTCGATTCGGTCGATGTGCTTGAAACCATTCTGATATCGCAAGGAACCCAAACTGCCCGGATATACACCGCCGCTGCCCTGTTTTGAGTCAACAAGCCCAGCGAGTTACTCCTTCCCGCTGCCCGGCACCGTCCTTCCTAGCAAATATCCGACGCAGCGGTAGGTGAGGCCGAGCTGGCTCGACGATGCGCGGTAAGAGCAAGATTGGATTGCCCGTAGTAGAAGTAGCCGGCCGCCAGCCTGCCTCATACGGCATTTCGTGGCTTCCATTCTTCTCTCCAGCGCCAGGAGAAGAAGGCTCGAAAAACAAACCAGCGAGGGTATAAATACCGCGTTCACCCCCGACAAATCCATCTTCCATTTTTTCTCTTCAACTTTCCCATCCACTTCCCAGGACCTCCTCCACTTAGGTTCCCTTGACTGTCCGTCGTTATACATACATACATACATCTTCACTTTGATAGACGCATGACTTACCATCCAACCCTTCCACACCCTCACTCCCTTGGCTCAATGTTGCCATGGAACCCAGTGCAATGGTGGCTTTTGTGTGTTCAAGGAATTCTCATAAAGGTGGGGTCTTCCATAGTCCGATAGCGGTGGGATTCACCCGGAGACGTCCGGGATGAGGGCACCCTAAGGGAGATGTGGAGCAGGGCCTTGAAGAAGACTTCTGCTCTGCACCTCTCTTCGAGATTCTTTGCTAGGCTCCACTCAGTAACGTGCTGACCCCCCTTTGTCATTTTATAGGTTCGTTCGCGGAACAAATATCCGAAGGAAACATCTCTAGCAGTTCAAACAGGTTGCTATGGGCTTGCTGCATCTAGATACTTAGCAATTAGATAATTCTATAAATCATTGTATAAGAACCTGCCTGTCTTTCTTATTCATGATGCTCTTCCCATCCTCCCATTTTTCGTTCCCCATATAAGGTTTCAGCATTCACGGTGCTCAGTTCTTGTGAGACCATGTAGCCTCGCACTTCCCAGGGAGAGCACGGGTTTAAAGGACCCGTCCTCCAGGCTACAGCAATGCCTGATGACTGTGAGTCAGCCCAGATTACTTTGCGGCCAGTAATTTCGCCTCTCATGTACATCGCAGCCTTTAATCTTTCTCGGATAATTATCTTGCCACGAAATAATTGCTTTTCATCGACGCCACTGGTTCTGGGGTAAGGATCCGGGCGCCATTTCGTAAACACCTCACGGGCTTTCTTCTGAACCGCCGTCATAGAAGTTTTCTCAAATTTGCTTGTCCGTGCCTCTTAGGTCATGATCATTCTGGTCTTTTGACGCTTTTCTTCAAGTTTATATCGCTCACGAACGTCTTTTTTCGTGTAGTGTTTGCTGTTCTTTCCCTTAGCCCTGAGGTATCTTTCTTTTGTCACCATATACAAGGCCTGTGAGGCAACTTGAGCAAGTCTCTTAGGATCAATGCGCCTGTCTATTTCCTCGATATATAAGGCTTGTGACGCAATTTGAGCAAGCCTCTTAGGATCAATGCGCCTGTCTATATCCTCAATATATAAGGCTTGTGAAGCAATTTGAGCAAGCCTCTTAGGATCAAGTGGTGCTGCAGTTGGCGCCATTGGTGCTCAGACGAAAGTATGGATATATATATATCAAGTAGACCAAATATTCAAGCAATCAAAATATAAGATAATTTCGAGCTTCTCAAGGATGGTATTCACGATCCCTCACGGTCAAAAGATGCGATGGAGATTTAATTTAAATAAAGGAGATGTGAGTCATTTCTTCCCAGCAAGGTTGGATGACTCCAGCTCCATGTCTGGTTCAGAACAGCATCACCACATCACTGGCTGTGGCAACCAATGATCATTACTGAACCACAAGGTAGGCAGGTGGCTTAAACTGGAAAACCATTTTCTAGTCATAGCTGCATTCAGCCAACTTTTGGATTGCAGGCAGACAGGCCCGAAACCGTTCGAGCTGCCAAGTTTCGGACATCTACAGAAGTGTATTAGAAGAGATGAAAACTAAAGTGGCAGGCAAGTCACACAACGTCTTTTACTCACTCAGCCGATGCAACGGTGGAATTATCTGGGAATGATGGCAAGGCGGATCTACGGATACATTCACGGAAAAGATATTCAACTGTGTGCCCGTCTGGTTCGAGGAACTAGGCTTGAAGGATCAGTGCCAGTGGGAACCGAAAGATCTCAATTTCCAACTGCATAACAATAAGGGCTACCTTTATTTTAGTGGCCATAGCTCCACCAGTAAACAGGACCTTTGAAAACCGATATTTTAACACCCATTCTATACCTCTATATCTCCACCTCCAAAGTCATCCATCCCTGTATCTTGTCCATCATGGTTGCCATTACCTTCACCGGTCAGCACTTTTGTTCGGGGAATGGATTCAGGCAACGAAGTAGGAGACTGGTCTCCGGGTGTTACAGCAACAACATTATCATTTTCATCGACGAATTCGAAGTTATATCTTGATAACAAATGGGGAATAGCGGAGAGTTGTGGGCCGTATCGAGCAGTGTTGTCGTATAGCTCGAAAAGGGGAACGGCGAGAAGTTTCATGTTCTTAGGGACCGATAACACCTCTGAATTCACTCCGTTAGTACATCCAGTGACATGTAAGCTGCCCGTGGGTACCTACTCTTCTTTGGTAGCTGTATAAAATATAACTTCTTGCACTCCTTGGGCCTCGTGACGTGTCCAGGAAGGAAGGGGTACATAAATGTCTCGAAGTTTGGTCTCCACCACTGCGCCAGGGTGTCGCCAACTTCCCAGTCCTCATTCACGCCTTCACCCGTGAATTGCGTCCCAACAGGCGCCAGGCGTTCATTTAATCGCGCCTTGAAGCCCTCGACTTCATCGTCATTATATTGTAGATAATCGCCTGGCCTGTAGTAGTCTCCTCAGTTAGCTTACCGCAAAAATCTTGACAGAAAATTATAGACAGCCAGCGTACAATTTGAAAAAAGCATTCGCAATCTGCAGCATCAACACGTGCGGATGATTATGCTCATGGCAGACGAGCACGCCCTCACACGTTCGCCTCATTCCATACTGCTCATAGTGTTCTTCTAGTCGCTTTAATCTTGCTAATACCGAAGGGTCTTCTTCAGGCTGTGTTTCCTTGGTACCAAATGTATAGTTTGAGAGGGGATAGAGCCGGATTGTTTCTGGTTGTCTGGCAGAGAAGGATTTTGGAATGATGGGCCTGTAAAACTCTCATAATATGTAAGTAAGCGATACTCAGCACAAAATCAAAGACCAATGAACTCGAGGCAGATTAAACAGAAAGGTAGCATACGGTCGCGAGCTCTCCTGTGCGTTTGCTGAGACGGTAGACATGACGTGCGAGCCGCTGTGAGACAGAATACGGAGCTATCAAAACGCAGAATTGAAAGGACTTTTATTATCAAGAGTGTAGCATAAGAGGGAAATAATGGCGGCTCCCAGGAAGTCTGCTGGTTTACAGAATACGTACACTGGACTCTGTATATCAAGTGTGAAGCTCCAAGTTCAATGTTGGAGCTGGCTGAGTCATCCGTCTCTTCACCCACGTGATATGAGTGTTTTACATAAGCAGCCCCTTTCAACCAGGGTTCCCATGAAGCTTGCAATGTTTTGTCGCAAAGTGATTGCATTTGTATTCCGTGTCTATTTACTATACAGCAGAAACACCTAAAACAAGCAGCCTGGGCTAGGAACCCGAAAAATGAAATGTTAAATCAAATGCTAAGGGAATATGAAGTAGCAACGAACAAAAAAAAAAAAAAGGGGGGGGGACAAGATGCAAGGGTCTAACGATGGATGCATTCAAAGTTTCGGTTCAAAATCTTCATACTCGCTCAAATCAACGATGGGCGAAGCGGCTGGGCTAACAGATAGGCGAGCTTTGAACTCCGGAATGCTAGTGATATAGACGGGCTTCTTGGATTCTCCGCCATTGATGCCGTTGACACCATTAGCTGGAGCGGCCTTCGGGTCACCTTCACCGTTAGTTAGGGTTGCGTTAGCGTTATCACCGGAGAATAAGCCCTCGAGGACCTGGGTACCGCGTTCAATAAGAGACAAAACTTGCTCCTCGACCAAACCCATCTCCGTTGTCAAGAAGCTTTTCATAGTCTCTGTGATAGTGCCAATATTCTCTTTTGAAATAGTCACGCTTTCAAAAGCCAGTTTCATTTTTTCGGTTTCAACGTCAATACCAGCTGATTTCAAAAATTTGTTGATTCCCTCAATAACAGCATCTTTCTGTGGTACCGGTGAAACAGACTCAGCCGTTGCCTGTGCTTTCATATGAACAGCAAGCTTTGCTCGTGAATGAGATTCAGGGTCAATAAACTCCCGATAGAATTCAATAATGTCGGCCTTTGTGAGGGGTTTGACGGCTTCGGCATCGGTCTCATGCTGCAAGAAGTCGTAATATTCAGATCCTATATGGGCCCAATACCGACCAATCTCAGAAGAGAGATTCTTGAGTTTCTCAAGTCTCTTGTTGATAACACTGCGCTTATGTGCTTCGAACACACTATCGGTCATGCTTTCGAGGGTCGCGGCAAATCTAGATAGGAAAGCGTCGATACGAGTCTCAAGGTAGTCACAATCCCGTTCACTCTGAATAATCACACGGTAGCCAAGAGTAGTGGCAGAGAAGCGAGAGCCACTCCAAACAACATACCCTAACTGTTCCTTTGTGCGAAGTTGGTCAAAAGCCGGCTCACTAGCCATTTGGGCAAAAAGCTGGATTTTGGCACGCAACGTGGGATCGGTTAAGTCTCCGACAAAGAGGTAATATTCAATGCAATGGTTCACATTGGCTGGATCCTTTAATGTATGTTCATAGATATAATTGCTTCCAGGTGGAATGATCAGGTTTCGTCGAACATGCCATTGGGAGCGGGGCAACGGACGGGCCTTGAACGTAGACTCGACAAGGTCTGTAAGCTGAAGTGCGTCTTCCTTGTAGATATTTCCGTGAGCCAAAACTTCGACGTGGTTCTGGCGCAAGATTTGAGGGAAGAAAGCGGCAACGTCTTCAGCTTCGATATGCTCCAGTTCATCTGCAAGTTGCTGGTTGATGAACGCTTTTTCCGCCGTTAAAAGTCGAGTGTAGCTTCCAACTTGATAGTACGGCAATTGGTATTCAGCGTTCCGGAACCCTCTAGCCAATCGCTCTTTAATAATCTTGAAACGCTCAGGTCGAACTTCAAGATCTCTCATGCTGTGTAAAACTTTTTCAAGGAGAACGGACATTTTATCATTGTAGCCAGCGATTGAAACATCAAGGCCGAAAACACTTGGGGTCAGGTCATAATCCAAACCAGCTAGTTCTGCATCGTAGGAATATTCCGTTAGAGCATCTCTAACCAATTCACAATAAAGTCTAGTTTTAACATTATTTCCTGGAGTTGCGTATACGAGTGGGTTTCGCATTGTGATTTCCACCGCAGCTTTGGGCACCCAAAACGTATCGTCCTTTTTAAACCATGTTCGGACGCGGTCATCATTTCGAATCAGGCTGGGGACTTGGGTTGGCTTTTCCACTTCCTTTTTCTCCACATCCAATCTAGTAGGCACGAATTCGTTTCGGTGAGGCAAATGTAATTCAGAAACATTGCCTGTAGAGGGCGATTCAAGCATTGAACGGATTTCAGAGAGTACATTATCAGAAATCGGCTCAACCTTGTATTCAGTGCCGTACCACTTTTCTTTTCGATCCCAATCACCAGGATACTTCTGGGATATTAACTCAATATTGAAGTTGTCTGCATTGAGGTAAGTTAACCCCTTTGTGATGAGTTCAGGCTCAAATTTTCGAAGCAAAGAACTGCTAATTAGCCATTCTCGAGGATATGGCCTCTGCATAACGCTACTAAGGCTGCTTGTAAATCGGCTAGCAGGCGACTTCTGTTTGAATCGGAAGTCAACCTCAGAAAGATTCTTCATCTCCTCGAAAATCCACTCTTCCGGGGCGTTTTCCTTAACCAGAGAGATATACTGAAAGATAACCTTGACTACATCTTCGTAATGATGCAGGCCGTCCTCTGTCAGGCGGACGGAGATATTAAAGAACGAAGAGCCTGGGCAAACGGGAATAGGGCCCGCGGATAACTCAGTTGCCCAGCCCTTAGCTTTAATATGAGCAAGGATACTGCCTGGACCCTCGTGTCCGATCAAATGGCTAATATATCTGCTGGGTTGAGAATCGTACATGAACTCTTCATCTTGGTAGACAAAAAATATGTCCAGAGATCGCATATCCATAACAGGTTTGGCATAGATGATTTTCCGCATATCATCTGGTGCGAATGGCTGCACATCATCCCAGCGGTTTTGAGAAAGCTCTTTATTCTTGACATCGGAAAAGAGGTGAATCACCCAACGTTCTAGTTGATCCAATGACTCCCTTCCTAGCACCACGAGTTTCATGCGGTTCGACGAATAATGTTTTGTATGGAAATCAATGAATTCCTGCCGTACATCCAATCCACGTTTCTGGGGCTCTTCCAAAAGGGTTTGCAAATTACCCGTGGAGAAATGGTGGTAAGGATGGTTGGGATTGGAAAGAGACTTGTTCAATTGCGAGAGCCTCCAAGGGTCACTTTGGAGATTCTTTTTGTTTTCCGAGTCAACAGCACGGAGTTCACGCTCCAAAGTTGAAGGAAGAAAAAGAGGGCAGATGAAGAACTGAGCAAATCGGTCCAAAGCACCAAAGAGCGGAGATTCAGGGCTGTTGGTGGTGGAAGCGCTCTCCTCGACTGTGCTAGATCTCCTATCGACCAGGGGGCCAAGAGGAGCGGGGGTTTCCGATGGAGTCGGTACCACGGCGGGTTCGGCATCCACTGGATGCGAGTGAGCTGTAGCAGCTACCTCAAAGTAATAGTTTGTCTCGGTGGCGGCCGTGTAGGCATTCGAATGACCAGAATGGGCTGCAAGGTACTGATTATAGTCATTTTCTCCAGGGTACTGTTCACACAGGATTGCGTATTAGCCTATCACTCCTGGAAAATGAGGTTGCGGGAAAAATACCTTTTCGGTTCCCATGAACAGCAGATGCTCGACAGCATGGGCCATACCCGGCATATCGTCAGCATCGGAAAAATTGCCAACATTGACATTGACAGAAGCACTAGCTTTGTCCGTGTTGGGGTCGTGAACGAGCAGTGCCTCGAGCTTGTTGGCCAGCTTAATAACTCGATAGGACCGGTCGTCGACGACCGGCTTCTCGACATTGTCGGCCACGCGTTCGACGAGCGTCATGGCTTCTAAGTCCTGCAGCGACATGGACGAAGAGAGAGAGGAGGCAGCAGCAGCAGCAGCGGGAGAGGGAAGAGATGCCATGGAGCGCCTTGGGGGCAAGACAGCGGAGCGGCAAGGCAGCAGCCAAAGTGGAGCCGGCCGCAGGGAAGGACGAGATCGCGCGAGGGAGTGGAAAGGCGGCCAAACAACCTTGTTCGGGCCACACAGCAGCAGCGAACGACAGCGGGCGGGTGACCAGAGAGCGCCGGCTGGGGACCTTGGAGGCATGCAAGGGAAGGGAGCGGACGGGCAGGCGAGGCGACGGGGCGGGCGGCCGCAGCAGGGAAGGCAACGCCGGTTTATATGGCGCAAGGCCTCTGAGTAATCGGGCGCGGGAGCGGCGGAGGTGGTTGTGGTGGTGGCGGGAACCCGAGCCGGTGGTGAAGACGACGATTTTTCAGAAGTAATTCGAGGTTACTTTGTGTCAACCCGGGCCAAGCCACAAGCCTCACCAACGGGAGAGCAGGGGGGGGCGCAGTCAGAGACGATCCCGAGCCTGGGTCAGCGTTTCAAGCCCACGCAGCGTGCAAGTCGGTCGACGACGACGAACAGCAGCGTTGAGGACGCGCAACGAGAGAGGTCAGGGCGGAGGAGGCATAAGCGACGAGGTGGAGGCCGGGCGTGACGAGGCCCGAGCGAAAGGGGAGGAGTTACCCGGGTGTGACTTGGCAGCTGAGTGAGCGTGCGCGCACAGCGCCGGTACCCTCTAAGTACCGTTGGCCGCGGGCGGTGATTGGCCCGATTGCCGCTCAAGCGTTCGATTAGGCAGGCGGTAGCGGGCGCTTGGCAGGGGAGGGTAGTTTTGCCACCGCTAGCGAGCGCTGATTGGCCCGAAAAAGCTTGTGCCGCCATGCCTGAAGCGGTAAGGTGCCAACGCGCGGAGGCCAGCCGTCGATCATTCAACGCCAGGCCAGCCATCATCGCAACAAGAACAGCCTCGTGGAGGGGGGACGGTGAGTGCTCCCTGCTCGTATTCGGGCGTGGATGGGTGCTGGCCAGGCTCGCCATTGGTCTGCACGCCAACAGGGTATTTCAACCCCGCACTGCCACCAATGCCCAACTGGCCGGCCATTCCAGGCCTCACAATTTGGCCCAGCAACCTAGGTAGGGAACAAACCTCCCTTCATTACGATTAACTATAGGCGGGGGGTTAGTCCGATTTTTTATCTGGTTCTCACCTTCATTTAAAACTTTGATACACTGATTGCACCCGGAACCTTCGAAAAAGAGCCTTTTTCATCCGGGAGAGCCTAACCCATAGAAGCTTTTTTGTACATGCATGTACCTGCAAGTAGACCTTCCCCCGCACTTCTACTATATTCTGACACCTCGACGTTGCACACTATTGGAGCACAGAGTGGTGACTGGCCCTTTAAAACCTCTGATATGATCGATACCTACCAGGAACCCTAGACTGCAGTGTCATGGGTCTTCATTTTTTTGAAACCTGATGCGCCATCTGCGGCTTCTTCCATCTCTCCACCCGCCTGGCTACTAGCGCAGGCCGCTTGCGACCCATATTATCAATTGCTAGTCCCCGGAGCACACACTTGCAAGGGCCGAACCAGGACAAAAAGACCATAAAAAAATTCATTCAGTCATATATCTCTCCAAGAGAATATTATTACGTATACTGCGCCCCATAAACCCCACCACTCTTTATAATCACCGAGACATCTATATGCATGCATCTCTAAAACTTGAGCGACCATTTCAAATGGTGTAACGGAATTCAGGGGAACGCTCGATAACCATCTCTCCACGGTCCGCCTTGCGGTTGCATCTCCAGAAATACAAGCTCATAACTGTGAGAACCACGAGGATGATGAGTTGGGACCTAAAAGGCATTTTCCATTATTAGTCACGCGGAAGTTACTGGGATGACGAGAAGGAGTGCAACTTACGTGATGGCAGCCCAAATGCCAGGGTAATACTTGGGCGCATCTTGCGACCGGAACACCAAACTGCCAGCAATACCTCCCACACCTCCCATTCCGACCAATGTTGCACTGGACAAAGCCCGGGTCCATTGTCCTCGAATGTTATTGGCCTGGTATGCCATCGATGCCGGGATGTTGGCATTGGCTCCCGCAGTAACGAGGAAGACGCCTGCGTAACGAAGGGCGTTGCCCTTTCCGAATCCCATCATCGGCAGACCGATAAGCGTAATAATGACGTTGAAAGCGATGACTGGTGCTCGAATCCTGTATTTATCTCCAACCCAGGATGTGGCGAACATGAGAATGGCCGCAAAGCCGTACGGAGGTGCGACCAGGCACTGAGATTCTCCAACGCCAAAACCCATGCCTTGGGCGAGAATGATGGGCAGGAAGTATGCAATGGCATAAGTCACGGTAGTAAGGCAACTGTAAAATTTTCTAGTAAGTATATATGAAATCACGTTGAAAACCAATGAATTCGAAACATACAAGAAAATCAGGGCAAACCCCCAGATTTTTAAGTCCAAAGCAGGCGTAAGGAACTTCTTGAGAGAGAAGGCCTCAGCATCGGCATCTCCTCGATCCTTGTTAATTCGCCGAATAATGAATGCGCGCTCATTGGCGCTGAGGAAACCCCATGCCTTATCGGCTTTATCCGGGAAATCAACAATGAAGATATAGCAAATAATTGCAACCGCAATGGAAATCTAGAAATGTTAGTTAAAGGCAAGGAGCGATCTCGCCTTGCGTCACTTACAACTCCCTCCATAATGAAAATCCATCTCCAGCCGCCCAGTCCATGCATGCCGTTCATTTGACTAAGACCAAAAGCGAGAATGCCAGACAAGGAACCGGCAACGGCGCCAATAAAGTAAAAAAGGGAGTATCGCTTTTGTACCTCAACTGTTTTCACTTGTCAGATCGTGCATGGATGATATATAATCATGATAAAAGGGATCTCCAGGCTTACATCGTGAATACCAGCAGGAAAGGAGAAATACAGCTCCTGGGAAAAAACCAGCTTCGAGAACACCAAGTAGAGCTCTCAGACCAGCCATTGCGTGCCAATCTTTCGCAAAACCAAAACCCTGGAGCATACGGTTAGCACACGCAGGATTCGTGTATAGACATGTGGCGGGTGACTCACGATTAAACAAAAGCCCCATGAGGCAACAATTAGCGAAATGAAGATACGGGGGCCAATCTTTCTTATGAGGACGGTCGCAAAAGGCTGGAAAACGATATAAGTGATGAAAAAGACCAGGACGATTATCGACTGTATATGCATATTAGCAATTGACTCTTACATCCATCACAACGTCATCCTTACATATCGGAAGCCCACGTTCAAGGCCAATTCTTTATTCATTCTAGGTAGAGCATTAGACGCTGTGCTTTCGTTCTCGTTCCAAAGAGAATTTGCGCTTACCCAGCAATAGCTGCCATGGAAGTATTCGTCCTGTCCATCAAACTGACGCAATAACCCAGCCCACATGTAGTCACCAGTCGCTTATCCACACGGTGGATAATTTTCCGTTGCTCCTTGTATGTGAATTCCTCATCAACATCGACATCATCTGAATACTTGCTGCTCGGGATGGCATCGACATGCTCGACGCCATCACGGGAGACTTTCTCTTCGTCTCGCGACATCCTGCTTGCTGGGGACGTGCACTTCGGGTGGTGGGCGGGTGGAGCTTAGGGAGGAGTGTAAATAAAGCCTGCGCTGGGCTTACTCGAAGGTGCAGGGACAACGATTATATATAGACGGATCCCTAGATATCAGCAAAATAGTCACTACTGTGTTCTGTCAACTCGCCTCCCCACCGGCCCCCCGCATATTGGGTTCTGTTTCCACAAATGTATGGGGACGGGGAAATGTTGAAGGGCAAATACTCAATTGGGAATGGATTCAACCATGTGGAACCGCTGGGCTGTAAATTAGCATCAAAAACTTTAGGCAGGGTCAATGCGAATGCAGCAAAAAAGGGCGGGCCAAGCCAACCCTATGGCTCAAGAGCGAATCACAGAAATATGAGCTCGTTCGAGACCCAGGGCAAGTAACCGCGAAAAGCTTGCGTCGTTGAGCAATTAGCCGGGGAGCAATGACCACAAGCCTCGGTTGGCCTAGTAGAATAGCCGTCTGGTACCCGAGAGGGCGGATTTCGAATAATAATGGTTGAATGTGGCCAGTTTCCGCCACATCTCCGGGAAAAGGCCCACAGGGCAGCCGGCACCCCAGGATTCGTGCAGGAAGGAATGTGGGCAGCAAATCGCACCTTGCACTGGGCCTGGAGTCAGTACGGAGTAGATGTCGTCTTAACGAACAAATTCCAGTCGCATCACCACCGCTCAACCGGTGGGGAGACTCTGAGAAGGCTTCGTTACTTACGAGGGCATAGCAATAAGCTCAGATGATCGGCATCATAGACTGCCGTGTTTGAGAGCCGACTAGAAGAATTGAAGCCTCAGCTAAGCAGTCTTGAGGTGTTGGTTCCAAGGATTGCATTGTCGGCTACCGAATAGAGTTCACCCGTTGACCTTAAAGCTGGCACACCCTATTCGACATACCCCGCGATAGGCCAAAACGAATGAACAAATTCGGCTAGACTTACATTGCTGAGCCCATTTCAAGCGTTTTTGCGGCAGGATGCGCATCATTCAGGCTTCTGGGCGCTCGCCAATTCAGTAGTCACTCTGCCTTAAAGCCATCAAGCTCTGACCGCGCTTGACATCGTGACTGTGGCTTTCGACCACTTAGTAGGAGTTGACTTTCGGAAGATGCCCGTTATGCCCCAGGGACGTGGACTTTCTATTTAGGAAATTCCAATTGGACGCTCGTACCCAGATTCGCTTCTCCCGAGTTTCAAGGGCAGGGCGGAGCCTTTGCAATGCTTGCCTATAGATTGGTGCAGCCATAGACAAAGCCGCTGATGGCATGACATCGCATCTGGCCAGAAAGAACAGTATTATTCTCAAAAGGACTGGACCAGTTTCACGAACCCACTCCAAGGTCAAAGGATGTCGATGTCAATGCTCCAGCCTCCATCGTTATTATTATCATCCCACTTCGAAAGTGCCAAATAATCTGCTCCTTTGGGAGAGGGAACGAACAGATCCCCATAGCTCCTTCCACTAGGATGGTGCAATCCGCATGTCTCAGAACTGACGAGCGGCTAAAACAGAGAGTAGTAGTGAGTAACAGAAGTACGGGGTACCGGTCGAGTTACCCCAGATTCAACGTGACCAAGTCTGGGGGGGAAATCAATTCTTCAAGTTCCGATCATGGAGGGCGTGGTGGCAACGCACAGCTCGAATCATGTCCGGCGTTCGGAGGGATCGGTGGCGCTGAGACGGAGAAAAGAAAACCTTGGGGCGCGAGGTGGAAATAAGCGCGGTGCTAGAGCCCCCGGAGCTTGGCGCTCCGTGTGTGGGGGGAGGCGACAAGCCAATCAGCGCGCGCGAGTCGCCTGATCAAAGGGCGAAACAAGCAGACACTCCACGTGCTGGGGGAATCCACCCGCAACCCAACCGGCATCGCGCGGCGCCGCCGTTCTCGGCCAGCGACGGCTCTCATTGCTCAGGCGGATTTGGCTGACCGGAAGGAGGCGCGAGAAAGAAAAAAAAAGGGGGAGCGTGTGTGTGTGGGTTATTGGGGTTTGGACCCCGGGGGACCTTCCTTGTCGAGATTAGTTCTTGGGTGGTCTCAATCAGAATTTTAGCCTGTTGTAGTCAACTGAGCTAGAGAGCTGCGCACGCACGAAAACGTGACGTGAGTCAGGACATATGCAATATCGGCGTTTGCCTCTCTATCTCATACCGTTCATGTTGAACTGCTTTGGGACAGTAAGAGCGATACCTACACTAGACGCTCTTCCGGGCAGTCTCAGTGCTAACTACCGGTCTCGATACTCACCACACGCTCAGCCGCAAGACCTAGAAGTCATGATTATCACCCCAGCCTCCCCCATACTTTGATACCACCACTAGCTTCTGGCTCATTTACGGGAGCCCCAGAACTCAAAAACCACGGCCTAGATATCCAGACCGCTACTCTCTTGAAGAGTAGTAGTAAAACGGCCATCTACAAACGTTTCCGCGGAAGCGCTTCGGCCACTCCTTGTTCTTAGAGCCATAATAATCGTCCTTGAGCCTTTTCTAGTTCAGGTATCAAGTTGTCTTATACCCTTACCAGCAAAAAGAAGAACAAGCTGGCCCCAGCCTCCCGCCCCACTACTTGCTTGCTGTGTGAAATTAAACGAACCTGGCCGCAAGCCGCGCGCTGGTGGAACCCCCGTTCCCTGTGTCTGCTAATTGGCAAGCAGCAATTCTCCAAACTTGTCGATGTACTCCGTACAACAACACTTTGTTCACCACCCGTTGAATGCCAGTAGCCCTTGCCGCCCGTAAAATCGGCGGCGCCTGGGCTATCAAACTCGAAACACTCGTCCCACAATGCCGGGACGATGTACTCTGGCATCGAGGCTGCTGAACGAAAACTATATTCCCCCCGCCCGCCGGAGTGCCCGTAAAAATCTTCCCCCAACTTCTTGTTGTTGGGCTTATATGACACCCGCTGTTCCAGACCGACCGCGAAAACAACCGCCCGCCGGAGCTCCTCCGATTTCTGGGGAGATTCGTGGCTGCATGCCTCGGCATCGAGGCAGTCATACTCTATACTTCTCGGCTCACGTCTCTGCTCTCTCCTCCCTTTATATCCTTCCTTTGGGTGGTGCAATAATTAATATAGAGCGTACCACCTCCCGAGTACTCCCATCCTTACTCAACTCTCCCATCCAGCACACACATACATACATACCCTCTTCCTTCATTCCCCCTCTTCATCAAAAAGCAGAGCCTCATCCCATCCTCCCACGAGCGCGCACTTACACACACACCCTCAAACACCACCCAACCACCCCCATCACACACATCCCACCCAAACAGCCCCCTCCCCTCCGCAGCCGCTCTACACGCTTATACACGCGTCTAAACCCGCCGATCATGCGCCAAGCAACCCTCCCCTCCTCTTCCGGCCGTTACACCGCACCCGAGTCCTCGGGCCCTAGTTACTTAGGCGGGCGTTCGCGCGACGGATGCATATCAGAAAACAAGGCTGCGCGCGCGGGGCAATGACCCGGGGGACGGATGCGGGGGGGGGTGCAGACAAAGAATACTAATGGGCTTGCATTTGCATATGCATATGCAGAGGTAGGTGACTAGGTAGGGAGTGGCTGACAGCTTCAAGGGCTCGTCGGGGGGATCTGATATTGACTGACTAAGCACCGGCGTTGCCGGTGTCCTTCTACAGACAAGATATTTTCATAACTAAAATTAAGCAAGTCCCAAGCTCTCACGCGCACGACTGTTGGTTTCTTCCCTCGCATGGTGGTGGTGGTGGTGGCGTGGAAGTTGATCCATAAACTCTACAAGCCAATCAACTAACTAACCCAACAGACGAGACTGACTGGCATAACTAGCCAACTACATATTATATTATACCTGGATAAAAACAAAATGATCCGGCGAAACGAATCTCGATATAAAACCGGGAACAATACATTATGACACTCGCGCAACACCTTGTAATAATAATGACCAAGTTCTTTAAAAAAGAAAATTTTCATCGCGAATGGCCTGATGGGCTGGACCCCCCCCCCCCCCCCCCCCGCTCCGACCCTGCCTAGACGTGCGGGGGGGGGTTGGAATACCTGTTTAGGAAAGGGCTCGGAAATGGCCGACCAGAAACACGCGGGCAGCTAAAATAGCGCGGCGGCGGCGCGGCGGCGGCGGCGGGAAGGGTTTTGTTTGGGTCATTTGATCGGGCCAGGCCCAAAAAGGGCTTGACCTGCCCGCGTGACCTCGAGCTGTGTTTGGCCGTAACCTCAGAAACAGGTTCGCGAGTGGTGGCGAACATCGCTCTGGGGGTGAATCGGACGCAGAGCACGCAAGACGTTGTCAAAGAGTTGCTCACTCAATGGAACATATTAACAATAATACTAAGATAATATATATATGTATGCTCTTTTATCAGATATTACCCATTCCTCCATATATATATATAATACTTCATATAAAATCATTCAACCGTAAAAAGACATTCGAACATTGCTCAAACCCTTTCATCCCACAAAGTCACCCATGCATTAATTAATGGCAAAGGAAAACGAAGGAGACAAAAAACTCCATAACCCCTCTGCTGAAAAATAACTTCGGCTGTGATGGAGGTATATACTATACTGGCTTTAGTTTCGGGGCAAAAAAAAAAAAAAAAATTAAATTAAGCATTATCGGGGCCGGAGACGGAAGTGGTCGTGGTCACGCCCTCGAGAGCGCCCTTTTCGGTCATGCCCATGTCCGCCGCGAAGGTCGAATGTGGCTTCCACTTGGCCGAGGTGCGCGGCGTGGTCTCCTCGAGCATCTTGTCGACCTGCTCCAGGGTGAGACCCTTGGTCTCAGGCACCAGGAGGTAGGCGTAGAGGAAGCAGAGCACGCAGAGCGAGCCCCAGAGGAAGAACACCTTGGGGCCGAGATTGGCCTTGTCGGAATACACGAGGTAGGGAGTGATGACGGCGATGATCTGGCGAAAAGGGAGAAGTTAGCTTCTTTTTTTTTTTTTCTTCGGGTTTAGAGTTTGGGGGAAGACGGGAACTTACGCAGTTCCAGAGCCAATTAGAAGCGGTGGCCAGACCGACACCGCGGGCACGAATGGGGAGAGGGTAGATTTCACCAATGACGACCCAGGCGCCAGGACCCCAGGTGCTGGCGAAGAAGAAGATGTAGATACAGATGAAGGCGATCATGGCCTTGACGGCCTCGGGGCGGTCGCCGACGGTGACGCCCATGATGGCGACAATGAACTCGCAGATGAACATGCCGCAGGCGCCCCAGATGAGCAAGGGGCGGCGGCCGATGCGCTCGATGGCCCAGAAGGAAACCGGGGTGGAGCAGACGTTGACGAGGGTGGTGATGAGGCCGATGAGGAAGGGATCGTCGATGGTGCCGAGGGACTGGAAGAAGGTGGTGCCGAAGTAGAAGATGAAGTTGACGCCGGTCCACTGCTGCATCATCTGCAGGGAGATGCCGAGGATGGTGCGACGCAGGTTGCTGGCCGGGTTGGTCAGCGAGCCGCGGAAGCAGTTGAGCCAGGAGGAAAAGTAGCTGTGGTGCGGCACGACCTGCAGCTCGTACTCGTGGTTGGCGATGATCTCGGCGAGCTCCTGCTGGATGTACTCGGAGTCGACGGACTGGCCGCGGAGGGAGGCGAGGGCGGACTTGGCGCGGTCGAAGTTGTTCTTCTTGACGAAGTAGCGGGGCGACTCGGGCAGCAGGAAGAGGCCGATGGCGAGGATGAGGGCCCAGAGCATCTGCAGGGCGATGGGGATGCGGTAGGAGCCGGAGTCGGTGCGGTTCTGGGTGCCGTAGTTGACGCACGAGGCGAGCAGCAGGCCGACGGTGATGCAGAACTGGTAGCCGGAGACGATGGCGCCGCGCACCTTGCGGGGCGCGATCTCGGACATGTACAGGATGATGATGGCGGAGACGAAGCCGACACCGAAGCCGGCGACGAGGCGGCCGGCGACGAGCAGGCCGAGCGAGGCGGAGGCGGTCTGCAGGCACACGCCGACGATGAAGACGGCGCAGCCGGCGATGATGGTGGTGCGACGGCCGAAGAAGTCGGCGAGGTCGCCGGCGATGATGGCGCCAAAGAAGGTGCCGGCCGACAGGATGGAGGTGATGAGCGACTTCTGCGAGGCGGGCAGGGCGAAGGCGTTGGCCTTGAGCTGGGCGGGGGTGAAGTCGGCCTTGCGCAGGTCGGTGAACTCCTCGATGAAGTAGTCCATGCCCATGACGCCGTTGATGTAGCCGGAGTCGTAGCCGAAGAAGATACCACCGAAGGCGGCGAAGGCGCACATGAGGTAGGCCTTCAGGGTGACGGGGGCCTCGACGCGCGAGACATCAGCAGTTCCGGCCATGGTGTTCCGCACGCCAGGGGAGGGGAGGACGGAGTATGGGAGGGTGCTCTAGATGGGAGAGAAGGCAGGGAGGAAAGGGAGGAAAGGAAGAGCAGAACAGCGCGCGGGGGCGATCGGCGGGGGCGGGCGGGCTTTTTATATACACGCGCGCGGCCGTTGGCTGGCGCTGGAAGCAGTTAGCGCGGGCGGCGGCGGCGGCGGCGGCGGCGGGCGAAAGAGGCAACAGCGAGTCCCCGGGCAGGCAGGCAGGCAGGCAGGGCCAGCGCGCGGCGGAAGGCGCGGCGGCGAGCGGGGGAGGCGACCATCGTGGGCGGTTAGTTAGTTAGCTGGGTAGTTAACTAGCTGGGTAGTAGTAGTAGTTGTAGCTGGCAGCCCTCCTCTCTCTCTGTGTCTGTCTCTCTTCCTCCCTCCCTCCCTCCCTCCCTCCTCCCCCGTCGCTGCAGAGGCCGAAATGCCGCCGAAGGATCAGCACATGCGCCAACCGCCCGCGAAGTTTCTGCAGCTCATGCGGGCCCAGCTAGTCAGTTAACTAGCGAACTAACTAACTATGTAACTAACTTGCGCGGTGGCGGGCGGGCTTCCAGGCTAGAAGCTTGGGAGAAGCTGTGGGGAGCGGCGCTATGCCCAGCGCCATAGCATATTTTTCTTTCTCGAGAGTTGGCGAACGAGCGAGGCGAGGACACGGTGTGGGCGAGATTGCGACGCTGATCTGCGACGCGGCTGACTCAGGGTTAATAAGTAGTTAACTGACGGTAGGCGCGCTGTTGGTATTCTTCGGTGGGCCGGCAGAGTTTTCGCAGCGCAGCGTCATCTGCCCGGCTCACGCGCGCGCGCGCAACCGCCCGCTAGCCAGCCCATCTTCTGCCAGGAATCGCGCAGAGTTCGGCGACGACTCCTTCGCCGGCCGATGTGGAATCTCGATTATTCGACGGCGTGCGGCGGAACCGATGGCGTCGTGGCGACCCGCCATCCTGCTCTCCTTACTACTCCCCACTGACTAGGTACGCTGTCCCACGTTTCTCCTGAAATCTGCCTCCCCCTCCCTCCCTTACCGGCGCGTTTCAGCCCGCCCGCCCATCGCAATTCGCCGCCGGCCATTCAACGCGCGCAGAACCTGACCGACACTGACTGACCAGCCCAGCCCAGCCCGTGTCACGGCGTCGCGTGTAACCGTGTGCCCGCCGCATACAACGGCGATGCCGTGGAGGGGAGGGCCGCCCGTTTGTGCGACTCCGTAGAACAATAGCAAATCTCCCGTAGAGAGCGGTGTTCCACAAGCTAAATCCCCGAGCGAGGGGCAGGGATGATGAAAACGCGTTCTATATCGTAGTGTTATTAGCTAGCTATTCCCGGCGCGAACTGACAGGCAACGAACACCGTCGCAGAACCTCAAATCAAATCAAAAAAGAAACGAAAAAAAAGATTTCGTGTTTGCAGATCCCCTCCTCCCCCGTCCCGCAGCAGGCAAGCCAACTAGCGAACCAACCAGCTAGTAGCGAAACTCGCCTGGCCCCTCCGAAACAAGCAAATAATCCGCTGGCCTACTCCTCCGCCGTCTCCTCGTCAATCATGCCCTCCAGCCACCGCGTCACGTCGCCCATGTGCTCCAGCAGCATCTCGTTGAGCGTGCGCCGCGCCGACCGCAGGATGCGCCCGTACCGCTTCGACGGCCGCTTGCTGCTGTCCGCCATCTTGAACACGCTGTGGTGCTGCGACACGTACACCCGCGAGTTCTGCCCACCACCAATGCGTTAGCTGTCATGCATGTCATGGAGATAATAACAAACATGGAGGACAACACACCTCCTTATACCACTTCGACAGCCACGGGTTCGTGTGGCTCGACACCGCCCGCACCGCGTTCTCCGCCACGAAGCACACCACCCCGTCGATGCGCGGGTACACGCGATCTGCCAGCCATCAATTATTAGCCTGCCGACACCAAGACTGCCACCGTGCACATACCCTTGTTCGCCAGCAGGTTGGCCAGCCCCATGAACGCATCGCCCACGCCCATGAAGAAGATGTTGGTCGCTTCGTTCGGCCTACACCAGACACCCCCCGCCCGTCAGCACCCCGTGCAACAAAACAGGCTTTTGCTTTTTTCCTTACTCGATATAATTCTCCCAGAGGTAGACCGCCAGCTCCTCGCTCAGCTGCCCACGATTCCGGTCCTCGCCCTCGTATTTGTCCGTCGTCGCGACCTATCCCCGACCTCACAAATCAGCTGCATCCATCCCGACCAAACCGTATTTGCCGCGTGACCCCTCGTCGTAGGTAGGGGGAGGTGGGCACTTACGTCGCTGCGGGTGATGTGTTTCGGCACGTTCACATCGATCACCGCCATGCCTTTCTTCACCGCCCACTCGATATAGTCCTTCACCACATCAGCCTTCCGTCCCGCGCGCGGTTAGCTATTCTTCTGACTGGGGGGGGGGGGTTGAAAACAAGAAACAAAATGTGTCTCCTCGTACCAGCCAGCAATTATGAGCTTCCAGCTCGTTGGTGATCGGGTCCGGGATCCCCATGAGCTCCGGCCTGCGAGCACCGTTAATGATAGCCATAGCGATAGGCAATAAGAGCCTGGGAGACTTACGGGTCATGAAAGATAACGAGAAGGGGGACAGACGCGTCATAGTTAGGGCTGCATAAGACACCATATCAGCACCCGCACTTCCTAGGGCTTTCCCCAAAGGGGCCGTTTTCTGACCTTGCAAGAACCTGGTTCTCAAAGGACTTGGAAATCGAAGCTCGATAGATGTAAAGGTTCGTGAGCTTATGCTCATCGTACAGCTGCTTCGCTTGGTACTGCCGGATGATATCTGCCCGGGCACCGCTTTAATCGATTGCATTATGTAAACCGAACTGTCCTTTCGGACTTACCATGAACCCGATTTCCCCAGAACATCTCCTTCGGCCCTACCAGGCGATTTAGCGCACTCAGCCCCCCCCCAAAAGAAAAAGGATTTCGCAGATGGAGTGGGTACCTACCTTTTGGATACATGCACTGCCAGTACTTGGCCTGGAGCATGGCCACGCTGCGAACCGTGGAGACCCCGGCGTTTGACGCCGCAACGCCGATCAGCCTGTCCGGCGGCTCGCCCATCAACGTCCGAGTTACCGCCAGTGCCGATTTCGAGATCGACCGGAAGTTGTAGCCTCCCTATATCGGGATCAGCAAGGTAAGCGCTCCAAAAAAGTTAAAAAAGACACTTCAAACTGACTTCCAAACAGACTGCGACTTTGCCATCTGCGAGGCTCATCAACATCGACGTCATGTGGGCGTAGCACGGAGGAGTCACAAAGCAACCGCCGAGTTCGTCGCCGGCAGCAGCATCGAAGCCAGCGGAAACTAAAACGGATTGTCAGTATTATGTAGTGCCGTGACGGAGACTGGGGCATTCTCACCGATGACAAGATCGGGATTGAACTCGTAGCCAATCGGCATAATGACCTCTTGGAAGGCATAGAGATAGTCGCCGTCTCCCATGCCTTGTCCTGGCCAGGGAATATTGATGTTCCTGGTCAACGTGAGCCCAAAAATACCCCCAAAAAATATTAAATACCAAAACACAGGCCGCCTACTTTCCCAACCCATCGCCCTCGCCACAATGGTCCCAATTGCCTTGTTCGCCTCCTGGATAGAAAGTCCCATCCTTGTAAACGTGAAGTGAGATGTACAGTACATTTGGGTCGTCATAGAAGGCATTCTGGACGCCGTTCCCTAGAATATGTATGTCAGCTTTTTCTAGTATGAGGGTGCAAAGCGTCATCTTAAGTACCGTGGTGTACATCCCTACAGGGCGAGTTAGCACATGTAGACAACCAGTACCTGTCAAACAAGCCAAAACCGCAAAACACTCTCTTACCAGTCTAAAATCATGATCTTTCGGCATCTATCACCAAAGGTCTTCTGGCACACCCGAGCAGCGACACAGACATTGTTGAATAAACAAAACCCCATGGCCTGGCAGCTTTCCGCATGGTGCCCGGGGGGCCGAATGACGGCAACGGCGTTCTTAACCCGCCCCGAAACGACGGCCTTGCACGTCTCAATGGCACCGCCGCACGCCAGGATCGCCGACGTAAACGTGAGAGTATTAAAATAGATCGAATCTCTCGTGCTCTCCAGCGCAATCAGCTCGTCCTCGGACATATCTATACATATACCATCAATTTTCTTTTGTTTTTAACAATCCGATTTTTTCTCTTGCAACCACGTCGCGAAAAAAAAGACCCGATTCTTTCATACCTTTCGTGCTGAGAACAAACTCATAGTGGCCCGGTCCATGGATCAGCGAGATCTCCTTGTGCGTGGCATCCCGCGCGGGAATCCGAAGCAGCGGCTGGGGCACCAGCGGCCGCGTGGCGTCCGGGTCATCCACCAGCCCCGCCTTGCAGAGCTCTTTGTAGATGTAGTAGATCCGCCGCGGATCCTCCGGGTGCACGTCGAGCGTCGGCTTGACCTCGCAGTGATAGCGCATGCGAATGTCATAGCACACGCCGGAAGGCAGGGAGGTCCGCGGCAGCAGACGAGGCACTTCGTCCGCCGCCTCTGCCGCCGCCGCCGTCTCCGACGAATCAGATTCCTCGTCGTCGTCGTCGAAGGCGTATTCTTCGTCTTGTTTGGCTCCAGGCTCGCTCTTCGGTGGTGCTTGGTTCTTGACCGTTGCTGGCACAGCTGCGGTGGTGGTGGTGGTGGTGGTGGTGGTAGTTGTGGCGGCCTGGTGGTCTTCGATTTCCTTGACGAGATCGACGGGCGCCACGACCGTCCTCTGGAACGATGCCAGGAGCGATTCTGCGCGCTTGGATTTGGCAGTTCCGTTCACATTTGATTCTGAAGCCGGGGTATTGGTCAACGACCTTGACGGCCGGCGAGCTGGTGCCTGGGTCGAAGCTTCAGCCCCCGTCATGACAGTGTCCTCATCCGCGTCCATAATGGGAGAACGCGGGCAATGTTTCTCAATCGCCCACAAAACAATCAGTCAGTCATACTTGGAGCTCTGACAAGGGGTATATCGCGAGAATAAAAACACCAGGGGTAAATCAGCTCTCTCAACCCCTTCTCAGCTGTAACAAGGAACACGCGAGCTTTCCTGGTATAGACTTCGGAAAGCAGATGATCCCCAAGCAGACAGATATAGTCTAGAGAAACGCTCAAAAGTGGTCAAAGAACCAGATTCTCTTATAGCAGAACAACAATGATTAAGAAAAACACAGAAAATGAAGCACAATGCACCCAGGTACCATTCACCACCAGAAGATTCAAAACGAACAGGGAAGTCACAGAACCGGAAGATAACACAAATTGTGCACAGCAGTGTTTCAAAGTAATAAAATCAAATATTATTTTAGGGAGTTCCGGCACAGAGAGCCCATCTATTCAGAAAAGGGAGAAAGCAGGCCAAACTCACCAGAATGAACTATCCAGAGAGATGAGACGGGATACTGAAGCCAGGTTTGCACGTGATGATAAGAATGATGATTGACAAGGTTTGATATCTTCACGTGAGAAGAAGTGAAGGAGTCACGTGTAAGTCAAACCCCTAGCGTGCTACTCTAGATTAGTCATCACCACTAAGGTTACATAAGCAAAACCGAATGCGATGGGGCTGCTTTAAAAAGCAAGCCTTGTCATTGGTCGTCGACGGGACAAGGTATCAAAAACGCAGATTTAGATAATAGGACTTTGGTTATTGGAGGTCATCATTATTAGAATAGTATTTTTATTGGTTTGCCTATTGCATAGCGACATTGCTTTTCTCCATCATTCTACATGAAAACGGAAGAAACCAGAGCCCGTAATCAACCTTTGAGGCTCTTTCCTAAAACAGAAGTACAGAGGACAAAAAGTATTCTTCCAGTAACAGTCGTTACAACAAACTCTTTTCCTCAAAGCCGGGCTTAGATAGCTATTTGCTCTGGGCATCAACACCCGCAATGTAAGCTAGAAAGAAAGCCTGGTAAGCATGACGTTTCATCAGTCGTGTGGTTTGCAGCAGTACTTACCAATCAAGTCGATCACACGGCGAGAGTAACCCCATTCGTTGTCATACCAAGCAACAAGCTTGATGAAGCGGTCGTTGAGGGCAATACCTGCGGTGGCATCGAAGATGCAGGAGTGGGGGTCTCCGTTCAAGTCGGAGGAGACGAGAGCATCTTCGGAGTAGCTCATGATGCCTGAAAATGATACCCGTTAGTCCAATGGCATACAAATCACAATTTTTTAACACTTGACTACTGACCCTTGAGCTGGTTGGCGGAAGCGTTCTTCATAGCCTGCTTGATCTCGTCATAGCTGACGGGCTTCTCGGTGCGGCAGGTAAGGTCAACGACGGAGACATTGGAGGTAGGAACACGCATGGACATGCCAGTGAGTTTTCCATTCAGGGATGGGATGACCTTGCCGACAGCCTTGGCGGCACCGGTGCTGCTGGGGATGATGTTCTGAGCAGCGGTACGTCCACCACGCCAGTCCTTAGCGGAGGGGCCGTCAACGGTCTTCTGGGTGGCAGTGTAGGAGTGAACGGTGGTCATGAGACCCTCGGCGAGACCGAAGTTGTCGTTGATGACCTTGGCGAGAGGAGCAAGGCAGTTGGTGGTGCAGGAGGCATTGGAGAGGACTTGGATGTCGGATTTGTATGTCTCGTTGTTGACGCCCATGACGAACATGGGGGCATCAGCAGATGGGGCGGAGATGATGACCTTCTTTGCGCCACCCTTCAAGTGAGCGCTGGCCTTCTCGGTGGTGGTGAAAACACCGGTCGACTCAATGACATATTCGGCACCGGTCTCGGACCAGGGGATGCTGGCGGGGTCCCGCTCTTGGTAGAAGCGGACGTGTTTTCCATCAACATCTAAGCCCTTGTCGGTGAAGTTAACTTCACCCTTGAATCGGCCGTGGGTGGAGTCATATTTGAGCATATAAGCCTGCACGATCATATTAGACCAATCCAAAATTCTAAGGCAGGAGTTGAATATGCCAGCGGGGGGAGAGAAGGACAGTCATACAGCATAGTGAGTCTCAATGAAGGGGTCGTTAACAGCAACGATTTCGACGTCTGGGTGCTCAACGCTAATTATATGTTAGAATCTCAGTATGGCGATCTGTGAGAAAGCCACTCACGCGTTGCGGAAGACCTAGAAGTACCAAGTCAGCCAAATACGAGGAGTGAGAGGAATGCCAAACACATACAATTCTGCCAATGCGACCGAAGCCGTTGATTCCGACCTATAATTGATATCAGAAGAAGCTCACGGATGCTATTTCAGCCACTGATAGATACCTTGATAACCATGGTTGCGAATTGGCTGGGAGAACTGTTGAGGGGTAAAAACATCAGCCCCGCGGCTCAAAATGGGATAACGCCGGTATTGTTCTCCAACAAAGGAGAGTAGGATGCGGCAGCACTTACTGTGATGTGAAAGATACGTAGACGGCAAAGGGTATTGGCTATGGAGGGAGATGAAGGGCAAATTGAAGAGAATTCAAAATCAGTGGAAAGGTGGGCTGCGAGGGTTTGGGGGAGGGGGAGCAAATAAATAAGCCGAACCTTTTGTGTCTCTTGGCGGGTATTCCAGGCAAAACACAGCCAGCGCCGGCCGTGGTAATATCGCCGCCCTGGACTCTATTTCGCACGAGACTATTTGTACTCTAGGGGTGCTCCGGCCCCTGCAGCAAGACGCAGCTAGAAGACCTAGAACCTTCTCGTGCGGGCGTATCCAGCTCCTCTGGTGGGCAGCAGACACAGCCCACGCTACGCACGACAATGCCGGTGTCTCTCCGCCTCGTTGTGTCTCCCGTACATACCCGCGCAGTCTAGCCTACGCGCGGAGTACCCTGGCCTGCCCGTCTGCGCGTCGGAGGGAGGGGGCGGACTATATTAGCCTCCATGTCCCGATGCGCCCGACTTGTCCCGCTTTTCCCGTCGGGTGATGTCAAGGTTCACGATATCGTCGAGTTTTTCTCCGCTGCCAGCCAGTTGCGTGCCGGCTGGCCCCAGCATGTAAACATGCTCGCCAGTGCTAATATCAAGGCTGTGATGCACTTCGAAGACCTCTTCTTGTGGCCTCAGGGTTAGACATGGGAGGATTGTGTCCTGGAGGATTTCGGGCTCACGCCCCAATGCTCGACTTCTTCTTACATATAAAATCTACATATAGGCAAATATTGTCTCTACGCATGCTCAGCTCCATATGAACACACCCAAAACCGCACGCTCGCCCGCAACAATCTGCGCGTCGATGCCGTCCGCCGCCCCACCAAACAACAAAGAAAAATTCGGCGGCACGAATGATGACATCGCACTGCCCCTCGCTGCTTGGCGCGCGGTTTCCCCGGCCCGCATCAACGATCACCCGGCACAGGCATTCTTTGTGGGCGGACAAGGAGCTGATCTCTTGAAAGTCGAGAAAGCTGAGTGCATTTGGTACTTCAGAGATGCACGATCATCCGTGCGTATAGCAATTGGGATGTGTTATCTGGGCAAGATTTCTAAGCAAGCCCGAGTGTGCGTCATATACAGACTTTCAGCAGCCGCGGGTTGAGAACCTTGACCGCTGGACAAGGCCGCTGGACGAAGGGAATTCAAGTCGTTATTATTATGCGTCTGGTTTGGAAGCAACAAACCGTGGCTCATTATTGTCTGGGCCCAATTGCATACCCGCCCCCCGGCCACTAACCTTGTTGGAGAGTTAACTAATGGGCCAACAATCCATGCCGCATTGACCAAGCACATAATGTCTAGTGAAGCAAGTGCTGATAAATTTTATCCGATATTCCAATTTATTGATCACCGAACACCATGGAGAAACAGGGTCTATGGATACAGGCATTGCAGGAGTCTTTAGGAGAGCAAAGTCATGAACTATCAGGTACAAAAGATATTGTCTGTCATCAAAGGACTGTGGCGCCAAGTTCCACACCCACTGTCAGTCCAGTGATTAGAGCACAGGTAAAATTGAGAAAAAGGGCATCCGGGATTTCCCCAAAAAAGAATATAAAGACCCAACTCTAAGGGTAATCTATTCATCTTTAGCACCGCCTCTCCAGGACTTCTCGGCGCTCTCAACAGTGGCCTTGTCGCTCTTCACCTCGCTCTGGCCCATACCCATGAAGCCACCGGCCGCTTTCCATGGCCGTTCCAAATCACCCTTGGCGGGCTGTCCGAACACGTGGATCTTCACAAGGCTGGCCTCCAAAGCGCTCTTGAGCGGAATGATCGACTGGATAACGAGGGGGTTGGTGTACTTGAAGTAAAGATGCATAACGCACATCATCGCCACGCCCATGAGCTGCGATTTGAACTGCGAGCGCAGTTGTTGTTTGTCGTAGTCTTGGATTGTCGTCACAACGGGGCGGGGCTCTTCAGAAGAACCCATTGGGGCCGGCTCGACATATTTCAGCGTCTTGAGCTCTGTATCGAGATTGAAGTCTTTAGCAAAAAAATGAAAAACTCAAAAAGTTTCAAAACCATCCAACTCACCCTTCTTTTGATTGATCTGGTTGTACACGTAGAAGTAAAGGGCGGCGATTATGACGTTCGAAGCAATGTACATCGTTCGTACACCAAGAAGGACTTCAGGTTGCTCGAAGGGGATTTTCTTCGAAACCTGCATCATCACAAGGATGATAACTAGGTTGGATCTGCAGATAACATTTCAGTCACGACTGATCGAAGAATAACACAGGCAAGTTCAGGGGGCGGCCACGACAATGAGCTGGGGAAAAAAACTGACATTTGAGGATTCATCGTGAGTGTGTGGTGCCAAAAAGATAGGATGCTAGAGATGGAGGGGTTCAAAAGCCCAGTGTAGGAGAGAAAACGTTGGCAGCTGCGATGAGGCTGTCGATATCGCTCATGGCTTGGAAAAATTTAATAACAGAGTGTTCCAACCAAGGGCTGAAGCTCAAGTTGTCCACGTGACTGAATGCCGATTAGGTTCGGTGGCCGACAGCTCCAAACCTTATTATTAAGGAATTGGAACCTCTAGAATCACGTGGAAGAGCTGACTCTGACTCAGCTTGCTTGGCACAATGACGTAAGCAGCCAGATGCTCATGAATGTTTCCCTCAACCTACTTGAAGAAAACGAGAAACAAATATATCCCATCGCCCCGCAACAGATTGCACCTGGCTGGGCACTATGACAGCGTCTGTTCTCTAGGAGCAACCGTTGAAATGATCGTGACCTCCAAACCACAAGAACATGACTTGTCAAGTCTTCCACTCCATACTGTTCTCAGCGGCATGGGAGACCCAGCGATTCTTGTCTCCTGGGCGCTGATCCAGGGACAGTCCGAAAGAGAACCACAAATATGATATCTGAAAACTAACATGCTTGCTTACTGGCCCAATGCCTTTTGCTTCATTAGAGCCCCCATGCGTCCGCAGCGCTGAAATCTGGGTTCAATCCGTCCCGCCCAGCAGCCGCCCAAGCGACTTGAGGTTGTGAATGCCGGCCGAATTCGGCCTAGCGCGGATCCCCCATCAACCACTCTTTTAAGCGATCCGCAAGACTCAAACCCAGGATTCCTCCATCCATCAACAAAACGCGTTGTCGCCACTTTCTTTCACCTCCACGTCGTGCTGCCGCGATTTTGATTCCTTATCTTCATCAAACTACGCGACATCCGCATCTTTAGAACCGTCTAATACACTTATTTTGCAAAATGCCTGGTGGAAAAGGCAAGTCCGTCGGCGGCAAGGGTGCTCCAAAAGATGGCGCTGGCAAAGCCCAAAGGTCACACAGTGCGAAAGCTGGCTTACAGGTGAGTTTTGACCTGTTTTACTCGACGTTTACTGCTGTCTGATGCCGCTGCCCATGCGACTCGTAAAATAATACCGAGCTTGCTCAGCACCTCCCCTGGCCTGGGAACATGTGGGGTTCTGCCTAACCGTTACGCGACATTTTCATCGGCCTTTAACTGCGCGACACCTTGCTAACCCATAATTCCTTGCAGTTTCCCTGCGGCCGTATAAAGCGCTTTTTAAAGAACAATACCCAGAATAAGATGCGGGTCGGCGCAAAAGGCACGTGTACTTCGGCATCCTTCTTACTTGTGATGGTGTAGTGGGTGTGAAAGCTAACATTACGCGTTTTCTTGTCTAGCTGCTGTTTATGTCACTGCCGTGCTTGAGTATCTGACAGCCGAAGTCCTCGAGCTCGCTGGTAACGCTGCGAAGGATCTCAAAGTCAAGCGTATCACACCCCGCCATCTGCAGCTAGCCATCCGCGGCGACGAAGAACTGGACACGTTGATCCGAGCAACTATTGCTTTCGGTGGCGTCCTTCCTCGCATCAACCGTGCCCTTCTTCTCAAGGTCGAACAAAAGAAGAAGAAATCCGAATAAGCATCACGCTGTTGCTACTGGGCCGATGACGTGAAATGAAGTGCTAAGTACGTCGACGATGTCAACGTGTCCACTGGCACCATTTGCGGAAGTCCGTCTCTGAGTCGATTTTCTACCTCGTTACCAATTCAACGTGATGATCATGGCCCTTTGTCGGTTTTTCTTTTTGGTTGACTCGTTCTTGATGATACTCGTCGACAACTTGATGCCTTATATATCTCGAACATCTTTCTACCCTTAGCTGCTATTTTAGTCTTTTTGTCCTTTTTCTTTTCTTCAGGCGCTTTTACGGGTGGGGGTCATGTGAAAATTGTGACATGGAATCCGCATTCGGAAAGACAGTCATATGGCCGGTTGCATGTTTTTCAGTTCAAATCTATTTTCCTTTTACTTTTATTCTACCTTGAGTCACACCTTGCTGCTCTTTATGTCTTTTTGCTGCTTCGTCCAATCTCCCTGTATAAGTACCTAAAGTATTTTTACCCTATAACCAAGCTGGGGAAAAAAAAATCCGATTTGCTGTTATCCTTCACGGCGATGGTAGTTCCCTTTTGATTTATGCCGGCCATGATAATTGAATAGTTACCTGTTCTTGACTTTACATTTACGACTCGTTTTACCACATGCAATCGTAGTACCCCGTACTCCATATTGTGAGGGTAAATGGGGCTAAGTAACCTTGCTGTCGAAATCTAACAAGATAATCTCCGACATCATCACCCTTGCTACCTTTTCTGTCTGGTGGGGACCATGAATGCTTCCCGGTAATCCTAAAATCTACAATTTCGTAAACCCTATTCCCGGGTTCCGTGACTCAGAATGAAACACAATGAATGCGGCTCTCAAGGGTCGACGGTGGTGCTCAACGACATACGGAGTACAGTGAACCGTTTCTGGCTTGCATCACGCCATTTAACTATGTAACTACCTCTTCTGAGGTACATTCGCTTAGAGAACCTACCATCTATGGATATCGAACAAGATGAGCTCTGTAAGTTAAGTCTATACAGCATTCTAACCGCTGCTCCATGCATGCAAGGTATCTGGTGTTTCGCAGAACTAATTGATAGCTAGAATACTTAGTTGGGAAAACACTCTCTTCCCGTAGATAACGTACACACATATCTTTGAAGGATAGACATTATTTGGCTAAATTTTTACGAGAGTGCCATTTGACATACATGATGGTCAACAGAACTATCAGAAAATTTCAACTACTTGTCTACCAGCATCGATTTCACCATCACTATTTACACAAATATCACGAACAGAGTTCCCCCATATCCCCCATGGACAAAAAAAATAAAAAAAAAAGATAAAGTAATGAGAAATAGTAGAATAGAGAATAATAGAATTGTAATAAGGGGGTGAGAAAATAATGTATAAGACTTTAAGAAAAGTGAGAAGAGGGTATTAAAAAGAGAAGTAATGTATAAAAAGGGGGTACTGGGGCAAAAATCCTTCAGAATTCATAGACTAGAATGAGTGCCTTGCACTCGCAGAAGCAGCTGGTATTCAGAGTCTTATATATGAGATTTAACGTGCGCACGTTTTCATCATGGGATTTTTTGTGGTTTTTTTTTCTGGGCAGGATGGGATGTAATAGAATGTGAGGAGAAGGGAATATGTGCAGGTGTAGGGGGGTGTAGTAGAGGGTATAGTAGTAAGCTGTAGTAGTAGGGGTAGCAGTAGTAGGTGTTGTGTTGTTGTCGAGCAGGCAGCCAGGCCCAGATACTTGTGCGTATCCTGGGATGCTGGATTGAGGATGACAGGGAAAAGGCCCGGGAGGAGGGAGAGGAAGGGGGGTATTTATGTCTTCTCGGAGGGCCCCCAGATCACGGCGCTAAGGCTAAGCGAACGTCGTCCGCGGCCGCTGACTGGCTGGGAGAGCAGGTTTCGAGGTTACGCAGAGCGGAAGGCGGTGGGCGTGTTGCGGTGGCTGGATTGGGCAGGAGCATGGCGTGCTGGGAGCTTCCGCGCCAATGGGAGGCCGCCGTTGGAGGCGGGGGGCCGTTTGGATCAAACGGCCATACGGTATGGCGGCGTATTTGGGATACGCATGACGTGGGCCTGGAAATGGGATATCACGGGAAGGGGCAGCGGGTGGCTGGGAATGGATAGGAAGGACTTCACATAAAAAATTTGGCTATCAGCATACACTGGGGTACATCTGTCTCGGAAACCGTCATCTCAGAAATATGAGTGACCACACACAGAAAATCCACACAGTCTCTTTTTGAACCGTTATTATATGCTGGCCTTAAAAAAGTAAAACTGGTCATTATTGTGTATCTTTAAGCAAGCCTCTGATATGGTGAAACAAACAAAATCAAAACCCCTGGGTTTCTAGAGAAGAAATAGAAATTTGCGTTATGCAATAGGGGAGGCATCAAGCTCAACATACGCCCATTGCACCAAAGCGGACTTTTATCAGCAACCCTTGCGTCTTTTAACCCTCCCAGACGTGCCATTGTAATTATCTAGGCTCTGTAGATTCTCATCAATACTGGTCGTAGCAGGGCTCGTTGCCCCGCTGCTGGTGAACGACTCTGTAATGCGATTTCCACCCTGCCCGGAAACATTGTCATCGCCGACTGCCCCGCGTTGAGGGTTTCCGTACTCATCAAAAAAGCTGGCTGGTTGTTTGGAATCGGTGTTGACGTCTGAAAAGAGATCACCAACGGGGTCGCTATGAAGTTTATTAAAATCAAACAGGTCATTCGGATGCGGTTCTAGGGCGGCATCTGAGCCGGCGTTGCTATGGACACTCGGAGCATGTTCCTGCACGCCCAAATTAGTTCCATACATAGACGTGGATCCGTCGGTATTGTTGTTAGTACCAAGTCCGGCGTACTCGGTAAAGTAATCCCCACTGTTGAATATCTGGTCTAGATCGAGAGCTGGAGGGGGGACGTTGCTGGGGTTATCGGGTTCAAGACCAGGGATTAGTCCTGTTGGACTAAGCGGCTGGAGCATGTTGGTAAGGTTTTGTACAGACCGATCTTGTTCAGCTTGCATTTTGACAAGATGGTCAATGTGGGCGCGGGTGTCCGCGAGTTGAGAAGGGTAGTTAAGGGGCATGGGGGGAGGAGTGGGAGTAATGAGGGCATTGTTTGAGGAGGATAGGGTAGAAGGGTCAGAGGCATGGCTTTCATTGGCGATTAGCCGCAGCATGTCTGCACGTTGAGAAGCGGTGAGTGGTGCATTGCCTCCGGAATTCTCGAGGGACGAGAGAACGGTAGGAAAGTCGGGCATGCCGGGCTGAATGCTGTTTTGAGCATTGGAGTTTTGAATGAGAGACATGATATCGCGCTGGGGAGGGTATCGAGTCGAGGACTGGCTCTGGTTGCGAGAATGAGACATCGGGGTATACTGTTGCTGGGGTTGATTTGTGGTTTGAGGGCTCGTGCTTTCAAATAATTCTTCTACACTGCCGGATTGCGCACTAGCAGCCCGGTGATGCTGGCTATCGTTTTTGTTTGGCTGAATATTGTATTGATTGTTTGCTGAAGGCGATAATGTATTTGCTCGGCCAGGACTCTCGCCGCTAGCCGCAGGAGGGGCCTTAAGCAGCAGAGGCTGCTTTTTCAGTGGGCGTTGTGCAGGGTTTACATTGGGTTCCACGTTTCCTATGAAGTCGCCAACGTCGATTATATTTCCTTGGTTTGGATCCTGTGGCATTGCCCCGGCAAAAGAGTTAATTAAGCCCTGAGGACCGTCGTGGCCTTGCAGGCTTCTGTTGTATACGGTAGCCAAGAATGTCAGTATTGCATTGATCGAGTTTTCATGGCGATTATGCTGTTCCTGGAAATTGATGGCTTGGTCATAAAGCTGCTCGTGTTCCCGGCGCAGCTTACTGATTGTGGTCGAGATGATTTGCTGCTGATGACGAATATTTTGCAGTTCCCGATAGAGATTGTTGAACTGGTCCTTTGCTAATGTTGCTTCTCCAGGAGTGATAGACAACTGGCCTCGGAACTTGCTCCGGTCTTCCCGGGCACCACCGCCTCCATCCTCAACGTAATCCTCAGTTTCAATATCCTCGTCCCCTTCGGCTTTCGGGCGCGAACCTCCTTTGCCGTTTTTGGATTGAGAAATATTTTTCGGTTTTTGAATCAGCCATAACAGATCCGGGTGGCCTCGTCTGAAATACGGGTTTGAATATTCACTTGGGCTTTTATTTTTCCTCTCGCTCGCTCGCATTGAATTATCAGACAGACCAACCTTCTTATGAAAGCCGTACATATTGAGTTGCCTGACAAAGGATGCATAGTTACTATGCTTAAAGAGCTCAGGAATTAAGGTTCTCGCAAATTGGTCTTCATCTAAGACGATGAATGATCGGCCGTCTTCTGACCATCTAATTAAGTCGGTATTTTTGGACTCATCAAGAAAACTGTATCATAAGCCAGCTGGTCAGTACACCGAAAAGAGAAAAGATGTTCCGGAATTCTGAAAAAGACCAACCTGCTTAGTTTCTGTATAAAGGGAGGTATTTGCTTTCGCTTCGCCTGTGCATCTTTCTTTGCAGCAAGTGCCCTACGCTCCAACTGTTCCTCTGTCACTCCGGTCGCAGGGTCAACATCATCCTGCGGAGTCACCGCAGGCTGTTCCATCAAAGGAATCAGGCTAGGCTCGTTGCTCCTCGGTCTGTTGATGAGCTGGTTGGCTGCCCTCCGCGCCAGCTGATTTGGTGCTTGCAGCACCGTTGTGTCTACTCCGGGATGGGTGGCCGATTGGAATGAATCGACGTTCACGTTTCCGGCGGAATTCGAAAGCGCTGCATTCGCTTGTCCCCACTGCATGAACTGGTCGTTTGAGAGGTGTGTGTCGGGAGTAGGATAGTTGTGTGTTTGCGGAGATTGTTGATGGGGGATTGGGACGGCACCCGGGGCGGCTCTCTTGCGCGAGGAGCTTTGCGGTATCATTGCAAATTAGATGGACCGATGGGTTCTAGTTCAGATATGATGAAAAGCTGAAGAATATGGGAAAGATGGCTCGGGTATGGAAAAGAATGGGAAGGGTATCCGGATAGCGAGGATCAAAGGGATCAAGTTCGTAACGTCGTGATTCGAATTGAAGGGTACTATTCGTAACTATGCTGGTCCAAGGGTGATACTGAGAAGAGCAAAGCGATGAAATTGCAACTAACGCCAAGTAGTGAGTAAGTGGAAGAATAGTCAGAGAGCGTATCACAGATGGCAGACAACAGAACGTCGAGGCGTATCAAAAAGCGGCCGGATTCCAAAAGACCATACCTGATAAGAATAGTGACAACGGGGAAAATATTTCTGCAGACGCTTGGTGCAGCTGCTTCGTGACTGGAGGGGTTGCTCAGAGGATTGCAGGGCCCAAGAGCAAGAGAGAGCCAAGAAGAAGGAATAGGCGGGCGGTTAGGGTCAATTGGCCCAATGGACTAGGAACAAAAGAGCGAACGGAGAGGATCGAGGGAGAGCTGAAGGACTGTGTCAACGAGCGCTCGCCGCTAGAACTCACGTCGGCCGATCTCGATATCTGACATAATCTGAGCGCAAAAACGCCGAAGTGTTGCCTCCAATGACGATTTGGGCGCTCTGATTGGCTGGGGGCTGCGTTGCGGAGTGTGACTAAGCAGCTGAGGCGGGTCGACGGACGACGATGGGGTGAAGAATCGCCAGCAGTGTTGGTGTTGCGGCGATGCTGTGTTGCTATCTTCCATGGACGCCTATCAATGGTTATTGTTCTTATTTACGTATTGTCTATCTTAAAACTACGGAGTACTGCAATACCCATTCAAAATGTGTTGTGCTCAATGACTGGATGCTGGACCAACACATCTAAGAGTGTTATTTCACCCTTTTTTCGCTGTGGAAGAGAAGAACACTGGAGTGGATGCACATCTTTCATTTCTTCCGGGAATAATAGCTTGCTAGTTACCTATGTCCCGAAATAATACCCGCATCTTCCACCACTGTACCTGGTTCTCCATAGCTGCTCTGCAGGCCAGAGATGCGTGGTGATTTTTGCTCGATTTGTTGCCCATTCAATACTACTGTATTTCAACTCCAGCACAAAGCAATACATTGCAGCTCTTTAGCAGACCACAAGCACAGCAAAATTAAATTTTCAGCCAGCCTCCAGTAGGACTGGTATCTGATGTTGTGACCGACTCTGACAGAGCTGCCGATGTTGGAGTCCTAAAGAGCTAAAACCTGGAATCGGATCTGCCTGGCAACAGGGTTAAGTTTAATATCCGCATCCGGCAATGAAAACTCCAGCATGGGATAGTTGGCAATGCCCGGTTACCAGCTTCTCTAGTTATGTATTCCTTGCTCGCCTTCCAAACCTCGATAGTGTCAACGATTACAGCGAGCGGGCTGTCCATAACCAGATCATTCAGATACAATCATATTTCTGCTCTTGCATTATGTGAATACGGGGATTTTTGAGAGATGATCGCAAGAGGGCAGGTGTGATTGAGATAGGGGGTCGTAGGGCAAGTGATCTATTCCTGGCTCCTGGCTGGTGATGATAATAACCTTACTTGGTTTAAATCTGTTGAGAACCTGTTAGTGACACGATCATGGCCGAAGCAAAGTCCTGTACGGAGTACTACGGAGGGCAAACGCTAAAAAAGAGGTCTTGCCGCTTCACCTTGTTCGTCACCGACTAGATTTTATCAGCAGTTCTTCGGCTGGGCAGTAGTAGTATCGAGATTGGGAAGGCCTTGCAAAGGGCTTTGAAGCTTAAACGTGCGATCTTCTACTCTAAGCAGTGTGATGAAAACGGACACGGGAACTTCAGTACTCTGTAGTTATCCATACTTTCTCTGGGAGCGAGGCTTGGCGCATCCCCCTTGATTTCTCAAGAGGAGGACCGAGTTCGTGGATGAGTGGGGCCGGGCGAGAAGGATATGATCGAGACGGAGAATAATCCCTGATGACCAAGGCTTGGAAAAGAGTGGCTTCCGGTGAGGTTCGTGGAGCACGGCTGATCCTACACGGGCGAGCCGTTGATGATAGACGTTGGGCGGCATCCTCGCCGTTTCGAAGTGTTGCCGAAGGGACAGTTGGTGGAAATCGTCTCTCGAAGGGCAGGAAGGAAGCTGCTGCAGCTTTGGGAGTAGACATGGTGCTGGGAACAAAGAAAGTGCGTAACTTAACTCTTGGTAACTTCGAACCTAAGCCTGCTTTGCCTAGAGCTTGCGGTGGTGGATGGAGTGGTCTACACAACAAGCCCTAGGCGGCGATGTGCGGATCATCAACCTGTGGAGCGAGAATTTCAGGCGCCAGGAATCCTGATGCAAGAAGAAGTTGCTGAGAAACCAGCAGTCTCCTCTCTCTCTCTCTCTCTCTCGCGGGACGTTACAAAGTCTTATACTTTGCCGTGACGGGCGGGGCCACGGAACCATGGGGGAACTATCCATCTACATAAAGTTAACTAACGCGGCAAACCCACGCCGTCTTGCGACGATATCACGAGCCCAGCACTAAGGCATTCAAAGGCTGCGAGGCTGACGGTTTCATCGTCCGGTTACTATCTTTTTAGCCAAAACGGCCTCGAGAGAATGCCACAGCATGCTATTTTTAGGCCCCTTCCAAAGCTCCACCTTCGGGTCCTTCGGCGGAAGCGTCTCCCTGGGGCGACTGCAGCGCGTTGATGAAAGGACGCCAAGATGTGCCCTTGTCTTGAGTCAAAAGGGCATTACTCGCCGGGCACTGCTGGTATCAGCTCCTCCGTCAGATCGTCCCGAAAAAAAAAGGGACTGCTTTGTTGGCCTGTGCCAGAGGCAATATAGGGGTATGCTGGGTGATTTGATTGAATGCTCCCCAAGATTTTAACCTTGGCTAGAGGCCCAGGAGGGTGGCAATCCAATGACAGGGCGGGAACGAGCAGAAACCCGGTCTTTTCAAAGCCTTGTTGTCTTGGGAGAGGGGAAGTCGATGGAGGGGAAAAGAGAAACATCGGCACCATCGCCCGCCAGCTAAGACGACTCGCGTCCTATCGACGCTTCTCTGTCGTTTGGGCTGGGGTTTCAAGAGACTCTCTGCATAATAATTAATATTTTCTGCTGCCCACCCCCCCTTTTTTTGAGTTTCGCCGATGGCGTTGCGGGTGGGAAAGCCTGTCTCGGAAACCCTACCAATAATCGAGGCTGGAGCAAGATCTGTGCGAAAAAATCATAATAAAAAAAAGCGGAGTTACGGTCGCGGGAGCGCGGATGGGCTAAGGGCTTGCGAACCCATTTTTTTAATTATTATTCCGTTGCTTGCGGGTGGAATGAAACAAATAACTAGTACATAATGCGCAAGACCTCGCGAAGCTGCCATTATGTAGGTATTGCAAGCGGAGATCTGGTCCGTCCGATGAAGAACGCAGAGCCCAGGAACAGAGCACTGGCCTCTGCCAGACAGGCATTTGACAGGCCGCGAACGAGAGGGATGGCGCAGCTGATGTGATGCGTTGATTGTGATTGAGTGTCTTGCCCAGAGCCCACACAAGCCCCTAAGTCATTTAAGCTGTGTTGAGCGCGGTGGGTTTTGCTTTTTCGGCCTGGCTTTCCAGATCGTGATAGTAAATTATACCGTTCAGGAGACGGCCATGGCACCGTAGAGCCGGTAGCTAGAGAACAAGACGGCAGATGTTGGATGAGCACGTCGTCATGGCGGCCCTGAGGCCGGTTCGTTGGTAGCTACCGTTGGTTTGTGTGCTCATCGTGCCCTGTAGTTGCTCGTCTAGTCCTGGTCAGAGACTGCGAGATGCATAACTAGACAATAACCGGGCATGGCGATGGCTCTGGCAGCCGGACTGCACATATAAGCAACCAAACAGCCGACTGGCCGTCATCGTTCGCTGTCGTTGTGCTGGGTTCTAGAGCGGGCGGGCGTCGGGGAGGACGACGATGATGATAATGACGCCGACGACCGGCGGGTTGGCCACCGGTGCCAGCAAGAAACAAGAAACCGCAAGCGGCAAGTATGTAGTCAACTGGTTAGTTACTCTATAGCAGCAGCGTAGAGAGCAGCTCAGGATCTCGCCCGGCGCTGCAGGAAGCGGTCGCTCAGGGTTCTCCTTAACGTTTGCCCCTAACGACGAGGGCCAACTAGCCAGTTAGTCAGTGCTCGACTCACCAAATTCAAACCCCAAATTTTTTTCTCTCCAACCTCGCTCGCCCGTCCGCCTCTTCCTTACCTTTTTCTTCTCCCTCCCTCCCTCCCTCTCTCTTCTCTCCTTCTCTCCCTACTCCTCTGCCTCGCCCGTCCTGATACCGTGCCTCTCTGCCAGCTCCTCTGCCGGCTGCTCGTCCGCCTCGTGAACGCTGCCACCCCACGGTCTCAACCCTCCTGTCCTCATCCCTGCCTCATCCTTCTGCCCACGATCCTCGATTCGCCTCTTGTCATCGCTCAGAACGCCCATCTTGATACCGTTTGCTGTCTCTGCTTTACTGCAGTACGCTTGCTGAGCCTGTGTCGCGCCGCCATCCGGTAGTCCGTGGCTGTGGTGTCCTTTTTCCTAGGCCCATCCTGCAGACTCCTTCCCTCCCATCTAGTCGATCGTCGCAACCCGCGAACGACTCCCGTCTTCTCCCGTGCGGCTTGCCTACCACCAGCCGTGGGCTTTGCAGTGTCTGGACCGCCAGCCCGTCCTCCTCGAAGCTGCCGCGCTTGACGCTTCGTCCAACGTTGTCCAGTGCTCTCACAGACCATCCTCCCGCCCCCAGGGGCCACACCGTGCCTCAGCCCTCCTGAGTCACCCGCACCGCACAGTACCAGTCTCCCGATACAGAAACGCCCGCTGTCCCCCGATACAGACGACTTGACGCTCCGGGCGCGCCTGGGTGATTACAGGCCCAACGACGTTTTAGCCTAGCTGGAGTTTATATTCTGCAGTGTTTCTGTGCCTGAACGCCAGGCCTCGAACGCCGACCACACGTGATCCGCCGGGCTTGCACCCATCGCTGCATTCCGTGCGGTTGGTGCTGTTGCTGCTCCTCTCTGCTGCTGTGATTCACTGTTGTTGACAGCCCGTGACGCAGCTGGCATCTCCATCACGTGCCTGCGTGGTGTTTTCGTCCCAACCCCTTCTTCTCCTGCTCTTCCAGACCATCAGCAAGTGGCCTCTGCGCGCCACTGAGCCTCAACCACAATGAACAGCTACCATCAGAGTCAAGATATGTATCACCACTCCGCCTCGCGGTCGCCAGGCGCCCATCGCCATGTCCCACCGCAACCCCAACAACAGCTGCATCGACAGCCGTCACGACAGTTTGACGCGTATGGCTTGATGCCCGCTTCCATGTTTGATGATTTATCCTCGCGCTACGACATGTCTCTCGACAGAGCCACCCCCAGCCTGCCCTCCAACAATTTCCCTTACGACGTAAACGGCGCCCAGACCTGGAATGCGAATGGCATCGGCGCCGCGCATACCTTGGGCAACATTGGAGCCAATCCGCTCTCTGCGTCTGCTCGCGGAAGAAGCGTGCGTGGCAGAACTGGCCTTCCTGCTGTAAGTTGCCGTCTTGCGCGCGCACTCTAATCAGAATTTTCTTGCTAATGCCGAAAAAAATCCAGACCTGGCTTGATCAGCAGCAACCTTCGCCCAGTGCGTTCCCGCTTGCGCCTGGCCCCGTACAGGCAAATCCGCTGCGCCCAGAAAACCACGGCCACCATGATGGAGGAGAGGATGAGCTTATTCCGACTGCAATTGTCATCAAAAATATTCCTTTTGCTGTTAAGAAAGAGCAACTCATCCAGTTGATGACTGATCTAAGTTTACCATTGCCGTATGCCTTTAACTACCATTTCGATAACGGTGTCTTCCGTGGTCTCGCATTTGCGAATTTCACCTCTGCCGAAGAAACCGCAGCGGTGATTGAAGTCCTCAACCATTTTGACCTGAATGGTCGGAAACTGAGAGTTGAATACAAGAAAATGCTTCCCGCGCAGGAACGCGAAAGAATCGAGCGCGAAAAACGTGAGCGTCGGGGCCAGCTAGAGGAACAGCACCGCCCAATTGCGACCACTCAGCTCCAGAGTCAGAATTCAATGTCCTCTCTGACCTCTCATCTGCCCACGGCTTCGTCCTCGCCAGTTTCTCAGCGCACAGGAGGCCTTGGTATGATTCATATCCACTATATTTTCTGTGCAATAGTTGGCTAACCGCTTTTCCATAGATATGAACGATCAAATAACACTACAGTTCTACTCCCAGCTTCTCCTGTTTAAACAGGACCCCACTAGGGAGTCTGTGATTTTTCCTTCGAACTTGGTGCCTTTGGAGCGCCGTATTGTACACACCCTGGCTCATAACATGGGCCTTGGGCATTCATCTCGAGGAAGTGGTGATCAAAGACAAGTACATGTTTTCCGTATTACAACTGGTACAAATGTTAGCCCTCCAATCCCAGTGCTGCCAGCCACCATCCACCAAACGGATTCATCACGTCGAAGTCTCAACCGTGCAGCCACCATAGATTTCGGCGAGGCCAGGAATGATACAGCAAACCCCTTTGCCACCTTACGTAGCCATCATTCGGGATATCTCAGCGTGCTTGACTCCCCTGGAACCTTTGGTGGAAATCCGCAAAACCTCCGCGCGGCGAAGTCCTTTGCCGACCTGCGTTCATACACACCGTCTCCAGCACCATCAACTGCAAGCTACCCAGCTGCCTTGCATCCCAATGGAACTCGCATCCAGGGTTTTGAAAGTGCCGCAAGCGGAGCCTCTCACACACCTACCTTGACTCCTGCTCCAGGCTCCAATATTGTCATGCCGCGGCCTGAAGAGAATCTTCTTGTTAACACTTTTAGCTCACTTCAACTAGGCACCTCTGTTAGCGGTGGAAACTCCAGCCCAAGAAGACTCCGCCAAGTGTTCTCATGGGAGCAACAGGATACAAACCAATCCTCTGCAACTGCTCCTATTGGCAGCAACCGTGCCATTGGTCTCGGCACCTTTGATAGCCAAACTCAAGACCGACTTCCTCTTAGACAGCCCCGTGGACCTGCCCCAGAGAGGGGCTCCGGATTTCGCCGGCCAAATGGACACCAGTCCCGTGGCAGCGATGAAATCCAAAACGGCAGGCCCGAAATTGTTGTCGAATGACTAACCGTCCGAAATCAAGAATTTTATGAATCGCAGCGAAACAACTAACCTGTACTCTTGCATTACATCACTGTGCTATCTCACTCTCTATCCCTTTAAGCCACCATCCCGCTTATCAAATGGTGTCTTTATGAATCAACGATGGACGATGCAATGACCCCCCCCCCCCCTATCTTAAAAGACTCGGCTTTACACACAAAAGTTTCCAATGGAGAATATCAAACGACTTGACTAGATGCTACTCGACTTCGGGGCAGCCCAGCGATCACTATCCACACGACCTTTATCTGAACGACAGTTTCTTACGCTCACTTTAAGACGAAAGTCATTGAACATGAAAAGAAATACCGTAATATACTTGAGCCCCCACCGCCCCCACATTTTGCCCATTGAGAGCGTCAGGCGTACTGATTTTTCAGATATTTTTTGGAACTTGAGAATATTAAAAACCCAAAACGACAAAAAAAAAAGGAACATCGTCTCCCCCCCAATTTTCTAGGGCATTGCTGAGTTTGTTTGATTGTATCTTTTTTTTTTTTTTTTTTTTTTTTTTCCTTTGATTGCTGGGGGTTTCTGTCCAATCTCAAGCTTTTCTTTTCTTTTTTCCTTCTTTTTTTGTCTTGTGTAATATCCTTGAACTTGCATTTCACTTACCTGGTTTATGCTTGTCATGCCAGTGGGGTGCCACCTGGGGTAATGGTGTTTTTTTTTCGTCATCATGACTGTCCCAAAGAATTGTCTGCTACCTGAGTGCCGGACTTTCTGGCTTCATTTTAATACACATCTTGCTTTTGGAATGCCTTAGTCACTGGCACACTGTTGGAATGTTCCATCTCTCTTTTCTTATTTTTGGTCTGTGTTTTCATTATCCCTATTTAGTACTGTTTTGGCAAAGCAACTTCATTTCTACTATGGCCCAGGGTCTTGGGATGATAAACACTTCTGGGTTCCCTTATTTTTCCAACAACTTCGATTATGGTATTTTTAAGGGATAAGAAAAGGAATGAGTGGGCAAACCCAAAAACAAAAAAAAAAGAACAAAAAAATCAAAGTGATTACTTCGTTTTACGTGTCAATTTTGCAACGATCTTTTGCTGGTCCTTTGATTCTCTTAATTCAGCCGAGTCTTGAACGATGATTATGATATGTTTGCTGTCTGTCCAAGCTTTCCATGCTGCTTTGCGATATTGAACCCCCCCAGACCGTGGGGCACTGCGAGCGGCTCTAATGTTAGTTCTTCATTGTTAATTCTCTCTTTATTCCCTATCTTGTTGTTTTCCATCTGTTTCGCTGCCTGAACAAAATCTCTGTTTACGTATATTGATGCCGCGTCTTCTGATGCCAATCGTCTACCTTCAGAGGAGGACTTGAATGGGAACTTAAAAACGCTGGCATAGCTTTGATTGTGATTTGTCGGATGATTCTCTCTTCTTAAAATCCGCCCTCTCTCTATTTAAATACATAATATGGGCTTGTTATTAATTTTCTCGTGGCTTCCTGTGTGTGTCTCTTAGATGCTTGGAAGTTTCAACCCCTACTACCTTTTCAAGTTCGAAATGAGCGTGCGGTTTTTTTTTTGTTTTTTTTTCTCTTCACGCCTGGAGGACGGGGGTGTGATCAATGGTGGGCTGTTCTGGAGGCGCCTTTGCGGGGGTGGAACAAGGGCGGCTCTATTGATCTATTGCGCAGAGTACAACAGACAATGCCATTTTTATTTTGCTTTCCATAAATCCCGAGCAAACATATATACCGTATCAAGTGATCATTCCAGGAGTTTGTAGATTTGGCTATGTAGGCTAGGGTTACAGATCTCATCGCAGAAAATTGTGAAGCATAAAAAAGGAGATCAAGCCAAAAGGCCAAGAAGAAGGGGATATCAAGAAGCTATAAAACACGCTAATCCACCCCCCATATAATAAAACCACCACTACCAGTTACGAACGAGTCTCCCTCCTCGCCCACTCCTTCTTCCTCTCCCACTCCGCCTCTCTCGCCCGTTTCCGATCCCGCCCCACCGCCTCCCTGCCCGTCATATCCTGCCGGATCTCCTTCTCTTTCTGCCGCGGATCGATGACCACCAGGGAATCCACGTCGCGATGGGACTGCTTCCACGTCTGGTCCTTGCCCAGCGTGTCCTTGGTAAACCGTAGTGCATGCGCCATCCAGTCGGTCGCGTTGTCGTCGTCGTCGTCCTGATCTGGCTTACCATCCGGGACGTCCCAGGCCTGGCAGGATTGGCAGTTGGCGATGAAGTGGAGGTCGCAGAGTTGGGCTTCTTCTTCATCGTCGTCGTTGTTAGCTTCTGCATCGGCCTTCTGAGAGGTATTCGGAGGTTTGGAGGGTGCGGACGCGTCTTTCACTGTAGACCTCCGTGCCTTTTTGGGCACGTGGCCGTCTGCTTTTTCCAGGCGAGATTTGAAGTTGTGAAACCATTTTAACGACTCGAGATCATGCGCTTTGCCATTCATATCCGCTCCGTTGGTCGGGCGCTTGCGGCCCCGTATCGAATTCTCAGGGATCAATGACTCCAGTGCTGATTTTGGCTTCGTGGGCTCGTTTGACTTACCCTGCGTCGTTCGACGCATGGATGCTTTGAGGGACGCAATTTCTTCATTTAATCTAGAAGCTTTCGATGGTCTGGGCGAGCTATCGGGGGAAGAAGATGCCGAACGAGGGCTTTCTGGGTCTGGGAGAGGAAGCTGGGTGTTGACGTCTCGTGATAATCGTCGGCTGGCGCGTGGAGATTTGGGTGTCGGAGGGGGTATAGGAGTATTAGATAGCTCTAAGTCCCTGGAAGGCATTTTCCGCTCTACAGACTTGAGTATGGGCTCTTTAACTTCGTGCTTGTTCGCCAATGCAGAGTCCTCCGTCTTCTCGATCTCCTCCGAAATACCATTATCAAATACCAGACGCGTATTGAATTTCGGCCTTCTGGACTTCGGAGCCGGCGCCGCCTCCTCTTCCTCCTCCTCACCCGCACCAAAGCTCAACAATGCCTTTCCAGTCTTGGCCTGCTTCTTCTTCCGCTTCACGCCCTCCTTGCGGTCCTCCGGCGCTTTCGTCGCAACAGCAACCCTCTCTCTTTTCCTCAACTGCCCCTCAAAAGGACCCAAGTCATCGACTTCGCACCCCGTGATTTTTACCGCATAGATCGGCCTCTCCGTGCCCTCGACCAGCTCCGCCTCCGCGATCTTGACAATATTGTAGATACCATCGCCCTCCACTCGCCCAAACATGGTACACGTCCCCGTCAACTCCCTCTCCGCCCGCGCCAGCGTGACGAAAAACTGGCTGCCGTACCTCCCGTCCTCGCCCTTCGCCATGCCCACCAGCCCCCGCCGGTTGAACCGGAGCCGGCTGTGGATCTCATCTCCAAACACGATCTTCTGGCTGGGGTCTCGCGGATCGCGCTCGAACTCGGCATCGTCGTAGATCGCGGAGCCGCCGGATCCCGTGCCCGTGGGGTCGCCGGCTTGGACGACGAAGCCGGGGACGACGCGGTGGAAGGTGGTGTTCGTGTAGTATCCGTCTAGGCAGTGCTGGAGGAAGTTTTTGCAGGCGAGCGGGGTCTGTTTGGCGAAAAGGGATATCTGGATGGGGCCGACGGTGGTGTGCAGAGTGGCAGAGGCAGTGGGTGGTGGCTCGGTGTTGTAATGGGAGGACATTTTGAAAAGGTGTTATGTGGTAGGGAAGGTGTCAAGAGGGGTAGAAATCCAGGTCAATTGCAGGTAGGGCAATGCGACAGGAAAATTATGGTGTTTCCTGCCACGCAATACTCCTGTCGACCCAGCTTGCCAGCGTTGGTCAAGTGCTGAGATCGAGACTGATATCTCCCTCCGGCCAATTACTGGAGGCGCCAAGTCCGGAGCTTGAACCAAGTGCCAAGCCTCGGGATTATAGTCGGCCCTTTGTATCGGAGCTCGGAGTAGCTATCTCCATATGAACTAGCCTAATAATGTTGCTTACATAACAGGTTTTTAATTGGGGAAAAGTTATTAAGGAGATTCAATATTATCAGTATGGAGTACTAGGCTATGCAAAGCTTTTTAAACATAAAGTCATGATAAATGCGTTTTGGTACTCTGCCTCTTCCACCTTCCATTAGTCGTCCTTTAAATTAAGCAGATGCTTTGTCCGACACCTCCCTGGACCGATACAGAGTCGCCTTGCTCACAAACCTAAATCCTGCAACTAGCATGACCAGGAGCTGAACGCCCAGGACCACGGCCAATGTGACCATAGCGCCAATCACACCCGCCTGCACTGTGGTCAACCCACCAGTTTTTCCGGTGCCGGCGGAGGAGGATTTGAGAGGAACACCACCGCAATCCGGACCGCCGCCACAGACTTTGCACCATTGCTCCTGGGACGTAATGCTGACTTTCTCCAAGCGCGAGGAAAATTCTGACCAAGGCAGAACGGTCTTGGGCTGGTTGAAGAGAGGGAACTCGTTTGCTCGGCCATTGGCCAGAATCGTGCCGTTGTTGAAGAGGAACCGCACGCTGATATCGGCCGGGTCCGGGAAGGACGAGGTTGATGCGTTGGTCACGAGCTCAAAGGCCATCGCTGAGGCGTAGTTGGGGATGCCAAAGAAATCATTATTGAACTTGGGGAGCTCCGTGAGGCCAAAGAACGAGAGGAAGGTTGCGTAGGCGCCGAATTGGACGCCGAGCTTGGTGCCTTGCCCCTTGGAGGCGATCAGGCCCTTGAAGGCGGCGAGGACGTCGCCGCCCAGCACGGAGCCGCTGATGGCGCGGACCTGCTCGGAGTCGTTGTAGGCCAGGTTGTATTGGTGTTCGCTGGCGAGGTGGAAGAGACGGGCGTAGGTCTGGGGAGTGAGCAGGTCCGCGGAGGGGAAATTGTCGCTGGAGTTCTGGATGCTGGCAACGTTCAGCAGGTCGAAGAGGGCGTAGGCGTTCTTGTAGTTGATCTTGTCGGGCGAGAAGGTGTTCTTGAGCATGGGCGTGAGCGACTTGTAGAAGTCGTTGGTGGCGTCCAGGGTGCTCTTGAACGACTTGGAGTTGAAGTAGTTGGCGCTGCTGACTTTGGCATTCTCGCACTTGGTGGCACTCTGTAGCCAGGCGAGGTTCTCGCTATTCTTACCAGAGCCGGTCTTCTCAATGGCCACCAGCTGGTATCCGTTCATGGGCGATTCGATCTCGGTGCCATTGCGGAGCCGGCTCTTTGCGGCATTGCCCGCGGGCGGATACAGCGCCTGGAAGAAGGCGGTGGCGGATTTCTGCAGCACGTCGTCGGCGGGTGCAGAGGCAGACACCTGGCCGGCTCTGATGATATCTCCGTTGATGCCCTGGATGCGTGACTGCGAGGAGGAGGCAAGGTATCTGTCGCGGTAGAACTGGCCGGTCATGACGACCTGGCGGTAGCCCAGCTCGGTGAGCACAGCGGGCGGGGTCGACTTGGAGGTGCGGTCGCCATGACGCGCAAAGATATAGGCGCCCAAGACGGTCTCAGCGGAGGAGCCGGCGGCGAAGAGGGAGACAGAGGCGGCAGCGAGGGCCACGAAGACACCGTGCGAAGGCATAGCGGGTGGGTGTGAGGGGATGCCGGGAGCCAGCCAAAGCGAGTTTGCCAGCAAAAAACGAGGAAATCCGGGACCAGCAGCGCCCGGGAGGAGCGGAAGCGCAGGTTTATGTAGCTGCTACCCTGCTGCGGGGTAGTTGGCGGGCAGAGCAGTCCAGCCCGCCCGCGCGCCCGTCCACGCTCTGCTGCCAGCCGGCCGAGCCGCCGACTCGCCTCGATCCTCCCATTCTTCTTATTCTTGCCGGGCGAGAGCGGAAGCACCGTCGATGGAACTGCCAGGCCGGGGTGGAAAGTCAATTCACGAGCAGCCAAACCTTGATGCGGAGGGGATCATCGCGGCCGAAGGATGGCCCCAGGCAGCGCGGCACGGCGAGAGAGGAGCGAGAGACGGCTCGTCGGGCGCCAGGCGGTGTGGCCGGCAGCCGTGGTGAGAATATTCTTCATGAAGCCGCGCAGAGAAAATTCTGCGTCGTTGACTAGCAGCTAACGAGTTAGCTATGCGATGGTGGATGAGAAAGACCCTCCGGCGAAGTATATCCGCGTCGGAGCCCGCAGCCACTCACCAGCCATGGATCCGAGGTCGCATTATGGCGCTGGAAGGGCCTGGGCTCGAGGAAAATATTGCTGTTTAGTGAAAAAATATTCTCTCCGACTTCCCGACTCCACCGCGGTCGGACTGCCCAGGCGTCGGTTGATGCGTGGTGGCTAACGTTAACGCACGAAAATGATACCCAGCCATTCAAGACCGTGAATCTCGTTTCTAGATGGCTGTTTCTCTCTATGCTCCGTCTGAACAAGCTTGCGGGTATCAGCTAAATAACCAACTGCCTCCCCGTGCCTGGCCCGCCGCGGTGGTTTCCAGCGTAGTTCTCCGCCCATGCCGGCCATCCTGCGCACGTCCACACCCACCCGCCCTGGGCAACGATGTATGCTTAGTTTAAATATAAAACCCTCCGAGCATGGGCCGTATCCACGCGCATCCGCCCTGGAAAGCACCTCCACTACTCAACCAGCCGTCGCCTGCCCGGCCGTCAACTCCGCATGTGCATATCCGCATCGCCGCCGACCAGCTCGCAGCCGCCGCGGACCACGCCCACCAGCCCGCCCGTCTGCAGCATCTCCGACCCGCCCGCCGCGAGCCGCCACTCGACGTCCGCCAGGCCTTCCATCCACGCAATGCGCGTTTGCGCCGGGACTTCGATCTGCTGCAGCTCCGACGCCAGCGCCGTCAGGATGTCCGCCAGCGCCAGCCCCTTGCCGGATTTCATCGTCTGGATGGTGTTCAGGCACGACGTCACGTCCGACGTCGAGAGCAGCGTTTCCATGATCTCCCTGATATCAGCGGGCCGCGGCGCCGCAATGCACGTGTAAATGGTGTCGTCGGTGATCAGCTCGGGCTCGGCAGCTGGTTGTTTGTCTTTGGAGCCATCTCGCATCGGTAAGGGTATGCCTATGTCATTTTAGTATAAATGATTTGCTCTAGGCGTCAGACAACGGAATCATACTGCTGGCGTGACATGCTTGGAGGACGTTCAACGCCCGTCTCATATCCCCCTTACTTAGCTTCACCAAGCTATCTATCGCGTCGGGGTGTATCCGCACCTCCTCCTTCTCAATGACCTGGTCCACCAAAACCCGAATGTCCTGCTCCTTCAGGGGACTAAACCTAAATCTCGTACACCGAGAAAGCAATGCTGGAGAGAGTTTATGCGAGTAGTTGGCGATAATGCAGAATCGCGTATTGGCTGTATATTTTTCCATAATTCGCCGAAGCGCCATTTGCGCCGTGGAAGTCATGGCATCCGCCTCGTCGAGGATGATTAATTTGAAAGCTCCAAGTCCGGTATTCGACTGTCCGCCGGCCACCATCGAGAATATCTGCTTTGTGCCTAGAGTCATTGCGCTTAGCCCACCATCCGTGACACCCGAGGACAAGGCGTAAACACACTGGCAAAGGTCTTGATCTGCTCCCGGACCACGTCGATGCCTCTGTCATCACTAGCATTAAGCTCCAAAACCATCTGTCGCATGTTTTTATTGCCGTATATTCGTCGCGCCAACGCCAAAATTGTGGATGTTTTCCCCGTTCCTGGGGGGCCGTAGAGTAAGAGATGCGGTAATCGCTAGTTTTACGCCTTTAGCCAACACCCCTAGGCTCTTCTTTTAATCCAGGGAGCTTACTTTTGACTCGATGAATCGGTTGATAGTCGCAAGGATATCTTGGTGGCCCGACACCTCATCGAGCGTGTTGGGACGGTACTTCTCGACCCTGCATAAACTGCATCAGCTCCCACAGCACTTCAAAAAACACAGAGCGAGGACACACCATGGCAAGTTGTCTTCCGCTTCCACTGGCAGATCCGCCTGTATTCTTTTGCCCTTCACGTCTTCCGAGCCAAAGGATAGGGAGTGCTTTGCGGGCGGGGCGTCAATATCCATGTCATCCTCGATATCCGACATTTTGAAATGATTTCTACCGCAGAGCAGTGCTTGTAGTTGGTTTTCCCTTGATGCTCTCAGCAAACGCGTCGTTTTCCATGCCAAACCGCGTAAAGCGCCTCGGCCCCGGAAAAACCTCTCGGGGCGCTTCCGCGGGTTGACGTAGTTAGTCCCAAGGCTTCTTCCTCCCAGCGCTGCCTCAACGTCGAACCCACGCATACAGCTCTCCACGCAAACAAGCAAATCGCCCTCTCATTCCGCAGACCAGTCGAGCCAGAATGCCTGTTTGTATACCCCCTCACTAACTCATCCGTACCCCAACATTCCCATGCCAATTGCTAATCTCCCCCGCTAGGCCTACCACTCCATCTTCCTCCAAGAACCCGATGTCCAAACAATAGGTACACACCGCAGCCCACCCACCAGCTTCAGCTACACCTCGCCCCGTACCTCATTCCAGACACTAACCACCGCCACGCAACAGGAAACTTCCCCATCCTCCCGCTGCGCACGCGCACGCGCGGGCCCGCGTACACTCTCCCCGCGCTCCCCGCCGGCTCGTCCGACAGCGACATCGACCCGGACAGCGAGTCGTACGACTGCCTCGACGAGACCCTCGCGCTGTACCGCGCGAACACGTTCTTCCGCAATTTCGAGATCAAGGGCCCCGCCGACCGCATGCTGATCTATGGCATTCTGTTTATTAGCGAGTGTCTGGGCAAGGTGAAGCCGGGGATGGCGGCCAGGGAGGCGGAGAAGGTGTGTCTCCTTTTTTCTTGAATTATTGTTGTTTTTTGTTAGGAAGGATTCTTGGGTCTGTGTGTGAGACGAGGGAGAGGCTAATTATGGATGGGGACAGGTCTTGATTAATACTTCGCTGGATCATTTTGCGATTCCCGGAGATGCGTCGTTCCCCCTTAACCAGGCCTTTGAACCGCCTCGAGATCGACAGGATGCGGAGACGTTAAGACAGTATGGAAATATTCTACGTTTTGCTCTATCCTGTTCTACCATGGGCTAACCCCTTCTAGATATATATCCCAAGTCCGACAAGAACTGGCTATCAGATTACACTCTAGGTTATATCCTGGTGGTGAAGGGCCGTCCAAGGTAATTTATGCTTACTTTTACCTATATTTTTGACCTCCCTTTAACACCCAATTCCTCTGCTTCTTATTGACTTCTCTAACTTTGTTCATAGTGGTGGCTCAGTTTCTCAAAGCGCAAGTTTATGGGAAAATCGCTTTAAATCAAATTCAATGCTATAGCTTGTCCCTGCAGCACGGTGTTTTAGTGCGATCTTTACATTATTGGAGTTTTCGATATAAAAAGAAATTACCTTCCAGCAATACAAGACAGTCTTGAAAAGAATATTCCAAAAAGTAGCATTTGGTGAGTAAGTTATGAATACATGAATTCTCGCTATAAGTAATAGATCATCACACACGTTTCGCCGATACCCCACATTTTCCTTCAATACATGATATCCAAAATGAAAGAGGCCGGCCATGGGCTTCGTATAAGCCAAAAAAAATATAAGAAAGGAAAGGGGGAGTAGGGTCGATAAATATCAGCGAAGATTAGGGGAAATATGTAAGGTAAGCGTCTGAGTAGGGGATCCCCGGGACGAGAGGGTTGGAGGGGGGGGTCGAGGGTCGCGCAAAGAAGGTAGGTAAAGATGTCCAGGAAAAGGAGATGAAAAGACAGTAAGCAATAAACGCAGTGAACTCAAAAAGTTGTCTAAAACCAACCTCCCAATAATAGGTATCCACGCTGCCCAAAAAAAAAAAATAAAAATAAAAAAAACGCTCAAAAAGACGCAACATGAACATATACAAACAAAAAAAGAGCATTGTTTACCACGAACTCGCATCTCTGTCCGTATTTCGCAGCTCCACACTTTTTTTGGTATCTACCGAGCCGATCTCGCACACTTCGAGATCGGCATCGAGATTCTGGTTGAAAAGCAACTTAGGGTTCAAAGCGAAGGAACCCTGAGGCACGAAGGTGGAGGCGAAAATGATGACCGCCATGATGGTGTACTGGATACCAGCAACGTTCAGGATGGCTTCGTGGATATCCCCGCCTTGGCTGCCGCCGGTCTTGATATAAATGTTATCGATATACTGGCCTAGAATGGGCGAAGTGATAGCGTATATGACGATGTACGTGGTGTACAGGCACGCCATGACGGCGCCCAGGGCGGACACGTTTTTCGTTTTTGATTCAACACGGGCAAGGGTGGCCTGGATATAGGCGGCCAGCGAGACGTCGCCGGCAGCCCAGCCGAAAGATATAGGGAGGAACGTGGCTCCGATAATCCAGGCGTACCGCACATCGCCTGAAGGCGGGTGCCAGAAGGGCAGGTACCATACAACCAGCAGCATAATGGCGTCGGTGCGGATCCAGGGGATAGGCGTGGTGATGAGATTGGTGAAGAGGAAGACGAAGGCGGCTCCGAACAACTCACCCAGATTGGAGCCACCGACTATGACCTGGGACCAGGCCGAGTGGCCCAGATATCTTCGGGCGATTGCCGGTGCCAGACCGTTTTCGAGGTATCGATGGCCATAGAAAGCGATGGCGTAGCCGGGAACGAGCCAGATAAAACGGCGGTTGGTGAGGATGAGACGAGCGCCGGTCCAGAGGGACTCACCGAAGAGGAAGAAGGAGCCAAAGACGGCCTTGACGTAGGTGGGCTGGTCGGACAGGACCTTCTGGCGCGGCGGCTGGGTGGGATTGGTGTCGTGGATGCAGAGCCAGGTGCAGCCGGCGAAGAAGAAGCAGACGGGGGTGATGATGAAGGAGTAGTTGTTGCCCAGCTGGGGGATGAGGGCGAGGGCGGTGCAGAAGGCTCCGGCGGTGCCGGAGATCTCATAGAAGACGTGGACGAGGGCGTCCATGCGGCGCAGCTTCTGGACGTTGCCGCCGACGATGTCGCGGGGGATGACACGGCGGATGAGCTCGACCATGCCGTAGACGACGCCGGTGACGCAGTAGATGGGGATGATGCCGTCGGTGTTGTAGTGGCCGTAGTAGTGGAAGTCCATGCTGGGGTGGTCGGTGCGGAACTCGGGGGGCACGAAGCGGCCGCCGGTGCTGGCGTCGAGGATGAGCAGAAGGGCGGTGAAGAGGCCGAAGACGAGGATGGAGACGGCGAGGACGAGGCGGGTGGGCGCGCGGCGGACGAGCGGCGCGATGAGGATGGAGCCGATGCACTGGAAGGCCTGGTTGAGGCCGGTGAGTAGGCCGACGCGCTCAAAGGTCTTGGGCTGGGCGTGGGCGCGGAAGGCGTCGTAGTCGTAGCGGTTGGTGGCGAGGGCAACGATGGAGCCGTTGAAGGCCTCGAGGCCGAACTTGTACAGCATGATGCCCAGGATGTAGACGGCGACGTTGCGGCGTTCGGTCGCGCTGAACATATTCCAGTTGGCGCGCACAGTGTCGACGACGCGGGCGGCCATGGCAGGCGGGCTGCCGGGGCATGCTGAACGGAGAGGGAGAAGAGAAGAGGGAGAGAGAGGGGAGAGGAGAGGAAGGGAGAGAAGAGGCGGAGGCGGAGGAGAAGAAGAAGAAGAGGAGGAAGAGAGGACGACCGGGGCGGCCGAAAGCGGCTAGCGCCAGCGCCCACCAGGCCAGGGCGGCCCGCGTCTGCTTGCTGGCCGGGGCGGCGGGGGGGCAGCCCAACGGCCGCGCTGCTGCCAATGACCGGCGCCGGCGCAGGCCCGTGCCAATCCCCGCCGCACCCCGGTCCCGGCCCGCGCCCGCTGATTGGGCCGCCGTGCGCCAAGGGCCCGCTCCGAGTGGCTGGCGCGCCCCCCTCCCCAGGCCCCGCCCCGCCATTGGCCGGCAAGCGCGTCATGGGCTGCCCGTAGTGCCGGGACGCCTACCCTCTTGGGCCGCCTGCGCCCAGCAAATCCGGGCGCCGCTCCGCCCCACGTGCACCCGTCGCGGCGTATGGCGGCCGTACCGCGTGCGTATGGGCCGTAATTAACGGCTGTCACCGCCCAACGTGCGCTGCATTGGAAGCTCCGGCGTCGCCCGGCCCCGGGAGGGGGCTAAGCCCAGAATTCGCTAGCGACCAGCAGGCTGCCAAACAAGTCGCTCCGCAGTACGAAATGCAAAATCCAAAAAATGCATCGGCCGGGAATCGAACCCGGGGCCCGTCGATGGCAACGACGGATTTTACCACTAAACCACCAATGCTGGCTGTGCGGGGAGCCGCCACGCTTGCCGCCAAGCACCGCCTGCCCGCTGCCGATCCGGCCCGCCCAACCCTCCACCACCGCCCTCGCTATCGCCCGCCATCCGTTCGGTTTGCAATCGGCCTGGTAGTATCACACTTTGTATTATTCCCACTATCGCGCTCTCTGCGGAGTACATACTTACTTGCATACACACATACGGAGTACGCGGAGACATGCTCGCCTCGCCCGGTTGCCAATCCCTTCCTCCCCCCCCCGCAGCGTGAGGTTGCCCTCGCTATTTATGGCTCAGGAATCCCTCCCTTGCCGCACACCTGTTGGATCGTCCGGAAGATTTGCTTGCCCTCCCTCCATCCAGGCCTGCAAAGCTAATCTTGCCGGCTCTGGAAACTTCATGCGGTTTGAAGGAATCGCCCTGACACACCCTAAACCGGCGATCCATTCCTTCTCCACGTTGCAATAACGATGTTGCGCGGTTCAAGTTGTTTCTACCGCTGTAGATCTCGCTGCATGGTGGGATCACCTTGAGGATTACGCAGAGTCTAATTAACAGATTCACTCACAACTGCTGCCCAAGCAGCAACTCCCGCTGGCCTTTCTCGGACTTTTGGCGCATCGGTGGCAAGTTGAAGGGTGAGTGAATAGAGTGGTTGACGAGCTGTGGTACGCAGCCGTCTAGCGTACCTATGTAGAGGTGCTTTTTTTTCTTTTTTCTAGAAGACAGACCCGCCCATTCTTCATGGCGATCTTGTTTCACGATATTCATTTCGACAGCGGTTGATTGAACGCCCGTCTAAGGCCAACATTCCCTTTCCCTGTATTATCGCCTTGCTGAAGCACACGACAGGCCCTATAGCAGGGCTCCTTATATGCTGTCACATCTCGTGTTTTTTTTGGATGTCCAGAATACGGTCCTATATATAGCCTTAGCAATTGTGGGGAAGTAATGCATGTTTGCTCAATCTATGAGCATAGTATTCCATATTGACGAATGATGAGTACCGAAGGAAGAGGATCGTTTACTCAGGATTGACAACAATGGCGCCACAGCTCGTAGGTCCCCGCGAACATGTAGTTCCATGGGAGAACCGATCCCAGCAAAGAAACTTCCGTACCTGGTTAATTTAGGTTTCTCGCCAGAGATCACCTCGTCTTCTCGTTTTCTGTGCCATTATTGTTAACTATTACAGACCATGTACAATGCTGTGTAAACCGGCAAACCCCTTTATCAATATCAAATTTAAAAACAGCTTCGGCTTTCCGGCTTTCAGCAATCCCGGGTTGTTTGTCTAGAAACTTGAGGAAAGGGCCCGTCTAGCTTGGCAGCGTTCGGACTTGGGGAGGGTGTGCCAACTCCGACCTGCAGAATGATTTTCCATAACGCGCCATGCAGCGAGGTGCATCAACCCGGCAGCTTTTCGTGCAGCCAAGCGGGCCACAACTCTCGCCTGTCCCATGCGGGCCTCCCGCTTCTCACTTGCCGAGAGCTTTCGCTTTCGCGTTTGCTTTGGAATAATAAAATATACCCTCCCCCCACCCCACGAATTGCTGGTGATCTCACCGATGCAGAGGCTAGGCCAAGGCGCAGGACGTGGGGGGAAAAGGGCTTGTGTGGGCCGAAGTCTGCAGCCGATCCACGGTATATCACGATGATTATTCGGGATCCAGGATCGTTTTATTTTTTTTATCTCTCAAAAAAAAAAAAAAAAAAATTGAATCCAAGCTGCAGGACGACCCTGAACAACACGAAGTTTCGTGTCTCCAAAAATACCGCAAACCGCTCGGCTTCTGTTTGGCCCAGAGGAGAGCAAAGCCCCAAGACCGTGGGGAGGACTTCTTATTTCAAGCAGAGCGCGCTGTTTTCGTGTTTGAACTAAAAGGAGGTCCTGCGTGTCTAGAGTATTTTATATAACCCGCAACGCAAGCCGGCGTGGAAAACCACACACCCCCACATGCCCGCTGGCTTGAATTTTGATGTCCGCGATTTATCCGGTAGTTAGCCAGACCAACAATGGCATCGTCAGTGCTTGGTTAGCGGTATCGAAAGCCTTGAAGCCGGCACAACGTGCTTGGGTCTTGGGGGGGGAAGTGCGCTGAGACTTTTCGCTGAGACCTCGCGCCATTGCACGGCAAGCCCCCTCTCGGGTTTGTCGTATCCCGCAGATCGCGCCGCCACGCTTCTTTGTTTCCAATTGCTGCGCTGCATCCACCACGAGGTGCGGATATGCTAAAGGTGTATGAGTGCTTGCGGGCAAAAAGGTTACCCGTGCGCCTGCATGATATGGAGGATGGCAGCGGATACTCATTAGTTAGTTAGTTAGTTAACTAGTTAGTGGTTTCTCCCACAGGACATCCCTCGATGGCAGCGCGAGAGACATGGCAGACCACCGCCTCTCGACAGCTGGCGTCGCTTCTTGACGACGCATTCGGAATCAGGCCACGCTGTTGTGCAGCCGTGCGGCGCGTGGTGCTTCCGCAAATAGCGACCTTGGCCGGCCTGCGGCGGACTGGGCGGGCCAGAGGCGTCGTCACGAGTCAGAGCCGGCTTATCGGCCTCAAGGCTTCTCTCTGCCTCTCTCTCTCTCTCTCTCTCTTTCTCTTACTCTCTCTGTCTCAACCAGCATCCAATCCTCGCGCTGCCCACCAGCCTGGCTTGAGAACGTGCGCCCTCGAGCCCGCCCGCCGCGGGTAGCAGAGGATAAGCCCCGCCAGGAGGAGCTGCTGCTGCTTTGAGTGCTGTGGCGCCTGAAACCCGGCCCGGGCCCAAGGGCGCGTGGCGCGCGGCGGCGAGGGAAGCAGAACGTGCTCGCAGCGGTCTGCATCTGAGGCTCCGTCGCTGTTGATTATGATTCGATGGTCGCGGTGAAATGAATACCGGCGGGCGGGTTACGCGTCAGGCTCCCGCTCGTGGGCGTAGCGTTGCCTTAATTTCAGCCCGCAAAGTCTAGCCAGACATGGCGACCACCGCCGGGACCAGTCTAGTCTACGATACCCTAACTACACGAAACGAACCATTCCCCAACGTCTCGGCTGTCTGAATCTATAGAACTAGCCTTTCATAGAACCTCTTGTCCTATTGGAATCTCTCTGTGTTGCTTTGCAGCCTGCTTCTTCGTATGCCTGCAATATACTTTGCTAACCGCTTTTCTAGTACACTTGTTTAAGACATAGTACCCCAGCCTATGATTCCGACCATCCGCTCCCGACATGAGACAATTCGGAGCTTAACCGTCTCTCTTATACCACCTAGCCATCGTGCTAGTACCGGCCACCATGATTTTGCTTCTGGAATGAAACTTCCGGCAGCCCTGGTTAACTTTCTCGGTGACAAAACGTAGTCATGTACGGCCATTACAGCCCATGATATGCTACCGTTTGATAACAACAGCTACCCCATGAAACTTCCATGTGAAAATGGTGTATGCGGTAAAGAGGATGACGCATCTCTTCTAAAACTTAAGGACATCTTTGAAGCCATCTGGCATGGGTGTTGGACCAGCACATAGCTTCTTGTGTTGTGTCTGATTAGTCTCTATCTTCCTCGACCAGGCACATCAATTCTGTGAGTCTGTACAATCCTTGCAGTCCAGTTCATTTCTGCAACCTATCAATTCCCTCCATACCAAACTCCAACAGCCGTGGTTGACATGCACACGTTTTCAAACATATGAGATCTTCTCGATAGCAGTAAAAAGATAGGTTTTAACAGCTTTAAAGAGGTCAACGGGGATTATCCATTTCATTTCCCGATGGCACAGAGGCGCGGGAACCCACTAGGAACTGGCGGAGCGGAAAGGACAGAGGCAAAAAACTGTGGCAGCTTTGATAAATTCTCTCAAAGTTGTCTCTTGACTGTTAATTATGAGTCTGTTCCAGTCTTTCTCGATCTTCCGCCTGTTTTTGTAACATGCAGGAGAGGTATAATTTAAGATCATTTGCAGTCATGCTGGGACTTCTCCCATTAAAGAAACCAAGCCGTTGTCCGAGTTCAATTTGAATGCCTTGTAGGATAAAAAGAATCTTCATTTAATCTTCCAGAGTATTAATGCCTTGAAAATCCGATGGTTTGACGGAAGCTAAAAGAAAAATATCTGGCAGCGCGGGCGGCACGGTAGGCATAGTGGGCGGCGTGGCGGGGACGGCGGGCTTCACGGCACTCCTGTGCGGCCCGGTCCTGCTTCCCCCCTCCCCCGTCATCTCTGGCTCTAACCCCCTATAATGGGAGGGTGCTGGGGGCGGCAGCAGGACTGCCAGTCGCGAAGGCACCGTAAGCCAAGCAGCGTGTGCATCAGCGTTGGTAGCATGGGTATCTCCCTTTAGGTCGGCCCGTTAGTTCCTAAAATATTCTTTTTTAATATTGGGTTGAAGGACCTTGTAGATGCTGTTAAAAGCTCTAAATATTTATAAAATTCAAGTTAGAATTGCGTAAAGACATCTAGAAAAAAAAATAAAGGGAATTCTTTGGGGCTTAGAGCTCGGCGTTGAAAGAGAGTGAAGATGTTGCATCATTCACTGTCTTTTCTCATTGCTGATGATATTCTTGCTTCGTCGTTCTTAGTCCTTAAAGTCAGTCGAAATTAAATGAGTATCTGCCCTGTATTTGATCTGCAAGGAGCCAGATATTACCCCCTTTATTTTATATATTTTGTAAAGATCTTCATTTGTTATGTTTCTGGATGGAGGCTTCCTAAGAATGCTTCCTTCAGCTAAGTGAGTAGGCAATGACCGGGGCAGTCAGGCAAAACCCAAAAGCCGGTGGCTGTAAAAGGAGTGGTAAAATAGTGGTATTGAAGAGATGGTCAAGGGCATTGCAGAATGCATTTATATAGAGAGCATTCACATGTAATGAAAGATGTTAATGGACTGAAATGAGAACTGAGGCCAACATTCATGACAGATGCAGCACTGTAGTTCGATCAGCACTATGCTATTAAAGCAGAGAAAAGCAAGGCCTGGTCTGCATCATGCTGGGTATGTTGAGATTGTGTGCTAGGGTCTGCCAGATGACCGTGCTGAAAATGGATCCAAGATAGTCCTTGTGATCAAGGAAGGCCAACCAGATCTTGCATTCATGGGTTAAAGTAGCTAGGTGACACTATCGGAACAAGGTTATTCTCATTTTTGAATCAATGCTGCAAAGCCCAACCTGTCACAGTTTCGCAGAAGATATGACTGCAATGTCCAAATTTTGGGTAGAAAGCTTCTCATCAGGAAATGAATGGAGAGGCTTTCCTTAGTGACTCACCAGCATGTAGCGTCACATACAGATATGCAGAATCCTGCGGGTGGTGCATTATCTTACATGCAACGCCCAAAAATTGTGGTTGCGGTCGAACCCGAGTCGATCCGGGTTGGATCCTTGCCTCATAGCCCTCAGACCTTCCACTTCGGATGAGTCATAAATGGGCTAGGCCCAATGTAGCGTAGCGTAATTATAAGCTTTGGAGCTAGAGGCTCTGGCCGAATTACCCGAATAGGTTAGCTCAAACACTAAATTTGAGCTAAAGAACCTTAACAGCACGCGTCTGAGATGATGATCCGGCTCGCCGAGCCCGAACCCGGACCAGGAGCGGTCCCGGATATCGAATAGGATCGTCAAACAGCAGCGGTGTGTAGCGGGTCGTCTCCAAGTGAAGCTCGGATCCCTGGCTCCATTGCATGGAGGTGTGCCGGGCAAAAAGGAAATCTCTGCATCAACCGCGAATCGAACGCGGGCTTGCTTGGAAGGCAAGCGTCATACCACATGACCATTGATGCGGGTGGTGTAGCCGCGCATAAATATCATCAACACATATTAATTATTAGATGGATTCTACAGCATAGTTGACCCTGGTTGTTGACCGGTACCATGGCTAGGCATGGAGATTAGAGCGCCCTTTGTTTCATTGTATGACAGACATATATCTAGGTTGTTGTTGTTGTTGTTGTTATTCATTATTTTTCATAGGCTCTTATGGAGTCATAGACTATGAAGAGCCACTCTCCCTAATCTGGCTTAGTTACAGCATGTGTTATCCTTGATATCTGGGCTCCCACCACTCCATTCTGTTTAAGTCTCAAACTGTAGCATGTTCAGGGGGCCAAGACTTCTTATTTGACTTTTCACCAAATTCTCCTCTTAGATCATACCCCCTAGGGAAATCCTCACAAAACCTAGGGTGTAGCTGGTATATCTAAACATGACAAGAATCAATAGAAAATCAGAACAAGATGTATAAGATCACACTAAGACTGACAAGCCCAGTCTATTAACTTAATCTAGCATATACTTATGTAAACCCATACCACCACTCTAAACTTTCCTAGTTCCCAGCAGTCAATAATCTTGTCTTCTAGGGAGAACTCTCTCCACCCAGAGAAGAGGCTTCTCTGTTGGTAAAATATCATTTGGGGATAGCAGGATTTGAATCTGTGACCTTCTTTCCCAGGTGGTTGTTCCCCAAAAACAACAAACCATGCCAGAAGGATTCCTGCAGACGTTTACCAACTACGCCATACACCCTCCCCACATATATCTAGGTCTACGGAGTATAAGCTCTGGATCCCATTTTGTTTGCTCTCATGGTTAAGCCGGGCTTGGGTCGGACATCAGCAGTATTGGAATGGCACTAAGCGGGGCATTATGGGGAACTAGGTACTTTTTCGCCACGGATTCCTGTTTTCAATACTGAATTCTATTGGACAAAGGCTGGCATGTCTAAGGATCCTGTACTTTAGCTTTTTCTCTTGCTTCTGGAACATATTGGCCTCTCACACCAGGTGCTTTGGCCTTAGAGAATCCACAATGTCATAATTTAATGGGAGCAAGACACCCTTTTATGGAATGCCACTTAGGACTCTGTATCCAGCAGTCAAAAAGAAGCTACTCTGTACCATCTTCACCAAAGGGATGGGTTAGTCACCAGGATTGAAAATGGTAACTTGAACCTTTGATTTCCCGTAACAATGATTAAAGGTAGCAATATCAAGAATGTCTGGAGTTTGATGGAAAGCACTTTCTAGTAGCAGGATGGGATAATACAAGAACAGATATTTTATATGGAGTACAGGACTAAGAACCTGATTGTGAGTCATTGTGGGTGGTTTATTTTTATGTCAACAATGGAGCTATGTATGTAAGCAATTCAAGGGGCCACTCCAGCACACAATTAACTCGGTCATTAGCTAGTTACGTACTAGTAAACTCCCTTCTCAACCTACTCTGTATACTCCGTACAGAGTACCCCTACTCTTTAGACCTCTTGCATGGGAAACACCCTTGTTTGGGGGCCAGCATTGACGAACCATTGGTAATATGTCACCATCACCTGCGGCCCTAATCTCAATCACCTACCTCCAGGTTTTTTGTATGGTTTGAGAAAACCAAGACATGCAACATGCCATTTCGCCTCGAGTCTCAGTTTTCAGAGCTCGCACTTTACCCCTCACCTGCCATCTCAATTCTCAATTTTCGGGTTGTTTCCGATTTTAGAGCGGGATTATCCAATACCTTGCGACAATCATACTTGGCCTACTTCGCGAATTTGGGGGCCGTGTCTTCTCCTCCAATGGAGTCACTATATCCGGGATGTTTGCGGCTGAAGCCCCGAAAAAATGAATGCACTTTCGAGGAGGTGAAGCCTCGCGAATGGTATTGGTTTAGCAATAGCTGCTAAATAGGTGCCAGCACGACTTGGGATCCAAACTGGACGAACCTATTGAAGGTTAGCCTCCATCCCGTTCTTTCTCCCCGGTGAGAGCGTCTAATGCTGTTCTATTTGGGTATAAATACTCCTATATTGCTTCGTTACTTCACAATTTTCTCTGCCATCGAGACGATCGAACACTTAGATTATTTTTTGATTCTCTGGCCTAGCTAGTCAACTCTCCTTAAGTTGATACCCTCGCACTTCGAAATAAAATTCAAACCATGAAGCCCGACAAGTGCCTCAAAGCCGATGAGTTTCGTGGAACGGTTGGAGAAGGAGAAAATGCCATCGAAATTGCGTGGAAAAATAACGCTCAGTCCAGGCTAGATGGGGATGCGAAAAAACTGAAAACCACCAGCGATCGCGTTAAAGCTGTCACTGAACATCTCGTTTATCACTCGGCTCTGCGATTGAAAAAGCCAACGTCTTACATTTTGTATACACAACTCGTTCATATACTTGCGACGGAAACTAATCGATTCTCTCTAGAGGTGCACTGAATGACACCACTACAAGCGCTCGCACTGGTCTTTCGACTCCAGATCCATTGCATACGACAGTGACTTTTAGGCCGGGGAAATTGATTGCCCACATATATGTTGGAAATTGTGGCGAGGGAGAAACAGCATTTGACAACCTTACAGTTGAGGGAGAATCGGTCGTGGACCCTGATAAAAGGGAACAAGTCGAAAGCCTTTCTATTGGAACCTACCCAAAATTTAGTTACTAGTTATCACCAGTCCGCGTTACGAAGTTGGGATGTCACTCTGGGCACTATTTTGGCTCATTGGTTAGGAGATTTGAAAAGAAATAGCCGAACCTTGTTATCTCTCGGGGAGAGACTAGTAGTGGTTATATGTGGAGTACTTTAAGCGGATGAAGCTATTTCGTACTGTACTAGTCGCGATATAGACTAGTGTATATTCTTGGCATTATACGCGCTGCGGCTTACTTACTCCGTACGGAGTACGGAGTACTCTGTACATACACGGCTTACGAGGACCTGCTTCCTTAACCCCTCCTACCTAACCTGCCTAGTTAAATACCTAGTTAGTTAGTTCAAGCTTGTTTTTGAGAAAAGCTAAGGCTAAGCGCCCTTCTCCGTTTCTTTGTTTCCAACTGGTTTCCAGGCCTCCCCATCACCTGGAACAACGTGCTTGAGTACTCCGTATTCTGCTGGTTACATATAATTAACCAACCACAGAGAAAAACACCTCTGTGTTGGAAAACCCCTGCAATCTCGCGAAACAGGTCATTTTTATTGGTTGTGACCATTGCCACCCAACAAGTGTTAGAACTTGAGGAATATGTTCTGGAGTTCCTTCAACCTTTGCCTCAACAAGAGTATCCCTCGTCCGATAGCAGATCCCAAGTCAGACCACTAGTAAGGTAGGTAGATACCTATTTTACTGTCATATTAATGTTGATAATGCCGGCTAACATGCAACAGCTGCTTTCCTTGCCACCTAGCCATCGTCGTTGTCAAGCGAGGAATTCGGCTTTTCCTCTATTCAGCTTTTCTATTTGCAGCCACCTACGCCTTAATTCAATCAAGTCTCTACACATCGCGGCCCGCAAAGATGCTCATCCTAAATCCAACACCACCCAAACACCGTGAGAATAACAACACTGACTATGACTTGGGTCCGCCCACAATACCCAGCCTCTCGCACAATGTTGACTGCAGTGACATAGTGGATGGTGAATCCGATGCTGCAATTGATGTCATGGATGCAGCAGAACAGGAGATGTCCTATTGTGTAGGACCAGTTCGGTATTATCCTCTCCGGATAGGGGAAGTCCTCAATCAGAGATACCGCATAGACCATAAAATTGACCATGGAGGTTTTTCTACTGTTTGGCTTGCCCATGATCTGAAACACAAAAACGATGTTGCGATAAAAGTCATGACTTCAGGTACTTCCGGCACTTCGGATGGGCATGAATATCATATTCAGAGTACCATTCGTCGGGCTGTAAAAGATACATCACATCTCGTTCTATTTCAAGATGTCTTTTTACTCCGTGGTGAGAATTCAAACCATTATGTTCTTGTATACCCATTTCTGGGCCCGGGACTTCGCTATCATGAAATAGCAGCCATGTCTCTTGCAACTCGCATGTTTGCTGCTAGACATCTTTTACAAGGATTAGAGAGTCTACATAAAGCTGGCTTTGTTCACCGAGGTAAGCAATGCCCAGGCTATTAATACTAAAATGCTAATACATCTAGTAGACCTCAACATCAAGAATGTCTTGAGAGACAGTGCTCTTCCCAAGCATTTAAGCATAGCTGGCAAATATGATATTCTGGGCCGGCCAGTAAGATACCCAATATCGATGATTTGGAGACCTGGAGAACTTGTGATGCCATTGAAACTGCCAGAAGAATTGAAGTCAAAGAGATTCTATCTTGCAGACTTTGGAATATCCATGAAAGTCGGAGACTCAGTGACACCAGATGGGTCACCACCGTATGAATATTGTTCTCCAGAGCGACTTCATAATGCTTCTCCCAACTTTTCTTGTGATATGTGGGGCTATATGTGTGTTTTTTCACAGCTATATTTTGGTGGCCCCTGCCTCTTTTATTGGCTGGATGATGTGGTTAAATCCATAGGCCCATTGCCGGAGAATTTGAGAGGAAAGTATATTGACAACAAAGCTAAGGATAGCTGGTATGACCAAAGTTCAAGGCCTGATAGAACGTATGTTGGGAGAAAAATTGCTCGTTTTCGACCTGGAATCAGTTCAGCGGAGAAAGCACTCGCAGTATCTGTTTTCACCAGAGGATTTTCTGTTATCCCCGAGCAGCGCTTAACCGCAAGTCAACTTCTTCAGGATCCTTCGTTCAATGCTCTTCTCGATTTGAACTGTGGCTAGATGCTTCTTCGGCCCTTTTTCTACTGAGTAACTGACCATTTCTCAAGAAACCCTTGTTAGGACTTCGGCTAAATAATTTTCGGCTAATCGCACAGGATGCTCTTCGACCCCTTCTTGGCAGTTCAGGATATCCGACGGGATATTGCTCAAATGTGGACGACTTATGAACGCTGACGCTGGGTGTCGGAACCTCCCGTCGCTGGTCGGTTTCCTTAAGGCAGATTATAATAGCTTCTTGTATTTTCGTTTCCCTCGAGTCGGCCTTTTACCAATGTTTCCACCGATGGAAGATATAAAGGACTTATATTTGGAAATAGAGAATGTTATATCTTGAAAACTTGAGCCATATACTATCTGATAATGTAACTGTAGGTAGTATATACACGGTTCAATCAGCCCGACGGCGTTCCGAAGTGGAACCGCACTGGCGCTTCCACGAAGTGAAAATATCCATGTAGCCGATATAGGTTTGATAGTAGAGGCGCAGGTGTCAGATACATTGTTTTTAATCCGGTCCTGGTAGGAACCAGTCTTGGTGAAGCACACAGATGTCGAGTATGAAGTTCTTCGCTTTGACGAGGCGCGGTGTGTTTTGCATCGCTTGCGAGATAATATTAGTGAACACCAACTGTCAGGCTGGCTAGTGAGGACGTTTTCTCTCAAAATTTGCCTACTAAGGAATAGAATTTACGATAAAAAAAATTATGTTGAATTTGTTATGGAAGTAAAAATGCATCGGCCGGGAATCGAACCCGGGGCCCGTCGATGGCAACGACGGATTTTACCACTAAACCACCAATGCTCGTTATTGGCTGTTACAGCAACACTTAGCTACATAAGGGTTATATTTCAGGATGAGTACGGAGTATTTGAGTACATATGAACTTCTTTGTCGAGAGTTGAAGAAAGTGAAATGTATATTTTAGGAAGAAAGGCATTTTAAATTCTAGCTAGTTAAGACGGCAAAGAGGCGCAGAATTTACGAGTCACCATCGGCCTCGCTTGCCCTCGACTGCTCGGGAGTATCAGCAGCGAGCTTTCTCTTCTTCCTGCCCGGAACGCCCCGAGCTTCGACTTTCCCTCCTGCTGGGATCACGCGTGTGGCGTGAAATACATAGCCTTCTGCACCCCCTCGCCCCGTCATAAGGGGATGCGTGCGTCCTGGGAGCACCTGCCAGGGCCGGACGCGCGATGTCTGGATCGATGGGGCCAGCAGAAGCGAGGGATCAACCGGGAAGTCTTCCTCGTCATAAGTAAAGGCCTGCGGGCTATTTCCCGTATTGCCTTCTCGCTCTTCGGCATCGTTGGACTCATCATTGGCAATTCGTTCTTCGTTGGCGCGCTGCTTCTGGTTCAGATAAGCGGCGCGGCGCAGCGTAGAGTATAGATCAGCAAGCTTCACAAGTGGCTCAATATGTGGTGAGTATACCACCACCGGCGCTGAGCCAGCGAGCAATGGAACCGTGTATTTCAAAACGGAAACGGGGTCCATTAGGGTCGCCACAATCAAACCATCGAAACCACCGGCACGAGTTTCTTCTACAACAGAGCGAACTCTTGTCCATCGGCGTCGTTTTCGATAATAACCACCTCTCTTACTAGGTTTCCACTCCTCGAGGACGGAATCGGGTACCAAAGCGGGCTCGTTAGCATAGGTGTTATCAGACTCTGGATCAACAAGTTGGATCCAAGAGAGTGTTTTAAGGTTAGTGTGAAGGGGGTGGTTTTCGGGCGGATCGTTCAGGTCATAAGCGAAATATTTCAAAAAGGTAAGGTTGGGTTGAAAGTTTGGGTGTATTAGTGTGATGCTTGTGCTTTTTGCTGACATACCCGGCTCTCGGTGCCGGCGCTGTGATGGCCGTGGAGCTGTAGAGCCATTCTCCGCAGTATCATCCAGGTCAGTTGTTTGTACTGTTTCCATTTCGACTTCGGTTTCCTCAGGCACGGATTCGAGAGACGCTTGGCTCATCTCTGCTGGGGAGGGGTAAAGTATTCCCATTCTTTCTGCCATCGCGGCAACAAGTAACCCGCCTGTATCATCAACCATGAGCCACCTGCCACGAGGTTCAGAGTCTGTTGGATCTGAAAGGATATCGTCCCCGCCATGGTGAACATTGGCCCAACAGCCTATTAACCCCACTAACTCGTCGCGAAGTTCCATTGTCCTGGACGAATCCTTGTCATTAAGCATCCAATTGGTGAGTAGTGACACATCAAGCGGAAGCGGAGTGAATCTCTTCAAGTATTTTCTTCTCTTCCTAAGGGTATACTTGGCGCGAGAAAAAGCCGTCTTTTGGTCTAGCATAGAATGCGATTGCAGTAACTTTGCGATAATCTCCTTTCCAGCACCAGTCGTTCCTTGTTTTAAATTCTCAATTTCTTCCATTGTTAGGAGCTGGGCTGAGTTATCGTCTTGGATGTTGCGGTTGTCGCGGGGGTTAGGAGCATCATCCTCTCGACGACCAGTTTCGGCTTCCACCCCGTCTTCAAGCTCCGCCGAAGACCCATCCGTCATCAACGATTCAGTATGCAATTCTGCAGCTGGGACAACACGCAAGACATGTCCACGTTCATCCGGTTCATCGAGTATCTCGAATGTAAGGTGGAACGGCCGTCCAATGATTTGGTTTGCCGGGAAAGAGCCGTACTTTCCCAGTGAAATGTTTCTTGAAAAGAGGTCAGCCTAAAGTAGAACGGGAAGGACGCAGTCAAGCATGAGGAACAAGAGTGCTCACACCAGCCATACTTGAAACGTACGTGTATGGAACTACCTGTAAAACTTTGGTTGTTCCTGACGGCAGCTGAAGCGCAATGTAGGAGTTTGGAACTATTCGTGAGTCCATTTTCATTTAATTTCCGGGGAATCAAAATAGACAGTAAGCTTCCGGCTTCAAACCCCCCATCGCGGCGGTTCTGAAGGCCCACCAAAGCTCTTTCGTCCATTTTGATGCAATAAAGTTCGGCAAATCTTCGTGCGGATCATCGATGTTCCGAATGCACCAGCCACTGTGGCGCAGCCGCTGTGACGTTACGTATTTGAGATCGTCGCCGCCTATTCGGCCAATTGAGCCTCCACGGAATGCTCGTCCGCTCGTTTTCTGCGCGTCGAAACGGGCAAACAACTCTTTTCTGCTGTATGTCTCCCTGACCTCTTTTCTTTTGTGTTTACTCCGTCGTTCGCTGTCTAAAACGTACGTCCACGAGATCGCCGCACTCACCTTCGCGCGCCCCGCGCCGCTGTGCACGTCGCTGTCCACGCCAGCCTTACCAAAAGAATCTCACCGAGCTAGTGCTGTGCCTGTTTCAGCGTCCCAGTGTATGCTTTGAACTTTTGCCTTCAAGCGCATTTTCAATGCTCTAAGAGCTTTCCCTCTGGCCGTGGACATTTGTGGGGGTGAGCCGGTCATGGATATCAAGCAATCTGGAGCGAGCGCGAACACCGCAGAGGCGCATCCTTCCAATTCGAACTTGGGACTACAATCTCAACCTGTACCGGCCCCGGACGCGAGTGCCCCTGTCACTGGGGATCGCCAGAGTGACAACCACGGTGTACTGCCCACCTTCCAAAACCTTCGAATATCCCAACGAGAAGCGGCCCGTAACTCAGAGTTACCAAGCCAACCTGGAAACACTGGACCACCCTGTGTTCCTCCTAAAATTGAGGCGAGCGACAGCAATCAACAGGGAAGTGTACCCTCTAGTCAGCATGTTGGAAACACACATCAGGGGGACGACCGATTCGTCGGCTCGTTTCATAGTAGTGCTTCCCCAAATTCGCCTCAAAGAGTTGAGCTACAATCAAACAATCCTTTTCGAGCCAGGCTGGAGCGTAGTCTTTCTGATGCAACATCGAATCCCGATACAACGTTCTCTCCCCACCTAAGTGAGTATACTCCGGGCTCCTCGTTTGACATCAGCGTGAAGCTAACTGGCTTTATGCTGCTACAGCTCCATCCAATACTGGTGGTTCATCACTGCACCCTTCTTCCCACGGCATTGATACGCAATCTGCTCCGTCAGCTTCACTTGACGAAGGATTGGGTAAGGCCTCTGCCCAGTCTGTCCTAGTTTTGGGAGTAGAAGGTAGTGCCCATCATGTCCCTTTGCAAGAATCGCTACCCGCTCCATCTGGCAGTTTGGCCGGGGCCTCTGTTGGTGGGGCTGGCTGTGAACGTAACAAGTCTCTCGAATACCCACATGAAGCTCCATCGGTGCACTCCACTCAAGTCAAGGAGGAACTGCCTACAAGTCAAATACCCCCTGTTCAAGAGCCGCCTTCTGAGGTATATGGTGTCCGTATCGTTAATTGGACCGATGGAATCAACAAAGCGATGCGTCAATCACCAATTCTCGTCCAAAATGAGAACGGTCCTTGCCCACTTTTGGCTCTTGTTAATAGTCTGGTGATGCGGACACCGCTTGATAACCAGTCTCCTCTTATAAGAGCTCTATCCTCCCGGGAGAGGATATCGTTGGGGCTGCTGATACAAGCCCTTTTTGATGAACTCACAACCTACGTTAACGAAGAACATCAGCTGCCTGACATCGAGGATCTCAGCAAGTTCTTAACTATGTTACATACAGGAATGAATGTGAATCCACGTTTAACTCCCGTATGTACCTTTTGCATGAACCCCCTATTCGACTGACACTTTTTCTAACTGTTCCTAGGATGTAAATCCTAACCAGCCGGGGAAATTTCATAAAACGCGCGATATTACTTTATATAGTGCTTTTCATCTTCCTTTGGTACATGGATGGCTTGCTTCGCCATCCTCCAAGGCCCACGAAGCAATGCTTCGAGCAGGGGAGTATCATGACGATATTCAACTGCTACACTTTCGGAAAGAGGAGCTAGAAGAACGAGTGATGGCTGGTGGCACTCTTTCTCCTACAGAAGAGCAGCTGATCGAGGATATTGATCACATCCAACGTTTCAACCTAGAGAATCCTACGCAATTAAGCTCATTTGGCCTTGAACAATTACGCCGCTGTATTGAGCCCGGCTCGGTCTCTATATTATTTCGAAATGAGCACTTTTCTACTCTTTATAAACATCCACAGTCAAATGAGCTATTCAGCCTTGTAACTGATGCTGGCTATGCTAGACACGCCGATGTTGTATGGGAGAGCCTCGTCGATTCCAATGGCGGAGGATCTGGGCTGTTTTCTGGAGATTTCCGTTCCACCGGAAATGCCCCATCTTCTGGTCAATTGCAACAACTCCATCAAACTGGAGCTGATGGAACTGCTAGAAACGACAACAATTCTAGTCAACTTGCAGTGCATAATGAGCAAACGGATGCCGATTATGCGTACGCTTTGGCTCTTCAATTTCAAGATGAAGAAGAACAGCGCGAGCGGGAACGTCGTTCAAGTCGTCCCCAGCCTCAGTCTCCAAGACAGCAGACAGGTGTTGTTCATGCCCGATCCGCCAGCAGCGCCACCCCTCAGGGCCATCGACGCCCATCAGCAACAGGACATCGACAACCCCGACACTCACAGGTTGTTCGCCCATTAGTGCCCCCTCCTGGCACTCCCATTCATCAAACCGTCTCTGCTGACGCTGACGCACCGCCTCCCACCTATGAACAAGCCGCGCAGACGCCGCCGTATAATCCGCAAGCACATCATATCCCACAATTCGGCGTAGCGAATAGCATTGCTGGGCCTAGGACGTCGAGCTATAGTCACGACGGTTCATACCAAGTGCCGCCTCCCAGGCGGCGGTCTCAAGTTCCAATCGTAGCAGGAACACATCATGAACGCTTTAGGGAGAAAGATAGGAGCAAGGACTGTGTTGTGATGTGATTTTCTGAGCTTTACCAGCAGGGTTTTCTGGGCGTTGTTCGCTTTCTTCCCCTCTGGATATTTAATTATTTACGCTTTAAAATGAAGCTGCATTAGCACCTTTGCTTTCCGGGATGGGTTCACCCCTGTTTGTCGTTCTTGTACACCCATCTGCTGAATACTTGGCGAAATCAGCATTTGTGAACTGTACCTTTCTATACCCTATTCAGCAATACGATTTTGACGAATAAAATGTCCGTTATTATGTACATTATTTTTATATCTAGCCCTTACATAGAAATATCAGATGTGGGAAAGGTGTGTCTGAAAAACGAGTTAATGAAACTGGCCATGATTTGCAAATACCTCGTAACTTTGATATCATAACTGGAGAGCGTCATATTCATACAGTGTAGCCTAGTGCATTCTGACATTGCAAAGAAACAGAAGAAAATGTTGACGTCAAAGAAACTAGCAGAGAAAGGAGTTAAGAAAAATCAGAAAGGAATGGAGCTCATTTAGAGGGCCGGTGAAAGGGTAAAACGTGTAAAAAATCAAATAAATACAATAAACATTATGTCCTGATAGCATCACTGCCTTGTATTTCGTAATTATCTACGGTCATACATATGATGATCCATTCCGGACCCAGACCCGCCACCTGGATGTCTTGGAGGAAGTTGGTGCAGCGAGTGCGGTGGTTGTTGGGTTGGATGCTGCGTTTGTTGCTGTTGAGGCGGGGGGCGGCCCTGTTGTTGCATATGACGGCTTTGGGAATGCACTAGGCTACCTGATGAATACATATGGGCGCTGGTGTTGCCCCCGGGACCGGAAATATGTTGCGACAACCCAGACGGGGGAGTGTAAGACCTTTCCATCGGGATTCCTGCGGTCCGGCTAAGACTTGGGGTGTGAGCTGGAGGAGGGTTGCGATGGAATTGAGGCGTAGCCTGCTGGCCTATGCTGAATGATGCACGATGAGCACGCTGTGACTGGATTTCCTGCTGTGCCAACGCATGCTGTGACGAGGGCAGGTGGGATGGTTGATGTCTGGGTGACAGCGACGGGACACGGCGTACTGACTGCCCGTATTGCTGTGACGGGGCACCTTGGGCACTAGGCTGTCGGTAGAGATGACTAGTATGGTGCGAATTTTCCATAGCTGGTTGAACCTGGTGGCCGGGGCTTTGAGTGTAGGAAGCAAACCTTGGAGATTGCTGTGGAGGTTTACTTAGACTACTCGACGGTGGTATCGGTGAAGCGGGCCGCGGGTGAGACGACTTTGAAGCATACGAAATACTATGCCGCTGAATTGGCGGGCTGCCAGGCCGAGAAAAGGTCTGCGGCAAATGCTGGGACATTGGCGAGCCGCTGCTAGAGGAGCTCTGTTGCCCTTGGATGTGCATCGGCTGTGGTTGCTGCATCACTTGATGCGCGAAAGGTGGACGTTGACTTTGATGCTGGCTTGAGGGAGGCGGCTGTTGTTGTGCCATGGGTTGAATTGTAGATGCCGGGGCAGAGTGAGGCATGCCGGTATTAGTATAAATATGGCTCGCTGAAGGTTGTCTTGTCAGACGAGATGCATGTTGGTCGACTGGGTTAGAGACTTGACTCTGCTGTTGCCCTCGAGGATCAAATCTCGCGGCCCAATCTTGATTCAATGAGCCACCTGACGAAGAGCTACCGTAGTGGCCAGAATAGCCCGAGTATGCCTGGCTTGAGCTCATTTGTGAGTGAGGCTGCTGTTGCTGTGAGGAATGAGGCACTTGTGGCTGACGTGAGCCAACAGGGGTATATTGTGGCCTTTGGTACGGCTGGTTTGTATCGTCAGAGCGGCTAGAATGCGCTGGCAAAGCATGACTTTTGTACGCAGGGCGTGGAGAGGCAGGACGTGGGCTCGCAAAGCGTTTTCGTGGCTGTGGATCTTCTGGCTCGTCGTTCAAGATACTCATAATATTAGAGCGTTTTGCAGGGACCTGTCGTGGGGGCTCTGGAGGTCCTGAGCCCTGCATAGAGTTTGGCAGACTGAGTTCTTTTTGTGGTGAACCCGACGGAGTCAGGCGATTGATGTCCATATATTGCGAGGGTTGTCTGTACATGATCTTGGACTGGCCAAGCATATCGGCAGATGACAGATTAGGTTCCATTCTCGGTGTGGGTTGAGGCGACGCTGCAGTTGACGGAACACCCCTACTGGGACGTCGCGAATGGGGCTGGGACATAGTCGCAGGTGGCACATTCGAGCGCGGCTGGAGGTATGAAGGCTGCGAAAATGGAGACGACTGGGGCACTTGTTGATAGACAACATCTGGGCCATCAGGCGGGACATTGTGTCGACTGATACCCTGAGGATGCATACCTGGTGGAAGAGAGGCAATAGATTGCGATTGTTGCCGTTTTAGCTCCATCTCTTGCAAAGGACCACCTGGGATATTCACCTGTGCAGGAGCAGGTCTGATTTCGGAGCGAGATTCAGAAAAGTAGCCAAGACGAGGACCATGTTGACGCTGGTTCTGGACACGTCCACGCTGTTGAGGATCTTCAGTAGAGGATACAGGCATTATCTGAGGCCCGCCTACATGTGGTCCAGGATAGAATGTCTGCTGAGGTTGTCCTTTCTCTACTGGCTGGCGAGGCTGAATAGCAGGCGGCGCTGCTGCTAGTGGAATAACTCCTGGTTTGGATTTCGTGCTGGTCATCCTGTCTCCTAGCTCATTCTCCGTGTTGGGAGCTAGAGGTCGTGGCCCAACAACAGAGGGAATGGCATCGTACCGCCGCTTGGTAGGCTGGCTTGGTACAGGTAGAGGCCCCGTTGGCTCCCCCTTCTGCTTTTTGGCTTCAGCGGCCAGGGCCAGATCCTCAAGCTCACTCTTGCCCTGGTCAATGGCTCGCTGGAAGTAGTTTCGAACCTATAGGAACTGTCAACAATCAAACACAGCATGTCTATTTTCCACTAGCTTACCATAGTTGGGGTTTTCGTCTTCATAAACTGCGATATGCCTTCAAAATCTCGACCAAAATGTGCCACAAGGTCAGGAAAATCTCGCTGTTCCGGCACAGACCAGTAGCTTGTAGGCTGCTGGGAACCGTAGCCACCGGGCTCTGGCAATCTCGACATCGAGTCTCCTTCTGGTGGCTCTGAGGTGGCGGGCGGGGTCTCTTTGACTTCCTTTGTGCGCGATCTACTAGATTTGGCCCTCAAGGGAGCAGTCTCAGCCGCCACTTTTTCAGGTTCATCTTTCGGTTTTAGGACGATCGTCTCTGCAGCACTTTCAATAATAGGCTCGGGGGCTGTTTTTGGAGGAGCAGCGGCAATAGGGGTGTGGTTCATATTCTGAGTTCTAGTTCGCCGTCCTCCACGATTTCCACCCCTGCCACCGCGTCTTGCAGGTTTCTCGGCTGATTGATCAGTCCCGTCCTTTCCATTATTTCGCTTGCCCGAGGTTGGTGTTGGCGTGCTGGTCTCTGTATCAGCGGCGTTGTCCCCAAAAGTGGGTGCTGCCGCTCGTCTTGGCCGTCCTGTATCTGTGACAGCAGGAGTTGATTCTCCAGCGTCATCGCCCTCGTAGAGGGGCCGAACAACCCCAAGATCAGCCATAAGAGCATTGGACCTGGGTGGCCTCGAAACAGGTTTCTTTCCTCGCTTTCGAACATATCTTTTATTCAGCTTGGCCTTGTATTTCATCTCATCCTTCGTTAGGTAGTAGTGATTGATACACTGTTGGAAAGTCCGGCCTGGAATGGCTTGAGCAATCTTACCCCATTTTTTTGGATGGGACATAAATGTGTCAGTGAAGATTTTATGTTCGTCAGGCGTAAAGTCATCAGGAGGAAGATTGAACGAGAAGACTTCGAATGCCATTGCTGGATCAACCACCTGATTCGTATCTTGAAATATCAACTTTTCTTTTTGGACCGGGTCGAGCATGTCTGGAATTGGTGCTTCTCGAGACAAGTCAGGTCGTGCTGTAGGTTCTTGATCCCTGCGACGTGCATTCTCCTCTTCGGCAGTGATGGTGGATGCCTTTAATGCAAGTTGAAAGTCTAATTCGCTGTTCATTCGGTACCCCCTCCGCCCCTCAAGGATTGGATTTGCTGCAGCTGACGCGGCTGTACTTGGAGGCGTGGCTGGGACCGGAGTGACCGCTTTCTTTTCTTCTGCGGCTTTCTTCCGGTCCATCGCATCAACCGCCAGTCTCCAGGGCCGGTAATATGCACGGTACTGTTCACGCAAGTCGGCATGGTATTTAGATATTTCTTTGCGCTGACTCTTCATCTCATCGCGAATCGTATTCTTCAGTCGCTCATGCGATCGAAGATTCTCCTGATAACTGTCCATATCAGAAAACGGTGTCGGTGGCCCGGCGCTCAAAAAGGGAAGATTTTCCAGCTTTGGCACGTCAGCCATAGAATCATCGGCCGCTGCTGGAGCATCAGGAAGTTCAACATCATTCGCCTCTTTACTGGGAAGCGGGAGAAGAGTCGGAGGGCCATCTGATGTCTCGATTTCAATGGCTGCACCCGGCTCGTCCAACGATGCTGGGATGGCACCTTCGGCAATCATACCGAGCATTTGTATTTTTAGCAACAGGCCAACAACCACAGGGTCCTCAAGTGGAGGAGGCGGTATTTCTGCAGCCAGTGCCTGCATCTCCTTCTCGAATCGTTGCTCGCCTTGGTTGAAGTCCTCTTCATCCAGGTCATCCTCGTCGTCTGACACTTCACCACTAGATTCAGCAAGTAGCATAGGTAATAGCATACTGTCATCCCTGAGTCGACGAAATTCATTTTTGTCTTGGGGGTCTGGAGACGCTTTTCTCATATTTACACTCCCAGTATCGGGATCAAGTATGGCATCATCTTCTGCCTTTTGTATCCCTTTTTCTGAACTGACTGCTCCAATTAAGCCAGATTTTTCATCATGTTGATCGTCCTCCCTGCGCGACTCGATAGAGCCTGGCACTGTTGCGTCCTTCTCATCAGGGTGGCTATCACGTTTAGTGGGGGAGCCGGAGGTAATAGCCGGCTGTCCTCGATTGCCGTACCCCGGTCGGACCCATTGATTGCTTCCTTTGGCATTGGCGCGTGGGGCAACGGGCCTTTGCAGCGCCCTTGGCCCAGTTGGTATGTTTGAAAATGGCATACGCGGTGAAGTCTGGGTGTTTGATGGCCGCCGCTGTGTTACAGGTGAACCACTGATGTCAGACGGCGCTCGAGAAATCGCAAGTGGGGGGAGAATCGAAGGGCCTATGGCTGGAGACATGGGACCAGAGGTCTGCGCCGACAGTCCCGGCGATCGTTCTTCGCCATGGCTGTCAAGAGTAGAGGGAGTGATTTCCCTGCGATCAAGCGACGGAGTAGGGGGAACGTTTGGAGATGTAGGCGGCGGTCGACCTGGCCGTATTGACAGTTCGCCCTTGTTACGAACGTCAGGGGCCTGCTGATTATCCGCCCTATCAGCACGAGGGCACGTAGGTGGGCGAACGGACGATGCACCAAAGCCATCATTCTGAGCTGCAGGAGCAACAGCAGGTGTTGATGCAGATGGTGTCCGGCCTCGGGAAGGCGTTGTACCTGGTGCTGAAGGCTGGGCTGTAACGCTTGCGGCAGCTGGGCGAGGACTTCCCGTAAACGAGCCAAAGGCAGGAACCTCTGTGAATGCTGACTGATGTGGGAAGTGAGTTATTGGTCGGTCCGTAGAACTTTCCTGACGGACTGAAGAGCTATCCTGCTTGCTGGAAACTTTATTTTGTTCTTTGGGAAGCGATGCTGGGGCAATAGGAGCTTTTTGTGAAGCATCGGAAGGCTCATCCTTTGAAGAAACTAGTTGTGTAGCAGACGACCGTGGCGAGATGGTGGACGGGGATATTGTGGCCGCTACAGAGGAACCTCTGGGCTCTATCCTGCTGGGAATCCGGTCTTTCTTCCAAGTATCAGAGCGTTCCAGTCGGTCAGAAAGTCTATCCCTCTCGTCCCTTTCTGAACGTGAGTCATCTCCTCGTCTCTCAAATCTGTCACGTCGTTCATCTCTTTCTCTATTTTCTCTATTTTCTCTATCTCTTTCACGGTCCCGATCCCGGTCTCGGTCTCTGTCGCGTTCAAAACGGGAATCACGGTCCCTCCAAGCGTCTCGAGACAGACTCCTTCTTCGAAACAAATCACGATCATCTGCAAACCCCCTGCCTCGTCCTCTCTCACGTTCGCCACGGCCACGACCACGTACCGACCCACCACGGACAGGTGAAAGATCCGATAGCAGTGGCCCTGAAGGCCCATCTCGACTAGGCCGTGACAACCTTGGCAAGTCAAGATCCCGGGGTGCCGAATCACGAAAATCTCTCAGTGGAGGCGACCTGGATCGACCGCGGTTGAATGACGGACGAGAATCCCTTGAATCGAAGTTCCGGTCTCTGCGCGACCATTCACGGTCGGAGTCCCGTCTGAACGAAGTGGGGCCATCTCTTGAATCCCGTGAATCGCGAGAATCACGGTCTCGGTAGTCCGTCCTACTAGACGTTCCCCTTCCTCTGGGTCCTGCCGGCGTGAAGGGTCCTGCTCTTGACGAGTCGATTAGAGCTTTCGGGCCCCTGGGCGGCTCCCGGCCAAGCGGGATAGAATTGGCGTCATCTCCCCCGCGAGGCCCAGATGTAAGGGAGCGACGATCACTATATCGATGGGGTGAGCGGTCCCTTGGAGGGAATCGCGAGGCCATCAGCAATTAACATAAACTGCGGATGCCAGCTGATTAGTAATGAGGCGTGAACGCGTTCACGTGACTGTTGGCGCAAAGGCTTGGCAGCGTTTGAGACAGAACTGCAGCAGAATAAAACAACAAGAGACAGAAAGATTGCTTTGTGGGATCTAGAGGCAGATCTGCAGAGCGGCGAGCACAAGAACCAGCTGGTTGACGTTAAGCTGAAGAACAGCGCAGATACAAACACACGTCAGGCTGGGAAGCATGGCCACATGCGACGAAAGCCCAGATGCAACAGAGACTAGGGCCGGACAGCGGAATCACGTACACTGGAAGCCGAATCGCAAATGCTGACACTGCAGCTGCAAGTCGCGAAAAATCCGGGGGTTTTTTTCCACCGCCAAGGCTTGTGAGGAACGGGGTTGTGTTGCTTCTTTTGATGGGATACACCTGTTGAACATTCCTCTGACGGTCACGCTTTTAGTGCAACATCACCGGGGCCTAAGCGAGAGAGTCGAGCTTTGAGGCAGCAGTACCAGACGACGTGCACAAAAACGGGCGAAAAAGACTGACGGGGGTCGTATATGCAGAGCTCGAGTTAGCGATAGGCGGGAAGCTGCGGGCGGCAATTAAAAACGAGGTCAGATGCGTGACAGATTCTGCACCGGATAATGGAAGCCTAAAGGAGTGTCTTGGGTTGGGGTGAGCTGGCGTAAGGAGCGTCGACAGCGGGTAGGGTTGTCGGTGCGCGACGGAACCAGGGTATCAGAGTGCGGGAGAAGAAAAAAAAAAACTCGAAATGCGACACGAAGAAGGTAGTTGGTAGGAGAGAAGAGCTGCACGGCAACGCAGCGCGGCGGAGGCGAGAGTCTCGAGGGTGAAGGATGCAGGAGAGAAGAAATTCGGCGATGCCAATAATGATGAACCGGCTTGATTCAGGCCAACAAGCGCCGCGCAACGACCGGCCGCCAATGGCACGATTTGCCTCTCCGGATCTCAAACTTGGAGCTGGGATTTTTAGGTTGTGTCACGTGCGGCGCTCTTGGCGATCCGCGTGTGGGAGAATCCGCCGCCGGGGACAGGCGATCGCGGTGGGCTGCGCGCGGTGAGTCCGGCGTCCGGTGCACTGTCAGGGCCTGGCCTGGGCCCTCCTCCAGCAAGCACGATGCCGCCAGCGCAGCAGTGCCGACGACAGCGCGAAGGGCCGCTGGTGGGCTGCGCCACAGCTGGCAACTCCCCCCCGGGCCGTACAGGGCCTTACGCGGTATCGAATGCTAGGACGGGCGTGGCCAATCATCAGCACCGCCAGCGTGGCTTGCTGGCCCCTGGTACCGCCCAAAACAGCGAAAGGCCGCGAAACGCCCCACTCCGCCGCCGCCGCTGATTCGCCAGAAAATTCGAGAACGGCGCGCATTGGCTGGCAGCGCAAACTCTAAACGTGGGGGGAGTCATTATGTCAGCTCCCGCCAAGCCGGGTCACGGGGTCGCTTGATCTGATGGGCTCTGATTGGCGGGAAGTTTTTTGATTGTATGTTGAGCTGCGACATGCCTCTCGCAGCGCTGAAGGGTTTTGTCAAAGGGATAGCGATAGACCTAATCTTCTAAAACAAATCTATCTCTAAAACTCGTTGTGACGGGCCTCCGGCTCTATCTCCAACCCCGCTTAAAATTTTTGCTCGTTTCTCCCCGCTTAAAACAGGAAAAAGAAAGAAAGACCAGAGCTCAGTACTTTGTATAGACAACATATCGACCCCTCCCCCTACAATATACTCAATTGGACACCGGGTGCAAAGTAATTGATCATGGCCTCCGAAAACGACGGGCCTCCATCCAACGCCATGGACGCCGTCCTGGTGGCTTCCGACACCGTCCCCGAAGGCACGCCGCAAGTCAGCGGGGTAAATTTCGACAAATTCGCAGACCGCGACATCACCGCCGCGGAGCTCCTGGAGAATATGGCCGGCATGGGGTTCCAGGCCACCGCCGTTGCCGACGCCGCAAGAATCATCAATGACATGGTATTCTCTATTCCCGGATGCCGCCCGTCCGTTTATTGACTCCTTGCTAACCAACCATTTCGCATCAGAGAGCGTGGCGGGACCCCGAGACGGGCCAGGGCACGACAATATTCCTCGGATACACGTCAAATTTGATATCCTCGGGCCTGCGCGACACGCTGCGCTACCTCGTCCAGCACAAGCACGTGTCGGCAATCGTCACGACGGCCGGCGGCGTCGAGGAGGATCTGATCAAGTGTCTGGCGCCCACATACCTGGGGTCGTTCACGCTGCAGGGCGCGTCGCTGCGCGAAAAGGGCATGAATCGCATCGGGAACCTGATTGTGCCCAATAGCAATTACTGCGCGTTTGAGGACTGGGTGATGCCGATTCTGGACACGATGCTGGAGGAGCAGGAGGCGTCGAAGGCGACGGATGAGCCGCTGCACTGGACGCCCAGCAAGGTCATACGCCGGCTGGGGAAGGAGATCGACAACGAGGAGTCGGTCTACTACTGGGCCTACAAGAATGATATCCCGGTCTTCTGTCCCGCGTTGACAGATGGGAGTCTCGGCGACATGTTGTATTTCCATACCTACAAGGCGTCCCCGCAGCAGCTGCGCATCGATATTGTCGAGGACATCCGCAAAATTAACTCCATGTCCTCGCTGGCCAAGCGTGCGGGGATCATCATTCTGGGAGGCGGGTTGGTCAAGCACCACATCGCAAACGCCTGCCTGATGCGGAATGGCGCCGAGAGCGCCGTGTACATCAACACCGCGCAGGAGTTCGATGGTAGCGATGCGGGAGCTCGACCCGACGAGGCCGTGAGCTGGGGCAAAATCAAAGCAGATGCGCAAAGCGTCAAGGTAGAAAGAAACATTGTTCATTTAGTGTTTTCCCCTCTCCCCGATCTCGGCACGTTTTAGCTGACAAGGCTTCCCCGCTTTTTATAGGTGTATGCTGAAGCAACGGTGGTTTTCCCGCTTATCGTAGCTGCCACGTTCGCAAAGAGGCAAACAGTCAAATGAACCGATGCGGCTGAGAGAGTTGACACCGGCAATTGACGGCCGAGAATAAAATGCAGACAATGCAAGCCTAAAAAAGCGTCTTCTCCAATGTCGCTCCACAGCTTATCAGTGCATTGTTTCGATGGGGAAGTTTGGGACGGTGGCGTCAAGGACACGCGCATTGGTGCTGTATTGAGTGCAGATGCACAAACAAGCGTAACTATATTGCATATTGCCACCTCTCATCCATTCATGTTGGGCCAGGTGGACTTTATCTTGAGGAGGCAAACCATCGATGATTGCTCAAAGGGAGAAACTTGGGGTTAGTGTACTCCACCTCCTTGTATACTTGTTACATACCACACTCTATATAATAGTTGCTGTATGGAGTACGAAGAGTTAGAGTCACCATGCGGAGGGTGCTTAAATACGGAGGGAAATGACTCAGAATTTAGCCGATTGTCAAGCAACAGAAAAAGGCGTCCAGTAGTTGATCAAGAGAGACTCCGCAAGCAAGCAAAGAGCACGGACGACGAGCTGTGCAACCTGCGACTCCAACGGCAAGCCACTGCGGATCGTCCGTTGTCTCGTATGCAGACGCCTCAAAGCAGCGCTCTCTCCGTATTGTTGGCCATTATTCCAGGCAGAGCAATATGTACTCCGTACGGAGTAATAACAACAATAAAAATAACAACGACGCAAATTTGAGGAACAGGGGTGCCCACGCACCAATAACCAACGAGGTGGCGAAGACAGGGGAAAATAACCAAGGCAGAAGGAATTGAAATGCAGGAAAAAAAAAAAACAGAGCAGCAATAATACTCATAATAATATGGGATCGGATTACGGGCCAGTCGTTGCAGTGCGTGGCCTGTGTAAGATCCCTGATGCCGGCGAACACTGCAGCCTACGAAACGAGGGTTGGTTTGGGGGGGGGGGGGGGGGGGGGGGGGGGGGGGGGGGGGGGGGGGGGGGGGGGGGGGGGGGGGGGGAGTTGTGGTGGGTGGAGACGGAAGGGGAGGTCCGCGGCGCCCATGACTAGCCTGGGCAGGCATAGCGCGCAGGCGAAGGAGGTGTTCGTCGCAGCCGTGATGCTCCTGCGAGCGGTGAGATAAGGGCGCAAACGGGCATTGTCGTGGGAGACGGGCTGGGGAGGGGATGGAGGCTGCGTGGACGTGGGCTATCCAGTCTGGTGTAGATGGAGAGCGTGTTGCGTATAGACGTACGGAGTACAGAGTACATGTACATAACTACATAATAATATGTATGCAGGACGTATGGCGGGATGTTGGAGTGAGGGCGTTTCTTTTTCGCGCTGAAGAGACGGGCGCGCGCAGATTGATCATGCATTCTTGCATCGCCGGGCAGCTTGGCGGTGCTGGCGGGGGCGTCACTAGCGAACTCACTCCTGCGCGCTGGCGGGCCCACCCGGAGTGAGGCTGCCAGCAGGGATGACTCCTCCATCATGGCCTCCCCTGCGCGCGACGCCGACTGCCAGCTGGTGAGTCTGCGAGTTGGTAGAATAACTGACGAACAGAGTGAGCGAGAGAAGGCGGCGTCCGCTTCTGGCTGGCGCAGAACTGACGTAGAGTCTCGGCGCGCGGTCCGCAATAGGCCTAGCGGCCGGGCCCGAGCTTGGGGGGCAGGGCCCCGCAGCAGACGCGGCGATTATTGGCCGAGCGCCCGTTGCGGCAAGGCGGTGTGACAGAAAGCGGGTCTGCCCGCATGGGGGATGGCGCCGAAGCTTATTGCGCGCGCGGTGGGTGGGTGGCCGGCGACTCTGGGAGCGCAGAGGCAGTACGGAGGAGTAACATACGGAGTACGGAGTACGCAGCGCAGAGGTGCTTTGGATAGTGGCTCCGTACGGAGTGGTTGGTGCTCACAGAGCGTGTTGCTTGGCCGGGAGCAAGCAGCCGCCAGCCTTGCCCATCGTAATCCTCTGCCTGGTCCCGCCGCAGCTCTCCCAGGCAGTGCGGAGCCGGGCTCCATGCTTGGCTGCCGCCTCGGAAGAATACAGAATCACAGGCTGCTGGGGTTCGACCCTCCACAGCCCAGCCCCTGTGGCTGCGGCCAGCTAACTACCTACTAGGTAGTTGATCGCTCGAAGGAATGCAAAGGGAATGCCGCTGCTGCTGCCTTGCTGCAGTCAGACTCCCGGAGTCATAGCAAAGCGTACTTAGCTGGCTCGTGCAGACACGGGCCATTCACAGCTGGGCAGGGGTGGTTGGTTAGTTTGTTGCCTGCAGCGCATCTTTGCCTTTTTCTTCTCCCGATCAGCCGCGACCTTTTCCTCTTCTGATTCACCACACAACTTCTCTTCTGTTTTGTTGCCCGTCTGCCGCCAGCGTTTCTGATCTTTTTCGTCTGCTATCGTCCTTACTGCTACTGCTGCTGCCACCGCTTTTAATAGCCTAGTTAGCTAGATTGCTGTCTGCCGTGTAACACTTCGCTGCTGCATTTCGGCCGCTGTGCTCCTCACCCGTCGTCGCCCAGTCCTCACGACGCCGCCGGCCCTCTCCCCCTCTCGCTACAATCGAGCTGTCTTCTCTGTTTGCCAGCATACACTTCTCTTCTCTGCCCTGCTGTAAACGTCGTGTACCGCCTGTTTTCTGGCCTGCCCTGCACCATCAGTGAGTTGGCACTCCCCGCAACTCTATGATTGGCTTTGCCACCGCCTTCCGTTTGCATCACACAGTGTGACCGGAGATTAACGTCTTCTGGATAGCTGCTAACCTATACACTATCTGTTTTTATCTTTCAGAATCTAGATTCCTGTAGGCTGTCCTGTTTTAATGGAGCTGGCCGTGGAGCCCCCTGCTGCCATCGGCCGCTTACCCCAGTCTCCCGAGCCTGTCTTTCCTGCTATTTCAGAACAGCCATCCTCACCTCAGCCACCTATAATGCCTATTGGAAATTCGACACCGGAGGCTCCTATAACCACAGCCGAGCCTCCCGCTGTACCTGGCCCCTCACCCTCGCCTCCGACCGATCGACCCCAGTCGACCGCTGTAGATGCGATGGAAACCACTCCGCAAGCTCCTGAGCAACCAAATACAGAGCAGAATGCCACGTCTGCACCCGAACCAGCAGAGATGGATGTCGACCCAGTACCAGTACCAGTACCAGTACCAGCACCAGCACCAGCACCAGCTGCTGATCCTGAAGAGCAACCACCAGCCCTGTCCAATATAGAACTCCCTACTGAGCCCACTGACTCCGCTTCGACCAACGACACCTCTTCTGATGATTCTACTCGTCCTACGTCAGAAGGCTCCGCTGAATCCAATGACTCTACAAGCGATGATGGGGAGCCAGAGGAAAAACCGGAGGAGGAGCCAGCATATTGGGCTGACATTGAGGAGGACACGTCTGGGCCAGATGAAGCTGAATTGAAGGAGATCGAATCCGCAGATGCGGATTATAGTGCGTATGAATGTTCGTTCTTCTCATTCAGTTGCCATCTCTTTTTTTTTCCCCGCATGATCTGGAGCTTTACTTACAGGAAATCCGATTTTTAGATAATTACTGGGAAAAAACGTTCTATAGAGATCCTGAAGACCCTGAATATCAGCCTAGCGAGAAGGCCCGTCTCACATGGCAGATTCGTGGTGTACGCGGTACCAAGGATAAGCCAAACCGGTCGACAGTCATGCGTTCTCCTGCAGCGTACATCGGCGGCCACTATTGGACTATCAAATTCTTCCCGCGGGGTAATTCGGTGTCGTCATTAAGTATCTACGTGGAATGTTCTGCAACACCCCCCGAACCCGACAAGGAGATCCCTGAAACCCAGTTCAAGGTTATCAAGGGGGCGCCAGACGCCGATCTGAGCACCCTTGTCCCTGCTGTAGATATTTCCATGCCAGCGACGCTCGGCACCAAAGACACCGAGAAAAAGAAAGCCGCTTCTGAGGATGAGAAGGAGAAGGTCGAGTCGAGCGTAGAAACTGTTGAGGTGTCGGAGACACCGACCAAGGATGATGCCAAGCCCGAGTCGAAAAAGGATTGGAGGATATCTGCGCAGATTGGTGTGATTGTGTATAATCCAGACGAGCCACGAACGGGGTGGATGCAGTCTTCTTGCCACCAATTCAACCCCAATAATGTCGATTGGGGCTGGACACATTTCCACGGGCCTTGGGATCAGATACACAAACGCCATCATGGCCAGCGACAAGCCCTCCTGCGTAACGACACCCTTGCTTTTGATGCGTATATCCGCATTTTCGACGACCCAACACAATCGCTCTGGTGGCACCCCAGCGATATGGAACCTATATGGGATAGCTTGACGTTAACTGGCTATCGACCCTTAGGTGACCCAATGGTGAACTACAGCCACGAGGTCGCCGGCTTGGCCACCTGGCTATTTTTGGCACCCTTCCGCGAGATTATCCAGAGCGTGGACATTCTGGAGCACTTGACGAATTCCGGGGTGAAGCCCAGGCCTCTGTGCGACGCACTTCAGCGATTGCTGTGGGCGATGCGGCAGGAAAGAGGATCGAATCCATTGTACGTCGATACCGACCAGGTGACAACGACGTTGCGCAATCTGCACGAGTTTTCGGGTGATGTGACGGAATTCTGGGAGCGTCTGCGTCGAACCCTTGAGCTGGAGCTTGCTGGCACCGATGCGGCTGATAAAATCTCGAAAATGTTCGATAGCCCGCGCGTCGATAACGGAGAAATGGCGGTAGATGGCCAGCAGGCTAACTGTCTCCCACGGGATACAAATGGAAGAATTCGGGTTCCTGTTAAGAACGCGAAGAGCATCCAAGAAGCTACAAAACAGTATCTTAGCGAGACGCCAGGCAAATGGTCGCTGCCCTCTGTTTTCCATATAGAGTTGGCCCGACAAACTTTTGATAAAGTGTCGCGTCAATGGAATATGGTCTATGATCGTGTGAAGCTGGACGAAACTTTGGACCTCTCGGATATTGTTATCGATGGTCAAACCGGGAAATACAGCATTTATGGCTTGATCGTTCACAAGGGAACTCGATCTTCAGGCCGCTTCTACAGTATCCTCCGCCCTGGTGGCCCTAATACCCGCTGGCTTGCTTTTGAGGATGCCAGTGATAATAAGATTGAGTGTATGACTAAGAAAGCTGCAATTGATGGGCATGAAGGCGCTGAGGGGGAGGAGCTGGAGAAGATCGATAAAAATGGTATTGACGTTGCCGTCATCGCCATCTATGTCCGTGACGACGTTGTGCCGCAGTATCTAACGGGAAAGATTGAGCCGTGGACTGCGTCGGATCAGTGCAATCATTATTTCCAGAACAGTTATTATTCTCTTGACTCTGAGTTTAAGAATTCTCCGACCTCCACTATCCAGGTTGAGCTGTTTAGTTTGCCGGATCTTTCTTCGATTGATAAAAGCATTCTCGACTCTTATGATCTTATGGAAGCCGCTAGATCAGCGGGACATTTTATTAGCCTCTCTGTTTCGCCGTCAACAACTTTCATTGAGCTGAGAAAGCAAATTGCTGCTTTAAAATCGACAGCCGATAAGGAAGTAGAGGTGGGGAGTGTTCGAATCTGGCAACTCGGTGCTAGGAAACCTTTATTCCCTCCCACATTACATTTCCAAATCATTGATGATTGTTTTGAAGCAATCAAAAACTTTGAATTGAAAACACTTCGGCTCTGGTTTCATATCTTGTCTGATGAGGATGCTAAAACTTTTGCCCTGCCAGAGAATGCGCCTGAGAAGCCTGCTGAGGAGCCTGCCGAGGAGTCTGCGCCTGAACCCAGCCAGGAGGCGCCTGAAGAATCGCAAGCCGCTCAAGCGGAGTCGAATGACTCGGAAATGAATGATGCTTCGGCGGAAGATCACGAGGCATCTACGCGTCCAGCAGAGCAGACCTCTGAACCAGCAAACGAGCACAGTACTCCCCAGCCTGAAGCTCCTAGTCAAATCACGCCTTCTGAAGAAGAACAGCAACCTCCCGCTTCTAGTGATACCCAAATGCAAGATGCTGTTGAGACAGTGGAGCAAAATGGCGGCGATATAAGTAATGAAGCGGCTCTGAATGAGGCAGCCATCAGTGCCATTATTGCCCAGGACCTTCAGGACTTTGATGCGATGGATGCTGAACCGTCTCCACCTGCTACACAGCCCGGAGTTCAACCGGCAAATGTCGATGAAGCTCAAACTCAACCAGAAGTAATACCAACTGAGAACGCTGGTACTACTACTCCTTCTGAGGAACCCCCACAAACTGCTGCGGAAACCGACACACAGAACACTATTGAGCCGGCAGCACCAGCTGATGATAATGATGCAATCATGGAAGACACACCGCTTCCTGAAGCTTCAGAGAATTCTACAAATGACCCCGCACCTGAAACAGAGGATCCTGAAGAAGAGGGCACTGAACAGACAATTACTGAAAACACTACACCTGCCTCTCAGCTTGTCCCTCTCTGTGCACAGGTGTATTATTTTGTGCAGAAGTTCGATGCCGAGAAACAGGCTCTGAGCAGCGTGGGGGCATTTTTTGCAAAGAAGGAGGATAGCGTCCGGGATGCTGTCCGCACTGCCCTTGGGTATGATGCAGATAAGCAATTCCTCTTATGGCACCGTGTTGACGGAATATCTATCGTGGGTATTTCTCCATCGGAGACGTTTGAGAATGTGGTTGGTTATACAGATGGCGATTGCTTCGTGGTTGGCGAAGTGATTTCAAAGGCTGAGTGAGTATCCGCCATGTTGCTTGTATCTGAGACCTTCCGCTAACAATTATTGTAGGCGTACGAAGCTTGCTGAAGCAGGCCTGTTTTCTACGCCAGATCGGCTTGTTTCTTATCTATGGGCCGTCTCTCGAAACCATCCTACTAAGTCATTTACCGGAACCAAGACCACCGAGGCCACGTATAATGGGGACTTCTACTCCGGTGAATTCAAAAACGGATACTTCCATGGCAGCGGCACACACATCTCCGAAAGCGGCGCTACGTACAACGGCAGCTTCGTCCTCGGCGAACGCCAGGGCACCGGCACCATGGAATATGTCTCCGGCGACACGTATTCAGGCGACTGGGCCGAAGACCAGCGCCACGGCCAAGGAACGTTCATCGAACGCAAGACCGGCAATAAATATGTCGGCGGCTACCGCAACGGGAAGCGCCATGGCAAAGGCGTGAGCTACTGGGAGGTCGCCGACGAGGAGATGGACCTCTGCCAGATCTGCTATAGCGAGAATCAAGATTCGCTCTTCTACACCTGCGGCCACGTCTGCGCGTGCATCGGCTGCGCGCGACAGGTGGAAATCTGCCCCATGTGCCGTAAAAAGGTTGTTAATGTTGTTAAGATTTTCAAGAGCTAAAGAGCCTCTTTTTTTCTTTTCCTATGATATTTCTAGAGTAGAACGTTTGCCTTTTTTCTTTCCCTTTCTTGCCCAGATCTTTCTTATATTTCGAATCTTCACTTATCTCTTCCCCCTTTTTTTTGGTTCTCTAATATCATCTAGTTCCTCGGATCCCTTTGCCATGTTTGCATAGATCCGCGTTACTACTAATCGTTGTCCCCCTGACGAAGCTCTCTACGGGTTTCTTTTGACATCGCCACCCGTATTCATGATGTGACGACTATTTTATACCACCTTATACTGTCTTTATTGCCTTTTTTTTTTTTTTTTTTTTTTTTTTTTTTTGGCGAAAGATGGGGCTGCTGCATTGCGCTTTTTGAAGGCTTCTTTTGAGCGATGCTGGTTTAATTTCTTTTTGGATCGTTGTTTTCCAATGATATGTGGTGATTGAAGCGGTATTTGATCGTGCCTTATAAATCGAAAGTAATTTTTTTTTTGAAATAGCTAGGAGAATGATTTTGAGTTCGATTGTCTGGTTTTTGTGGTGTGCCTCCGTAAAAAGCTCTACAGTTGCAAAGAAAAAAAAAGTGTAGGAAAAAACATACAACAGCCGGGATTCGCTGGTGGTCACCCACCCAACTACTAGCCGGCCGGCAAGTGGCTTAAGTACGGCTGAGCGGACGGGAAGCCCTGTATTCCACTTCCTGTGGTCGTATGTGCTTATCCCATAGCATGCTCGAATGTTATTCGGCTGTGAATTTAGATAACTAAGCAACTCAAGCTCGAGTTCCGAAGCTACTTTAGAGATGCGCGACAACAACAGCTGCGTCCACTGCAGCACTTCACACTTGGAGTTACAAGACGCCGGCCATGGGCTATGCTAAGGACTGGCGATGATTACCGCATTCCTGCGTTTTATTTCATTCTCACCTCATGGCCTCCAGCCAACCGTTTCCTCCTTTCATCCCCGATGTCGAGAACTTCCCTGAAGTCAATCCGTATCCAGGCAAACCGCCTTCGAACAACACCATAGATGAAGAGGAGGACCGTGATGGCGGTGGCGATGATATTGCTTTCGGGGAGGACGCTGATTTTCAGTCTCACTACACATCGTGTCCTCCGATAGCAGAACGAGACTACTCAATATCTACTTCGGGCGATAATGAGAGGGAAGAGGAGGAAGAGGATCACGACGATGAAGATGAAGATGAAAATGATGACGACGAAGAAGATGCAAATGTTGGTGATGGCGGAATCGCCCTTCACAAACGCCTCCTCCAATCAACGGGTTCTTTACCGAATACCTTCGCTCCGCCCTTTTATAATCGTCCACCTACGCCACTACCCCCGTCGCCCTCACTAACATCTTTACTTCGACCTTCCTTTTCCGCACATACGTCCCGGCCAACTACGCCGGATAGTTCTGATGTGGAGACGCCTAATGATACGGAGGCGGCGGTGGCGAAGTCGGCGCGGATCGCGACGACAGTGCCCAGGGCGAGTCCGAAAGTGCCGACCTATGAGTATTATGGGTTTGTACTCTATTTAGCTTCGTCGTTGGCGTTTTGTAAGTCCCAGACCAGCGGTGGTGGATGCTATCTATGTCCTTGTTCTAATGACTGTCCAGTAATATACCTATTGTGGTCCTTCCTACCCTCACCTTTTCTCCACCAGCTGGGTATATACTACTATCCCAATCGCTGGTGGTCCCTCGCCATCCCGTCCTTCCTCGTAATGACGCTGGTCTATATCTATGTCGCCCTTGCAGCGTACAACACCGGATATTTAACCCTTCCCATGAATAGCATTGAGAACCTCGTCGACGATGCAGCAAACATTGCAGTAATAGATAGTAAGGGCAGGCGCCGGCTTGGTGGATCGGAGAAAATGAATCCAGATGTGACCACTGCACTGACGATGAATGCTCAGAAGAAAAGGCTGGAGTGGAAGGCAATTTGGAATGAGGGGACGGATGCGGTGATGGATATTCCTATTGGTGGCGTTTGTGAAGTCCTATATGGTGGTGAAGGACTAAGTGAGGATGGGAGCTTGGAATTCTGAGCGTAAGCGCTGGGAGCGCCTTCGCTGATGTTGTGAAACCAAACCTAATATCCTCCCCCTACTCTGTACTCTCCAGCACAATGTATTAGTCAGCGATAATATATATTGCCGAGAGCCGTGAGTTGATGCAGCCAATTATTTTTGATTTATAAGCAGCTAGTTAGTGCAAACAAAACAAACTTCATTGAATGACCGATCATGACGGCTGCCTGCTGAAGTAGGACTTACATCACCCGTATGCGCTCTTTGTGATGGAGCAGACAAAAGGGAAGTCGGCTTCTAGATCGCCTGCTCAACCTGGCGAATCAAGTTTAACTCCAGAACAAATTCAGCGCATTGTATGATCATCAAACAGCCCCAATTTACCTCACTGCTAATCTTCTCGCAACAGGAAATCAATCGTCTGAAAGCAAAATCTCTTCGTGAACAGCGCGAGGCTCAAGAATCACAGAGTAGTGCAAATAGTACTGGCTCCATTGTTGCGGGGTCCAAACGGCCCTACTCAGCCACCCTGAGCTCCAAGACTCCGTCCACTTTACGTGATGGCCGTGCAAATAATGATGCTTCAGCGCAACGGCCGCTGGACTCTATACGTCCGGCGCGCAACTTTACTAAATATGTTGAATATGACTTTAGTAAGATGACAGATACTAAGGGCGGGTTTTTGACCGCCGAAGATGATCCCCACAACAAGGCACTCCATGCCGATAATGGTGATGACAAGAAGCCGGCGCATATGACGCAGAAGGAATGGGAAAGGCAGAAATTAATACAAAGTCTACGCAATGAAAAAAGCGGTCCGTTTGAGCCGGGATTAAGTGTCATAGGTAAAGAGAAGCAACAGAAGAAATGCCGGGAGTGCGAAACAGTGGAGATTGACTGGAAATGGGAAGAGATTTTTAAATGCTGTGTGTGCCACAGCTGTAAAGATAAATTCCCGGATAAGTACAGTTTACTCACAAAGACCGAAGCAAAGGAAGACTATCTCTTGACTGATCGTACGTCCTCGAGTTCTTTGCTCTAGAAAAGGTGGTACTGATTCCTTCCTTGACGCTATAGCTGAATTAAAGGACGAAGAACTCCTTCCTCATATGGAGCGTCCAAATCCCCATAAAGCGACATGGAATAATATGATGCTGTTCCTCCGCTATCAAATAGAAGAATACGCATTTTCCGCCAAAAAGTGGGGGTCTCCTGAAGCGCTGGACGCAGAATTTGAGAGACGTGAAACTGAAAAGAAAAGGCGGAAAGAAGCACAGTTTAAAACCAAATTGCAGGATTTAAAAAAGAGGACTAGAGTCGAAGCATACCGTCGAAACCGCCAGGCAGGTGCGGGAGCTGGAGGCAACTTTGGAGATGATCTTGGCGGAAGAAGAAAGCATGTTCATCAGTGGGGACGGGCAGTAGATAATCCCGAAACAGGTATTGGTGTCAAGACGTGCGTTGACTGCGGGATGGAAGTTGAGGAGCTGGAGTTCTAGACTATTCAGTACGAGATATAATGGCGGTAGCTTGACGAAATATAGGTAATACGAGTCCCGCCCTCGTGGATTGAGCTAGTAAGCTCTCAAGCTTATTTCAACTTGGGACCTGCAGCTGCAGTACAATCCAACTCTGCGATTCTCCTAGCCATGTCCGATCGACGTTGAAAGCTCTCGGCGACGATATCAGTCACGTGATAAACTGAAACGGTAGGCTTGGCGCCCACACTTACCAGAACGAGCTAAATAACTACGATTGGCTGCTTGGCAGAAAGCCCCCAAGAGAGCGCCAGAAGCTCCGACTAACCAGCTGAACACGTCCGTGTCGACATCGCTGAGGCCCTGGAGTGATTTCCGACGGCCCCCGGCACCAGCCCTCTGCGCCAGGACTTGAGTCCCCACCACCACCACCGCTTTCTGCGCGATAGATCGGCGGTTTCGAGTGTTTGCTGGTCTCCTAAGCCCTGATCACGTTCGCTCTCATTGCGCATACTCGAGGCCGGACGAGTGAAAGTTTTTGGAGGCGTCTTCGCCCTAGCGACGCGTTTTCTGTCATTCGATTGAGCAATTGTCTGTGCCTCAAATGGCCTGGCAGAATCCGTCTGCCATGGCTGGTAACGGAGAGATGGTCGGAGGAAACATGGACGGCAATATGGGTGGGCAGCCGCAAGGGACAGAATACACGCTACAAGGTCAGTTTAAAGAGGCGCCCTTCTCTTAACTATCAAACCCATTTTATTTTTATGCCGACCACACTACTAACTTCCGTGTCTTTTTCTGCTGCAGGAGTCATGCGATTTCTCCAATCCGAGTGGCATCGACATGAGCGAGATCGCAACGCGTGGGAGATTGAGCGAGCAGAAATGAAGTCGAGAATCGGCAAACTGGAGGGGGACGCTCGCACCAGCAAGCGCTTGCAAGAGTCATTGGGGAAACATGTTAAAATTCTCGAGATCGCATTGAAGAAAGAAAGGGAGAAATTGAAAAAGGTTGCGGCTGGGGCAACCGTGGAACTGAACGTTGACTCTAAGGAGATAGCCAAAGAGAGCCTGAAAACGGTCGAGAAAGGTAGGTCTCGGTCTCTTGGCCTTTATCCAAAGTTCTGCGTATTAAAAGAAAACTCTAGAATTCCCTAAACAAGGCAACATCGCTCCAGACATCGATTCGGAAAATCCAACTCATTCAGCTATGCATCACGACACAGATCGGGATAAATCGCGAAATTTTCTTGGAAAATGCTCACAGGAGGTTGCTTATCACGTTATCCCTGGTTACCATCCTCCTCTCGACCTGCATGAACCCCCTGAAATGTTCCGCGTTCGACACCACCTACAGCAGCGACAGTCCATGGAGGAGCCCTATTCTCATCAACAGCCTCAGGGACAGAACCAGTCGCCTCAACGGCACCTGAAACAGCCGCAACCCACCCCTGCCAGTATGGTTAGAGAGCCCTCTATTCCACCGCACATGATATCCAGCTATGAAGATTCCAATAACTACATTGCTTCAAACCGCCAGGCTCCTGGAGTTCCTCGAGACGTTTTGAACAGAGCATATGAACCTCAACGTGCCCCTGGATCATCTTTAGATGAACAAAAGGCAATGTTTGAAGATTCTGTGCCTTCAGACGAAGGCAATCGAGGGACAGAAGAACAGCCCGTCGAACCACCCAAGAAACTACTAGACGAACAACTAGACCGCGCTTCTAATGAAATCCTAGTTGATGAAGCCGACGGCTGGAACTTTGATGAACCTCCCTTAGATGAAGCACGTCCAACTCTACGACCAGACCAAGATGCTTTCCCCAACGCAAACTTCGTTGCTGCCAAATCGCCCCCTCGAGCTGGGCCTGGGTCTCATCGACGTAAAAGCTCTGGTTCTAGACGGCGGAGCGATGTAACTCTTGATCTTAAGGAAGGAACCGGGGCAGAATCGCAACGACTGGAGCCATCTAATTTCAAAGTTCGATTCGCTTTGCGTGGTCATTTGGACGTTGTTCGATGCGTCATTCTTACCGGTGGGGGGAGTCCATCAGAGCCCGAGGTTTGCACTTGCGGTGACGACGGAACCATCAAACGGTGGACTCTTCCAGCATCTTATGGGAACTTTGGTCCTAACAATACATCATCAAGCAGTGATCTAGACATTTCCAGTTACTTTACGCATAGAGGTCATAATGGCTCGGTCACCTGCCTAGCATCGTCCCCTCCGTCTCGGGATTTCTCGAATGGTGGGCGAGCACTTGGCGATGGTTGGGTATTCTCAGGTGGCCAAGACGGCACTGTTAGAGTTTGGGAGCGTGGAAGAATTGATTCAAAGGCGACTCTTGATGGACATACGGATGCCGTCTGGGCTCTTTGTGTTCTGCCAGGCACCTCTGGTTCAATTCTGGGCGACCGAAGTAGCCTGTTCGGGGGCTCGGATCGTATACTACTTGCCTCCGGTGCCGCCGATGGAAAAATCTTAGTATGGGCGGTGAGTTCACCACCGCAGTTGAGTTCTCCACAAGCTGGCTCGAGAAGGGTGGGGGGAAGTAGAAGGGCGAATTCCATTTCGTCAGGATCGAATTTCCCATCCACACCACAGCCAAGCACCGCGACAACAACACCGTTTCATTATACCTTGGTTCACCGAATAGATCGGGTCGACTCGCCCTCGCCAACGTGCATCAGTCCATTGTCTTTGGCTGGCGTAAATTTCGTCGTTTCATATAATGATGCTTCTATCCTCGTATACGATACGCGAACTGGGGAGCAGGTTGTTGGCATGGCAAGCCAGGAGACTTATGACGGAACACGTTCTACTGGTATCAATTCTGTTGCTGCTAGTACCGTTGGCTTTGATGGCACCGTTAGCTTGGATCCAAATAGACCACTCGCAGAAGAGGAGACTGTTGTCCATGGTGCAACAGGTACCAGTGGAGGTGTAGAAGGCGTCATAATTAGTGGCTACGAAGACCGTTATATACGGCTCTTTGATGCCAATAGCGGTAAGCTTTTGCATCTTTTGTGGCGTTCATTTCGCAGCAACTAATACTTTATAGGTCAATGCACCTACACGATGCTAGCTCACCCTGCTGCCATATCATCATTGTCATTGTCTCCTGATGGAAGAGAACTTGTTTCTGCTGGACACGACGCAAGCCTTCGCTTTTGGTCTTTGGAAAAACGAAGCTGTACCCAGGAGATCACAAGTCACCGACTTATGCGGGGCGAAGGGGTTTGTTCCGTTGTTTGGAGTCGGGATGGACGATGGGTCATCAGTGGAGGTGGTGATGGCGTCGTCAAGGTCTTCACAAGGGCTTAATTCCCAAACCGAAGCCCTTTAATACCTCCGTAATACGGTGAGAGTATCTCTCGCTTTTAGACCGCACTGTTTAATGTGTTCTTTAACCCTTGCTACTTGCGCAGGAATGATGACCCATTTTTCCTCGCCCCTTTTGGGGAAATGATATGAACATAAAATACCTGATCCTTGCTAAACCCCTATTTATGAGAATTCTTCTATTGCAAAGCCGGTTGATGGCTAACTGTACCCGGTGCATGCCTGGGTTTGCTTTTTGATTTTCACGATACCCTGAACGATCAGCAATCTCTTACTCCACCATGCCACGAAGAACCCTTTGATTCTATGCCTGATATTCTCAATTTTGTACTGTTTAATGTTCATGACTCGTTGTGGCCAAATAGCGCCTATTCTTACTATGTTCTTTGTTCATCCCATTCTACATGTATAACAAGTCCCCTGTAGCCTGCTTTATTATTCTTCCTCGTACCATGCATTTCTTAATGAGTATTTAACGATATTGCGCTACATTTTGGATTTCTTGAGCCAGTATATAGGGCATGTCTCCATTAAGCTGTTCCAACCCTTTTAGAAAGAACAGTACAAAGCACGGCAAAGATAAGGAAATATTCAGCATTATCATTCTTCTTTTACGTTACTTATAAGCTCGATTCCCAACCTTTCTTAAATAGAGATGCTACTCGTGTTGCCTCGCCATCACCTTTAAGCTTCGTCTCCAGAAAGCTCTCCACGTCCTTCCAAAAGGCCGCGGAGTGCAATATATCCACATTATCTGTAGTAGAAGGTGACGATGGAGCATCATCTGAGCTATTCACAACTTCCTGCACGCTAGGCGACTCAGTCTGACCTGCTTTGGTGGGGATTGCAGTGACAGGCGCTGGAGCAGGGGGCTCGCGTGGTGGTACTACAACTGCTCCCCCTAATATCATAACACCAAATTCGACCTCTTTCCCGCCTTTCAATACGTCAGGTTCATTGGCCAAAACATCGGTGACCAATTTCCCTTGCACGGGCTTTCGTTTCCACAATATCTTGATTTTATCTAGCGATACCTGCTCAGACTCGTTCGCTGCATTTGCAGGTTTAATTCGCGCTTGAACTGCATCTCTCAGATCCTGAATCGTTGCGCTGGATAGAGATATGTTGTCCAAAGTTATCTCTAGAGCAGGGCTGCGAGCAGACTTTAGATGGATAGTAATCGACTTGGAGGAACCGGGAATAGCGGAGGGTTTGATCTTTTTAGGGAGTGGTGGGTGGAGAGAGTCAGAGAGCCGCGGGAGGGTAAACTACACAACGAGGAGATTAGCTTGTACTCGCCTGAAAAGCTATAACTAGCTGGCATGCTGAGGTCAATGTCCATACAGGTTGTCGTGGCTGGAATGTTCGGAGATCTGATACATGGTTGGCGGGGAGTTTAACAGGCTTTGAGTCGAGTTGCGACAGGAAGGTTTTTGCGAATGACAGCTCCGCCATTTCGAACAAGTCTTTTATGTATACAGTAAAGCCAATTCAAACGATAAAGGCTGTTGTTCAAGAATGTATGTAAGACTTAGCAGATAGTCCCATGGTTGGGTCACCTTGGGGAGAGGTAAATCGATATCCAAATCACGTGCGTTAGTTAACTATCTTATCAATCAGCTCAGCTCTAAACTTAAAGTTAATTTTTTCCCCAAAACACTCTTACCGAAGATTCAACTGTCCAGTCTCCGCCATAAAGCAATTAAAACGTCGCAATGGGTGTCGGACGACGTATGAAAAAGCAGGGCCCTCCCCCTCCTTTGGATGAATCAAAAATATCGTCATTGAAAAGAAGAAAGGCTGAACAGGAAGATGCTGCTCCGAGAGGAAATAAGCGGCGGAAGGCCGAAGGCAGTGTGGAAGTGAAAAAGTCGCAGGGGCGAAAAGCAAATGGTACAGCAATGGCCAAGAACGGCAGTGAAAAGCGGGAAACGTCTGCGAAGAAAAAGCAAAAGAAAGATACTATTCCCACTAAAACTTCAGCTATAGTATCAAAAGAACTAGAGATCTCAGACGACGATGCAGAGGGCCTAATGGCAGATGAGTTTGACGATCTCGAAAATATAAGCGCGGATGGGGTTTCGGATGAAAAAAATGAGGATTCCTCAACTAATGAGAGCGATTCTGTTTTTGATTCCGAGGAAGATAACACACGCAAAGCAATGTTCTCGGACGATGAGGATGTTTCGGATGCGGAGGAGAAGCTTACAGCTGCAAATATAGAGGGGCTATCAAGGAAATTGGACAAACAGCAACGGGAGGAAGCTGAACTAGCGGAACAAGAAATCAAGGATTCAGCAATGCAAACGAACATCGAGGGCGACCGTCCCGATCTATTTGGGGAAGAAACTCAGCATAATCTGCCTCCAGGTTTAGCCCCTGACCTCCAGCTTCTTCGAACTCGTATAACAGACACTATTCGTGTTTTGGGCGACCTTTCCACTCTTGGACAGCCTGGAAAATCACGGGCCGATTATACAGACCTTCTCTTACGGGATATATGCACATATTACGGCTACACACCGTATCTCGCAGAGAAGCTATATTCTTTATTCACACCCATGGAAGCATTTGCCTTTTTTGAAGCAAACGAGTCACCGAGACCAGTCGTTATTCGAACAAACAGCCTCCGCACAAATCGTCGCTCGCTAGCCCAGGCTTTAATCAACCGCGGCGTGGTTTTGGAACCTGTTGGAAAGTGGTCTAAAGTTGGCTTGCAAGTATTTGAGTCCCCCGTGCCATTGGGTGCCACACCTGAATACCTTGCTGGCCACTACATTCTCCAAGCAGCTTCATCCTTTCTCCCCGTTATGGCGCTTGCACCTCAACCACATGAACGCATCCTGGATATGGCGGCAGCTCCTGGTGGTAAAACTACATATATGTCTGCATTAATGCGAAATACTGGCTGTGTTCTGGCAAACGATGCAAATAAAGAACGAGCGAAGGGTCTGATTGGCAATATCCATCGCCTTGGGTGCAAAAATACCATTGTATCTAATTTGGACGCTCGGACAGCATTTCCTAAGGCGCTTGGCGGCTTTGACCGTGTTTTGCTTGACGCTCCTTGCTCAGGCACTGGCGTTATTTCCAAGGATCCCAGCGTGAAAACATCTAAGACGGAGCGTGATTTCCTTGCCCTCCCGCATACCCAGAAACTCTTACTTCTCGCCGCTATCGACTCTACCAACCATGCATCTAAAACCGGTGGATTCATTGTCTACTCAACATGCAGTGTGACAGTGGAGGAAAACGAAGCAGTGGTGCAATACGTATTGCGCAAAAGGCCAAACGTCAGGATCGTCGACACCGGGTTGGGAACTTTTGGGAGCGAGGGTTTTAAGAGCTACAAAGGCAAACAGTTCGACGCTAAAATGTCCATGACAAGGCGGTACTTTCCCCACCGTGAGAATGTTGACGGCTTTTACGTCTGCAAACTAAAGAAATTCGGTCCTTCTCCCGCGGAGGCAAAGGGCCCTACAGTGGAGAAAACTGCTGGTGAAGGACATGAAGCCCACGTAGAGTATGACAAAACTCCTATCGTTGACCAAAACGACAAACAGGCCGATGCTGGTTTTGGGCCCTTTGATGACGACGAAGATAAGTCGTACATTGAGCGATCGGAGCGCAATAGAATACGACGGAAGGGGCTTGACCCCAAAGCAGTACTTGATGGGAAAAGGGGGAAAAAGGACGAACAGCGCAGCAAGCATCAAGCTTCAGGGGATGAAAAGAAACCGAAACAAAAAGGCAAGAAAAATTCCGCAAAGGCTATGTAGGCCGATGAACTCCTGACATGTCTATATCCGGTGTAGCTAGTGACAGCTAGACCCTGTTTTGATACCATATTCTTCCATGCTCCCCCGCGTTGCATTTAACTGTAGAAACTCCTGATCTGCCACTCTGCATCAACAAGATGAAGATGATACACCCCCTGAAACGCACGAAAGGTGAGATTACGGCTAGTACACGTGCAGCCAATGGAAGCAGGGAACGCCAGGGCTGACTGTACTAGCGCCGTACGGCCCATACGAGACCTAAGAATAACCCGTAATATTCTTTTTCTCTTCAATCATCCCGACTCGCTGCGGACGCCGTCGACATCGTGAGCGGCCTCGTTACACTCGCTATATCCTCTCGAGACCCATCTCCCCTCGCTGTCTTGCGCGTTTCCGACCTAAGTCTTGGAAGGCCGTGTACGGAGTAAACCGGTTTCCTTTACCCACTTCCAGCGCGTTTGCTGCTCGCCCGTTCCCAGCCTCAACCCCCAGCTTCTTCAGAAGTCCGTTCACACCATCCTATACAATGGCGGACTCCAAGAAGAGCGACAACTATGCCATCGAGATGGACAAACTTGATTCGGAGTCAGACCGCTTCAAGGCACCTCCGCCGCCCCAGCCCCGACACTCACCTTCAGCACAGAACCATCCGATTGTCCCCATTCTCAGCTACTGTGCTTCTTCAATTTTAATGACTGTTACAAATAAATATGTTCTTTCTGGGGTTCAGTTCAATCTCAATTTCTTCCTTCTGTGTGTTCAGGTATGTGCATCATCAATCAACACAGAGCGCCCATTTACTAATCTCTACAAACTACCAACAGTCCGTAGTTTGCATTGTTACCATTCAGACCTGCAAGTCCATGGGAATTATCAATTATCGCGATTTTAATTCAGATGAAGCCAAGAAATGTATGTCAAACTCACGTACCTCTCGCCTTGCATTCCATTTAATCAATTGATGCTCCTCTCTAGGGTTCCCAATTTCTTTACTTCTTATCGGCATGATTTACACTGGCGCAAAGGCTCTCAAATTCCTCTCGATTCCTGTATACACGATTTTTAAGAACCTTACAATCATTCTCATCGCATACGGCGAAGTCTTATGGTTCGGTGGTTCTGTCACTGGAATGGCTCTTTTCTCATTTGGCCTCATGGTTCTGAGTTCCGTTATCGCAGCCTGGGCCGATATCCAGCATGCTCTGAACAGTAGTGGATTTACTGGAGGCGATGCAACCAGCAAGATCTCCACTCTTAACTCCGGATACGTCTGGATGCTGATCAACTGTCTTTGCACGTCCACTTATGTTCTCGGCATGAGGAAACGAATTAAGTTAACGAATTTCAAGGACTTTGATAGTAAGTTGGTAGCGGCTTGGTACTTCTTCCGTAGCACTGCTGACCGACATTCATCTAGCCATGTTCTACAACAACCTCTTGTCTATTCCTATCCTCTTGGCAGGGTCTCTCATTGTCGAAGACTGGTCTTCCGATAATGTTAGCAAGAATTTTCCAATCGATTCTCGGAATTCGTTGATCTTCGCAATGATATTTTCTGGTCTCTCATCGGTCTTCATTTCCTACACCTCCGCATGGTGTGTCCGCGTCACGTCGTCTACAACATACTCGATGGTTGGAGCGCTAAATAAGCTTCCTATTGCTCTTTCTGGTCTGGTCTTTTTCGGCGATCCCGTTACGATTCCTGGCGTTTCAGCCATCGTAGTTGGATTCGTTAGCGGCATTGTATACTCTCTCGCCAAAGTCAAACAAAACGCAAAGCCCAAGACGGGTATCCTACCAACCACTAACCCAGTAAGCGCAAGCTCACAGAGTATGAGAGACGGTCTAAAGTCATGAGTGGGCATATACTTGAGTCTTATTCTCTGTCGGGCCGAGACAAATCAATAGCAAGAACCGACGTGAGCCACCAATTGAACCTTTTGACCCCATAATGTGCCTGTGGTCTCATCTGCCAGAAGCAGACTGTTCTCGAAAATTTATCTCACTACGAACAGAACCGCCTCGAGGCGTTGCCACCTGCTTCGATATGCGCTTTCCGATAGATCTTGGTTATTCTTTGTCGGTCCATATACCATTTACCTATTCTTATCGACGGTTTTAGGGTTACTTTTTACTTATTCTTTTCTGAACCTTCTGTTCCTCATGTACCAATCTAATGCCTTGCTTTTTCCCCCTTGCTTTCCCATTCCATGGAGTACCTGCATTCAATATCCCAGGGTCCTGTTATCCTTGACGGTGCACGCCCTGCTGACACTGGCATATTCTTCTTTTTTTCAAGGCTTTTTTAACTGGATGGGTCTATAGAGATGATATTATTTTTATTGATAAGTGCAAAGGTGGTAAATATCAAATATTTATGATACGAGCTATTGGCGTACGTTTTTAAGTTGCTTGTGTGGATTCGAATGATCTCCTATAGGATTAAACTACCAATGATTGAATTGTATCCACATATGCTTCTTGTACGGGTGTTTTAAGAATAAGATATGAAATGCGTTGGTGCAGAAAAGGTCTGGGTCTCAACAAGGTTTTCGCAATTATGTTGATGAGAATTTTGCTGTTCCCTCCCATCATATTCATTATTAGCTCTGTCCTTGAACCCACCCACCAAAGGAAACTGTATATTTTGGTAATACCAAAGCCTCTTCTTCAATGGCAAAGCATAAAAGAGTAAATAAACGCGGCTCCCAGGTCGGAAAGACGAGGCATTATGGTACAGAAAATTGTGGCCGAAGAATGCGCAGCTTTGCTCGAGTATCGACAAACGATAAGCCAAAACAAGCACCAAAGAAGAAAGATCAGAAAAAAAATGGACAACGGAATCAACAGGCAGTAATCCCGTTTTTATCATCTGATCGAATATTGTTGGTCGGTGAAGGTGCGTACTAGCTCGATAACCGGATGAATGGGCCTTTGGTTTGGTTCTATTTGCATTCAAATAAAACTACCATGCTACTCGAAAATCCCTATGAAAGGTTGTTTTTCGAAGTAGATTCTAACTGGTTTTCAGGAGATTTCTCCTTTGCACAATCTCTTACAAAGGGATATGGCTGCAGGCGAATACTAGCAACGTGCTACGACAGTGAGGATGTTCTATATCAGAAATACCCTCAGGCAAAGGAGCATATCAACAACATCCGTGACTCGTCAAATCAACCAAAAGGGTCAAAACGCAAACGAGGAAATGAGTCTGCCTCTGAAGGGTCAGATAACGAGTCTAGTGACTCGCCTCATCATACTAAGCCTACAGATATGACCTCTCCCAAGGTGCTTTTCTCTATCGATGCGAGGAAGCTTGGACTTGCAGGTGGCGGGGGGAGAGTTGTTCGGAAAGGCTTTCCACGTAACTCAAGTGAAAAATACAGGAAAAAGGAGAATCTATCCTCTGGAAAAGAACAGTCCGATGGGCCTTGGGATATCATATGTTTCAACTTCCCGCACGTTGGAGGCCTCAGTACGGATGTAAATAGGCAAGTTCGTGCGAATCAAGAGCTACTCGTTTCGTTTTTCAAAGCCTGCGGTCCTCTGCTGTCGGCGCCTCTCACGAGTGACAGTTTACGCGACGAGGATGAAGAGAGCGGGGACTTCAGCAGCACATCCAACCGCGAAAATTCTACTCGATACAGCAGAAAGCTACGAGCGGAGCCGGGTCAAATTGTGGTTACTTTGTTCGAAGGAGAGCCATACACGCTTTGGAATATCCGGGACCTTGCTCGTCATGCTGGGTTACGAGTCGTGACCAGTTTTAAGTTTCCCTGGGCTAGCTATGCAGGCTATTCCCATGCAAGAACTCTGGGAGAAATTGAAGGAAAAGACGGGCAGAGGGGAGGGTGGAGAGGAGAAGAGAGGGAGGCAAGAAGTTACGTGTTTGAACCAGTTGGGTTCGAAAGCAGGAATTTTATGAAGCGAAAAGCGGAAAGTGAGAGCGAAGATGATTAATTTATAACAGATACTCCGTACGTACACGCTAAATATATTCAGCAACGGCGAAAACACCATTTGTCCCCAACACTATAAATATATAGGATAGTCCTTGGATCCTGCCCCCCCAACTCCATGCGAACGGAAATCGAAAAACAAAGCGGCAAAGCTCATTAAGATATATACACCTTCTTGATCTTGGAAAAGTCGAAAATCTCCCCGGTTATAGGATCTTTAACTTGATTCTCCGGGACGCCAGCCTTTCTGCTCATATCTAGCAAGCGGGCCGTTCCATATAGCCTATGATTTGGCAAGACAACAGGGTCAGCCTCGACATAGCTTTTTGCATGATGAGCATAAGGCACATGTCTTGCCAAGTCATTCAGTTCAGTCGAGCAAATTGGGCAGATGGAGGTTGTTAAGGAGTTTGGACTGGCCCTCGAGGACGTAATCGTCGAATGACATGCTGGTGTTTTAAGGGCAGAAAGGCCTGCTGATAGAGCTATTTGGAGGAGAGGGCGAGATGAGAGAGACAAAAGATCGTGATGGGTACGCATGAAGAGATCTGAAAGATATTGCCAGCGATCCAAGGAGTACATCGTCTGTCAAAAAGGTAGATTAGCTTAGTTGGCCGTACCAATCAATGGAGGCACAAAGTTATACCTTATAAGGCTCAGCTCGAGTGTCAGGGAAATACACTAGCAACCCTGCTGCGCGTCTGATATCCTGCGCCTGTGTTTCGCTGTGTGGGGTGAGAAACTTTGTCGCATGTTTTCTCGCCCCGGCCTTGTCTCCGACTCGCAATAATTCTATATACTGTTGTAGCCTCAACTCGAACTCGAACCGGCTCTATATCAATGGGTTGTCAGCTCTAAAACACAAAAATCCATATAATTCGACATACCTGAACTTTTTTCAAAGCTACCTTGTTTTCACCACACCACTGAAGCGCGTCCTTGGTTTCGCCACGATGTAGACTCTCGCCAATCCGTTGGCATTGAACGAAAACGTCTATATCCACAAGGTCTGAAATATCTTTGTCTTGAGCAAGTTGTTTCGCACTTTCTAAGTAGCCGGATCGTAGCATATGATCAGCTAATAAACGATTTAATCTTGTTCTTGACCACTGCTCATATTTGACATCTGCTAGGCTCGGAATCTGATAGAGATTTTGTATATGCTGTAATCTTTTCTGGGATTGCGTAGCAATTTTTTTCTCTTCATCATGTAATGTCTCCATTTTACGTTTCAGATTCTGCATGCGTGCTATCATCGTGTCCAAAGCTTCCAGCGTCTGGGCCGTATCTTGGGTTCCGGAGAGAGAGGCATTTGCGGTGTCCTTTAAAATTGGTAGTATTTGCTCCCTCTCCCGCTCCACGACTCGTTGAGTTGATTTGAAGTTTCGGCGAGCGAGCTCATAGGGTACGCGGAGGAGCGGTTGGTCCTGGAGCGTTGATGTCAGTTTCATGTGTGGTTTTCCCATGAGCTTCGGTAGAGCGGGCACGTACCAAGAGAAGGTGACTCTCTGGATTGAGCTTGATAGACGTTAGCTCTGCAGCCATATTTGGATCATGGGTAGCAGCAAGCAAAATATGGACTAGGGCTGTCTGTATTCGAGCACAAGAGACGCTGAGTCTGGAGGTTGGAGCACACGACAGTAGACAGCAGGTGACTTCGCTGGCCCATCTCCGCACGCCATGACATAATTCCCGGGCCCGATACGCAGTACGGGCCGTAAAATTACCGGAATGGAAAATCTAATCCACCAGAGCTGATTACCTAAACAGGAAACGTTTAAAAGGCCACAATTTGTGTTTTCCTTTCGTTCTTACTGCAACTCTCTTGATGGGAGAATAACGCGCAACGTACCAGACTAGTAGTGCTACAGTCTGAGGAACTGTTAAAAATGGATCAGTTCTGGGCTCTGCCGCCTGTGTCCAGGTGCCGTGGACCATTCCTCTGTCAATTTTCTTGTTTACTAACAAATGTGCAGGACAATATTAGCCTTCACCCTTGTTCAATCTGCACTTGTCCATGGCCGGCTACTGAGCGGATACTGGTCTATCTTTGTTCCTTCATTGATTTTTAGGATATTCCCTCAAATTTGGAGACTTGTCACTCCATTTTTTCTCACACGTGGGGGCATTAGTTTCCTTTTTGACCTCTATTGCTGTACGAAATGATGACCACATCACACCCGGCCGACTGCTTATCACTAATGATTATGCAGTATACACATATGGCGTTGCCTTGGAAGCTGAATCACCTCGCTTTCGCACTTCTGGCGATTTCTTGACCTATGTTGTATTCGTAGCTACTGTGATACTGGTGAGTGAGCTGCATATATGCTTCACCACGAGATGGATTTTCTTTCCTTTCTTTGTCTTTCGACACTTTGATGTCAAATCGTTTACACCTCGCATATCTGCCCGCCCAGCCTTGACAAATCTAGCTGAAGCGGTTCCTGGAAGTGAGGAAGATCGCCCCTACATTTCATGCAGTCCCATCATTCGCAATAGTCAATCACTAGGGATGTGTGCGGTGTAGGCATGGTGGGATTGCCTAAATCATACCCTGCGTGAAATATAATTTGCACCGGGTGGTCCTGGCGCCCTACATACCTAGTATCACATGTCTATATTCATAGTCAATTACAAACCAACTTCGCATCATATCAATATGTTGGATAGGCTGACAGGATATATAGCTCTTAGCAGGATTCTTAATGAAATCAGTTTTGCTCATCGCAGGTACGGACTGGATCGATTCACATTTCCTTCCCGTAACTAACATCCATAGCCTTCCTTATGGCTCTTATCTACACATACGCACAAGACAACCGGGGAAAAAGAACCACCTTTTTCTTCATACAAATTAAGGTGGAATATCTTCCCTGGGTCATGCTTCTACTGACACTTGTCATGGCTGGGACGCATGAAGTGATGGTTGAATGCTGTGGGCTTGTTGCCGCACATTTGTACGACTTTTTGACACGAATATATCCAACCTTTGGTGGAGGCAGAAACTACATTCGCACTCCCGCGTTTGTGCAAAGGTGGTTTTCTGCCCGGGCTCCGAGGCCGTCTTATGGCGGCTATCGGTACGATCCAAGGGATCGAACATCCGCAAGGAGCGCTGGTGCTTCATCTAGTGGTGGGATATTTTCCGGGAATTCATGGGGTAGCAGAGGGACGGGTCGACGCCTCGGAGGCGATTGAGCTGGTATTGCGAGATCTCGCAGCTGTAACGATAGCATCTGTATACGGAGTACTTCCTCGGCGTTCTGGCATATAGATTTGAGAAACGATATTTTCCATCCAGCCATCAAAATGCTGCTGATGTAACTACTCGGATGACATAATTTTGTATTAGCTAATCATCCCAAAAAACCACAAAAGAAAGAAAGTTTCTAAAGTTTCGAGATCGAGAAATCGAAGCAAAAAAAGACACTCCAAGCTCAGCAACGTCCTCGACAGCGAGAAGCCCAGTCGCCCGCGTCCTTTCCTTGGATCGCGAATTCCGCACTTTTTGGGTTTACTCGTTTTAGTTATCACTCACAATGGCTGCCACCAAGGCCGACGTCGATTTTAGCATCAAACCAGAGGCGGTAACACCTCCAATCCCCACATCAGAGTGGCCGCTACTATTGAAAAATTACGATAAATGTATGCCCATCTCCCTCGAAATCTAATATGCTCAAAAAGTTTTTCCCTCGTTATTTAAGGTGTGCAGGTCGCTTGCAAAAGATATCTCACTAAGTATTCCATATCAACAGTGCTTGTTAGAACCGGCCATTTTACTCCCATTCCAGCTGGATGTACTCCTTTAAAGCGTGACTTAAAGTCATACGTCAGTTCTGGTGTTATCAATCTAGATAAGCCATCGAATCCTTCGAGTCATGAAGTTGTCGCCTGGATGAAGAGAATTTTACGGTACCGTTCCTCTCAGCGATGATTACTATATTCATGGTATAAATGGTGAAACTGACTGTGACTCTTCTACTCTACAGAGTTGAGAAAACAGGTCACAGTGGAACTTTGGATCCAAAAGTTACAGGATGTCTGATTGTCTGTATCGACCGCGCAACTCGCCTTGTTAAATCACAGCAGGGAGCTGGAAAGGAGTATGTTTGTGTGATTCGGTTGCATGACAAAATCCCGGGGGGAGAAGCCCAATTCGCTCGCGCCTTGGAGACCCTTACTGGAGCTCTGTTCCAACGACCACCTTTGATTTCAGCCGTCAAGCGCCAATTGCGTATCCGTACAATCCATGAGAGCAAGCTATATGAGTTCGATAACGACAGACATTTAGGTGTTTTCTGGGTTAGCTGTGAGGCGGGAACCTATATCAGAACACTGTGTGTGCATTTGGGATTGTTGCTCGGAGTTGGTGCACACATGCAGGAACTGCGAAGAGTTCGAAGTGGTGCCATGGATGAGAAGGATGGTATGGTGACTTTACATGATGTCCTGGATGCACAGTGGATGATGGATAACAACCGCGATGAATCGTATCTGAGACGTGTCATCCGACCACTGGAGAGTCTGTTGACTACCTACAAGCGTGTTGTTGTCAAGGATAGCGCTGTCAACGCCGTCTGTTATGGTGCAAAACTAATGATTCCCGGATTGCTTCGCTTTGGTGAGTAGTGTCTCTGCCATACCTACAACCTTGCTAATTTAATCTCTATAGAGTCTGGAATTGAGGTACACGAAGAGGTTATCTTGATGACTACGAAAGGTGAGGCAATTGCACTTGGAATTGCTCAGATGTCCACTGTCGAAATGTCCACCTGCGATCACGGTGTGGTTGCAAAGGTCAAACGTTGTATAATGGAACGTGATCTATATCCACGACGATGGGGTATGGGTCCTGTTGCTCTTGAGAAAAAGAAGATGAAGGCAGATGGCAAACTTGATGTAAGTTTATTTCCCAGAGCAAATGACAAGTCCATTATCTATACTAACAATTCTAGAAATTTGGTCGACCCAACGGCTCAACACCAGCAAAATGGCAGTCAGAATATAAAGATTATAGCGCCTCTGCAGAAAATGCTGTTCCTGCTGCCCCCCAACAACCTGCTGATGCCACGCCTTCCATTCCGAAGGAAGTCCCCGCTCCAGCTGCTGGGGAAGCTTCATCTGCGAATGAGGAGGCTGATGATGATGCCAATAAGCGGAAACGGCATGAGGGAGAGTCGGTAGAAGATCGCGAAGAGAGGAAACGCCGAAAGAAGGAAAAGAAAGAAGAAAAGGAGAAGCGAAAGCAGGAGAAGAAGGAGAAGAAAGAAAAAAAGGAAAAGAGAAAATCAAAACAAGCCGAGGAGAGTGATAGTGAGTAAGCGAATTTTGGTTTTTGGCTGGTTATGTGCGTTTTGTGTATCATACTTTGGAGTCCTGGACAAAAGGGTGTTGATAATTGCTTTACTGATGAGCTTCAAGTGTCCCTTTGAGTACCATTTCATTAATTGATGCTGGCTATGTAATGATCATCAGCTGCTTCCTATGGAGAAAAGTTGTTGGTAATGTGACATAAAATGGCCTACCGTGACTTCTATCCTTGCGAAAACCAGTCTATCCTGGAATCAACTTACATACTAAGGAATTTATCAAATATTCAAAAGCTTCAGAGCATTGGGGAGCCGGTGGATGTCCAGACTCCTTTGTCAAAGGGTTTTGTTTGGATCGTGCCTCGAACCGCCATACCGCCATCACCCTTTTCAATCCATATGTCCCAAGAGCCATCATGTCCTGTCTCTTTAGGTTTAGCACACACAGTTAGAGGCTGTTCGACTAGTATAGGCGCCAAGTTTCGATATTCGATACTAGAAATCGCTCGACGGGTATCCTTGATATGGCCCTGGAATACCATTAGCATTAATGTGAGCGACAGCGGTCCGTGGACCAGCAGATCCTCGTAACCCTCAACATTACGAGCATAGTCTCGGTCAAGATGGATAGAGTGTGCATTGAATGTCAGTGCTGAGAAGCGGAAGAGCAGAGAGCGTGATGGGGTAAGGGTATGGCGGAGCGTCGGGTTCGTGGGAGCTATGAGCGGCACATCAGTGGGACATGATGGTTGAAATAGGACCCATAGCATATTATCTCACCCTTTAGCGGTTTCCTCTGTTGGGCTCCGCCAGATTGCTCTCTACGAAGCTCTTCCGGAGTCTTGTCCAGCATAAACACGAGATTGCGCTTCTCAATAACACTGGCATCTCCCCATTCCTCTTCAGTGGCAGTCCATATCCGCCTTCTCATGGTTTCTTCATCCTCATTCTCTTTGACAAGAGCTATACGCCTCTCGATGCCGACGAAGACCTTCTCTTCCCCCTCTTTTCCCTTAATTCGTACATCTCTGACTCCTTCTATGCACACAGCGCGCTGGGCATCTAAGAGAGGCCCCCCGTTGGGATCGCGGAACCGAACCGAGCCTCCAGCCCACATGCGACGATTGAATGGCGCACCAGGGCAGTGTAACACATCGCATCCATCGGGCACCAGCTCAGACGACGGGAGGTGCGGCGGGAAGTATACCAGGTGGTGGCCGCGGGGTAGATGACCGGCGTCCAGAACTGAAGGGAGGACCAGACCACTGGCGTCTTTGAGGGGCTGCCGGGACTCAGCGCGAGGCAGGAAATCCCGTAGCGAGACGTTCAGAAGATGCGACGGCTGCGGCGAGAGGTAGTCATAGCTGAGGAAGAGGGGCTGGTGCGTGAGCTTGTCTTCCAGCTGCGAGAGGAGCGTTGCCGGCGCGCGCGAGCTGTAGCGGGCGAGGCCTCCAAGCAGCGTACGGCCGCTTCCCTGGGCGACTTGCTTCATGTCTTCCTTCGTATTCTCGCGTGCTGATGCGCAATTGGCGTGCTGGTAGGATGGCTGTGAAGCGGTGAAGCGGTGAATTTTAGCCTTTCGGCCTTTTCACCGGCCGCCGGGTGGGCAAGCAAGGGTCTTCGTCTGCTTGAAGGTCAATCGCACGTCATGAAACGCTCACTGCTATTCATGATGGCATTCTTGCAGTCGAGAGGGTTATCCGCAGCAAACAAGCCGCGCGTTGCGTTTCTTGGGCCTCTCGGCTCGTTCTCTCACGAGGTCAGGAATGTCCCTGTGCGCCACCGGCTCTACCGGCCTTACATATCGATTACTGACTAGTATCTCAGGCAGCGGTGGCATCTTTTGGCAAACAGGCAGTGTTGCTCCCCCAAACTTCATTCCAAGATGCGTTTGCTCTGCTGCAGGCAAACGAGGCAGACTATGCTTCTATTCCCCTAGAGAACTCTAGCAATGGCGCAGTGGTGCAGACACTGGATCTTCTGGCTGATCGCAAGGGACATTACAGTGATATCACAGTCTGCGGAGAGTACTATCTGTCTGTACACCACTGCCTCCTGGTGAAAAAAGGCAGCGAGGGAGGGAAAAGCCCTGAGATCCCAGAGGATATTACTATCGACCCTCGCTACAAATCAATAACGAAGCTCTATACCCATCCACAGGCATGGGGCCAATGTGAAAACTTTCTTTCGAAGCACTTCAAAGGGATTGAGAGGCAGGACGTCTCATCCACTTCCAAGGCAGCGGAAATCGTCTCTAAGGAGCAAGGCAACCACACCGCCGCAATTGCGAATAAATTCGCTGCTGAGTATCACGGCCTGGATATCCTGGCCCAGAATATCGAGGACGATCCTGAGAACACCACAAGATTCTTGCTTCTACGAAATATACGGTCAAATGGTGCTGCTGACGGTGACGTTTCGCCCGAGGATGCCGACCAAGCTGAGAGGAAGACGTCTCGGAAAACATTAATATCCTTTATAATCGACCATAGCGCGCCTGGTGCGCTGGCAGATGCACTTTTTATTTTCAAAAAATTTGGGATGAACCTAACAACAATCAATTCTCGCCCGGGCGGTGTCCGCCCTTGGCAGTATATATTTTTCGTTGAATGTCAAGCCTCAGCGCAGCCTCACAATGACCAGACTATTGAAAGGATCATGGAGGAGCTGAGGCAGGCTACTGTGGCAAGTAGACATCTAGGAAGTTGGAATGACATGCTAGGGTCAAGCCAGATAATAATAGGGCAATGATATTATGCAATTTATTTAATATACGCGGTCAACCTCGGAAAAGAGCGTATTGGGGGGAAAGAACAGAACTTCAAAAGCGAAACTAGAACGAGGGTAGAATGGTTAGAAATCACGAAAAGCGCGGAGCGTTCTGAGCTGAGAGCAGAAAAAGCAATCTATTTCACATTTTCTGATTGCAAAAAGCTGCTCTCCTCTCCCACCGTCTGCTGACTGGAGCCAGAAAGTACACAGTCAGTTTTCATTCACATCTTATACGAAAAATGTTCCGTAGCGGCCAGTAGTGTGCATCTTAACCCGAATAGTTGCAAGTTGACACGCTTCGGAGCTTGGATGGCCCTGCAATTGTAGAACATTAGTGGCAGTCTACAAAAACTGTAGTTTAAGGTCTGTGGAAATACCTTTAAGGAGCTTAGAGCTGGCCGGTAGCAGTGGAGTTTGGGTCCGAAGAGCAATCTCATTGCAGTTCCCATTAACACCATTGACCTGGCTCGACGGGCACGCCGTCAGAACATCCGCCGACGGGATTTCTGGACCACCATCCTCGCTCTCTGCGAGGTCGCCATACCGTCAATCTGCCACAAACAATTAGTACTACGTCTTTGAAAGGCAGTATGAAAGAAGAGCTCACCGTCATAGAATTCGTCTTCGTCATCAGAGTAATCGGCAAGCTGTTCGAAATTGACTTTATACCGTAGGATGGCGCCAATTCCACCAAAGCCCTTCACGAACTGATTTCCTTCCGTAGATTTGTCGGAAACAAATTCTAGGGTTGCGCCAAAGTCTTTGTACTTCTCAGCTAACCATTCCAGAAGGGGGCCTTGTTCAATAATTTCCATCTCTTGGCCACTATCTTTGTCCATGAACATCTCTCGATTCGCCTCCTGAGCCTTGGTGGTGTGCAGGACAACCTCCGGCCCTGACGATGGTTTCAGATTCCATCGTGTGATATCCAGGTTTTCGTAAACGATAAGGGTCTCTGCTGCACCAAGCTCCAAAGCTTTCAGCGTATCATCAACACCATAGCATACTCGGCCAGTGTCTTGACTGATCTCTTCGAAATACTTCCCAATGAGCTTCTTCTCTTGAATGAACTTGACATTTCCTAGAGTCTCTGCAGCCAATTCAATAGCCTGATTGAACCCATGTTCTCCACCATACGAAACATCGACAACCTTGATCACTTTCGACTGAAGGCGATTGTCGAACATGTCTGATTGGTTGAGATCATTCTTGAAATCTGCAGAGCCAGCGAGAACAAGGCCACCGACGTTTACTTTATCGCTGGTAATAAAATTTTGAACTGCTAATTCAGCAACTTTTCGGACATAATTGTGACGACGTTCTTCTCGAAGACGCGAGAAACGAAGGGCAGACTGTCCACCACGAGAATGCTTTTTCGGTAAATCGACGGAGAATTTATGCAATACATCTCGTGTGTTTCCACTCAATGTGCCGAAGAGAGCACCATTTCCGTCCATGATAATAAAACCAAACTTTTGGTCTGATTCCAGTAACTCACTGAGAGCCTCGGTGTGGAATTTGTTATCACAAAGGTAAAGAGATGTATTGATAGGCTTAAACGGTTCAAAATCGATGTTGATCTTGCGTTCCTTTCCTTCTGACGTAATGATTTCACCGCAGTAGATGACAAGGCCATTTGGAGGTACCTTGTTGTAAAGTTTAAGACGCTGCTGGGTGGACGTAATGGCAGACAGGACGGATAAACGGTTGACTCGTGATTTGATGTTGGAAGCCGTTCCCTGTAGCAATGTCAGCACGTACCCCCCAAAAATAATCTAAGTGGAATATACAAATTCTTCAGCCAGCATCTTGGCTGCACGAGAGACCTGATCCTTTGGAGCTGAAGTATGTCAGTCGAGGCTGAGAAGGGCCAGACCATTTATGATCCACTCACGGATAATCAACGAAATCATCGACGTTCCATTGCCACGGGCCGCCTCTAAGCGTTTAATCAGCTTCTTCACCTTCCATATCTCGATATTTTTCTCCGCGTCGTTCGGCTGCGGCGCGCTCATTTTGGCGACGTTGGTCCGCAACCAGAAATGGCACTCTTTTGGTTGGCAACTGGGAAATGTTAGCTCAAGCAGAAGTAGCAGTAGGGATGCCAGGAAGAAAAGGGGATAGAGAGATGCACCTAGAAAGCCGTCGCCCTGCTGGTTGTTGGCGGTTGGAAGTTTTTCGTTGCGGATTGTGGGGGTTTCGAGGAGGGACTGAGCGGCTGAGTCAGCGGCGACGCTGGTCCCAGCCTTATGACAACGGAAAGTTAAGAAGACATCGATCCACAGGTGGAATTCGGAGCATACGGAGTACAAGAAGTTTCTACTCTACTATTCAATGAGCGCTTCTTGTGATTTCAATATTGCATTTTAAGAAAGACCCAGGCACATATGCTTTACTAGTGGTTAGGAGGCTAGTATGTGCAGATTTTCTGTTGGCTAGGTCTACGGTACCATCCTGGAATTTGGCTTTTTGTTCTCCTTGAGCTTGTAGGCCCGGAACAACCGACCATCGAGCAAAATTGAGTTTCCGCATAGAGAAAAAAGCGTGCCGCTACCAGGATGGAGAGATGGCGTTCTGTATTTATATTAATACCTACTCACGGAGCAAAAACAGCTGGTACGACGGCGTGATCATGACCCCATCAGTCTGTCTCTGAAGAAGTCCTAGATTTTAGAATGACACTGAAGTTATTCCTTACAGGCCCAGGGTTCAATATCTCCTTTCTGAATTCACTGGGTGCGGGGTCGGGTAGCGGCTGATGAACCCAGAGCTGGTAAATAAGTTTCTGTGTCAACTTTCGTCTCATCATTGAGTACCCCAAACTTGTCATGATATCATGAAGTCTGTTTTCCGTAAAGTAACGGGAATTGAGAACACAAGGCGCCGGTAAAACGAGAAATAGACATGGCATCAAATCGTTGGTGGGTGCCTTTGACGCCAGTGATGTTGGCACCAAAAATTTCACAGTGCGGCGAAGCATGTCGCCCCTAGCCACTGGGTCTGGAACATAGTTTAGCACCAGTGAGAGGCTTATAATGTGGAATTTATCGTTGTCCGATGCAGGGAGCGGTCGGTCCATAAAATCTTGCTGCGATATACCAGGCTCCTGGGAATGAAGGTCGATTCTGGTGACCGATATAGACGGAACATTCGAACAAGCATTTTTTGTAGATAACGCACCGATTTCAAGCAACCGAAATTGGAACCCATCATTAGTGTCTTTTAGTGCGGGTTGAAGCCACCCAATAAGAGTCTTGCTGGAGTCACCACCGCGTTCTTTAGATTGACCTTTTTTGCTGGCTAACTGGTAACTCTCCAGTCCTCCTGTAGCCGCAATCCTTTTATCAAGCTCACATACTAGTTCCTCATTCCCATCCTTGAGAGCTTGAGTGCGAGCCTTTTGAAGCTGGTGATGGGACCGAATCAGAGTTCGGGTCGCTTTTGCCGAGAGCGATACTGTAGGCTGGTGGGCGGTGGGTGGTCGGCCATGACGGAGAGACTTTGGCCGTGTCTTTCGTGATGCTTTGCCCATATTCAGCGGAAGATATTGGAGCCATCACATGAAGCTGGAAAGCACCCAGGGATAAACGCTGCTCTGGACCATCGCGTTTGCTTCTGAATTCTCGAGCGAGATGAAGGTCGAAATCTAATCGGGACGGGAAGAACTTAAAATGGCCCCTTTGGGAAAGGCGCGAACGCGTGACGGGTGTTCCGTAAGATTCGTAATTTACAGGTCAGGTGACCACACAATCAGGGTTTGGCGAACTAAGCGAGAAAGCGACGATTGAACGAGAAGGAGAAATCAGTGGAAGAGAGATTGATCTTGCGACAACAACCACGACGCCGTCACTCAACAGCAATGGCACCAAAGGACAGCAAGACAGGTGGGCAATCCCCGTTTTCTATCGGCTGTAGTTTCAGCAACGCTTTTGCCGCAGACGGTGCGGTATCAGGCTCGCCGCTGTTCTGCACATTTTCCGAGTTTTCTTGATGCTGGAGGGCACATAACTGACGGCATTACGACTACAGGCAAGAAGCCCGCTAAGGCCGGTGCTGCTGCTAAGGCGGTGCTTAAGGGGGTACGTTCTCACCGAAATTCGCATCGAATATCTGGACTGTGATATGAAGGACATGGGGACTAAGAATACACCAGGTTCACTCTCACAAAGTCAAGAAGATCCGCACATCGACTACCTTCCACCGACCCAAGACCCTCCAGCTGTCGAGATCTCCCAAATACCCCCGCAAGTCGATCCCCCATGCGACTCGCCTCGACCACCACAAAGTCATTGTTCACCCATTGAACACTGAGAGTGCGATGAAGAAGATCGAGGAGAACAACACCTTGGTCTTCATCGTGGATGTCAAGGCCAACAAGAGACAGATCAAGCAGGCTATCAAGAAGCTGTACGACGTGGACACTGTCAAGATCAACACATTGATCAGGTACGTTTTACAAGACCATGTGGGCGCGCCGCTTTTGCGCTTAGAGAAGAGAAGTCTCCTGTTTGTTTTAAGACGGCTGCTGACTTGCCGCGTGCCACAGACCCGATGGATCGAAGAAGGCCTTTGCGCGGTTAACGCCAGACGTCGATGCTCTGGACATTGCAGCAACAAAACTGGCGATTGTTTAATGGGATGGGACGGACTTCTTTCACTCTGCTGTTCTCAGGGAGTCAATCGATTATGTTTGCTATGAGATTTAGGCAATTAAACCAAGATTGACGCATGATTTTTCACTGTTCATTTCCGTTCCTGCACTGCCTCATTCCACCACCCACATGTACAGCATTAATGGCTGGCGGTAGGATCGCCGGCCTTGCCAATAAATAATATGCGCGCCATTGATCGTGCTCAGCTCGCGGGCCGAGTCGCGGGGCGGGCCCGTGGCAGCGATTCTCGAACAATTGGCAGGTTAAGCCCGAAAGCTTCGCGTGGCGATGTGTGCGTCAGTGTGGTAAATGAATGCGCGCGACAACGCGTCGATCGCCATTAGCACCACCACCATGCGCTCGCGCCTCGGCTTGGGCCCGACGTAATTGAACCGCCGCCACTTCGCCAGGATCGAAGCCCGGCGGCGCGCACATGGCCGCCGAAGCGCTTTGGCGAGGAGGGTGGGCCCGATGTGGCCGTAATTCGCAGGGTGAGAGCGTAGGCGACAGTCATACGAGTGCCAGACGGGCGGGCGGGCGGGCGGGCGTGAAGGAGCGCCAGCAAAGCGAGCGGGCGGGCAGCGTGTAGGGCTAGACACGCCTGTGCGCGCGCAGGGCCCGGCCGACGTTGCATTGCGCGCTGGGCGGCTGGCCAGGGGAGCGCTGCGTACGAAATAATAATAATACTCACGGATCGCGGCGGCCGCACTCACCCGGATCTAGATCGCCGGGCGCGTATTGGGTGCGGTGGTTGCATGGGCGGGCGCGGTGGCGTTTCACGTTTCGGGCCCAAGCCTGCCAACTCACAGCCGCCCGCCTCCACCTTCCAGCCCACCACCACCCACCCACCTCACTCATCCTCTCATCCTCTCCTCTTCATCACCACCACCACGCCCGCCTGTCCATCCACCGTCGTTTGTCCTCGCCCTCTCTCGCTGCTCGCCCTCGCTCTCGCCGTCGCTGTCCCCTCGTCCGCCGTGCTCGTCTTTCTATGTGCCCTGGAAGCGACCTGCGCGTCTCTTACCGCTCTTTGCGCCGCCTCCCGCGCCCTCGCAGAACGCCCGCACCGCGCTGGACAGACCCTGACTTTTTCGCTTTTTTTTCCGTTTTTCACGCGTCAAATCACTCCTACTACGTGACTCGGTGATTGTTTGCCTCGCCTGCGCCGTTATCGCGATGAACCCGACGCGACATCCGCCGCCCTTGCGCATATACCACGATCCTCCACCCGCCGTAGCCCAGCCCTCCGCCGCCCACGGCCCCGCGCAACCCAAGCGCCTGCAGCCATCGCCCATGCCGCTGCAGTCCATCCAGAACATAACGGCCAACCGAAATCTCGCCCTGGACCCCCCCATGAAGGATTTCCACCGTCGATCTCCCGTCAAGTCTCACCACACGCCGGATGCGACTGCCTCTGGGCCAGATAAATTCGACTTCGTTCCCATCTCTGCGCCCCATCCGGCTCACGTCCCGGCAACTGGATCCCCTATGAAGAAGCCTCAGTTCTTCTCGTACACCGAGGTCGCAAGCCAGGCTGCACGACAGCCCCTATTCACTATGTTTTCCAGCGTTCCGGATGGTGGGCTACCCGCACCACGCCGCCAGTCGCTCTCTGAGCCTTTTACTGAAGTAATTGCCCCTCCTTATGTACCCCAAAGCTCGGTGAAGCGCTCTCCAGCAGAGAGCGTCACAGGCAAGGATCGGTCGAAGAAGCAGAAACGCGACGGAAAGTTCACCACCCACCTGCCTGCGCCCCATGAGATGCCGCCAGTTGAAGATGATGGCACGAAACCGCCCTTTAGCTACGCCATCTTGATTGGGATGGCTATTCTGCGCGCTCCCAATCGTCGCCTGACTCTTGCTCAAATCTACAAGTGGATTTCGGACAAATTCTCGTTCTATCAGTCCAATGATTCTGGCTGGCAGAACAGCATCCGCCACAACCTGAGTCTCAACAAAGCGTTCATCAAGCAAGAGCGCCCGAAAAACGATCCTGGAAAGGGCAATTATTGGACCATCGAACCTGGAATGGAGGCTCAGTTTCTCAAGGAGAAGCCGATCAACCGCCCTCCCATCATGTCGACCATGCCCTTGACTCAGCCGGTTACGCGTCCCCCACGCTTGCACCTTCAGCCGCCGGAACCCCAGCGGGTTGAGTTCCAACCAAGTGCGCCTACTGCTAATACCACCATGGCGCCGCCTGCACGTGTTCCCCAGTCAAACCCCCAGGATCTTTCTTCTGACGCGACAATACCGGCTTCTGACCTTGCTCTTCAAGATGACACTGAAGACGAAGCCCTCTTAACTACTCACACTGACCTCAACGCCCCTCGCTCATCTCCCCTCCAACAACTTCGATCTTCGCCCCCTGTTCCTCCCCCTATGTTTCGCCGTGATGCTACTCCTCCGACGCCATCTCGCCCTGCCACTGCCGCTGCTAATGGACCACGCCCAAGGAAGCGCAAGCACTCTATCGTAAATGATAGCGGGTATTTCTCGTCTCTGGAATCATCTGCAATGCGACCGCATCAATCTGGAAATCCATTACCATCTGATCTAGATGTTGACCTCCCACGAATCAAGGCTGGAAGCGCCGAAGAGGAAATTGCACGAATTCGCAGTTCTTCGCATGATATCAGCCCTATTCGTTGCTCGTCTTTAAGGGAAACCATCCATCTAGTAGGCTCGTCGCCCTTGCGTAACGAGTTCATGGCATTAGTCCCCCCACCTCTTACTCCTGCGATTAAATTTAAGAAGCCATTACGGCCGCCCCCGTCGCTGTCGCCTAATACCAACCTCCGCAACCATCGAAAGAAGATTCAACAGATGGTTAACTCTCCCATCAAGCATCTGGGACTGGGAGATGATGTGCTTCCATGGAGCCCTGCCTTCAATATTCAAGACGAAGTCTTGGCACATGAGGCATTGGGCACTACCCCATTCTTTGATATTTTCTCCGATCATTTTGGACCTGCTCTCTCCACCCCGACGCTGGGATCGCCTGAAAAACGTTCGGCAAAACGCGATCGGCTTGGTACAAATGTTCTGACAGATATCACAGCCGTGTCTGGAAATGTTCGATTAAATACTCCGCTATCTCGACTTTCGAAATCCAAGGTGATGAAATACTATGAGTCACCATGCAAACGGTCGAATAATTATGTGGAGAACCCAAATGAAGATCTGTTTTCTTTCAATCTTTTTAGTGAAGACGCTCTTGGAGAAGTCGATGGCATTGACCTTCTCCAGGGCTTCGAAAAGATTGGGAAGCCTGCAAAAGAAGAAGCGTCTCCGAAACAGGTGATTAAAACAGGACGCAAAGGCTCTACTCAGTTGAAGTGATGCCCAACTGTCTTTTGGAGTTTGAGTGTTGTTTTCTGTTGCGTTAAGCGTATGATTGTTGTTGTTGTTTTCGTCGTTTGTCACTTTTGGCCCAACTTTCCGCTCATTCACCGATTGGTTCCGCTATTGGAGTCGTCCCTTGGATTGATTCGAAGTTTGGCTCTTGCCTAGTTTTGTGCCTTTTCTGGTTGCTCTGCTATTTGCCCTCTTTATTCTAGGTTAAGTTGTTCTTTTTAATTTTTTTGCCAAGCCGGGCGGATTACTTCACTCATTTATTGTTATTGCACTCGTTACAAGGTGTTTAGCGGGCACTTGATTGGGATGGGCGGTTGATTGTCTTTCACGGCGGTAACAGGATCTGGTCATAGGGAATTGGGCAGGTTCGGAGTTTCAGAGGATCATACCTGAACTGCATGGCGCTATCAGGTGTCCTCTTCGGGGTGGCGATTCTGAAAATTTCCCAACATGGCCTTGCGATTTATTTGAACAGCTTTATTAGCTTCTTCCTGGACAAATTCTGTTTATGGCGTCAGGTCGGTGTGTTGATTGGGCGCATCGAATCATTCCTGGGGAAACTATGTATTGGGGTTATGACTCTGATGATGATAATGTCTGATGTACAGGATTACGGTCTATGAGCTATTGTTTTGCCTTTTACTGTGAATACTTTTCTGTCTATTATCTTAAATAAAACCTCTATACTGTCTGTGTATCGTTGTTCAAATGCAGATACAAATTTACATGTACTGACTCTTAAATTTATCGGATATCTTGCATGGCAGGTCAATTTCAAAAGTCATATCTAGGCTCAGTAACAGTATCATGCCCAATCCAATCCCATCCTCAGAACGCCATGGCCAGACCCGGAAAGCTCACCACCAAAGAAATAGCGAAACCGAGGAGCCGAATGCAAGCCCAGTTCTTTTTCCTGCATCGCTTTGAAAAAATGATAAAAAGCATAAAAATAAAGTAAATGTATTCAATAAACCGCAGGTCCATTGACGCCTTAGTCACTGCTCGCACACCCTCGACACCCACAGCTCACACACTGGATGTTTTGCTCCTCTTTCAGCTGGGCCTTGGGTACACGACAGATACACGTCGAGCTGAAATTTGTCTCTTTTGTCTGGATGCAGCGAAGACAGCATAGCTGAGAGAAGAAATGCCGTGTTAGTACACATATGAGGCTAAGGAGAAGATAGGAAAATATAACGACATACCTTCTCGTAGCCCTGCTTCTTCCACTTCGCGATTAGGTTTGCCTCCGCGTAGTTATTCCTCAGCAGCCAGTCGTATAGTTGTTTCGAGATTGCTTCTTTCTCGTAGTATAAGTCATAGATATATCTCGAGCCTAGATTCAAGGCTCAGTATTACGTCGTTTTGACAAGTTGCGACAGAGCGGCTGTGCTTTGTTTTGGGCTCGTGGGACTCACGTTGATGGCTGATTTGAAAAATGGGCCACAGAACTTCATGTCTCTTCTTGCCTTCGTGCGACGCGTTTTCCGCGTCTTTCATCTTATTGCTGAACTCGAGGAGCGTGTCTTCGATGTCGTCAAAGCCATCTGGTGGGGGTTTCCGGTTTCGAGCTGATCGGATGGGAGGCATGGTGACGCGAGGGGTTCAGTTGTGGAATGTAGTCTATCGAGGTGCGACTCTAGGTTTCTAGAGAGATCGTAGTTATGCTTGTTTCGTGGTAAATTTCAATAATAGTTAAGCCAAAAGACAAGTCCGACCTTTTTACCTTGCGGAAATGATGACTGCAAGCTCAGAGCTAATTTGAGAGTTCTGCCTCTCTTCACCGTCTTTGGAGCCTGGATCAAAATTGAAGCTTTGCGCGGAACCGTCATAGAAGATATCTTTCAAACCACCGTCTAATTCAAATTGACCACTTAGCACGAAGACTTCAGCCATTATCACTGTATACACTTAAATTCACAGAAAATACTTCCCCAGAACCATGGAGCAAGCACAATTCGACCCCTCCAAACTCAATGACGCCGACAGACGAGAGCTTACCGAGTTTATTTCCAACGAGTCCCAAAAGTCAACTATTCAAACCAGTAATTCTCACGCTCCCTAGCATACATCAAGAATATGGGGAACAAAAATCACTAACTTTTGTTCTTTCACTCTCTCCCCAGCCGTTCACCACTTGACAGACGTGTGTTGGAAAAAGTGCGTAACCGGCAAAGTTTCCTCCGGCGGCTTGGATCGATCTGAAGAGACGTGCGCACAGAACTGTGTTGAGAGGTGGATGGACGCCAACTACGAGATAGTGAAGCATCTGTCTGTGTTGAGAGGATCGCAATAGCCTGGTGGCTTTCTGGTGATGGAGAAGTTGGGGCAAATATTGGTACATACAAACACACTGCGTTTATATGGTGCATGAAGTTTGATGGTTGCAAATTATATCCAAGTGAATTTACTTTTTACTTATTGCTTGTGATACTTGTCTTTATACAAAGCATGAAGTCTTTGCCGTAGGCAAACGGTCTCAAAAGCAACAGTATTCATTGCATTATAGTACCATAGGTTCTAATAAAGACTGGTGAGATGATGATTTATGAACTCTATTGTTTGGTGGAGGGCGGTAGTAATGTGAAGCTTGATAGTAGTAAAAACTGTTACGTACGTTCGGCTGCTAGCTAAACGTCAAATCATTACCTACATACAGCAAGCTCGAGAAATTAGGGCTTCAAGGCGATAAATTAATAGTGTAAGCAGAACATACTCCGTACATCATGCTACCATTGAGAATCCTGATAATTCAACCTCCTCTTCATCATTCAATATTCAAGTATTATGGCACTGGTTTGTACAGCTATAGTATTCCATACTCTGCAAGTAATACCCATTACAATGTTCCACCGAATAGTATAGGTGGACTGCAATATCACCAAATAACTACTCCATATTAATTGAATGAAACAAGCTCATACCTCACCTTTGGCTTGTGCAAACGTATGCATGCTAGATCAATTATAGTTTACAGTCTTGAAATAGAACTATTGGATACCTCACCTGCAACTTTGGCTCTGGAGGCGTGATCAGGTAAATTTTTATAAGAAGCTAGTTAAAATCTTTCATTTAGTACATCTCTTTCCATCTAGTTTGAAAATATTAAATACCTTATTTCTTATATAGATTTGATTAATAAAACTTGTACTGTAAGAGGGCATTGTTGATGAAGAATACAAAACAAAGCAAAGTTTGATATTCAGTGGCCAATAGAAGGCGTGAAATATCAGCGCAAATTCTAAGCAACTAAGAGGTGTTCTTAGAGAGCACATACGGCTGTGTGAGGTAAGGCCCTAAAAAGCACCATGTTCAATCTATAAAGTACTCCATAAAGGAAGATGATGTTTCTTTTTGATTTCATAGTATTTTTGATATTGTTGTATGTACGCAAAATTCATGCCAGTAATCGGCAGGTATCGCTGTTTCTTGTGTCATAGGATCCATGCGTAAGAAATCCCTCGGTCTATATGTCACGCATCACTTCCCACAACTAAGGGTTGTAACTCCAAGCAATGATATAAACAAAAAATTTTTTCTGTACCCTTGTTGGTTCGCAGCTGGCGCCCGCGACAGGTACGTATAAGTACAGGCGTCTCGAAAAATATGAATAAATGCTTACCTTCCAGAGCCCATTGTTGGAATGGAACTCACTGGACGGTGCATCTTGGGGTATTGTCAAAAGTGTAAGTAGCTTTTGGCATGTAGGATAGGTAGAAGGATGTTGGTCACTCTCGCCTTGGCCTCTTTTTTTGCTCTCAAAAATGAAAACATAAGCTTATGAAGGGTATCAAACGGTAGGAAATAAGCTAGGAAGAGATGAGGAATTTTGGAGTATATGGATTAGTCCAAAAAGGTAAAGAGGTTCGTATGAAGGATGTTGATCGCACGATCGGCATCTCGTTCTTCAATAACGCACGATATGTTGATTTCACTAGCACCTAAACAACAACGAAGCCATTAGGTCTGTAATAGTAGGAATTTGGCTGGGGAAATAGAATGAGAACCAAGCATACCTTGAGAGATCATTTCAATGTTGACGTTATGCTCTCCTAGAACGGTAAACATTCGTCCAGCTACTCCTACCATGTTCTTCATTTGTTTGCCCACCAGGCTAAGAATTGCCATTTCTGGGATGATATCGACGGTGCCATATTTCCGAAGGTCTTGGATAGCACCTCGTAAGTCCTCGTCTATGATCTGGTACTCATCATGGCCAACACCATTAAGCAAAGGAATCTCAGAATGAAGGGCAAGAGAGACGTGGACTTCGCTAGTGGATATCAAGTCAATCGACAAGCGCCATTTGTCAAGTACGGAAAAAATGCCCGCAAAAAAACCATGGGACAGAGATCGCTTGTTGGAATGTACGTTGATGACAAGAATCTTGTGCTTTGCCGTCACTGCAGTCGGCCGTTTGGGCCCTGGATGTTGAGCTACAAATTGAGGCCCCCGTGTACGGAAGAATTTTGGCTCATGGCCAGGCGTTGTCTTCTCCAACTCTGAAGTGGAATCCGGAAAGATGACCGTACCCTTCCCATTCGGTTTCATAACATTTTTTATGCGGATAGGAATTTTAGCTCGGATCACCTGCTCCATGGTGAAAGGGTGGATGACCTCAGAGCCATAGAAAGTTAATTCTGCGGCTTCTGCAGGCGTAATCACGGGCAGCAAGCGCGCAGTAGGTACTTTTCGTGGGTCAGCTGTGAATATGCCATCAACTTCCTTCCACACCTGTAGCTCGTGTGCCCCGACTCCAACTGCTACAAGGGCAGCACAGAGATCTGTATAGCCACGCCCGATTTTATCCAACAAGCCGCCAGGAACAGCACCAAAATATCCCGTTACAACAGGTACTTTAGCGGGGCATCCACGGACCTTTTTCCCAAAGAGATCAGCTAAGCGGTCATAGAAATCTTGGTCCAGTGCTTGAATTCCGGCAGCAAAGTCAACAACATCAGAGAGGTCAATGTATTGCGAATCCACACCCCGGTCTTGGAGCAATGTAGTCATAAAGCGGCAGCTCAGCTTCTCTCCAGCACTAATCACCATGTCGACACATCGACAACTAATCTCTCCTAGGGTCTGAGCCGCGTCCAAAATTTTGAGAATCCGTAGACACTCGTCCTGGATCTGCGATACCAATTCGGCTCTTAAATCTGGGTTTTGTATGTATTCGCCCGCCACATCGATGTGTTCTTGCTTCACAGCATTAATGAGGGAGAGGTAGTTGGATGATCGGGGGTTTTCTGCTTCCCGCGCCGCACGTAGTAGCCTGCCAACCAGACCCGTTAGCCTTACTCTCGTGAACTTCCTCTTTTTGTCCTTGGCGACAATTGACAATAACACGTTGTAGAAAAATATGTTGCTGGCGGCTCTTACCGATTGGTGGTGCCATCAGCTTTGGACGAGCTACTCCTAGCAGAACAGACGACTGCCACACGATGTTCCTCGATGCTCGGCCTAAGCACAATAGATAAAATAAGCTATTAGTGGAAGATCTAGAATAGGCGTGAAAGTGGATTCGAACAACGGTAAGGCTTCAGCTGCATCACGCTGTCGCTGCGCACAGTGGAAAGGTGGGGGCCCATTACTGGATGACATTGTCAACAATCTCCAGCGCAAATTTGCCGACGCTGGTTCCTCCGAATTTCTGTACCACCCAGTCGGAGGAAGGACAGCCAGGCACGCTCTCAGGGGAGAGTATTATCTGGCCATCACAAGCGACTCCATTAGGCTGGTGCTCGGTCATCGTGGGCAATGCAGCCAATCTAGCGGCCCGGGACCAGGCAAGGGGGTGAGGGGCGCGAGAGTTGATGCCCAGCGTGGTCCCCGCAGCCCTCGCAGAACAGTCTTGCAGCGAGGTCTCCGCCGGGTTGGTGGCTACTTGTCTGGTCGTTGCACGATGAGTTGCACCGTCGAGTCGTCAATTGACCAGTCAGCCCGCCGCTGAGGATTCCTTGCGGTGCGTGACTCACGGGGGACGCAAAAAAAATCTCGGAATAGAGGTTTTGCCGAAAGGATCACGCAATGGCCGCTAGCCGAGATAGGTCTAGCCGCGCCTGGCGCTCGGCTGTGGTCGGGGTTTGGCGTGCTTGCCGCGCCGCGGTTAGTCAGCGGCATTCTGCATCCAGCGAGTGGTGATCAACCTCAACCTTACCATCCACGGGCATCATCGGGCTGGGCTATGCACTGCCGCTTGGGCCCGGGCCGCCATTTACGGGAGCAAGGGCAAGTTTGACGGCAGCTTAGGGTCGAACTCTATCACACTCAGCTCGTTTCTGGGAAAGGCCAGATGTCACGTCAACATGTGCCTACTGTGTACAACAACACCAGTCTCGAGTACTGGTAGGTGGGTATATTTGCACCAGTCTACATTCTGAACCTTTGGATTTCGGGACCATTTACTTAAGTGCTACAATAACAAGCCTTCGGGGTATGATAAGCATGAATTCCGTTACTGGAAGCACATACTCCATCTGGGCAATTTGGCACATTTGACCAGCGCTACACCTGCATGCTTTGTTCTCGCTGTTTACTTTTTTTATCTATACTCTTTTTGGCCAAACACTTACAGGAATATAGGTGGATGGCTAAAAACAATATTTCCTCCATGTCCATCAATGTTGCTTAGATGGTGCCTTGCCAACAGTTAAGCACAAGGCTATACAGAAATGTCTGGAAGGGGCACGCTCTTCTGCTTTTCTTGTACTAGAGTATGCCTTTGTGTTTGATCGCACCTTGCAATTAATTGCAATTTATCCCCTCTTCATCATAATTGGCACTACCTTCGAGCCTCTTCTTTGATATCTATCATAGATATATCCCATATCTTTTCCCTGGCCCATATAATCTGCCAGATTATGGTCATTAAGTGAGCCCATACGGCCTTGCTACAAGGTTATCTGCGTCATCTGCTGGAGACCAAGCCTTTTTTAGGCGCTGTTGCATTGCAATAACTTGCTTCTGTTTTAAGCATGTCAAAAGGTTTACTTAGAATAAACGACAATAAGAAATATGGCTTAGAATATCAGTTTATTGAAAGTCTTACGGCCAGGCCATCACTATCGCCCTACTCGTCGGACTCTAGGGTAAACCATCGTTTTACAGTTTCATTCCAAGCAACACGATGGTCGCTGCAGAAAGGGCCGTTGCTGCCTGGAGGTAGGTGTTGCTTCCAATCGTTAGACCAACTATGCTTGTGGTATGCTATTGCTAGGGTGAATATTACTATCAGTTGGGCAAAAATGAAGAAAAAGAGAAGCAACTAAGCTATGCTATGAGCCTAGTCATGCGCATAGTGGAATAGGAAGCAATCGCCGAACACCCCAATGGCAAAATTATCTAATTTATTCATGTTAGTTTGATCAGGAATTCGGATTTCATTTGTATGCCTTTGCTAATACAGATACTCACATTCTCCATTCTCCAATGAACGCATGCAATGTTGTCGTAAACTATATTTTGAATTGCCCACATAGAACATTTTGAAAAGAAGTGATACACTGGATATTGATAGCAGAATCTCTTACAGTGAAGTTCACTGGTTCATAAACTAGTGACAACTCTGGAGATTCTGGGTTTTGTTTGTACATCACTATCATTTTCTATTTTGTGGTAACTAAACAAGATATCATTGTTGCTCTGTAGACAAGAAAATCTTAACACTTTTTACTTCACATGAGAGATGTTGGTAATAATAGGAGACTATGGTATTTTTGATATGGATGACAGTTGTCTAGATTGGCCCATTTATTCATGCACTCCAACTGTTTCTTTTTTGTGGCTTTGTATGTGTCAAAACGCCCCAAGAACAAACAATTTCGCGCAGAACCCTGCCAACACTGGCCCGAACCCACCCACAGCACCTTGTCAAGGCCAATAGCTGATCTCCCTTCATGTGGGCGACTTTGACATAATCTTTGAATATACTATTGTCATACTTTTTCATTTCACTGGGCTTGATGCCGACGTAACGACGCTAAGTTGGCTTTCCTGAAAATGGCCGAACAAGAGGACCATATACCGTCATGTCCATTCTGTGAATTCACAGACCAGGATACCTATTTCCTCTTGCAGCATATTGAACTCTGCCATCCAGAAAACGGAAATTCTCCATTTATAGCGGAGGATGACCAGAGCCACGAGGCCGCTACCACGAAGGAACCATTTAATACCCCGCCTGGAGCTGCGACACCCCCAAGAGCTAACTCGCCATCTGTGGACATCGATGCTAATCAATATGTCGAGTGTCCTGCGGATTGCGGAGAAGCTATAGTCATTGGAGAACTTGCAAGCCACCTGGATTTTCATTCTGCAGAAGGACTTGCCCTAGAAGAGGCGGCTCTGTCTTCGATTAAATCGCCAAGCTACGACAAAGAATGCTCCAACCCGAGTTATGATTATGATGACGCTGATGATATGATACCTATGAAACTGGCAAAAACAATACGCGATCGAGACCGCCCGCGAAAAGGCGTCGTGAGAGATACAGCCGTTCAGCCAAAGCCATCCTCACAGAAAAGAAGGAGAAGACATGGCTCAAATACAGCACATCGGTCTACAGCAGGGAGGAAGCTGGGTGTATGAAACCCTTCTCACACCCTGCATTGAACCCCGGTATTCACTAATCATATTTACTTCAGAAAGCTGAACTAGGGCCACATGCCAATGAGAAACAAATGCCCGCGTGGTTGCGTAAAATGCTTGAAAGTAGTCCGCGGGTAGCATACGAGAATAGAATACGATTGGATGGCTCTTTGGTCAAAGTTGAGGTCCTTGAAAACGAGAGAAAGGGCGTGGTTCCTGTCCTTCGTCAGCTGTCTCAGCTGGATGAGAGTGTCGAGCGGGCATTCTTCTGTGACCCTAATGTTCGACATGTGTTCAAGATGTCAAAAGAGGGAGGCTTTTGTGGATACCGTAATATCCAGATGCTCATATCATATATTAAAGATGCCAAAGCAGCTGGCGTCGAACAATTTCCGGGCAAGATACCTACTATTCTACAATTGCAAGATATGATTGAGCATGCCTGGGATATGGGCTTCAATAGCAACGGAAGAGACGAAACAGGAGGGATACGAGGAACCAGAAAGTACATCGGTACATCTGAGGTATGTTACTCTGTGTGGAAAGATCAGCCCTATAGTGAATATCCAATTTCTAGTTGCTTACATACCTAATTACAGGCTCAAGCTCTATTTTCTAGCTTAGAAATACGGCAAGTAGATTCAAGGCAATTACCGACTAAAAGCTAACATTTATATTAGGTGCCAAGCTGCAGTTTTTATCAGCACAACTGAACAGTCAGCGCATCAATCTCTCTTAGAAGCTATAACAAGCTACTTTATTCAATCCTGCACGGAATCAGTGGATATAAAAGTCTGCCAGACTACTCTTCCACCTATTTACTTTCAACATTCAGGTTAGAATATGCTTGAAATCGAGAAATTTGAGTAGCAATCTTACTTGCGATTTAGGACATTCACTAACCATCATTGGCCTTGAGTTACGGAAGAACGGCTCTTCAAATCTTCTTGTTCTTGATCCAATGTTTAAGACCTCACCAGCCATACAAAGATTAACCGGTACAAGGGTAAGCTGTGAAAACCCAGGGCGGATTCTTAAAGCACACCGGAGATGTGATGGATATCTGAGGCGGTATAATGAGTTTGAAATACTGAAGTAAGCTGTGCAAATCTTAATAAGTTATGCCTGTTGTTAATGCTAACCAAAATCAAGGCTGTTTCCACATGAAAAGTCTGGATCTTAAACACATAAGTGCATAGTTAAGATTGGCGTTCTGCTGGCTACATATGTAGTGAGTTAACTAGATCATATACGGAGTACAGTTGGTTCCAAAAGTATTGTGAAATGTGCCAAACTCATGTTTGTTTTAGCATATATAGCTACCCTGGAACACCACACAAAATGTAGGTAGGTAGAAGGTCAATTCTACCCGAATTTATCTTGTACAATCGGCTCCGATCTATTTTCTATACATTTTGTTAGTAAAATTGTTCCCACAGTGATAGCGCGTTCCAAAATCCCAAGTCATGGCTCCACATAAGTCCCTTCGTGCCTCTCCGCCCAAAGCATCAAAAAAGGCAGTCCCCCAGTGTGCAAAAACCACAGTAGCTCCTCCTGGATTGAAATTGAAGCCCGGGACCCAGCTTTGGCTTCTCTAACAGCTCAAGATGAGAGCATTGTAGAGCTTCAATTTCAATCCAGAAGGGGCTGCTACATGACTTAGTATTTTGGGACTGGTGATCACTATGGGAACATTTTTACTAACAAAATATATGGACAATCAATTGCAGCTGATTGTATGGAGTGTGAGATGAAGTCAAGCAAAATCAATTTTCTATATTTATACTGTACGGAGAATGTAACTAACTAGCACTAAACCCTGTTGGGCAGGCACTGAAGTTTGTTGATGTTCTGTTGAACATATTTGTTAGGAGCAAGAATTGTGTGATAGTTACAGAGTGCAAAGGAGCTATTCTCTTAATCATCAAATGCTAGTGTAATATTCATTTAGCAAACAGTCTTCCAAACCCCATAGTTTTCTCTACTCTTTTTCCACCCTGCTGTCCCGCCTCCTCCGCAACGTGCTTGTCAATGAGAACTTCTCCAAATATTATAATTACCGGCACCCCCGGTGTCGGCAAGACTGTCCACTGCGAGCAACTCGCACAGGAAACGGGCTTACGACATTTGTCAGTTAATCAAATTGCGAAAGAGCGTGGCTGCCATGACGGATATGATGAGAAGTTGAAAAGTTGGATTGTAGATGAGGACAAGGTGATTTCTTACTCTTTACTAAGCCAGCCCTGCAGCTAACAGTTTAACAGCTGCTAGATGAGATCGAGGAAGAGGTCCAACAAGGTGGATACCTGATTGACTGGCATGCTTGTGATCTTTTCCCAAAGTCATGGATTGATCTCGTCGTTGTGCTTCGTTGCCCATCAACATCAATATTATATGACCGACTCTCCGGAAGGTATGTGGAACTCGCTTTCTTACTGCTATAATACACCCTAGCTTTCTAACGCTTTGGTTTCCAGAGGCTACGGAGAAGAAAAGCTCCAGGAAAACCTGGACGCTGAGATTTTCGAGGTTCTCCTTGACGAAGCTAAAGAATCTTACGACGAGGAAATTGTTGTCGAGCTGACTAGCGAGACTGACAACGAGATTGAGAGCAATTGCTCGAGAATTGTTGCTTGGATCGCCGCCTGGAAACAAACGCACACAGCCGCAGATGGATGAAATATCTAGCAACCGCCTTTTAAGAAGATGAATATTCTATCAAGTGGGAGAGCAGTATTTTGAGTATTGCTACTGCTTCTGCTGTTGCTCTACAATCCACTGTCTCAGTTTCTGGAGAGCTTTGTATCGATGGGACACCGTATTCTGATGACAGATCCGTTAGCTACCGCCCTGGGTGACGTTATTCTGTAGGTAAAAAGCGGGCTGTGGAGGGAATACCTTTTCCTTGGGGTCCATTTCGGCATATGTTTTCCCCTCAAATTCAAAGATTGGGTCCCAACCTTGAGTAATCTGTCAGCTCAGTTGGACACAATTTTGGGATGGAACAGACCAAATTTCGACGGGCCACGGGCGGGCACAATTCTGCCCTGCAAATCAAATTGTTACGTTAGATCTGTCATATGTTTAAGGCTTGTGGTAATGTTCGTTGCATACTTCTGTGCGTCCTTGAAATAAAATCGGTTCCACACCCGGGCCAGAGGCGAAAGCGAACGTGCAAATAGCAACGGCTGATTTATCCTCAAATCCATAAAGCAACTTATTCAATCCATCGTGGTCTAGTTTTTCAAGGAACCATTTACTAGTGATATTTCAGCCAAAAGTCGCATTGTTTTCATGAAATACAGATTCCCCATACATATAGGGACCCGGCAAGCCATTTAGGGCGTTGAACTCTAAGGCTGTGTCCTCCGTTAGAACTGGCCCATTTACCTAAGTAGTGTGTTCAGTACGTATTTTCTAAGCTATTAATGTGTCTAATACCTCCTTGGCTGCATTCCGACATTTTTGTAGTGCTATTTCTTCCACGGAGCCCTGCAGCTCGGGCAGGTCAACTGGCACATTTTGCACTTCGATAGCATCTCCTAGTATAGCCTGAACCTCAGAAAGTTTGTTTTTATTCCCGGTAATAAAATTAATCGATTTCATGGCGGCGGCACCTTCGATGTAGAGAAAAAGGTCCTTTGAGGGGCTGATGCTGAAGTTGGTTGTGGGTGCAAAGATTTGACTCTGGTGGCATTTAACTAAGCCTCCCGTCAAACTCCGTTCAAGCATCAACGTCCTCAATTGTCACCACTATTCAATTGCAGGGTATAATCCGCCGCCCAACAGAATCTATTTCATACTATGGTCTGCGTAGCAAATGATGAGATACACCATGCCGCATTTACAGTACTTTCATACAATGGATGTGGCCTGAACGCCATATAAATGCCAAAACAGTCGAGTTTAAGGGGACGGCCGTCAAGACATGTCTGATTATTCAAACCGAAGAAAAAAATTCTAGTGAGTTCAAGAATCAAAACGGGTGCCAAGAATTTCTAGAACAATGCCACCTGAAGCGCAAAGATGTGGAAGGGCAAAGCTAACAACAGCGAAACACCAGAGTACAGTAGAAGACCGAAGTATGTCAACCGATATTACATTAGCAAATATATCCGGTTCGACCTGCCAGAGCATTCTGTTCTGGCATGCACAGCTCCCAAGGTGTTGATACAGCAAGTGAAAGTAAGGAGATAGATGAATAAATAAACAATCAAATGCTACTTTATGTGTAGAATGAAAACAAGAGGTGTGTGTGCAGTAATCACAGCAAAGGAATTAGATATCACTGTAATTCAGGAATAGTGTCTCCGTTTTCAACAACCTCTAGTTTTTCCTGCTGCGCCATGGCCTGCGCAGAAACTATTTCAGCTAGTCGTTTTAATCGTGGGGTTTGGAGCCCTAATTTGAATGTTAGACAAGTTTCCTAACAGAAACTGGAAAAGGTTGATAGTCAAGCTCACATGATGGTGTATATGTCTCCAACGCGGTGATTACACGTGGATCCGCAATTTCATAAGGGCCGCTATCTTCTAAATCCACAGCAGTGAGAAGGAGGACATCGCTCTTTTCGGTAACTCGAGAGGCGACAGCTTTCATTATTTCCCCGTTTATAGGCTGCTCATAATCCGCGATCAAATACTGATTGAGGAGCTTCTGGATTTGGTTAGGTGAAAGCCTGAGACGAAGGTTAGACTTTGGTAGCAATAGACATAACTTTGGAGGTATACATACATCCAACAAATGTCTTGAATGATCTCAATATCGTTTAAAGTAGCCTTTTTCAGTTGAAGGAGCTTGGTTGCTTGCTACAATGAAGGTCAGTGCCTAGAAAAAGACTACGGGGGAATGAAGAAACCGTACCATTAAATGTTCAAGCTGGAGGGTGCCCTCGGGAAGCTCATGGCTCTTGCACCATTCCTCAATTCTTGTAATATTATAGTTGATCTGAAGACCACGCTTCCAAGACAAGAAATTGCGTCTCATAAGCAAGTCGTTGAACGCGGTGACGCCCACAAGGCGCAATAGCTCCATCATTGTTTGAATGATAATGGTGTCCTCCAAATAATACGCCTTCATAGCTTTGAACACATTGTTCAACAGGCTAAGAAGGTTATCCATGCTGTATGCTGGAACGTTGTTCGATGGCAAGAGTTTTCCAAGGAACCGATTTGTTTCGTTGGTAACAAATCCAGGAAGAGACTGTGATTCGATGATAGCTGGAACGACCATTTTGTAAAGCTTCTTCTTCAAGAATTTCATCCATGTATGGTAGATGTTAAACTCTAAGCTTTCCAAGTCATGCTTCACAATTTCCAGAAGGCGGTCGTATTCGTAATTATCGGTTTTCTGGGCTTCATACCAATCCTCCGCAAGAAACACAAAAGAGAGCATCTCATGGACGTTGGAAAGCCAGAAAGCACCTTGATTGATTAGCTCATCACCTTCATGCTGCATAACCTCTTGTTGAATTGCTTGCATAACATTGGCAAGGAATCGTTCGGACTCTTTTACAAAGCCGTTATTCCACATTTCAGATGTAACGAGGTTAATCAGATAAGCTGGGAAGAGGACTTCTTTATCGGTGGGAGGAGTGTTATTGCTTGGAAGAGGGATCTTTAGATTGCGAATAAGGCCCATTGTGACTTCTTCATTGAGTTCTTCCTCTTCGGAGAGGAGGTTTTCAAGTTCAATTTCGATCGAGTCGATACCTGGAGCAAAGGTGGTTCCAGAGAGGTTGGAGCGAGCTGTGGTAGTAGCAACGGCCATTGAAACGGGGCGAGGGTTATATGCCCCACTGAAACGGTCAGTTTCAACACGACCTGCTTCTGCACTGCGTCTCTTGGGCTTGGGCTTTTTCGATGAAACCAGATTAATAAGGCCAGAAAAGGTGGGTTGGTTGGAAGTGCCGTTAACCTCTCCGTTAGCACCGTTAACAGGCATCGATCTCTTGGCAAACTCAAGCTCATCTTGAAGATCCGAAAGTTGTTGACGTAGAGACGTATTTTCATTATCAATGTTGGAATTCACTTGTCGTATTTTATCGAGTTCGTCGTTTGTTACCCGAAGCGTATCACGAACAACCCGTTCTTCTTCCTGTAGTTTCTTTACCGTGGAAAGAGATTCGGTATGCTGTTGTTGTAATTTCGTCATATCCTCTTCCATGGCAGCCAACCGTGCTGCAGTGATACCCGCCTGATTTGCCTCAGCTTGTAACTCACGGGTACGCACCTCCAAAGTGTTATTCTTGCCTCTCAGGTGTTTAAGTTGTCCTTCGTAGTTTTCAACTTGGGATACCAACGTCTTGTTCTGCTGCTTCAGTGAACCAAGAGTCTGCGTAAGCTCGACAACCTTATTTTCCAATCTATAAGATATTTGCTTGAGATCTCGAGCCTCTTCACGCAGTTTCTTATACTCTTGTCGAGCCTTCTTACCCCTCCAGAGGTTCTGGACGATGACAACTTTCTTGCGGTATTGTCTCCAGGCACGAAGTTGCCGCCAGGATCGGAATGATCTTTGAATGACCTTGGCAGCATTTCCAAGAATGGTATCCATGATGTTTCGCCTGCATAAATAACCTTTTGCGAGAGACTCGAAGAGAACGAAGTTTTGTCTGATGTTGAGATACCGCTTTCTTTCTTTTTGGCCTCTCCAAACACGCTGGATCGTTGTGGCAGCCTTGATCCGACGCGTTTCCATAGCATGTTTTCGCGCGATGAAGCCCCTTATCAAACTCTGAGTTGTAAGGATCGACTCACGCGCTTCAAGATATCTCCGGCGATAATATTTGCATTTCAAGTTCTTTTGAATCATGACGGCACATTCATTCAACCTCGAAGTGCGCAGGTTTTCTAAAAAGGCCAGCATGCCAGCACGGAAAAAAATCTTCGTCAGTCCAAGTTGGTATTTGTCTCCCTTCTGGTGGCTGGCGTCTCCAAGAGCTTTCCTTAAAATAGCATGACCCATTTCTCGAATTTCAGACGTCCACTGCGATGAGTGGCAAAGCATGTAGTACCTAAGAGCGAATTCTTCATAGGTCCATCGAGTTGGATAGCCAGCGCAACTGATTCGGACCGTTTCAAGAACACCACAGGCGCGAAGCTGGCTGAGAACCATGGGCCCCTCGAACTTCCATGACTCCTTTCCTTCATTTGGCTTGATACATCTAATGTAGTGAACGTCTGTAGAATTGATCGTGTTCATCAGCTCAATCAACGACGACTTGAATATACCGCCAAGAGTAGGTTTGCGGTTGACTGCAACTCCAATTTTCCTCCCAGGGGCTGCTACTGCTCTAGATGATATGGAAGCCGAATCCTTTTCACGAACGGCGGAGGCTGCTTCTAATACCGCTCTGATAAAGCTGTTGGAAGAATTTTTCAAAATTTCCATCTGTTCGTCAGGAACCGTGTCTCTATTTTTTTCAATGAACCCGTCCGACTCGTAGGTAACATCAACAGCATAGTGGCAAACGGTAAAAGACGATTTGCCAAATCGAGGCTTCTTGTAAAACTTCTGTTTATCTGCAGCAAAGTTGTGGTGCAGCTTAGTAACAAACTGATCGTCGGATCCCATCGGTAGCCTTGATTCTTCATCCAAAAGGGACAAAATACCAAGTTTTCCTTCGATCAGGTCGATGCAAGGTTGGTTATCAGAGAAGTCGATGAAAGTCCAATCAATCTGCTCACGCACATATTCTTCTTGTTCCAGCTTAAACACATGCTGGTTGAATTCCTGCTGAAGCTTTTCATTGGCATAGTTGATACAGAATTGTTCAAAGGAATTCTTTGCGAAATGTTCAAAACCGTAAATATCCAAAACTCCAATGAAGGACTTGACACGGTTGAGAACATCTTCTGTTGCCAAACTACGGTTGATAATATCGACAAGCCAGTCAAACAAACTTGAGTAAATAAATTTGGCAACGGAGTCTCGTACAACAATAGCTTGTTGCTGAGTTAGGTTTGAAACAATTTTTTCACCTCGAGTTATCAATTGCTTCTTTACAATCCATTTTGAAAATTCGTTAGGATTGATTCCTAGCATCTCACAGGCCCGTGCGAGGGATGGCTCTGATGACGATAGGGACGAATCTGTACGCGTAGCAGTAATTTTCACATTTCCTAAATGTAACAGTGCGCCCAAGATGCGGAATATTTCGGTCTGGGTCTCGTCGGCTACACCGATGGTGGTGAGTGATTTCTTCGTGGCTTCAAACTCGGCTTTATCGTCAACCCCGTCTATCACGGGGGTGCCTCCTTGATTCAAGTAGTCAAACTCTTCAACCGGTAAAATGTTCAAATCAACGCGTTCAGCATCCGTAGCTCCTGCTACTAGTTGGTAAAAGATATGATAGTTTCGCTCCTTTAACGGTTGGAAAACCAGCCTCGACCGCTCTAGAAGGTATGTTCTAATCTTTGCACCAATAATATTTCTTTCCGAATCAAACATAATCTCGATATATTTTCCAAATCGTGAAGAGTTATCATTACGGGTCGTTTTCGCGTTACCGAATGCTTCCATAACGGGATTCGTCGCCAAAATTTGCTCCTCGGTTTTGCTGATTGAATCTGCTCTTCCAGTGGAGTAGTTTTCAGGCTGCTCTGGTGTCCCCCGTGTTGCAAAGTAACGCATAATGTACTTTGCACTGACAGTTTTTCCAGCACCAGATTCTCCGGATACCACGATCGTTTGATTCCTTGAGTCTCTCAACATATCCCTAACCGACACATCAGTAAAAGAACCGGCTGGCGGACTAGAGGGAATAGTGCTCACGCAAAAGCCTCTTCAGCAATAGCGAAAAGATGGGGGGCTTGCGAGGCTCGTTGCTTTCCAGCGTATACCTGCACCATTTGTGGTACATAGAGAGAGTCGACGCGGGCAAACGGATTTGTCGCAATAAGGACGATGCCACTGTATGTATATATTTCCTTCTGGTAGTAGCGTAATTTTATAGCCTGTAACACTGTAAAGGCATTAGATTTGTACACATCCTGCAGATCTCGTACTAAGGAATCATACCAGCAGGCTCGTTCAAATGTGATAAGCTTGTCAAATCCTCACTGGCTTCTAGCATTGCGGGATTCATCAACGGCGGGAGGGACGCATTACTGTTGACCTGCAAATCCGTCTCTGTCGTCTCGATCGTTTTGGTCTACATAGAAAAGCACAAGTCAGCAGGGAGCGATAGGGAATATGAAAGTAGAGACTCACTTCGCCATTCTCTAAAGAGAAAACCAGCTTAATCTTTTCCCCATTTATTACCTTTTCTACTACCTCCGAAGCAACCCATCCCTCCGTTGCGTCCGGCTGCCACGCCCGAGTACCGACCTCAAAACTATGCGCCATGGTGCTGGATTGGAATCGAAGATCAATGACGGCCGCACAACATTAAAGATAAAAGAACAGATAAGATATGAAAACCATGAGATTAGGGGGCATGGACGTTGGGATCAGCATCTAGAGGTGTAGAAGGAAGAAGTGTAATTGACTGGGCTGGAGGTCAACAATGCCCTGCCAGTAAGGTTCAGCGTCCGCTCTTCTTCTGCGGCAAACGTGGGCGGGTTGGCAATTGAGATTTCTGGTCTTCTGCAGCAACGGGAGATCGAGCAACTTGGACGAACCGTACTCCGTGGCAATGTCCAGAAATGCTCGTTGATGGCTGCTATGTAAGCGAGCCTAAAACCCCCTGAAACAGCGAGTCTTGCGATGCTGGGGCGAGCTAAGCAGTTCCGTGGAGACTTTCATGTTACTCTCAAACCGGCCCAAGTCACGTGGGCGGTAAGAAGAAAGTTGCGCTTTTTCGTCTCATGCGCTGGCAGCGTGCGAGCCATCCAACTCTCCAGCCTCCAAGTCCGATGGCGGTGTGTGATGACCATGGAACCTCTCTAGTATGACGTGCATAAATACAGGCGCACGGGCATCTACGACCAACAAAGCCAGTGGAACGCACAACTTTTATTTCACGTATCAAATGACTCAAGTTAACACATATGTATCTACCTACCTACATAACCGAACGAGGATGAACTTCTTTGCAACCGTGCCCCACGCTGACTGCTTACACTGATGGTCCATGGTAATCTGTGGTCGAAGCAGACCTACCGGTGGCTGAAGGCACGGGCAACAAAACCATAACAAGAAAACCACTGTAATAATCTTATCGCACCAGTTTCAAAGACAAGGGGCAACAGGGCCGGGCAAAGGGAAAATCGAAGTGATAAAAGGACATATTACACACCGTATTTGTTTAAAATGCAATATTAAGCCAAGGAAGAAGATATAGAAGAGAAAGGTGAACAATAGTGGCCCTCGAAAAAGACAAGACCGTTTCAATTTAATCGCTTTGAGGCTGGATGGCAATATCTCAAATCTGTTGCATATTTGCTTGAATTTGACTGACACACTTGAGTGTTCTCACTGGAAAAGTACGTAGGTTTAATCTTTTAACTTTGCTTGCACTCCGCTGCCTCCTTCTTGGGCTTAGATCCGTCCTCCTGCCATAAATGTTAGTTTGTGGTGAAAGGGCATTACAGCAGTAGATCCATACCTCTTCATCTGATTCCTCTTCAAACTCGCCAGACCTTCGCTCATCGTCATCGTCATCTTCATCCTCATCGTCGTCGTCATCAAAATCATCATCATCAAGTTGAGCGTCATATTCTTCAAATTGAATTGCCTCTCCAGTGAACCAGTCAATAGCACGAGGGATGAGTTTTTCTTTAATATCTTCACCGAGTTGATAGTCAAGCTCAAGGCGTTCCTCGATGTCCTCAGCGATCTCTTCCTCCGAGTCGTGTGGGGGCTTCGGCGGCGAAAAGAAGTTGAAGAATGACTCAGTCGGGAGCGTGACTTTGACAACGCGTGTTTGCTTAGTGTCTAATAGTTTTTTCAGCTGGGTCAGTATACTTTTTAGAAACGATACAGCATTGAGATCTTACTCTTATTACGCTGCTTCTTGCTTTCTGTTCGAACAGTGAGATCCTTGCCATCTTTCCAGTTGATCTTATCGCCGTCAGCATGGTCATAGATAAAGTCGCCACCATAGCCGCTCTCTTCTTGGTAGTAATAAGTCTTGGAGATACTCTTGTTTGTGAAAAAATCATTGTCGGCAAATTCGAAAATGAGGCGGAACCCAGGGCGGTCGAGATACTCCATGCGAATGTCTGTGAGGTGCTTGAGGGCCTCTTCGTCTCTATCGGTGATCATTTCGGCAAGTGAGATTTGATTTTTCATCGCTGAAAGCCAGAACTCTGGGATACCGGCAGCATTGGCATCTTCGGAGTCATCCTTAGCCTCCTCGGTCTTCTTATTCTCATCATCGCCCTCTTCCTCGTCAGCCTTGCCTGCTTCGACTTCTTTCTCTGTTGGCTCTGCCTGGCCATTAACAATGGTTGCTCGCTTCTGGTAGAGTGGCGTAAACTTGGCGAAATATTTCTTTTCTAGCTGCAGCACCTCTTCCTGGAATTCGGCCTCAAGTTTAGCATGATCTTTCTGAATCCCTTTTAGGCCAGCAACTCGGCGGCGAACAGGAGCGGGGAGGGACTCGATGTATCCAGAAGAGCGGCCAATAAGGGAGCCGAGTTTGCCCTGAATCATAGAGACAAGCTTGGGGTTCTGGGCAAAAAGGGATGCGGCGGCGGCGCGATCGAGCTCCTCTGGACAGTGTGAGAAAACGCTTCTATTGGTGATTCAAAGACAAACCTTCTTTAATGCTTGCAATGTTTGGCTGCTGAGCACGCGAAGAGATAGGAGCAACGGTGGCAGGCGTATTCTGTGGAGTGCTGTTGGCCAGAAGTAGGCGGTCAGAAAAAAGCTGAGAAGCAGAGAGTGTGGATGACTTACGGAGCCCCCACGAGGTCAGCTTTCTTGTTTGGGATCGGCTCGGCCATGTTCAGAGGTGTTGGACGGGGTAGAGCCGGAAAGCACGTCGTGGTATGAAGAGTGTGTTGTTGGAGAAAAGCGAGAAAACGCGGTTAGAAATTATGTTGCTGCTTATCAAGAACCTTCGACTAATCCTTTGGTGGGAGTTCTTTTGTTGAGGGTGGCTTGGCACGACCCTTTGCCCCTCCGCCAGCGTGGTCGCTCGCCATCGCCCCCTCGTCCCCGTCAAACGTCAACGCACCCGCGATCGCCCGCACCAGCTGGCTGATGCTGGAGTGGACAGCACATAAGCTCCCCTACTTGGCTCACTTAGGTGCGGTGGTGGTGCCGCCTGTTCTGATATTTGACCGTCGCCACTCGATTCAGCCTGGCCAGCTCCAAATCATGGCGTTGATCCTGTTTTCACGGCCCGCTGGTATGGCCTGGAAGCGCTGCTGCAACGGAATTGGTCCCAAGTGGCCTTGTCAAACGCTCGACGGGGTGGACAGTCGCCCATTGTGGTACAATTTCCACGGAGCACACTTGTCATGGAATTGCATACCCACAGCGCACTGTTGCCAGGGGAAATTCTTACCAAGGCCATTTAATTAAGGACCGATACTGGCCGTCGTAATGGTCACCCATGTGTCCAGAATGCCTGGGCATTTACATGCCCTCGATGAATGCGCGTGTTGCTGACTGATACCCTGAAAACACACTGCTATTTTACACATATGTTAAGCCGCTACGGGATCCTTCGCCTGTCCTTGAAAGCAAGAAGAAAACGAGAAAAAGATAGCGGTCTACTATGCAGGTCAGTTCGCTAGATGCAAACATGAAGTGATGATTCATCTGCAAATAGCCTCTGTCTAGCGGCTGCAGAGCTGGCGGCCTAATTGAACCTTCGCTACATTTCGATTGCTTTGGTTGGCTGACGCTGGAGAAAAGATTTACATTTTTGACTCATTTGCCTAAACATAGCCTTTGATTTTGCCTTACAGATTATTTACCCTCGCTTTGCGAATTTTATACGGGACAACGCTAAAAAAAATCGCCCAGCCTCGCTGGGCGTAGGCACGAGGGCAGTTGAAAAATAAGATAGGAACGCCTCATGGCCCGACCTCAGCTCAAACCTTTTTATCCTCATCATTTGACTATTAACTTCATGCAAATCAGATAGCAGGGCTTTGGCCGCGAATAATTTCTTTATTCACAAGCCTCGAAGAATATCAGGGCGTTTCTTGGAATGAACTCAGTGTCTAATCAACAGAGCACTCTCTGGACTTCATTTTGTCAAGAATAGGCTGGAAGTTAAAACCTGGGTCTGAGAGCAAACCCTAATCCTGACCGCACTCAGCTCAAGCGTTATAGGTATGTGCCTCTGTGCCCGTGGTCTTGTAATTGGGAATCTGCCTGTATACCGCCGCTTGGGACAGAGTAGCTTGGCGGCTATCTTGGCACGCCGGCCTGTTGGAGGTTGTTGAGCTGTCGTTGTGCAGCCTTATTGAACTGCCCAATCGCGAAGCATTTTCACCACATTAATATTTTAATACCCGAGAGGCGCTCTAGCAACAACAGCTATGTTGCCGCTTTTTGGATATGGGGGGCATACTGAGCCTCCGCCACTGCTACGTTTGTTCTCAACCACCCATCGGATGGGGCAAAGCTCTCAGCTTTTTGAGACTTGAGCACTGAAAGTAAAATTTAGAGGCGGTGGGATTATAAAAACAACAACCTTCTCGCATCGAACAATTTCGCATATAATTCCACTTCTATCCCCTTGCATTTCAACGGCCAGTTTCTTCCCTGGCAAACTTCTCTGCTCAATTAGACTTTCAAAATGATACTTGCACTTACCTCTCTTGCTACCCTAGCCTTTTCGTTGGTGACTGCAGATACTCCATACCCGAAGGGTCATCCCTTCCTCACTGATGCTTATCGCCCAGTGACGAGGAACCGAACGACGGTGTCCTTCATTGATCCTTATACCGGAAGCAACCAGACTATTGCTTATGCTTTATCTGCTACTGGAGATGTGATATATAATGACGACTTGAGCTTCGGACCGGAGTCAGTACTCTTTGAATATATCAACAATCGAACCGACCGACGACCAGCACGCAGAGGTCTCGGAGTGAAGCCGACCCTAGCGTGGCCTGCTGCAACCCTTGTCTATAAGTATGATTCTTGTGAAACACGAGAATTGCTACAAGGTGTAGTAGACGCCGCCGTAAAGGAATGGAGGAAGGGCGCTCCCTATCTCACATTCAAGGAAATGGCACCAAGCGCTCATGATCCTGAGAGCGAAGGGATTCTAACAATAACAAAGCATGACCCAGAATCGTACTGGTGTTGGTCGGTGGTTGCTTGGGCTTACAGCAAAAAAGGCCGCCGAATGAATCTTCAATGGCTAAGTGAAGCTGGTGGGAAGAGCTGCGGTCAAGATCTCAGTGCGGCAATACACGAATTTGGGCATGCTCTTGGGTTGATGCACGAACACCAACGGCCAGATAGAGAGGATCACATTACTGTTGACTGTGCCGGTTACGCCCCTTGGACCATAGATGGCTGCCCCGCTGCTTCATACCCTACATGCTGTAGTGGTAGCTCCGATAGATGTTGTGGCGACTGGCATAATTACGACATCGCTCCAAGTAATCGATTCAACAAATACGGAGATTACGACTGCAACAGTGTTATGCATTATAATGCGGGCAGGGTCTTGAAAAGCAAGCCAGGGTGTGTCATTAACCCTTCAGCTACACCGACCCAGGGGGATTACAATGCCGTATGTGGAATATACGAGGCCCAATGTACTCCTTGGAAGGCAGTGAAGTTTTGTCCAGCAAAGGAAAACGAGGAGTGCGGAACTTGCAAACCTATTTCTGGTTTGAATAAGTGTGATATCAGTACTTCATGCATTGCCACTGGCGGGAAATACCACTGCGCTTGTCGTGCTGGGTTTAAAGCCAATGCTCCAGGCAACGATATATCGAAACACTTTCGATTGCCGTGGGACAATTATCGACACCTAGTTTTTGTTCCTGAGAACACCCCCTGCAACACACTTTGTGATAACCCACATGGATTTTCTCCTCAGCTCTGTGCCGAAGTCAAACTGAGGGAAACTTGTCCAATTTAGTTGGGGAGCAAAATGGACTAAACACCGAAGAGTGGTGATAGGCCACAACTGTGGTAATTTTAGGCTTATATGAAATTTAATATATCTATTCCGCTCCCGACCATTTTCTGCTTGGGTTTTCGACCCCCTGAAGGCTATTTTTTGACTAGCAAGATTCCATTGTGGGACGACGCCATTTAGCCAGTGCTTGAAGTTTTTATTTCAAATCTATTATATCTCTACAACAGAATGCCTACTATCTCAATCTCACTTATTGGTCATTGATGGATATTTCCATTATTGTTCTCTTTCCACCTTCCCTACACAGCAAACACAGACAGTTGTGATGACCAATACAGCTTCAAGGTTTGCTCCCTTATTTGCTGTGACCTGCAAATAAACTAGTAAATTCTGCTTTTCCTTTGTTTACATTGCCATTGTATTCATTGCTTGTGAAAGTATATGTTTACGTTTACATGTGGAGTACTCCGTCCTGTGAATGCTATACAAAGGTATGAATAACGTAACTTGCCATAAATCTAGCAGTACTTATAATCCTTGAAGCCTACACTCTTGTTGACATATTGAGTAGCTCTACAATAAAGGATAACTTATTTCTCTTAAAATTTCACACACGCCCTTTTTTCTGCCTGCATCGCCCATTTGTAGGCGGAAAAAGCCTAAAAAATTGTTGTTCGTATAGGCCTCTTCCCTTACGACTAGTTATGTGATAATACTTTTGCTCACTAACTACAAATTTACAGTGCATAAACCCTTACTTTGTTGAACAAGCTGAAATTTTGCTTTTATTCATTTTCTGGAACCATATATTTCTCCAACTATTGCCTTACTACTGACAGATGCTTACGGAACAATGCGTCTCCACCATGCCTTTACACTTTCTCTCACCACCGGTGCATTTGCTGGTCCAATTGCTTATGGTATATGCCAGGCGGGATGCGCTGGCGTGGTAATGGCTTGCTACTCTGCCGCAGGGTACGTCTGGGGTGCCACACTCGCAGTTGGGGCACCAGAAACTATTCTTGCCTGCAATAGCGCATTTGGGGCCTGTCAAGCAAGTTGCGTTGCGGCGGGATTTTTCCCTGGGTTATGAATGAGTAGCATTTTGGTTTATTTGCTAAGCAGCGCTAATGCCGTCAGCATAAAGTTAGTTAACCGATGACGGGCTATTTGTCTCATGAAAAAATATTTGCAGGTTGGGTAGAAAACCGATATTCACTTGGTGGATTTGATGTCCTCGATTATCAATGACAACATCATACACCTAAATTACATCTTTCTAAAGGCAATGGCCAGTCACCATAACAATTCTGAATCCTTTGAGATCCAATCCTATAATTAATAAATTAAGTGTATCCTTTTTAAATATTGCTTTTACCTTGTATGGGTATATGATATGTTCGAAGTGTTGTGCAGTTCTCCAACCGACATATGTACTAAGTAGGATGATGACGTGTGATTGATAAGATAAGATAAGATAACTACAGAGTCGTATGTTTAGCTAAGCCGGACACAAATGACGACATTCCAAGGCCAGGCAGGGCCGCAGGGGTCACATTACGTGATAATTCGGTCATTCCTAATATAGTTAGTCTGCTGAGAATCGGAATCCGGTCTTGGAAGCTTATCGTGATCATCTACTCCGTACGTATTGAGCCGTGGGCTTTTGAGCTGTGGTCACACGGTACTCCGTACGACGTTCTCCAAAGCATTGTATGACTGTACCTGTTTTACAAAATGGTGGGGCCGTCGTGGCTGCATAGCTAGCTAGCATCTGTGTATGTTGATTCGCGACCGCTTTAATCATTCGTCAAAATGGAGAGTGATCCCGCTCGCTCGTTCCCATATGGAGATGATGAAGCCTACTGTCCGCCCTTTCACCGGGTGGATTCAACAAGGAGCAGGTGAGCCATACAACTCTACCTTATTTAGAATTAACCGAGCCGATTCTGAGAGAATCCTAGGAGCATGAGTATCGTGTCCGATGTCGAAATGGCCCACGATGAGGTACGTCCTGTCTATTTCTTGGAGAGCAACGTCCTAAAATGCTAACTACCACAGTAGGTCTATGCCGGTCCTGTTTCTGAGAGTATACCTTCCAGCGTCGCGTCTTTCGTTCATCGCCGGTCGCGGCGGGAGTCGACTGTCAGTTTCACGTATTTTGAGGAGAGCACGGAGACTCCCGATTGGATTGACGAAAACGCCGTGGTGGATGAAAGTGAGCTAGAACTTGGTGACGATGTGGATGGAGATATCGATATGGGAATATCAAGAGGCTCGCTCCACTTTTTGGACCGTTCGCGCTCACGGAGCTCAGTGGAACATCCTTTACTGCAGGGAGAGGACCCAGGCCGTGAACGGTATACAGCTCCACCCTCCGGTGAAACTGTCAGCCAGAAGGTTTATATTGTGACTGAAGATTTAACTGCCGTAATCGCTGGGTTTTCTACAAGTACCGTCGGCTCTACCGTATACCTAGCCATCTGTTTTTTAACGTTTGGTCTTGGCTACCTCGTATTCAGATGGCTCCCTCGATGGCGTATCAGGCTTATCGGGCACCCAGAGACATTACAACGCTGTCAATGGGTTGCGATTGAGGTGAAATCCATATCCCCTGGCTCGATGCCGCTGGCTCACCTTTTTTTTTGCAGGATCAATGGGGCCAATTCACCATTGAAGATGTCACAAATACAAGTTATGATCGCCCATTATCTACAGTGTTTGGTCCTTCTTGCAAAGAAGCCGAATTCCCAATGTTTGAAGACGACAATGATCCACTACTGCCATACCTGCGCTTTGTAGATTACCATTACGTTCGCTTTTGCTACCAACCTCTGGAGGATAAGTTCATGCATACTGGGGATTGGAAAGATCCTATGTGGGCCAATGTGAAATCTCTAAGAGAAGGCTTAGATGCGGATGAGAGGGACCGCCGAGAGCAAGTATTTGGCCAAAACATTATCGATATTCATCAAAAATCTACACTCCAGATTATGATTGACGAAGTACGCTCATCACTGATCTGTTCTAAAGCAGCTGCTAATATCCTCAGGCATTTCACCCTTTTTATCTATTTCAAGTTGCCAGTTTAATTCTGTGGTCACTGGATGAATACTACTATTATGCTGCATGTATTTTTCTCATTTCGATATTTAGTATCGGTGCAACAACATTTGAAACAAAGTCGGTATGTATTCGGCTTGCGAGTAATTAAGGGCTCAAAGTTGATATTTTTCAGGCTATGGAACGCCTGAGAGATATATCACACTTTGAGTGTGATGTGAGAGTCTTACGAAGCGGATTTTGTAAGTAGCCAACCTTGTTCTCAAATTGTTGCTGCACAGATTTAACCAAAAATAGGGAGGCCGATACCTTCGCGAGACCTAGTTCCTGGGGATGTATTCGAAATCTCCGATCCCTCTCTTACACAGGTACCCTGCGATTGCCTGCTTTTATCTGGAGACTGCATCGTGAATGAGAGCATGCTTACAGGTTTGATCCCTTCTGATATTTTTGAAAGCTCTCTTACAAAGAATAGGTGAATCTGTGCCGGTCTCAAAGCTGCCCACCACCAACGACGCTCTGGCTTCTCTAAATTTAAATGCGCCATCCGTTCAACCCAGCGTTGCCCGACATTTCCTCTTTTGTGGCACTCGCATCATTCGCGCAAGGCGCCCTCAGGGCCCCGAGGCAGATGAGGCCGCTGCCTTAGCTATGGTTGTAAGGACTGGGTTTAATACAACTAAAGGCGCGCTTGTCAGATCAATGCTGTTTCCAAAGCCTTCCGGTTTTAAATTCTACAGAGACTCCTTTCGATATATTTTAGTTATGAGCTTTGTTGCTGGCCTTGGTTTCATTGCTTCATTCGTAAACTTTCTTCGGCTTGGGGTATGTCCGCTTGTACCCTTGATAACCCTTCGGAGTCCAGACTAAAGGTGGATAGGTCTCATGGCACACAATAATTGTCCGGGCTCTCGACCTCATTACTATTGTAGTGCCACCAGCCCTCCCCGCAACTCTCACAATCGGTACCAATTTTGCCCTTTCTAGGCTAAAGAAACAGGAGATTTTTTGTATTAGCCCGCAGAGGTGAGATTTACTTATTTAATTGTAAATCTTGAGCTTACGTATTTTACTTTTGAATTAGAGTCAACGTGGCTGGGAAGCTTGACGTTGTTTGCTTTGATAAAACCGGGACACTCACAGAAGATGGACTTGACGTCTTGGGAGTTAGACTCGTCAACCAAGACTTCAGGTAAGCTTCCATTTCTGTGAGGTAACATTGGAGTGCATTATCCTGAGTTCTTTTGCTATCTAGGTTCAGTGATCTATTGAGCGATTCTTACTCAATACTTCCATACCCTTTGCATGAAAGAGATCCGACAATAGATTACAACTTCAATGCTGCTATTCTTTATACAATGGCAACTTGCCATACCTTAAAAATCCATGATGGTGAATTGATAGGCGATCCGCTAGATGTTAAAATGTTTGAGTTCACAAATTGGTCTTACGAAGAAGGAAACCATGCTTTAGATGCAGATGAAGAAGCAGGAAAATTCATTCCCTCTGTTGCACGTGCCCCATCCGCTTCAGCATCCAGTGCTCCGGGAGGTGAAACTGTAAGCCATTGTGTGATCCGCTTACCTTCGAAGATTAACTGGTATTTTAGCATCTTCCTACAGAGCTATCTATTCTGAGGACTTTTGAATTTGTCTCGCAACTTCGCCGATCTAGTGTAATAGTACGGGAACCCGGTGACCCAGGTATTACCATCTTCACTAAGGGAGCTCCAGAGTCGTTCATGGACATATGTACCCCAAAGTCATGTGAGTAGCTTCATGTTAAGGTTGTATTCGAGGTGCTTACTGTCCTTATAGTGCCCCCCGATTTTACAGAGCTTCTCAACTTTTACACCCATCGTGGATATCGCGTCATTGCCTGCGCAACAAAACACATAGAAGATCTCGATTGGGCCAGTGTTGTGAGACTAGCTCGGTCGGAAGTCGAATCTGATCTCAATTTCATTGGTTTCATTGTATTTGAGAATAAACTAAAGCCAAATACTGCAGGCGTAATCAAAGAATTACATTCTGCAAACATTCGGAATGTTATGTGCACTGGAGACAATATTCTTACTGCAATTAGTGTTGCCCGAGAATCTGGATTTATTCAAGACTCTTCTCATTGCTTTTTTCCTTATTTCGTCGAAGGTAATCGCTAGCTCTTCTCTACTCTTTCGTGCTTTTTTTCTTGACACTTCTGCTAAATCTATCCTAGGGAGCCCATATGACCCCAAAGCTCGCTTACGTTGGGAGAGCACGGACAATCCGGATTATCGGCTAGATGAGTATACGCTGAAGGTGTGTCCTTTTGTTCATTTATGTAGGTACTCGGGGTATTGACACTTGATAGCCTCTGCAATCTCCTACCACACCCGATGTTTCGGTTCCATACCATAACTATAACGGGTTTAAGTACTCTATTGCAGTAACCGGAGATGTATTTCGGTGGGTGGTTGATTACGGGTCTGAAGAAGTGCTTAATAAGGTAATAATCAAGATATATCTACTAGCTCAGGCATCTGACGATATTCAGATGCTAGTTCACGGTCAGGTCTTTGCGCGTATGTCACCTGATGAGAAACATGAGCTTGTTGAAAAGCTACAGTCCCTTGATTATGTTTGTGGATTCTGTGGTGATGGTGCGAATGACTGTGGCGCTTTAAAAGCGGCAGATGTTGGTATTTCGTTATCAGAAGCAGAGGCTTCTGTAGCTGCCCCGTTCACTAGTAGGGTATTTGATATATCATGTGTCCCAAGACTTATCAGGTATGTGGTTTCCCAAGCAGATTAGAACTAAAGCTTAAATATTGAATATAGAGAGGGAAGGGCGGCACTTGTCACAAGCTTTTGCTGTTTCAAATACATGAGCCTTTATTCCGCGATTCAGTTTACTTCGGTCAGCTTTCTTTACGCATCCGCATCAAACTTGGGTGATTTTCAAGTAAGCTTCCCTGCAGAACCTTGGTGGCGACTATTGTTAACAGTTACAGTTCCTTTACATTGATCTTGCTCTCATTTTGCCAATTGCAATTTTTAGTAAGTTTTCAATACTTTACTGCTAAAAGAGAGCTTTCTAATTCTGTCAGTGGGTTGGATCGGGCCTTACTCAAAACTCTGTCGAAAACGCCCCACAGCCAATCTCGTTTCTCGAAAAGTCCTAACGCCGCTTTTGGGTCAAATAATCATTTGTATCCTTATACAATTTATAGCCTTCGAAACAGTTCAAAAACAAAAATGGTATATGCAACTTCCTAAGTTGTCTGAGGTTTGCGGAGGTTAACTTATTCTTCTAGGTATATTCCCCCAAAACTTAACTTGAACGACACCAGTATAGAAAATTCGCAAAATTCCGCCTTGTTTCTCGTATCATGCTTCCAATACATATTTGCCGGCTTGATATTGAGTGTAGGTCGACCATTCCGCCAGCCAATGACCTCAAATGGTATGTCTACGCCCACGTACGTCCTTTATTTTAATTAATGTTCTTGTAGTGCCATTTGTTGCCGTTATTATTGTGACTATCTTGATATCTTCCTATATGCTCTTCCAGCCAGCAGATTGGCTTTTTAGTCTGATGCAGCTGACGTACATGTCAACTCTTTTTAAGACTTGGCTAGTTCTGCTTTCTTTAGGAGGCTTTGCTGTTGGGTATATTTCAGAGGAGCATCTTTTCTTGAGTCTTTCTAGGGTAATTGGTATTGCCTACCGGACATGCTGTCCCAACGAGCAAAAGAAGAGGCGCCGATATAAAACGCTTCTAGAAGAGCAGCTCAGCTGACATACCTCTTGGGATATCCTTTTTGTGACATCTCGATGTTGTGGTTTCTCATGTATATACGGTCGTGAGTTATTATTTACCGCAAAAGTTTCCGCATTTAATACTAGTCAGAAAGAAAACAAGAGCTGTATGTGCATATATGGGTATGGAAGTAAAAGTACACAGTCGATTGTGTTAATCAGTTCTATAAACACTACCCACTTCCTGGATAAAAACCGCGTTACTTATTATGTGATGACGTATCGGTGGGTTGCCGTGATGGAAGTCTGAGGCAAGTAGAGCTCTGAGATCTTATGAAAGTTCTTTGAAAAAATCAATTCCATTCCAGATCCATGTCTCGCAAAGCGGTCGTTGGAGGCACACGAAGCCGTAACTAAAAATGGAGCGTTCAGTGGTCCCATGGATGCTTCCAACCAAGAAGAGCCGCGCCATCTTTTTTCGCTCGGTAGAAAAGCTGTAGCATGAGAAAATTAGAAGGGATGATTTGCCGAAATTCCACGGCTTGATATGGCTAGACGTACGAAGAACCACATGCTAGCACCTAAGGCGGTCGCAGCGAATTTGTATAGAGGCCGGCCTGGCGGCACTTGAATTGGATGCTTAGCGGCCATCTATTCCTTCGCGACAGTTCGCTGATTCCTGCAGTCAGATGCTCGTTAGTACACAGTACACAAAATCTGGTACATTCCGGGTGTACACGCCTCAATTGATTAGGAATATCGCCAGCTGGCTAAGAATCTGCATCGGCCCTGGCGGCGTCCAAGTTGATGTCAAGTCAGTCAGACATGCCAAGCACGGATCGGATTAAAACTCTACCGGAAGCCGATTCGACTAAGCCTCTTTGGTAACCTCAGGTCGAAAGCTCCGATGCTCAGCTATTCATGGAGACTAATGATGGCAAAGAAAGCTTTATTGGCAATCATTTAGGCGGAATTCTAACTATTCTTACTACTAAAACCACTCAGGGACAATAACGTGCTTCATTCACCGCTCTTTGTTTGTTGAGCTTCATTCCGATGCTTTCAAAGGACTCTCCATGATCTCGCCAACTACCCAAATTAGCTATTCTTAATCCCCCTATCGTGAGCTGAAGTTGGTCATCTATCTTTCGTTGTGTAATATGAATTCTGCTTACATGAATTAGCCTCGTACAGTGCGTGTACTTTGATCCGTTTTGGCTCCATAGGGAGGAATTTTCGGTCTCTTCCGTTCGGCAATTGACACTCCATTGCGCTCTGTCCCCTTTTCGAATTCGAATGCGCTTATCAGTATACCCTGTCCTGCGGTTGCGAAAATGGTCGCCTCAAGTGCGTCACCAAAATCAAAGATTCCTCTCGAGCGCGATGATGAAGGCCACCCACGGTTCAAAGGTTGCTCTTCAATCCGTGAATATGAATTTCTAGGGAAGCTTGGTGAAGGCACCTTTGGGTAGGCTTCTTTGCTTGTTGCAAGAAGCGAATGTTAGCTGAACCTCTGCCGTTTCTAAATAGGGAGGTCTACAAGGCTCGGTCTAAGCAAAGTGGATCAATTGTTGCCTTGAAAAAGATTTTGTTACACAACGAGAAAGATGGGGTATGTTGCTCTCCCTGAATTATCGACTGTAGTACTGACTTAACGTGACTATAGTTTCCTATTACTGCCCTTCGCGAAATTAAGCTACTTAAGGTGTTGTCGCATAAAAATGTTATTCAGTTGGAGGAAATGGCGGTAGAAAGGAGCAGGGGTTTGTCTCAATACTACCTTCCAAGCTCCCCGAGGTCCAGCCTGACGTTTTGCAGGTGAGGGCCGCAAAAAGCCTTCCATGTACATGGTGACACCATATATGGAACATGATTTAGCTGGTCTTCTGGAGAACCCAAATGTGCAGCTTACCGAACCCCAGATTAAATGTTACATGTTGCAGCTTCTAGAAGGATTACGATACCTCCATGAGGTATTACGGCCCCTTGAGTGGGATGTTGAGGGAAACGCTGACGCATTTGCTAGAATAACATACTTCACCGTGACATGAAAGGTTAGAGAGACGATCCAAAGGCACTGGCATGCCTGAAATGCTGACACTGTTCAAAAGCCGCAAATCTTTTGATAAGTAACAAAGGGATCCTCCAAATTGCAGACTTTGGTTTAGCCAGACCTTATGATGGTCCTCCTCCAGCTCCTGGTAAAGGCGGAGGGGAGGCTGTCAGGGACTATACCTCACTCGTCGTGACCCGATGGTATCGTCCTCCTGAACTGTTACTTCAGCTTCGACGCTATACCACTGCGATAGATATGTGGGGAGCAGGGTGAGATGATCACAACTATCTTAATTTCACAAACTAACTGTATCCAGGTGCGTTTTTGGCGAAATGTTCAAGGGGAAGCCTATTCTTGCTGGGAGTAGTGACTTAAATCAGGCCCAACTAATATTCAATCTTGTTGGGTCCCCAACAGAAGACAGCATGCCTGGTTGGAACGCTCTTCCCGGATGTGAAGGTGTCAAAGCGTGGGGTTCCAAACCAGGAAATCTGTCGACTATTTTCAGAGAGTATGTCAATTTGCGGAGCGTCACCACTGTCAACTAGCACTAATAGTTCTTAACAGACAAGGCCCCGGGGTGATATCTTTGCTCTCCGAGTTGCTCAAATTAGACTGGCGTAAAAGAATAAACGCTATCGATGCATTAAAACACCCTTATTTTTTAAACCCGCCTTTCCCTGCTCACCCTGGTGATTTACCCCAGTTCGAAGATTCCCATGAGCTTGATAGAAGAAAATTTCGTGGCCAGAAAGCGATACCTCCTGCCCCAGCTGGTGGATCCGTTGGATTGGGCGCCAACGGTGAATGGACATCAGGCTCGGGCGTAAGAGTTCCACCAGATCCAAAGCTGAATAGTCGGATACCACATGCTGCACGCGGTGGCGCCGTTCGGCCACAATATGATGGGCGTGCCTCCGACCCCCCACGCGGTCACAAGCGGCAGGCATCCGATGAGAAACTCCCCAGATCTCGCGATACTGGCCCGCATCCTTCTCAAAGAATACCTGGGCAGCCGCTACCTGGCAGGCCAAACGCTGCTCCATGGCGAGGTGGTGATCGTCGCGACCGAGGCGGAGAACGTTGGCAACGCCAACGACCTGATACTAGTGGTGATTCCTATGTTCCATTCTATGACCATGATCCTGCGGCAGCAGACCGAAGGGATAATAGTACTAATGCTGATAATCGAACCCGTGCAGACTCCCGCGGGGAGCGATTCTACCGACCTAGTCGAAGTAAAAGCCCTGAGGGGCCACGAAGTCGTGCCGGCGATAATGATACGTATAATGTCTATCGACGCTAAACTGAGTTTTATTTTTGTCTCTAGAACGGATTAATTTCCTGTTTCCTGGTAGCTTTCGGGATGGTGCATTTCTCTTCACGGTAGGCTGGCTGGAATATATGACTACGAACACCTTGCATTGGGGCGGCGTTCTTGACTTTTTACTTTCTCGTATACTTGGACTAGGCAATAATGGACACGCTTTGGTTTTCTGGGTGTGATTCACGGTTAAATGTCGTATTTTTTCTAGCTGACCATGCCAGTAGCCCGTACAATGCAGTTTATATGTTGCTTGGCAACCAGCGACAGCATACATATATAGATATTTAGACATACTCATAATTGCATCATGAAATCATACAAGCAAAGAAGAAAAATCTACCCCCTGCCGTAAATCGTTTACCCGGCCCCATCTCTATCTCGATTGTGTTGAAAAACGCCAGGAACTAGCTTTGAACCCTTTTGCCCCTGAGATGTGTTGAAAGAAGAACGTTTTCAAATTCAAAGTCCCTCGTAGACAATATGCCAAATTTGAGGTTTTTTGGGTTAGAACAAGACACGGGTCAGTATTCGAGCTGCATGGTGAGTTAGGAACCATACAAGTGAAGGAGGCTAAAATTGAACATACGTGATAAATTCTCGAGCTGTTCATATAGATCTTTAATCTCCGAGGAGTCAACGTCACTGATATCGGCCATTAGGTATGCAACCTGTTGAAGTCTTCGTTAGCATTAGGCGAACTGTAGAAATGTTCCTACATACGTCACCCCGACTGTCTGTCATTTGCTTATCAACATTGTGATTTCCGAGAATTTCGTTGACTATCAAGAAAATCAGCTACCAAATATACTGCGTCGAGGTTGTTCATACCTTTTCTCAACACACCGGGAATATTTCGATGAATGAAAATAACCTAAGACAAAATTTTAGAACTCTGAAAAAAAAAGGAATAGATAAAGAAGATACTCACCCTGGCATTGTTCGGCCCTTCCATAGTTAAAGAACGTAAAGTAACCTCTGGCATGTTGACAGCACCGATTGTGGTACCCTCGTTTACATAACGGACGAGAGAATTTCCAACTTCAATACCAATAGCGCTCTGGGCCTCCTCGGTGCTTCCACCAATGTGCGGTGTAAGGATGAGATTCTTCAAGCTTCTCAGATCCTCAGCCCAATCGTTGAGCTGCTTGTTAAAATAGTCCCCGTTTCCAGCGGGTTCACTTGGATACACATCGAGAGCCGCGCCAGCAACTTTCCCAGACCGCATGGCTTGGATCAATGCTGGGATGTCCACTACGCAGCCACGGCTGGCATTGATCAAATAGCTCCCATCCTTCATTTGTTCAAACTGGGCGGTACTAATCATATTCTTGGTTTCTGGAAGCTCTGGAACGTGCAGCGAGATGAAATCCGCGGATTTGAGGAGGTCCTCAAGTTTACCAACTTGGCGGGCTGTGCCCATGGCCATGAGGTTAATAACATCGTAGTATATCACAGACATACCCATAGACTCAGCCAAAACCGATAGCTGAGACCCGATGTGGCCATATCCGACAATACCTAGGCAATAAAGTATTAGTAACGCGCGGAATATGATATATCAAGAGCAGCCAACAAACCAAGCGTTTTCCCTCTGACTTCCCAACACCTATTGCTCACTTTCTGCCACATTCCATTATGCATTTCCATAGAACGATCACACAGGTGGCGAGCGAGAGAAATGATCTCAGCAATCACTAATTCGGCGACACTGCGCGAATTCGAAAAAGGTGAATTAAACACGGCAATACCATGATCTGCAGCATACTGGAGGTCGACCTGGTTTGTTCCGATACAGAAACACCCAATAACTATCAGATTCTTAGCTTCGGCAAGAACTCTAGCGGTGAGCTTGGTCTTGGATCTGACGCCAATGACGTGGACATCTCTGCGGGGAGAAGAGGTTAGTTGCGAGGCCTTCTCTAGCCGGAGCTGAAAACGATGGAATATGCAACTGACCTGATCTTTTCGATCAACTCATCTTCTGGCAACGACGACTTATAGAATTCGACCTGGTACCCCTGTACATTGAGGATATCCCTGCCGGTCTGGTTCACGTTCTCCAACAACAAAACCTTTATGTCTTCCGCCACGAACGGCTTCAACTGCCTTGCAGGCAGGGCTTCTGGCACACGACTCGCAAACTGGGAATAACTCGCCCCATAGCTCGATGGAAAGGAGTGAAAGGCAGCATTTGGTGATGCCGAAAAGCTCAGGCTCTGCGAGATCTGGCGTGTGAGGTCGCTGGGATTTATATCCCTCGCGGTGGCCATGCTGGCGCTTTCTCGTCGGTTGTATTGGTACATGAGAAGGAAGAGAGATTAATCTTCGTAGTGGGCAATTTGCGCATATGTACGCTGGTGTCTCGAATATGACTTGGCTTTATTTTTTCTTTTTGAGCGATTTTGAGACCCGAAGCTTTTCGGAGGCTAACAAAGTGGCATCATCGGTGCAGACACGCACCAACGAGGTATTACTTAATTCAACCACACAACCACGGGTCAAACGCGGAGCGGGAGAGCTATAATAGCTTATCTACGGCATCTAGGTGGGTTCCGAACGATCTACTCTTTCAAAGTGCTGAAATCTACGTTGGTACCTGTGATTGGACTGTGCTTACAGCGATGGTCGATGCAATGCCTAGCTGTCTGTACTCCGTACTCCCCAACTAGACCTTAAGATTCTCCATTGTCTTCGCCACATCTTCTTTTTCACTCTTTGGTTTTGCTTTAGTCTTAGCTTTCTGGGACGTGGTGTCCTTCGGGAGCTCCTTCGTATATGGGAGAAATTCAGGCTGGCCTGGAATGTACTTCCTTAGAACCTCAGGCACGACGATACCCTGCAAGTACAGGTTAGAACACCGATGGATCATCTAGAGATGGGCCTATCCTTACATCTTCCTGTTGGTAATTTTCAAGGACGCAACATAGAGCTCTCTCGGTGGCGCATAGTGTGGCATTCAGAGCATGAACATATGATTTCTTGGTATCGGTTGTTTTCTTAGGGCCATAACGGATATCCAGCTCCCGAGACTGATAGTCAGTACAATTTGAGCAGGATACTAACTCTTTGTATTCGCCCTGGAAGGGAAACCAGGCTTCCAAGTCCCACTTTTTGGCTGCCGCATTGTTGAGGGCGCCAGAGACAATGGATACGATCTGATATGGAAGGCCAAGCGACTGGTAAAACTCTTCTGAAGTCGCAATCATGTCATCGAAAACTTTCCATGACTCTTCAGGTTTTGTTAATACAAATTGTTCAATCTGTCAAGCGCCATTTAATTAGCAGTAAATCTATTAATGCGAAACCAAAAACTCACCTTTTCAAATTGGTGGACACGGAAGATTCCCCACGCATCTTTTCCATGGGAGCCGGCTTCTTTTCTGAAACATGTGCTGTATCCAGCATATCTAGGAACTCGTCAGCAAGGAGGCACAGGGGCTTAGCCGTTCCCTGAAAATAGATCAAAGAGGGAAAAACATACTTGATAGGAAGTTCCTTATCTTGCAGCCATTCTCCATCATGTAATGCAGAGAGAGGTTGTTCCGAAGTTGCAATCAAATATTTATCCGTGCTCTTATCCTCGCTCTCTGTAACTTTATATAGCTCTTCGTCAAACTGCTCTAGCTGTGCTGTCTTGGCCATGTAATCACGAAGCATGAAAAAAGGTGGTTGGTTTGGCTTGTAACCCTTATTGAATAAAAATTCAAGGCCATAATTGACAAGTGCAAGGTTCAAGAACAAACCATAACCTGTTAAACAGAATCCTCGATGGCCAACGATTTTCACGCCTCGTTCCGGATCATAGCCGTCGAGTCGAGTAAGGACTTCGTGGTGTGACAGACAATCTCTCTTCTCTGCTTTTACGCCTTCGGGAGCCCATGTTTTGACAATGGCGTTATCGTCCTGAGGACGGCCGATACAAGAAATCAGCAATGTACAAACACAGCTGATGTGGGTAACTAAGCGTATATTACCTCGTTGTTGCTAATAGGGACAGAGTCATGGACATAATTTCCAATAGTTTTCAACTTTCTATCCCGTAGCTTCTCCTTCTCGACGGCCAGGTCCTCTTGTGCTTTTTTATCCTGTTCTAATTTCACCTTTTGCTCTAATAAATCAGATGCATCTTCTTTATTCTGCAAATCATGCTCGTCAGCACTCCATTAGCTGCATCGACAAGGGCAAAATATAAGAGTCATGAAGCGGACAAACCTTTTTTTTCATGCCTATCTCTTTCTGGAGCGCGTTGATTTTCGAGCCTATCTGTGAAGCCTCATAGCGCGCTAGACTCGATGGAAGAATTAGACCGCTCGAAATACCCAGAAAAGAATCGCAGAATGGTTCTGCAGAACATACTGCGACGAGCATCTTCATATAGGCCAATAACCTCGTCCACGAGCTCTTCTGATGCGAATCTTCGGCGCTGGCTCTCCTTGACTTTTTTGGCATCACCGCCACGGTCGGCAATCAGATCTGCGATGTCAAGCATGGTAACTGGGAAATAGAAATATTATACGCTGATTCGGGGAGAAAGTCGTGCCAATTGATCAGAGCCAGGGGCCGATGACACATACACGCGATGCAATTTCTCGAAAGTGCAAACATACATCGGTAGTGCAAACTTGAGGGGTTGGCTCCCACAAGTGCGTTGGAATTACTTATCGGTGCGTGCAGCCATCAAGGTAGCCTTCACATGCTGATATATGCAGGATCATGGATGGAGAAGTAATATGATATCAGTATTATTAAGTATTATGTAGGTACAGAGTGCAGGTACTAGTTCATGGCAGGTCATAAAGACATTTCCCGAATAATTGCAGAAACGCAAGCCCATCACCACCCCCGATTAGTAGGAAACCCATGATCAGAGAAAATACAAGAAACAAAGGAAAAAGCCCCATGCCACACCCTGTTACCGCTCTAACGCTGGTCTATCATGTTGCCGAAGTGCCAGGATGGTAGATGTACGCCATTGGAAAGTGAATAAAAAGCCACCCGGGAAAGAAGACAGAATGGAAAATGTTGGAAAAAGGAATAACAGGTCAAGGTGACTGCAGAACATCTAGAAGATATCACAATGAGAGGGCAGAAGTGGACATGAGCGGCTGGAGAAGGTCCCAGTGCGGCTTGTGCTGCAGCAGCTTAGCTTGCGTAAGACTAAGATATGCGGATGCGCACAAGTAATGCATTGTTACGCATGAGCATAGCAGGCCTTTGTAAGCGACACCTTCCTGTTGTCTGCAGATGGGAACGTCACGTCAAGCTGCTCTACATGAGAACACACTTACTACCACCGGTGGGCTGGTTTGGGTTCTGTGATTTCTCAATCTCAGCAATAACCAGTTCAAAGCAGCTGGCGACATTCAGGTCATTGCGGGCACTGGTTTCGGTCCAAGCACAGTTGAACTCGGCTGCAGTCTTTTTGCCTTCTTCGACGCTAATCTGGCGCATTTCTGGCTGGAGGTCGCATTTGTTTCCAACCAAAACAAGAGGGACCCATTCAGCACCCTAGGTAAAGAAGTATTCGGGTTAGTAGTCATCTTTTGTCGTGAAGGCATTGGCTGACTCGGGGCTTACCAGATGATTGAGAATTTTATCGCGGATGACCCTGACCATATCGAAGGACTGACGAGATGCAACGGAATAAACAATCACATATCCATGGATACCAATGAAGTGTTTCGAGTTCAAAAGACTATACTCGTCTTGGCCGGCGGTATCGACAATTTCGGTTGTATAATCCTGTCCTTTATATGTGATGACACGACTAAACGTGCTCTCGATGGTGGGGTAGTAGTTTTCAACGAAGGTTCCTTCGACGAAACGGACGGTGAGGGAAGATTTGCCTAAGGGAGATGCCGTTGTCAGTATTCAGTTACGGAGCAAAACATTGCTGAAGATAAAGGCACAGTGGCTGGGCTATAGATAACGGCGATGTGAAATAAACATACCAACAGCGCGGCTACCGACGATGGCAACCTTTCTCTGCCTAATTGGACCACCCATCGTGACAAGCTGGCAGGTGTGGTGAAGAGAGCAGTTCCAAGACGAAAACGGCAGATGGAAGATGTGAAACTGAAGAGGAACGGGATGGGATTGAGGAGGAGACGAGGGCAGTGGAGGGAGCTGAGGTCGGTCGTGTGTTGTTGACAGTGAAGGAAAGCTCGAAGCGAATGGAAGAGACGCTACTCAGCGATGGAACCCCTCGCCCAAGCAACGACGAGTGTGGTGCTGTACAGTATCAAAACACACCGGGCGAGCAAACAGGCAGCAGCGGCAACACCAATGCGGGCGAGGAAGAGACAACGAAGACAATAATGCAGGTGAGCTATGGACGACGGCACAGAGAGGACACCAAACTTGGACCGCAATAAGGTTTCGCAGTAGGCCGGGTGCGTGTACTCTCGCCGCTCACTAGCCAGGTCGTAACGACGGATGCTCGGGACAAATTCAGCGAGCGAACGGCAGTCGCAGCGAACGAAGAGAGCAGCTTGTTCAGCACTACGGAGGAGGTAGCTGGGAATCATGGGCGAAGCTAGGCCCCCAGGCGTTCTGCACAACCCAAAAGCCGCAGATCGCTTCTTGTCGCAGGCGAAGGCAACGGCAGCGCTAGCTAATAAGAGGCTGCGCAGAGCTTCCAGAACAGCGGCCCGCAGCCAATCAGCGCCGCGATGAGTAATCCGCCGAGCCAGCCCGCCACGTGAGCGTGCGGCGGGCTGCAGGGCCTGGAACGCCAGCTTGGCGTCGGCCGAGCTGCAAAAGGGCGCGCTAAGGCCGAAGGGAGAGAGTTACAGGCAACAGATCGCCTGGTAGCATTGCTAGGGACTACGTAACTAGATGCGGTTCATAAGCCATGTGCAGTGTCATTTCCATACTTCGTGAGAACGCGTCGTCACCCTCATCACCTCCTCAGTCCCTCTACTTCGCGGATCCGATCCACAATGCTCTGCAGCCGCGCCGTGAAGTCGGACACGGTATCTTCTTCCAAAACAGGTCCATCCAGCTCCTCGTCCACTTTCCGATAGTAATGTAGGAACTCGTCAACAATGGAAAGGAGGCGCCCGATGTTGTTGCCGCGCATCTGGCTGCGCACTTGGTTGCGCACGTCGTCTTCCAGGCATAACGTGCTGAGCAGAACGGAAAGGTATCCAAAAGCTACATTGGAGTGTGTTTGCACAACGGAATCGGCCTGCCAGATAAAGATTAGTAATCTGCCAAAAAGGAGAAGGCCCACCAGCACCACATACCTCAGAGATGGTCTCCAGCCCCTCGACAAACAACTCCGTAAGCCCGTCAACCAAAACTGTAGATCCATGTTTCATCCGTAAAAATAATTGCCGCGACGTCCTACTCCATTCGGTTAAATTAATCAATGTCCCTAGCGCAAGAATAACCGTATCCAACAGAGACTCTTTCTTTTCACTACTGGCTAAATCTTCAGCCACAGCGCCAAAGTTCGACAAGACGAGCCGGGCGAGCGCGCCAATCAAATCGGAGGTTGCAAAGTCTTCGCAGAGAGATGGGTTGTTATTCGTGATGTTAAGAATAAGTCGAATTTGGAGAATCTGAATTTGCCGGCTCGGTGCGTCGGATCTCTCGATCAGCTGGGCCAGTAGCGACCCCAGCCGCGAAAGACTTTGGAGAATCTTCTCCTCTTCCCCGTCCAAGCTTGGCAAGCCAACGGTATACGACTCTAGAATTGAGAATGTAATCTCAAGTATAAACAAATCTCCCTTTGCGCCGTCCTGTGAATGTTGCAAGAGAAGGCCAACCACTCGCGCAAGAACAGAGCTAGGAATTTTTGCGGTTTGATCGCCCCCTTCTCGCATTTTCCGAACGGCAACCTCCAAGGATCGAAGTGCCACATTTTGTGGTGACAATCTAGCCGAAGTTAGGTCGGACCACATCTTACTCTGGCGGAGTTGTGAATGAAGGTCCTGTAGACTGGACTGGCCTGCCTTTGTCATGTTGCTTTCGCGGAGCTTGGCTAGCTCCGAGATATCCCGGCTTTCGGGAATAAGGGAAATAGCGGCATGGATTATTTGCGTGAAGCAAGTGTGTAAAGTCACCGGAGAGTTAGGTGCTGAGGTAAGAAGAATTGTGTAGATGCACACAGCCAAAAAGTTGCAAATAATATCACGTTCTTTCGCAGTACAGCGAGATAGCCTCTTCTCAAGAGAGCCACTCACAAATCGACGTGCGAAGTCTACATCTATGAGCTTAGAGCATAGCTGCATAAAACCACTGCGCCTCCTTGATGTCGTAGACGTTTTATCTTCAAGATCTTCGAAGATGGACTCAGTGACGGCCTGGTATCTCGCATTACCACCTGCACGCCTGAGTTCGTATATGCTCCTTATAGAGCCAACACCCATATCATTGCCCTCATCGGGGTCTTGCAGGTTGGTCTCAAGCTTGGGTGGTAGTAAACTGGTAGCGAAATCAAGGAGCGGGTCATCCTGAGAATTAGATGCTGGGTTTGAATAACCAGTCAAGTTCGAGTTTAGATCGTTTTCCGTCAAAAAGGACCTCTGTCGAGCATAGGTAACTCTTAACCCGTTTTGCTGTAGTTGATGTGCGGCTTGCGAGGCCGGCCGTCGGCGAGGGTGACGGGATGCAGGACTGACACACGATTCGGAGTCTACTGTCGTTGGTGCAGTAGAGGAAGCCTGGGAATTTCCGCTTGAATTACGCAGTTGATCTTGTCGAAGACCTGTACCAGAATCGCTTGAGTTGTCAGAACTTTCTGATTCTCGAGTATTCAAAGCATCCATTAGCCTCGTGCGCGATGGAGTTACTGAAATCTCGGCGCCACAGGTTGGTGAGAAATAATTTTCGCTGGATAGTGTGCGCTTGAGCGGGAGGGTATAAGGGGATTCAAGGGATAAATATTCTGTCATCTCCTTCAACTTTTGGGATGGTGTACGCGAGAGTTGCGGTGGAATAGGCGGCTTCGTAGCACTTGATGCAGAAAGATCTCGGCGGTGTAGTGTGCGGTCCAACTCGCGCTGAAACAGTTTTCCAGGAGGCTTTGTGGAAGAGCAATTCCTAGCTTGTCGTTGCCAAAGCTTTGAAAACCCCTTTGCTTTAGCGGATAGCGGTGTTTTAATGACAACATCTACCCCAGGAGCCTTGATTGTATTTCCTTGATTGGCATTCTTAATAGAACTTTTTGGTTTTTTCAACATCCTATCGCTGGCTCTTGGTAACGTAATGGGATTTGGGACAACGCGATTCACCACCGGTGACTTCCATCGGTCTTTTGGCGCCTCTAACTTCCGCCGTTTTCTTGCATCCATTCTATTACGCAGCTCATCATCTGATGAAGGGATATCATAGACATCGTGGCCTATTTTCGTGATGGGAGTCTGCTTCCCGGTTGTCGTAGGTTTCAAGGGTTTCGAGTATGTGGTTTGGGACAGCTTGCGCGGGGTTTCTGTGACGCCCTTGTTATATACTTCACACTGTTCTACACGTCCACTTTCCTCTTTCGTTGACGATAAGACCTGGCAATGGTCACCGCGTTCGGATCCCGGTCTCAATAAAGGGCTATATCCGATGCTTCGAGACGCTCGTCCATATGTCTTCAGTTTCCGGCCTGAGGAGTAATTTTCGATTGAGGCCATATTTTAATATTCCGTGCACGGCTAGGATGTCCAAAATAAATGGGGTTCAAAAGAGCCTGGAGCGGTCGCGACAACCGTGACGGCGGCCGGAGGCAGAATTCACCAGGAGGCGAGGGCTGGGAGTGAGAATGATTAGGCAGCCATTGCAAATAACGAAGATCAATTGAGGAAAGCTTCCTATTGATACTATAGTCAGAAGAAGCTGTGGGAACATAAATTAAGAGCTTCTTAAAGCCCCGAGTTGACCGCGGGAGCGGGCACTCCACTTACACTTTCAGAGAAGGGCTGGGTGGAATTGAAGAGTAGGTAACACAACTTTGTGTAGCATGAACAATCAGGTAGAAGCAATAGTAAAATAAATAAGGAGGGAAACTAAACAATCAGTGAAGCTGTGTTGATGGCAACCACCCTCAAACAATCAAGTGAGCGCGACGAGGTGGCGGAAAGGTAGCTACGGCGAACTGCAGGAAGCATGCCTAGACAGGGCGGCATGGGGCCTTACTAACTACGGCAGCCCATAAGGTCCATAACAGCAGGTTTATTACATAACAAACATTATGGCAGGCTAACTTATAATGGAACTTTGAACCATCAATCCTGTTGAGCAGAAGTCAGGTGACTTGTCAGGTGACCAGGTCCCTGAAGGAGGAACCCGTGAATCATAGATTCACCACCTCCTCTTCTCAACCAGTTACCATGGTACTGATTTCCTTGTCTTTGACTATCAGGCTGGTGAACGTTTGCTAGGGGTTTTTCATATGTTTTTCTCATAGTCTCAGATGCTGTGCTGGTCAGGTTCTGGCCGAATTACCCGAATGGGTTAGTTCAAAACACTAAATTCGCGCTAAAGAACCTTAACAGCACGCGTCTGAGATGATGAGGTAATGAATTAGGCACTTCTCTCCAGCTCGTAGCTCGTAGCGTCACATCTTGTTCCTGTGGAGGCTCCAGGTAAAAGCAGCACCGCACCAACAAAAAAGGCCACTAAATTGTGACAAAAAGGCCAGGGCGTGTGGCCTTTAAGTGACACCCCTTTTACTCCGTACTCTCCCTACTTCGTACAGACATCCAGATTAGCCGACCTCGTAGAATTGACCTGCCAGCTAGAATATCAATGGGGTGCTGCCCGAAGTACTACGTTATATCCAAGCCGTTCAGGACTATCGATTTTGGAATACGAAGCAACTTTGATTGTACAGTTTCGCCTAGGCTATGTAAAATACATGTTTGTACGCCCGGATCAGCTCGACATGGCGGAAATAATGAGGAATAGAAAAACTCATTTTCAGACAATCTGCAAGTTTTTTTGCCTTTCCAATGGGTTTTCTATGTCCACTTACTGCTGAAGTGCCCCTCAAGAACGCACACCTCGCTAGGGAGTTTCAACGGGATACGCCTCCCCGGAATACATCAAATCATTTCATCTTATCCGATCATGCATACGTCCAACATTTGCTCAACAGTAGCTTCCACTGCATGCTCTTAGTATGAAAGTCGTCAGGCATTGGTCCCACATCCCATCAACATGCATTTTTGAAAAGAGCAACAAGGTGAGAGTAAGTCGCGAATACACTTTCTCATTCCAATTGTACAAAGGAAAGGACCCTCAATTATATGTTATTACCGGGGTAGCACATCGAATTAAACATAAAAAAGGCAATAAGATTATGAAATTAACTGTTAGTCTTCGGTGTAGAGCACAAGTTGATAAACAAAGCACTGCATATGCACTTAAATCAAGGAAAGACCATTATTTTTATCTATGATCTTGACATGTATACATGATTGTAACGCTCTACAATTCGACCAGTTTCAACACATATAGGCCCGTGGCTGATGAAATGTTATCGTTATAGATATTCTAAAAATGTAACTTTGGCGGGGCGCCAATGTTTTATGTAGACGCACTTCGTACCTGACCCTAGGAGTTCTCTACACCCCGTGTACTAAATACCCGACTGACCCCTTGGCTTCAACAACAGGGTTGGTCCCATGGCTTCTGCAGAAGAAACTACGATTCCTGCGCCTGTCCAAACAGTTGGACTTTTCTGCAAAGCCGATGGCGAGAAACCGATCGCTACGGTATCCCAGGTGGTGCCGGGCGAGAACATCCACGTCCTATCACAAACCCCGCAATTGATAGCGCTGTTAACGCAAGTAACCCGCGCAAGACGCCTACACTGCCCTCAAAGCTTTCAATTCTATACGATATACTGTGCGTCGAAACTAACCATGGTGTTCTCCGCTTTTATACAGTATGATCCGAGATACACGTACCTCCCGCGCAGATTTTGTCTTCTACTCCAATCGTATTATTCGTCTACTAGTGGAAGAAGGCCTGAACTACTTGCCCGTTGTCGAACAGAGTGTGACAACGCCTGTTGGGAGGTCATATCTTGGGGTGAAGTTTGAGGGAAAAATATGTGGTGTTTCCATCATGCGAGCTGGAGAGGCCATGGAGCAGGGCTTGCGTGACTGTTGCAGATCTGTACGCATTGGCAAGATTTTAATTCAGCGGGATGAGGAGACCTGTCAGCCGAAACTTTTCTATGAGAAGCTTCCACATGATATTGCTAATCGATGGGTCCTACTACTTGATCCCATGTTCGCTACCGGTGAGCACGCGTGCCCGATTTGCTTTTGCTTTTGGAAGTTTCTAAATCGCTATAGGTGGCTCTGCTACTATGGCTGTTGAGGTGTTGAAATCGAAAGGCGTTCCTGAGAGCCGAATTCTGTTTATCAACCTCATTGCTAGCCCGTCAGCCGTGGAGACGTTCGCCCGGAATTTCCCTGAACTGCGTGTTGTAACCGCATTTATTGATCAGGGATTGGACGAGAAGAAGTAAGCCGCCCCTCGATTAATCCCAAGGCTTGATTTCGCTGATTTTATGTGCAGATATATCATACCAGGACTCGGAGATTTTGGTGACCGGTACTACACCATATAAGAATACTGGACCCCGAAATTATTTAAATTAAATCTTCCAAGCAGTAAAAAGTGGCTGTTGCCATTTTGTATGGATGTACATATCTATTAATCATGTATTTTGTAAGGAGTGGGCACTTGAACTATTCTAAACTAAACCTAGGGTAGAGAGAGTAGCTCTCCATAATCTTAGACGGTATGAGAGTCTATGAAAAATAATGAATATAAATAACAACAATGGATTGCAATGCCCATGGTCTTGGGTTCCTTTCCCTTATTCAGGATACCGCGGACTGGTTGAATTCTTTGCATTTCTTTTGAATCTTGCAGTGGACAAGGAGCGTAAAGGTAACGTCATCATGTATAGGTAATCCGTATTACCGAGAAGTGCTCCTAATCTCAAACAACCGTAAATAACGCCACCAGATGCCGGCCATACCCATTCATAAAAACAACAATGCAGCCTTCTAATATTCGTCCTCGTCCTCGTCTACAACCCGCGTATCCTCTCGTTCAGCCACATTTCCTCTGGAGCTACCCGCTGCAGCTCCTTTCTGCGCGTCTTTCTCATTGTCCTTCGCAACGGCATCGCATGCATCGATCCAATCTGAATAGACGTCCACGGCGGCAGAAAGGTCTTTAAACAGAGTAAACGTGAAATTAGTTTTCATCCTTTCAAAGAATACTAAGGAAGAGTTTGCGGTTTGTTTCAAAGAACCTACAGTTTATTCCAGTCTGAAATCTCTGGCCGCATATCTTGCAAGTCAAATTACCCAGGCCAACTTTCTTATCGAGTTTGATGATGACGCAGTTCTCGTGGTTGCAAAAGAGGCAGGAGAATGTGGTTGGCAAAGGCTCCCTCTGCATGAAGGGATCAGTAAAAGATAAGTAATAAGTGAGCGGCGCAGGTGGAGAAGGAAGGGCGTGAGTGTTTGAAGGGGCGCGTTTGAAAATCGAAGGGCGGAGAAGTATATAGGAGTGAATAGCAATCATTACATACCTTCTTGGGGCCGACCGGCTTGCGACTTGACTTCTTGCGCTTACCCTGTATGCACGCTTAGTCCAAAATGCTATTCCGTGTCAGAGTACAAGGATAGTATACCATTTTCTTTGTTCGTTAAACTTGATATTATGTCGCGAGAATGTTTAGCGTATTAATACAGATAAATGTAAGTAGATGCAGTATTTTGTAGTGATACTACAAAGAGCATCCCTCTCTAGGTTAGTGGAAGTGATCAGAGGCAAGGTCAAGCTCTTGACCTTCACGGATTGTTCGCGAAAGTGGTGATTATATAAGGAGTTTAGCTTCCTTGGCGCCAGGGCCCCACTTTTGAAGCTCAGACCTTCCCCGCACCTAGTTAGCTTTTATCATGAGCGGACAGCGGGTTCTGTTGACTTCAATACTACTGCCTGCAGCCCGGCCCCATGCAGATTGATTCTTTTACACTCTATCAAACTTGATACGCCACTCTGTCAATAATTTCCCAGCCTCCTTGTGGCATGTTTCTATTGGCTCTAGCCCCGTAGTTTGAACCTACTTGAAATATCACTGAGCATATCCCCCTCTTTCTCTTTCATTTCAACAGACTGTCATAGAATCCCGGTTACTGAATTTATATAATACAATACGCCTACAGATGGATCAGGGAAATCAGAACGCTGCGGTCTGCGAGTTAGCGGCTGCTATCAAAGATCTACAGACTGGTCAATCGAAGCTGGCTACGGCTATCGACGCAATAAGTATTCGTGTGGAGCGGCTTGTAATTAATGATGAGCCCAAAGTAGTGCCATCTGAGCCGAAAGATAACTCTCTGAACCTACCAACCTCTATTCCAGCTACACCCTCACAGACGGCCAAGGCTGTCCCATCGACTGAAGGTGTAGCAGGGAAGGATATAAAACGACGACAGTCCACTACGTCACGTATTATCCTGACAACGTATCCTGGCCAATCTGGAATAGACCCTATAGCGTTAGACTGGGGGAATAAAGAGCCTACCCGGAGAGGCCCGGTGGTTGTGAGCAGGCACCAGAATACTGTTCGTAGAAGAAATGGTAAGTTCGTCCAGCAAGATTAATTTACTTGGGAATTAATGTCACATTTAGCAATTGGTGCTCATGGAGGATCCTACGCTATATACCATGCCCTAGCAGTCGCAAGTAGTCACCTAGACCTTGAGCATAGACCCGATTTTACAAATACCGAACCGGCTGTGAATATTGGACCACACCCACAATGGGCAGACAAAAGAAAGATTGTCTCTATGGGCCCTTTGGGCCATTTAGCGCCATGGCTGTTTAAAGATATGATCACAAATGAGAACCTTGACATTCGTCCCACAATTGCGATAACAAGAGCACATATGAAGCTCCCGGAATTGGAACAGAGCGTGCGGTCAGGCCGTCTAGTACCAGACGGAAAGATTTGTTTAAATGAAATGGGGGAGTTGGCTGTAACAAAGATTGCCGTGGAGCCAGTCTGGTATTTGCCTGGTGTTGCAGAGAGATTTGGAATAGGTCAGCGAACCCAATCATTGGCGGATATTGTTATTCACGAGGCGGGGCCCTGGAGAAGAAATTATGAAACTAATATGTCGCATAGATGAGGGAACACTCCGTCGCTCTCTTTTCGAAGTTACGGGTGGGTCCTACCCAGAGCTTATCACGAGGGGGGACATAAAGCTCTTCCTCCCGCCCATCGGTGGGTTGACAGTGTATTGTTTTGGCGATCCCGCCAAAATGTCAGATCCTAATGTTCGCCTTGCTTTGCGTGTTCATGACGAATGCAATGGAAGTGACGTTTTCGGGTCGGATATCTGCACTTGTCGCCCGTACTTGATATTTGGAGTAGAAGAGGCCGTCAAAGAAGCGCAAAATGGAGGCAGTGGTGTGGTAATTTATTTCCGCAAGGAAGGCCGTGCACTTGGCGAGGTCACTAAATATCTCGTCTACAATGCTAGAAAACGAGGCTCTGATCGTAGGTTCCCAATCTTATGACTATAATGGGACCTGCTAACTTTTCAGTTGCGAGTGAGTATTTCAAAAGAACGGAAAACATTGCTGGGGTAAAGGTACAGTGGCTGAAAATCATTCTTGCCTAGTATTAGAAGTGCTAATTTTTCTAAAGGATATGCGATTCCAAGCTCTCATGCCTGATGTAAGAGCTTTCATGAGGTCTAGATCTTTAGGGCAGGCTGTCTAATGGAGCACCGTAGGTTCTGCACTGGCTTGGTATTACCAAGATTGATAGAATGTTAAGCATGTCCAAGTGAGTGGGTCTTGCTCGCAATGAACTCCCTCAATTGACTGTTTTCTAGTATGAAGCACGATGCGATTGTAGAGCAAGGGATACCGATTCTCGAGCGGGTTCCAATTCCAGACGAGTTGATACCGGAGGATAGCCGTGTTGAGATAGATGCAAAGATCCATTCCGGTTATTGTAAGTGCCTCTATCAACGATACCTATTTGCGTATGCTGATGAAGTAGTCACTACTGGCCGTGTTATGTCTATGGAAGAGCTAAGTAGTGTCCAAGGACGTGCTTGGGATGATCTTGATGTAAGTTCTTAATTATTCTCACAAGAATCCATTCTGACAGCCTACCAGCACTGAAAGCGGTGGAGATGTATCCCACTGGGACGGCTGTCTGTGTCTGGCAATATTTCCCTGCCCCGTGTAAGGTAGCATATTATGGAGAGCATTGTTCAAAACTGAAAGAGAAATATGAAAACTCAAACAGGCTTTCTTCCATTATGTAAATTAGCAAAGCGCAAGATAGACATGGGAATCCAACAACAACATCTAGATTTTGCTTTTCGACGGTTACATATCATTGCTGACTAATCATTTACGATTAGATAAGCGATTTCTTTTGATTATATAAGACGATCGCGAACTGAGTTTAGCGCACACAACTCGCTTAGCGGGAAATTTGTGTGGGATTTTGAGCCGAACCCTCGCCAACAGCAATTCAACACCTCGACTGCCCTATCTACGCCCAACGGATGCGATAATTTGTCTGTCTTTCACGGCAAGATAGACCCGAATCGCAAATATGGCTGTTGGAAAGTACGCAAACTCCCCAATCGCCCCTACGCCGGTATCTCGACTCCCATACGTTTGTGAGATATTAACGGGTTATAGGAACAAGCGTCTATCGAAGGGCAAGAAGGGTCTTAAGAAGAGGGCTCAGGATCCCTTCTCCAGAAAGGATGAATACTCGGTCAAGGTACATATGCGATTGAAAATCTAACGAACAAATTTTATACATGATCTGACCTTTGAATTTAGGCCCCTTCCACCTTCGCGGTCCGAGAGTATGGCGATAACCCTTTCCGCAACGTTCGCAATCCAATCAGGAACATGACTGACGAGAATCTTTTACAGCGTTGGAAAGACAATCGTAAACCGAACCACCGGTCTCAAGAATGCCAACGACTCCCTAAAGGGCCGTATCTTCGAGGTCTCCCTCGCCGATTTGCAGAACGACCAGGCCCACTCATTCCGCAAAATCAAGCTACGAGTCGATGAAGTCCAGGGAAAGAACTGCTTGACCAACTTCCACGGCATGGATTTCACATCGGATAAGCTCCGGTCTCTCGTCCGCAAGTGGCAGTCCCTGATCGAGGCCAATGTTACCGTCAAGACCACCGATGACTACCTCGTCCGTCTCTTCGCCATTGCTTTCACCAAGCGACGATCTTTCCAGGTCAAGAAGACCACCTATGCCCGTTCCTCCCAGATCCGCGCCATCCGCAAGAAGATGACTGAGATTATCCAACGCGAGGCTTCCACCCGTACCCTCACCCAGCTTACGAAGCTTGTTCCTGAGGTTATTGGCCGCGAAATTGAGAAGGCTACCCGGGGCATCTACCCTCTCCAAAATGTCAGTGGAAAATGCCATACTATGATTTGAGATGGTTTGGTCTGGGAATATATGGCTGATTGGTCTATGTTCAGGTTCACATCCGCAAGGTCAAGTTGTTGAAACAACCTAAATTTGACCTCGGTGCTCTTTTGGCTCTCCACGGTGAATCCAGCACTGATGACAAGGGCCAGAAGGTATGTTTTTCACCCACCATTAAGACCACTTCTAGAAAGTGTTTGAGATTTACTGACTGCAATCCAGGTCGAGCGGGAATTTAAGGAGCAGGTGTTGGAGAGCGTCTAATTTAACGATGGGTCTGATGAGATAAGGTCTTCCTCTGTCTGTATGGTCTGGGTTTCTCAAATGGCCTCGTTTTAAGTACGGAATGATATTCTAAATGAAAAAGGCGCTGTCGTCCTTGTTTGGTTCTTATATCTCGAACAGTCCTGCGCTTCTTGCCAGAACAGAATATTTGGCACAAGCCTTGTATTTTTCTCAACGGAAAGTATTCAAGTTGTGAAGATCAGGTAGCGTGCTATGGTAAATTTCGTGAAGAGGCTCAATGCCGAAGTATTTTTTAAAATTGATCCAATGTACAGTTTTAAGTTCACTTCCAGATGGTCGTTCGCCATCTACACTACTTAATCACACAGCGCAACATAAAGACCTTCTACTGAAAACCCCCATCTATCGAACGAATGCAACCTGTAATCGTATGCCACAAGGGCTCATCATTAGTACAAACGGGTCAGCCCCCGGTTGTCTTGTCACGCTCTGCGCCTAAGTATCGACGGATGCGTCTACGAGAAAGACTTGAAGAACTTGACAACAGCTATGTAACTTTAGTCCTCATATACCAATATGTTGGGTGTAAAGCTGGGTAAGATACCATTTTTAAATGCCTCTGGATTTTCAGAAATCACCCAGTGACCAGCATTAATATCCTCCAGTTCAAACGCGGGGAAAAACGCCCTTATTACGTCAAGTGAGGAATCTTTCACATAATGGCTTTGCGTTCCTCGGACGAAAAGCGCAGGGCCCTCGAATCTAGGGCCATTTTCACCAGGAGTGAATGGGAAATCCGCCAGGCCTTCTAACTTGTCGGATAGGATATCAAGGGGAATACGGAATTTCAGGCCGTTATTTTCTTTCGATCGAACGAGGTTTGTCAGGAGAAATTGGCGAATGGGTAAGGACTGCGAGAGGAGTTGTTGCTTAGTACCTTCTTTGCTTGTTAGAGATGGCCCAACATACGTTTTCATAGTTTTGCAAGATATCATCTGCCTCTTTTTGTTTGGTCAATTGCGCCTCGTCAATTTGCTTCATCGCTTGAATATATTTTGCAAAATCCCTGCTCAACGGCGCTCGAACCGGGGCATTATCAACAGACACCACTCCGCCAACTAGACTAGGATTGCGCAGGGCGAGGGTCATGGCCGTCTTCGCGCCCCTGTTGTTGTGTTAATATAACAGGTATCACTCTATCAGAAGGTTTGAGGACTTGCATTGAGTGACCGATTAATACAGGCCTTTCCAAGTCATTCTCGTGTATGAATTGCTCCACATCATCTGCCATAGCGCAATAGCTGTGTTGGGGGTTGTGTGGTGAATCGCCATGGTTTCGAAGGTCCTAACAGCATCTTCATGGTAAGGCCAGTTTTCCGGGGTCTAGGGGTTCAGAATGGGAGACAGTCTCACGATGGTATAGACATCGGTCTTCAAGCTGCCCGCAAGTGCCCTACAAAACATCCTTCAATTAGCAATCTTTATTGTTTCCTCCAACGACTCTAGAGGATAGGTTGCAGGCTTCTCCTTACTTACTCATTCCCCGATTATTCTGCTTGGAGCCAAATAGGCCATGCATAAAAATAATTGGGTTCGATCTGAGGCCGGCGGTTGATCCATCTGGAGACGCCCTGCCAGGCCACAGCTGATGTGCCAATTGACTGGCTGAATTTTCTTGCGAGGATGAAAATGCGCGGTGAACCTGAAAGGAGAATACGCGATATGAACGAAGCGCTGAGGACTTCATTGTTGCAGATAGCTTTGGTGGCATGTGGTTGTAGGAGCTTGGCGAAGGGAAGCTGGGATTTTTCATAAATACGCCTTTGCAGGAAGCTTCTCAGAATACAACATGATCAACGCTTGCGTTATTGAACAGAATGAGCTCTCTCCTACATATTTTCCCTTCAAATTGACGCGAGATTTGCATTTGAGCTTGTAGTGAACTTACATAGGATACAGATCTAACTACAATGGCAAACCCAAAAATGGCTATTCTGCCCGGTTTCGAACATGAATTAAAATTATAAGAACCCTGTTGTGAATGTGAACAAAGAAAGTAAAATGAATAAATAAATAAATAAGGGGAAATTGGTAACTTGAGAAAGTCGAAAACTGATCGCTCAATATTATAGCCGCAAAAGAACAGCCCTCCGCCTCCGTCCCTACACAAAAATCATACCAGCAAAAGCGGAGAAAAATAGAGTGAATAAAACCCCGATCGCAGGCTTAGACATGGGCTGGTGGGGTACAAATGTATCAGCAGCACCGCTGGATGTCGCAGCGCCTCTGGTCTGGGTGGCGGATGGCTTGTTCTTGTCACGATTGTCGTCGCGGGAACTCGTAGACGTCGGGCTGGCGGAGGCAGTGGCATTCAGTTGCTTGTTGCAAAAGACGTCACCGTCCTTAAAGCCGCCTCCGATAAGGCAGTTGACCAGGTCACCAACGGACTGGCCAGAGGCAAGGCAGTACATGCCGCAGCCCTTGTCGTAGGACACAACTGGTGATTTGCAGCATTTTTCCATCGAGTCTTTCTTCGCAGTGCCGAGGACAGCGCAGGCAGCGTCCTGAGTAGGGATATCGTATGTAGTCGCGCCGCATGCCGTGGGGGCCGCTGACGGTGCGGCAGAAGTGCTTGACACGGAAGAAACGACGGTATTGGTCTGGATGCTGGCCATGATGAAGGAGAGAAAGACTGGTGATGTGAGGTCAATCAACGATAATAGAGCGAGTGAAATTTATATCAACAAGAAGAACGGGTACCCAAAGGGCAGCGAGTGAAGAGAAGCAGAGGAGCGAGAGAAACAAGTGAAGAAAGAATGAACGAAGCGCGTCGAGCCAGCGAAGATGAGGCTCTACCCAATCAGGCTTGGATGACGTCTTGTGTTTCAGCCTCCGCGGGTGTGATCCGGTTGTTTAGCCGAACAGGTCTTAACCTCCATCGAAGGCGACACCATACCAGATCTTTAAGCTACGGGCTGCCCCTGGAAGCAACGTTGTTCTTCAGCAATAAGCTTCCTATGTACCTTATATTGCATGGTTACAGCACGGCCGTTGTGGCGTGCGTTTAGGTTCACCGTTGACCTAGACAGAATGCATCATGATATCCCGTTTGAGGCCGGTACCAACCATCTACTCCGCCGCTGGATTGCGTCCTCGTTCCTGCTCAAGCTGGCCCGGCGGGCACCTCTTTCCTTTGGGATTAAACCATGGCGGTGGTCGCTCTCGACAGCGGCTTCCCACCTTGCCTGGCCCTGCGGCCCTGCTCAAGCCTCCTGAGATTTCTTTCCTTCCACCCGCTCGTCCCTACTCAATCTGCGTTGTTGATACATAAACAACGGTTTCTGTTCTCGAATCTCTTCCTTTTCCCCCTTTCTCTTCTGCAACAGATCTTACGTTACATCCCAATCGTGACCACTTTCTTCCGAACGGCTATCGATTTTTACTGCCTTCATCATACCCAGCAGCAAAGATACTAGTATTCCAGATTAAAACTTCTCACTTGCTTTAACTTCGGTCTCAGTTATCTAAATATGCGCTTTCTTCCACTTCTTGTCTCTGTCCTTACTCCGCTTGTTGCGGCTCTTCAAGTCACTCACCCCAACGAACGATCCCAGGTCGTGGCTGGAGATGATTTGAAAGCGACATGGACCTTTTCCGATATGGACCCACCGAGATTGAGCTTGTATCTCGTCAACTTCGTCGAGTACCCGCCAACCTACATCCCATTGGCTATCGATGTTAGAACCCGCAGAGCTCAATTCAACGTTCATCTTCCGTGTGACACACTCCCCGCCGCGGGCTACCAGATCAATGCTGTTAATGGCACCAATGTTTACGTGATCTACGCCCAGAGTGAGCACTTCAAGATCTCCCCAAATATGAAGAAAGAAGATTGCTTTCACGACGATATAATTATGCCGACTCCCACCAGCACAGTATTTGTGACGGTAGGTCCAACAATCCTTCACTAAGATTCCTCGTCAAGAATCAACCCATATCATTACAATTGTGTATGCTGATCGAGCCTTCAGGTTGCCCCTACAGCTAGCCCGACGCCAGCCCCTACTCGTACCCCATAGAATCCTGGGAATAGTCGGCGGCCTGAATTTGTGATTGATGGCATTCGTATCCTTCACGCCTTGAACTCAACTATGTTGCCACAATATTAAAGGGTTAAATGGTGGCTGGCGAGGGGTGTTCGTACTATATGGCTGCCTTTCGAGATGCAAAGACTGACGTTCTGAGGCATCTACCACGTATGTACTGTGCATACATAATTATTATTACAGGTGCAGCCATTACTGCTTGCACGACTTGATCCGGCTAGATACGAATCAAAAACTATAGCTTTTTAGATCATAACTCTTCTTAAATCATCAATCCCAGAATAATTTCCAGTTCCATGAATTATTGGCGGGAAGTAAGGTCTTATTATCAGCAGCCCTGTTCAATTGCTAAGTGGGATGTAAACAACCGCAGGCTTATATCGTAGCAAGAAGGTCGGTCATTCTGTAGCACCAGCTTTTTCCCTTTCCGCTTTGACCTTTTCATCAAAAGATGTTTTCGCTGCATGGATTTCATCAATGAGCGGGTGGTTATCCAGTGCTTGCTTTGCAGCTGAATTTCCAGCTGCTCCCTTATTGAGGCCTGTACCAGATCCCAGATGCTGATCTTGCCATCCCCAACCTGTCAAATAAACACCTATAAAAAATGTCTGGATCCCCTTCTCTCGACTAATAGGGGGACTTTCATTGATATAACGGAGTTTAATCCCCTTTCCCATTACTTTTTTGGCCAGGAATTCTTTGTAATGAGATGCCTGATCTTCCGGCTGAACTTTCAGAAGAATCGGGGTCCAAAGACGCGTCAGCCAATTCTCAACAAAATCAAAGCCATTAATAGGCTCCGATAAAACTACAGCTGCAACATATGCTTCAAAAACGTCGCCTTTAACTTTTACCCAGCGTTTGGGCTGCTGACGAATCTCCGGCGCTATATTGACACGTTTATCAAATCCGAACTGCTCCGAGAACTGGGCTAGGGTTTCGTTTTTGACAAGGAGTTCGCGAATCTGGGACATGCGACCAGCTGGTAAGTTCTGGAAGCTGTCCCAGATCAGTCTTGTGGCGATGATTTCGATGTACGCATCCCCAAGAATCTCCAGGCGGTCATAGCTATCGTGGGTTCCAGGGGGAGTTGGGGCGGACTTGGTAACGCCTTGGTGGGTAAACACCGCCTTTTCGAGGGCTTTATTTTTTATTGGCGGTGCTTCAAGTGGCCGTATCTCCTGAGCCGTTTCTTTGGCCTTGTGAAATTGGTCCGGCAGTAGTCCCGAACGTGCAAAGGCTCTTGCAAGTTCTGCTGCGGCACTGATGATTTCTACACCGCTGCTCGCGCCTATGTGCTCCCTGATGGACTCAGGGCTCGAGGAGATTTCTTGTGTCAGTTGCTGGAGCTGGCTTAAACGAGATGCAATAGTCTCATTTCTTGACACACCACTTTCTACTTTCGAAGTGGATAGCGTGCAGTCTGCTGAGGCGACTGTATCTGGTTGAAGATGCCCATTATCATTGGGTGATTGATGGCGGTGTTTCTGACGAAGTTAGATTTATACTTGGAAGGGGACATATAGAAGTTACCTTGCGCTTTTTACTTTTGTTTGGTTTTGAGGGCTCCCTTTCAGCTACAACGTCTGATTTCCTTTTCATCCTAATATTCTGGAGGACCCCAATTCCAGGATGTTCTCCAGGCTATCCTTCACAGGTTATATAATTTAACGATCCAATAAGCTGTTAGATAAGCTGAGTTATAGACAAACTTTCTTACACGTGACCGATAATCTTGGCGGAGACGGTCGACATGAGGGTTGATTCTTGAATCTGAAGAAAGTGCCAAATTTGATAGACACGAACGGCATACCCATAATCATGGCGCTCGTCCCTCGGTCACGGATACTCTCCTTGATGAAGGTATGGCATTACATCACTATTTCTAGTATCAGAACTAACCAACCTTCAAGGCCCAATGTCGCATCTTTGACCACACCTACAACCCCGAAGGCATTCGGCTTGGAAACAAAGTTCTCCGCCAGCGATTACGAGGATCAGTTCTCGCATCCTACTACCCCCGAAATACTGTAACCACTCGCGATTTACAAGACGCCTTTACTCCGTTTGGCCTGTACACTTGGAATGAAGACCAGGAGGACCGTCTAGCTTCTATTAGAGCGTATGCTCCCTTGAACAATGCCAGAAACAAGAACAATTTTGCTGATTACTGGATGTAGGAAAATCGCTCGTAGGAAGGGGACACCAAAGAAGAAGCGCACTGCTGCAGGTGAGATATCATCCTTTCGCTCTGCGTGCCCTCCTGGTTGAATAATACTTCTAACTTTCGCCTTTCTATAGAATCCAAGAATAGTAAAAAGAAGAAATAGCGAATTTTCACTCGTGTGTTGTATTGGAAGGCAATAATATGGCGTTGTGAAAAAAGGTTCTCCTTGGGTTTAAATTTTCAAGTAGCAGAAATGTATTACTATTTTACAATATGGCTATAACCAGACACAGTACTCTGTAGACTAGATTGTATCGCCATCAAAATTCTTAATTTGAATTTATTGCTGATCTATTCTGAGGACCGGGGCTCATATATTGATCACGTGGTTAATCATTTGGACGCGCGCAAAACATCCAAAAGCTTTGCGCCACACGTATCTTTACTATACGCCAATGCAATCCGGAGTTTCTGTCTATTCTTTTGGGGAAGCAGCCGCTCCTACTCCTTATCAAAGACGCAAATCTGCAAATTCTTCTTTCTAGGGTTTGAATTCGACTGTTAGTATGGCTACAGCAGCTGCGAAACCCAGTAAAAACCAACTGCGGCGAGCAAAGAAGAAGGCCAAGAAAGCCGAAGTACGTTCATATCCTTTTTCATTTACCTAAAACTAATGTCTACGGTTTCTCAGGCTGAACCACAGAGCAATGGAACGCCGTCAGCGACCGTCACGCCTTCAGAGCCGGATGTCCCCCAGTCTCAGCCTAAACCGGCAGATACGGCTCACAACAATGATGGGGATGGGGATGGAGAAGCAGATTACTCCTCGACCGAATTTGCGCCTCAATTAGATGAGAAGGACCCGTTATATGAGATGTTCAAAAATGTGATGGGAAGGTTTGAGCAAGTTGAAGTTGAAGAAGCTTTACTGAAGGTTTCCGATAAGCCCGAAATATATTTTGAGGATGATGATATTCCGGATGAGGATGAAGAAAGCGCTGCACCTAAAATTTCTAAAAAGAAAAGGAAGGAGATGAATAAGTTATCAGTTGCGGAGCTGAAAGCTATGGTTAAGAAACCCGAGACGATCGATTGGACGGACGCCTCAGCATCAGATCCGAGGCTTCTTGTCCATATCAAAGAGTATAGGAACGTAGTACCTGTTCCTAGTCACTGGTCTCTGAAACGGGAATACCTGTCATCGAAAAGAGGTATAGAAAAATCTCCGTTCCAGCTACCCAAGTTCATCCAGGAGACTGGAATCGCGGAAATGCGCGATGCTGTTTTGGAGAAACAAGACCAACAGTCTCTCAAACAAAAGCAGCGTGAACGCGTGCAGCCCAAGATGGGAAAACTCGATATCGACTATCAAAAGTTATACGAAGCCTTTTTTAGATTTCAGACGAAGCCGGAATTGACTCGTTACGGAGAGGTATACTACGAAGGTAAAGAATACGAAACTAACCTCCGCCATCTACGACCAGGTGAGCTCAGTGATGAGCTGAAAGAAGCGCTGAATATTCCTCCTGGCGCACCTCCGCCATGGCTCATCAATCAACAGCGCTACGGGCCTCCTCCATCGTATCCTGCCCTTAAAATTCCCGGCCTCAACGCGCCACCTCCGCCAGGTGCTATGTGGGGTTACCATCCTGGCGGGTATGGCAAGCCTCCTGTGGATGAGCATAATCGCCCTCTTTATGGCGGTGATATTTTTGGTGTTTTGCAAACACAGCAGAATGTTCAGCAAGGGGAGCCCGTAGAGAAAGATTTATGGGGTGAGCTACAACCTCCAGAGGAAGAATCCGAGGAAGAGGAGGAAGATGAGGAAGAAGAGGAGGGTGACGAGGATGTTGCCGCTGGATTACAAACCCCAAGCGGACTGGAAACACCTAGCGGCATGGTATCTGCCATGCCGTCTGAATTTGGAGCTGCTGAAAGTATTGCAGGGGAGTTTGATCTCCGAAAACATAATCGTGGGACGGAAACCGAAGAAACCACGCATCCGAGGTCGGCTTACCAAGTCATCCCTGAAAGGCAGGCTCAGGTTCAGGGCTTTTTCGGTGGCGATCGAGTGTATGATATCAAAGCGGGAGAGTCCAATATTCCGCTTTTGGGATCGGAGGAGCAGAATAGAAAGAGGAAGAAGCCAGGGGATGTAGACGTATCTCTCGACCCAGACGCGCTACAATCGCACGGCGGCATCAACAAGGACAACTTGAAGAGCCTCTACGAAACGCAGAAGCAACAAGAGGCCAACCCCGACTGGTCATTCCAGGAGGATTTAAGTGATATGATTGCGAATGAAAGCCGGAAAAGATTAAAAAAAGATGAGGAGAGGCGGTCCAAAAGATAACAGAACATGTACCAAGACTGGCATTGTGTGTGCTGTAATTTTAATGGTGATCAAGGTGGCGTTCTGGCGTCAGCGTTAGTGGACCTGTTAGTTACGTTGTAAAATGGCAACATTCCAAATTCCCATTGTCATGGATACCACATTCCAGGCAGTCTCTTGCTGAGACTCCTATTCACACCTCCCGCACTCTTATATCGGTTGTTGTGTTTATCCGATCCCCTTTGGGCCTAGCGTGTCCGCGTGCAGCTCCAGCAAAACCAAAAATCGCCAAAACGCCGTGAGAAGACCAAATGAAGACGCCTAACAGCAAGACAATCACTGCAGCCTTGAAATCAGTTTGTCTGACACATCGTGCACGCTGGGAAGATGCTGATTCTTCCAAGCAACAGCATCTGCAATAACTAAACCTATTCTGCTGCTTGAGCAATCTGGGTGTCCTTCATTATTTTCTGCCCTAATAAAGTGATTTCGGCCCGCGCGACCAGGCTGATATTTGTCAAGCTGTGAAAAGACGCGTTGGAAGTCTGGTATTTTGTTCAAAATGGACCGTGATCGCTATGACAGAAGGTTAGTATCTAGATCTACCCCTGTGTTGCTTGCGTGAACATGTTGTTCTGTCTTTGCCTGCAAGCAGTTGCTGATGAGTATGTTTGGCTCAGGTATGATGACGGCCGGCGAGGAGGAGAAAGCTACCGTCCAGCAGATCGCGCCCCTCGCCATACCTCACGTCCCGATATTCGTTTTGGCCGGTCTCCCGTGCGGAATCGTTCGCCCCCCGCCTTAAGGCCCACCGCAGATACCTGGGCGCCTTCCGACCGCGTCAGGCCCCGAAGCCGGTCTCCCAATACATTCAGACGCCGCTCCAGAAGTCCTCCATTTCGAGGAGGAGATAGACCATCGGAGTATGGTGCGCGACCGCGATCGCCACCCCCAAGACGGTTTTCACCACGTCGAGAGAATGGAAGAAGCCCACCAAGACTTCCCAGGCGTTCGCGGTCTCCGGCAGCTCCAATGGCACTGCGAAATCCTGCTTTCCCTCGCAATGGAAGTCCCGGTCTGAAACGCACTCGTGAAATGTCCCCAGCTGGCCACATTCCTCGATCTCCAAAAAGAGAACGTATCACCAATTCTCCTCCAAGAAACAGATATGAAAGACCTCGCTCTCCCCATTCTCGAATGGAGGAATCACCCTACATTCGGCCCCGAAGCCCTGGTAGACGCGAACTATGGAAGGAGCCTTACGGTGGGAGGGTGTGGCGTCGCCGTTCTCCTTCTCCCCCAACGCGCTCTGGAGCAAATTCTGGCCCTGCTTCGTCATCTACGTCGCGTCGCTCGTCCCCACCGCCTCGTATGGATAGGAGAGGGTACGGTGGTCCTCCGATGCAGGCTCCTATGTACTCAAACAGACCCCAGTCATCCATGCCATTGTCCTCGCGAACACCACCACATTCCAACAGGTTCATTCCCCGGCAAACCGAGCCACCAAGCATTCAATCCAGTCGACCGGTCTCCCCACCGAGAGGTCCGAAAAGCTCTTTTGCCAATGCCTCCTCAATCCGTGCCAGTGAAATATCTCCAGCAGAAAGTCCAAATGCAGATCGAGATTTTAGCCAGAGAGGCAGGCCTCGATCGCGTGGTACCCCCGCTCACAATTTCGAGAACGATACCGACTTCTCTAGACAAAACTATTCTCAATCCGCAAGCTCAAACAGAGCGCAAGGCGAGTCCCCTCCTCCTGGTCCCACTGCTCCAAGAAACCCCGAATTAGCTTCCCGTGGCGGCCATGCGGCCCTCCTTTCCGCGCCAACACGACCAAAAGGCGGCTCAGGCCAAAGCCCATATTTCAATCGGGAATCAGGCCCTCGGGAATCCATTCGGGGCAGTATGCACCGTCGTCCCGGCGGTCATGGACCTCCATACCATCACCAATACGGAGGCCGCGGAGGCCCGCCATCCGGCGCTTCAGGCTATGAATCCCATCGGCCCGCCTTCCGACATGGAAGCAGTTCATCTACCACGTACCCAAGAACGCAACGCTTTACAAACCATCTTTCAGGTTTGCCTAATATTGTCCCTGGCGGAAAGCTCCTTCCATCCAGCCTTGATCCCGCCTATGAAAAGCGAATTGCGCAGCTAGAGGCGGACAAAGAGCGACTCTTGGAACAAATTGCCGAGAAACAAAAGGCCAAGCGCACTTCTTTGAGAGAGTGGGATAAACTTGCAAGAGACGGTTCTACAGGGGCCTTGAGAAGCGAGCTAGCCGATGGCCAGTTACAACGCATGGCGGAGGGGGATGATATCAGTGGTGCAGCTTTCTGAAGAGGGTTTTCGGTGTGTCTTAAGCTTCTTGGGGAATTGGTGGCTTTCTGCTATTTCAGTTCTTTTCAATAATAATAATTTGGGGGTGTCCTAATGAGTCTTACCAGGCATTTTTCTATTATCTTTACCCACATGGAGTTCTGGCTTCAGGACGTTTATTTTAAGAATACCAAAAATTGACTGTATGTATGATACGCATGAGTGCTACGTTCTTTTGCTTTTTAATTGTGGCAATAACATTGTTTAATATTTTATGGTCAATTTTCTTTCACACATGTTCTCCAGCTATCCCCAGTCATTTCTTTCAAGCTGGTAGAAGCCAATACTCCGCATGTCCTTCCACTTCAGTGAGTATCGAACCATTGCCAGGTGCCGCACCCACACCAAAGGTCTAAATAAGTGGACTGCAAAGAGATGTCCATCATCTTTCAGGTCTAAACCACGACAGACTATCCACCCGACTTCCATGTTTTAGAGGCTCAAAAACCATCCTTGCTCGTCGCTGGCGGATCCGGCGCCAAAATAAATACCAGGCAAACACCAAGACTGCAGCAATGAACGCTACTGGAACAGTAATCGGGATGGTGCTGGTTTTACTAAGCCGGGAATTGGGGGTGGCGATGGAGTTGGGAATTTCTGAAGCGATTGTTTGGGTTGTCGACGCAGGAGTCTGAACAGAAGTCGATGCTGGAGTTGATATAGGAGTCGCCCGTGTAGAGGCTGTTGCCGTTGCTGACTTAGAAGGCGAGGCGTTCGTTGAAGGAGAAGCAGAGCTGGGAGGCGACTTGCGCGTGGAAGAAGTCTCGCTGGTTACATCTGTGATGGGAAAGACTGCCGGGTCGGACGATGACTTGGAAACTCGGGTTGTCTCTTTTGGCACGGGGGCATGCGGTGCAACCCCAAAGGATGCTGTGAGTGATATATCCTCCTTTGACTGAGGCACGTATCTTTCTGCCAGCAGTAGGGTGTCCGGGCTGTCCATCTCTCAACAATAAACTGCCTTAGACACACACTGCTCAGCTATCAGTGAAAACTCTTGCTTTGAGATAGTTGAAAGAAGCATGCCTAGGGATTGCTGGAGTTTGCGGAAAGTTGAAAGCACATCATTTTTGTGAATGAAATGCCCTTTTCAGTGAGTTTAAAGAGATGGGATTCACCACTTGGAGGGCTCAAAGCACTCAAAGAAGTGCTATTTGCAGGAGTCATTCACAGTCCTTGACCAGATCTTGAAATCTATGTCTACAGGAAGTAGCAATTTAGCAGGCACAAGACAGGGGTGGATCCTGGGTCAAGCCTGGCAGTTTTTGAAGATATGCAGGGTAATTTTAGCATGTTATTTTGTTAATTCATATCTCCTATATCTGAAGTAATACCATTCTGAGAAGTGGTGAGATAACATCTTCAAGCTAATACTACTCGTATGTTGTTTACTGGCTGGCACGACACACCAGCAGATACCCTCCAGATAGTATATATATTCTGTAAAAGAAGCACGGTTTTTCTGGTAACGGGAAAAGGTATTCCCACCAATGTAGCAGACTGTAAATTTAACAGATTAATTTAATAACTATACGGGATTTCTGTTCTAACATTAGAAAGAAATCTTCTAGTCTGCAACTCAGTCAATCCTGGGACTCGGAATTGTAGGCGGCTTATTGTTCTTTTTAATCCAGTCAACATAATAACCAACTCGAGTGTATACTCCAGGGAAGCCAGCAAGAGCACATTCGTAACCCCAGAAAACAATTCCAATCAGCTCCTTTGTGATCTCATCATAAAGAGAATTGCCACTATCTCCAGCACATGCGTCCTTACCTTCCTCTCCAGCGCAAATCATTTGCTCTACGACACTAGCATTACGCTTTTGGTAGTTCTTGTTGCAGACGCTTCTCTTAACAATAGGAACCGTCACACGGCGCAGATTCACGACTAATTCGGAAGGCGAGTTGACGCTAGTACGACCCCTAGTCTAGGAATGAGTATTTTACTATGGAGGGTTTGGAATAGAGCATACCAGCCTGCAGCCACTGCTTTGGATCCCGGAATGGCATCTGATCCCGGCTTAGGAAGTTTGGCGTAGCGGATAGTAGCACTTTCTTTGATCTCATCGGCCAAATACAGGATTGCGATATCATTGGTGTAATTAAAAGGGTCATCGTACCCGGGGTAAAGTCAGTAACTTGACACCTTAGAAACAATTCCACTTTCATTCCATTTCTAGAAACAAGTGAGTAGGCAGCTGTTATATTTAGGTGTCTGAGTCGGATAACTTACAAGAGACCCTGCACGAAGTGTGAAATCTTTAGAAGCATTCCAAGCACAATGCCCAGCAGTAAGAGCCAGCTTAGGGCCAATCAGAGTAGCACCACAAGATTTCAGACCACTCTCAGCAAGAGCAACGGTTGAAGGCAGCTCGCCTAGCTTTGCCTCAACCCCGCCACAATTCTTGATTGGCCTTCGAGAAAGGAGAGCCCTGCTGCCATTGAGGCAGCTGGCATGACCAGGGCAATTGTAAAAGCAAGTAGAGGAGTCATTTTGCGAGATTGATGCTAATAAGTGCAAATGTAGGGAACGGAGAACCAAATCCCTGGGAGCGTACGTTGTTTATATGCTCTCTGCTCCAGCATATTGTAACATAGCACACAGGCCGTTGACGATCTGATATTGGCAAAAGCCGCTTGGTAATATTTCATGGGATGACGCGTACGGCTGAGAAGCGGTATTTCCTGCTATAACGGACTTGTAATGGTCAGCGAGAAAGATACAAAGCCCTTCCAAAATGTCACATGCTCCATGTTTTGCTCGCAAGTTCGTTCTAAACGGATCTGCCTTGCCAACTTGGACTTCAGTTTGAGAACGGGATATACTAGGGATTTGGGATGACTTGTGAAGATATGCATGGGATACAAGGACTCCAAACGTTGGTTTCAGCTCCCAATTCAGGTCGAAACTTCCACATGGTAGCCAAGAACTCACTTAGAACAGTATGTTGACATTGGGTAATCCTTCACACAGTATGAATGAGGCTGTTGAGTGAACTCCTCCATTGTTTGGGGGATCGACAGCTGTGGGTCCGTACAAGGCTTGGGTATCATAGAGCAATAGCAACAGTCGGTAAGTCCCTGCCGGGCGGGAAGGAGGTCTCCCCTCTAAGTCGGCTGAGCTTGAATGCATCAAGTGATATTGAAAAGCGCTTATCATGGCCATGAAAAGGGAGGCTAGCCAATAATAGAAGTCGGACCCGAGGAAGTGATGGGTAGAAGGATCCAGATGCAGGTTATTTGATTCAAGATACCTAGTTAGCGGCGGGGGTTTTGTTCTTTGGCACAGCTGAGTCTTGTCCGGGGGGTAATCAACACAGCCAAAGGGTAAGCATCCTTAGGGACTTGCGATCTAAGGTACAGAGTGCCCATATGTTGTTTACTATATATCTATGGGTGGTTAGCTGGCCATAAAGATGACTTTTCCTATCGTAGTGTTGCCTTGGGTCACATCAAAATCCCGTCCATAAGATTGAGATGCCCGGACTTCGCTGCTCAGAGTCTGATGTCTGCAGAATGTTGACGACGGAGACTGGAGTGGTCTGTAGTTTCGTTTCGTCTGTCAGAGGATTAGGAGTCACTTAGTCATCCTCCGCAATCGCGTCCCACGTGACCGTTATCGATTGGCGCAGCTTTGACGCCAAACAAGCAACTTTAATGAGGCTTCGTGTCAACAACATCCAAAAAACATCAATGTGCCATCAAACCCGCCGACTCGTCGTCAACCAGCTCAATTGCACCCCGCGCATCGTTTCTTGAAGCTGCATCGTCGTTCCATGGCGGCTTTTGCGCCCGATTTGGACCATTCTTGCTAAAAACCCAAGCTGCACGGATTTCTTCGATCGCAACAAAAACAAACCACAAGTCAAACCATACGGAACATAAACATTTCCCACGAATTGCTTGCCAGGGGGGGCCAGAGTTTAACGTTTCACTGAGTTTATCCACTTGTTGGAAATACTACCGGGCAAGATGAATATCTTCCGATTATTAGGTGCGGGCGAAAAGCTGTCCTCCGGTCTTGTTTGGCCGCCCCCCCCCCTGTTTCCTCGGAGAATTGCGAAGCTAACGGATTCCTCCGCCGCCGACAGCCGATCTATCCCATCTGGTCTCGATCTTTATCTTACTGCAGAAGATGAAGTCGTCCAGCGTACGTCATGCCCTTCCATCTCGCCCGCTGCATTGTGCCGCCTCCCTAACAATCATGGTTTACTTTTTAGAGCTGTTCGGGTTTATCGTTTAAATCGCAAGCTCTATATTTCCTTGTCTACGTCACTCGATACCTTGGTACGTGCATTCGTGGATGCTACTTACAAGCCGCCAAGTGTGCCAGAGCTGACGAAGAATTGCGGCTTTGAAAACTATTCAGACATCTTCTGGACCTTTACGCTTTCTGCATACAATACCATTTTCAAAATACTTTTCATCGCTTCCTCCGCGTATACGATCTACCTTATGATTAATGAATACCGACCCACCCAAGACCCCAATCTCGATACGTTCAAAGTACAATATCTTCTTGGCGCTAGCGCCCTCCTAGCAATGCTCTTCCCGTACGCATACACACCCGCCGAGGTACGCGTCTCGTTTTCAAATCCAAAAAACTCTTTTTATGAGTCCCCCCAAATCTCATTAAACCCGCATAGATTCTATGGACATTCTCGATCTGGCTCGAATCCGTGGCCATTCTGCCGCAACTCTTCATGCTGCAGCGCACGGGAGAGGCCGAGACCATCACGACACACTACCTCTTCGCCCTGGGCCTGTACCGCGCGCTGTATATTCCGAACTGGATCTACCGGTACTTCACCGAGGGCCGTGCGGACCCGATTGCCATTATCGCCGGCGTGATCCAAACCGTTCTGTATTCGGATTTCTTCTGGATTTACTATACCAAGTTAGTTTTTGTTTCTTTTTATCTGGTTTTTTGAGGGACGCTGGTTGCTAACGTTTTGGGCGTTTGCGTGGCAGGGTTATGAAGGGAAAGAAATTCTCTTTACCCGTGTAAAATTAGAGCCAGCGTGCTCAACTGGGGAAGCGGGGGGTTTTGGTGTCCAGGGCAGGTATTGGGTTCTCCTGGTACATTTTTTTTTCTCGCCAAAATGTTTTTTTTACGGAACCGGAACGGAACAAACACCAGAAGCTTTTATTCATCCCCCTTTTTTTGTGTTTCTTCTTGTCCTGGCAACCAAATAGACATATGCGGGACAAAAAAAGGAAAATACTAATCATCACGTTTATATCGTTGCTTGTCATGCTTTCCAAAGCTGCCGTAAGCAAACAGGCCAGCGTCCCCCCCGGCCCCCTGACCCCTGTGTTCTCCCACACTTCTTTTTTCCTCCCCTGAAGAATCTGGCTGTCCTTACCCCCCTCCTCGCCCCCCCTTTTTTTTTTCGGCCCTTGGATGGGACGGGGGGAGAACAAGGAGGGAGGGGGATTAAACCCAGTCCGCCCAACCTACTTCATTTTTCTATATGTCTTACTAGAACAAACCTCCTTCCAAACCGTCCTACCCCCCCACGCAAATAATGTACCACTACTACAGAAGTATGAACAAAATGCCATTAAAAACAAAAACAAAAAGCTTCTTTTCTCTTCCACGACCTTGCAGGAGAGCCGAAGGAAGGAGAGAGTATCATTTCTCTTTCTTTTTTTTTTTTTTTGTTGCTCGTGCGTTCGGAATCTCAAATATACATACGGAGTACAGAACTACATAACCTATACAACTACTCCGTACTTGCCCCTCCCCCTCCCCCTCCCCCGCGCGCGCGAGCGTGGGGTCGGGCCGGCCCCTTGTTCAGGCGCTTCGGGCCGGCCCCTTGTTCAGGCGCTTGGGGCCTCTTCCGATCTCCATAAGACTCACCAGTTAACTTACCGGGGCCGATTTCTTTTTTTTTTTTCGACCGGGGAATAAATCTCATATCCCCCCTCCCTGGGGGAGGGGGACGGTTGGACCGCGCCAAAAGAGGGGGCCCGGGCGGCCCCACGGGGGGGGGGGCAGGTTTTGAATACCCGTCCCGTTGCCGCAGGTAAGGATTTCACTGTTTGCTTGCTTGGTAGTTAACTAACTAGGTGCAGGAATTTTTTTGGGGGGACCAGTTGTGTTTGGAATTTCTTTGTCCGCACCACCCTGGGACTTTCGGGGCCTCGGAGCGCGAGAGGAAAAGGAACAGCTCGTGTGGAGCATGGTGGTGGATAGTTTCTTATGTACTCCGTACAGAACTAACTACGCTAAAAAGACACAGACCAGGCCCCCCGGCCCAGTTGGTTTTGAAGTCTTCCAGACCGTTCTGGAAAAAAATCACCCCACCCAGTACTGCTGGGGGTATATAAGTACGGACGGAGTATGAAAAAGCGCGAGAGATTGAAAACTCTCCCCCACTGAAGGCGGGGAGATGATAAAGCAAGCAAGTGGGGGGGGGGGGGGGGGGGGGGGGGAGGGGGGGGGGGGGGGGCCGGGGGGGGGGGGGGGTTTGGGGGTTTTTTTT